TACCCATTCCTTTTGGACCCGCACCTGGTTTACGACCACCAGGAGCGCGAGGTCCTTTGTTTGGCTCAGGAGAGCGTTTGATGAGATCGTTTTGACTTGTTCGCAAATTTACTTCACGCTTCTCCATTCCAACACCTCCGGCGGGTGCATGCATTGCAGGATGGCCAGCCATTGCGTGAGGACCGGCCATTCCATGAGGCATCCCGTGATTACGTTTGACCAAGAATGATCTTCCTTCCAGTCCAATTTTGCGCTTTACCATTCCGTTTCTAGCTGGTCGTCGTGGTGGACCGCGAGGCTCACTTTTGACTAAATTTACTGTATGAATATTATCGCGCTTGATAGGATGCATGCCGTTTGGATTTTTAGGATCACGTTTTTCCAATTGATTTTGATCATCGATTTCTGCGTTCAAATAACGTTTTTCATAGCCACTATCCATTTTCAATTGACGTTTGGCCATTCTTCTACGTTTACCGCCTACACCTGCACCTGCACCTGCACCACGACCCGTTCTTGCACCACCGCCACCAGCAATCCCACCGGCGCCCTTTCCTTTGCCTGAACCAGCACCAGCACCAGCACCGGGTGTCTGAGTACGAGGCTTAGCTCCACCTGCTCCCCCAGCTGCTGTTGCGGGACGTCTGCTGCCAGCTCCAGCTCCTACTGCACCCCCTGCACCTTTATTTCTAGGTCCTGCTGGAATACCAGAATTCGCTGGTTTACCAGGGCGGTCAAAATTACGTTTGACGTACATCTCTCCATCCTGTAGCCATCAAGAAACAAGAATGTCAATATCGGTGCTTTTCGTGTATAGCCGTATCTCATTTTACTCACCTCTAAGGCTGAAACTTGTTGCGAGCCAAAGGTGACCAGCACCATGGAAACGGTAACGAAAGCAAGAAGATTTGCGAAGGCCAGCTTCATATTTGCTTAAATCCTAGCAGAAAGTCGTAATATTAAATCTAGCTTTTGATAGCTCGATGAGGGCATGAAAATGTTGATCTGAATAATCTTGGCAATACTTATACCCTTTGTTCGCTCCAGAATGTATGGTAAGATTAGGGCCAATCAATTGCAAAGTAACAGAAAGCCCATCGAGCATATATGCGCCCTGGAGGGGCTTACTTGTGACAATGCTTTTCTTACGCATAGCTGTGCCAAAGACCATCGTTCACAACAGAGATAAACTCAAAGTCCAATCCGAAATTGATTTAATAATCATTCATGCGCCATTGTGTTCCTCGATCCAACCAATTTGGAGATCATCTTGATAAGCCCCTGATGATTACGGTTGCCAAGAACAGAAAGTCGTTGTTGAAAGATGTATATGGATGAGGCTGAAAAGGCGTAATCGATTCCAACCAGCATGTCCATGACCAAAAGGCATTCAAGATCTTAACGAGGACATTCAACGCCCAACGCCATCTTGCATTCAAGCCAGATGATCTTCGTGGCAAGGAAAGTACTTTTGGCGCAGGCGTTAAACCCGCGCTTAAGTACAAGCTCCCCTTAGTGCGTAAAATCGGAAAACGGGTAATAAATCTAGTCGTTAAGAAGGTAGCAGCAATTCGAATGTGTGCACCTTTCCTTCTAACCTCCGACAAGAAGGAAAAAAGTGTCAAGATGTTCCGATATTCTGTCAAGACCATCAGCGGCGGCTCGGGACGGCTGGCTGGCACAAAGACAAGAGTCCCGAACCTATCAAGCATTCAAAGAGCCTATGCTTCTGTGACCAACGCAGGCGTAGGTGTGTCAAAGCCACCTACAACCCCTAACGCTGGGGTTGAAGGAGGAGCTGAGGAAGAAAAGAAGCCGCTAACAAAGCCTGAACATTTGTCAAGAGAAGCTTTCGATCAGAAAAGAGAAAAGAAGTTGCAACAATATCAAGCCTTGTTGCAGGAGAAAGCAAAACGGGAAGGATTCTCATCTGTGGAGCAAATGGTTGCAAAGGAGAAAGAGCGAAAAGCAGCAAAAGATGCATCAGAAGCAGCTAATGCCGCAGCGAAAGGATCTTCGGGTCATTCTGGTTTGAGCGAAAAAGATGCAAAGCTAGCATCAGATATCTTGAAACGTGTAGAAGCGGAAGCTGAAAGGAAGATCAAATCGGGTAATTTCAGTTCAGGACCGAGTGCACTAAAGACGTTGGGTGATATCATCGATTTGGAAAAGGTACGTTCTGATTCACCAGAGACTATTTCTCAACTTTGGACGCAATATCACTCTCTTAAGAATAAGCTCTCTGCAGTCATACCAGCACGTCAATACGCCGAGATGGTTTCAAAAGCAAAACAGTACCCTCAATTCCTCTTGCCATTGCCACGCACAATTGTTGGATCGGACGATGTGAACAAAACAGCAAATGTTGCACCTGGAGAACGCAAGAATGGATATGAGATGCAATATATGGAATGGGGATTCCTACCTAAACCAGATCTAGAAGAGATCACAGCAAAAGTCGAACAATCGGTAGATCATTCGAACGAAGATAAAGAAGTGATTGAAAAAGCTTCTCCGACAACAGTTTTGTTTACACCATTGGCAGAGTACAAACTTCGACAAGAATTCGCACAACCCGTTCTGATCGTTACGCATTATACCGATTTGGCATTATCGAAAGGTATTGTTCTTTTGCGTGGAGAGGTGACTGAAGGTCAAGATGCACAATCTGCTCCAACCGGCATGGCAGCTGCAATTGCAGCTTCACAAGCAGGTGAAACGTCAAGCGAAAAGTTGGACAGACTCAAAGCACCCCTTCAAAGTCAAGGCAAATTATCACAACAAGATGCTCAATTGTTAACAGTTATGCTTCAACGCTTTTATATGCCCGTCAGTTCGAATGCCGGACCTCAACCTGGCGCACAAGAGAGACAAGAGCTATTAGACGCTTTCCATGGCGATCCAGACCGATTTGATGTAGACAAATTGTGCAAGAGTGCATTTGAATTTTAAGAAAGCCTAGCACATGTACTTTATCCCTGTATATCACACACACATGCACACCTCTTCTCAACGGAAATAGAATAGTATTAAGCATGAAAATCATCTCTCAAAAGTGGGATCTAGTAATATTTATTTTTCAGGTTCAGCCTTGTCCTTGACCCACAAGTCAATGAATTCATGAACGGGCATTGAGGTCAATTTGGCATGGTCTGTGGTCAATTCGAGCAATTGTTGTTTCTTGGCATCGTCAAAGTGAGGGTCCAAATGTTTGGCCAATTTGGCTTGAATTAATGGGATTGCCTCTTCACGACGACGGGCATGTCCGACTGGGTAATCCATTCCATGTTCGAGGGATGTACCATCGTTGAATTCGATTCTGACAGTGTTACCGATTGCACGTTTATCGGCTTCCAAGTATTCCTTGGTGTAACGTGGTTCTTCAACGTATTCGGTGATATCACGCAAGGCGTCGATTCTTGGATCAGCGGCGAATTCATCGTTGTACATTTGTGGTTCCAATTTACCGTGGATCAATGGAACGGCAACCATGTAACCGATTTCGTGATCACGAGCAGCGTAGTTTGTCAATGGACCACGCTTGCAGATAATACGGATAGCTGCTTCTTGTGTCTTCAAGACGATCTTCTTGATGTCATCTGTTGACTTTCCGGCTTCCTTCATTTGTTTGTGTAGGATCACAGCAGATTCAACGGCAGTTTGAGAGTGGAATTCAGCTGGGACCAATTTGAACAAGACGTTCTCCATAACGTAACTGCCGTATTTACGGTCGAATTCGAATGGCTTGCCCTTGAACAAGACATCATAGAAACCCCATGTCTTTGCAGTCAGAACACTTGGGTAACCCATTTCACCCTTTTGAACCAAAAGAGCCAAGTTGACTGCACGAGAGCAAGCATCACCGGCAGCCCACGATTTACGGGAACCAGCGTTAGGAGCATGACGGTATGTACGCAAAGATTGACCATCAACGAAAGCTTGAGAGATAACGTCAACAGTTTGATCGCGAGTGTTACCGATCATCTTGGAAACAACGGCAGCACTGGCAACCTTGACCAAAACGACGTGATCCAAACCAACACGGTTGAAACTGTTTTGGATAGCGATGATACCTTGAATTTCGTGTGCTTTGATAGAAGCTTCCAAGACATCTTGAACAGTCAAAGCCTTCTTTCCTTCAGCAGCATTTGTACGGGACAACCAATCAGCAACGGCCAAGATGGAACCCAAGTTATCGGAAGGGTGACCCCATTCGGCAGCCAACCAAGTATCATTGAAATCCAACCAACGGATCAAAGCACCGTTGTTGAATGCAGCACGGATTGGGTCAAGTTGATAAGGTGTACCAAACACTTTAGCACCATTTGGAACAACAGTTCCAGGAACGACTGGACCCAAAGCAGCACGAGCGCCAGGGAAACGCAAAGCTTCCATACCACAACCGATTGAGTCTAAAAGACACAATCTTGCAGTGTTGAAAGCAGTGTCTGATTTGATTTCATAATCGTGAACGTAATCGGCAATATCTTGCAATACTTGATCGTAAGGAGGACGTTCGTTTGATTCACCACTGCCACCACCCATTGCGCGAGCTGAAACGGAAAATGTACGAAGTTGAGTGTTATTGTTGATGAGAGAACGAGCGGATTGCGTTGATGCAATTCCTGAAGGTTTTAATGAACGTTGAACAGTTTTTGCAACGTTGAAAGATGAAAATGCACGAACGGAAGAAGAAGAAGAAGTGCTTCTCAAGCTAGATGAAAGAGCAGATGCACGAACAGCGGTCAAGCTAGCCACCATCCTATACTATTGATGAGGATAAAGAAGGGGGAGGATCAGATGATGGTTCTGTTGGAAGTCACGATCTGATCAAGAAGGGGGTTTGGTTCAAATAAGAAGATTGTCTCTCTCACATGCCAAAAAGTGCCAAACATAACTTCTCGCATCTTTCACCGGGACATTTCTTCTTCTTGTTGGCATTAAATGAGTGTTACTTGCATGCAGGCTGTGGAGAGAGAGATTCATTTCTAAGTTGGGGCCTAAACGTACGCGACAAACGGTCTGATTTCCGCTCGGTGCTCAAGCCGAGTGTGTATATACGGCTATTGAGTGAAAAGTTAAAGCGAGTTGAGTTGCCCGAGCCTATAGCCAGGCGAACACGTCCAATTTGATCTTAAGCGGAGATGCTTATTTAGTGGACCGGTCAATTTCTTCTTTGCCGAGCCAGGCTTTCTTCCGCTTATTTCCTGCGAGCCAAAGCAGAGAATTACACGTGTTGGCAGATAAAGCTTGGGTTGCAAGAGACATTCACTGTACTCATACACACGTGCTGGTTTAGGAAGAAAAAAGTTGAACTGAGTTGAATGAATGCAACACCAATGCATGATACTGAGAAAGTGCATTTATGGTAATTACCATCACTGTTTGTCAAACCAGAGATGGCAAAGGAAGATGATGCATTGGCTGCTTTGCATGCTCATTTCGCATCTTCATTTGATTCAGCTCCAATCAAACCTATCAATTCAACTCCAAAGGTGAATAAGAGTAAGACCGACAAGAAAGCAGAAGTGGAGAAGGTCGTCAAGGCAAAGACAAAAGATGATCTACTAGAACGTGAGCTTGGATTTGATGGTAGCCATTTGAACAAAGGCAAAGCAAAAGCTGAGAATGAGCTGAAGCCGGTGAAAGCATCCAAGACTAAGCCACAATCGACTAGGCCTCCACCTGAAACAGTCGTATTTGGAGAATCATCAAGCGGAACTTCAATTCCAAATCAAGGAGGATGGAGAAAGTTCATGTCTTCCAAGGTAGAAACACGGAAGGACAAGTTGGAAGAAGAGGCAAACAAGGCAGCAGCCGAGAAACAGAAGAAGAAGAACAAGTCCAGCTCGGGGGATGGAGCAGGGGATGAAGAAGATGCAGAAAAGGAAAAAGAGATGATGACAAACGATAGAGCATTATCGGACTTGCTCTCTACAACATTATTTGCACCTCAATCAGAGGGGATCAAAAAAGCAAACGGAAAACCAAATCTCTCCTCGAATTCAACACTCTCTCGGCTAATGGAATTAAGTAAGCCAACGTTGACCGACCAAGCCAAATCTGTCGGGAGAGGATTGGGATCGTCCATGTTCAAAGCCAAAGAGATGGGAAAGATGCCTGCTTCAATGAGACATGGCTTACGAAAAGCTGAATTACAGAAACAAGCAGATCAATTGGAGAAGGCCAAAGAGCTTGGAATATACCATCAATCCATTAAAGGTTTAATTGGCAAAGGTGCAGATGGTTCGGATTTGGTTCTGGGAACGAAAAAGAAAGATCATAAAGCACGAACCCGAGATAAGGGTCTATCGATGGGAGTGGGCAGATTTGCCGGTGGTACACTGAAACTCTCAAAGGAAGAAGTTGCCAGGATAAACAAACCAACCTCATCTGGTAGAGGTGCAGGTGGGAAACGAAAGCGGTCATAGATCGATGTACGATATCACTACTGTATTTATCAATTATACCCTTTTCACGCACACACGTTTCGTGGTCAAATGAAATCGTTCTTGTTAATCGACAAGATATGAGAGAAGCACATTGAGATGTAGAATAGATACAAAACACAATAGAAGAATGCTTTTTTGGGCTTTTAAAGGTTGCTAGTTTGCACTAGCAATGAAACATTTGAAGCTCATCGGAATACTTAGAGCTTACCACCATCACGACCAGGGCGCAAAGCACGGACGGTGTGACCAGCGCGCCACATTTCTTGAGCAGCGATGGCATCAGTTTCTTTGTCGTAATCTTCACGGTATGTTGGGCGACTTGCGAATTCCAAAGTTCTTCTGGTTTCGCTACCGTCACGAACGCTTGCGTACAAACGTTCAAAGACTGGCTTGCATGCCTTTTCGAATTCAGGAGCCCAGTCCAAAGCACCACGACGAGCGGTAGTAGAGCAAGCCTTGTACATGTAGTCCATACCGTGTTCACCGACCAAGGGGAACAAAGACATCAAAGCTTCTTCGCAAGTCTCGTTGAATGCTTCTGATGGAGAGTGACCGTTGGCACGCAAGACGTCGTATTGTGCCTTGAACATACCTTGAATACCACCCATCAAGCAACCACGTTCTCCGTATAAGTCAGAGTATACTTCCTTTTCAAATGTAGTTTCGTACAAGTATCCTGATCCGACGGCGATACCCAAAGCAACGGATTTCTCCAAAGCCTTACCGGTAACGTCTTGGTGAACGGCAACGGAAGAGTTGATACCTGTTCCCTTTAAGAATTGAGTACGGACGGTACGACCACTTCCCTTTGGAGCACACAAGATGACGTCGATATCCGATGGAGGAATGACCTTTGTTTGATCTTTGTAAACGACTGAGAAACCGTGGGAGAAGTAAAGAGTCTTGCCCTTTGTGAAGTATGGCTTCAAGTGTTCCCATTGTTCACTTTGAGCGGCATCGGAAAGCAAGTACATGCAAATTGTACCTTTTTCGGCAGCCTCTTCGATTGTGAACAAGTTCTTTCCTGGAACCCAACCATCTTGGATGGCTTCTTTCCAGGAGTGACCATCTTTACGGACACCGACGATAACGTTCAAACCGTTATCACGCAAGTTCAAACCTTGACCGTGTCCTTGAGAACCGTAACCCAACAAGGCGATTGTGTCATTTTTGAAGTAATCTTGCAATTTCTCTAGAGGCCAATCAGCACGTTCGTAGACCTTTTCTTTGGTTCCAGCAAAGTCGAGAGTTTTTAGTCCACGTTGTTGTTGAACGGCCAAACGAGCGACAGGAGCAGTTGCAGCACGAGGAGTGACAGCTTTTGCCAACATGGACAGAGAACGAGCAGCAGGTGCAGGTGCGACTGCTGAACGGCTTGAAGCACGAACAGCAGAGCGTAAAGCGTTACGAGATACGACTGGGAAGGACATGATGAATGATGGTGATGAGAAGAAGAATGAATGCTATTTAAACGCAATTTTACCTTTTCGGTTGCTTGTCTGCGCTTTTTTTCTCCTTTTGATAAAAATGTCGATAATGCACTCCGATAAAGTGCTGCCGCTGTTTGAGAAGAATCGTTTAGCAGCCGCACTACAGCTTTATACTGTGTAGCAACTGTGCGTGTGTGTGTGACTCCTTCCTTGTATCTGAAAAAGAAGAAAATTCATTCAGGCCGTAGACTGCAGAACAACTTTTAGGTCCGCCATAAGCCGATTAAAACGCGTAAAGGCTTTTGCAATAGAAAACACAGCTGCCAAGCCATGTCAAAGCTAAGCGAGAATGCAAGACAAAGCAATGCCCGTCTCACGTGCCCCCCGCACATTGCAGCTTCTTCTTGACATGGCTCGAGCTCAAGATGATAACGAATGTATGCTAATGAATACTACCTTCCATCATCACAATAGAAAGAATGGTACAAGTATTCGATCAAGGAATCGATCATTCTCGTAGAGAACTGCCTGGGTATGGGGCTAAACCTCCAAATCCACAATGGCCAAATGGAGCAAAAGTATGCGTTTCATTTGTGTTGAATTACGAAGAAGGAGGTGAACATGTGGTAGATAATCACAAGGGAAAGTCAGACGCAAGCACTTCCACCTTAAATGGCGATGAACATGCAGAGATGTTCTTGACGGAATCAGGTGCAGCAGCAACAGTTCCAGGCGCTCAAAGATATGGAAGAAATATCGGATTGGAAAGTGCTTATGAATTTGGTAGTCATCGTGGATTTCATAGAATCTTGGATTTGTTCAAACGGTCAAAACTACGATTCACATCTTGGTCTATCGGGCGTGCAGTGGAGCTGAATCCACAAGTAGTAGGACAAATGGAGGAGGCAGGCTGTGAAGTTGCAAGCCATTCATGGAGATGGATAGATTACGATAGCCTCTCAGAAGAGGAAGAAAGAGAGCATGTCCGTAAAGCAATCGAAACGATTAAGAAAGCATCTCCAAACGCGAAACCTCCGATTGGATGGTATACAGGAAGACAAAGTCAGCGTACACGTAGAATCGTGTATGAGACATACAGGGAATTGGGCTTATTGGATCAATTGTACGATTCTGATGCGTACGATGAGGATCTTCCATATTACATTAAATCCCCCTCGCCAAGCTCTTCGCAACCATCTCCACCTCTCCTAGTGGTGCCATACACTCTGGACAATAACGACATGAAATTCGGTATTACGCCAGGCTTTTGCACTGCTGAACAATTTAGCTCGTATTGTCGTGATGCTTTAGACGTTTTAATCGAAGAAGGTCAAAGAGGTCAACCAAAGATGATGTCAATCGGATTGCATTGTCGTATAATCGGAAGGCCAGGAAGATTTAAGGGTTTGCAAGAGTTTGTAAATTATGTCAAAGAGCGTGAACAAGCTGGAGACGTTTGGGTAGCTACCCGTGAAGAGATCGCTCAACATTGGCGCAAGGTTCATCCTCCATCAGAATGAGGCTCATCTTAAATCACACATGTAATCACTCGCAAAGCACTTTCCATTATGCATTTTTGATATATTGTCTAGAGTACAGGATGATAAAGTATTGATACATTGTTAATATTGTCTGTTATAATCACGACTTTGTTGGTGACCACCACCGCCACCTCCTCTATCCCTTCCACCCGATCCTCGTTCCGTGCCTCCTCGATGACCTGGCATATTTGGATTAGGGCACATGTTTGCAAAATGTCCTACTTCTCCGCACTTGTAGCATGTCACCGTACTTAAATCACGCAAACGTCGAGGAGCATTTCCATCCTGATTGTTGCGTTGCATATTACCTCCTCCCATATTTCCGACGGTATTAGCTTGATAGCCTCCAGATGATTGATTCTGTGTGTAATCCTGTCTTTGTGGACGTGAGTAGCCACCTTCTTGCCCTCCTGCTTGACCTGCCATATTCCTTTGACCAAAGGCTTCTTCAGCGGTGAGAGGTTTATGAGTCAATACAGGTGAATTCGAGCGAGAAGCAGCAGACGGCGGGGTTGCTTTGATGTGACCCATCCGACAATCCGGTCCTCTTGGACAGAATCCTGCAATGTACAACGGACAAGCCGGCCTTCTGACATGCTTTTTATGACAAGCTGGACCTTTTGGACAAAATCCACGTTTGTAATTCTCGCATTCACGTATCTTTGCTTTTGCGTCCACATGCAGGTATAAGCATTCATCACCGCTATTGCAATAACCAAAAGTAGCGAAAAATCTGCATTCCGGCATCCTTCTCATATCGTATTCATGTAAATAGTCGCATTGATCTCCTCTTTTGCACAATCCCCTAAGCCAATGCTTACAGATCGTTCTTTTCCCTAAATCTCTCTTTTGATCGGGCGCCAAGAAGTTTTGCGGACCTGGTTGTTCATGTCTGAAAGGGCATCTGTTCCCAAGTGGACAGGGTTGATTTTCGTTACGGTTCTTTAAGTATTCCACATGTCTTGGACATAGCTGAGCGTCACTTGTAAGCTTAAGAGAACTGAATTGGGAATGCGTAGCAGTTGCTGTATTGGCCAAGTATGATTCAAATGCAAGGTTGTTATGATGATAATCGTTATACACCGCTTGTGCCGCTCTCGTTGTGGCAGGTGCCATTGCCTGAGCGGCCTGATCGGGTGTGATTGGCACAACAGATGCCATCTTGTCGATTATGAACCTAGTGGCGAGATCTGCAGATTCCAGAAGGATGGTTGTCGATGTCAGAGAATGAAGTATGACAGTACGCGTGCAATAAAGTTCCCCCGCGTTAAAATTTAGACTTTCGGAGATAAGATTTGAATTTTCTTCCTTCTGAACTCATCATCCCTCATTCAATCACATTGATGAACGAAAAGGGCAATGCAAAGGCAAATAAACAAAGAGACAAGGCCAAGCTCATATCTGCAGACGATGAGAATAGTCGAGCAATCGTTGCTATCTTGAATGAGGTACAAAATGGAACATTTCAGGATCAATGGATACCACTAGCACAAAGCACGGCAAATCATAGCATACATGCATGGTCAAAAGCAATAGAGCAACTGATCTATCATCCAGAGCAATCTTCTTCGACTATATTGAGAGCGGATATCTTGTCGGATGAAGAGGGAGTAGATTCATCTATAGGCCACCTAAGATGTAAGAGAAGGCTCGTTCGCAACATTCTTCCTCGGAGGCCAAATCTGGATAAGAATTTGGAGCAAGTCTGTGAGGTATACATGAATCGTCAAGGAAGCGAAGGAATAGCTACACTCACACCGATTCTACCAAGTGATAATGCGGATGAAGTTCCCTATTATCATCCAAAAGTACGCTCACTGGCATTTCATTTTTGCAAAGATAACGATGAGTCGGCTATCACAAGATTCTATATCGTTCCTTCAAGATTCTATATCGTTCCTTTTGAAGAGGAGCAAGCATTTAATGCTATCACATCACCTCAATCTAGACTCTCTCGAACAGCATTACTACTGCTGGATCTACAATCACGCCTTGCATTTGGGGTTGAGAACGGGTACAAAAAACGAGTGGAACACGATCTGATTGTGGATCGAAAAGACTATCAAGAGTTATACATGCAATTACGTGATAGACATGCATCATTTTTGATGGAAACATGGTGTGAGTCTACTGATCCTGGAAAACATGTCTTTGAAGATTTGGGAATCGTTACATTTATTATTCTTTTGTGGCGAACAATTTTTCCGCAAACAAATGGTAGACCACCTAATTTTGTCGATGTAGGATGCGGGAATGGTTTGCTGGTCTATCTCCTCGCAAAAGAGGGCTTTACGGGATTCGGCGTGGATGTACAAGCTAGGAAGAGCTGGGATCAGTATCGCAATTGTTGTAGCGAGGTTGACTTGCGTGTAGAATCAATTGACCCTCCGGCCATGTGTTCGGGAACAACTTCAAGTAATCTTTTCCCTGAAGGCAGCTTTTTGATTGGCAATCATGCAGACGAACTTACGAGTTGGTTACCGTTGATGGCTCATTGCACACCAAATTGTTCTGGTTTGGTCAATATACCTTGCTGTCGATTTGATTTGGACGGTACAATTTCAAGTCGATCAAAATACCCAATCGATGAGAAGGAGATAGAGGCGATTGTAGGTAAACAGAATCTTACCAAAACAATGCAAGAAATTCAAAGAGGACCTTTTGCAGAAGCAGACACAACTTCGCGAAATATCGCTTATTTGCGTTATATATCCCATCTGCATCTACAAGCAGGTTGGCAATTGGAAAAGGAGGCTCTTCGCATCCCAAGCACGAAGAACTGGGCATTCGTAGGAAGGAAGAGGATATGGCAGAACGGGGAAGATACTCTCAGTAAAGAGGATGTAGACGCGAATGTAGAATCAATAGCACAAAGATACGGCTCTCAATGGCATGCTCGGGTCTCGCCAACCAAATCCCAAGGAAATCACTAGCCACTCCACAAATATTTGCTTGAGATGGATTTTATAGATACATTTGTATTATAGTATACCATTCCGATCAATCAATTATGCTTCCAAATGTCCTTTACTCCAAGCACTCGTCTTTGATGCCATCCTGTTTGGGTGGAGTAAGAAATGTTAGTAAATTGTCAAAGCACACACACACTGTCACACCCTCGTACTCACTCTACTGCAGCAGACGCCCAATCTTCTCCATGGTTGTGCTTCTTTGCACTATTGCCCAAACCACACCTCTCTAAAGCTTGTTCTTCGGTAAGAGCGGTTAGAACACCAAGGATGACTGGAACACCTGTATCCAATCCCACACGCATCAAGCCATGACAGCATGATTCGGAGATATATTCAAAGTGCATCGTTGATCCTTTGATGAGGACACCAATCGAGATGACAGCATCAAAAGCTTTCTTGCTCGCAGTATTGCTTGAACCAGCACCATCTTTCGTGGTAAGATTGGAAGCCAAATCCGTCAAGCCACCCATCAAATCAGTAGAACCAGAAGAAGATTCTTGAACTTGAGAAGCACTAATGAATCTTGAAGTTGCAATAGGTAATTCCCAACTTCCCGGAACACTTTCGATTATTATATTTTCTTCTTTTACACCTGATTTCGTTAAATTTGAAACGCATCCTGAAACCAATGCATCAATACATTCTTTATTCCAACGTGCATGTACGATTCCGATTCGTAGTGAAGATGCATCAGGAATGCTTGTTGGAGCTGGTCTTGCACGTTTTTCGAGCATTGTTTTGTTGGGCAAATGGTGTGATGGAGCGGAGAATAGATCTGAACCCGATATTCCAACTTTCTTCTGATTCTCGATTGCAAGGCGAAATGGCAGTGCAACTCCGCGCCGACGCTTAGGCCATGACGCATCTTAAAGCTCCAAGCGCAAGTGAACCATTGAGAGGGCAGTTGGTAGGCTAGAGACTCTTTCTCTTCTATGATTCAATCAAGCATGCTGTCACTTCTCATAAGATCAAACCCACTCCCAGACACAAGGAAATACAGATGTGAATATGATACTATTTCTAGATTAAATCGAAAGCATATGAAAATAAGAGAAAAGAACAACACCCTTATGTCATTCATTTATTGCTCAGAAACAATGATACTGGCCATACCCATACCACTTCCAACGCACATACTTGTTGCACCAATTTGCTTGCCTTGACGTTTCAATTCAGGCAAAATTGTGGCAATTTGACGTGATCCAGTTGCACCCAATGGATGTCCGATTGCGATTGCACCACCGGATGGGTTAACCTTTGCTTGATCTAAACCGAGCTTCTCAACGGAATATAATGCTTGAGAGGCAAATGCTTCATTAATTTCCCAAACATCAACATCATTGGTTGAAAGACCAGAGATGTCCAAAACCTTGGGGATAGCGTATGCTGGTCCGATACCCATAACTTTGGGTGGGACACCAACAACGGCAGCTGTGACAAATTTACCCTTGATTGGCAAGCCCAACTTCTTGGCAACGCTACGGCGAGCGAGAAGCACGGCAGCAGCACCATCACTAACTTGAGATGCGTTACCGGCATGTGTGGTACCGTCTTTCTTGAATGCCGGCTTCAATTTAGCCAATGATTCAGCTGTAACACCATCACGGATACCGTCATCCTTGTCAACGGTACGTTCGTTTCCGTCAGTGTCGTTGTATTTGACTGTGACGATTTCGCTCTTGAATTTGCCTTCAGATTGAGCCTTGAAAGCACGTTGGTAAGATTGAGCAGCGAATGCGTCTTGCTTTGCACGGGTAACACCGTATTCTTCAGCAACATTTTCTGAAGTGATACCCATTGGTGCCAAACAATCGGCAGCTTCTTCGTTCTCCATGACGGCATCAGAGAAGCGTTCAGGCATAACACCTGCACCGTAGTTTTGGGTCATGCTTTCAACACCTGCACCAATACCGACATCAATTTGACCGGATTGAATTTCCATTGCGATTTGGTTGACAGATGCCAAACCGGAAGAGCATTGACGGTTCAAGGTGTTTACAGCGGCAGTGTTTGGGATGCCAGAGTAAAGTGCAGCCATACGTGCAACTGTTGCACCACCACCTGGTGGCAAAACGTTACCGACAGCAACATCTTCGATCAATTTGGGGTCAATCTTTGATTCTGCGATAACACCTTTGAAGACGGCAGCCAACATATCTTCAGGGCATGCTTCAGCCAAGCCACCCTTTTTGGCTTTTGTGACGGGTGTACGCAAAGCAGAGATGATGACGACTGCAAGTAGTGTGGGGGAGGAGGTTGAATACGGTCAGTAATCCTAGTAATGGCTATATTTATATAAATTGCACTACTCACCATCATCGTCATGCTTGCCCAAGATAGCTTGTTTTCCTTTTTGAACCATTTTGTGTTTTAATTGTGTACTTCACTAGAATGTAGTGGTGATGGTAGAAAGGTAAAAACAGTATTAATGAGAAGGACTAAAATAATCAATGTTCCCTCCCCCTCCTTTTTACGGTTTGCGGAACATGTGGGTCGCCGATACCGGGCAAAAGGCACTTTAACAGAGCCGCGTAAGCCAGTCCAAAAAAAGAATGAAAGCAATTGGCACTTGAGCCATACACAGTCTCAGTCTCTCTTTGCCAGTCTCACTTCTCCACTACTCTCCCGTTTCTTTTCACGCGCGCCGAATCATGGCTGGCTGAAAGCACAACAAGAAGAGTGCACACTGTATATGCGGGGCATTCTTCTCAACTTCTATTATCCTCTCTCAAGAATCGTTAACAATAAAGAATCATGAACGGGTCTTGGTCTGTATCCGGCCGAGATTATATCAGCTATGTTATATTGCGAATGTCTTGATAGTGTGTCTCTAAGGCATACACTACTGCAGAATATGCTGACTGAATGCACGATGCTTTGCGGGGACGATGCAAACATTAATCTCGAGGACTGTTTCGACCTAATATCTTCCTTGTTCATTCTTCTACAATATCTTTCGATTGTACCAAGTTACGAGTTATTCATTCCAAGTCGGATAGAGTCTTGGAAGGTCCTCATCTTCTTCTACATCTCTCGCGAGAGGTCCTAAAACTGTGACCCCAACTTAAATGACATCAACTCTATTCTGTGATAGAAACTATCAAATAGAAGAATCAACCAAATCATACAACTCTCTTGACGAATGGACTACCATATTCCAGTTTATATAATCATTCCAGTACAGGATAATCTTGAGCTAAAATTATACTTTTCTTTTAGAAGCGCGGCACTGCGCTAGTGAGTGTGAGTGTGTGCCTTGTATTTGATTCTACGCGGGGGTTGTTTCACTTAGAAGACTTTATTGCTGCATAGAATAATCGGAACTATAACAATCCAGAAATGAATTTTAACTTCATGAACGGATCTCTTCCAACTGCCTTTCACCATTCATCTTCTCGTCTTACCTCTACTTCCTTCTCTTCTTTCTTTCTCTTATTCACGCATCAACATACTCTCTCTACACTGGACAAAGTATCGGCGTAGATAAAACCATACACATTTACGCCTTTCATTGCGGGTTATTTTCATTTCCTCAAGCAAACGTTCCTTACGCCAACTATTTTCACGCAAGATTGTCTCGCAACAATCGGTTGGGTATTTCTCCTTCCATCTGCTCACGCCGTATCGCTATAAAGCAAATTCTTCTGAGTTGCGGCGTCATCTCTTTTTTGGCAACAATTTTTAATTCGCCTGCTGCTTACATTTAGCTCTCAAAAAAGAAAAATTATTGGTTAGGGTTGCCAACAAATCTTGCATTCATCGTACCTGATCGACTACGAACACAACTGCCAATACACTCTATCATCTGCCAAGAAAAGGCGTGCCAACTTTTGACGCCTTTTGGTTCTCTCTCTCGTATCGCTTACTAGAAACAAGGTACGAATCACAACCGTTCATCGTCAAAGCCACTGGAAAAGATTTTGACGTTTGTCTTTTTTCGTCAACTTTGACCTTTTTCGATCATCATTGGAGATATGAATGAAAACTTTCTCCTAAAAAATAGAGCTGATAGAGACAATAATCGATATGCACAACAATTTGACGATTTAATCGCTCCCAATTACTCGTGGGATGTCAGTATAGGCTCTTCTTCTTTATCTTCCGATCAAAGTCAGGCAGGCCTAAAAGAGAATAAGCAAAGGAAGAGAAAGCTATTCTCGTTTCAACGCAAAGATAGCATGGAGGAAAAAGAAGAAGGTCAGATGCAGGGAAGATCTAGAGGGGCTCCAGAAATGCAAATACGTGGAATGGATGACGAACAGGATGAGAGAATAGCGAACCATTTGATCGAAGCACTTCTCTCTCGTGTGAGATCCGTTGGAGAAGCACCAAACGCACCCGAAAGCGTTCATGATTCGACACGAAGGATGGGCAGGCGGAAAAGTCTGGCACCTCAATGGTCATTCAATCCATCGGCAGAATACGATTCAAGATTGAGCAAAAGGGCAAAAGATACACTCCTTGCCCGATCGCCTGCGCCTGCTTCGGTAGATCAAGCGATGAAAATTGTCAGCAGAGATGGAGGGATTGGTCCACAAGCACATATACAAAGTTCTGATTTGATGGACGTTTCTTTATCGATCGGAACAGCGGCTTTGGGAGGCTTAGCAGCCGATAATGGTTTACCGGTACGAGAGCCGTTTTCAGTATTTCTACCACCGCCATTTCGGATAGTGTTTCTAATCGCTTTGGGTTTACTCTGTTGGTCGGCAAATCTACGAGGATTGAGAAGACTTGGACTGGATGCTGAAAGTATGATGTCTTCTGAAACGAAAGTACGTGTTCTGCCTCATCATCGAGATCATGGAGAACAATTGTATCGTGCTCATGCCAACGTACCTGCTAGGGAAATGTCTCGATCAAATGCAAGTTCGGCTGCTTTGGTAGGTTCAGCAGATTCGGAATTAGCCGTCTTTTTTCGACATCCAGGTCCACAAGAAGCTGCTGCATTTCATTTAGGTCTTTCATGTTTCGTTTGGGCTTCAATATGTTGGGTGACTTATCGGGTGTATGCATTCAAGACGATTTTCTATGGTGGTGATCAAATAAATGGTATCTCGAACGCACGTGGACGACATGCTCAAGCTATTCAAGGTATTGCAGTTTTGGGTGTTCTAGCTGTTGCATTTTGGCCAGGAGATGTGATGTACAGACCGATGCGTAAAGCCTTTGGTAAGCAGATCTTAAGCATTTGCAAGCCTTCGTTTGTACAACGCATTCACTTCTCAAATGTTGTTCTGGCGGATATCTTGACTTCCTATGCAAGAGTGTTTGGAGAATTGTGGTTGACGATGTGTTTCTTATGGCCAAAGACAGATACACCGGCATGGTGGAATGGAAAAGGAAGTGTGGCTGTACCTCTATTGGTAAGCTTGCCTTACTTTATTCGATTTCGTCAATGTTTGAGTGAATACAACGTTTCCACGCCATCGACGAAAGATGGAAAGAGACCTTTGAAACCTCTGCTGAACGCTGCCAAATACGCAAGTGCTTTCCCTGTTATTTGGTTGAGTGTTTTGCAAGGTGCAAATATACCCGGTGATGGACATTTCTCAAGAGTGAATATGTTCTTCTATCTATGGATTGGATCAGTGTTTATCAATAGCTTTTATTCGTTTTGGTGGGATGTGACAAACGATTGGGGATTGGAAATGCTAAAATGGGAAACGTGGGCCAACACACCTTCGCTAGTCTTGCGTGGTGTTCATTCGATCCATCGAAGAAATACGTCTGCTATGCCTGCCTATCTATCAACAGCACGAAACAGACGAGCTTCCGATACATCGTCAACAACTGTGGTGAATGAGACTGGAAATGGAATACCGAATGGAGCACATGAAAGGATGTCACAACATTCTCATTCAAATGATACCTTGCGACCGGGAGATTCAGCATCAAATTACACATCTCATTCACGCAAAAAGAGTTACTTTTTGCGTCCTCCAGAGTACGTGATGCTTTTTCCGCCAATCGTTTATCAATTAGCCGTTACGAGTGATTTGATTTTGCGATTTGCATGGTCATTAAAACTTTCAAGTCATTTACATCATATCATCGAACTTGAATCGACTGCTTTTTACCTTGAAGCATTGGAAATTTTACGTAGATGGGGTTGGTCTTATTTGCGTATAGAATGGGAAGCATGCAAACGCAGAACATGGGAATCAGAAGGAAGTATGGAAAGTCTTACTTTGTCTACTTTACGTTCAGATTCTCATTTGCATCATCGAGATTAGGATTTTACACATGTAACATTATACTTTCGCTCATAATTTCTGCAAAATCGTAGGTCAGTCTGAATAAGGAATTTTACATGATTTATAAACTTTGATATGAGGGGGAAAAGGGGCATGTGGCGAAGCAGTGATGCATTTGAAAAAGAAGCCTTTGTTTTAACCGACCAAAGGAGCACGTTCTTCGTCTGTTGCACGAGCGCCGGTGATACGAGAAGAGCCAGACAATGCGGCAATCGTTGCACGTAAGACGGCGATCAAAGAGATGATAAAGAATGCCAAAGCAGAGTAGTGAATGAAATGGCCTGAACGTCCGATTGATTGACGTTGGAAGATTGCCAAAAGTGACAAACTGATCACTGCAGCACCGACAACGTCACCACGACCTGCGAAAACGTAAGCTGCTGCTGTACCTTCGAGCAAGAGTAAAGCGATAAAGACGAATGCTTTTGTGAATAAACCAGCCGGGTGAGAGCTTGCATCAACGCCAAAAGCGGCAAATCCTGCAACGAAAATGAGTACCACAGAGAATCCATGGAACAAGCTGAAAGGGATATGAACAAAGACTGTATCCAACAAAGTCTTTGGTGGGTGATGAATCTTGATTGATCGGTAAATGTGGCTCACAGTTGCACCAACAAATAAGATAGTAACGAATGCCAAGATGCTCAAGACGAAGCTGAATGTGTGATCATTGCTGCTTGAGTTTGAAAGACCACCATAAACTGCCGTCAAGATTGCCAACAAAGGGAAACGCCATCCAACGCCTTCGATGATGGTATGATAACCAATCTCGGTGAATTGATAGAACAATAAACCGATCAAAAGCGTATGGATGATACCCCAAGTACCATAAATCCATGGCTCAGGTGATAAGTAGGTGTAATGTTGTGGTTCAAAGAAAGGAGGTAAAGCTCCATAACTGTTTGCACCTGTGAAGAGCAAGAAAGTGACGATGTTGATCACTTTGAGCAAGAGGTTATCCTTCCAATGAGCCATTTTGCGTGAAGATGCTTGAGAGTTGATTTGTTTTCGAGTTTTAAGAGATGGTGGTATGATCGAGAACACCTTTTCAGGGCTCTTTTTAGAATTGTACCTTTTTCCCCCAGTTCTCGATCTGTACACCACCTTTTTCTTTTCAAAGCTGAGCAGCGAAATGCTAAAAAGGATGCAAGCTTTATACTGCTCAACTGCCTCCCGATCTGCATTTCTGTTTGACAAGCCTCATACGCATTTATACATGCATTTAAGCCTGTACATCAGACAGCATCCCATCAAGAAAAAGGAGTGGAGGCAGTACAACCCTAGGGACAACTTCTTCTTTTACCCCCAACGCGTCTGTGGTCGACATCCATATCTTAACAAGAATTGATATGGCGATGGCTGTACAGGTGATGCTGACCATTGGGACAAATATGATTACTGAAGTATAGAGATAGATCGTCGTCACGTATTTTCAACTCAAAAAGAAGCTGCAGCTGTCAACCTAGCTTCGGACAGATGTCTTGATGCGCAGGGCAAAAATAAAATAAAAAAGGAAGTGGTCTGAACCGGGATCGAACCGGTGACCTTTCGAGAACCTGCAATATCAGAAGATATTACACACTTCAATCGAATGTGACTCCCAACTACACCACCAGACCGCTTCTTGTAGAGCCCAAACTTTGAACACAATATAATCTAACGTTGAAAAACAGAGAGCTCTACGCATGCAAACTATTGCGCTTGTCTTCTGTTAGAGAGACTCTTTTGATGCCATCATTTAGAGTTGTTATTTTATACAAAGCTGATAGTCAGGCAAGGTCTATATCAATAGCTTCCAGTACTTATCAGTCGTAAGAATTGCATGTTTCCATAGTCGAAAAAAAAGAGCGGATAATCTTGACAAAAGGGGCACCCTGCACGGCAATTGATTTATGACAAGCGGGCGGCATTGAGAGTGATTTTGGAACAAACAAGCACTGGTTTGATTGCATTGAATGCATCCACCCTGAGTGTCTACTTTGAATCTCGTATGACTTTTTTATTCTGCATGCACAACAGCAGAGATGCACATCAAAAGAACAACTTTCAACGATCCGCTCTTTGCCTCTTCCCCCCCCCCCATTTTAGAAGCAATACACACTTGTAGTAATATACAAATTGCATTTCAACTGGTGGCGCACCCTTAAAAGTCCAAAAATCAGGCCAGATATGATCGACTAGCGTATAAATGCAAAAAGGGGCACAACATCAGCATAATCTTTACTCGATAGCGTAAAAGTGAAACTGCCGGCGTATGCATACTCGTTCCCATTCGGTAACTTTTTGTATTTTATTTAGCTTCCAATGACAAGCAAGGTCTGTCTGTTAAATGTTATTAATCCTTTGTTTTGTGAAAAAATGCAATCATGATTGAGTTTAATCATTCTTTCTTGTTTTGTCACCATCATCATCTCTCAAACAACTTGCTTCACTCCTACTGCTCATCATAGAAATAGATCGACAAATATGCCTTCCAATCCACTTCGCAGATATGCACATTATGCAAAAGGTGAAAATTGGGCATTGGTAACAGGAGCAACAAATGGAATGGGTGAAGAATTTGCACATCAATTAGCCGGATTAGGTTTCAATGTCATCGTACATGGACGTAATGAAACAAAGTTGACATCTGTCAAATCTGCAATCGAATCTAAGCATTCGGGAATACAAGTTCGTACAATCGCAGTAGATGCATCACAATTACCTCCAAAGGTATCAGAATTTAAAGCTTTATTTGAAGAATTGAACATCACCGTTCTGATCAATAATGTCGGAATCGTTTCTCAAAATTATCCTCTATTGGAAGAAGAGACCGAACAGGAAATCTTGGCTCAATTAACAACGAACAACGTATTCCCTACCTTGTTGGCTTCTGTGGCTCTACCGCACCTCAAACAGAGACAGCCTTCATTGATGATCAATATGTCCAGTTTGGGATCATGGGCTCCTGCACCTTAGTGAGTATAATGGTAAAAAATGCAAAAAAAGGAACATGAAACTGATTTATACATTCTTCTCCAAAAAAACAGCCTATCACCTTACAGTGGAGCAAAAGCATACAACATGTACTTCTCCAGAGCACTATACAACGAGATGGCATGCGAAAAGCAACAAGTTGACATCGTTTGTCTTGCTCCCGGACAAGTCGTAAGCGGAATGAACGAAGGTCCTCCAACAACGATGGTGAGTAGGCTCGCGGAGGAAGGGGACTGGTATTGATGTGTTTGCTAATCGTATTTCCCATCATTTTATTCTCTCAGATGCCATTAGCAGAAAAGTGGGTAGCCAAGGCATTATCGTCCGTTGCTCCCGGATTCTTCTCAAAACGACCTGCACCTGTGATCGTACCTTGGGGACCGCATGCATGGGGTGTCAGAGCGATGGAATGGATGACGAGAAGCATGTGCGATAATGCAGTAAAGGGTGTAACAGTTGATTTACGTAATAAGAAAAGATCTGAAAAAAGCGGAGAAAAAGTACAAACAACCTCAACAACAAAGACAAACGGAGACGCAAATGCATCAACACAACCACAAAAAGCTGATCAAACTGAAAGTGAAGGCACTGCAGCCCCAAGTGAAAATACGGCAGCCGATCATTCGTAAAGGGAGAGAATGTGTAGTGTCCCACAGGTCTCTTGTTTTGTTTTGCTTCAGATTATTCATACGATACCATCATTGTTACGATCGCAATGTCAATCACGTTTTCATGAAAGCCAGAGAGATAGAATGCATTGACAGAAGAAGAAAGACAGCATATATACAATTTGTATTGAATACAATCAATGAAGATCCACGGCTACACGATCAGACATATATTTACGAATGTTTGGCAAAAATGCAGCAGCAATTACGCATAAACCACCAACGGCAACACTTGCATACCAAACACCTTTGAGAGAATCATTCAAAGCCCATTGAGCGGCTAAGCCACCAGCTTGAAGGATTTGAAGGTTTACACCGGGAACTTTCAAGGCTGCTGCGCCTGTTGAATCACTTGCAAGTGCTTGTGCAAATGCAGGTACGTCGGCAGCCGGTAAGCCGGCTTGAACGGCAGCTGTTCCAACGTATTCGGGGAATTTTGTCTTGAAATTTGTGTTGAAGATGTTGTAGTAAATAGTTGTTCCTACTGAGCCTCCCAAAAATCTCACGGCAAGTGAAAGAGCGGCCGTTGTTCCAATATAAGCATCAGGGCAGGCATACAATGCAACAGTCAATGCTGGCACAATGACACCTCCGATTCCGAGTGATGCCAAAGTAGCAAAGACTGTTGAACGAGTAGGATTGAATGGAGTTGAAGAAGCCAAAGCACCTGCGAATGCGGTCATAAGAGCGGCCGAAACGACAAATAGAGCTCGAACATGACCGCGAGAATAAGAAAGTGCTGCACTAACAACACATGCTCCCACCAAGATTGCAAGTGGATAACCAACTCCACGAGCGCCTGTTAATTCAGGAGAAGCAGGCCAAAGGGAAGTTAACATCAAAGGGAAAAATCCTAAAACCGAATAAAATTCCATTCCTGCCAAAAAGACGACAATGTATGCGATCGCAACGACACGTTGACCTTTAAAAATTTCTGAAGGTACCATTGGATATTTTGGAACGGTAATTTCATAAATGACAAATGCCACGATTAAAATTGCACCAAGGATAAGTGGAACGAGAGCAGTTGCGCTCACCCATGGGACTTGATAACCACCATATTGCAAGCCTGTCAAGAACAAGGTAACACCGGCAATCGAAAGGAAAGCGCCACCATAATCGATCCTTTTGAAAATTTCACTTCGCGTAAGACCGTCAACATTATGACGTGGTGGAGGATGATAGGCTAAAAAGATACCAATCGTACCTACACCGTTCCAGATTGCTGCAATGCCCAAAGCCCAACGCCAAGTAGAATGGGCAACCAATTCACCTATATAAAGAATATAAGGGATGAACGGTAAAATCGAAAATGTTACGACGGCCAAACTTACTCCACGCCATCTGACAGGTGTGATTTCAGCGACACTGTGGGGGGTGTTAAACGCATTAGTGACTGGTACTTCTGTGTGAAATATCTTCTACTCACCCTGCTAAAGCTGTCAATTCGCAAATACCTGCACCCATTCCACCTATCGCTTGTGCAACTACGGATGATCCAAGTGATGTTGAAGTTGCTTGAACGATACTTGCGATGATTAAGAATACACTACCGGCACAAGCAATATAACGTCTACCCAAAAGATCCGTGATATAGCCTACAAATGGTACGATTGCCGTTACTGCCAATGTGTTTGCAGTGAGTAGCCAATTGGCAAAGTCTGAATGAATGCTACGTCCGATATATGTGAGCGTTCCACCGGTCATGTACAAAATTGCTTGAGCGCCAACATAAACGATACAAAGTGAAATGATTGCAATCACACGTGTAAACGTCCATGGAACGTCGGAAGCGTGTATTTCTTCTTCTTGTTGAACGACATTATGATCGCTTAAATTGTTTTCGCCTTTTTCTGGATTGCTTTCGACATCATGCTTTTCGGCGGAGTAGCGAGGACGATCTTCTGACATTGTTGAAATGGTGTTATAGAATTGAGTAGAGGGAGATTTAAGGTTGAATGGGTGACGATGTTTTCATCATTGCAACCTTTTTAAATCCAATCTCTCGCAATCGTATTTTTTTATCTTTTCAGGAACGGCTCCGTAGATAGATAGCAGCTAAATTGCATTGTTTTCAATTCATTGTCTCCGAATAGATCACGGAAAGGCAAAGTAGGACTGTATATTTACAAGTCCGGGGTAGATGTCTATCATTCATGCACAGGAACCTACATGAGCCGGTGATTATACTGGATTTATGCAGTTGGATGAATAAAAAGTGCGGGGTAGAGCGGCGGAGTTTGAATCTGTGGCGGGAAGCAAAAGATAGAAGGACGCGTGGGAAAGTGCACTCAACGGTTTACACAGTGATGATCTACTACACATAGAACACCGGTATTGTTCCTCGATCACAATGAAAAGAAGCCGTTGAACTAAGAACAACATGCAAGTGGCCCGATCATATTAGTTTCAATTAATTTGTCTGTCTCCGACCTCAACGGCATTTGAGTGGGAATCCCCAACAACCAATCATAAGAAATAATTCGACAAAGCCCCCTCTAAAGCCACGTTCCTGACAATTGATTCGCTGCCGTGATCGACTACGCTTTGCTTTTATTAAAATAAAGACGAATAATTCCGTTTACAGAACTTTGACAGTCTACCTCGTACTCTGATCGGATTATACACCTTAATCTTGGCAGGTATTGAATTGTAATCGAATGCAGGAACAAAATCTAAATCCGGAAAGATCTGAACCGGTAAATTTGATTGACAAAAACGGACGAGTCCATTGCTGATGGTATAAGTATTGCCAATGCTTCCGTTGCCGAAATGGAATGAGCAAATACCTCAATTTTATACTCAGCGTATTTCTCAAAAATTAAAAATTGGAGTATTTTTTAGCCATTAATGTAACTGCTCTTTTTCGATAAAAGGGAATGGACTTCCCAGTACTTTGTCACAAAAGCTGTTTTCTGCGGATCGAATTGATTAACAGTATCCTCATAACACAATGCTAATTTTGATAAAAAAGAAATGGCTATATGACTACAAATGTATCGAAAATATTATTTTACCTTGTTTACCCCTTGGTACCGTGATCGGTCTATTATCTGTAAAGCCACGAGCTTGACAGGTATATTTGAGTATTTATAGATGATGACGAGCTTAACAACTTTCTTCATCATTTCAGCACATATCTGATTTGCTTACGTATGTTGAGCTGAAGGCTGGTATGTCATCGCCATGAGAAGCATTTTATCTGAGAGCACGTGAATGTTTTGCAATTTCTGACTTGATGTGTCACAGCTGACTCACACTTATGCACTTTGCCGTAAGACCGCGGATTTTCTGGAAGCACGACCGGCCAAGTCTCGCGTTGCGCTGCGCTGTATTGCTGCAACACTTCTTGTCCGTGAGAGAAAGTGCGGCGTAAACTTTTAGCGCCAATAATCACCTGCACCCTGAGGGTGTGTGCAAATATGCTGAATGTACAATAGGGTCGACCATATGGTAAAGAAGGTTATTGACTTCTGTGACTCGAAGGGAAGAAAAGGTTTATTTAAGAAAATCACCATCACCATATACCCCAATCGACTATCCACACCACTTCCAATCGATTGCATCACAAGTGGTCGTTATCGGCAAAGAGGGTAGTGTGCAAGTCATGTTTGCGTTCTTTCCGGCATTCAGCTGGCTAGAAATACGTGCATGCCATGGACCAATATGGCAAGGTGAAGATCTATCAGAATGCTTTCGAGAAGTGTATTTGAATAAATTGATTCCACTATTGGCAATAACGATATCTACTCTGATTCTAGTCGCACATTGGACATCAAGAAGGAGGAGGAAAGCTTCTTCTGCTAGGCGAATCGCTCAATTGAATCCAGAAGCGTCAAATATACGACTTGACGATGTGCAGTCCAGTAATGAATCAAGATCGGCAGGACGTAGCACTCTGTCCAAAATCTTGACTACAATAATGCCTTTAAATGGATCAAGATTGGCTGATAGGATACAAGGAGTCTCACGTCCAAAAAGACGAACGACTGGCTTAAATCGGTATACTGAACCTGCCGGTTCCTCAACAAATACAGAACGACCTGGTGATCCTAATTCGACAGCATCTACACAAGTCTTCCGCACAGAGAATGCAGTAATCTTCAATGAAGTTCATCGTGTCTTGCGTCAAAATTTACGTGAGAATACAGGTCGAAACCTGCTCTCAAGCGAAGCTATTGAAAAGTTTAAGAGATCTTGGGAGCTTTTAGGGTCTCTGGCTGCTTTGGCTGTTGCTATTGCAAGCTTCGTGCTCACGAAAGAGCGTGCAAGTTGGATCATTTTGTGGACTTTCTTGAGCTTGTTGAGCTTGTTCACTGTGGTTCGTCGTAATTCATTGTTCAAACACAAGGTTTTCCTCTTCTCTGTTGCGTTCATTATCGCAGCATGGGAGCTTCGTTCATCTTTGATCAATCACAATGCAAGACGATTAGACATCATACTATCAGCGGTCTACACAGCTGCATGCGGATTCGCTTTGATTCCATCATTGACATTTCCAGTTCAAGCACGTTTACCTTTGCAATTGCGTGCTATTCAAGAAACAACACAAGCAGATCCTCTCATTGCTGAGGCAAGAACAGCAATTCCAACGCCACGTCGTGGTGGCTCTCCGAGAGAATCGATAGGAGGTCTTCAAGCCGCTTTAGAACAAGCAAATGCAGATCAAGCCAAAGAGATCCAACCTCTACTTCCGGCACCAGAATCTCGCGCATCGCTCTTATCAAAAGCATTCTTTGAATTCTTGACGCCTGCAATGTTGAAGCATTACAAAGTTCAATTCACACTCGATGCTGTTCCTGATGTTCCTCCTGGAAGTCACGCAGCTTCTGTCGTGGCTGCATATAGATCGCAAAACGATACAAAGGCACGCAATTTGGAGCAGAGTACAGGACGGGAAAATGAAACAGGCGATGATAGCATAGAAGAAGATACCCCTTTACTACCAAGCGAAGATGGAAGACAGGCTGGCTTGCCTCACTCTAGAGCATCTCTTACGATCAGACTCGTGCGTCACTTTGCTCCATTGGTAGCTGCTCAAATGGTTTGGGCCGCAATACAAGGCTTTGCCTCTTTAACAGCGCCTTTGGCGATCAAATTAATCCTAAGCTACATAGCAGAGAGGTCGCATGGAAAACATTCTACGCCTCTCCATATGGCTGTCTTGTATGCAGTCTTTTTGCTTATAGGAGGATTGATTGAGACTGTCTCAGCATCTCAAGGTCTTTTCATTGGTCGTCGTTTATGCATTCGTGCTCGTGCGATTCTTATATTTGAGATCGTCAACAAAAGTTTACGAAGACGCGATACAGGAGGAGGAGCAGCAAAGGAGGATAAGGATGAGAAGAAAGACGATGGAAAAGCAAAGGGTACCGATGCAGAGGAGAAAGAAGATGATGAAAGCAAAAGAACTTCAGATGGTGAAGTAACAAATCTGGTGGCGGTTGACGTATTCCGGGTTTCTGAAATTGGAGCTTATATCCATTTCATCTTTCCCTTGTCTCCAATTCAAATCGTTCTTTGCGTAGCTTTCTTGCTTCAATTGTTAGGTCTTTCTGCTCTAGTTGGAATTGCAGCCATCGTCATTGCAATCCCTCTGCAAATCGCTGCCGCCAAGTATTTCACCAAAAAGCAAGCAAAGATGTTGAAAGCAATTGATGAACGTTTGAATTTGGCAAACGAGGTGTTGACTTGCATCAAAACAGTCAAATTCTTTGCATGGGAAAAGCCATTTGAGAAGCGAATGGGTGAAACACGAGAGAAGGAGTTGAAAGCACTGCGGGAACGCTTTATTGCTGGACTTCTGAGTTATTTGCTCTACCTATCTCTGCCTACGGTTGTCACAATGATCACTTTTACAGTTCACACTTTGGTTCTCAAGCGTCCATTACCTGCCGAAACTGCCTTTACTGCTTTGGCTTTGTTCAATTCTTTGAGAAATCCGCTCGATGCTTTGCCCGATATGTTGGTCAATGTTCTCTCAGCAGTCGTCTCCTTAAAGCGCATTGACAAATTCTTGCGCGAAGAAGAAACATCAAAATACGATCAACTGCTTCCAAGCAACAACGACTCAGCTCTCGTCACAAACCCAACTGCCCCCCTCGGATTCTATAAGGCAACCTTCACATATAGCGAGGAAGATGAAAAAATTGCCGACGGAAGCGCATTCTGTCTTCGCGACATAGACATTCGTTTTCCTCGTGGTGAATTGACAATTCTTGCTGGACCGGTTGGAAGCGGTAAGACAACTGTCTTGCTCAGTCTCTTAGGTGAAACGAGACGTTTGTCCGGTCGTACTTTTATGCCTTGTGCGATCGCACGTACACTCGTGCCCATCGATCCTAATACTGGTCTCTCAGAAACGGTTGCTTATTGCCCACAAAGTCCTTGGCTTCTGGGTGCAACAGTCAAGGAAAACATCTTGTTTGGACAACCATACGATGAAAGGAGGTATAGATCAGTGATCAAGGCATGTGCTTTGGAACCAGACTTGGAGATTTTGGAGTACAACGATGAGACAGAAGTAGGCGAAAAGGGTACAGCTTTATCCGGTGGACAAAAAGCTCGAGTTGCTCTAGCCCGCGCAATCTATTCACCTGCTCGTTATGTTTTGTTGGACGATGTTTTGAGCGCAGTGGATAATCATACAGCCAAACATCTTTATCGACATTGCTTGAAAGGTGCATTGATGAAGGGTAGAACGGTCATCATGGTGACACACTCTGTAGCCCTTTGTCTACCCGGAGCAGCTCTTGCTGTTGCTTTGAAAGATGGTAGAGTACTTGCTTCCGGTACAGGAGCAGAGATGCAGCTAAGAGGCGTCTTTGATCAGGATGGCGGGAAATCAGGAACTCAAACACCACAACGCAGCACATCAGGAGCCCAAGCGAAGCAAGAAGCAGCAGAAGCGGCAGAGGAAGGACAGACGCTCACTGTTGAAGATCTCACAGAAGAGGCTAGAGCATCACAAGAAGCTGATAAGAAAGCCAAACAAGAGAAGAAAGCGCTTCATGCCAATATCGAAACATACGGTAAAGGGAGCGTTGGATTCAAAGCATACAAGTTATACGTCTATAATTTTGCTACGACAATGTCAGGATTGATCTTCTTTTGGATCATTTACATCTTCTTTTTCGCTTCCAGTCGAATTACAGATGTGGTAAATGCTAATTGGCTGCGTCAATGGGCATCAACATACGAAGAATCAGCCAAGAACTTCTTCACTATGGATTCATCAGAAGAGAGAACACGCTACTTCCTCACGATTTACGCCATCTTGGCAATGACGTACGTATTTTGCAGTATCGCAAGAGATGGTGTGGCAGTGTATGGTTCTTTACGGGCTTCACGTTTGATCTATGAGAAGCTCTTGCGTACGATCGTTCATGCAAAGCCACAGTGGTTCGACCGTACACCTTTAGGTCGTATTATGAACAGATTGAGCAAAGATGTCGAAACGATTGATCAAGATATTACGATGTCATTAATCTTCTTCATTGACGTTTGTTTGCAGAGTATTGCAATTTTGCTCGTCGCTTGCTTCTCACTACCAATCTTCACCATCTTGGCAGTGGTGATCATCATCCTCTATTGGATCGTTGGTGCACTTTATATTGCCTCTTCTCGTGATCTGAAACGGTTGGAAAGTGTGACAAGATCGCCAATCTTCACCCTTGTGGGAGAAGTATTGACGGGAGCAGTCGTCATTCGTGCTTATGGAGACGCAAGTAGATTCACCCGACATTGTTTACGTTTGATCGATAAGACAAATAGGCCATTCTACTTTTTGTGGGGTGAAAATCGATGGTTATCGATCCGAATGGACGTTTTAGCGCTCATCACTTCATTCTCGGTTGCAATCTTTATGGTGCTGGACAAAGAAATTGATGCACCTTTAGCCGGTTTCACACTTTCTTTCAGTATCCAATTGGTCAATGCTGTTCTCTGGGTTATGCGTATGTATACCCAAGTGGAAATCAATGCGAACAGTCTCGAAAGAGTTGGAGAATACCTAGCCGTTGAATCTGAACGATTTGGTCAAGGTGAAAAACCAGATGAGGCTTGGCCATCAAGAAAAGGAGCGATTGAAGTGGAAGACTTGTCGGTACGTTATTCATCCGAGCTACCTCTTGTTCTGAAGAACGTCTCTTTCCGTATCGAAGCTGGCGAAAAAGTGGGCATTTGTGGAAGAACTGGAAGTGGAAAGAGTAGTCTGGCTTTGGCGCTTTTCCGATTCTTGGAAGCGGAAACTGGTCGAATCGTCGTGGACGGTAAAGATTTGAGCAATGTGGCTTTGGAAGAAATTCGTAAAAGATTAACAATCATTCCGCAAGAAGCACAATTGTTCTCTGGTACCGTTCGCTTTAATTTGGATCCTTTTGGCAATTTCGATGATGAAGCTTTATGGGATGCATTAAAACGGTGCAAGTTGGCTAAACCTCGATTCAGCGGATCAAGTACGCCAATCAAAGGAAGAACAAATGAAGAAACAGAGACAACAGTACCTGCTCTAAATTTTGCATCAGAGGAGCTAAATGATACCAACAATAACGAATCGCCTTCCTCTCCTAATGATGATCCAAACGATAAAACGAATGATGTCATCACTTCTCTTGATATGCCGGTGGAACAAGGAGGAAAGAACTTCTCAGCTGGACAACGTCAATTATTAGCTCTAGCTCGCGGGTTGTTGAAATTGAGCAATAGCAATATCGTTTTATTAGATGAAAGTACGGCAAGTTTAGATGCAACAAGTGATGCCGCCGTTCAACGTACTATTCGACAAGAAATGCAAGATGCAACTCTTTTGGTGGTAGCACATAGAATTCGCGGAATCGTTTCGTTTGATAAAGTTTTGGTTCTTGATGCCGGAAAGATGATCGAATTCGATAAGCCAAGCAAATTATTACGTACTACAGGAAGTGCATTTAGAGATTTATGCTTACGAAGTGGCGAATTTGATCTGTTGGTGGAGATGGCAGATGAAGCCGATCGTGAAAGGGCAAAGAATGTTTAGAAACGACAAATCAAGTTTATGTATGTACATTATTGCTTATTGCTTCATAGAGAATGATGTATACAATATAATGGCCTTTTCATGAAGAGGAGTAACCCTAGCACAGCATAGAGTAATGGTTTACATAAAAACGCAACTTGTGCTGAAGTGATGAAGGACACAAATTCTAATTCCTTGATGTCGGTGAAGATCGGTAAGTCAAAAGCGGTTTCGAGAAATGCCGTGAAATGCAGTGTTGAATAGCAAATCTGTACAGCGTTACACTGAGCTGTACTATATTAAGAGCTATCCTTACCATAGAACAAGATAGCCGAACTCACATCAATGAAGCTGTGTTGAATGATACTTGCGTAATCATACGAATTCGTAATATTACAAGATAGACACCATTGGAGGCCACCGCTAAGTTGAAGAAAGATGTCATGCCTGTAGAAGTGCGCGTGTAAGTGAGAGAGTGTTACATTACATGCACGATTGAAATTTAGGGCGTGGAGAGATGAACACGCCTGTTACATTGTACGCCACTGAAACAGGTACTAGAACAGTCTTCTCTGTGTGTGTGTGTTGGTCTAAGGGAGAACCAAACACTTGATTACCTCTTCTCTCTCTCTAACAATCATCAGCAAGAGGATGCAATGAATCCTCGTAGAACGGCAGCTGATGCCCTTTATGGAGGATTAAAGCAAGATAAGAATGGCAACAAAGTAGAAGGACAACAAGACACACAAGAAGATACAATTCCCGCCCCATTCTTACGTGCATTGCATGATCATCTTCGATCATCATTGTTCAATCGAACATGCGCAGATATTCGAATTCGTGCTTTCAGTCGTACTTATTCGCTACACAGAGTCATCCTAGTACAATCACCATTCTTTGATACACTTTTAAATGGAGAATTTGCAGAGGCAAAATCACGCTTGGGTGTTTGGAGAAAAGGCTCAGCTGGTTTGGTTGGTCAAAATTCACAACAAGATGCATCGCAGAGTGTTACCGAGAATGAAGATGATATGATGGAATTGCACTTTGACGATCCTAACATCACAAGACCTGCTTTTGAGTATTGCATTGCAACATTGTATGGAGCTGCACCAACGCTCGTCTTGCCGGATTGGGCCACTCCTTCCCCGGCTTTTCCACTAACGAAACATTTTGAGCCTGAACGTCTCTTTCAATCTATGGAAGGCAAGGAAAATACACAAAAAGGCAAGACAGATGGATCGACCGAACTAGACGGCGAAAGTACAAAAGCCTATCATCCGGCCAATCCGCGCTTTCTGCTATCTCTTTTAGCAGCATCATCTTATCTCGGTATACATTCACTCGTCGCTCAATCAGTCACATTGATCTTGTGCTCCATCACACCGTTCACAGTCTCACACTATCTGCGATTCGCACTCGGGTATGGTATTTCAGGAGCATTTGATGCGAAACAAAGATGTCAAGGGAACGCCAGCGAATGGGACTGGGAGCTTGAAGGACCGGTTTGGGGAATGGAAAGCATAGCAAAGGAAGATAAACTGGATAAAGGAACCAATACCCTGTCATTCAGTATGGCTCAGATGTCCATGTCTGATGCTCAGACGGAAATTTCAGAAAGTGTAGATTATGGAGATACTTCATTCGATTCTACTTCAAGACCGGCTATGGCAGGCTTTCAATACGGCATAGAAACAGACAAAATTGGAGAGGCATGCTCTTGCTGGCTCCTCAGATGGGGTGCTGACACAATGCTTGCCGAAGAACAACTCAATCTGCAAGACGAGAGTAAAGGGATGGATCATTTGAATGCTGTGCCGCTTTTGCCGAATGGAAGGATGCCCGATTTGTTCTATGAAAGATCTGCCAACTCTTATTCTCGTGTTCAGTCGGCTTGCGATCCTCCTCAGCCTATTATATGGCGACATCCACTCCTCGGCGGATTGCCTGCCAACTGGGTTCGTGCCACTATTTCGAGTGATAGCTTCTGGATTCGGGAAGAGTGGGAACGATATGAAGCTGCAAAACGTGTGGTCTCTATGCGAAGAGCTTTCTCCCGTGGCGATTTGTCTACCTTTACAGATGAGGAAGAAGAAGAGGAGATTGAAGAGGAAGGTAATGACAGCAATGAGGATGATGCCAACATCAAAATCATTGGAGAAACTGAAGTCGAGACGAAAGGGGACAAGAGGAACTCCCAACGTTCTTCCAGAAAAGGTAAAAGCTCCGATGTAAGCCAAAGTCACAGTGCTGTTGATGTCGATGATGAAGCAGATGAGGTGGAGTACACATTACTGTTTGGCGAAGGCATCTACTATACGCATATGTCCTTCAATCGTTTATCAAGCATATCAAACGACCTTTGCCCGTATACTGGACAGTCTTATGCACCAATTGGCGTATTGCAAAGCGCACTTTGGACACAATCTGAGCTCAAAAATATCATTTTACGCAAGGCAGGAGAGAATGAAAAGCAAAACCTGATTGATTTTCGCACGAGAGAAGACGAAGATGAAGAGGATATTCGAGTGGCAAGAGAAAATTATTCTACTACCGCTAGAGGCGCACAAGAAACGGATTCCGACCGAGAATTGGGTCTGGTCAGCCATGAAGATGAATTTGCAAAAGCATATTCTACCTCAACGAAGCGTGGTCGTACAAGTCGTGCACATATGAGTGAAGAGGGCAAGCCGATAACATTGGGAGGTGTTACACCGCTCATGCAACCTTTGATGCCTTCTCCATCTTCTATCAATTCTGCTGCCGATGGTCTACTCAGTAAGCGCTTCTTTGCTATCCCTGTGGACGATACGATTCGAGTTGGAGAAAATCTGGCATCACTTGCCGCTAGCCAGAATCAATCAGCTTCCTCGAGGGATAGCAAACATCAAGCACAGTTGCATCGTGGCTCTGACGGCCCTACAGGTGTAGCAGCAGCAGTCAGTCCAAATGTGTTGTCGATTGCAAACGAAAGCAAATCATACACATCTTCCCAGTTCTTTGGCATGTGCAATGCAGTACAACTAGGAAAGGATTTGGGCAAACAAGGTATGAAGGATTCCACATTGTTCTCTGAAAGCATCAGCAGTCCTACGTCATTACACTTGCAAGCCTCGCATGCTGAGACAAGCCCTTCCACAGAAAGCTCTCACGGCTGGACTGGCTTTGAACCAATGCGTGTTGGCGTAGAGTTTTATGACGTTGATCGATTGACCGAAAAACAGAGATCGTACAGTCCAAGTTTCTTTTATGCAGGCAGCGTTTGGAATTTGTACATTCAAACGGTCAAAAAAGCAAAAGGACTTCAACTTGGCATATATTTGCATCGTCAAAACAATAATGATACATTGCCCAGTCCAAGTAGACCATTGAGATCCCTGCCGACTTCGAGAATGATCGGCAGAGATGGAAGTGAGATGGGCGGGCTGCAAGCTGCACGAGATGGTATCACGTATGAGAGGAGTGCTCATAGCAATAATGTCACTTCTGTAATCGACTTGAGTCCTACGCACGATGATCCGGACATGCAAGACACTTCAACGTATATCCACGATTCGCATCATCCATTGCACAATATTGACGGAGATAGCAACGCTCATCTTCGAACGCCCACGCAATCGCGTTCGCATCTGCGATCTTCGATTGCAGGGGCTTATTCTCTGACTCCCTCACCTTCTGGCTTAGGTGATGAAACGGGCAGGGTTGTCGAGACTTCAAGTCCGATCAACAAGGCACAAGTACAAATGCCAGATGTTCCCTATCTCGATCAAAGAAAGATCTTGCGAGCTTACTTTTCTATTCATTGTCCTTCCCCTATGGGTTCAAGTCTGACAAAATTCAGTTCAAGGCCAGACAATTTTACCTTGAGTCAAAGCTGGGGATGGAAGAGTAGCTCTTTGCTAGGAGCAGTATACCTGGAAGACGGTCAATTGGGCACCGCTCGGAGTCAAATTTCCCAAACGTTCAGATGCATCGTTACCATGGGAATCGTTTGAATCATCTAGTCACTTTTTGCTCATAAGTTCAATACCTCATTTGTACCATATATCAATTTATCATTCAATTCTTTTGTCATTATGATACAGTGTGAGATCAATCAGTCGTCGCCGATCGAGTCGACCATCTCTTTGAATTGTTCAACAAGTGCTGCTTCCTTCTTTTGCTTTTCCTCAGCGATTAATTTGAGCATGCTCCTTTGCTCTTCCGCCGTATAGACTTGATTCTCTTTACGCATTCGAACTGCGTTCATACGGTTGTGCCGGCTGCCGCTCATGACGAAACCTGCTTTCTCATATGCTTCAATTTGGTCGCTTGAAAGGCCAATCTCACCACGACGTGGAATTCGTTTGCCCTCTTGTACGAAATTCGCCATGGCTGAGCCTTCTCCCGGCAGTAATGCTCCGCCATAAGCCCTTGCATTTAATGTCTCGATACTTGGATTATCTGCTTCCGCAGCTTGTGGTAGTTGAGGTCCAATCTTTCTACTAGAGCTTTGAACTGCATCAGGCTCAGCAGTGCTTTTTGCTGTATTTGCGTCAGAAGAAGCTGGATTTTTGCCCTTTTCTGAAACGTGTGCCTCAGGAGCAGGTTCTTTTTCTGTTCTCCTACTTTCTGATCTGTGATGGCGGCTTCTATGGCGATCTTCATCTGAATAATCTCGCTCTCTTCTGCGTTCTTTCTCCTTCCGCCTTCTTCTCTGTCTCTCGTATTCATCTTCGGAATTGTCATCGTACTTTCGACGTCCGGAAGGCGAGGAAGATCTATGTCGTGAACTGCGATCGCGCTCTGATTCTTTTCTCTTATGCCTTCTGCGCCCTTCTCTCTCTTCTTCGCTATCTGAATAGTCGTCCCTATGTCTCGAAGAATGATGTGATCGTCTTTTCGAATGTTTATGAGATGATTCTTTGTGTCTTGAGGATGATTTCTTTCGGCTTTTCTCATCCTCCTCTTCTTTTTCACGATATGGGGATGTAGGTGATGGAGGCCAAATGGACACTGTAGAAGCCTTTCTTTGCTCTTGTCGACTTTGTAAGAAGCTATCGCCTGTCATTGCCCTATCTTGATATTGACCACGTTCGCGTCTTCCCCAAGCACCTGGAGGAGGAGCCCCATTCCGATCGTTGCTGTTGTCATATCGTCGGTCCTCGTAATATCTTTGTCGATTTCCATGTGATCTGTATTCTTCATCGTTGTTAAAATTCGAATCGAATGGTTGATATGATGGAGAAGCACGCCCTTGATCATTTCGGTCACCTTGTCTATCAGTCTGTCTTGAGCCACCAGCTTGATTCCCCCTTGATTCATACAATCGCTGCCTCAAATCTTTTTCTCGATCATCGTTTGCTCTATCGGATGAATCTGATTGTGGAACAAGTCCTGATCTACTAGGATGAACGGATGCCATCCCTGACAATATGATGATAGGGAAAAAGCAAGATTTAAACCTAAAATTATAAAAAGGTGTCGGCGTGGAGGCTTTTTACACGCGTGAAATTGCTTCTGGGCTGAGCATTTTGGCGGCGCATGCACTGAATATGCGGCCTGCCTGCCTGTTTGGCACTGTGACAGCTAGAGAAGAACATTCAAACACGACACCATTTCTTCTCTACCATCTCGCCTTCATTCATTGCCAGTTTCAAAATGTCTACAGCCGTAGTACAGGATGCACTACCACCAACAGTGCAAAACATTCTAGATCAAAAGACACTCAAATGGATCTTTTGCGGTGGAAAAGGTGGTGTCGGTAAAACCACAACTTCATGCTCTTTGGCCGTTCAAATGTCTAAAGTACGTGAAAGTGTTCTGTTGATTAGTACGGATCCTGCACACAATCTCAGTGATGCATTTGGACAAAAGTTTGGAAAGGAGGCAACAAAGGTGAACGGATTTGATAATCTAAGTGCAATGGAAATCGATCCAACGAGTAGTATACAAGAAATGATTGAACAATCCGATGCACAAGGTGGGGGAAACGCAATGTCTTCTATGATGCAAGACTTGGCTTTCGCTATTCCTGGTGTAGATGAAGCAATGGGATTCGCAGAAATTATGAAGCATGTCAAGAGTATGCAGTATAGCGTCATCATCTTCGATACAGCACCTACAGGTCACACTTTACGTTTCTTGAGCTTCCCTACTGTGTTGGAGAAAGCATTGGCGAAATTCTCCACTCTAGGAAGAAGTTTCGCACCGATGTTGAATCAGATGACAAGTATGATGGGAGGTCAAAATAATCAAGAAGACATGTTTGCAAAGCTGGAATCGATGCGTGAGGTTATTAATGAAGTTAATACCCAATTCAAGGATCCCGAAAAGACTACATTCGTTTGTGTCTGCATTGCGGAATTCTTGTCTCTTTATGAGACTGAACGACTTATTCAAGAATTGACACAGTACGAGATTGATACTCATGTCATCGTATGCAATCAGCTACTGTTCCCTAAGAAAGGTGAGTCTGCAGCCAGAAGTACCCTCTGATGCCCGTTACTGACAATCTTCTTCTTTCCAGATTCCAATTGCGAGCATTGCCGAGTGCGAAAAGCTATGCAAAGCAAGTATGTAGGAGAAATGATGGAATTATACGCAGAAGATTTCCATATCGTAAGATGTCCTTTGCTGACAGAAGAAGTGCGGGGAGTGGAGAAGATTCAAAATTTCTCTAAATTCCTTGTGGAACCATACTCTCCGCCTAGCCAATGAAAAGGACGCCAAAAAGAAAGATTGATTTTGTAGACGCCATATCTGTAATGCTTTCTTTTGCAAATGGCATTCATAGTGACTAATGTATACTTTTACTTGATAACCCATTGAGACCTTCATGATATAGAATCAATAATTTTCTGACTATCACAATGTTTTGTAACCCACAATGATGGAAACGGAAAACGGGTATAGACGCCAGAGTATCGCGCTTATCCGCTTAGAGATTGAATAAATTATTAAACAATCAATAAGTGTGCGCGGTAGAGTAGCGTGTGTGTAGTAGTGTAAGCTCCACTGTCCCTTTTCTTGTGTTACACAAATCAGTTCAAAGGGTTTTCACGTAGTTCACCATCATCACAACAATCATTCGACATTTCTACTCACAGTATTGGAAGATATGTCGGAAGCAGGATATGGGATTGATGACGTTCTTGGTAGTGTAGGCATGGACGATCAAAATTCATTACCTTCAACTATACACTTTTTAAGACAAGCACAACTTGATCCACGATCGACAAACTACGCTGTAACAGGAGGTGTAATTTCACAATTGTACAGATCACTATGGACAGCAATATTTACAAACATTACGCCTGCCCATCTATTGCCAAGAGAGGTGGCACCAACGATGATGCATGCAATGGTATTCTTGGAAAGGTGTAATTGGAATTTATGTGCAGCACAAAAACGTGCTTCATTAGAAATAAACGAGCAAAGGAGAGAACGTTTAGGCGGCGTAACTTCAGCTTCATTCTCCAATTCTTCTTTGAGCTCAAACACAAATAATTCATCTTCACCGCTTAATGCATCGCCTTTGATCACTCCCGGCGGCGCAAAGGGTAAATTTGTTCCTCCCAGATCGGCCACCCCACCGCCGGGTTTGTCATCAGAAGAAGTGATGGGAGCGGAATACGGAGAAGACCGTAAAGGGATGCCTTGTGGACATGTATTCAAGAAAGGTGAAGCCATTTATCGATGCCGAGATTGTGCTTTGGATGATACGTGTGTTTTATGTGCGCCTTGCTTCAACGCTTCGAATCATGAAGGTCACGATATCGTCTTCAGCGTGAGCAATTCTAGTGGAGGCTGTTGTGATTGCGGAGATGAAGAAGCTTGGACAAAGAGAATTTGCTGTCGCTATCATGATGCAGGCGAGGCTCACTCCTCAAAGTATTATGAAGCAGGACCAAGTCAAGAGAACGAAGCAAGCCATGATACGATGATGGACGAGGACTTCTCAATGCAGAACAAAAGAGATCCTGACTCGTATGATATCAAAGGAAAAGGCCCCGAGAGAAGGTCAGGCACCACATCCGACTACATTGATCAGATTGAAAGTCTTTTGACAAACGTACCGCAAGACGCAAAGACGGGCTTCCTGCGACAAGTTTCTTCTATGATCGCTTTCATTCTCGATACAATGGAACATGCACCAGCGGAGATGAAGCTTCCAGAGGGTCCTGATGCTATAGAGATCATCAAGAGACAAAAGACGCTTGAGCCTCCAGAGCCTGAAGATGAGGATTTGGACTATATGCCAGGACCGGGAGCATACTCTTTCGATTCCAATCAAAACAAATTGTACACTGTAGTTCTGTGGAATGACGAAAAGCACAGTTTCCGTGATGTGATCGATATCATCTGCGAGGTGACCAACAAAACAGAAACAGAAGCAAAAGGGATCGCAGAGCGTGTCGATCGACATGGACGTGAAATAATCGAAACATCAAGCGATTTGCGGAGGATGTATCTACTAGCCCATAAGCTGGGTCAAATCGATCTTGCAGTCACAATCAGGCCAGCTTACGACGTATACGCAGAGGAGATCGCAGGTCATGTTTTGGAACTTCTTCTCGACTTATCAAATGCTTCTTTCGGGACTTTGTCCCCTTCATCGAAATCACCGCCCTCCACACATCCTCTCGATAACCTTGTGCCAAGTGCAGTGGCCATGCGAGCATTGTTGGGAAGGGCATTCTTGAATGATTGGGAACACCGATTACCGGTAACACAAGGCGACATGACGACCGACTTTTTCGATAATAGCGAACTCTTGCAACTGGATGGAATGTTATTGATGGACTATAAAATGTGGAAGGGAGCGCGAGCAAATGCAAGATCTCTGTATATGGCTCTCATCGGGCCAAGAGAGGTGAAGCGTGCTTTAGCCTATAGATTCGCATGCATGTTCTCCAAATTGGTGGAGATCTTTATTGTGAAGGATCGAGAACCGGAGCACTCGATTCGATTTATTGCTGTGCAATTGTTCAGTGTTCCTTCTATTGCATCCGAGTTGGTCATCAATCTTGATCTTCTACACAAGATGCTTCAAATCCTTCAAGCCATCTTCACCGGGCAATTGACATTAGGCACACTTTCACTACCGCCTACTGCGCCACCTCGCATGCAAGCAAGTCCATCTTCAATGCTCGTCCGTCAACAGAGGTGTCATTATATCTTGTACGATTTACGTTATCTCTTGGGTGCTGAAGGTGTGCAAAAGCAAATCGTGTCCGACACTAGGCATTTGGGATACTTTGCCGAATTTTTGTCGTTGTTCAACGCCATCACACCAGATCGACGTGCAGTAACGGAACATGTCGAGTTTGAATCGGAGGTGTGGGTGCCAATCTTCAATGTAGCAACACATCTGGCAAGGACTATCAAGTTATTTGGAGAAAGCTATGGAAAAGGTACTGGGCAAGAATTGTTGAGAGGCTTACTTCTAGCCATGGAAAAGACGCTTCTCAGCTGCTCACATCTCCATCAAAATGATCCTGATTCTCACGCTACGATTGCTTTCAATCGAATCAACTTTGCTGGTGTTTCGTATCATATTATCGATTTCACCGTAGAATCAATGGGCGTTTCTTTCCATCATCCTATGCATTGGATGTTGGCCGAAATGCTGAAATCAGTCAACAAACTTGATTACGAATTCCTTCATCAAATGCGAAAAGAGAAGCTCGCCGATTTGATACCGGAAGAGACGGGTGAAAATGGATTGATTGTTCTCTTCGAGTTCCCGCTGCGTGTCGTCGTCAAGCTTGCACAAATTCGTGCCGGTCTTTGGGTCAGGAATGGATTTGGCATTCGTTCGCAAGCACATCATTATCGCGATAATAGCATGCGTGATGTGATGTACGATCAAGATTTGTACATGCTTCAATGCAGTCTTGTGTTCGTCAAGCCGGATCGAATGCTCGTCACTTTCGCACAGCGGTTCTCATTGATCTCATGGTTGCAAGGTCACGGTAATCAAACAGGATTTGAGATGGGTCAATTGTTGTTCTTGGCAGAGGAGCTGATCTTGCTCTTGGTCACTTTGTTGTCTGAAACTTCTACGGCGATGCATCGCAGTATGGATGACCTTGTTCGAAGGGAGATTGTACACTTTTTGGCCCTCAATCAAGGAACGTATTCCGAATTGACACGTCATATCAGTGACAAACTAAAGGATCATGCCAACTTTGATCGTGTATTGGCATCTGTGAGCAATTACCGTGCACCTGATGGAACGAATGACCTTGGAATATTTGAATTGAAAGATGAATGCTACGATGAAGTTCAACCATTCTTCTATCATTACACTCGCAATCAGAGAGAAAAGGCAGAGCAAGTGCTGAAAGATCGTCAAAAGCGAAAGACATCCGCTGAAGAAGCTAAAAAGTATGTCATTCTTCCTCACAAACGATTGGCACCCGGTCAAGCAGTATTTGTGGACACTTTGAGAAATGCACTTTTGAGTCCAGTTTTGATGCAAATTATCTTTTCATGCTTGGTCAATGTGAATGCAGGTGAGGAAGAAATGCCAGACGGATTGGTGGATGGCTGCTTGCAATTATTATTGATGGGTCTAGTCGAGCAAGAAGCACCATTTGCAAGTGCCCTCTGTGAACGACGAACGGAACCGGAAGGATCAGGTTACGAAAGTATGATGGAATTGCTTTTGGCGCTTCGAAAGGTGGAGAAGTTTAGCAACTTCAAAGCGAAGCTAGAATGGATCTTGAACAGGGCTGCAAAACTTGATTCTGATCGATGCGGAAGGATTGTTGATGCTCTCTGGCATGGTCAAGAACGCAAAGATGGTGCGGCTGGCCAAATAAGTGCAGAGGATAAGCGCAAAGCTGCAGCCAAGGCAAGACAAGCAGCAATCATGCAATCATTCTCAGCACAACAAAAGAGTCTCTTGGAAAGCCTGGAAGATGAAGAAGTTGACGATCAACTAGACGAAGACGAGAAAGATTTGATGGATGAGGGAGAAGATGGTGACACACGGCAAGTTTCATTTGGTAGCTGCATCTTTTGTCAGGAAGATTTGAACGGTAATCAATCTTTTGGCAGCCTTGCACATATTCAAAGCAGCAGGATAATGCGCAACACCCCTCGTCATGACTCTTATAGCTTGCAACAGAGCTTGCAAACACCTTTGACGTTGGACAGAAATGGTGCGGAGGGAAAGAGAGTCCGAGGAGATTCGTTACCTCAAAGTCCGGACAAGACTAGTCACAGCCACTCACGTCGCCAATGGGATGGTTTCCCTTCGGAGGAGCGTAGATTTGGATTCTATACGTCTACGTGTGGTCATTTGATGCATTTGGAATGTTTTGAGGTGTATTGTCGAAGTATCGAGCAAAGACATGCACAGCAAATTGCCCGAAATCACCCAGAAGATTTGGCAAGATCTGAATTCGTATGCCCGTTATGCAAGAGTCTGGGTAATGTGATCCTGCCTGTACCAAAAGCAGCAAGTAAGGTATATGTGCCCATTGTCGATCAAACGACAATCTCAGATTGGATCAGGAAGATCAATATCGATATCTTGAAGTCTTCGACCAATTCATTACGATCCGATTTGCAAGAAACAGAGAATGGGACAGGATGTTTCGTGCCATGGTTCGCTGAAGATGCACAGATTGTTCTTGACTCATGGATTTCCCGAATGGGCACGGCGAGCAATTCATCTTCTGAACATCCAAATAGACAATTCCTTGAGCGTTTGTGCAGGGTCTTGAGACCTCTTTCCACAAAGAGTCGTGCAATGCGTGTTGCCCATCAAAGTCGTACGATTCTTGCACCGCCAAGCAGAAAGATGTACATTCCGGAAGAAGTGATTGCTTATACGATCGATGTGCTGGAGATCGCACAAAGAGGTACAACACCAACTGTCAAAGAACCTACCAAAGACCATGTTTCCGCTCCAAACGTTTCCGATGGAATGACGGAACAAACGATGGATCTGATCGTCGCCTTTATCACTTGTCTACGTGATCTTGCCAAATTGGAAGAGCCAAATTATCAAGCTATTTTCAGACATGGTCTTTTGATGAGATTATTGCCACATTGGGGAGGTCATGATACAGTTCGTTCGCCTCTCGTTTTACGTGATCCGATGACCCTCTTGGTGGAAGCTGCTGCTGTTATCCCCGGCAATTTACCTCAAGTGACAATTTTGATGTTTTACGTACAGTTGATCCAAGTCGTATTTGGAGTTGCACAACCAAGCTTGTGGCCTCAATCTGGTCCTGGTGGATCTGCTCGTGGCATGCCGGGCTTACGTACCAATTCAAATACTTTTGCTCCTGGCGAAGAAGGAAATGCACCTTTTGCCAAATCAGACAATGAAGCGATTTCACAAGTCTTTGACGATGTGAGGGGTACTGTAGCAAATATCATTGGCTTGGTAGGCTATGCACGCGGCAACATCACACTTGGAGTGGATAATTTGGACGATGCAAGTTTGGCGAAGATGATCTGCACCTATTGTTTACCTTTCTTACGTCGTGCAACGCTTTTGCAACGTGCTATGGGCGTGTTACCATTGCAAGAAAAGAATCAAGAAGATTTGAGCAGTCAATCTGAATTTATCCGATTGATGAAACTACTCAACATACCTTTCCCAAGAGAAGCACTTTCGGCGACGGCTACAAGACAAACCGCATTAGCCGGCTTAGTTGAAGGCTGGATCAAACATGCTTATCCTCAATTAGCATCCATCTTTAGGCCATTACCTATTCAACCTTCACCTTTGTCCGTCTCATCCAAGTCGGGTCATCACCATCATCCACATCATCCGACATTACAGCTTGAGCACCCGCATATCTACGAATTGATCAAGTTACCCGTCAATTTGACTACTTTGCTCATGCAATGTCAAGTGATGAAATGCAAAAGATGTGGTAATTCACCTCCAGAGCCAGCAATTTGTCTGGAATGCGGTGAAATCTTGTGCTTCCAAAGCTTCTGTTGTCAAGGCGGTTCGGACGGACACGGTGAGTGCAATAGGCACCTGGAAGAATGTGGTCACTCTACCGGACTGTTCTTCAAGATCAAGTCAAATATTATCGTTCTGTTATTCCAAGGGAAAGGATGTTTCACTTATTCACCTTATTTGGACGCACATGGTGAGATTGATATCGGATTGAAGAAAGGCAAAATTCAATTCCTTCACACGATTCGATTTGATGAATTACGCAGACAATGGTTGCAACATGGCATAGCAAATATGATTGCTAGAAAGATTGAAGCTGTGATGGATCAAGGTGGTTGGGTAACCATGTGATTGGTGCAGTCATTTTATGTATCTATGTCATTAGAGTACAAACTAGATGAATACATTTATCATCCTATTTAGATCGAGTAGAAGAAAAGATCATGCCATGAAACCTACTTCACCAACGGTGAAGCGAGTAGAATGTGGAAGGACCGTTAGTGGAACAGCACATTCTACCACTTCCAATTTGGCTTCAGCAGACTGATCGTCAGATGGAGCGGCACCAACAAACGGTCCCGCTAATGAAGGGGCAGCTCGCAATGCACGATGGTATGCTGCATAGCCATCGTCTGGTCCGGGTATAAGATGTGGTGCAGGTTTTGATCGTTCACTGATGGTGACATTACCATCAGAATCGGCAATTGATGTTCGTACGTTGGAAGACGTGAGGAATGCCAACCTTACAGTCCATACCAATCGAACTGCGCTGGTATCGAAATTGGGCGTAGCACCTGAAGGGATGGGCAAGGAGAAACATGCTTGACCGGCATCCAGCGTAGAATCATGAAAGCTTGAGTGTACAGTCTTTGTAATCTTCTGCGAGCGACCTGATGGTAAAGTGGCCAAGGTAGACTCAATTTCCTCGTGACTTTCCAAGAAAGCAGCAATGCGAACGACTCTTGCTATACTGTCAGCAGCATTGATGGTTACAACACCGGTGATGGTATCACCTAATCGATACTTCGACTTGACCAAGGTTAGAATCGCAGCAACACGACCATCTTTTGAGATATCGTAAGAGACTTTCTGTGAATTCCTGCTGAGCAATTCAACTGCCTGCAAACTGTTTTTTGGAAGATCATCATCTTCGGCTAAAATACCCAAGCCAGCCTGGGAAGCATCACTGTGGCCTCGATGACGTTGTTTAGATGCATGGCTGTGAATTGGGAAGGTGTCTGATGGTGACATGGCAAGTCGAGCACGTCTTGAATTCGGTGAAGTGCGTACGAGATCATGCATCCTTTGCTTTTGTGCCATCAAAGTTGCAACTTCTACATCAGTTGGAACATCGTCATCTGATGGTTCATTTTCATCTTTGCAAGTGCTTAGAAGCTCATCTGCATACGAAAGCAAAGCTTTGTCTGCGATCGCATCAGCTCGCGAGGAGCGTCTCTTTCTGCGTGCTTCTCCTGTGCTCGCCTTCTGATCTTCAATCTTGGAAAGACTGTCGAATAGGGCTGTATCGTCGATATCCATCTCCTCTGATTTCACAATCGCTTCATCTCTTTTGTTTATGATTGGATTCGTTAAATCGTAAAATGTTGTCATTCCACTAATGTTGACGTGATTGTATACCCGCATAGGGATACGCACCAGTCTGCTCTTTTGCTCCATCATCCCCCTCTTGTTTCTGCCGAGGCGATTCGTACCAAGAGTGAGCGTATAGCTGAATGAAATTGCTTTGCCTACATACGAAGGTGGCAGATCTGGCGGTAATGGAACACGGAATGTATAGCTACGTGACTGTCCTGGAGCCAATTCCAAGTCGACGGCAACCATGCTTGGAGGGTTGGACAGAACTGGGATTGATCGACTTGCCATTGTCTTCTGTCGAGTATCCAGAAGTGTGGAGCCACTTCTGCGATGTGCTGCTCCCATCGTAGCATTTTTGCTTCCTCCACCAGATGAGAGAACGTTTCGAAGATACGACCCCCACCCTTCCGATGCTTTCCGCTCCTCACCCTCTAGAGCGTCAACAGCGGCACCTAATTCCCCTCCACCAATAGCTGCTGGCCCTAGTTGTCCGATAGCTCCAAATGATGACGTCGAAAGTCCTCCTGCTCCTCCCAAACCGGCGAGCCTTTGCTTTACCTGCTCAAACTCCCCCGGTTTGACTAAACTTTCATCAACTTGAAAGTGTCCTCCGAATTGAGCAAAAGTCCAAAGGACAGTCTCAATATCTGCTCTCTCATTTCGATCCGACTGCTGGCTTCCTTTCCCATTCATCGATTGACCGCTCGAAGAGGCATGAGGGGAGATTGGCGTGCCATTTGGTCCCATTTTGGAATACTGCGTAAAGTCCTCCCTCAGAACACTTTCCATAGTTGAATTTTCTCCAAGTCCATAAAAGCCTTCTCCTCCTGGACGATTGTTGCGCAGATCAAGTGATTGTCTAGGTGTGTTCAGTAATGAAGACGGTCCATTGGGGGTATTAGAGCCAGGACTGGTACCATCTAGCTCGAATGTGGCACTCAGATCTTCGGCTTGTACCTGAGCAACACTCTTCTTTCGACTGTGAGGATGTGTTGGTTTGATGACATCGCTCACTCTTCTTGAAGAAGAACTAACCGCACGCGACCCAGCAGGCGAAGGTGTTGATGCTTCGATGTTCACATGATGTGACGGTATCCGAGGCGAAGCAAATTGCGTTTGAATCGATGGTACCCCTTTTCCCAAATGCTCGGCGTATTCCCGCGATCCAGGTGTAGCAACAGAGAAAGCCTTGTTATGACGTTTCATTGGTGGTGTGCTGATGTCGGGAAACTTTGGCGTGGATTGTAGGCTGTTGGAAGCAGATTGATTTCTGAAGTTCTTTCCGATAAGACCTTGCCTTCTGGGCAAAGCCTGTAAGAATTCTTGTGCATGCATTTGCGATAGCTCATCTTCTTCGCCATCGTTTAGGATCAGGCTGCGATAATATCTTTCATCACTTGCTTCTCCTTCTTCTGCATTTCCACGTTCAAGTTGGTTACGACGTGCAAATGTTCTTATATCAACACTTTGTGACTTTCGATGAAACCGACGAGAAGATGGCAAGGCAGACAAAGGTGAAAGAACTGTACTGTTTCCATTTCCATTTTTGAGGCCAGAAGTGGATAGGCGCGATAATGATGAATCATTGAACTGTGCCGGATTGAATGAGACACTTCTCTGTTTGTTCTCCTCCACTCCCAAACCTGTTGATTCAAAAGTAGATCGTGATGGTAAAGGCTGCGTTTGCGGTACTGGAATTCGCGTATTGGTGAATGTGATTGTACATGCAAAATCTTCCCCAGCAAAGAATGAAGATTGGGCTGGCTCGACAGCTATTTGCAGGTAAGATCCTGTAGACACTTTTGTGGTTGTAGCCATCGTTTGAATTGGCTAAAGCTACAAATGATGTAGCCCTAGACCTTATCGGTCATGAAGTGGTGGTGTGGTTGGAAGATATGAAGCGGAGGATACGCGTATATTAGCAGTGTGCACAAACAGTGCATGACATGGTGTTAATTTCGCGTAAATGCGCTAAATCACTGGAAAGTTGAATGTCATCAGGGAAACAGTGTCTCTCATTGCATTGGTAATGTACAAAGATTACATGAAACGAATTGATCACTTCGCTTATTTGGAGAGGTTGAGATTATTCAATGCTCCGCAGGTAGCGTTTTCAGACTCAGTCATGATTGTTGTATTGGGCAATTGCGGGTATACTGGCACGAATGGATGCAACGGAAGACGAAGAAGGTGTTGGTCGTCCATCTTCACTATCAGAAGATTCATTGTACCGTCGAATTCCTTCATCTGAGCCTTCGGAGAGGTGTCTGCGATTTGCAGTCTTGCCCCACATTGACTGGTGGTTGAATTGGGCGAAAGCGTCGGTCAGATCGTTTCTTGCTTGCTCACGCCAAGGGCTTCCGGTTGGAGATTCTTCCATATCAGAAGGCAAGTCCTCTTCATCCTCTCCCACTGAGCTTAGCGGAGAGCTTGAGTTGATCGCCATTGCTTGTAATTGCGAAATTTTCTTGCGCGCTGTCACGGTACGCACCGAGTCATAGTATGTTTGTGTAAGGGTTTTGTTGCCTTGTCCGGGCTTTCGTTTGGGATTCGATGACGAAGCCTTCTTTGAAGATGCTCTGGAATCCCTCCTTCTTGATTTCTTGCAGCTTTTGCAATCGCAAGACTTATTGCAACGTGCACAGCTATACATTTCCAAATACGGCTGGAAATCTTCATTGCCCAGTACAAGACAACAAGCTTTGCAAAAGTAGAGCCCACACACTTTGCCTCTCTTGTGCACGCGGCATCTCATCTTGAGCTCGTGGTTCATTTCCTTGCAATAATGGCACATCGTTGGCAGCGCAGTAGGATAATGAGGAATGCCTGCAAATGGATTTTCTTCTCCATCCTCATCCTCATCCGTGACAGCAGGCACTTCTGGCAGCTTTTGAGCAGTCAATACAACCGGCAGCCTTGAAGCTCTTGGTAAATCTGCCGCCTTCCTTTTCCCCAACTGCTTCTCTGAGATTGGATCAACAGTCATCTCTGCGATGTAAAGATGCGGGTTCGCAGTTCTGTTGTTGAAAGGTACCAAATTTTGCTGTCCGTGCTGGAAAAGCATCTGGAACAATTTTTCCATATCGGCATTCTGCTCTTGGGATGGTGCAGTCACATTTGCTTGCTCATGAGGCTGGGAAGGGCCTTCTTGTTGAGCTGGAGCACGCAAAAAGTGATCTGCGTCAGATGACAACGCCCGTACATCCACTCCAGAGTCCCCTTGTTCAGGATGAGCAGATCGAAACGCTCTTACGGAACTTGTCGTATTTGGCGTTTCAGCTTCGATGCTGGTGCTCGAATCATGAATGCGAAATGGCGCAGGTGGAGAATCCATCTGCATGCTGAAAAGGTCAGAATTCAACTCTTGCATTCCATCTTGATCTGTCAGGCCTTGGTTGTTTTCCTGTTCATCTTCTCGAATCAAACCATTCTGCCATTCTTCGATAGCATAACTTGCCAATCCGTTCTGCGACAAAAAATCCTGACCAAATGCGGTCTCTGTATGCGCTGTGTGAGCATCATCAACCGGTTGCAAGCCAAATGTTTCCTTCGGTACTTCCTGCAATGCATTCATCGTGTTTGCCGGCTGGGGATCTTGCCTTGACACGTCAGGTAATACCCCTGGCACACTTTTCTGGCGACTGCTACCAGCTTCATTCCACTGTCCAAGATTGGTGTCCAATCCATCCTCCTCTTCATCGCTGCAAAGGTCAATCACGATCGCTTTTTCCTCTTTCTTGATTTTGCGTGGAGTTGGCGGAGGCTCAGCCTTGACGGATATCGACTGAGATGATGAAGCTTTCTCTTTTCTGATCCAACGTAATGGATCACGTTGTGATTGAGTCGATTTCTGAGAATCTGGCTTTTTCATGCATAGCTGCCTCCTTGGCTTGGATGTCATCTGAGAGCTTTGGGATGCATCTCCAGTTCCACCTTTCTCCATTTTGCATGTACAGAGCCAATGAGGGGTAATTATGTGCAAGAAAGGGAAATGGGAATGAGGTCGAAAGAAGAAAAGTGAATGTCCGAGTCGCGATCATTGTAGAGTTTTTGAACAGATTTCAGATCCATACTCCTTCCCAACTCATATTGAATACAGCTTTTTCATTTTGTCTTTTCGTTGCCTGCACAGATCAACGTGGGCTTGATAATTGTATTTGTATTGTTTCCCCTCCTTAAGAAAGAGCAAAAAGTCTTTTAATGCGCTCGGCGATTGATCATTTTCAATGTGTGTTAGAATCTTCTTACCAGATCGCGGGGGACTACGTCCCTTGTTGCAATTAATGTTCGATCTCCTACACAACATGTCAGCGCTCAAGTTCGAACCTCAGCCTTTTCGATGCACCTTGCCGCCCTCCGCTTTTTTTTCGGATTAGGAAAAGAAATGTGACATTAAAGAAAACTATGAATACATGTGTGATCACGAACGAAATGCATCTTCGCCCACTTTGACGTTATTATCACCAAAGAAACGTTTTTGTTCACCGCAAACAGCATTCACGCAACCTGGACAACGTAATTGCATTTGTCTACTCGTATTTCCTTGCGCCCATGGCTCATTACCGGAACTTTGTCCTCCTTCACAAGATGCAAGATGGGCTGATGCAATTTCCGCCAAAGCACGCAAAAATGTTGGTTCATCGTTCAATGATTCAGCACGTTTAAGATGAATTCCATGCTCTTCTGCTTCTTCTTGTAATTCGATATCCAATTCATACAGCGTTTCAATGTGATCTTGCGTAAATGCGATCGGAACAGCAATGCAATCCTTATAGCCTTGTTTTGCCCAGCCTTTGATCGTATCACTCGTTTGCGGTCCAAGCCATGCAGATGGTCCAACTTGCGATTGCCATGTAACTCTGTATGGGTTACTCCATCCCAATTTAGTCATGACTGCTGAAACAGTGGCCGCCACTTCTGCAGGGTATGGATCACCACGACCTGAGACAATTTGCATAGGAAGGGAATGAGCAGAGAACATGATTGGAACTTGATTACGCTTTTCTGCTGGGTATGTTTGCAAAACGGCTTGGATGCGATTCACAAATGCATCAACAAGTCCAGGATGTGTAGGCCAACGATCAATTACACTCCATTTGATGTTGCCTTCTTCTTTTCCCTGTTCCTTTCTTCTTTGGATCTCGCGATACAGTTCGTTCAAGGAACTTCCAGTTGTACTGCAACTGTATTGAGGATATTGGGTAAATGCAACTGCACGTTGAACGCCATCTGCTTTCATTTCTTCCAAAGCTTCGTCTGTCAATGGTCTTGCGTATCTGAAAGCAGTGTATGCCTTGTGTGGAGCAGTCGAAGGTGATAATTCGTCCAACATGGTTGCCATCTCTTTTCCTTGCATTCTAGTCCACTTTAGAATGGGACTTCCGCCACCAATTTTGTCGTATTGTTCCACAATCTTGGGTGTTCTCCTTCTTGCGATCAATGGTGCCAATCTCTTTTGGAATGGTAATTGAATCAATTCACGATCGTGGAACAGACGTGATAAGAAGTCACCAACTTCGTCCAAAGTGGAAGGTCCTCCCATGTTCATCAATAAGACAGCTGTTGGCGGCTTCACGCTTGCCTGGCTTAATGGAGAAGAAGTGGATAGCATCCTTGCTTGGAGTGAGGAGCGCATTGCCATCCTTGTTGAAGGAGTAGATGTCCTCAAAGATGAGGTGATCATGCTGGCCATTTTGCGAGATGGATGCAACCAAGTGATGATGATGAACAAGATACATAGCTTAAATCGTACGAGCGGACCTTCTCTTCCAATACCCTAGAAGTACATACACTAGTGGAGCTGTGTTGCTTGCTTACAAACGGCGAATCATGCAATTCAACTTCAATTATCCAATCACCGCTAACAACGCGTCAGAAGAAGAAAGGCCCTTTGTTGTCAGACTCGGCATAAAAAGGCTTTGAAAAGCTAGCCTGTAGGAAAATGATCATGTTGCAAATGAAAAGTCAATCTTGCTCATTTGTATCTCTATGAGCGATACTCGACAGCCAATATGGATTCAATTCTGCTTCTATCACGTGGATGAAGGAGAAGTCTATCGTTCGAAAGAGGTGCAATCAATTATACACAATCAATGACACATCTTAATGAATTGCACTCTTTACGTTAGCGTACGATGTTTGCCTTAGCCTGGCCCTGCTTGTATGCGCGTGATGGTAGAATCTCTTGAAAACACGCTAAAGATGCTCAGGAAGGTTAGTGGGAAAAAAGTTTAAACCAAAAGACAGAATATATCAAAAATGTAGCAAGCATCAAAGAAACCACCACCATCATAATGAGACGGCCATTGTTGCATCCACTTCTGTTCTTTCCAAATCGAGATGATCAACATTAAGGTTCAATAAACGGTTGCATAAGATGGATTTATTGGTAACGGCTATGGTAAGCTAAAGGATAAGACCTATGTACATATGTTCTTCGTTGACTGTCCACTTATAGCATGGGTTCAAACGGATCTTCGGATAGTGGATGGGGAAAAGAATAGCGGGAGAAGTTGTAGACGTTGGTTTGCATGCAGTGAATAGCTAATCAGGATACAGATAAATTGCCATATCGGGCCATTCAAAAAAGCTTAAAGTCGACTACCCTTGGCAGAGGACGATAAGCAAAGGAGCATATTGCATGATTATACGGTATCGGTTCTCTTGTACCAGATATGCAGCCCAAGAAATCCCTGGATGATCCAATATCTGACTGCGTGGTATCGGCATCCGGCTTTTGACACTTTCAAAAGATCCCTCTGAGACATGTCGATCAGGTCCCAACCACTTTCTTGCATCCACCACCTCTCCTTCAACTTCATCATCATCATCACCGGCGTATCTTTCTTGTTTGGTGCTCTGACGATCAAAGATTTCTTTCGTTTGGTGGATGATCGAGGAAGGTGTTCAAACAACCATCATCGTTTATTCGCTAAAAGGGAGAGACGATCTCATTCGTCATTTCACTCAAACACCTTTGCAAGGTACAAGGTGATTTTGATATTTTTCTCTTTTTCTTCTATTGACCAATTCAGCAACCCTTGATGGGAGCTTGACGGTACGCCTTTTAACGACTTTTATTATTCTTTGACGACCAAAGGGTTCTAGCAAACCCCACGATCATCTTTTTATTACGACATTCTATTTACGCTCTTATCGTCATTAGACAGGAAAGCTATTGATCTTACGATTACGACTTTTATTACACATCACGATTATTTTGTTCTGTTTCACTCGCAGGTTGATTGTACAGATCATCTCAAAACCGAGACAGTCGGTTTCATTTTTATTCCTTTGACCTTTTCTCTCCCTTTCCATTTTTTCATTCCTTTCCGCAGGTCGGATCACAAGAAGTTTATCGTTGGAACATAGATCGCATTCGAGAAGGATGGCTCACGAACAACGTGGCAGGCCATTAAATCGAAGTCGGAACGAGTCTGTGAACGTGAGACAGAATGAAGAAGCAGGCCAACAATATGTACAACAGCCAACATCCACACGTTTGAGTCAACATGGGATAGCACAAACGCTACCACGTCATTTCGATGCGGCCAGTATGCAACAATCCAACCTTGCTCAACAAAGGATGCCAATCCCGATGTTTCCCAATCCACATCCACCTTCGCAGCCATCTATGCAATACAGTCAAACATTTCCATCATCGCAAGATGTACAACAGATGCAAAGCAATTCAGGAAAGGTTTTGCGGAGAAAGCAACCTTTTGATGTTTTGCAAGCTATTCCACCTCCAACTCCACCTTTGGCTGTTCCAGGTGCAAGTGCGGGCAAGATGAAAGCACAGCCCAAGATTTCCACCGTTCGTTCACATTATCGTGCTCCACCTTCTCCTTTGGGTAATGAAGTGCAAAATACCAAACAAGAAGAAGAACAAAATAGTGGTAGTGACGAAAGTGAAGGTGGTGCAAGAGGTCCAAAGGAGGATTTACGATGGAGCTCAGACGAATCAACACCAACGCCCACGGCCAGTAGTGTAGCAGCAGCAAGTGCTCGTCGTCGTCAAGAAGCAACGACGATGATGCCCGTCAGTCTTGTTGCACCTACGCAAGTGGCTAGAGCCCGTGGTCTATCGACAAGTCAACAGCAGCCATCTATCCAGCCAACCCCAAAGCCCGATCCTTCCAGCATTCGCCCTGTTTCAGCATCTTCCGTGACACTTTCAAGTGGTCAACAAGTTCCAGCCGTTCGAACGGATTTTGAGAATATGAAAAAAATCACTCGTCCTGGCTCATCATCCAAAACGACAAACACTTCCAATTCTCAAATTTCTGCTTCTGTTGGACCAAGTAAACAACAGGAAGAAAAGGGAAAAGGAAGAGAGATTGATGATGAAGCTGCTGCACAACAAACCGCTCCTGTTCAAGTGGTTGTTGTGCCTCAATCGATTTTGAAGACTACCGTCGTAAGTGATCCGAAACGATCTGTGGCTGCTCAACTTGAAAGCTATGAACCACATCAGATGACTCCAGTCCAAGAAGAGGAAGAGGAGGAACATCAACAATCGATCAGAAGGGTGTCAAACTCCAATGCTATGCGTGTGATGCAAGGTGTGACGGGAGAGATTGCAACTGAAGATCAACAAGCGAAAGACTCTGCTGCAATTCGATCTCGTCGTCTTTCACGTGGATCGTTTGAATCAGGTACGACGGCACTTGATACACCACGCATAATCGATGAAGATGGCCGAACATCTTTTGAAATGATGAGAACGGGCAGTGGAGAAATACTTGTTGGAAGAGATGGTGGAAATGATACCGTTGGCAGACATGCAACATCCAAAGCGCTACAAACGCATCGTGCAATTGTTCAAGGATTGGTTGCTCCTCCAAGTGATGTGATGGAAGTACAAGAACCTTCGGGATCAAACGGTATTTCACAGACAAAAGGTGATACGCCAAGAAGTCACGGTATTTCATCCCATCTGGAACAGTTGAACAAGTTCATCAACACTTCAATTGGTCAACCGAATCGACAAAGTCAGACACCAAAATCTGACGCTGGCAAAAAGGGTAAAGCTGACGCTATCGAAAAGCACGATCATGTCAAGGATCCAAAGAGACCCAACACCGGTGATAGCTTTCAAATCCCAATCCTTGCGACCGCACAAAGACCGAGAACAGGTGGTAGTGGAGCACGAAGACCTGGAACTGGACAGACTCGATTCTCAGTCGAGCCTCCAATTGCAGGAGCGAATCTACGCAGAGCCTTAAACAGTGCAGGTGGTCGATCACGCACATTCGGTGCAGGTGAAGATCAACACAACAAGACTACTTGTCGTCAATGCTTTCGTGCTGGGTTCGATTGTGCAGTTCAATTGCACAACGGTCAAGGAACAGGTGCACGAAAAGCATTACAGGAATTTGTTGCTGCAGGTGGTTTGGAGGCTCTGAGTGGTGTGGAAGACTTTTACGAAGGTAGCATCTGGGGTAGTCAAGCAATGGGCGCTGGTGCATCTTCAAAGCGTGCTCAAGCCGCTCCTCCAATCCGAGGACAGAACTTTGTCGATCGATTGGGTGAAGTGGCATTTGGTGAAAGTGCATTGAGTAGACCAGTCACTCGAGGTGCGATGCAAGATATGCTGGAAGAACGTGGAAGAGTTTTGACGGAGCAACAACATTCAAAGACTGTTGAACAGTTCTTGATGGAATTGCAACGTTTACAAAAAGAACAAGAGGAAGAATTCGCACTTCAGCAAGAAGAAGATGAGCAAGAAGATGGCGAAGATGCACGTACTCGATCTAAAACTGGCACAACGGAGAAAAAGACGAGCTTTGATCAAAACGCGGGCTATTCTTCTCCGCAAGTCGAGAAGAACAGATCGGTCAATCATGTCAACGAAATACCCGCAATGGACGAGGCGCAAAACGAACAGCCAAAAGAAGAAAATGCGTCGCAATACGATCAAGAAAGTCTTCAATCGAGTGCTACAGAAGACGAATTGCCCTTCTTGGCTGATCGTTGGTCAATGTTACGCAAGCTGCATCAGCTCACGGTATATGCCATCTGGCTCTTCTGCATTCAATGCGTCAGTGCAGGATATTCCACTTCCGTTCCAACGATTCAAGACAAGATCCATGCTGTGCCACTCTCTTTGAATTTCGGTGAATTTACCTTTTTGCTCGGTCAAGCAGGTGGATTGTTCTTTGGCGCTTGTCTTTCTTCTTTGGGTCGTATTCGTTTGCCGATCCTCTCGATTCTTATGTCCGTCGTGGTTTGCGTCATCATTGGTTTTATGCATACAAGCTTTGTCATTATCGCTTTACGTGGAGCTTTGGGTTACCTTACCGGATTATACGAGATTGCTTTGGTAGGAATGATCTTGGATTTATCTACAAGCAGAAGACAACGTTTTGGTTTCCTGATATATGTTCTAGTATGGATTATAAGTGCACAGGCTGCCGGTCCTTGGATTACGGCATTGGTTATCAAAGTCGGCGCTTGGCCTTGGCTCTACTGGTTAACAGCCATTGTCGGATTGGTATTTATGTTCTTCCTTGCTTTCATCACTGCCGAAACCGAAGCTTGTTCAATTTACCGTACAGCGGTGAAAAAGCTCCGTGTCGAAAGTGCTGAGGCATGGACTCCAGAACCTAGAGTCGCCGCTTCATGGAGAGAAATTATCCTTATACGCTCTATTCGACCTTTCGTTATGCTTGTTCGACATCCGATCGTGATCTTATCAACACTATTATTGGGTATTCCACTAGCCTCTATTGTTGGAGTGATTGATCCGATATCGGATGTACTACAAGGAAGACATCAATTTGCAAGTTGGAAGTCTACATTACTCATCAGTATTTGTATCGCTTTAGGATTGCTGATCGCTACCGTTGTTATACTCCTGTTTGGAGTTGGATCAAAACGTCTCTCATTCTCACAAAGAACACGCATCTTATTCATGGACGAAAAAGGAATCATCGATGCACAAAGACCAAAATTCAACGCAGAACAAGTCTTACACGTTTGCGTAACCGGTTTAATTATCTTAACGGTGGGATTATATACGCTCGCCTTGACCGCTACGATAACGAGTTGGATATTTTGTGGGATTTGTTTGGTTCTTTGTGTAACGGGTGTTACTTTATTGTCCGTTGGTTTGTTGCATTATATCGCCGAATCGTATTATCCAGCCGCTTTTACCATCTTGGGAGAAGTTTTGGCTTTATCCGATTCGGTTGGACCTGCTCCACAATATGCAGACGCTCAAGTACAACAACGGATCAGTATGGATGCAGACAGAACCGTAGAGGAGAATTTCGAACAACGTCAAGAGGAGGAGGAGGAAGATAAGGACGATCACACGCTCATGTCTGGTGCAAATCAGGATGGTAAGAGATGGGATTCCAATTGGGCTCTCAATGTTATAGGTACTGTATTAGGATTCACGATGGTTCTTTCGGGTGTGGCAACCTTTATTGGCCGTTTAGCCGCATTCAATATTGGTTTCGGCCTTTATGTCGCTATTCTTGCCAGTATCGTGTTGGGTATTTCAGGTTTAGCATTACTGTTCTTGGTTCGCTATGGTCATAAGATGCGAAAAGATGCTTTCGTGCATATTGCAAAGACAGAACAACATATCTGGCAAGCAAAAAGACCTTCAGGCTCTGATGCGAATATATCTGTTGCCACTTCAACTGGCGTAACTCGATCAAGACGCTCAACAACCGACAATGGATTTGCATTCAATCGAACCCAATTACCTTTACCGCAACCTGCTAAATGGAAGACTGGTTTAAAACAATTCTTGTTACCGACCCTTCGAGCATCCGATCAAATAGAAGAAGGCGGTAGTGTTCCACGCAAGCCGTCTTCTGTGATTATGGATCCAACAGTCCGAAGCAAGATTCGCAATTGGGTCGGCAGACAAAGGGGAACGATGCAAGATGCACAAAATGGTGAAAACCGTGAAATTGCACAGATTTCAACACCTTTCAATGCTCAACATATTTCTTCAGGTGCAAATTTGATAGATGAAGATCAGGATTTATATGACGCTTTTGGCGTTCAACTTTCCGTTCGTGGGGGAGATCAAAGGAGCAGAAGGCGTTCAACATTGGTGAATGATGGTCAAATGCCCTCTTTTGAAGTATTTATGAAACAAAAAGAGGAAGAATATAATCGTCAATTTGCAAATCAACAACAATCCGCCGCTGAGCTCAAGATTCGAAATGGTAAACCTGTCGATCCACGGAAGAATTCAATCTCTACTCCTGCTCCTATTACGCCTACGCCAAAATCCCTAAAGCCAATCGCTTCTCCTAGATTTGTGAATCCGACATATAGCTATCAAAGAGCACAAACGCCACCTCCGATGTAGACACGGTCAATATATATCTATGCAATAATGATAACCTTTTTTTGAATGAGCTGCTGCTACTGATGATGATGATGATCATCTTTGATCGCTATAACGCATCGCTTCTTCGGCATGTGAGCCGATGCGAGGCACATTCTTTACCGTATTAACAGGGGGTATTCATACCGCTGCCCGCTTTTAACCAAAAGAAAAAAAAAAAGATCCTAACGCCGCGTTTTTTATAGAGAGAGGGTCAGCACAGCCGTTTTTCATTTTTGACTGTTGATGCGCCTAGTCCCCTATTTGTATGCCGAATTCGCCGCTAATAAGATCGCATATATATATTTAAATGTGATATATATATTATATACTGACCTTCTTCCCAATGAAAACTTGGCATGTATTTTTTGTATACAGATCACGGCTCTTGTGCTTCTCCAAAACGCGCGCGCGCGCGCAGAGATGCTAATTGGAAAAGCCATTTTTGATCTTCTTGCGCACGCGTCTAGGCACTGATATGAACCCTGTTATAACAAATCAAAAGTCTTAATATAGAACATGCACAAAATAACATACAAAAGTAGCCCTTTTTACTAGATCCTATAAGTTTCCCTCTTGACGGCTCAATGCATATGGCGTTTAGGGAGTGAGAGACTATTTTTAATGCATTTGAGCGTGTATACGTAAGATGAATTCTGCTGTTCTTCCGCCTTGAAATAGGATGAACTTTGAAGCGGCAAGCGCTATCTCGGTATTCAACTCAAACACACACACGCACACAAACGCGCAAAGGGGGAACATAGGAAACTGAACCTGAGTTGGCGGCGGTCATTGTCATTTCTACCTTTCTTTTTTTTGTTGTGAATTCAAAGTTTTTCATTAACCTTGATATCAACATTCATCATTATCACCATCATTCTTCTAAAGTTGCTTTCGTTGTGAAGGATCACTTCAATATTCCCTCACAAAAGAGGTGAACCTGTACGACTGCTGTCTTGAACAAGGTATCGATTTCAAGTAAAATTGGTATCTTGCATTCGATCATCGAATAGGTTGACTTTCAAAGTGCGAGCGCTGAAGAAGTCATCTGGCACAACTACTTGTCATCTTGCACGCTTTTGAAAAGGTGGATTGACTAAAAAGTTGGAGTTTCATCGATTCGAAAACGGTCATTGAGAAAGTGCGGAAGTCAAGAAGCGCAATTGCACATCAATCCACAATCGCATCCTCACAACAACATCTCCCTCACACGACTGTCCTTACTTTTCGATCATAGATCTCAATCGTCAAACATTCAACCCACGTAGAAAGCTACGTGACAATTACGACTTGGTTTCGCATTTACTCGATCTTGCACATTCGCAATCTTTTAGATAAATCAAGATGTCTGCTGAGTGGCCATTGAACTTTTTGTATTCTTTGCCTAGCAGGCCTAGGACTACATCATTGGGTGACCATCTGGCAAAACACGTCACAGATAGCGGAAGAATACGAAGTTTGCTCGATACAATATGTTCTACAAACAGACCCGCGTTGTGGTCTCCCGATCTTGCGCGTCCTCCTATCGATCACATCACCATCAAACGTTTCATTTCATCCTTTTCCCTACCCACGGCTGGCCGTCCACTTGGACCAAATGATCGCGTCATGATGGCTTTGCCTACGGGACCAGAGAATGCTTTGGCTTTGTTGTCTGTTGCAGCATATCACACTTGTGCTCCTGTCAACAACAGTTGTACAGCAGGAGAATTGAAAGATGATGCAGTTCGGTTACGCGCAAAAGCTGTCGTAACAACATACGAAGCTGCTGAACGTTTGAACGTGTACGAGTTACGTCAAGAACACGGTATGGAGATTATATTCATCGAACCACGCACGCAAGGACCAGCAGGATTATTCGATATGAGTTTCTTGGGTAACGATGGCCCAGTACCTGCAGGAAACAACCGCAGACCTTCGCAACTGCACGGTCTAGAACATCAATCTCTCGTTTTGCACACATCCGGTACGTCCGGTAAGAAGAAGGTCGTACCCTACTCTTTGCGACACTTGATCGTTGGAACGTGCTGTGTCGTGCAAAGTTGGGAACTAAGACCTGAAAGTGTCAACATGAACATGATGCCTTTATTCCACGTCGGTGGTATCGTTCGTAATTTGTGGGCTCCAATCTTTTCTGGAGGAAGTGCAATCATGTGTGCTGGTTTCGATGCAACAGTTTGGTGGAATTTGACACAACAATTAGGTGCAACTTGGTATTATGCTGCACCAACCATGCACCAAGCCATTCTAGCATCCAAACCAGAAGGTATCGACGCAACCAGAGCTACAAAGATCTCCATGATTGCCAATGCAGCTGGAGGTTTGTTGCCATCTTTAGCAATTCAACTCAAAGAGACTTTTGGAAAATGTGCCGTTCTTCCTTCGTATGGTATGACAGAATGCATGCCTATTGCTTCGCCCCCAACAAACTATCAATTAGATCGTCCTGGATGTTCCGGTATTGCATGTGGTCCTGATTTGTCTATTCGTGATCCGTTCAACCGTGAACGTGAACTGCCAGTTGGTCAAACGGGTGCCGTTTCCGTTCGTGGATTACCTACCTTTTCTGGATATGAAGTATCCGAAGATCCCTTTGAGCCGTTAGATACTTCCGCTTTCTCCAGTGAAGGCTGGTTTGACTCTGGTGATATGGGACATATGGATGCCGACGGATACTTGTTCATCACTGGTCGTTCAAAGGAAATTATCAACAAGGGTGGTGAAGTTGTTTCGCCATTTGAAGTTGAAGAAGCAATCACACAAGCATGCCGTGACCGTGTTAGACAAACTTTGGCTTTCTCAATAGAACATACTGTGCTACAAGAAACGATTGGTGTCGTTATTGTTCCAGTGCCAAATCAACCTCGTATTGGATTATCAGAACTACAGAATCTGTTGAGATCTCATCTGCATCCATCCAAGTGGCCATTTGCGATTGTGTACATGGACGATGTCCCCAAAAATCAAGCCGGAAAACCATTGCGTATCAAGCTCGGTACACGTTTGAATATTGGACCTTTGTCCGATGATATCCCTCCTCTACGTCGACACTTTGAAGCTCGTGCACCTCACAAGGAAGTTCCTCTATCGGAGCCCATCCCCTGCAAGCTTGTCTCTGTGGATGTTCGTGCCGTTGAAAGAGCATGTTACCGTATCCCAGGGATTATTGAAGCTGCTGTACGACAACGTAAGGATGGATCTCCTGAAGCTTTTATCCAGGTGGAAGAATATGCAGAATACGATGCTGCTGATATTGACCGTGCTTTGGCGCAGGTACTACATGGATATGTCGTTCCCAATCCCTTGCACGTCTTCCGTCAACCTTTGGCTAAGATTAATGGACGAATCGATTTCGAGACCATGGAAGAAGAGGTCAGAGCACAAAATGCATCATCCATGTCACCTACAGCTTTGATTGTTCGTGACATCATTGCCAAATTGTTGGATACCGAATCCGGTACAATCACAGCTGAATCCGATTTCTTCTTGTTGGGTGGTAACAGTTTGCTGTTAGGAAGATTGGTTCATTTGATTCGTAAGGAGACTGGAGCATCTTTGGAAGTATCTACGCTTTTCAACAATTCTACCGTTGAAGGCATTGCATCACTCATTGAAGAAGATCAAGGTATTGAAGATGATTACGATGATATGACAGATGGTTTCTTGGACGAGAAAGGATCAGGTGCTTTCAGTAGTGCACATCGTTATGAATTCGAAGGTGACATGGATCCTACCCTCACAAGTCATGGTTACAAGCCAAGAAGTCAAACGCATCCTTGGGTTATGCTTATTCAGATTATTCCCATGATATTCTTTTACCCCTTCAAAGCTGCTTGGACATGGACAGTCATCTTGCACGGTTTAGCATTCTCTGCATACTACATCGAAGATAGTTTCTGGGAGCGTGTTGGTGTTTTGTTGGCATCCGTTACCGTTGCAAGATTCACAAGTCGTATCATTTGTCCCATCACTGCAATCGCATTCAAATGGCTCATTATTGGACGGTATAGACCTGGTAAATATCCAATGTGGTGCAATTACCATTTGCGTTGGTGGATAGTGAATCAGTCCCTCAAAACTGCTGGAAAAGGTTTGTTCGGTCTAACACCATCACTTATCAAGACGTATTACCGCTTATTGGGTATGTCAATCGGATCGGACGTCCACATCGACAGATATGCAAAGATTAACGAGCATGATCTCATCACCATTCATGATGGCGCACGTATCGATAAATCATTACTTCGTGGATTCTGTGTCGAACGTGGAGGCTATTTCCGTTTGGAACCGATTATTGTTGGACGTGACTGTGTTGTGAACACATTCACTCAAATCTCACCTGGTGCTCGTTTGGCTGACGGTACAGTTTGGGGACCTCAATCTTCGTCCCACGAAGAACCTTCAAGCGATGCCTATGCTGCTTACAACAGAAATGCAGTTCATCGTCCAAGCTTGTGGTTGATCTGCTTCATTGGTGTCCCTTTGATCGGTTTGGTTCGTTTGATTTGTTATGTTCCCTGGTTTGCAGCTTTGTTCATGTTGCTCTCTCAACCATTCGAGTTCAACCATCACGATTCGGTCAAGGGTGTTATTGCTTGGTTCGCTTATCCTCGTCGTATCGGATGGCATTATGTCGCCCGTATCGTTCGTAACATCATGCCTCCGCTTATCAATATTGTCTTGGGTATCTTTGTCAAGCGTCTGCTGGGTCTCAACCGTGAAGGATCGATGCGTAATGCCACCCAAATCTCGCTGTTGCGAAGATGGATCAACAGTCAATTGCTATCTCAGCCAAACATTCGTCGTGCAATGGCAGTCTTGGGTACCCATTATGAAATGACTTCGGTCGTTTTCCGTGCAATGGGTGCAAAAGTGGGCAAACGTGTTTATTGGCCAGGAAGTGGTATCTACTGCCCCGATCCTGAATTGCTTGAGATTGGAGATGATGTCGTTTTCGGATCTCGTTCGGAAGTGTTCACATCAGATTCGATCGGTTGGGCTCGTGTGCGTATCGGACGTGGTGCAATGATTGCTGATCGTGTGGTCTTATTGCCAGGTACGACTGTTGGACGACAATGTGTTATGGGTTCGGGTGCTTTAGGTGTTCGTAACGGACACTACGAAGAACATACCGTTTGGATGGGCTCCAAGAATGGATCAGCAGTCAGCTTTGGACGTGCTGCCAAGGAAAACAAGGAGAACTCTGGACCCGACGATACAATCACTCCATTCGGTTTGGCATTCTACAAGCGCAAGGCCAACTTCTTTGTTATCCCTTACTTCTTCCTCGTTTTGATCAACATTATGATGGCAATCTTCTCTTCTGCTTACTGGGCAACGGCTGCCGTGGCTACCGTTTTGACGTTGAACATCATCCGACAAGACTTTGAGTACTCTGCAAACGCAATCTTTGAAGATCACTGGTACAGACCTGGATTGGTTTATGCCTTCATTGCGGTGATGTTTGTTATCGTTCTCAACTTGCAGGCGTACATTGCCTTTGCTTGGGTTATTTTGACCAAGTGGGCAATCATCGGAAGAAGAAGAGAAGGAAGATATGACTGGGACAAGAGCAGTTACTGTCAACGCTGGCAATTGCATTTGACCTTACAACGTCTTTTAGGAAAAGGTTTTGGTGGTCATTTGATCGGTCATATTTCTGGAACGGTTTATGCTGTTTGGTATTTGCGTGCATTGGGCGCTCGTATTGGAAGAGAGTGTTCCATTTGGGCCGGTGGTAAGCCAAGTCTTCAATTGACGGAACCAGAATTGGTCACAATGGGCAATCGTGTCACAATTGATGACTGTTCCATCGTTGCGCATATTAATTCTCGTGGTCGTTTCTCATTGAACAAGTTGGTCATTGGAGACGATTGTGCATTGCGGACAGGAAGTCGTTTGTTGAGTGGTGCCTCTATGGAACCCAATGCGATGTTATTGGAGCACACTTTGATTGCATCTGGTGAAATTGCTGAAGCGAATAGCGTTTATGCCGGATGGCCAGCACGTCAACTACGCATTTTCAGACCAGGCAGTCGCAACAATTCAGCAATCGGATCGCAAGGTCAGTATGGTAATGTAGCATCCGCTGAAAGTTCAACATACAATCTCGCTCCACCTTTCGGCGGCAAAGACAGTCAAGCAACAACACCAACAGGATACTACAAGTAAGCAAAGCATTATAATCATGGACATTTTCAATACCCTTGTGGGGTATCAAATTAATTCTCATGGACACTCAAAACTGTGTTTTATTAATGGCCTTCATTCCCCACTTTCGTTTCTTTTTATTCGAAATCTGTATCTTCATCTCACTCTTTTTTCTCATCTCTTTTTCTCTCTCTCTATCTGTTTTGCACATTCTCCTCTCTAGGAGGATGTTCTTTGATTGACAATCATTCATAGGCTCCTCCTTACCGTCATACACTGTCATTCCTTTGGCACTTCATATTCTCATACTACTAGCAATACAAGCATTGAACGCACGCAAGCGAAGAGTGAGAGTATTCTGAGCATTCTATTAATCACTTGCCGTTGTGGCTACATTACGTTTCCGTGCACTGGAATCAGTCTTTTCATCTATAGCAGAGGATGTGGCCTTTGCTTCTACTTTTTCGTTTTGCGTGCTGGCCGATTTCTTTTCGGCTGCGATTGGGTCAGAGTAAGTGAGAGCGACGAAGAGGTCTTTGATCTGCTTCGTGATCAAAAGGATCACACGAGTACAGATTGTTGACCACATTCCCGCACTTACTGAGCCACGAGGAGCGGCAGTCATTGCCAATAGCCATCCCAAAGGACCAAGGTATGTTTCGTTGACCATACTCCAGGCATGCGTTGCATCGTGTGGGATCTCGAACCCTCCTGGTGCTTTACGTGTGGGTAAGTATGAGATTCTGGCGGCTGAAGAAGCGACAGTTGGCGATCCAGAAGGTGGAAGGAAGAACATTGGAGTTTTTCCAAAGTAGAACGTGAGGCAGAATGGGAACAACGTTGTGCCAAGGAACAGAACTGCTCGAACTAAGAGGGAAACTGAAGAAGAAGCACCTGCAAGACGAGCATTTGTTGCCTCGAGTTGTGCTACATGTTTGTCCACCGATCTTCTTAGTTTTGCCCATTTTGCGAATTCATCTTGACTGCTTGTAAGGTTGAGTTGTTGTCGAGTTGAGAACAAGTCTTTCTTGAGTTGTCTTTGTTGTTGTAGATCTTTTGCATTGAATAAGCGTAGGTAGAATGGTTTCAAAGCTGATTCGATTCGTTCCCGTCCGATCAGGTTGATTATGTGGACTGTCACCACAACTGACAGAATGATCAAAGCCGGATGCATGATATCTGCTCACCACTGCGAGCAGCAATTGAATGATGGTGGAGTGAATGATTGTTCGCAAAGGGCGTGCGTGCGTGCACTGGGTTATTTCACCGCGTTCTCGAAGAGTTTAGATTATGTAAGCTGTTTGGGATGTTGATTTGGCTGAATGGAAGGAGCTTGAAACGGATTATCTCTTTCTGATTGCCGAACACGATATGTAATTTTTGGTCTTTATGCGTTCTGCATCTTTGCATGATATAGTCCATTCTAGCAAAGGAGTGAAAGAATGACGATTGTGGTCCAATTTCCCGTTCATTGTCGTCCCTCTCATGGAAGGAAGAGGGCCCTAAAGATGTGTTATTGACTTAAGTCACTTCCTTGTTGCGGTGCAATCACATATGTTTTCCGCTCCGAAACGCGGACAATTGCCAGCTTGATCCATTTTTGCCCGTTTTTGTTTTCTGAGTTTCAAAACACAAAACCCAACACCGTCTACATAGATTAGACGGGATAGAGCATTTTTGACTTTGACCATCATCACTGCGGATCTTACATTGAAGTCTTACCTGTCTTATTAGAGACCAGGCTCGAACAACTTTCAATTGTGCTGATACGATTTTCTCCTCTATCTCGTTCGAGCATCTATTGGCTTTTTCGAATTTCAATTCAGATCAATCGTAAGAATGCCATTTGATAAGCGGATAAGGCCAAAGAATGGCGTTTCAACAAGGAGCCAAAATCTTCTACGACATATGCTTTGTATATTGCTGTTCTCGTCCTTAATACTCGCCATCCTTGCACAAGCTGCTGATCCTATCGCTCCCGCTCAGGCTACCGCAGCTCCTGCTACTGGCGGACAAAATCAAGCAGGCAATCAAGGTGGTAATCAAGCACAAGGTCAAGGTCAGGGTCAAAATCAAGGCCAGAATCAGGGCCAAAACCAAGGGCAAAATCAAGGTCAAAACCAGGGACAAGGCCAACAGCAAGGTCAGCAACAAGGACAAGTCGCTCAAAACCCAAATTCATCTGCGAACAATTCTGTTTCTTCAATTCCTCAATCAGCCGCAGCAGGTGGAATCACAATCACTCAACCACAACAAACTGCAGCACAATCATACTACAAGATTGCTCAAGGTATCAGTGTTACGTTTGGATGGAACTTTACTAGTGTTTTGCGATATCCTAGCTCATTCGTTGTGCAAGCATATTGTTCTGAGAATCATAATACGTATACGATCGCTTCAAGCTTGGCTGGAACGGCAACTGCAGTGACATGGGCTCCGTATGATTTTGATCAATCGGCTATTCAGCTTGGACAACCACAACTGATTCAAGCAACATATCGATTGCAAATCTTTGACGAACGTGGATTGTCAGTAGGTCTGCAACCGGGCTTGTTTCAACCAAACACAAAAGTGGAATTCGCACTCTATCAACCAAAGCCATATACACCCATTTCTGCTGGTTGGATATGTGCTGGTTGCAATGGTGCAACACGATCAAAGCATGCTTCGATGTTTGTGCTGGCATCTCTGGTCGCTCTTGTCACGTATTTGATTCAGCTGTAGCATTCTGGGCTCTCTCTGATTTGTATAATACGGCAACTCGACCCATCTCTCAACTGCAATCCAATCGCCGCCAGCAATACGTTCAACACACACTTCGCTGTATATTTACAAATGGACAATATATTCTTATAATACAAACAGACACTACTCTCAATCTCCTTCTTCCAAGATTTCAACTCCATCATCATCAGGTCTAGGACGACGACGAGCACGTTCACGTTGTTTACGTTGTTCTTCTTGGATTCTGCGTTGTTTGCGTTCACGATCAGATGCAGCTGCAGAAGATGCACCATGAACGTTTGATGCACTTGTCGTTCCGCTCACTGCTGTTCCTGCTTGACTGGCCAAACTGGAAGAACGCATTCTTTTTGTTCGAGGCATTTCCCTTTCTTCGCCTGGTGTCTGTCTTGCAGCTGAGGGAGGTGGCATATCGCCGGCAGGTGTACGTCTCTTTGATCTTGTCAACGTTGGTGCTCTGTTTTGCTGGTCTAAATCATCTCCTTCATCCACGATCTCTAAACCATCCTCATCGTATTGTATTTGTTCAACCTTGCCAACCGGCTCTTCTTCCTCATCGCCTCGCTTGATCGGTGGAATGTTCTCCATATCCTCATCATCTTCGTTGGCCTTCTTGATGTTGAATGTTGGCAATTCGATCGCAGGTGCTTCTCCACTAAGATCAACACCTGCAAGACGAGCATATTCATCCAAATTGACAGGCAAGCGTCTCTTGAATGCCAAATCCAGACTATGACTATCTGTGCGTTCCATCGATCTCCATTTGGCGCGAATTTGAGATCGATTGCGGGACGGGAACATACGTGCAATCATTTCAAAATCACTTCCCCACATCGAAACAGCTTTCAAGAATTCTTTTGTTTCTTCGACATTCCAACGATCGTTTCTTGGTCGTGATTTTGCATGACTTGATGAATTGACAAATCGATCAGATTCATTGATATCAATCATTTCATTTTGTGCACCATATCCTGCATCATCATTACGACTTTGTTGTAAACTGCTTTCATCCAAGACAATCTTTCCATCAACGATACGAGTTCGAATGCTAAATTTCTTTTCACGTAAGGTGTGATGAGTGGATGTAGAAGCAGCACCAACTGACTCAGCATCCGATTGCGCACCATCTTCTCCATCTGTTGCGCTAGTGTGTCCATCATTGACGATACTCTCTGCATCGGAATGCTCAGACTGTTGTGCTTGAGCATCGTCCTCTGCACCGTGATCTGCACCTTGTGCACCGTTAGTGTTTGGTGCATCATTGCTGCCATTGGCTCCAGGACCGACTAATGCCGTCAACTCTTGCTCTGTTCGGAGATTGTGCAATCGCATCTGTTTACGCATTTTGACTCTTTCTCGTTTGTCATTTCGATGCTTGCGTGCGAGCTCGAATGTCTTTGCACTTGCTCTACCATGATTGAATCGAAGCTGACTCAAATCCAGCATAGTTGCAGATCGATTGTCAAGCTTCTCTTTAGCTGCATCATCATTTTGAGAACCGTGGTATTCTGCTTCATCATCGGAGATTGTTGGCTTTTTGGGTCTCTTGGCTGCCTTGCGTTTGGAAGATCGCTTCTTTGTGCCTGTTCCATCGCTTTCCTCGGATTCCTCATCTGAATCATCCGAATTGTTCTCCTTCCACTGTGCCATAGCGATCTCCCATTCCCGCTTTGCCTCTTCCGCTTTAGAGCGATATGATGCTCTTTCTGTTTCCGATAGAGCATGCCAGGCTGTTGAGATTGCTCCGCTTCCCTTCTTGCCCTTTCCACTTTGCTCATATTCGCTTCTGAAGATGAGGTATGCATTCTTGGGAGCAGCTGGTTGTCCTGATCGATCTTTGGAAGGCTGGCTACCTTTCTTGCTGGGACTAGCAGTGGCTGCATCATCATCTTCCTCCGAATCAGAACGACCATAAATCTCATGAAAAGCTTCCATTGCAATTTCATGCTCTTTCTGTAGTTGTTCTGCCTGCTTGACATACGGCTCACGATCTTCATGTGATAGAGCCTGCCAATCTTTACGTATTGCTGCGTTTACGTCAAACGTTCTACCCGAAGCACTTGCAGCTCTTTCTTCCACTTCCGATCTGTGTTCCCTCGAATATAAGGTATAAGCAGATGCGGGCTTTGCAGGACGACTGCCTCGAGGAGGCTTCTTGCGTTGAGTACTAGCATCACTTTGACGTCGAACACGAGTCTTCTTTTGTGTTTCGGAGGCAGGCTCACTCGAAGGAGCGTTCTCTGGAGTTGGTCCAACATCCTTTCTCTTCGAGGAAGAAGATTCTGCTGCAGGTGGCGGACGTGATGCAGACCGTGGGAAAGAAGGCGTAGGCGTACTTCTCACCAATGAACCTGGCCGTTCAATAGATTTCCCACGAGAAGAACCAGGTGCTGCAATCGGGGTAGAAATGAGTGTACCCTTTGGTCTTGATGCTGGAGATGAATTCACAGCAAACGAAGATGTGGATGAAGAAGGTGCAGCAGAAGGTCTTCTGATTGGATTGGAGCCTGAGGGTGGTCCTGGAGTGACTCGTTTGGGGAGTGGTCTTGGTGTGCCAATATTGCTCGGTGTCGAGATTGGTGTCGGAATGGCAATCGGACGGCCGACTTGCTTTGATGGGGTGACAGATGCGGCTTGCTGGGGTTCAATAGATTCATCTGTGGTCACTGTAGGTGCATCCGATGCTGATTGTTGTGCTCTTCCCTCATTTGAAGGTTGTGATGCAGATGGCATTGAGATTGCTGTTGCTTGTCCTGAACGTGAAGGACCTGCATTGCTAGGCCTAAAGCGAGCTTCAGCTGTTCTCTTTTGTACTCTAGAAGACATGTTGTTCCAGTCTCGTTGCACTACTCTCACTTTATCATTTTCTGCAATGAATGCAAAAGTGGATGGCAATTAAGGATCGCGTTAATAAAAAGTGTCAAATAATGATATGCAACACTAGCTTATGCTGCACACTGCACACACAGTCTTCTCAATGCAAGCCTCTGCATGTGCAAGCTTACATACACTTTAAGTCCGTGCAAGCAAAACCCTCCGTTGAGTCACTAAGCTCGACTCTCATTGCGGGAAGAAGGTATGCTATTCACCATCACCATCATCGATTTAGTTGACAAGGCTGCTTTCAAATAGTGTTATACTGTGTCCACCCGCTCGCAGGTTTCAGCGCTCTAAATAGATATCCGAGTAAGAGCACATCTGAAGAAGGTACACCTCAAAGAATCAAGCTCACCATCAATCTGGCAAAGAAAATAGGATCAGTGAGCTGCCCAGATAGGAACAGGTACAAGGATGAGTCACACAACAATCAATACTGACCAAGGACGGTCAACCAAACCAGCATCTGCAGGACATACAAAGAAGTCCGAGTCACAAGGTTCTTTAGACGCACTAACGTCTGCATTCTCGAATAGCCATATCGCATCAGAGCTATCAATCGAACCAGAAGCTTTCAAGAAGCTTGCTTTACAAGACCCAACTTCAGATGCAACGGCTGAGGTGGGGAAACAAAACGGCAATCAGCATACCGATGAGGTGGCAAAGAAGGCACCCGAGCAGAATGACACGCTTAGTCAGACAGCAAAAAGTCTAGGAAGCATTCTACATGATTGGACTTGGTCACAGGGAGGCGAAGTAATCTTGTCTTTGGGTCGAAGAACGCAGATAAACGATGAATCGGCTTCATCTGCCACGCCGGCAAAATCGCTTGCTGATGCGATTCCAAATTCTATGACCATGGGCGACAAGCTAGAGGATGTGAAGCACATCAACATGTCCCTTACTTCCAAAGAATTGTCTACCATAATACGGCATGTCAAATTGGCCGCTTCTCAGGTTGATTGTCAGGCAACAACGCTGTTTGAGCATCTCGACGAGAAGGAGAGGGAGCCTTTTGCTTTCATTATGGTCAGAAGGATACCTAGCAGTGCACAAGAGTTGTTGGAGCTACGAGTGGCAGTGGTTGGAAATGTCGATGCTGGTAAATCATCAACGTTGGGTGTGCTGACGAGAGGAGGCTTGGACGATGGAAGAGGAAAAGCTCGTGTGAATCTATTCAGGCACAAGCATGAGATCGAGTCAGGAAGAACGTCAAGTGTCGGTATGGAGATTCTAGGATTCGATGTAGGAGGTGGAGTCGTGATGAACATTGATGCCAAAAATACCTCGGAGCCAGGCAGGAAGATGAGCTGGGAGGAGATCTGCGAGAAAAGTGCAAAGGTGGTATCATTTATTGACTTGGCAGGACATGAGCGTTATCTAAAGACGACTGTCGGTGGTCTGACCGGGTGCTTGCCTGACTTTGTCATGCTTATGGTTGGTGCCAATGCAGGTCTGATAGGAATGTCGAAGGAGCACTTGGGTGTAGCATTGGCTTTGGCTGTGCCTGTTCTGGTCTGCATCACAAAGATTGATATGACACCACCACACATCCTGGAAGCTACTATCAAACAATTGACAAAGATTCTTCGCTCGCCAGGGTGTAGAAAGACGCCAATCTTTATCGAATCTCCAGAACAAACGGTCGATGCAGCTTTGCGACTGGGTCATGAACGAATCTGCCCCATTTTCCAGATCTCCAACGTCACAGGTCACAACTTGAACCTGCTCCGTTCGTTCCTCAACATTTTGCCGCAAGCCAACGCTGCCAAATTCTCGCCAAATGCTCCCTTCAAATTCCAGCTGCAGGATGTTTTCTCTGTGCCATTCGTAGGCTGTGTGGTCAGTGGGGTAGTACTGTCTGGTATGGTCAAGGTTGGAGACAATCTAATCATTGGTCCTGATACGTTGGGTCAATTTACCAGCACAAGTGTTCGTTCAATTCAACGGAAGCGAGTGAATGTTGAAATGGCAACGGCAGGTCAAAGTGCAAGTTTTGCATTGAAAAAGATTCGAAGAAATCAAGTTCGAAAAGGAATGGTGATGATGTCAAAAGCGGTTGAAGGTCAACCGCCTCCAAGGGCTGTGATGACATGTGATGCTGAGATCTTGTGTTTGTATCATTCAACAACGTTGAGTGTGGGAAGTTGCATGGTCTTGCATGCGGCAAGTATTCGACAGACTGTTCGTATCACTCAGATTGCCAAATTGGACGCACAGGGAAATATCGTCAGCAGTACATGGCCAAATCAGGCAAATAAGGCAGGTCAAAATACGAGCGACGGTTCAACGGAAGCGGGAAATGCATCTGAGTCAGTATCGAAGAATGGAAAGCAGACAGGAATGAATGAACCCACTTCCTCTTCGCCGGACAAGCCAGTCGTACGTACGGGAGATCGTGCTTTGCTACGGTTGCAATTCATTCGAACGGCAGAATATCTGGAGCCTGGTCTCAAACTCATCACACGAGAGGGCAAGACGAAACTCATTGGTGTTGTACGTGCAGCTGGACAGACAGGTCCGCTCAGCGCAGATATTATCCCAAAGAATCGGCCCGCAGGTTCGAATGAGTCAGAGGCTAATGCTTAAAGAGGGAATATGCTGAGTCAATGGGAGGTTCTTCTATTATTTGCTCTACTCATGTACAGTTACGAAGTTGGAATAGCAACATGTAATAATTACAACAATTTATCTCCAATTGCCTTTTTTGGTGTTTACGGATCCAAACGTTTAGGATCACGAGGGAACATGCTTGCTCTACGAATGTTACCCAATCCCAAATAGAACATCACCACACGTTCCATACCAATACCCGCTCCAGCATGTGGTGGACATCCGAATCGGAATGCGTTGAGGTAAGCTTTCATATCTTCAGGTTGAATACCTGCTTCCTTCATTCTGCCTTCCAACATGTTTGCATCATGAACACGTTGAGCGCCAGAGAGAATTTCTTGACCACGGAAGAAGAAGTCGTACGATAAACTGTAATTTGGATTGGCAGGATCAGGCATCGTGTAGAAAGGACGAATTGCCAATGGGAATTTGTCCAACATGAAAAAGTCACTCTTGTACTTATCACGAACGGCTTTACCCAAAATTCTTTCTTGCTCTGTACTTAAGTCATCATAATCACCAATCTCCTGGCCTGCCTCACGTAAAATCTTGACAGCTTCAGGGAACTCCAATCTTGGCATCACATCAGGCACCAAGAAGTCATCAACTGGGAATTGCTTGCGGACAGTTTCGATCTCTTTGGCGTATCTCTTTGGCAATTGTTGGAAGATGAAGGTGAACAAACCTGCCAAGGTGTCCAAAACTTCGTGGTAGTGTTCATCAAATGCCATCTCCAAATCCAATCCTGTGAATTCGGTCATGTGTCTTGGTGTGTTACTGTCCTCAGCACGGAAGACTGGTCCAATCTCATACACACGTCCGAAATCAGCAGCGATGGCCATTTGCTTGGCCAGTTGAGGGCTTTGTGCCAAGAAAGCGTTTCCTTTGAAGTAAGACACTTTGAAGACGCTTGCTCCACTTTCCGTTGCTGCTCCTTGCAATTTGGGAGTGTGAATCTCGACAAATCCTCTGTCGTCCAAGAATTCTCTGAACAGCTTGCAGACACCATGTTGAATACGGAAGATGGCTTGATTGGTTGTCGTTCTGAGATCCAAAACACGATTGTCCAATCGGGTGTCGATACCGATGCTTGGCATTGGTCTGTCTGTGCTTTGACTGGCTTGGATCTCATTCTCTGATCTTGTAGCATCGTCAACGTAGAATGGCAATTGCTCCTTCAAAGCTAAACGAGAAATGGCGTGCAGTTTGGAGATCTTTACCTCTGCATCCTTGGCTGTAACTGTAGCTGATTCGATAGGCTTAGCTACTTTTGAGACCACACCTTCCACAAGCACAATCGTTTCCGACTCTAATCCTGCTGCCCACTTGACCATTTGTTTAGAGACCTTTTCTGGCGTTTGTGTCAAAATTGCTTGAACACAGTCGAATCTACTACGCAAAGTCAAGAAGACCATCTTTGCAGAAGGTGATCTTGAAGTTTGAATGCGTGCCGAGAAGGTGACAGTCTTGCCATCATTTCCGGCGTTGATATCGGTCAAGCTGTTGAACGTACGTCCCGTTCTTTCTTGCGATTGATTCAAAGGAAGATCACCATAATTTTGTTGAGCAAAATCAACTTCAGATGCCTCCTTTTTTTCCTTCTCAGCTGCTAAACGTGCTGCAGTTTCGGCTTTTTTACGTTCTTTTTCTAATTTTGCAGCACGTTTCTTCTTTTGATTGTCGGACAGAGGTGTTCCATCTTCATTTCTCTCTTCTTCCAAGATTTGTTCGATTGGTTTCGTCAGATCCATTATGAATGCTGGTGGGAAAAAGAAGAAAAGTTTAAATTTAGTGTCGCGCACGCATATAAATCTTCCTGCCGCGTGCGTGAAGCACAGAGGAGTCACAATCGTGACTAAGTCCATCCTCATATTCCTCGGAATTGGGAACAACCCCTCCGAAGTGAACTTGGCTGATTCAGGTTGAGATGATCAGTTGGGTTTATTCGAGTACTGACTATTTTTGCGGGGATAGTGAACTTCCTAAGACTTCCATGGCCAAGTTCACTATATCTGTTCTAAACTCAGATGAAGTCGCAAAATGTCATAACATTCACTGATTAGAGAGCAGGTACAGGGGTTGAGCATACACGCAGAATCACTTAAAGACCTTACCGAACAAAGGCGTTGCTACTTTTTCATCATGACCAGGAACGATCAATCCTCCAGTAGCTTTTTCCAAACGTTTAACTCTTTCATTGCTTGAGAACCATGCTTGATGATCACGAGCGAGCCATCCTTGTGGAGTGCCATGATAATTCTCTTGCACATGTGCATGATCGGATAAAAAGACAAACGTCCCACTTTCGATCAGATTGATTTGCAAGCCACACAAACCGGCGGTATGACCGGGTAACCAATGCAAAGTCATACCTGGAAAGATGTCCAATTCACGATCATCGAATACCTTCCAATTCAAGTCCAAGCTGAGGTAATGCTTTTGATATACTGCATCATCAGCACCCGTTGCAGCAGAATAGAAAGCACTTTCAAGCTCAACCTTGTGCACCCAAATCGGAACGTCTTTACCGATCCAATGAACCAAACCACCAGCATGATCGAGATGCAAATGACCAATGATGACTTGTTTGACATCATCGATATGATAGCCAACCTTTGCAATGGCAGCATCTAATTCATGTTCAGGTTCATAACGTGAACGAGCAAAGATGTCAGCAACGGGCATACCCCAAACCTCTGGATAATCACGACCACAACCTGTTTCCCATAAAATTAAACCTTCGGTTGGATGATCGATCAGTACAACGTACATTACCAAATCACGACGTTCGGGTTTGCCATTTGGACCGGCAGGATTGCTGGCCGTTGAGGTATTGGCACCACGTAAGAACCAACCCGCATCTGCTGCCAGAAAACCAACGGGTAAAACAAACACCTTTGTACCTTCTGGTGCACGATTGAGCACTTGCGGTAAGATGATGTTTGGTTGAGCTTGTGATTTTGTTAAATTGAGAGAAGTCATTGTGTGATCCGATTGATTGATGGTGGAGAGAAGCATTTATTCATTCATCCATCAACAAACCTAATCAAGGTATAAAGCAGTGTCATTCTTAAACTCTTCATGACGCAATGAATTAATAGAGAGGGTCATATGATAGTATCATTCCATGTCCGATGTACCTTTGTCATTATTTCTTGTCAGTGATGAACGTTTGGGCTTTTGTCCGGGCCGCCTGAAGACTGTTTTAGCGCATGACAAGTGGAGTCCAAGAAGTGGACCTCTGTGTCGTACGACTAAAACTAAAGGTCTTATGACAGTATAGTTGTGCTCAACTTTAAACGACTAGCTTCGATCGATTAAATGCTTGATTGATTAATTCAAATTAGCTTCTTTCCCCACATCTATCATTCCTCGCCAAGAATGACATCTTCAACAACAATGAAAGCTTTGGTGATCAAAGCACCATATCAAGTAGCAGTGGAAGATCGTCCAATCCCAACGATCAAAGAAGATACAGACGTTATCGTCAAAGTTCGAACGGCAGGATTATGTGGAAGTGATCTACATTTTTATCATGGTCATATGGTTTTACCCAGATTAGATTTCATTCTTGGTCATGAATTCGTTGGTCATGTATGCGAAGTAGGATCAAAGATCAAAAACTTCAAGAAAGGTGATCTGGTTGTTTCACCTTTTACGACTTCATGCGGAGAATGCTTCTTCTGTCAACGTGGTCAAACGGGACGTTGTTCAAAGGGAAAAGTGTATGGAAGTATACCTTTGGATGGCGCTCAAGCTGAATATGTTCGTGTGGAATTAGCAGATTCAACACTTTACCCTGCTCCAACCACTATCCCGGACGAATGCTTGATCACAATGGCCGATATTGCACCGACGGGTTATTTTGTAGCTTCAAACGGCTACAACATCTTGACAGAATTCGAACGCAAGAAACCCACAACTTGTGTGGTTGTCGGTTGTGGGCCGGTAGGATTGTGTGCAGTCACAGCTGCAACTTCTTTCTTTACTGATGTTTATGCGATCGATCAAGTGGAAGATCGATTGGTAGAAGCAAAGAAACATGGAGCAAAAGATGCATTCAACTTAAATGATGACGTTGAATCAAAGATCAAACAGCTTACAGAAGGCAGAGGTGCAGATGTGATTCTCGAAGTCGTTGGTGTAGAAGCAGCTTTGCATCTATCTGTCAAACTCGCTCGTCCATTTGGCGTGATCAGTTCTTGTGGCATTCATACCAAACCAGTCACTCTTCAGGGATTGGATTTGTACAACAAGAATTTACGTATGCAATTCGGCCGCTGCCCCGTTCGTACCTACTTTGAACCCGCTCTTGAAATGGTTGGAAAACATCAAGACATTTTCAAGGAATTCGTTCAACATTCCGTTCCGATTGATGAAGCTGTCAAGTATTATGACTTGTTTGACAAGCGAAAGGTACGCAAGACTGTCTTTACGTTTTGAATCTCTTGTGTAGTACCTACCTTGTTGAAATGAAATTGATGTACCGGACCGAAGACTTAGCGTGCATTTCCGATTTCTATCGGAAAATCAAAAGTGTGGGGTTGTGGCCAACGGCTTTTGAATCAGGTCACAAGCCACTTTAGCGTCTTCATTAAACTTACAACCGGCGCCGTAGAACATAAAACTCTCTTCTGTGGAGGGTAAAGTGCACATCCATCTTCCTCCTCATTTCCTAAACTTTATCTGATCCTTCTCTCAACGGATTAATTGCCGTAAAGTCCTTTGTGCTTTAGCCAACGTGGCAGCTCAATCCCTCTTTCTTAACAACCACAACAATCATAAAAATCACATATCATTCAAAATCATAATAATGCCTTCCACAACAATCAAGGTAAGTAGTATAATGAGAACTTGCCTATTCAATTGCTAATCTCTTTCTCCTCTCCCTTCTTGCAGCTCAAAGATCAATCCTTGTATGTCGACAAAGCCGTAATCGATGGCCAACTTGTCGAAGCCATCTCGGGCAAACGGTTCGATGTTGAAGATCCATCAACTCGTGAAGTGATCGGTTCTGCACCTGAGATGGACACCAAAGATGTAGAACGATCAGTCACTGCTGCTCAAAATGCATTTCAAACATTCCGTAAGGTTTCGGGTCGCGAACGTGCAAGAATGCTGAGAGCATACAATGACATCATCCTTGCCAACGCGGAAGATTTTGCAAAGCTCATCGTTGCTGAAAATGGTAAACCTCTCAAAGAAGCTCAAGCTGAAGTTGTGTACGCTGCAAGCTTCTTGGAGTTCTTCTCTGGAGAGGCCGAACGCACAAACGGTCTTACGATTCCGGCTGCCAATCCTACAAGTCGTATCATCACGATCAAACAGCCTATCGGAGTTGTGGCATCCTTGTGCCCATGGAACCTGCCAATCGCAATGGCTGCCCGCAAAATTGCAGCAGTGATTGCTTCAGGTTGTACGACCGTCGTCAAGCCAGCAGGTGAGACACCATTTGCCACATTGACTTTCTGTCACTTGGCTGAAAAGGCTGGTATCCCAAAAGGTGTCGTAAACTGCATCACCGGATTGAAGACAACCGCCGAGATCGGAAAGGCCTTGTGTGAAGAACCAAGAGTAAAGAAGATCAGTTTTACAGGTTCAACGGCTGTTGGAAAGCTTTTGGTGAAGCAAAGTGCAGACACACTCAAAAAGATGTCTTTGGAACTTGGTGGTAATGCACCTTTCATCGTTTTTGAAGATGCAAATTTGGACGATGTCATTCCACAATTGTTTGCTACTAAATTACGCAATTGCGGTCAAACATGTACGGCTGCCAACCGTATCCTTGTGCAAAAGTCGATCGTACCTGACTTTGTCAAGCGTTTGCAAGGTGCAATCGAGAAGATCCCGGTCGGAGGAGGAAAGGACCCTAACGTTGGTCTTGGTCCTTTGATGTCAGAGCGAGGTGTCGATAAAGTCAAGACGCATGTTGATGATGCGCTAGGCAAAGGTGCTACGCTTTCATGGCAAGCCGACAAGTCCAAGTATATCAAAGACGAGTTCAAGAACGGCTTCTTCTATCCACCAACGATCATCACTGGTCTGACGTCCGACATGCAAATCTGGAAAGAAGAGAGCTTTGGACCTTTGAGTGCCATCGGCATTTTTGAAGATGAGCAAGAAGCATTACAGAAAGCCAACGATAGTCAAGTCGGTTTGGGCGCTTACTTGTTCACCAAGGATATCGATCGAGCATGGAGAATGGCAGAAGAGATTGAGACCGGAATGGTGGCCATCAATCATGGAATGCTAAGTGCCGCTGAAGGTGCATTTGGCGGCGTAAAAGAGAGCGGATATGGTAGGGAAGGGTCTGTTCTAGGATTGGATGACTATTTGCAAATTAAAACACTCAACTTCAGAGTGGCACCTGCAAAGTGAGAGTGTGTATGCTTTCCAGTCGAAATGACATGATTGACGTGTGTGTGTGTGGCATGAAAGTGCAAGAAGGAACCGGAATTCCGCTTTCTTCTTTTTTATGCGATGAAGAAGTGTGCAGAACAGAGCGATTGCATGAATTCCACCATGATCGGTGCATAAAACAGTCAATATCGAAGACTTATGCTATTTTCAAAGACGGTCTCTCTTTCCATCCTTCCTCTATCATCACTACTTCACCATCATGTCTTCAGGTCAACAGAACGAAAAGATCGCTAGATCAGTACAGAGTATCAACACTGCTTTCCAGCTCTTCACAACCGATGACGTTGAAAAACAGGTTTTCAACGAAAAAGCTGGTCCACTAGCTATGGCAGTATCAATGCTTGGCTACCCTGGCCAGGCAGGTCTAGTTCGTGCGTCATTGAAGCTTATTGTTGGCCTGGAAAAGGCACATGCCAGCGGCTTAGATGTTTCGATGATGAAACACCTGACCCCTACTCCAATCGACCGATTCACATCTGGGCAGGGTGATCCAATTGGACTCAATCCAAGAGAGGATCAAATTTTGCTGAAACATTTTCTCAATGATTACAAGGGAAACGTATGGTATTATTTCGGCGCAAGGCCAGATAAAAATGACCAAAGATGGAATCGGACAGTAACCTGTCTTACCTACGGATGTTTTCTCTTTTGTGCTCTTATAACGGGGATATCATCAGTACCACTTTGCTGGAACAAGGGTGTCGTGTATTGGATCTTGGTCATGCTCAACCCACTCGGGTTGTGTATTCTTGCTGTGACCTTCATTCAGGCTCGTACAGGTATCCGACCTGCAGAAATTCACTGGCAAAATGAGGATGGACCAGATCCGCCAAATTGCAACGATCCTCGGAAGTATCCTAAATTACCTCATTCAATAATCTTTGATGGTGATCGTATCGGAATAATCGATGAACGTGCAATCGACATATATCCTTTAAGCACGTTACGCTTCAAGATCGCCCTTGCAGTAGGTACATCATGTCTTTTAATCGGATTTCTTGTCGCTTTTACCCTGATTCAAGATAATGATCTAGATGCGATTATTTGGGTAACTTGTCAGCTCGTCTTAACAGGATTGCGATATGTAGTTTGGCTTCTTGAGCCGCTAAGAATGGTACAGAGATTATCAAAAGAGATGGGAATTGAAGCAAACACCGTTGCAGGCGATATATGTGACTTTACAGATGAAGCCACGGCACGCATCGTGTTCTTGATCGCACGCAAACGGATTTACGACACCATATACGGTGAATATTTCCTTAGTCGATATACTGAGGAGTCTATATGGCATGTTTTATCAAGCTTACCTTGGGCTGAAGCGGGAAATTGGTGTCAGCATAAAGCGCTCAAGGCTGAAGAAGTATATGCCGCCGTTCAGGACGAACAAACCATCCTAGATCAGCTTAAAAAAGAAGCAAATCAAAGAGCGGCTTCTGGAAAAGCGACGAATGTTTCAAGCCAGGCGCCATTTCGAACTGTAGAACAAAGCAAAGATACTACACAATCTCGCGAAAACCATAGGGTGATAGATATGCAGCAGGGAACCAGCAATAACCAAATCATACTGATCCCATTGCCAATCATTTATGCGATGTGCGATGTTCTAGGACTAAAGCCGCTTTCCTGTGGCTTACCTACTATGTCTGTACTTAACAATTATGGAACTTATGTAACACTCTGCTTGGTTACTCGAGGTTCTATGGTGTCTTTCCTGCTTTACATTGGTTATTTTCCCGCAATGGAAGGACGTTTATTCGGATTTTTACCCGATAACGAGGAACAGTCCACCTTACAGCTTTGCTCGGACTTAAGGTTGGAATTTACCGGTGGAATTTTGACTAAAGCAAGTCAGCCAGAGGTCAGCCCGCCCATGGAAGATTTCGCGAGAGAAAAGTCTTCGAATGAGTCTTTCGAAAAATTGCTTTGGTCTTGGAAGCAGAACACCCGACAAGATAAAATCATCAATTCAAGGGCCGATCTACCGCTAACGGCCAGTCCTAGAGATGAAGATTCTTATTTAGTAATAGAGACTAGACGGAATCATTACCTTTATGGGCGATCGATATTAAGGTTGTTCATTCGTAATTCTCAAGATATAGAGAGAAGAAAGCGCATTCGGACTTATCACGTTGCTTCTAAAGGTGACGGAAATGGGGCATCCTCCTTCTGGCGGAATCGAGCCAACATTGCTATAGGAGGGACAGCACAGCGACTGGGAGGGACAGCACAGCGACTGGGAGGGACAGCACAGCGACTGGGAGGGACAGCACAGCGACTGGGAGGGACAGCACAGCGACTGGAAACTTTGAGCGGTCCAAAGACGCATTCAGTGCAAGTGAATCCAGCATCACCAACATATCACACAGCAGCGACTTCAATTATCAGCGATGACATTATTCGAGAAGAAGAGGATTGGGCCGCAGATTTGGTGGAGGTATGGTATGAGCAGCGTGATTGAAGACAATACTAGTGTACATAGAGCTTTCTTATCGTGAATCCATCAAGCTTCTTTAGCCACTCTTCAGTCATCATCGCCATTTGATCGAGTCGTGATCTGTACCGGGAATGTCTGTACTTCAAGAAACCAAGTTGATCTGCATCGCCATGGAACTTGTTCAGCCTCTACTCCATCTGAATCTCTTCCCTGCCAATCATTCGAGCTACGATCGGGTAATTTGAAATCAAACGTACGGATCAGAGAAGGTAGAGCCTTGTTGATTTCCATCAGAGAGATATTCTTCCCGATGCACTGCCGTGCTCCGCCGCCAAAGGTCAAAATACTCTTTTCCAAGTTCCTTCTTTTGTCCTCGCTCAGATTCAACCAACGATATGGATCATACTCTCTTGCATTCTCACCAAATTCGTCTTTGTTCCGGTGCAGCACAAAAGGAGCCACACTCACTTGACAACCGAAAGGAACGATATGCTGCTTTCCCACGTGTCCCTGAACCACTAAGCCGTCTTTCGTACATACTTCCCGAGGCAATGACATCGAGATGGGCGGATGCAATCGTAGTGTCTCCTTGATGCATGCTTGCAGCAGCTCCAACTTGACTGCTTGTGCATATTGAATCGGCCATGTCAAGGCACCAGCATCAAATGCATCATCGATCTCTTTCTGAAGTGCCTTATGAACTTCAGGATTGCGTACCAGATAGCCGATCATTGTCGTCAAAGCAGTTGCGCTTGTGTCTGATCCCGCAGAAACCACACTGATTGCCGTCCGCAGTACTTCATTCCGCTGGAGAAGATTTCCCGTCGTAGGATTCTTACTCTTACAAAAGTTTGACAACATATCCTGCCTGGCATCCAAACGTGCAATATCGTCCAACTCTTCTTTGGTCATTTTTGTCTCGTCCTTTTTTGATTGAATGTCTAGCAAGCGGTATCGTTCGTTGATCAATGGTTCAGTAACTTTTCCAACCGTTTCTCCGCCTGGTTGACCAGATGAATACTTGATCCACTTTCTCAACGGTCGAGAGATTGCGGGAAGCCAGCCCGCCATGCTTCCCCAATGGGACAAGTTGCTCACACCCACCAAGAAGTTGTCTGCATCATTACCCTTCTCCACAAATCCAAATGAAGCACCAAATGCAAGCTCTCCAACGGCGTCCATTGCAAAGAAGTGCAACCATTTCGCCAAATCAATCACAACACTGCCTTTCTCTGTCGTAGCCTGATTTTCTGATAGCCTTTTGATGAAATTTTGCGTTAGTGGTTCGATATATTCTTCCAATTTGATCAAATTGTTCATACTGTATGCACCAGAGATCGCTCGTCTGAAAGCTGAATGTTTATCTGAATCAATCTCGCTAAAAAGACTTGGTTGTTTGCGGTATACCTGGAATGATTGATAGAACGTCGTCTTTGGGTAGATCACCCCACTTCCATGTGCATATATCTGTTGAGCAGCTTTTGATGTGTTGAAAGACAGATGATTTGTGCTTATCCGCACAACTTCTCCATATCGATCGTGTGCTTCCTCCAATGCCCATGCGAATCGATAATTGTACGTTTGCCAGAACGGCCAAATGCCTGGTATCCCGATCCTAGCGATGAAAGGACCTGGATATTTGGCAAGAGGATGAAAGAAGAGGTTGTAGATGATCCAAGCTGGAATGGAGATGGCGATCGCTAGAGGGATATGATACCACTCCAAGCTCAATGCCAGCTTGACAAATACGGAAGATCGTGCATCGTTCATTATGATAGTGACAAAGATGGGGAGATGAAGATCGATCGCAACTTGAGATGCTATATTGGCCCTATTTGTACCTTTTTCATTGTATGACAACGGGCCGTAGGAAAGGTCGGTTTGGAGGAAAGGAAGAATGCAATTTCGTGCGAAAGAGATTAATACGGCCGGGTGGTCCCCCCACACTTTCACGTACGAGAGAAGCTTGCGGGCGCGTGCGCACACTTCCGTTGTGCCTGACGGCTTTCCAGTCTAATAGTCCGTTAGCGGTTGCTCCTGTTCATGACTCAAGGATTGACGGTACGTTGCTTTTTGAATTCATCTATCCAACGCTTTTCGGCTTCACTGCCTTTGGGTATAACAATGAATGACAAAATGCCATCTTGCAATACCATTCCGTCCCTTTCTTCCTTTTTAGCAGGATCGGCATCTCGAGCACAATGATCCATAGCCTCTCGCAACGTTAAACCTTTTCCGATTCGAAGGATACGTTTGGAATGCGTGGTTGCCAAGATGCTTAGATTTGAGCTGACATATTCACCTTTTGTGTCCCAAGGTAAAGATGGTGGATGTGGGAACATCATATCGAGATGTGCACCTAGAGTTGTATCTTCATGGAACTGTGAAACCATGTCCGATTGATGGTATTGAGGGTAGAGGAGCACTACTGGAAAGATGATTGGCGTTCTGATTGCATCTGGTGTATGCCATTTCGTGTTTGCTATTATCTCGCCTTCCTTGTTTGTGATTGTCAAAGGTAGGGTGGATGACGAATCTGTGCCTGAGATTGCGTCTGAGTCGAATTGTGCCGGATTAGGGTTCTCTGGTGGCTTGGATGTGTTTTCAATCCAAAGCCCTCTCGCAAGGAAGGCTTTTGCCAATGCCGTCTTACTCTCATTCGACCGTCTTTCACGTTCAGAAGTTTCCTTTTCTCTTCTATCCTCGTCAATTTTCTGCTTCAAGATCTGCGCTCTTAGCTTGATGATCTCGACGTTATCTTTCTCGTGCAACAGTGCATGATCACAACAATCGATTGCTTCTACATACCGCTTGAGAGCCGATAGCGCTTTTGCTGAACGAAAGAATGCCTTTACAGATGCAGGGTTGAGACCCAAAGCTGAAGAACAATCTTTCAGCACCATTCCATAGTTCTCTAGTGGAAGGTTGCATGCAGCTCTGTTGACATACAGTGTCTCTTGCAATTTCACATCTTTTGGGTATGCGTCCAAACCTTGACTGTAAAAGCCTCTTGCTTCTGTATACCTTTTGGCGACGAAATACTCGTTTCCTTGCCGTTTGAAATTGCTTGCCACTTCATCTGGTGTGCCGTCAAATGTTAAGCTCTGCAATGCGTCCAATACCGTTGAGTCTTCCTTTTGTCCTTCATTGTCAGATGGAAGTTGGGTCATGAACAGTGGTGTGCTATCCAAAGTAGAAAAGTGTGAGTCTAAACTCCGCTGAGACTTTTCTGCTCCTGCTGTGGATGGCGTTTCCGTTATTGACATTTTTGGGTGAGCTGATGTTCTTCCGAAGGTCAGAAAGACTGATGTGAATGTGATTGATGAAGTTGATGATTTGCAGGAAAGGTTGATCTTCTCACAAGATGGGAAGACTTGTTGAAATTAGCGCCGCTAAAAAATTCTCGTAAATCCATGTTTAAACTTTTGGTCCTACTTAATGTATGACAGCACAAGGTCAGTATATGCACAATTTCGTATGCCCGCGCTAGAAGAAAGGCAACTTTATCTTAACCACATCCTCAAGCATAGCAGACATGGCTACCACAAGTGCACATGCTGCTCATCACTTCACCGGAAAGACGATCGTGATCAAGCTGGGCACATCTTCAATCCTATCAGAAACAACTCATCAACCAAAATTGTCCATATTATCCTCACTTGTAGAAACATGTCATGAACTCCGCAGTGCTGGCCATCGAGTTGTGCTGGTATGTTCAGGTGCGATCGGAATGGGAAAGGTACGGATGGGTTTCATGAAGCCTGGATCAACTTCCACCGGCAGAGGAACGATTGGAGAAAGGCAAGCATTAGCTGCAATGGGACAATTGCGTTTGATCGCATTGTGGGATACACTATTTGGAGAATTAGGGATCAATGTCGCTCAAGTCTTGCTAACACGCAATGATATTGCTGATCGACCAAGATTCATGAATGCTCAAAATACTCTACGGACTCTGTTATCACCTCCCTTCAATGCAATCCCAATCGTGAACGAAAACGACACTGTGTCCGTCTCAGAATTGAGATTTGGTGATAATGACACATTGAGTGCCATCACTGCAGGTCTGGTTGATGCAGACTTTCTATTCTTGCTTACGGATGTTGATGGTCTGTATACTGGCAATCCGCGCAATGACCCTCGAGCAAGAAGACTAGGTGTGGTGGGAAATGTCGGCAAAGTACGAAAGATTGTTAATGTGACAAGCTTGGGAAGCAATTTTGGCACGGGTGGAATGATGACAAAGTTGATTGCTGCAGAATTGGCAACAGCTGCAGGTGTGGCTACGGTGATCATTAATGGGAATATACCCACCAACATTGTCAAAGTGGTGGAAAAAGGTGTTCCTGTAGAGGTGACAACCGGCACTACGGAAACAGAATCAAAAGAAGCCGTGACGGATCTTACGACATCAATCTCATCTCTGGATTTGGAGCATGAACGGGACACAATTGGAGCGCCAGCAATTGACAACCCTCCTCATACGATCTTCTTGCCTGTCAGACACCCCTTGAAATCACGCAAATGGAGTATTCTGCATGCTCTTCATCCTGCAGGAACAGTGATCATTGATGAAGGCGCATATGAGCGAATCAGCCGACCAGAAAGCGGTGGCAGATTGCTAGCAGCGGGTGTGGTGGGCGTTGAAGGTACATGGGAACGCATGCAAGCTGTAAGATTGGTCGTTCGAAGGAAGTTGAAGCTGTTGACAACTGAGAAGGGAGAAGTCGTTACTGCTGCTATTCCAGAACAAGCTGATCAAATTAATGATCCGTCATCAATCAATACAGCACATCTAGTATCAGCAAACGGACATCAGATTGAAGTGGTGAAAAGGCAACTGAATTCCTACCTGCGAAGTGAAGAACATATCGGATCAGGCTCTAGATCAGCCAGCAGACCTACTTCTGCTATTCAAACACCACCCAACATAGACATTGCAACAGATGAAGATGCAAAAAATACGACAATTACCGATTGGGAATTGATCGAGATCGGGAGAGGCCTAGCAAACTACAATTCGATAGAATGTGAACGGATAAAAGGTCTTAACAGCTCGCAAATTGTAGATGTGTTGGGCTATACCGAGAGCGATTATGTTGTGGACGAATTAGCACTTCATTTGACCCTACCATAAGCCAGAACCGGTCCTTTTGATCGCAATAATCGGCATTCTATGCATTTGGCCGTTTCGGCAAACGTACAATTACCGATCCGCATGGGCGTTGGAGGAAGCGCATGATCGATATAGAGAAGCAGTTCGGATCAGTACAAATCACCTCTCTTTTAGCACATCAAAAGCTTCTCGACAGATATATGCGCATAGAAATAAGGTGATTTATCCAAAGACGACGTTCTACCAATCGTTCCAATTTCATCCTAAACAACCAAGTCTTTTCAGCGAGATTGATTCAGACAAACATTCAGCTTTCAGACGGGCGATCTCTGGTGCATACAGTATGAACAATCTGATCAAACCGGAAGAATATATCGAACCTCTAATGCAAAAGTTCATCAAGTCACGACCGCTGGAGAGAAAGGCGATGCTGTGATTGACCTTGCGAGATGGTTGCACTTCTTTGCAATGGACGCTGTCGGAGAACTTGCGCATCTTTTAGAAGAGTGGAGCAGGATAATGATGCAGACAAATTCCTGATGGGTGTGAGCAATCTTTCCTATTGCGGAAGCATGGCAGGCTGGCTTTCTACGATCTCTCGATCTTTGCGAAAGTGGATCAAGTATTCATCCGGCCAACCAGGCGGAGAAACGGTTAAAAAGCTTACTGATCTATCAACGACGAACGATGACGCTTTCCGGATATTCAATTCAAGAAGGATGACATAAACAAGACTAGGGTTAGGACATTGCACGTTTGGATGCCAGACAGGTTATGCTTTCAATCTTTTGCAATAGTAAGAACCCCACAACGGGTAATTTACTTCAGCGCAATGAAGTACTGCGAGAGTGCAACTGCTTTGACAACAATGATCGCCTATCTAGTACGCAATCCTGATATTCACAGAGCACTGCAAAAAGATTTCGATGAAGCGTTGACGAGTGTGGTGAAATTGCAAGAGGATATGACCCGTATCGTTGTCAGAATTTAAGCGAGGGCAGATCTCGAAGCGATCGAGTGTAGAAGATGAATGAAGAAGTGGGTAAACAAACTTGATGAATTCACGATAAGAAAGCTCTATGTACACTAGTGTTGTTTTCAACCATGCTCACAGCATTCCGCCCCCCGTGTCATCGCTGTTAATTCAAGTCGCTGCTGTGTGATACGATGCTGCCTCCTCTTTACTGCTCATTTCTTCTAGTCGTCTTGCGATTTCTTTGGGTTTCAAAATTATTTCACCGGTAATACGAAGGCCGTCCCAAAACCAAAACTCGTGCCCGTGCATGGTATCAAGTTGACCCGTTACGCTATCAGCCTTTTCGAAGAAAACGATTAGATGGTAGAAATATTGCGGACGTAAAAATGACGGCCACCACTTCGAACGAAAAGCGAAATCACGAAATTTCATAAGGCGCAAATTTGTGAGGAGCGAATCTGAATTAGACAGCTGATTGCCAAATAATAAATATAAATCTTTTGTTATTGTATTTACCGTGAGCGGTAAGTCGGCCCTTGAAGTGATTATTTTTTCTTTTTCTCCCTTCTCTTTGATCAACCTGAGCATCTCTTCGAAAGGTTTGAAATCGGTTTCATAGCGTCGCTCCACTTTACCAGGCCTCATAGATTGATGAACTACTAAAGCCATCGCATTTACTACAAGAATTCCCTTGTGGAAAAAGCATCCGTCTAAAATATGATGTTCCTCGTCACTGAGTATTGTGCCATTTCTGCCATAGTCATCGAAGACACAGAAAAGGAAAGACGTTGTACCATGTTGAGTAATTACACAAAGTTGTACATCCGGTTCAAAAGAAGTGACAGAACCAAGACTTGGTAAACCACAGGAGTGTGGAGATACTCCGAAAACATCACACATAGCATGAATGATTGGCATGGGAAGTAGTATGATTTGTGTTCCTTTATTCTTACCAGAACAAAATGGCGTCTGGTGTACAGCACTTTTTTTCCTTTGTGCTCTCTCTCCATTGATTTGTAGGTCGACAGCCTCACTCGTTTTATAAGATTGTATTACGTCTGTGTTAGTGGGAGCCTTTCTCCACCACCAAGATCCATCTTCTGTAGGACGTATAGTCGATAGTGCCTGCCAGATAAACTCCTCAGAATAAGGGTCATGACGCTCATTAGAGTTGTAAAGTCGTGCGCGAGCGATCAGGAACACGATTCGAGTCGTAGCTGCATCTTTAAGATCAGACATATCTCCTGCAACTGAATCAGCTTCGATTCCCATTTCGGTGGATTGTCTCTGCAAGTATTGTAGTGGTTCAAAAAGCCAAGTAAGATAGCGCACGATCGTCAAGATTAGCTGGCATCCTCCCCAAATAATTGCGTGTCCATCATTATCTTGGAGTAAGCTAAAAGCGACGACCAACCCGGTCAGAAGGCATATTAAGCTTACTCCAAGGGCAAATTTATAGATACGGTAGCTTGAAGGATATACATCTATAGCACGTTCATCAATGATACCGATGCGGCCATTATCCAAAATTACGGAATGCGGGAGCTTGGAAAAATTTAGGGGACTACCCTGCTCATGAATTGTTGCTGGTCGAATGCATGCACGGAGTCGAATGAATGTCACTGCAACACCAACTAATCCAACTGGGTTTAACATGACCAAAATCCAATATGTAGGACCCTTGTGAAGGCAGAGTGACACTGACGACGCACCCGTTGCTGAAGCACATAGGATGAAACATGCTAAAGTGACCCCAGTTACCACTCGATTTTTTTTTTCCTGATCGTTGTCGGGCCTGCAGCCAAAATAATACCACACCTTACCTTCATATGTATTGAGGAAATGCTTGAGAAGAGGTTGATCAGGCCTTGGATTGATTCCTAACGGTTTGGGACCTCCGTAGCTTATCTTTTCGATGGGATCAGCTGTAAGGTGTTTGATTTTGGATACATCTAGGCCACTTTTGTGTGCTCTTTCCAGACCAACGATTAATTTTAGTGCAGCTCGGACCAGACCGAATTGCCCTGGGTATCCAAGCATCGCGACGGCCATTCCAAGCGGACCGGCTTCTTCGTTAAAAACTTGCTTTTCTACATCATCACTTGTAAAGAGCTGAAAAGCGGTATTGATACCTTGAACAGCATGAGCAATACTGACTTTCTGTGATGGCGATGACATTTTGAAACGGTTGATGGAGGAAAGAGGGAAAGAGGAATTTTCTTTGGCAAATGGCAAAAGGCTTCATATCGAATTAATTCATGCACCGATCTATATGGAATTCATGCAAATATTCTGCACTGCATCGCATAAAAAGCAAGAAACGGTGCTCCGATTCCTTCCTGCGTAGTTATCTGCGCCTTGTAAATAAAATTAATAGGACTCTCACGAGTGTTTTGATCTGTAGATAGAGGTCCACTTCCTTCCAGATCTGTATGTCGCATGTCAAGCCCGTGACGATTTTGGTGGATAGAAAAACCGTTCTTGTTGATATACTTGGACTTATCGGCTTGCGTTGATAGCTTGGCACCTTTTCCTAATGCATCATCAAGTTGTGCTTTGACTTTGTCAACTTCACTTTCGATACCAGCGTTTTGGTTCCTTGCCTCCTCCAACAGGATTTTTTCGCTTGCAACCGCTTAAAATGGTCAGGTATGATCGACTTCAGGACAACGATACGAGTGGCTGCAGTATATATTTGGCCGCAGTTACGAAACTTGGTGGCAAACACTTATGGGGTCACTTCGTCCAGGTTTTTATCTTCAAACACCATGAGCGGTTCATCACCTCCAAGTTCAAATGATATCTTTTTAGGTGTATCTGCACTTTTTTCCCGTCAACAGGTTTCCCAGGGCTGTTGATCCTATGAAACTGATTTCTTGACTTTTGGCTCTTCACACGCAATGCTGTATTGTTGGTCTTATCCGGCGATGCAATTGATGACACCTTTTGGGATACCTGCACGTTATACTGAGTGACATGATATCAATGTTCTACTAAATGGCAGTGTAGCAAAGACAAAGGTTGTGCAGCCGAATGGTATTACTGAATTTCATGACACAAGGATGACATCCATACTCAATTACATATCTGACTGGAGCCAGCTGGAATTGTGAGACCATTTCTGCGCTCAGCTTGGTAGCACTATTCTCTAAGGATAAGTTCTACGAAATGCGTTGTCAAGGATGGTGGATGGATGTTGATGATGATACTTTTCATTAGAATAGCAGAATCGAATGGCAGACGCGTTGTGCGTGATTGAACGCGTGGGTAAAGTAACACTTTTGTCATTTGAAGTGCAACGCGTACTTTAACGCGTAGATTAGGAGAAGCAGCAAAACTGTCTTTTAATCTGAGTCTTGGGAAAAAGCAAACTTCATTTCTCTAATCATCACATCACCAACCATCAACTTTGTTCAAACAAGCGACTTATCCTGAATTAAAACCGAAAGGCAAAGTAGAACATCACTGGATACGTGTTTCGGTCCCGTAAATACGCGTACGATTTGCTGAGCCAAGAGAACAAGTATGAGCATCTTGACACATACCATGCCTCGTTCTTTAGAGCCATTGTCAGATGTGGACATGAATATGGTCAAAATGGATTCATCGCAAAAGAAAGGTCAGAGTAGTGAATCAAATGGGATTGGACATAGCGCAAAATCTCGAGAAGGATCATCGTCATCCTCTTCACAGAATGGATTGAAAGCATCTTCATCAAAGAGCCTGAAGAGAAAGAGTGACACAATCTCAAGTGATCAGAACGACAATGCCCCAAAAGCTGAAGGCAGTGAGAAGGCCAAGAAACCAAAGAAGCGTGTCAGTCTGGTCAACGAAAGCGGGAAGGAAGGAGAAGCACCTCCCACAACGAAAAAGGATGACAAACGCCTAGAAAAGGAAGAAAAACGAAAAGAGAAAGAAGCCAAGGAGGAAGAAAAGCGAAAGGAAAAGGAAGCAAAGGAGGAGGAAAAACGCAAAGAACGACAGGCAAAGGAAGCTGAAAAGGCAAAAAAGGACGCTGAAAAAGCGGCAAAAGAGGCAGAAAAGGAGGCAAGAGAAGAAGAAAAACGCAAAGAACGACAGGTGAAAGAAGCCGAAAAGGCAAAGAGGTATGCTGAAAAAGCCGCAAGAGATGCCGAGAAAGAGGCAAAAGAAGAGGAAAAGCGTAAAGAACGACAAGCTCGCGATGCTGAAAAGGCAAAGAAGGAAGCGGAAAAGATCGCCAAAGAAGCAGAGAAAGAGGCAAAGCGACAAAAGGAAATCATGCAAACCAAAATGTCAGCAAGTTTCATGTCTGCATTTGTGCAAAAGCCTGCCGGTCCTTCAATATCACCGAAGAAGCAAATTCCCGATGATGTGTCTGATTTCGACCGTACTTTCTTGCCGTGCACATTCAAGAACTTGGCGCCCATCAATAGATTCTCACGCGCAGTTGCGAGTGACTTTGACGGCTGCATCGGCAAGAGTGATCTCGCCCAGGATAAACTCTTGAAAAGCTTCCTAGAGGATGGCAACAAGAGCAAACCTGCTAGAGCACAAGGACGAAAATCTCGAAAGGGTATTCGTGCTCCTGTAAGCGTCCGTGAGTCAATGCGTTTGATCACAGAAGCTGGCGTTCTTGGTGATGATCGCTTGTTGGAAGAGAATGGCAAACGTGGACTGGCAAACTTGGCAGATCGTAAGAAGCTTCCCATCAAGCTGTTGCATTTTGCATCCGATCGAAGACCTGCATGGTACGGAACCTGGACACGATCTTCCAACTTCGTCAGCTCAAGAAAGCCGTTAGCACAGGATCCAGTTGCTCTGGATTACTCGTATGATTCAGATGCAGAATGGGAAGACTTTGATCCAATGGAGGGAGATGACCTCAACGACAATGATGACAAAGAAGATGACCATGAAAGTCGCTCTGATTCTGATTCAGAGATGGATGACTTCTTGGTGGATGATCTGGAGGAGGAGGAAGATGAAGAAGGCGATGGTGATCTTGAGATGAACATGTTTGGTAATCGCAAATCTGTCAGCCCAGTCAAATCTCTCAGAGGACGTAATCGTTCTTCCCTCAGCCCCAGCAAGCCATTTGTCAACAAATTGGACGCAAAGAAGAAGCCCAAGAAGTTCAAGCCAATCGGACGTCGATTCGAGGCAAAATTGGTCAAATTTGAGACAGGACCACATTGGGAGACAGAATTGGGCGTTGCATCATACGAAGGTTTCAATGCATATCAGATGGAGATGCTGAATGATACGTACATCGGTTTGAATCCGTTTACGTTTACATCTACGGATTTGTCAGGTACGGATACCACAATCCCTACTTCCACGATCAAAAAAGAGCATTGCGAACAAATTGTTAATGCTAACGTTCTTGCTTCCGCTTCAACCTCGCCTTCAAATCCCAACAAACCATCAGCACAAGCAGCGGTACTGACAAAAGCAAAAGCGTTCCCGGAAGAACATTTGAAAGATCTCCTGGGTTCCATAGAGGGAAGCTCTTCCATTCGCCCTGTCCTGATAGAAGGACTGCATTCTAAATATGCAACAGAAGGCAAAGCTGCCGTTCCAAAGACGACATTGGAAGCATGCCTGACAACGTATGCCGAAAAGCAATCCAAAAAGGCTGGCGGCAAATGGGTGATCAAAGCAGAATTTCGCGTGAGTATCTCAAGAATCTGATCATATCCACAAAGTATGCTAACATTTTTCTCTTTTTCTCTCTCTCAGGAAATGGCAGGTCTACAGGCTTAGACTGCGATCATTTGAGCATCCATCGCTCTTACTCATTTATACCTTATCTCAAGAGCACACCTGTTAGATGGCTTCGAACACCTGTTAGAGACGTAATCCAGGCATGACCTTTTCTCACCTTCTGATGAATGGTAACCTTCAATCGTGTACATTTTATTACAATAGCATTGATACAGACTGAAAGAAGCGGAACAGATCATGTGCGACCGTTTGGCATGGGAGGTTGTGAAGAGTGACCGTCTTCATCGTCATCATCTGCATCTAGATCATCATCTTTGGCCGCCAAAGCTGCTGCAATCTTCATGCTGGAGTAGGGGAAAGAAAGGCAAATTCTTGTCAGCACTTATGCACTACCATCATTGAAAACACTACTCCACTCACGCTTCAGCTTCGTTACCATAATGAGCATTCCGCTTGCGTGCAAAAGCATCCTGTTTAGCTTTTGCTTCTTCACTTTTGTCCTCCTCTTCTTCAAATGCACCGTCTTCTACATCCATCGCATCAGGATTACGGTCACGCATTTCCTGTCGAACACCTTCACGGGAACGTTCGCCAGCAGCAGAACTTCTTCTACTGTTTGGCAAAGTGAAACTCGGACTACGGCTATCCGTTCCTCTTCTTGAAGAAGCAGGCGTGCTATCACGACTTTTGAGCATATCCGCACTGTCTAATCCAACGGCAGCGGACGGATTCGATTGTCTGCCGACAGTGTTGCCTGCGTTAGCTTTGGTATTGGCTGCCAAAACTTCAGCTGCTGATGACCGACGGACGGGGTTGTGCGGTAGAGAAGATGAAGAAGGTTCGGCAGTATTGTTGGTAGGAAAGTAGTTGCTTGCGGCCTGTTGGTTGTTATCGAGGTCAAAGTCTGCAGAAGAAAAAGAGGTGAGCAAGACATGGTGTGAAAGATGACTCAAAATACTTACTTGTGTCGTCATCCATTGGCCCCAAGCTGGCACTACGAACGAATGGAGTTTTTGGCTCATCGATCTTCATACGAGGGTCTTGTTGTTCCCGTTGAATTTCATGTAAGGTTAAATTGCTTTCATCCCACGCTAGATGGTTAGCATTTTCGATGTTCTGAGTTTGAGCGTTGATTAGCGGAGGTGATTCAACTTCATTCCCATCCGAATGTGCGATTCCATTGCTGGCATTTTTCAGGATACCACGAGGTTTTGGCGCTGCAGCTGATGGCGGTGGTGAATGGCGAGGGCTTGACATGTTTACTGAGGATAGAGTCTTTCTAAGTGTGGTGGTGAGAAGAATGGAGTGTTCGAGATCGTCATCTTACTTCTTAAGCGCGCATGCACGGGCCTAAGCGTGATCGGCAATATAACCAATTAGGGTGAAGATTCTCGTGCAAAGGTGATGATGATAAAAATACACTTTTTTTCTGTTTCATTCAATTCTTTTTTCGTAAATAATACAAATCTGTTCGACTGGTGCCTAAATTGACAACTTTTGGACATCCATCACGATCCTTTTCGAGTGTGGTGCATTCAGCGCAGTAATAAGCGTCCTGAGAAAAGTGGCAAAAGCGGGAAAAAGTTAGCAACCATTCCGATAAAGCACCCTTATTCTTACTCACCGAGATGCCTGGATTACCACAAACTATACATCTTCCTCCATACGATCCAAAGTTGCATTCTTCGCATATTCTTACGATCGCAGCAGGTCGTACGTGTGAATCACATAAAGGGCATTTACCGTCGCATTTTTCGCAAAGACGTCCGATTGCTATGCCGGGAAGCTTGCGACAGAGGACGAGATCCGGATGATGCTTGGACATTGGTGTCCGATGGTACCGTTGCGATCAACAGAGCCGTGTGTGAAAGATGGTAGTTTGCAGGTGAGAAGTTTGTCTCCACTATGAGTACACGCTTGAAAATTAAAAAGCGGCACTAACGCAGTTAGAGCGCTAAACTCCGAAATCTTCTTCCCTTCTCACCATCACATACTTGGGATAATGTCTTTATTTGCAAGATCTTCACAAAGATCTTTGGCAAATTTGGGATCTTTGAGCACACAATCACGTATTGCTACCCGTACATTACACAACTTACCCTCCGTTGCAGCTGCACATATGAAGGCCGTTGACGGATTCGTTGGAGCGATTGGTAATACACCATTGATTCGTTTAAATCGATTATCAGAAGAGACAGGATGCAACATTATGGGAAAGGCGGAATTCATGGAACCTGGAGGTAGTGTGAAGGATCGTGCTGCTCTTTTCGTCGTAAAAGATGCAGAAGAGAAAGGTCTTATCAAACCTGGAGGTACAATCGTAGAAGGCACAGCAGGTAACACTGGTATCGGTCTTGCTCATGTGGCAAGATCAAAAGGATACAAGTGCGTTATCTATATGCCTAACACGCAATCGCAAAACAAGATCGACCTGCTGCGCCTGCTTGGTGCTGAAGTGTATCCCGTTCCAGCTGTTGCTTTCGATAATCCAGAGAATTACAACCATCAAGCCAAAAGACATGCTGATCGATTGGATAACGCCGTCTGGACAAATCAATTTGACAACACAGCCAACAGAAGAGCCCACATCGAAACAACAGGACCAGAAATTTGGGAACAAACAGACGAAGGCAAGAACTTGGACGGTTTCATCTGTGCTACCGGAACTGGAGGTACATTAGCCGGTGTAACGTCATTCTTGAAGGAAAAGTCTGGCGGAAGGGTCAAGTGTTGGCTAGCAGACCCACCGGGAAGTGTTTTGCATTCCTACATTCAATCAGGCGGCAAGCTCATGGACCGTCAAGGAGGCAGTATCACCGAAGGTATTGGACAAGGCCGTGTTACCGACAACATGAAGGATGATATCGGCAAATTGGACGGAAGTGTACATGTCCCAGATGAGGAAACGATCGAGATGGTCTATCGCTGCTTGGACGAAGAAGGAATCTATCTCGGTGCCAGTTCAGCTCTCAATGTCGTAGCGGCTTACAAGATGGCACAAGGACTCGGTAAGGGTTCCAACATTGTGACAATCTTGTGTGATGGTGCTTACCGTTATCAAGACCGCCTATTCAGCCGTAAGTGGCTACAATCCAAAGGTCTCGACACTGCCATCCCCGAGCATTTGCAAAAGTACATTGTATTGGAATAAGAGCATGTGATATAGTACAGTGAATAAAATCGGAATGCTTTCTCTCATCCCATCAGCATTGAGACATCTTTAGGTGGGTAACGTGATTGGGCGAATGTCATGAGTCTCTTGAGACTTTGAATGTACTTTCGGCTGACCTCATCGTTTAGGACATGTGCCACATTTGAGCTGAAGATCTTTTCTCTACCCGAACGTTCATGGATACCAACCATTGTTACACCGATCGGCCAAGGTGCATTTCCAATTGACAGTTGAAGGTATGAATCGTTTGCGTTTCGATATTCTCGCTTTTGCACAAAGTGAACAATCTCTGCCAAACGTGCCAATACATCAGGCTTCACACTCCGATGACGAAGCTGTTTGAGTAACGGTTTCATGTAGTCTGCTGTCTGTACTTGAGTTGCAGCCACCAGCTTTCCTTGCGAGCTTTGTCGGATCTCTATTGGCCTTTCCGCCAACGATGTTTCCCAATCCCGCATAAGTCCTTTGAGTGTGTAATAGATGATCGGGTATACCTTATTGATGTCTTTCTTGATTAGATTCAAATCTAACACGCTGTTCATGCCAACTCCTTCCCGCTGTTCTTCGCCTTCCTTGTGTGTAGAAGACCCCTCCTTAACGTCTTCAGAAGTCGGCTTTGGTGATGAAGTGGAACCGCGTTGACCAAGAAGATCGCTCGAGATTGCCGAAGATTCCGCGCCACGCAAAGCTTTCATGAAATCATTCTGACCCATCTTCTCACCTCTTTGCTCAATCAACTCCAAGGACCGCAGTCGAAGTCTTCGTTCTTTGTCACTCTCTCCAAACAATCGGATTGGCTCCCCTTTTTGCCGTAATCGACGAATAGCTTCTTCATTGGAGATATTGAACCTTTCTTCCTTTTCGTCAGAGGTTGGTGGAGCAGGTGATGTCCCGTTTGCTATCTGCTGATGCTTTTGGATTGCATCTTTTGAAGCAGTACCCTCAGATTCTTCCCTCTTGCCCGCATCTAGAGGGGAACTTGTCCGACCCTCTTCGCTACTTTCACCCCTTCGAACATACTTGTGTGGTGCATTATGGCTTACTTGCTTTGATGTCCCTTCTTCTGGTTGGCCTTCGAGCTTTCGTTTCTTTCTAGCTGCAATTTCAGCCTTGATAGCGTCCATGTTGTGCTATATTGTCATTGTTCATTGTGGTGGTAAGAAGGACAAACAAAGTAAAGTCAAGTATACTTCATGCATGGGCCATTTAAGCTTATTTTTGCCTTTGAGTAAATTAATTTTTTTGGAAATTTTTTGGCGCTGATGAGAATTTTGATGCATTTTCTTTGCATAAGCGGATTTTATGCATTTGTCATAAAGGCTCAACGTGCCATCAAGACCATCATCTATGTTGAACAAATAAACACAAAAGGCCAACATGGCAAAAACGATAGGCGGTAAAGATGAAGTAGCACTTGCTCCATCTAAGCCAAAAGGATGGATACATTTTGTGGCAGGAGGCATAGGTGGTATGTGTGGAGCAATTGTTACTTCACCTTTGGATGTTGTCAAGACTCGATTGCAATCGGATATGTACGTCGATCGTTGGAAGAAAGAGAGCGGCAAGGTCCATAGTCACCAAGCTAAAGGAATAATACGAAATGCATTCAACACAATGAAAAAGCTCGGATATCATTTCGTGGAAACAGGTCAACTTCTAAAACAAATCTCCACTCGAGAAGGCCCGAGAGCTCTATTTCGGGGTCTAGGACCAACTCTTGTAGGTGTGATACCAGCAAGATCGATCAACTTCTACACATACGGTAATGGAAAAGTATGGATAGCCGATCATTTCAATGGTGGACATGAATCCTCAAGTGTCCATCTATGTGCCGCCGCTTTGGCAGGTATCGTGACTGCAACTACTACGAATCCGATTTGGGTAGTAAAGACACGATTGCAATTGCAGCACAATCAAGCACAAAAAGCAGACGAAGAAGCACGAAAGCGAAGTGTACGTAGCGTTCAGCCTACTCTGCAAGCAGCAAGTGCTTCATCAAGGTCGTTCAGTACTTCTTCAGCTTCAATGAATGCGGATCAAAAGAAGACTACAAAAGGATCCGGTCATTGGTCTACGAGAATATCTTCTACTCGTTCTCTGCCTAGTAGAGGAATCTCAACACCATTCACAAATACCAGATCCTTCTTCCAGTCACAGCTGCCGCCACCTAGACCAGGAATCAACTCATTCGGGATGACGATGCAAATCATCCGCACAGAAGGAATAAATGGCTTGTACAAAGGAATGAGTGCAAGCTATTTGGGTGTGGCAGAAGGAACAATTCAATGGGTTTTATACGAACGACTTAAGCGAATGTCTGCACCAAAGACAGATTCGATACAGCAAAGTGGCTTCTTCCGCTCCCCAGACGAGCCAAGCAGAGCACAAAAGTGGATGAACACCGTCGGTGCTGCAGGAACGGCAAAGCTCGTTGCAAGTTTGATCACATATCCACATGAAGTGATTCGAACTAGACTACGTCAAGAGCCTCCACCAGGACAGCCAAGAAAGTATACCGGTCTCGTACAAACACTTCGAATTGTTCTAAAGGAAGAAGGTGTGGTATCCATGTATGGTGGATTGAGCGCACATCTTTTGCGTGTTGTTCCAAATGCTGCCATCATGTTTGTCGTTTATGAGACGATGTTAAATCTTAGCAAGAAATAAGCGGCAGTAAACGATCTTCTTTGTACTATAATTCACACCTGGACCACTCCTCTTATTTGCACTCGTCTAATACTTTGCATGCCAATGCCACCGCTTCATGTATGCCCATGTACAATACAAATTATAGAACCAATACAACCACTCTTCATCGAGAGTTCTTCAAAGCTTCTTTTTTGCAGCTTGCTTTTGTCCAGCGATGGCAACTTCGATCAGCTGCCAAGATCGTACGGTCGTATCGATGAACATGACGAACGGAATAATTATAAAAGGCACGTATGCTTTCAAAAGGTACGAAGCTTGACTTGCACTTAATTTGTCACCATCAGCGCCCCAAATGACGGAAGTCAAGCATTGCAGGGTAGTGATACCGGCTATGTCAAAAAGAACAGAGTGAGTCAGTGAATCCAGTCAGAATACTCCTGGGATACTGCAAACTCACCAAGCATACCATAAGAAGCCATGATTGGGTAAATACGTTTTTCATCTTTCAACAAACCCCAAATACTCAAAAGGTAAACAGGATTCTGAAACACAAGTGAAGACCACATACTTGTAGCGAACCAGATGTACTGTCGATCATGTGCACGTAAAGCCAAAACGAACGGATCACCGGAATCTTTGAGATAGTCTTGAACGACTCGTTTCAGTGCTTCAGGAACCAATTCAGATGGATAAAAGTTTTGACCATCGATGAACAGGAATGTGATGACGTTGAAGGTGAAATAGGTAATGTAGAAAAGATCTAATGGCCTTTTCAACAACGGTTTGCTCGAAATGGAAGCCGAAGACATGGCTGCAGGTATTCTACCGTTGGATAGCAAGGTGATGGTGGTAAGGAAGTTGTTTGCTAAGACGTCAGGAAGAAGTCTGCAAAACGCGCTCAGATCATGCTGTCATCTCGGATAGTAGGATGCCGCACTCGTCAGCGGCAGGTTTCTATCCTTCCTGAAAACGTGAGAGGAAGCTCTCGCTACCGATCAAATGAGTTGCTTCTAGCAACTGCTAATTCACACTGTATGGTAGGTGTAATGGATATTGTTGCTTATTGTACAAATGTTACAGTTTACGACCGTATCTAAAGAAGACATGCTCATGCATAAGTGTCCACCAATGCATCACGCAATTCGTCCACAACTCCTGATGCACCACTTTGACTGATCTTGAATGCTGCTTCAACGACGGATAATTCGGTTGCGGTACTGTCTACACCTGTGAATGCAGCCCAATCGTTGACCAATAGCCCTGCACCAATCAATTCACTACCTCTGTTTACGGTTCCTGCAACGAGAGGTACTTGTAATAGTGAAGATAATTCATCTTGATCTTGCAATGATGTTTTGGGGTGAACGAGACAGCCTTGGTTTGTCAATGCGGAATATGATCCAACCAAGACGTTATCTCCGATCGTCTGTCTGAAAACTTCCACCTTTAGGACATCTGCAATAATCTCTTCCGTTTCCCTGTCCAAATCAGGATGAACGAGCGCAACGTAATCATTGCATGCGATCACATTTCCCAACGCACTCAATCGTTCATCCACTCTCTGTATCGCAACAGAATCGGGCAGACTATTGCGTAAATGTTGTAATTCTTGATCGGTGGTAGTACTTGGAACCAATAATCCATGTCTGTTTCCTACTGTTAATCTTCCGATCAAACGTGTACCTGCAATACTGCAATGAACGACTGGTACAATATCTCCCAATTCAGCATCAAAAGTTGAATAAAAGTTTGCACTTCCACCAATTGCAACTAAACAATACGTATTTGTCAATCGAGCAAATACACCAATCTCTGAAGATGATTCGAATGCGACACGAACAGCCATGATGAGTGTGGATGGTGATAAAGTGTTGATAATAGAGGGAAAAACGATGGTAACGGCTGATCAGAGCAGCGTCTTAAATGCGAAGAAATGCATCTTTATGAAATTCTTAATTCCCACTAAATGCACGTGCTGACTCACTCACTCACTCCTCCATCAAAAGCGCGCCGCGGAGAATCGGATTTTGACTGCATGACTCCACCTTCTGGATGAGCAAGAGAATGATGACCTATTCAAGGTGACTGGCTCACAAAGACATCAAAAGATTTCATGACCATCTTTTGTATCTTATATAGTGTCATATTGACATGATCATCCTGATTAAGTAAGCTCTGCTTTCCAATTGTTTTTTGGGGCGTGTTGTCGGTGAAACTTGCTAAAGGAAAGAGTTAAAGCCGTAATGTTCGCGCCCAGCGCAATGAACCTTCCCTCAACTTCTGTGAAAAAAATGTTGAATGCAAGTCAAACACTGCTAGGGTGCCTTTCTTCTCGTGGATTGGCCCGCGCACACACGCACACACCTCCATTTCAGTCCTTCATTGCATACGCCCAATCCTTCACCCGGTTTGCTGCGTACTTCTGATTCGCCCTCCTTTCTGTCAAGCTTACCTTCACAACCATCATAATCAATTCTTACGTTGATTCTTAACTCTACTTACATACATCACAATGGCTCCTCCTTCAGTTGGTATCAACGGTTTCGGCCGTATCGGTCGTATCGTCTTCCGTAATGCTATCAAGCATGACAAGGTAAACGTCGTTGCCATCAATGACCCTTTCATTGACCTTGACTACATGGTTTACATGTTAAAGTACGATTCCACTCACGGAAACTTTGACGGAGAAGTCAAAACTGAAGGTGGTAAATTGATCGTCAACGGAAAATCAATCCAAGTCTTTGGCGAACGTGACCCTGCTTCCATTCCATGGGGACAAAGCGGCGTTCAATACGTCGTCGAATCCACTGGTGTTTTCACAACAACTGACAAAGCATCTGCTCACTTGAAGGGTGGTGCCAAGAAGGTCGTCATCTCTGCTCCATCTGCTGATGCACCAATGTACGTCGTCGGTGTCAACTTGGACGCTTACGACCCAAAAGCACCAGTCGTCTCAAACGCCAGTTGCACAACCAACTGCTTGGCTCCTTTGGCCAAGGTTATCAACGACAAATTCGGTATCGTTGAAGGTTTGATGACAACCTGTCACGCAACCACCGCAACACAAAAGACCGTCGATGGTCCAAGTGCAAAGGACTGGCGTGGAGGCCGTACCGCTGGTGATAACATTATCCCATCCAGCACAGGTGCTGCCAAGGCTGTCGGTAAGGTCATTCCTTCCCTCAACGGAAAATTGACCGGTATGGCTTTCCGTGTCCCAGTTTCCAACGTTTCCGTTGTTGATTTGACAATCCGTTTGGAGAAGGGCGCTTCATACGATGAAATCAAGGCTGAAGTTAAGCGTGCCTCTGAATCCCCTGAATACAAGGGTGTTTTGGGTTACACTGAAGACGAAGTTGTCTCCAGCGATGTGAGTAGAAGGGTGATTACAAAATTGATGTAAGAATAGTATGCTAACCCTCCTAATTCTCTCCCTCTTTGCAGTTGAACGGAAGCACCTACTCCAGCATCTTCGATGCCAAGGCCGGTATCTCCCTCAACCCCAACTTTGTCAAATTGGTTTCATGGTACGACAACGAAACCGGTTACTCTAACCGTGTCTTGGACTTGATCAGCTTCATGTCCACCAAAGACTCCGCGTAGGTGATTTCTTCTGCTCTTTTTTGAGAAGCGGCAATTTATGTGAGACATACCAAAGCTGCAGGTTGTGTGTGTATGTTAATGCATTGAACCTGCGGTCCTGCTCAAATCTGTTTGAGCGTCTCCTATCCATAAGCAAAATATGACTGACATCTGTTCGTCCTTCTCTCTCACAGAGCCAAGCTATAAAGATGAAGTCCCGTATTCTGCGAGAAAGGATGTTTGACCTCTGTATACATTTCAAGAAGGTCTATGTCGATGAAGTACAAAAATAGAAAATCTTAATTCATGTGATTCATATAATACAGTGTGAAGTGAATATTTCTCTTTTGAGCTAGCCCGTCATGATTGGGAGGCATAGTCTGCATTTGTGTTTGCAACGTTCTGATCGGGTTGAGGAGCAGCAGTGGTATCGGCGGTGTCCTGTTGTGCTGCAGCTCGCTCCCAAGGTTTGAGTGGTCTTGACATTGTAGCTGCACTGGGTGTTGCCTCATTGATCTGTCGAAGGGAGAAAGCCGTCAGAACCAGATGCACGACAGGACAGCCGTTGCTCACCACAACGAATTGGTGTTGTTACTCACCTTTAACGGTATATCTTTTATGCCGGGAATTTGATCTGCACGACCTGTTGAGATCAATTCAACAACTTCGTCAAATGATGGTTGAACAGATTCAGCATTGCTTGTTGTGGTGTTAGACTGTGTCTCCATGTTGTCAATCAATCGTTATGGGAGTGAGAAGGATAACCCTGCTCTAAACACTCGCTGATCTTTGGGGTAACATTTTTTAGCTCATATCGGTTTTTCCGGTCGCGGCGAAATACCCGCACTGTACGGTGTGGTATGGTATGCATGAGTCAAGAGTGCAAATCTGCCTTGAGAAGAAGCTAGGCACATGCATCAACCTTTTCTTTTCTTTTTTTGATTTGATTTGATTCCGCATTGCTTATCATCATCATCTCACAAACCCTTTCCTTTCTTTTGATGGCGATCTCCAAATCAAGCCGTGATGTATTATCGGGCACGGCAGGTGGAATAACGCAAGTTTTAGTTGGTCAACCGTTTGATATTGTAAAAGTACGTTTACAAACCGCCGTTCCTGGAACATACACTGGAATAGGTGATTGTGCAGGACAAATTTGGAAAAAGTATGGCTTTCGTGGATTTTATAGTGGTACTCTAACCCCACTTCTCGGTGTGGGAGCATGTGTATCCATTCAATTCGGTGTAGTTGGAGCGGGAAAGAGACTCTTTCAACAAAAACAAGATGAACGATATGGTAAAGGGACTAGACTGACAAACGGGCAATTGTACACTTCGGGAGCATTGGCTGGGATCGCAAATAGCTTTGTGGCAGGACCAGTCGAGCATATTCGTATCCGATTACAAGCACAACAAGAACGTGTATTTACCGGTCCATTAGACTGTGCACGAAAGATAACCGCTCAATCCGGAATCACTGGTCTCTTTCGCGGAATGACTGCCACAATCATTCGTGAAGGTCATGGAGCAGGTATTTATTTCCTCACATACGAATACTTGGTACAAAGAACTTTGAACGGAAGACCACGTGAAGAGCTTTCTAATGTGATGGCAATGCTCTTTGGTGCTTCTGCAGGTGTGGCATTATGGCTATCAGCTTATCCGATCGATGTGGTTAAATCAAGAATGCAAACAGACGCAATTATACCCTCTAAACGTGCTTATCCTTCAACATTGCATTGCATACGTTCAATCTGGCAAACGGCTGGCTTGCAGGGTTTCTTGCGTGGTCTCACTCCAACTCTCGTAAGAGCACCTTTTGCCAATGCTGCCACTTTTGTCGCTTATGAAATGGCTTCAAGAGAGCTAAATAAGTATGTTGTCGAATAGAAAAAAAAGAACGGACTTGTATTACTAGATAGACAATGATGAAATGTATATTCCATTTCTTCTCATTTTACGGGGTTGTTTAGCTTTGTGTTACATATCAAGAAAGAGGTGGAAAGAGGGACACAGTCTCATTATCTTACAGCATGAAAATCATTGGGTTTTCGAGTGCATCTTTGAATGCTTTCATCCATTTAGCTGCAGTTGCACCATCAACGATACGATGATCAGCACTGATAGTGGCTTGCATGATCATTGCTTTACGGAATCCTCTCTCATCACTCTCATCGATCACCAATCTTGGCTCTGTTCCACCGATGGCCAAAATGGCACTTTGAGGTGGGTTGATAATTGCAGTGAAGTGTGTGATTCCAAACATTCCCATGTTGGAAATGGTGAAAGATCCACCTTGGTATTCGTTTGGTTGCAATTTACCTTGACGAGCACGGGCTGCCAAGGATTTTGTTGTAGCACTGATTGTTGCCAATCCATTTCCACCAACATTCTTGACGATTGGTGTGATAAGACCGGTTGGTGTTGCAACAGCAATAGAAATATCAGCTGTGTGGTATTGACGGATAAAGTCACCATACCAAGCAGCATTCACATCAGGCACCTGTTGGAGGGCAACTGCTGCAGCCTTGGTGATAAAGTCTCCTACACTCAATTTGGCCTCCTTTGCTTTGGCAGCATCTCCACCTGCTGAACGTTCCGCAGCCTCGTTGAACAATTGACGTAAACGCAAGACCTTGTCCATTTCAACATCAATAGAGACGTAGTAGTGAGGCAATTGTTGTTTGCTCTCTGTTAGTCTTGATGCGATCACCTTGCGCATGTTGGAAACGGGTGTGTCTGTGTATGATGCAGATGATTCTACTGCCTTTGGAGCACTTGTTGCGAGTTCTTGTTTGGCACCACCTGCTGAAGGAGCAGGAGCAGATTGTGCTTCGGCTGCTGGTTGTTGGCTTGGTTTGTAGTTATCGATATCAGCCTTGACGATACGTCCATTAGGTCCAGATCCCTTAATTTGTGCCAATGGAATACCTTTGTCTTGAGCCAATCGGCGTGCCAAGGGACTAGCGAAAATACGGTCTGACGAGGAGGAAGAGCTGGAGGTGGATGGTTCAGGAGCGGATGTTTGGGGTGCGGAAGAGGAAGATGAAGCTTCTTTTGGTTCTGATGGTTGTTCACTTTCCTTCTTTTCAGGCGCTTCTTCTTTGGCAGGTGCTGGCTCTGATTCAGCTTCTTTGGCAAGAGCGTCTGCACCAGAGATATCATCACCTTCTTCTCCAAGGACGGCAATCAATGAATTGACTGGAACATTCTTTGCTCCTGCATCCACAACAATCTTGGCCATAATACCATCATCTTGAGCTTCGACATCCATTGTAGCCTTGTCTGTTTCAATTTCCAACAAGACATCACCAGCCGAGAATGTATCCCCGGGTTGCTTTTTCCATGTAGCAATTCCACCTTCTGTCATTGTAGGACTCATGGCAGGCATGAGGAATTTAGATAAAGCATTTTGTGAAGATGAAACGTGGAAAGAACGTTGACCTAATCTTCCGAATTGAGATGAACGAAGACCGTTTCGTAGAGGAGCAGCAGCTCTAGCCAAAGCGAATCGAGAAGACATTATTGCTTTTTATGAAGCACTTTGATCACTGCCTAAAGGTGCTGATCGTGATGGCAAACGTATCACTACCAATAAACAATGGAAGCAACTTCGGAAGATAATGTTATACTTGACAATCGATCAAAAAGAAGAAAGAACATCAATCTGTACCTTTATCTAACAAGGGGCACAAGCGCAGTCTTTGCAAGATTTCCTAATTGCATGCATATCCAAGCAGATTCTTGTTGGGTTACTGGCAAAAATTCTACGCTCGTAAAGTACGGCTTATACGCCCCAACCTTAAACTTTTATATTGGGCGTAAGTAATGGAAGCCAGCTTACACGTGCTGTTGATAGTAACCTTCCCGCACCCTCTTTGTTAACGCGTCTTTCTTTTATCTATGCCTGCCTGCCGGCTCCTGTTGTCAGACGCGCCTGGGTCATGAGAATTTAGGGCACTTGGCCAGTACTGTTCCTTGGCATGCATTTAAAGATTTCAAACAACGCATGCATAAGAAACGTTTACCAAACCATCATACATTCTTGGGTGATAATCTCTTCTCTTTCTTCGACCGATTCGTCGATCTCGGATTGATATCCACACTTTTGATCATCATGTCGAGATCATTCTTTGCTCCTGATGGCAAATCGCCAGCTCCGGCTTCCGAATCCGTTCACGCTCCCTTTTTGAACGGCAAATCTGGTTCTCAGGATGATGGTATGCGATTACCTTCTCATACCCATGATACACGTCAAGACACAACAACAAAAGCAGATGGACCAAGTCTACAGTCTCTGGCGCCAATTTTGGCATACTGTGCTTCGTCAATCATGATGACAGTGGTGAATAAGTTCGTCCTGAAAGCACACTTCAGTTTGAATTTGATCGTACTCCTAATTCAATCTGCCGTAGGATGTCTATTGGTCGTAATCGCACAAGCTATGGGATTGGTCGAACTCAGACCACTAAACGCTAAAGACGTCAAGCTATGGATGCCCATCAGTACCTTGTTGGTCTTTGTGATTTGGACTGGTAGCAAAGCATTGCAATATCTTAGCATTCCCGTTTACACAATCTTCAAGAACCTAACCATCATTCTAATCGCATACGGAGAAGTGATTTGGTTCGGCGGAAAAGTGACAAGGATAACATTTGTCAGCTTCATGTTGATGGTGCTGTCTTCTTTGATCGCAGCTTATGGAGATATCGCCAACTGGTTGGCCTTGCAAAATCAGTCCATGCCCCATACACCTGATTCGATCGCTGGCGGTTACATTGACCCTGCCACACATTTAAAAACACCTGCGCTAGATCCTCTTCAAGCCGAAAAGGACAGTATTCTCGCTTTGGAACAAGCACAAGGTGTACAAGAGCCACTTCTTGAAGGTCTTGGAGGCGCGGGAATGTTGAGCAACGGATATTTGTGGATGGCTCTAAATTGTGCTTGCAGTGCAGCTTACGTTTTGATCATGCGAAAGAGAATCAAAGTCACAGGGTTTAAAGATTGGGATACGATGTTCTACAACAATTTCCTCACAATTCCCGTTTTGGTCATCATGTCTTGGTTGGTTGAAGATTGGAGCTCTGCAAACTTTGCAACCAATTTCCCCGTCGAGACTCGCTCTTCGCTCTTTTCGGCAATCATCTTTAGCGGTGCATGTGCTGTTTTCATCAGCTATACAACAGCTTGGTGTATTCGTGCAACGTCCAGTACAACCTACAGCATGGTTGGAGCATTGAACAAACTTCCTCTAGCATTAAGTGGAATGGTCTTCTTCGGAGACGCAGTCACGCTCAGCTCAACCTCTGCAATCGCAGTCGGATTCTTTGCTGGTCTTGTGTATGCATACGCAAAGAATAAACAAGCTGAAGAAGCAAAGAGGGCAGCAGCCTCTCCTGATTTCGGATCAAGCAACGGACGACAGGAAACCAACATTAGCATGCAACATCTCAACGGCAAAGAGGATCGCAATGATTAAAAGTGTCGTTCTCCTATCTCAGCATCTCTATAGACTTGATCGTCTTTCATCTTTTCCCTCCCACACAATTTTAGACTTTCCCTCTTTTTCCTTTTTTCATTTGTTTCGGGGTGTAAAAATTATATCGCATTCAAAAAATTTGATCATGTATGCATAGCATAGAATGTCCTCGAAGACCAAACTTGATTTTTAAAAAGACTCAAAGATCAAGGTATCAGACCGGGAAAATAAGTTACTGACAAACGAAATTCCCATAGTCCGATACAATCGTCGAGTGTTGATGTTGGGGCCTCACCAGGAACCGCTATGGCTAGGATTAAACCATGCGGGCAGAAGGGCCCCGTAAAAGGGTGAATTGGGGAGAAAGCGGACGGTCTTACTTAAACGGGTCGAATAAAGATTGAGCGGTTTAATCAGCATATTTGAATAATTCACATTCGTGAACGGGATGTTGGTTGGAATGCGGGAAAGGAAGAAGTTGTTTTTTGTCACTTTCTCTATGAATAAAACGCGAAGGAAAAATTCACGAGAGCTTGGGTCACGTGTAAGCCTGCCGGCTTTGGCATTCGTAGATTTTTAACCTTCAGCCAGGCACGCTGCAGATATACACACCCTTTGGTTCGTTCAAACGCCGGATGCATGAAATCAGGCCACACTTTGAAGTGACACTATCCGCGGAGAAAGGTGAGAAAGAGGGCATTTCATCAGTCTAGTACGCTGGTGTCTAACGGGAGAACAGCACTTTAAAGGTGATCATATTGCATACACACAACAGCCAAGAATGTCGAATGATCTCTCTCCCCTCTACTTTTCATCAATCATACACAATAAAGTGGTCAGACACTTCTTTGTCTTTCTTTCTGCATAAGCTGATAATAGCGTATTCTAGGTGCATCATTGTCCCTCTCTCTAGAGACGGCATTCACCCTTCCGAATTTTTAAAGCTTATACAACATGGCTGCTCTTGCAGAATTTCCATCCGTTCTTCAACAAAAACAAAAAGACGATCAAACACATTTTGATAATCATAACAATCATCACGATCTCTCATCAACACAAGGAGCAAAAGCATACAGAGAACATTTAGCAGAGATACAGAGACGATCACAGCTTCACTCAGCCTTATCAAACGATTCATCATTGTTTGCATCCTCGCATAAAGGTCTTTCCCAAGCAGAGATGATGGCTGCACAACAACATTTAGGTTTCTCGCCCATTCAACAAATCAAATCAGAAAGAAGTTTAGACGATAGCGGAATGATTTCACCACAAGATCAAACGCAATGGCAAGATGACCAGGAACAATTCCTAAGAAATCTGTTATCGACACCGTTGGAGGACGTATCCCACTCCATGTCAAGCACAAGTGGCGCAAGTTTCCACTCACAATCCCCTCCACAACCAAATCCGGGAAGCATTTCCGGTGACGACGCAGGAAGATACAGCAGTCTCAGTCCAGTCAGTTCAACGGGTTACCAAAGCTTGCACGACTTCATTCACGGTGGAAGTATAAGCAGTAGTAGTACTGCAAGTGGCAACGGAATGCCTTTTGGAGGATTCCCCACTCCACCCGACGGAGATGCAAAAGGATCTGCATTACACTTGTCACATTTAAAGCAGGATCCAATGTCGAATCAATACGACTATGCACAAGGACAACATCCTGGATTGATGGATGCAGGAGCGATAAACTTTTTCATGAATACGATCGCCAATCAAAACGGACAACAAATTCAAGATCAACAAAAGTTCACCAGTCAAGTCCCGCCACACATCATGGCACAACACATGGCAATGCACGGCAACCACAACATTTCCCTTCCAATGAACATCAATGGAACAATGAATGCTAACTCACAAATGCCGATGCAATCTTTCGCATCCGACAATCAACAATTCAATTTCCAAGCGCCAGGTGGAATGCAATCCAACTTTAACGGTTTACTCAACCAACAAGCACAGATGCAACAATATCCAATGGATCCCTCTACCGATCCAAGAAAGCGATCGGCACCAATGCCTTCGACATCCAATGATGCACTCTTGCACGAGCAAATGCAAACAAACGCTCAACCAAACAACAAGAGACCAAGAAAGTTGTCCGCCAAAGAAGCTGCAGCACAACAACATCAGCAACAGCAGCAGCAGTCTTCTGTACCATTGTACGGTGCAATGCATGGTGCAACATCATTCATGCCTCGAATGGAAGTTGGAAGTAACGCAACAGCTTTGGCAGCCATTGAACGATTAAAGGCAAAGAAACGTGCAGAACAAGAAATGAAGGCACAAAACGCAAAATTGGAAGAACAACACAAATCCAACAGAATGAATGCAGGTATGATGAACAATGGTATCGGATCTTCCTCGAATGGCATGCCGATCATCAAAAGCGAAAAGAAAGTCGCGCACAATGCAATCGAACGTCGTTACAGAAATAACATCAACGCACGTATTGCCGCACTCAGAAATGCTGTTCCCGCCCTTCATGAATTGCGACCTAAACGTCCCACCAGAAGAGGCAAAGAAGCACCTCCAGAAGATCTCGTGGATGGTGTTCCAGCTGCAACAAAGTTGAACAAGGCGACAATCTTGGGTAAAGCAACCGAGTACATTCGCTACTTGAAAGGACGTGAAACCAGATTGGTGTCTGAAGTGGCAGGGTTACGTGAATTGATCAGAAGTTTGGAAGGAGGTGAAGAATTGTTGGACTTGTGGCAAGGTGAAATGGAACGTGTTGTTGCTGAACAAGAAGCAATTGCCCGCGCTGCATTCGCTCTTGAAGATGACAGTCTAGACATCGGAGACGATGAAGACGAAGAGGATGACGAAGACGACATGGAACCACACAAAATCTCTCGTTCTCCTGCTTCAAACAGATCCTCATCTTCACGGTATATGATGGGTATCTTTATGGGCTTCAGCATTCTTGGAGGTGGAGCAGAAGTGTTGCACAACGAGAATGCAGCCTCAACAAGCACATCCTACTCTCCCGCTGGTCATGCTCATCACGTTCTACGTGCTTCAAGCGGTAGAGTTATTGGTGCAAGTCATCAATTACTCAAACGTGGTATGCAAGCAACCAATGTCAAGTTCGGAACGCTTGCACATGAACCACATCACTTTGACCATGTACCTCATCATCTTTTGATCGTTGAAGTTTTGCGTGGTGCAACATTGATTGCATGCCTTGTCTTCATCTTCTGGCCATTGATCTCCAGCTTCTTGCCAAGACAAGAGCCTGAAAAGCCCATGAAGAGACGTCGTCAATCGAACAAGCCTGTCTTTATCCAAGAAAACGAGGCTTCAATCGCTCTAGAACGCAAGAAGATGTTGATGATACTAGCTGATTCGGCTTCTAGCCCTCATCAGGTGGACCTTGCTATGCGCAAATTCGTTCGTGCTCCAAACGGAGTGGTCAGCAGCACATTGAGCCTGGTAACTCTGAGCGTGAAGGAAATTCTCCATCGTTCGGGTTTGTCACCACGGGTCAAACGTTCTCATGATGAAGAACGTGCAGCAATCTGGTCAAGACTCTTAGAGTTGGAAACAAGCTTGGGTCCTTTGGCACAAAGAAGTCTTCTTGCACGAATGCATACGCTTCTCACGGTTTCAACATCTTCTTTCGTTGGATTTGGCACACAATCCGGTTTACCTCTCTTGCATCCTGCACGTGTGTATGGTACTTTGGCTATTGCTTTGGTTCGTGCTTCCAGCTCAAATGCGATTGTCACATCTTTCGCTGATCGTTATTGGACAATGGCAAGAAGATGTCGTCTCTTGGCTGCAGATGGAGGTGTGGATGAAAACAATGTGACTCAAGTGACCGATCGATGGTTAGATCCCGTTTTGGAATTATCCCTCGTCGATGCTGTTTCTCTTTGCCCAATTCCAACACAAATCGCTTCATTCTTTTCTCAACACAGCGATTCAAACACCCGTGCAACCATGGTTTCTCCATTGCTTTGCATTGCTGCAAGTCAACATAGCAAACAATTGGCCACCATCTGGAGTACGTTATTGTGCCAAATTGCGAAGACCACATGCCCAAGCAACTCTGTCTCAAGTGAGCAAGGCGATGATCATTCTCGCTCTCCTACCTGCGCTGATTTCGTCAAACATCATGCAGGCGTCAAGATTGCTTTACCAATCCTGAACGATTTAGGTGACCGTGATCGATTGACCAGTCAAATCACACGATTAACATTAACTGCACCACGTTGTCCACGATTGCAAATCATTTGCAATGTCACTTTTGGTACTTGGGCTTTGTTGTTGGGCAATGGATCAGTAGCAAAAGATGTTGCTGTTGCGCTTGCGCGAACAGGAGAAGAAGAAGTACTTGCAATGCCTGCCTGTGCAAAAGCTTTCATCGCTTTGGTATTAGGTGGAGGAGTGCTACCACAAAAAGGCAAAGGAGAAGACGGCGAAGTCGAAATTGCTGATATCTTACAGAAATCTTTGTCTGTTGGCGCTGTGCCAATGAATGAAGCAGATGCTTTGGCGGCTGCAACACTTTCATGGCTCTCCTTCTTGCGTACTCTCTCAACATACTTGTCTGAAGACTCCACAAAGACAGACGGTAACAAGATTGCTCAAAGTACGATTTCCATTCGTCGATTATTGGCAAGTGCACGTGCTTGTCGACCAATCTTGACAGAAGAATCTTTGATCGAATTGAGAGATGCAAGTCCAGTGTATGCAAAACAATATCCATCAGGCCATCGTGATAGCTTGGCATCAACATTGTCTACCGCTCCTTCTGTGACGGTGAGCGAAGCAGGTTCGATAACGAACGAATACACTGCCAAACTTGCCGCTCAACATAATTTCGATGATGCTTTGGACACTTTGACGGATATCTTGGCAGTTTTGGGTAAGCGAGCTGCAAGCGGAGGTGAATTCTCCAAAGAGAAGCTCTTGCAACCTGATGAGAATGTCGATTCTGGTGTCGAATGGACACTGTGAGGGCATTTTCTAGTTCTAAATCATTCATCATTTTCTGCTTTTCTGATGTTGATACCATCTTATAATTGTACATATGTAGATATATTTTCGATACGTTTGCAGAAGGAAATAATATTTGTTTTTTTGTCATCACGAGGTTTACTTTGATTGAAATTGAAAGTAATAACTTGCTAGGCAAGGAAAAGTAATGTATCGTAATACAGAAAGAGTAATAAAGTAAATAATATACCTTTAGAATCGATCTGACACTAGGAAAGTAATACTAATGGTAGGAATTAAATACTTTAGATGAATGAGTTTACTTTCTAGCTACCTTAGATACATGAATACTACCACCCATAAGCATCCTTCTAATTAAAGGCACCTTAACACCAGATCAAGGAAGCCTATAACAAGGAGATGGTAGTCAAGGAAAGTATTGGTCAAAATGGGTACCAGTTCCACGCGTGATAGAGAAGCCGGGGAAAGCAATCAAAGAATAAAAGCCGCGTTTTGAGAGTGTTTATGCGCTATATGCTATTCTTGCATGATTTCTTGCAGCGAACATTCACATTCTTCCTTTCATCTTCACCTCCTTCATCTGCTTGGAAAGGTAAGGAAGAGCGAATAAACGAACATATCAGGTATCGTATTTAGCTCTTTGCAGCTCGTTCAACTTTCTTCTTGCTTTAGTCATTTGTCAAAGAAGTCGCCTCTCTTCATCGTAAACTGCTCAAAGAGAGAAGCGGAAGAAGAACATCGGACGGAAGCACTTCAAGCAGATCAAAAAAGCCATACTGAATCGCATTCAAAGGTGAGTATATGCGTCTCTTTCCCCTTCTCCCTCTCTCCTCGCTTCCACCACGATCTTCCGAAAACGGAATGAAACACTATAAGATCACACACCGTAACGGCACCGAAGAACGGATGTGATTGGCGCTTTGATTGTAACGCCCGCAAACCCAGCCAGGAAGCGATTCAATGAATCAAGCGTATTAACACATGAGAGCAAAGGCAAACCCACTATTGAATGGAAATGAGGTGGGGCTAAAGGGAAGTCATTGATGCAGTTTTACTGTCAATATACGTTCCACACACAGCTGAGCAGCTTTTTTACGCCCAACTTTGAAAAAAAGGCTGACGATTCGGCTAAAAAGTATTAAAGGACAGCGGTGCAATTTCGACTCGATTCATATCACGAAAAAGTTACGTTGAACTAACCCACTTTCGATCACCATCTTTGTCTCCAGCAGCGCTCTTTACAGCAGCATTGATTGGGTCTCAATCAAATAGACTCTTTCAAACAACACAAAAGGCATCTCACAAAGCCTTGACGAATAGACGACCTCAAGAGCAATCCTATCCTGGTCAAAATGTCTGGAAGCACAGTAGATACCAAGCCAGGCTCTGATGTTCCGGGCTCGACGCCAGCATCAACCACTGGAGTCACATCATCTTCACACGCGAATTTGATCCCAAAAGCGATCGTCAAGAATGTGGACATGTCTGATGAAATGCAGCAAGCAGCTGTGGATATTGCAAGTGATGCAATGACGAAATATACTGTGGAAAAAGACATTGCTGCTCACGTAAAGAAGACGATGGATACGAGATTTGGGCCTACATGGCATGCCGTTGTAGGAAAGAATTACGGTAGCTACGTTACACACGAGACAAAGCATTTCATCTACTTCTGTGAGTATGCATAGAGGCTCATAAAGATGACCTTGCATGCATATCTAACCCAATCTCTTTCCCTCTCTTAGACCTAGGTCAAATTGCATTCCTTCTCTGGCGGGCATGAAAGCGGCTCTGGATGGGCAATGTGGTTTATGATCAATTTTGATCGACATTCTTTTGCCTAGCAACGAGTTTCACGATCTCAGCAATGCTCATCTGCAACCAGCCATGCAATTTTCCCCTCCAATGATTTGCGCATATATTCCAGCTTTCTTTCCCCTCAAATCCCGTTCTTGTCTTACACATCATGTACAAAAAGCACACAGATTCATTTAATACTCTATCAAACTCACAGTCTGATTGAAATCAAAGTGAAAAGGATAAATTGTGATCATAAACATCAAAATCATAAGATGTGATGGTGCAAAAGGGTATAATATAAACAAGAGCAATTAAAGAAAAAAAAACCTGAACGTTTTTACGAAGCAGTAGCAGATTGAGCCAAATACTTTTCGTCAACAGCACTCAAATGAAGCATACTCGAATACACTCTCCTACAAACCGGACAAGCATATTTGCGTTTCGGTCTCCTTCCTCTCCTTCTTTCACTTTCACGTGTGGCTTTCACAGTATCGCGAAGTTGAACAGCACAATCCAAACAAAGACCATGTGTACATGGTAACAATAACGTTGACGGTGGCGCACTTAAGCAAATCAAACATTCAGATGCATTTCCTTCATTGTCCATAAGATCAATTTGCGGTAAAGGTGTTTCGCCAGTCGCTCCTTCTTCTCCTTCTTGATTTTCATCATCGTGTTGCTGTTGTTGCGGTGGTGGTGGTCTTGATGATAATCCGTACAATTCTTGTAATTGGAATCGATGAGGTCCAATTTCAGCTTCTTGACCTTCAACTTGAACAGACCAGGCTCTTGATGTATCGGTAGTTGATTTCGCCGTTGGTGAAAGAGGTGCTGAAGGTGGTAAAGCAATATCATGAATGATTCCAGCATCATCTGCTTCTCCTGCTGCCCCTTCATCATCAATGACTTCCACTCTGCCTTCACTTGTACTCCTGATAGGCAAAGAAGCAATTCGCATGTATGTCGTTTGCAAATTCGGTTCCCGTAATGGTTTCCCATCTTCATCCAATGCTTCAACGACGACAGCAATCTTGAGTGTCTCCCGTTCAGCACGTTCACGAGCTGCCTTCTCTTCCTTTGTCTCAGTGACTGCATTTGTACTGGATTCCGTTTGTCCATTTCGCGAATCTTGCTGATCGTTTGCGCCAGTGACTGCTGCTGCAACGCCAGGCAAAGCTGAAGGCAATTGACCTGTTTCATTCGATCGAATCAACGACAAAGGATCAAAAGAAGGAGCAGTCACTGCAGGTGTTTCTGGTTCATCCAATCGATGAGAAGCATCGATCGCAGGTGTTTCAGGAATAGGGTTTGCAACGGGAGCAGGTGTCTTTGGCAAAGTTGTAGAATCTTGAGCGCTCTGTAATTTTGGTGGCGCATACAACTCCAATCGTAGAGCAACTTGAACGGAAAGAGGAACAGAGAAACCTTTACGGGCACGAGTAACAAAGACTGGCCATCCTAAAACATGTGGTGGCGGACCTCGTTGACCCAGGGATCGAGATTCACCGTCATCTTCTGCACCGATGGTCAGATCGATCGGCAAACCTGCTGATTCGCGTGCAGTTGTCCATGTAACCCAACTGCCGTGCTTGCGGCTCGCTCGAACGAACACTTGAACGCTGGCGAATGGTGCCGCACAATCATACTCAAATGAGATTGAATGGGTTGACAATGATTGATGATTGGGTGAAGTTGAACGGTGCAGTGGATCTTCAAAGGATGCCGATAGACTGTGTGACTTTTCCTGAGGTAAAGCATGAAGTTTAATAGTGTTGCGCTTCAAGTTGACGTAGCTTTGTAAGGTAGAGCACATCGTGCTTGGATTTCCAGGATTGCCACGTAATTGTGCAACTTCTTCCGCATTACCCACTTCAACTGTGCCGCCCACAGTACTCCTTTCTATCCATCTGCGAAGGGTATCCAGCTCAATGCCTTCTGTCATGGGAATTTCGTTACCATCCGATTCGTTAGGTCTTGCATCCATTTGAGAGATGCTCACTTGACTCATCAAAGCTGGATCAGCAAGAGAAGGGACTGAATCAATGGCATCCAGATTGTTTAGCGAATATTGACTCAAGCCGCTCAAACTTGCACCACGAGCCCTTCCTCGACTGCCAAGTCTTGGTCTTCTTTGCATTGCATCAACGTTTGAAGACGAGCCGATAGCGTTCGAAGTCAATCCTGAGGCGCCGACAGAATTTGATTGCTGTGATACTAATGCACCAGCGATTGCGCCACTTGTCGAACTTCCGCTACCGAAATAATTGGCTAGATTGGGACCAAAGAGAGTTGCCCCTTCCTCTCTTTCACGTCTGGATTTACCTGTAATCTTTCTCATTGAAAGTGGTGCTGATGTAGAGTTCATCGTGCCAGTATTACCTGCATTTGGTAATTGTGCTTCCAAATCGCCATTTCGCGTAGCTTGATCGCCATCGTTTGCATTACGTCTTCTGTTCAATTCTGCTACAATCCTTTGTACTTCTGCATTTGCACGTTCCGCATTTTGATTACGTTCATTTTGTCGATCACGAAAAGATGAAATACCTCGAGATATTCTTGAGAATCTTGAATTATTGCTTGCTTCTCTTCTGTTTTCTTGTGGTGAAGCTGGTATTTGATTATCACCCGTTCCATTGGCATCTTGTCTTTCGATATCTGATTGAGGTCCTCTTGGTCGCCTTTGAAGGAGGTGAGCGAATGCAGCTGGACCGTTTAAAGACATGATTGTTTAGTAATAGTGTAAACGGTATAAAGTGATTGCCTTCCTATTCATTCGCCGCACAAGTGTGGAGAATTGATTGTCTTGATGTCACTGTAGTGTTTAGATGAGCATTCCAAATTCTGCTTTTGTGTTGATGGAATATGATGGCCGATTCAAAGCACCTTGAGTTGTATGTTTGAGATGATGATGGTAACAGTTCACCTCATTTCGCGGCTTGATTTGGTCCGGACATAAAAGCGTGTGTGTGTGGGATGAGAGGGTCTTATGTAAAAGTCATGCAATTTTATGCTCTCATTCAACGCGCTGCGCTAGAGGGGAATTGCTTTACAGTGCGCCGCCCATCACGATTATTCGGCCGCTTTCAAGGTATTCATAGACAATTGTATCAAAGATCAGCAGCATATCTTATAATCTGCACTACCTGTCAAGATAAATAGCCAAAGATTGATGAGACTGATAGTTACCCCTACCCATGAAGAACAGGCCCCCTGGATGAACTCATAAGCTATGATTCAATTCACAAAGCACCAGAGCATCGACCATAAATGCATTCATTGACAGGGCGTATGTATTTGTGCAGTGCACACACAATTTGCCTCCCTTTTTCTGCGTTATATCTTTACTAGACTGTATACCATATACATTAAACCCGGATGCAGCAGCAGCGAGTCTGTGCGCCGCGCGCAGGGCAAGAATGCACTGCTTATGTGCACCAGCCTTTAGTCCAGGCGTTGCACACTGGGCTTTAAACAGGTGCCGACACTGCTAAAACGCATACAAACCAACACCGTTTCAACTAAATTTCATTCTTTCTATAAATATTACTACTGTACTTCGAATGACAGCATCTATTCATATCTCTACCACTTCATCAAACAATTTGGTCACCCATTAACAATCACAAACAATCGCTAATCATCGGATCGGAAGACATACAAACATCATAATCATCCAGATCCGACTCGGCAGTCGCCTTTTGGTAGACAAATCTACAATTCAACGCGAAAAGGAGAACACGTTTACCAGCATTCACGATTGGAAGCTTGTACTCTGAAACAATTCTAAACAAGCACTTCACTCAACAACAGCAAGAATGATTCCAGCACAACGAAACAAGGTTGACATCAACGTAAGTGTTTCACCATCTAGATTCTATCACCCGCCAGCCAGCAATGAATTGCTAATTACCATTAATTTCTTCCCGCAGTCCTTAACCGAGGAAGAACAAAAATTGTTCCGCCTCTATGGTAAACTTCCAAACCGTAAAGATGTGATCAGAAACAAGATCACAGAACGAAAATTTTTCGATTCAGGCGATTATGCTTTATCAAAAGCAGGTAGAGCACCTCAACAATCCGTAGGAACGGCAATTCCGAATCCTGAAACGATTCCTCATGCTTCAACCGTAAGCTCACCACCGAATTGTACGGCAGCCCCTTCAAGCTTGAGCATGGGAGCTGGCTCCGTTCCTGTCGCTGTACCTGGCGCCCAAGGCTTAGGTCGTAGTCCACCACAAGTGAGCACATTCCCAACGGCTACCGGTAATGGTCCAGCAGGTAGTCCTGCCAAGGAAAGCAGTTCTCTCGGCCGTCAAGAAATTGCCGCTGAAGATCTCATGGAGGAATAAGCACCTTCGCTTCGATAATTGAAACAGCAAAGTCTACTTTTTTTCACCTTCGACACTGTATTTTTATACACAAACTTTTTTTCTCTCTCATCTTCCGACATTGCCCACATCTCGTTTATCTGCAAAAAAGAGCGCTCGGCTGTACGGTCTCTCCCTTTTGTTTTTTTTTTCTCCGTCTGAGGCAGTATAAAGACGTACATACAACAAACACACCTAATAGCTTTCTTGCTTATGGATTCCGTAGAGGCAGAAGTAGCATACAGATCTTTGGACTATTGATGTGAACGAGAAGGACCAATTTTTTTGCTGCATCGACCCAGGAAACATCGTCTTCTTGCTACCTGTCCCGTGGAATGTTCGTTCTTATCTCTTCCTATTTAACGAAGTACTAATATCAGTGTTAATATATTATGTTTAATATGCTCCGCCAGCAGAAGTAGACTGAGAGCAGAATCGCTCGCTATCGGGCAGATTTATTTCTATTTCACTTTCAACCTCTAGACCCAGAGCTGAATACGTAAAGGTGGATATTCGTAGCCACTATTAGAGCAATATAAATAATTTAAATCATAATAGCAAGATCGAAAAAAAAGATTCAATAAGACTAGATTATATACGAATAGAACCACGTTGACGTGATTGTTGCACTGCCCGTATACCATTGGTAATAGCCAAGACGAAAGAAACTGATGCCAAAACGAAAAGGAATTGAACGCTTCCTGGTACTGATCCTGTACGTAAGCCTGTCAATGTATACACCGTTCTTGCCCATCCATGACGAACGGAGCCAGGGATGATTTTTGAAGGTGGTGCAATACCTGCATAACGTCCGAATACCTTCATCGAACAAGCTGCATTGATTTGCATATGTACACCTTTGCATAATTCCATCACCAAAGCTCCTCGTTTATCCAACGTCTTTAATCCTAATCGATCTTCTGTATACAAAGAACTTTGACGAAGAGGTTCAACTTCTAGTTCATCTTTTCCTTGTGTGGAGCTGTCATTGCTTGGCACAGGATAGGATGCAAACCAGGAAGATTGTTTGGGCTCAACGGTGTGGTCTTTATCAAACATGAGCAAAACCAAATTGTCTAGACTTTGTAAGTTAGCCTTGTATTCATCGTTTTGGTGTACTTCATTATTGATATCAGCGATGAACTTGTTCACCTCTAAATACCGTTGATAATGTTCAACAGAGGTAGGATCACGATAGTACTGTGCAGTAACAATGTGGGATTGCGCATATTCCGTTTGAATGCCACCTCGCAATGCGCCTTCAGCCAAACGGCATAAAAGCTCAGACGGTTTGCAAGCCGGCAAATCACTGATGCCCATATGTTGACTTCCAAAAGTGATCAAATTACGTACAGCAGGCTTGTTGCATCTTTGAACGTATGCACGTAAGAATTGACCACCTTGTGAGAATCCAATAGCATCAAAGCCATCACGCAATTGATCATCCATTGCTAAATCTTGACAAACTTGTTCAACTTCTTCATTCACATTTCCAAAGAAACCAGCACGTTGATCAGATGAAAGATCATCGGCCAAAGAGATCAATTTAACATACACTCCAGGATATGCTTGTCTTAATTGATCTGCCAATTCTTGCATAGGTTGAGAGTATGCACTATCGCCTAATCCATGCCAAATCACGATCGGATGAAAAGCAGGTCCAAAGAGAGGAGAGGCATTGATTGTTGTGGCGATCAGGGCCCATACAGCCCCTATGAAAAAGAGTGGATGCATTGTTGAGGAAGGCTGATTTTGATGATGGCAATACGGATGTGAAATGATGACCTGATATGAATCCAACACTTTTTTCACGCCCTACTGTGGAGCTCAGATGAGATGCATGCATAAAGGCACCGACACAGGAGTAGAAAAAGGCAGTCAGTCTACACGGTGGGTTGTTATTGATGGCCTTTTAAGCCCTGCGCAGAGCACACGCAGTAATTACGCGCCGTCTGTCTGATGCAATGCTTTGCTCCGTTTCGGCTTTAAGCTTGACTTCTTTATGCAGCAGTTTTCCAATAAAAATTTGGGCTTTAAGAGATGGCGGCGCACGTCATCGGATCTTACGAACATTTTTATTTGACAGCCATCATCATTTACACAACGACCTACTCGCCACTTTACTCAACAACCTTTTCACTAATATGACTTCCTCAACATCCGCTGGACCATCAAATTTGGTCAATATCACATCTCCTGATCATTTTACATCATTGATGTCTTCTGATTTAAACAGAGTTTCACTTTTAAACTTTTGGGCATCATGGGCAGAACCATGTGAACAGATGAACGTGGTGGTAAAAGAATTAGCAGAAAAGTATCCGCAAATCTTATGCTTGAACATCGAAGCAGAAGAACAACCTGATGTTTCAGAATCATTCGATGTCGATAGCGTACCTTCGTTCATTCTTTTACGTGGTCATACCCTTTTGTCAAAAATTAGTGGTGCAAATGCAGCAGCATTGAGTGCAGCCGTCGCTTCTCATGCACCAGGCTCAAACGGATCAACAAACGGTGGACCTTCTTCTCATACAGCCTCAGCTCCACAAGCACCTCCTACCAATTATGCAGCCGTAAACGGAACACAATCAGCTCAAGGTACGATCGGAGAACATTCTATCCCAGATGAAGAAACACCTGAACAATTAGACGAAAGATGTCGTAAATTGATGGAAAAGAGTAAAGTTGTTTTGTTCATGAAAGGAAATCCAGATCAACCAAGATGTGGTTTCAGTCAAAAAACTGTTGCTTTGTTAAAACAAGAAAAGGTTTCGTTTACAACTTTTGATATCTTACAGGATGAATCTGTTCGACAAGGCTTGAAAAAGTTGAACGATTGGCCAACTTTCCCACAAATTATCGTCAATGGAGAACTAATCGGTGGATTGGATATCTTGAAAGAACTGATAGAGACGGGAGAGTTCAAACAAATGCTGAACGAGTAGGAGTGATCTTTTTGTACTTAATCTAGCTGATCGTGCTTCAATCTAATACTCTAATCTACGCAATGTCTGTCTTAACATGAAGTGCTCTACTTCCCCTACTCTTTCATACACAGCAGTCTCATCCGATCAACTATAGAAGCCAATATATTCATTGCAGTATCCCAACGTCTACTCTTCAGACTTTTCCTGTGATGGAGCGGAATAGCGAGATAGGTTGTCCTCTCTTGTTCTGGCACGGAATTCGAATTTATCCTGAAGAAGCAAGCAATAATAGATTAGTTCAAGTCCATTTCATCATCTATTAAGGCACCGCAAACACTCACATCTCCGTATACCGATAGACCGTACAATACTGCAGGAAGTGCTACACCCAAAGCCAGAACTTGTCTTGTTGCTTTTGGCGTCATTCTGAAGCGTTGATACATTGTGGCATGCTAAAAGTTAGATAGGCAAAGGCGTTAAGAAGAGTGTGAGAAAAATGGTTCCATAGAACAATGAACCTTTCTTCTTGATCATGCATTTCGTTTGAATCACGACCAGAAAGGCGTCGGGTGTGCCATCTTCTCTCCGATGAGAACGTAATTTGCACAACTTCCTCTCTCTCATGCTTGGCTTTGATGTCATTTTGATCCTCACACCCCCCCCCATCTCCGGCTGACAATATGCTGCATCAATACTCACCATTGTTGACCAACGCTCGACAGCGGGGTCCGAACGGAAGGCTATTGGGAAATGAAATAGTGTCAGAAACTTGTAGAGCCACTCCGTTACCCGTTTCACTCACGATGATGACCACCTCCTGCCATTTTGTTTGATATTATATATTGAGGAAGTTGAGATGATCGTCTCAAGGTGGATATAGCGCGGGTATGCTTGGGTGTTAAGTGATCGTGTTTAACACTGGGCGTAGCGCACTGTACACTGATGGGCACGTGATGAGTGTGGATTTTTGCTTAAAGTCAGAAGATTGATTGCAAGTCAGGCTAAGAAAAAGTGTATGCTCTCATTCTTTTACACTCCATCACATCGATTGTATCATCAACTTGCTAGGCCAAAATGGCATCCTTTCGCACTCTATTGCCAAAGAATGCTTTGCAGGCAAGTCGTTCACAGAGTATCACTTCCGGCCCTTCTTCTTTAGCAGTCGCCCACCTTCATTCTTCTGCAGCTGTAAATGCAGTTTCACCTTCCGTGCAAAAGCGAGAAAGAGAGAGACAAAAACGAAAAGCTGCTGAACAAAAGCAATTACTCAGACAACGCATTTTCGAATTAACAAAGCCCGATCCAGTATTGGGACATCAAATGAACGAAAAAGGTGAAGCAGTTTGGAAAAATAGTGAATTGCGTAAAATCATTCTTACAAAAGATGACGTTTGGGGTGTACGTGAAGATCGAAGAGGAAATTTGATAGAGATCACAGAAGAAGCAAAGACGGACGACGCTTCCACTTCTCCTCCCGAAGAAGGAATACAAATCGGACCAAAACGTCTAAACTTCGGATTGGACTCACAAGAGGATCGTCAATTGTTGTTTGGAAATTTACCTGCTACGATCCTTGAAGATTATCATAGGGCAATGGAAGATCAACTATTACGAGCAAGCCAGGATGAATTGTTGAGCTTTTCGCAAAATATGCAAGAGAATGAGGAAATCGAACAAGGCCATACTGATTTGCTAGGAAGACTGTTGGATCTTCGTAACGCAAACGGAAAGGGTATCCAAGTAGAAAATATCAGAAGGATCACAAATCATTTCGGACAGAGACCTGCAATGGAAGATGGAAAAGAAAGAGGCTTGGATACAGGATCACCCGAAGTTCAGGCAGCCGTTTTGACATACCGAATCAGAAACCTACATGAACATCTCGAGACAAAGAGACACGATAATTCAAACAGACGAGGAATGACCGCTTTGGTACAAAAACGAGCAAAGATTCTCAAATATCTCAAACGTGAATCCATTTCACGTTATAATACCATCCTACCCCGTCTTGGTATTGAGCCCAGAGCGGTAGAAGGTGAGGTCACAGTTCCGGGCAAGCCTAAGATGAATGCTTCCGTGTAGAGAAGAAGAGGGTGGTAAACACAAACTGTACTTATAGCTAAACACTCAAAATGCATCTGTTAAAACTAAGATATATGACATTAGACTACAGCATGATAGCAAATCAATTTTAGTGATGATGATGATGGTCCGAATGATCGTGTTGATGAGCGTGACCATTGTGGTGATGAGCATGATTGTGATGATCATCATGTTCATGAGAATCTGCGTGATGGTGAGCATGATCATGCGTGTGACGGTGATTGTGGCTGTGGTCATGCGTATGGCTGTGACTATGATCGTGACCATGTTCATGCGTGTGACTGTGATCATGAGAGTGAGAGTGAGAGTGGTCATGAGCGTGACTGTGATCATGCTTGTGTTCTTCTCTATATTTGAGCCTTTCCTTTTCACGACAAACTTGAACGATCACTTCTCCCGCTCTCAATGCACCACGTAGGCTCTCACCAACAGGCAATCCTGCTCCTGCACCAACTGCAGGTGCTAGCAGTTGCCATGCCCATCTTGTGATATCCAAAACATCTGCATCAGAAGCATTGTCATGCAAGAATATCTGTACGGAAGCAATCAAAGCCGCATTCTTTGCTGTCCGATTAGTAGCTTGTCCAAGCAAAAGAGAAGAAGCCGATGAAGATGAGCTCAAACCGTTTGCAGAAAATTGAATGGCAGCAGCCGGTTGTGTTTGATTGATAGCAGATGTGGGCGGGGTCAACTGCCATAGATGAGGTGGTGCAACGTATGTGACCAATTTGTGTTCTTCAATCGTTCGTAACGTTCGCATCAATTGAACGTTTTGTACTTCATGTTGCTTTGGTGCAGTTTGCAATAAAATCTTTCCTAATGCCTTACTTGCAGGATATGCAACATACAACATCGCAACACTTTCCAATCCTGCCAATACTTTATCCAAAGCAGCCACTTGAAATGCCGGCATTGCGAAAGCAGAAACGGTGAGCGTAGACGCAAAGAACAATACAGTTACGCTGAACGGGTTGGCAAATAGCTGCAAGAAAGGACCAGCCATCACACTTGGATCTGCCAAAACGGAAACCTGTCTTCCATGACCAGCTCTTCTACGACTTGCGCTTGAGGCCTCTGAAGCAGCTGTTGAGAAACCACAAGCAGCGACAAGTTTGACGTGATTTTGCAATACGACATTGCTGAATATACAGGCCGCAGTTGTGATCAAGAGAGTGAGCTGAGGCAGGCGTAATCCAACCTCGTCTTGCTCGTGATGTTCCTCCTCGTGTCCTTCCAGCAAAGCATGCTCAACGGATTCTTTGCATACATAGATGGCTGCGAAGAGCAAATAGATCGTTTGACTGAATTGAAGCAACGTTTCAATACGATGCGGTCCATATGGTTTGACAAACTTTTTGTTGTGTCCATGAGCGTGCACCGAGGCTTTCTCTCTTCTCCATTGTTCTATTAGCCACTCCGAGGCTACAGAGTTTAGCACACCAAAAGCATCAAATACAACCAGATACCCTAATCCTGTCATCGCTAAGCTATCACCTGATTGACCTTTCATCCATAAAACCGCACCAAGAATGAAATGAAACGTACCAAAGATCAGAATAGGTCGATGAGCAGGAGGCAGAGCTGTATTGGACAACAAATTCCAAACGGGTGTGGAGAGCAATTGTCCGACAAGTGAGGAGGAATGTTGGCGTGTATGTTGTGGATATGCTCTTGCGGTATGCTTGTGATCTTCTTCATGCTCATGATGTGAATGAAGATGTGGTTGATTGGTTTGTGGTGCGAAATCGGCATCGTGCATCACGCTATGCTTGCGATGGTGACCTTTACGTGATTTTGAAGGACTTGGTGAGAGTGATTTTGTTGAATCGGCAGAAGTGAGTCTTGATGAACTAGAAGATACATTTGTATCAAGATGAACTTCTGGCTTTTGAAACGTGTTTGCAGCTTGAATTTGATCAGCTTCTCGTTCTGCTTCACTTCCAGGTTGAGGAAAGAAAACGCTCAAATTACGACTATGAATGCGAGAATGACGCCGAGAATGCTCTCTTCTTTCGGCTGCTGTCATTTGAGATAATGATTTTGTGATTGATGAAGTAGAAGAAGAAGATGGAAGCTCAAGCACTTGATCTTCTTCCTCTTCCGTTTCTGTGTTGCTCAAGTTGCGGGCGTCATTCTTTCCTTCAGCCTTTGGACTTCGTTCTGCTCCTTCATCCATTGAAACGTTTAAAGAAGGCAAAGCCATCCTGTTTCTCTGTTGCTAGTGCAGGAAACCAGTCGTGCACAAAGAAGGAAGACTTTCTGATGACTGAAGAGACGATTGAAAGTCAGAATGATGAATGCATTTATCAAAATTAAGACTCTTTAGTGATATGCAAGAAATGTGTTTGTTGGCTTAGGCGCTAAAAATAAGATTTACTACTCAACTGCAAAGGCACCGAGAAGGTACACACACACTCACACTCACACGCAACGGTGTTGGAACGCGTTACTTCTTCCACCAAAGGTCACTCTCATTCTCAACGTCGATTACGAGATTATTAATAGCCATTGATCGAATAGTACACAAAGCATAAAGACTCTATCTAATGAGTTTTAACATCTTGCAAATTCAAACGAACACTTTCCTCAACAGATTTGAATCCTCCATAAGGTTTGAGTAATTCTTGTGTACGTTTTGTATCAACGACAGTGTTATCCCGTACATCCATCTGAGCGGATTTGGGAGGAAGGTTGACTTTATCAGAAGCGTACTTTTGTGCATACTCAAAGATTTCAGGCCAAGTGAAAACTCCTGAAAATGCAAGTAAACGTTCACTAACGATATCCTCTCGCATTGCTGCTAAAACGTGCAAAATGGCAACATCATCTGCATCAACGATGAATTGTGATCGTAGCATTTCAGTAATTTGGCCATCGGCTTTGAACACCACATTGCGAACCATATTTCCTGTGCTCATATAATCTGTTCCAACAGTATTGCTTCCTGAAACAAAGTTTGGATTGACTGTATTGACGATAAAGGATGGCTTGTTTTCCTTGACAAAGTCCCAAGTGAATCGTTCACTCAACACTTTACTGGCAGCATAAATGTTGATAGAGTTCGGCTTGACTTTGGCTTCTTCTAGACTTGCATCATTCCATGAATTAACGTCAAAGTGTTGTGTTGGCTTGCCTGGCTCCAAGTTTGGAGTGCCCAAAGCGATTGAACTACTGGTAACAACCACACGTTTGATAGCGTCTCCTTCTTTATGTGCTGCCTTGAGTAAAGAGCGGTAACCTTGAACGGTAGGTGGAATGACTTCGTCCCATTTATCGCTGAATGTGAGAGTGGAAGCAGCATGAATGATTCCTTGGACTCCCTTGACGGCTTCATTGTATGCATCATCCGCATTGAAGTCCTTTACGATTGTAGTCTCAATATGTGCATCTTTACCATACTTTGACTGTAATCCAGCAATTAAACCTTTTGCCTTTTCTTCACTTCGAATGGCCAAACGAACCTTTAGTCCATGTTCAAGTGCTTTGTCCACGATGTGTGAGCCTACCCATCCTGTTCCTCCTGTAATAAGGACTAATTCGCCTTTTTGGATTGCTTTGTTTGCCATGATTGATAGATGTCTATTTGTTTTGGGATGAGAGTAAAATGTATCGATATCATTTCCGGAGTGGTTTATATATGTATGATCGGATCTCTACTCTATATTCCAAATTGAGTGGAGAGTGTGTATGTGAACATCCTTTAACTCCTACGGCCGATTGCATAATCCTAAAGCTTACTTTCTCCACTATGAAATTTTGCATGCAGGTAAACCGTTGTGGAATTCAGGCGGGAACAAGAGAAGTTTGTTATGGTACGCTAAGGGCGAAGAAGAAACAAAAGATTCACCGCACGCCACTAGGTTCAAACGGCCGTTAGAGTACCAGACAGCACCCGAGGCTAGGGTTGAATTCTAAACTCCGGGGCAAAGAAAGCAGCTCGCATTCAGTCTTTTACAGCTTCTTGTACAGAGAGTTTATTGTCAATTGGATGCTTACTGAATCCTTCCGAACGTGATCAATATGACGAAGCGGCTTACTTTCTCATTTTCAGTAATCAGAGCACGTCATTCGGTCAAAAAGGGCATAAAAGATAAGAAGATAAAGTGATTAGATTGATAAACAACAAGCGAAACTATATGAATGATTAAAGATGAATCAGTCTTGCAAATTGAGACGTACACTTTCTTCTAATGTTTTGAGACCGCCATACTCTTTGAGAATCTCTTGTGTACGTGAAAGATTAGCGACAACATTGCTCTTCAATGAAGTCTTCTCGCTCTTTTTGACGGTATTGACCTTTTCAGGTGCATACTTTTGCGCGATATCGATAATCTTATCCCAAGTGTACACTTCTGAAAAAGCGAGAATGCGTTCATTCACGATGTCCTCCCTCGTGGCTGCCAAGACGTGCAATAAGCCAACGTCATCCGTATCGACCAAATAACTTGAGCTGAATGTATCAACTACATTCTGATCTGCTTCAAGAACTGCTTTTCTGAGCCATAATGCAGTACTCAAATATTCTGAACCTGGAGCTTTTGCACCGGCGCATAAGCTTGGGTTAACGGTATTGAGAATGAATGCTGGTTTGTGTTCGTTTACGAAATTCCATGCGAATCTTTCACTTAAGACTTTGCTCGCTGCATACACTAAAAGTGGATTTGGACTCTTCTTTGCCAATTCAACGTCTGCATCATTCCATGTTTCCGTTGTGATGTGGTACGGTGCAGCATCAGGCTCTGTACTTCCTCTTGCTACGGCGATCGAACTGCTTGTCAACACAACCCTTTTGATCGAATCGCCTTGTGCATGTGCCGCTTTGAGTAAAGCTGAATAACCGCGTATCGTTGGTGGAACAACATCTTCCCATTTCTCACTAAAAGTCACCGTAGAAGCCGCATGAATGATACCCTGAACGCCCTTGACAGCTTCATCATAAGCGCTTTCAGAATCGAAATCTTTCACCGTGACAGTTTCCAAGTGTGCCCTTTCTCCATACTTGGCTTTCAATCCTTTGATCAGTTGTTGTGCTTTTTGTTCATTTCGAACTGCTAAACGAACTCGTAAGCCATGCTCTAATGCTTTGTCAACGATATGTGAGCCTACCCAGCCGGTTCCGCCGGTGATCAAGATTAAATCGCCTTTCTGTACAACTCTGCTTGACATGTTGAGGTGATCGAGTAGATGTATGAAATTGAATATTGTTGCTTTCTGTGTATTGAAGATGGAAGATTTCTTACAATGCTCAGAGAAAACTAGCCTATATTTATGTTTTTCTTTTCCATTCGAAATAGCAACGTCTTTTGGTCGCTACTGGGGATGGCGTCATGTACTTACGGCCGCAATTTGAGCTCAGCATATTGGATTACACCACTTAAAGAGGTCCTACCGTAATGTAAGCTTTGCTCGTAGCTGTTTTCTGTATTGATTTGTAGCGGTCATAGCTCCCATCTTTCTCTCAATTTTCCGTCTATTGTTTTTATCTCCGTATTATGGCTTACCCCCGTCCAAGAGGTGATCCGGGAGGCAATGCGGCGTGCACGTGACCTGTCCACCACTTTTGCTCAATTCGCTCAACCCTAGATAAGACGCGTGCGTGTAGACGCCGCTTGACCAAGGTCGTGCGTCCGCGTCCTAGTCTTTTTAGGCTGCGTCCAAGCGCTGTCCTGACTTTGGGGTATACAATCAAACGCATTGTATGCAGGAAGGGGTGAAAACGGAGAGAAGAATTTTAATCAATTCGGATAAGAGATTAAGAAAAAGTAGAGTCATGAGTTAAAACTTTTTTTTTCTTAACTAGGCAAGATAAGACTCACTCAACGCGCTAAACATCTTTCAAGTCATTGTAATGTATACCATTCCTTCTCATTTATATCTTCTTCCTCGCCTCCCCATCAAAACCTAGTACTTCGCCTCACCTTTGGTGATCGGATACATCCACAACAACCTCGAAAGGGGAAAGAGAATAAACCTTTTCCACTCCCTACATACCTCATTCCTATTGACCGCAATTGCTGACGATGTATCGTCGATCTTTTGGTCACGTAGCATCGCAAGCATGCCGATCGCATAGCACTTTCACTGGTGCTATGAATGCCCGTGCAGCATTACGCTCTACACAAACGTTGACCACTTTTAAAGCTTCTTCTGTCGCTTTCCATACCTCTGCTGTCAAATTCAATCCATCATCCACAAAGCCAACTCATGCACAACTATCAGAAGAATTCAGTCCAGTTTCAACCGGATTGCAAAAATGGACAAGTTATCTACCCAAAGTGGAAAGAGCCAATGTGAAAAAGGTGTTGCTAGTCGGTTCAGGAGGTTTGAGTATCGGACAAGCAGGAGAATTCGATTACAGTGGTTCACAAGCAATTAAAGCCCTTAAAGAATCTGGGATCGAAACAATTTTGATCAACCCAAACATTGCTACCATTCAAACAAGTCACTCACACGCAGATCAAATTTACTTCCTACCGATCTCACCCGATTATGTTGCCTACGTCTTGGAAAAAGAACGACCTGATGGTGTTTTGCTCACATTCGGTGGTCAAAGTGCTTTGAACGTCGGTGTCAAGTTGGACGAAATGGGTGTGTTTGATCGTTTGGGTGTAAAGGTTTTGGGTTCTCAAGTTGATGTCTTGCGTATGTGCGAAGATCGTGATTTGTTTGTTCAAGCATTGGACCAAATTAACATTCCTGTCGCCAAATCAGAAGCCGTCTCTTCTGTTCCATCAGCATTGAAAGCAGCCGAAAAGATTGGTTACCCAGTCATCGTTCGTGCAGCTTATGCTTTGGGTGGTTTGGGTTCTGGATTTGCTGATAACGAAGATGAATTGCGCGATTTGAGTGCTAGATCTCTATCATTGAGTCCTCAAATCCTCGTCGAAAAGAGTTTGAAAGGATGGAAGGAAAGCGAATATGAAGTTTTGAGAGACCAAGAAGACAATGCAATTATCTGCTGTAATATGGAAAACTTTGACCCTCTGGGTATCCATACCGGAGACTCAATCGTTGTGGCCCCAAGTCAAACATTGTCAGATGACAACTACCACATGTTGAGAACAGCCGCTCTCAAAGTCATCCGTCACTTGGGCATTGTGGGTGAATGCAACATCCAATACGCTTTGGACCCCAACAGTCGTGATTACCGTGTCATTGAAGTCAACCCTCGTTTGAGTCGTTCAAGTGCTTTGGCTTCCAAGGCAACAGGATATCCCTTGGCATACACCGCCGCTAAATTGGCATTGGGACACACTCTTCCTGAACTACCGAACGCCGTCACAAAGACCACCACAGCTTGCTTCGAGCCATCTTTGGATTACATTGTCACAAAGATTCCAAAGTGGGATTTGTCCAAGTTCCAACACGTAAACAGAGAAGTTGGTTCGAGTATGAAATCTGTCGGTGAAGTTATGGCAATCGGTAGAACGTTTGAGGAATCATTGCAAAAAGCCATTCGTCAAATCGCTCCCAACTTTGACGGTTTTGATGCTTATGTCAAGCCAAAAGATTTGGATCACGCTCTTTCCGTTCCAACTGATACAAGATTGTTTGCAATCGCACATGCAATGCTTAATGAAGGATATGATGTCGAGAAGCTACACAGTCTAACAAAGATTGACAGATTCTTCTTGTACAAATTGGACAACATCGTCCAAATTCGTAAACAATTGATTGAGATCGGATCACCTGAAAAGGTTGACAAAGAAACCATGCTTTTGGCAAAACAACGTGGATTCTCTGATCGTCAAATCGCTCAATTCACAAGATCCACAGAAGATGTCATTCGGGCTCACCGTAAATCTTTGGGTGTCACACCTTTCGTCAAACGTATCGATACAGTTGCTGCTGAATACCCTGCCCAGACAAACTACTTGTTCACCACATACAATGCTACAACACATGATGTCGAATTTGACGACAACGGAACAATGGTTTTGGGATCAGGTGTTTACCGTATCGGATCTTCAGTCGAATTCGATTGGTGCGCAGTTACATGTGCACGCAGAATTCGTTCGATGGACAAAAAGACCATCATGATCAACTACAACCCTGAAACGGTTTCAACCGATTTTGATGAAGCCGATCGATTGTATTTCGAGGAATTAGGATTTGAACGTGTTATGGACATTTATGATTTGGAAGGTGCACAAGGTGTTGTCGTTTCCGTTGGTGGACAATTGCCACAAAATATCGCTTTGCGTTTGAAAGAGACTGGTGGTGTGAATGTTTTGGGAACTGATCCAAAGATGATTGATTCAGCTGAAGACCGTCACAAATTCTCTAGCATTTTGGACAAGGTCGGCGTTGATCAACCCGAATGGATTGAAGCAAAGAGTGTTGACGTTGCTAAAGATTTCGCTACCAAGGTTGGATACCCAGTCCTTGTTCGACCAAGTTACGTTTTGTCAGGTGCAGCAATGAACGTCATCTGGGACGAAAGCACATTAGAACACAATTTGACCGCAGCTGCTGAAGTCAACAGCGATTACCCAGTCGTTTTGACCAAATTCATTGCAAATGCACAAGAAATTGATGTTGATGCTGTTGCACACAAAGGTGAATTGATCGTTCACGCTGTTTCAGAACACGTAGAGAATGCAGGTGTTCACTCTGGTGATGCTACTTTGGTCTTACCACCATTCTCTCTGCAAGAAAATGATTTGGATCGTTTGAAGGTTATTGCACAAAAGGTTGCCAAAGCATTCGAAATTAGTGGACCGTTCAACATGCAAATTATCCGTAAACCAGTCGAGGAAGGAGAAGGAGAAGCAGCACTAAAGGTTATCGAATGCAACTTGCGTGCAAGTAGAAGTTTCCCCTTCGTCAGTAAAGTGTTGGGTGAAAACTTTATCGATATTGCCACATGTGCTATCATGGACAAAGATGTTCCAGCACCAATGGATTTGATGAAGGAAAAACGTGATTACGTTGCCATCAAGGTACCTCAATTCTCATGGACACGTTTAGCAGGAGCAGATCCATTCTTGGGTGTAGAAATGGCAAGTACAGGAGAAATTGCTGCTTTCGGAAAAGACATTAAAGAAGCATATTGGGCAAGTGTTGCTTCTCAAACAGGATGGCGTGTACCTGAAGCAAACAAAGGTGTGCTATTAGGAGGAAATATCGATATCCCAGAACTAGGACAAGTTGCCAAGAAATTGAGCGATTTAGGATTCAAACTTTATTGCTCCAACGCAGATGTTGAAGCATTTTTGAACGAACTACCTCACGTCAAAGCACAACGAATTTGGTTCCCATTGAAGGATAAACGTAAATTGCGAGAAGTATTTGATGAATATGAAATTCAATTCGTCATCAACCTCACCAAACAACGAGCCAAGGATATCGTTGATGAAAACTACGTTGCCCGTCGTAATGCGGTGGATTTCGGACTTCCGTTGGTGACTGAACCTAGATGTGCACTTTTGTTTGCTGAAACATTAGAGTACAAGATGCCACAAGGATGTTTGAGACCTTACGAAGAAGGCAAGATTCCAAGTGAAGTTCATTCATGGAAAGAATGGGTACCTCATTCAGCATGACCCCCTTACCAAAAACAAAAAAGTATCAATAGAATTCCCCTTTTCATGTACTGTGTTGCTTTATTCAAAATATATTATCTTACGCCGTAGCCGCACGCGTGAGCTGTGTTGTTGAATACGCCGCGCCACGGGCGTTATAAAAATCTTCACAGACAGACAGGGTGTTTGTTGAGTTTATTAGCCTGAATTTCTTCTTGTTAAGCATTCATTCACTGGCACTAAGTTTTGTCTTGCACTTTTCTTTGAGCGTAACCGCGGACAACATCAAATTTACTTCTTTCTCCTAACGAGTCATCAATACCCCTTATAGAGATTGTCAAGAGCATTGGCTTGTTGATCCCTTCACAAAAAAGATAATAATCTGTTCAACTTCTCTGTTCAGAATAAAGCCCTTTGCAAATTACCCTTCCATCTTCCATTCTCATTCGAGCCGCCACTGCATTTCTCTTTCTTTTTTTTTTGTTCGGAACAAGCCTTATAGATTCTCTTCATCATGTCCGCTCCTGATGCAACAGCAGCCGAAAAGAATATCCAAATTTGGAAGATCAAAAAGTTGATCAAAAGTTTGGATAGTGCAAGAGGTGCAGGAACGAGTATGATTTCCTTAATTTTACCGCCAAGATCACAAATCGCACAAGCAAGTAATATGCTTACACAAGAATACGGTACTGCAAGTAACATCAAATCTCGTGTTAACAGATTATCTGTCCTAGCAGCAATCACTTCAACACAACAACGTTTAAAGCTCTACACACGTGTTCCACCAAACGGTTTGGTTGTTTATTGCGGTACAATCTTAAACGATGAAGGAAAGGAAAAGAAGGTCAACTTTTCATTCGAACCTTTCAAGCCAATCAATACTTCACTTTATCTATGTGACAACAAATTCCACACAGAAGCATTAGCAGAACTTTTGGAAGATGATGCCCGTTTCGGTTTCATCGTTATGGATGGTAATGGTACTTTGTTCGGTATCCTTTCGGGAAACACACGTACAGTTTTGCAAAAGTTATCCGTTGATTTACCCAAAAAGCACGGTCGTGGTGGTCAATCAGCTTTGCGTTTCTCTCGTTTACGTGAAGAAGCAAGACATAATTACGTTCGTAAGATTGCCGAATTGGCTACCCAACACTTTGTTTCTGATAGCAAATGCAACGTTGCAGGTTTGGTTTTGGCTGGTAGTGCTGATTTCAAATCAGACCTTGGTCAATCCGACTTGTTCGATCAAAGATTGAGACCTAAAGTTGTTCAAACTGTTGATGTTTCTTATGGTGGAGAGAACGGATTCAATCAAGCTATCGAATTGGCAGCCGAATCATTGCAAAACGTCAAATTCGTTCAAGAGAAACGCTTGATCCAGAAGTACTTTGACGAAATCAGTCAAGAGACAGGAAAATACTGTTTCGGTATCGAAGATACATTCAAGGCATTGGATTTGGGTGCAGTGGAAATTTTGATCGTTTGGGAAAATTTGGAAATCATGCGATATGTATTGAAAGATTCAGAAGGATCTCAACACGTTTTGATGTTAACAAAAGAACAAGAGCAAGATCAAAGTAGATTCATCGACAAAGCAACTGGCGTGGATATGGAACAAGTAGAAGAGCCACAATCTTTGCTTGAATGGCTCGCCGAAAATTACCGTCAATTCGGTACCAATCTCGAATTCGTTACTGATCGTAGTACCGAAGGTAACCAATACGTTCGTGGATTCGGTGGTATCGGTGGTATTTTGCGATACAAAGTTGCATTTGAAGAATTGGCCGTTTACGAAGATGATGATGATGAATTCATGTCTGATTCTGATGATGATTGACTTTACCCAAAGGCAGTTGTGAAAACGTCCGTCATCAAATTCGACCCGGAGATGTTTGAAAAAGATGGACGAAGCGTCCAAGAGGATATCGAGTCTGTTCCTCCTTCATCATCATCATTTGATGTTGATGTTGAGAAGAGAGCATATAAGACAGCGCAAAGCCCTTATGCGCAGTCTGACTACTTTATCCGACGCTATCAAACATTTAAAGGCAGTAAGGATTTGATCCGGATGGCAATCGTTTTCATAGTCTGCCTTTTGTGCTTTTTGCACGCTGTTTATCGCTGTCATCCATTCTTGGTAACGCCTATCAAAGCGTCTTTTTAAGCTTGTGTTGGCAGCGATGCGATCTGCATCATATCGAAAGATCTGATGATTTTCGCTCCCCTGGACTGTATGAACGGACCTGCTTAGCAGTTTTATCCGTAGACTTTTTTGTCAATCTTAAGCAAGATTACTATCTGCAAATTCATAGAACGTTTGCAGAGAGATATCTCTTTAATATTATCAATATTCTCTCAACCTACCCAAAAGATTGATCTAAGGTAAATGTGCTCTTTCATATCATGAATGCGTATGTATGTATTGTCAGAATGACGTGAAAAGATGCTCAATCATACAAGGACGACAAGACAAACCCAAAGTGAATGTCAAAGTCGCATAGATGTGTTTTTGTGTGGTTATGATCCAGATGGATAAGCTATGCTTACTGAATTTTAGCCGGGTGTGATGTACATTTACTCTTGGTCAACAACGGTTGTTTGCAAACCGTGGAAGTTTGTGATGCCGACGATTGGTGTAGCGTAAACGTACAATTTCTCCTTGGCGTCTTCGTCATCGTTACGTTTGCGTTCCAAACGGACACGCATTCTTCTTGGTACACCACGGACACCCAATTTCCAAACTTCTTGGTTCAATTTGGGGTCAATACGAACATCCTTAACACCCATGGTCTTTTGTGCGAATTTGACAACTTCCTTGATTGCCTTTGGTGCACGTTGCTTGAATTGAGTGTCGTGGATACGCTTGTGCATGTGGATTGTGTAGTCACGAGTGACGACATCGTGAAGAGCAGAGCGCTTCTTTCCTTGTCCCTTGGGTGCCATTGTGAGACTATGGATTGCAAGAGGGTTGAAAGGTCAGTATGGTTGTCATGAGGGCTAGAAAAAGGCGATAGACGAGGTCGGATGGATAAGAAGGAGACATGTGTGGTCGTATTGTTGTTTCAGGCGACGGAATTGAGTATTTTGCTAGACCTTCAAGAAGGAATGCTGGAAGGTCCGATTCTACAAATGTTATCGCTACCGACCTATCCCTGCTTCGTCGGGTCCACGTAAGCTGCATCACATTGTCGAAACTGCAATCCCCTCCCTCAGCCTATGGTCCAACCCCTCATGCTCAAAGTCGAAGTCCATCTGTCGTAAAGGTAAACCTATGCTGACCGCTTATGTCGTTTAATGACCACCCGCATGTCTCCTCCTCTATCTCCCTCTCATTGTCGTATTTCCATCCTTTTAGCAAATACTTACATTGATCGATTGGTGATGACAAGGATAGGGTAGAAAGTAAAAATGATGCTGCAAATCCTCTCAGCAATATTGATGGAAGCCTTCTCAAATTCTCGAGAAAGTGCGCAGGCTGTAGAGCCTGTTTAGTTGCAGGCAGGCTCTGGCTTGCTTTATTCAATTTGCTCACTCTACACTTGCAACTCAGGCAGGAACACAGTATACTTTTCGACAGACACGCGCAAACGCAGCCGCTGCGAGTCAGTTTGGATTCTTGGAATATAGCCGCAGCACGTGCTTATACCGCAGAGTCATCGTCTTACAATTTTTGACACCACTAGCTTAGTCAGCATGAGAATATTGAGACGCGTTTTATCACTTGCCAGTCGGCCGAGTGCCACTAAGAACGACAAGTGCAATCCATCCTAACCTCAACAACGATCATCTGTGACAAGATTATCATGAGGAAGTCCCTCCATAATAGCTAAAAATATAATAACAATAAGGAGAAGTTCTGCCAAATCCACTTTCGTACTCGTGATCATTATAAGAGTGCTTTGACCGTCATTATCACCCTCATTGCTAAGAACGAATAGGATATTAGGCTTAGGTTGAAGTGATATCCCTTTGAGAGCAACACATGTTAGGTACGGCATCACCCGCTCTTTTTGCAGCAAATGTGCTGGCGTACGCGTCTATGCTTAAGCAGCAGCTTAAAATGCTAGAGGGGGAATTTGTTGTATGAAGGGTGAAGCTCCTTTAGCCTCCTTTCTCGCATTGGGCACAATAGCAGCCAGTTGGCGTTACTTTAAGGCTACGTAACAGTCTTCCTACCACACTCTTGCTTCTCAATCATCATTCTTCCTATCATCATAAACAGATAGCTAAGGAGTAGACCATGCAACCTTCACTTGACCGCAGGCGGTCTAAAAGCGGTTCAAATCAGAAAGCAAGAGGGACGACTTCACTCAACAAAAGAACGTTCAATCTGCTCATCGTCGCTCTTGCTGCGTGTGTTTTACTACCATCTATAGTCTTGGCTCAATCGGCACAAAGTAGGCTATGGAGAAGTGAAGCAATCGTCAATCTAAGATCTCATGGCCTTTTTGCTCCATACGTAGAATCAGATTTACAAAACAAATTCTGGGATTTCGGTGGAGATGCAATCGTTGATACAAACAAACACATACGCTTAACACAAGATCGACCATCGCAAAATGGCTATTTGTGGTCTAGATTACCATTACAGGTGCCCAACTTTGAAATTCAGGTAGAGTTCCAAATTGACGGAAGCGCAAGCTCTCATCATCCTTACGGAGATGGAATGGCACTCTGGCTAACCGAAGACAGAGCAGAAACTGGTCCAGTCTTTGGCTCAAAGGATTACTTCACAGGAGTGGGAATCATCTTTGACACATTTGCAAATGCAAGACATCCATACACATTTCCACGTATCATCGTAACAAAGTTGAACGGTGTCGAACGCTATCATATCGAAAGAGATGGCGCCGGACAAGAATTGTACGGATGTTCGATCGATATTCGTCGAGCTCCAGTCGCAACAAGAGCAAGATTGACACACGTCAAAGATGTGTTCACCGAGCTTGCAATTCACTATAAAGACTGGGATCAATGGGAGACATGCTTCAAGACCGGCAATCTAACATTCCCTGAAAGACCTTTTATCGGCCTCACTGCAGCTACAGGAGATGTATCTGATGCTCATGATATCATTAGCGTGCAAACAAGTAGTATCGTATACAAACAACGCTCAAGGAAGGAGACCGAAGAGCTACGTGCACATTTCTTGGGAGATTCGAAAAAGAGTAAAGGTCGAAAGAGCGTTTCAGGTTGGTGGGGTAAATCAGGCAATACTGCTTCAACTGATTCAGGCGGTCATGCTTACAATGGGAATGCAGGCCCTGGCCTGTTCTCTAAAGCGTTTTGGGGAATGTTTGGATTCTTTTGGACTTTGCTCAAAATTGCAGCTGTTTTGGGTGTGGTGGGAGCTGGTGTTTATGCATTTTATACACGAAAGAAAAAGTATGATGCTAAACGATTTTGATATGACGAAAAAACAAAGAGCAAATCAATCAGCTCGCATGTATCCCTAGCAATTATTACGAACTTTCATCAACAATGATCATCATTATTACACTGTGTTTTTTTGAGGGCTGTACATAATGCTACTACATCATCTTGGTCTAACTTGAACCGGTGCGTCAATTACTTTATTTGCTTGAATATTCTTCCCTACGCTTTCGACTGTCAGGATTTAATTTGTCTTGCTTTGCTTCTTGAGAGCACGCTTTCTGATGGAGAAAGAATTGTCGTAATTGATACGAAGAAGGGCTTGAGAACCAGCAATAGTTGATGTCAAAAGCCAGTCAAACAGACCATGGGAAGGCCAAACGCTACTGTTGGATGGACGACCAGCTGCTCCACCTTGACGACCAATCTTGGACAATGTTTGTTTAACGAAAGCTTTTGGTAGTGGGATAAAGAAAGAAGGACGTCTAATCTTTGATAATTTGCTTACGATAAAGTAAGCATTAATGTTTTGAACAATGACATTGCTTCGACGTAGTTCTTCACCCAATGCTTGTGAGAATGAAATCAAGAAAGTCTTTGTGGCTGAATATGTCGCCAAAAGAGGAACGGGATATTGACCTGAGAATGAGCCAAGGTTTAAGATCAAACCACGTTTACGTTGAACCATTCCGGGAGATACGATTCGTGTCACACGCAATGTTGCTTTGACGTTGATTTCTGCAATACGTAGCATTTCTTCCTCTTCCATCTCAGCAAATGGAACAGGGTAGGCATGAGAAGCACCAACATTATTGACCAAAACACCGATGTCCAAATCCTGCAAAGCTGCTTTGATGACGGCATATTGTGCTTCGTCACCAGCACTGAAGTCGATAGAATGCGTGATGGTTTTGATACCTGGAGATGCTTTTTGAATTTGTTGTGCAACTTGTGTTAGCTTCTCTGCCGTTCGACTGAGCAAGATGATATTGAAACCTTTGTTTGCCAATTGCAAAGCGAATTCTTGACCGATACCATCTGTTGCACCCGTTACGACTGCCCAACTACCTTTACCGAATTGGTTTTTATTCTTTGCTGCTCCGAATCGTGTCAAAGGAATTCCGGGTAAAACATAAATATCCAAGACAACTCTCAAAAATCGAGTGAAACCCAACAAGAACCAAATAGTACCAATTGCAACAAACACTAAACCAGCGGGCGATTGAGCGAATCGGGCTACATGTTGAAATCCGGTTTGTGGTTCAACTTGTACTTGATTGCCTTGTACACCAAATACATGTTGAGCTGCTTTTTGGATGTTACGACTAGCCATGATTGAGATGAGGTGATTGTGGTTTGGAAGGAAAGGTGGTGTTGTAGAAGAAGAAGTTGTTCGCACTGTCCATCCAATCGCCGTGTTCCGCAATCCTTCCCAACAAACCTACTTTCTCACGCGTTTCTCAGAAGTGTGTCACTGTGTATAGCATTCACTCTTATAGGTATTGACACACCATGGGTCATCATCTTGATTGCCCTCTGCTGAAAGATTGATCTTCTCGGCCAGCAACAAGACGAATCTCAAAGACGGAACAACTAATGTAATTTAGTATGGTATCTAATCATTCAGGAGAATTGAGCGGAGCCTTTCTGTCCGGCATGGTAAGCTTAGGAAGCGGAGAGTTAGATTACGCGACTAAATTGATTTCAGAGAGAGAGAAAGCGTCCGTATCCGCACGCATACATCCATGCAAGGTAACTCTGATTAAGGATAGGTAATTGAGAGCAAAGTGCGGTTAAGCGTCATTGTAATGCTTATTTGATTGCTGCCGTTTCTGATCTGGAATAATCATCTTTTGATCATGATGAAGGGACAAGATGGAAGTCATGAATGAATAACGCTCAACCAATTAACGGAAGCGGCATTTACCTCATATGAAGTTGACGCACAGATCGGTTGCCTTTAAGCCGCTAAGTGTGATTTGAATTGAAATTTTATAATTTAATGATTGAATGGCTCTAGCGTGTCCCTCTCGCTAAATTCATGCACGTATTATTGCGTATGCATCGTATTCCTTTGTGTGTCTGCGTTGTGCCATCAAATTCATAATCATCATCATCACCTTCTTCAAGGCCTTGCGCTTTGGAAGAAAACAAGAAGAATTTTCTTTTCTTTTCACACGCTTTGGCCGCCTTCATCGCCACCTTTTGGAGTTTGCCGTTTATTCGCATTTGTTTGTTTTTGCTAATATACTAGTCAACCGGTCACACTTTTCTCAATCTATTTGCAGTTAAAAAACGTTTCTTTAATATCAACCTCTCAAGAATCACTCCTAATTTCTCCGCATTCTTACACTTTTTGCAACATCGCTAGCTTACAATTGAGCCTCTTTTTGACATCGTATCACATCAAATTAATTCGACAAGCTCGGTTCGATCAATTTATCAGCCGAATCTTCAACCAGTCACCGGGTATTTCTTACGTACGGTTGAGGAAATAGCGCTTTCATCATTCATCTTAGCACAAGAGTTGAAGGTCAAAGCTCAACAAAACTTCAGTGGTCTTTCAAAACAGTGAAAAAGATAATCCGAACTTTCCCATCGCTCAAGCATTCGGCCAAGACAGCTCTGACATCAATTACCGCATTGATTGACTTTAAACGTTGATCATCGTCATTAGCGCAAGTGAAAGGCCGTACTTTTGTGGCAAAAAAGAATCAGCTCCGCATCATCACAGATATCTCTAGCCTATTCATTTGGGCATGGAGAAATACTGAGCATTTCAGTCTTTCGATTGGAATGTGATCTTGGAAAGGCAACATCCTACCATTCCTTCTGATTCATTCACATCTTCTTCGTTTCATTCATTTCAGCGAATAGATCGCCATCATGAGTGGAACTAGCTTAAACCGTTTGGGATCGTCAGAAAGGCTGTCACCGAACATATACCCTCTTACAAGTACGGCAAGGGATTCAAATACGACAAATGTTGGAACACGACCTTCATCTTCAACATCATCAAATCAACCATTTTCGATGAATAAAGCTTCCTCGTTATCAGAAATGACGTTAGGGCAAACAATCACTCCAATCATGGATAGAAGAGCAAGACAAATACAAGCTGATGAAGGATTTGGAGCACAGCCAAGTGCTAATTTCCGAGCTTATGGTTTGCGTGACTCGGCAGTCAAACTTGATACTCGAGATGATCCGCCTGTGGCTGGATCAAGATCTGCACACGGCCGTGCTCGTGCTGGAACATTGCCATCTTCTTGGGGACAAGTCGAAGGCGAAGGACAGCCGGTCGGATCAAGATTGATGGGTATTGGACCAATCGGTGGAGATATTGGCTCTAGGCCTCGTTCAAGTCAGCTGGGTACCCCACCAGACTTTGGTGGATCAGGAGAATTCCCAAGACACGAAATCCCAACAGGAATCAATTCTGGAATTGGCAATATGGGCGCAAGTAGCAGACCTGGCATGCTGCCGCGCCAATTAAGCGCAACATCTGGGCTGGATCGGTCTACACCGCCGCTTTCGATGCAAACGAACGCCATAAACCCATTTGAATCGTCAACTTCGCATGGAAATGGACAATCGAATTACAACGATATGATTCGCAATCGATCAAGTAGCATGACAACTCCTTTCAATACAACACCGTTTGGGCCATCCATCTTTACCTCGACATGGAATGACACAGGTATGGGAGGAAGTGGAACACGCAGCGGCTCACAATCAGAAAGTAATACTTCCAGACGTAGCAGTACCTTGGCATCAATGTCGGCGGCTTCTTTGGCTCAAGAAGGCAGAAGCTCGTACTCGTACTCTAATCCAACCTCGTACGAAGGAGACGTTCATACTTTGGACTACCTCGGATTGGATCAAGATGAGGGAAAAGCACGTTCAGGTATGAATGATGCAAATTTGTTAAACGTATCAGGATTGGCACCTTCACGAAATCGAGCAAGCACTTTGGCCGCTATGCCACCTGGATCTGTGAATCGAAACCGCAATGAATACACGAATGAGCTTGCGGATACTGATACCCGCTTGCAAGATCTTTACAATGCTTACACTCAATCTGCATCTGCTTCCTCCGGACTCGGACTCGGACAAGGACGCAACCGAGCCGGGACTGTTGCCGCACTCGGGGGTCCGGGTGGTCGTCAACGGTTGGAGCGTGAATTGGTGAGAATGGCAACTGCCGGTAATCTGTCAAACTTGAGCAGTACAGAAGTGGACAATCTGATCAGCAGTATCGAAGGTTTAGGTCTCGGTGCTGTTCCTGAAGGTGTCAATCTGTACAGCAATGCACCTTTAGAAGGATTTCCAAATTTGAACATTTCAACACCACCGCCATTGTCTGGCAGACCATCGCCTTTTAACACCATGCCGTCCACGCCGACTGTCGGCTCGAATAGCGGACAAAGCCATCCCACACAACGTGAAAATGCTTCTGTGAACCCTAATACGAATCAAGTACCTTCTCGAAGTCTTTGGATCGGAAACTTGAACAGCAGTACAACGGGTCAAGAATTGATGCATGCATTTGCTCCTTACGGTGCGATTGAATCTTTGCGTCTTCTTCCTGAAAAGGAATGTGGTTTTGTCAATTTTGTCGAATTGGCAGATGCAGTTCAAGCTAGAGAAGATGTATTGGGCGCTTTGAATGCCAAATTGGGAAAGCTAGGTATTGGACCAGGCGGAACTGTCAGGATTGGATTCGGCAAGATTGACGCATTGCCGAGCCATACAGGAGTGATTGGAAGCGGTGGAAGCGGTAATAATCAAAACCGCGCGCCAGAATTGACACCGCAACAGCAACAACAAATCTATGATGATTTGATGGGCAGTCAAGGATCATCGGGCGGTATGGGAGATATGAGCTCGCCTACGAGAGCGCTCTGGGTCGGAAGTATTGCCAATGCAGTCACGCCAGCAACCTTGTTGAGCGTTTTCACACCTTTTGGACCGGTAGAAAGTGCTAGGATCTTAACGCATAAGAATTGCGGTTTCGTCAACTTTGAACGGGTAGATGATGCTGTTCGCGCTCGTAAAATGCTGAACGGTCGAGAAGTCTTGGGAAGTGAGATGGGCACAATGCGTATCGGATTTGCAAAGGTCCCTTCCCGCAATATCGAACAATTCCCCGCTTATGATGGCTCGCCAGAGTACGATGATGCTGTTCAAAGCCTTTCGCAATTGAAAGGCGCAAAGTATGCGGCAATCACGCCAGAGGAGCAAATCACGTCGGGTGGCTTAGAGCATTATCGAAGCAACCTGATCGCAGACCTCTTAAATCAGCAACAATTGAATCGACAAAACGAAAATGCAGCAAGTGCATCTTCGAGACCGGTCAACGTACGCGCAGATTCTACCAACAATATGCCAAGACCCGCAGTCACAAGCTCTTCGAGCAGTATTGTTCCTGCAAGCGATAAGGGTGGTGTACCCTTACCGGCTCACATGATGCCTCAGCCAAGCATTTCCGACTTGCAATTGTTGATGAGAGAATTAAGTCGAGGAGAGCCGGAAGGTGAAGTCGAAGCCGATGTTGCAAGCGTTTCCGAATTACGTCCGATGATGACATATTATATGACTATCCCATTGGTATCTGAAGTATCTTCTGGAAGGAGATTCGAAACAGCAAAATTACGCGAGATCAGAAGAGGAATTGAAAGTGGACAATTCAGCATGCCACAATGCGACCGATTGGCTGTGGAATATATTGACTCAATCGTTGATCTGGCAAGTGATTATATCGGAAATACGTTGGTACAAAAGTTCTTTGAAACTTGTAGCGACCGAATGAAGATGCAATTGTTGCATAGGCTCGCTCCTCATCTTGCCATGGTCGGTTGTCACAAAAATGGAACATGGGCAGCGCAAAAGATTTTGGATTGCACAAATTCCGTTGAACAAGTTCAATTGATCGGTCAAAACTTGCGTCCGTACATTCCCGGTTTACTGTTGGACTCTTTCGGTAATTACGTTGTTCAATGTTGTTTGCCATGGTCAAGCTTGAATGACTTTGTCTTTGATGCAATGGTGGATCGTTGTTGGGAAATTGCACAAGGCAGGTTCGGCGCAAGAAGCATGCGTGCTTGTTTGGAGAATCACAATGTGTCAAAACGGCAACGAAAACGAGTGGCAATTGCAGTCATTTTGAACTCTGTTCCATTGGCAACAAGTCCTAACGGATCTATCTTATTGACATGGTTATTGGAAACACCAGAGTTGTCAAAGAGCTTCAGGCTTTTAGCACCACGCTTTACGCCTCATCTCACACATTTGTGCACACATAAATTGGCAAGTGGCACCGTACTCAGATTGGCAACGCAAAAGGCCGAACCTGAAGCCAGTCATATGATCTTGAAAGCTCTCTTTGAAAGTGATGATCATACAAGCATGCTGGAGGAGATCATCGTCGATCAAGTACACGGAAGTCAATTTATCACAAAGGTGTTGGCCAGTCCAACTTTGTCGCCAAGACAACGTGAAAGCTACAGTGAACAAGTGAAAATGTTGCTTCACAAGCATCAATTGATCGGCGTGCCTGCTTATAGGAGATTGTGTGAAGATTTGGGCTTCCGATCTGCAACATTGCCGACGAGTCTACCCAACTTGGCTGGAGGTGTAGCTGTCTCACACGATAGTATGAGAACATCAACTCCTCATCAACAAGACATGAAGGGATACTTCCCAACATCCGTTCATCCTCCATCACATCCACTCCCAGGCGGTGTTGCTACTTCTGCGCCTTTTATGAGTGTCAGTCAGTCCTTTACACATCGCAATTCACCTGATCTACATAGCATCAGTCATGGCGATGCAGGTGTAAGCGGTATGCATCAAACGAGATCAGGAGGAGGAATGCCTTTTCACCCTGAACAAACAAACCAGGCATATCCATTGAGTCAACAACATGTGCATCATCAAGACGCTGTTTTTAACCCATTCTGGAATCCAATGCAAGGTTCCTTTTCTCCTCCAAGACAAGATGATCCAGCAAGAACGCATGGTCAAGCGTCTGTAGGAAGACACAATTTCTGAGCATCTTAAACGGGCCAAGGTGAACAGTGGTATTGATTCTTCACGTTTGAAGATCAAATTTCGTTTTCTTCTTTATTTTTTCTACTCTGGTCTATATCAAAAACACTGTCATCATTTATAATTCTTTTCTTTATGGTTTCAACGAGCTCGAATGCTATTCGCGAACGATTTCAAGTTAATAATATTCTTATTCATTTATTGGCATATATATACAAACAAGCATTTTTTTCGCATTTCGTCAACTACACATCAAATGTTCTTTTATAATATTCACATTTACTTTCATAAAATCAAGCTTCTATAGTATAAATTTCATATATCTCTTACCATCATCCCAAAGGAGTGAACTGAAGTGATCCGAGATGCGTTAATTGGCGTAAAGATTAGCCACAGAAAAATAGACTCAAAGGTGCCTGCAGGGCGGTGTGCGTTTAGGAAAATTGTGACATTTCGGATATAGAAACGCGTTTGTCCAGCTTCAATTTCAACAAGCAACCACGATCACGACACAACAAACGAATGCCAGATGTCGTACGGATTCGCCAATAAGCAAGGAGCGGCAGGAGGAGGGGCAGAGATAGCAGAAACGCCAATCTTATGCGAAACATGTTTAGGGCCTAATCCATATGTCCGTATGACAAAACAATCGTTTGGAAAAGAATGTAAAATATGCGATAGGCCATTCACAGTTTTTCGTTGGAATCCAGGAGCTGGAATGCGAATGAAAAAGACAGAAATTTGCACAACTTGTTCAAAGATCAAGAACGTTTGTCAAACATGTGTTTTGGATTTACAATATGGCTTACCCGTTCAAGTACGGGATACAGCATTGGGCATCACAAAATCCGGACCTTCTACGGATATCAACAAGCAATATTACGTCAATCAGATGGAAAGCCAACTTGATGGAAATAATTCTTTGATCGAATCATCCGTCGGACCTTCATCACGAGCTGGGCAGGATATTTTAAAGCAATTGGCTAAAGACAAAACAAATCCTATCTCCGATAAGTATAGACGTAATCGCCCACACCTCTGCAGCTTTTACGCCAAAGGAGAATGCAATCGAGGGGACATGTGCCCATTCCGACATGAGCTACCTGTTAAGAATGATCTACAAAAGCAGAACATCAAAGACAGATACCATGGAAATAACGACCCAGTTGCCAGAAAAATTATGACGACAACAGCTTCTGCTGCCGGATTAGCGCCACCGGAAGATAAACAGATCACTTCACTATTTTTATCCGCTTTGGATCCAGCAACGGATGAAGCACAGATAAGGACATTCTTTGTACAAAATGTACCGGATTTGCGACCTGACCAAATACGATCAATCACAATGGTCCCGACCAGCAAATGCGCTTTTGTAAACTTTACAACTCGACAGAAAGCCGAGTCTGCCGCTCAACGATGTGCATTACGGATGGACTTGGGTGGCCAAGAGATCCGTGTCTCATGGGGCCGTAGCAGACCGACAAAGAAGTCGCAACAAGAAACACCCTCCACCAGCTCCACATCTTGAATAGCATCGCCTTAATCCTGGAATGCTCAAGTAGATACCCCTGATATCACCACACATATGTATTTCTATACCAGCAATAAGCAAACGATAACATTCACAACAGTACAGCAAATGACGTGCATTCTACTTATCACCTTGTCTTTGAGTCCGATGGTACAGCAGGAACACTACCGCCAAAGAAGCGATCACGTCCTAATCCGACCCACCAAGCAGCACGGGCTACAAAGAGCAAGAAGGTAATGACGATATTACCGAACAATAACGAATTCCAAGCTTGCATATCCGTCGTTAATATCCATACTTTGCTTGCAAAAGCCAAAAGTGCGTTTGACGAACCAGAAGGGTTAGGTAAAAAGTGAATGGTTAACAAGATATGCGTCCAATCCGCCAATCCCAAAACGGTGAATAAGAAATACAATACTCTTTCTTGCGCAACGGGTTGTTGAGAAAACCAACGTCTGATAGCATAAAACATTAAAGCTGAATTTAACATGATCAAAAAATAACAACTTCCTAATTGTGCTAATGCCATTTGAGATGCTGCATCCAATTGACCTGCAGTAGAAGTTATGATTGCAGTCTTTGCTGCCGTTCCAGCTTTCCAAACTGATTTCTTCGCTCCTTGAACTGCAATTCCTGCAATTGCTCTTTGTGCATATCCTTTTGGAATCAATTCATTATGATAATTTGATTGAAAGAATGTCGCATATACACATCCGGCCAGAACGCTAATCGGTTCAACGATTCCAAAGAATACGTACCATCCTAAAGGCAAGGATGTACGACCGTTGCTGCCATTTGAGCCAGCATTTGAGCTGCTGCTTCTCTTTGAAATGCTCGATGACATGGTCACGGGTTGTAGTGGTGAACGATGAAGGGGAGGGGGTTTGATAGTAGGAAGAAGAAGGTGGGGTGGAGCAACAACTGTCATGCACGGTTCTTTCTAAGCTTCTAAAATCACGTGTTTTCTATCAGCTTTTCAACGAGAGAGAGACGACAGCATGGTCATCTAGAAGATAACATGACTATGAGATCCTCGGAAGCATTCAAAGAATATATCATCAACTCATAATGCAAACATGAATCGAAGTCTACCCTAACGCTACTATCACACCATCATCTCTCCAGCGAGAGAAAAACAAACCACGCCAAATTTGAGAAGAATGCATGTTTTGCATAGATTACAGCTACAAGACAAAGGCATTGAAAGTCACTGATCTGATCATATTATTGATACAGAACCAGCAATCTATCGATGCCCCATATCCGTGATTATAGCTGTGTGCGTATATGTGAAATGCATCATAGTGCCATTTTACAAGGATGTCGAAATGAGAAGAAATGATTTTGTGAGTGCGAATGATGTCGAAGAATAGGGTCGAAAGAATTGTACAACACGATGGTGAAGCGCTTAGTCGAACAAACCGAAGCCCATGTCGTCTGAAGAGGAGAAAGTGAAAAGCAATAGTCATGTTAGCAAAATACGTTCCCAATGTTTACCTCGAATAATACTATACGCACCGTCGGATTCTTCCTTCTCTTCTTCCTTCTTCTCTTCAGCCTTCTCTTCAGCAGCGGCACCACCGGCAGCAGCACCACCAGATGGGGCGGCAACAGCGGCTGGTGCACCACCTCCGGATCCGACGTTGGTCAACAATTCCTTAACGTCCTTGCCTTCCAAAGCCTTGGCCAAAAGGGTGGCCCAGATGGGTTCAACTGGGACGTTGGCGGCGGCAGTTAGAGCGACGATCTTCTCACTCTGTAGAATTGGAAAGGGGAAAAGTATGAATGTCAGCATGTCTGTTGTTGAAAGAGTGTGATGAAAGACGTAGGTTTCGACATCGGTGGATATGCATGCTAAGATGGCGTTTTCGATTGGTCTTCCAATGTATATCATTCGAAAGCTTCTCCATCGAGCGAGATCAGATCGACCCAATAACACCAGCACTTCCTCCATCCAACTTCCCTCGTCGAAATGTCCATCCTAGCTTTCCACCTAATCTTCCTCCTCTCATCATCTTTCCATTCGCATTTCTGATCATGATACTAACCGAGATTTCTTGGCCTTCGTCGGCCAAGATGAGGGCGGCATAAGTCGAAGCGAGATCAGCTGACATTTTCAAGTATGTTCTGATATGAAGTGACGTGAGTGTGGTCGAAAGAAAGAGTTTGGATTCAAGATGGTATCCAAATTGTAGATCTCAAGAATCCGTTCTAGGCTTACAGCGCTTTAGGACGAGAAGCTTGAGCTTCAAAGCTACTGCGCGCAGCGTTATGGCTTAACACGCTCCCCCTCGGGCGTATGAGCAGAGGCGCGCTTTCGCTTGATTCAAGGCGTGTTGCCTGTAGTGCAGCGCCGCAGGCTCTTATTGCAAACAAGTTTGCTGCCGCACGTGTTGCTACCTGTCATTTCCTCTTACTTAAGCGAAAACGAATGACAAATTAAGACAAACCTCGATTACGGCCGTATACGGCACCACCTCACTTCTAATGAAAGCACGCCTTAATGCTTATGCATATCGGGATTAGGAACATTCTGGCTTGCTATAATCAGATCCGAGCAATTCACATCGTTATGTCAAACAATCATCATCTAATTCACACAAAGCCATAATGTCAGCTGCTACACAATCCATCAGAGCACCAGTCGACGTTGATACATCGCCAAAAGCTGTCAATCCTCTCAACCCGACCGGAATTAAACCGTAAGTAGATCACACAAGAAAACGTGGAGGAGCGGCGGACTGTGTTATTGATCATGGTAATGATCATGAGGGACAAACAATGATCCCGTTCTGTTCCATTGACAGTCTCCTCAACGCCTATTGCTAAGCTTTTTTGGTCGACATTATTGACAAAAACCATCTCTGCCTCTTTCGCCACTATTCTTTTACAACCTTGCAGATGCTGTGCATGCCCAGAAACGAAATCAGCCAGAGATGAATGTTTCCTTAAATTTGGACATTCGGTAGCCGAGCATGGAGAACAGGCAAGACAGTGTGAAGAGTTGGTCAAGAAGCACAGAGAATGTATGGCTTCATTGGGATTCAAAGTTTAATAGATGAGTTTACCTGCTCAGTCGCATCTTAGCCATCATTATATAGCATCTTTCAGTAGCAGCATTGCTCGCCACTTCTGTTTCACCGCGAGAGAACTACATATTTCTTCCGCTTGTATTTTATTGTAGCATCACACATTTACATTACCAATTCAAATCACCACTTTTGCATTTATCTTATCATCGTGAATGCCCCATTCAAATAATTAAGTCAGTTGTCATATCGTCAATGATGCATTCAAACAACAAGCCGCATTTGCGCTTTTCTCTCATCGGAAATGATTCAATTAAAGAAAGAAGTTAGAGTTAGCGGTACAAGTGGTCTTGCTGTAGGTTGGAGGCGTATTCTGCTTCGTATTTGTCACCGTTTGCCAATAGCTTCTCCTTGTTGTACAATAACTCCTCACGCCATTCAGTACTGAATTCTGCATTTTGTGTTTCAACAATTGCATCAACAGGGCAAGCCTCTTGACAGTAACCACAGTAAATGCACTTTGTCATATCGATATCATAACGTGTTGTACGACGGGCTCCATCTTCTCTTGGTTCAGATTCAATCGTGATTGCTTGTGCAGGGCAAATAGCTTCGCACAATTTGCATGCGATACATCTTTCCTCTCCGGTTGGGTATCTACGTAAAGCATGTTCACCGCGGAATCTAGGACTTAAAGGTCCTTTTTCGAACGGATACATGATCGTGTAAGGTGGACGGAAAAAGTTTTCCAAAATGATCCACATTCCTCGGAAGATTTCGGTAAAGAAGAACAAGCTTGCAGCTTTTTGAATTGCTGATGGTCCTTTTGAGTAATCAGGATAAGGTGTCATGTCTTCGGGGTTCAAAGCACTGCTTGCTTGAGCGCTTTGAGCATCTGAGGGTGGATAGTAGATTGTCGTCTTTGGTAGACCTTCACTTAATTGTGTAGGTCCGACTGGTTGTGCTGATTTTGCTGATGTTGTTGATAACATACGAGTTATTGCTGAGGATGATGAGGTATTGACACCGGCCAAAGATCTTCCCATCATCAATGAACGAACTGCCATTGAACTTGGTCCAACGTTGGCATATTGCCTTGCCAATGATGTTCTCATCATCATCCTTCCGCTATTACTTGCCATAGAAGCCATTGTGAATGGAATGCAATGGCAGCTGTGGGGAGCCAAAGTACTGATTTGGATGACCTGATAGGTTGGTGGTGGCGGGAGGATTGTTAATCTGTAGAACAAAGTGTGAGTGGAAGCTCTTCGCTGTTTTGTTGGCTCTCTAACTCTTACGCGCAGGCGTACAGTGGCCAATCGGTTAGGCTGTTTGTAATCGGCTAAAGCCCTAGCAAAGGCAAAAACAAATCAATGATGAGCCAATGAGAGAGCGCGTCTAAACCTAGCGCCTCAATTTGCACACCCGCTGGAATAAACGTCAAAAAGATCCTGACTGAAATACTTTACCTCACTTGTTGATCTTGCTACGAATGATTTCAATGGAAGACCTCCGAGGACATCTCTTAAAAGTCATCATCTTGTGAAACCGAAAGATCGCTGTGAACAAGTCCGCTTAGGATACCACGTGTCCTCCCTGCCATCTCGTCGGCGTTTTGGGTGTCATGCTTACATAATTCTACTTGTGCTTCCACCGGTGTAATTTGACAGCTAAACCTATTGGCAGTTTGATTGAGGACTGGCAAGGAAAGGCGTCACAATCTTTCAACTTTTTTGGAAGGTAATATCAAATATGATTTTGAACAGTAAATTAATGCTTGGTATATTGTAAAAATACAGATGAAACGTAAGAAAGTCTAGAAACACATACAAGGTACCCCTTCTCTCATGCTCGTGGTGCCTCTTTGAATCGCATATAGTAATCTTTTGATCGAATTTCATGTTGTTCAGCAAAAGATTCCGCGACATCACCGATGCATTTGGCTGAAGAGTAGGCGATGAAGAATAGATGAAATGTGAGCAGCTTTTGTTTCAGATAAATCAAATCCAAACACTTACCAGGAGATCCTGCCCAAACTGTACCACTTGTCAAAACCGTTCCTGGAGGAACAACAGCTCCGTCTAAAATCCGTATTGAATCTTTTAAAACGCTCAATTTTCCCAGAATGCAGTTTCTTCCGATCTCCACATGATCCCCAATCACTGCTGATTCTACTATCGATCCAGCGCCTATATGCACATGATGACCCATTCGTACGGGGTAGAACGAGAATAGTCTAGATAGCACAGGATGCAGGATAGGGTCAGCGATCCACATCTCTCATTGTTCTTTGTGCCATGTTCACTCACCCTTTGTATACCTTGTATGCTGGTCTAACCACACAACTATCTCCAAACACACAATATCGTCCACATGTGATTGCAACAGGGGCAGAAGAAGATCGAATGTCTCTAGTCTTTTCTGCGCTCGTTTCTGATTCTGCTTTTTCCCTTCTTGTCAGATCTCCACGAATGATTGCGTGTGTATGAATGATGCACTTTCCACCCATCATTATGTTTGATGAACCATACACACGTGCATTGCGTGCAACTCGATTTGCCATTCCGGTCGTTGTGATGTATTCTCCTGCATTGTATGTAGGCACAGTATCATTTACTGGATTTGCCATGTTTGATGATATCTCGGGAAGAGGTGATGATCATTGCGAAAGTAACACAAGAAGGGAAAAGCTTAATCTTTATTTTTAGCGCTTATGTCCGCCGCGTTCGCCCTTAAAAAGAAGAAGTTCATATGCAGGGCGTATGCATGCAAATCATCCTAGGCTCAACTTGACGCCAATGCGATGTTTGAGCACTTCTTTCCTCCCTTCTTACACGTTGTCATCATTGTCAAGCACTTTCAAATAGCCATGGATCCTCCAAGATGGCTCTTAGTCTTTCTTTTTCGACCGCTGCGTCTATTAATCGCATTTGTGGTGCTCGCATTCGTTTCCATTCAATTGGCAATGCGTTATGGTCAACATAACCCAAATTCAAACTTTTTCGATCCAACATTGGAAACGTTTCAAAATCCAATTTCAGACGCACGTACAACCGAGGCACGTAATTGGATCGAACAAATGGATCTTAGACTACAAGAAGGAAATGTTCCCGTTCAACGTTTTAAATCGGCAAGTGGAATCGCTAGTGGTCCGGAATTGGCTGTCGTCTTTTTGACTGTTCGTAGACCACATGAACAATATTTGGACGCAAGCATTGGTTCCTTTTTGATGGACATCCCAAACCTACAAAGACCAAAGATTCACGTTTCTGTTTCTAGTGGTGAACTTGATCCGACCAACCAGCCATTCTTCTCATCCGCATGGCTGCACGGACTTGTGGACCAAATCGTCGTTAGAAAGGAGCCCAAAGAACCCTACTTGCCTGCAACAATGGCATCCAGGAAAGATCAACCTCATGCAGCTTTGACAGTAATGCAAAAGCCATTGGTCAATCTTGCCAACAAGAATTCCCGAACAAACGATTGGCAAAGGGCAGGAACGTCTGATTATTCGATCGCAATGGAAATTTGTGAAAAGACAAACGGGAGATATTGTTTAATCGTCGAAGATGATGTCGTATTCAAAAAAGGGTGGTATAACATCTTTGAACAAAGTTTGCGGAAGGCTGAAGAACGAACGCATGCCAAAGGTACACAACAATGGGCGTACTTACGACTCTTTTACGCGGAAAAGTATTTTGGTTGGGAAAATGAAGAAGTTCAAAAGTTGGTTTTGTGCTGTTCGTTAATCGTCGGAAGTGTTGCAATTTTCATCTTGGTATTCGGAAGGGTGCCAGCACGATATGCCACAATTGCAGGTGTACGATCCAAGATGGACCTTATGCGAGCACATGAAGGCTTAGATCATGATGAACGCAAGATCGGACGTGGAGGTATGGCAAGAGCACGATTACCATTTGCATCACAGCTGCTCATCCTTTTGATGACGTTATTCTACTGTGTCTTGTTCATCTTATCAGGACGTAATCTAATCTACAAAGTGCCCGAAGGTGTCTCACTGATGAACACGAGGGGATGTTGTACACAAGCAACTTTATACCCAAACGAAGTGGTTCGGCCACTCAAAGATCATATACGTCAAAATATCGGTTTGATGCCATACCATAATCTTATCAACCGTTGGCTAGATGCACACGACAAGGATCGCCTAGCAATCAGTCCACCTCTCGTTCAACATGTGGGAGCAGGATCTCCCAAGGCTTTGCTTGAAGAATCGTATGTGAGATCGACACCTCTTTGGAGTTTTGCTTTTGAGCAGCAACAGCAAAAGGTCAGTAACGTATAATCTCTGTCTGTACATTAATTTGTTAAATAGTAATCATCTTTATTTTGTGTGACTTTTCTGAGAAGGGAGTCTGATTTGCATTCCGCTTTTTTCATGTGCTGGTATAATACAGGTAAATCTAGCAGCTCGATGATAATCACCGACCATTCTCGCCTGCTGGAAAGGGAAATGGTTCATTGTTTGGCTTGCCTTTAGGGATATCTTTTGGGAACGGGAATGGATTGTGCGCTTGTGCTTCTTGGATTAGACCGTCCAAATCTCTCTCCTTAACAGCACGCTGGTATGGGCAAAGGAAAATTTGTCAGTAATCGTTCATTTCTGGTATATTTGATATACTCACCAAAACACAACTTTGATATTCCTTCCAAAACTCTCCGCATTCTCCGTCCAATCGTTCTCGTAATGCCTTTCTCTCCGTTTGTGTCCTCTGTGGTCCACCTTGAATTGCATCGATCGGGCTAGCCTGTGTTGATGAAGTAGAAGATCTAGAAGAAGATGTTGACCAAAAGCTACCCTTCGAACTACTTCCACCGGTTGTCGAAGATCCACTACTTTTCGTTCCTTGACTTAATCCTAAATAATCTTCAAACCATTTATTGAAACAATCATCATATCGATGCTTTGCAGTAGTGCATTCGGCTGACATACTTGGCATCTTACCAAGCTCAGAGTGATTTCCTTCCATGTTTGAAGTCGTCGTAGCAGCCTTTCTTTGTATGTTTGAGTGAATGGTGGAGGAAGTAGCAACACAACGTTGAATAACTTTAAATCCCGAAAAATTATTACTCCACGCTTTCCAACCGCCTGCGTGTATGCTTCTGCTTCTTTCGCTTACTCCTCCCGCTCTTCTAGACTCCGCGCAATAGCGCACACACGGCAAATGAACAGGGTCCGGTCCTTCGCAACGAAATCACTCAATCCAAGACCAATTTGGCACAACTTACAATCTTCTCGATGTGATACAAAATCAAAACAAATGCAATAAAAGTACAAATTGATGATAATAATAATAATACAAAAGAATTGTGGTATTCAAACCTCATTCTCATACTGCAGCTCCACTAACTCTTCACTCCAACTAGACTTGCCTTCAGCTTCTTGATGACAGTCCTTCTCGCAAACAAAGACGAAGGCAGTATTCCACTTCAATCCAGTTCTGCGAGTCAGTTCTCCATTCTGTTCTTCTGTAGTACTTTGCTCGACCTTGTCTCGTGTGATACCATCTGCATCTGGTTGATTAGGCAACTTGTGTCCCAAAGCTTCTTCAATCTCTCTTCGTCTTTCAGCTTCGGCATCTTCTTTAGTCACCTTGTAATCTCCATCATTGCCACCTTTGAGCATCTTTGGTCGCAATGTGTTTACCAGATTAGGCATCAATTGCATCTCGCACACTCGTTTAGAACCACATTTAGGACAAGCGGGTATATTGGCCGTAGAATATTCTCGCCCTGATGATCCAGCTTTGAATGCTTGTCCAGAAATGACAGTCTTTCCTCCTGCTTGTTTAGATGGCCAAATCTTTTCGTAAGCCTTTCCTTTCGCATGGAATGGTATTGGAACACCTCCAAACTCATATCGAACAATTTGTTTTCCATGAGCAGCAACGCGCTTCACGAATCGTTCAAATATCTCATCCGTTCCCTTCGCCATCATACTTTCATACTTTTCTGCTTCCCATCCAGGAACGTCTTGAACTCCGTCTTGTTTCAGCTTTTGCATTTGTGCCTTGTTCTTCTTTTGTTCGGCTTCTGTCCGTGTTGATGAAGTAGGTTCAGCAAAAGTGGTGAGATATTGGGCAGGTTCATATGCAGGTGCTTTTTGACTCCAATCTTGATCGGACCAATCAGCTTTAGAAGTTTCAATTGATGCTTTGATAGCAAGCTCCTCAGCCATCTGTTCCTCATTATCTTCTTCATCCTCCGATTCACTCTCTGAAGATTCATCCTTTTGTGCACTTTCATCCTTGGCCTCAGCAACTTCATTCTGAGGAGCAGAAGGTGCAAAAGGGTTTGCATTCGCACCACTTCCAAACGGATTGGTTGCACTGTCTGCACCAAATAGGTTTCCTCCAAGGCCGCCATTCAGACTTTTTCCAGCCGCTGAAGAGAATGGGTTGATCTTCTTGCGCTTATCGTCCTCTTCCTGACGAGCTTTCTGTTCTTTGGCAAGCTGTTCTTTCTTGGCTTGTCTCTCTTCTTCCCGTAGCCGCTTCTTTTCCAATTTGGCTGCCCATCGAGCATTGTGTGATAGAAGCCTGATAGCTTTGATGCTGTAGTTGGTAAGAAAGTATGTCAGTGGACAGGCGTTCACAAAAAACAGCACAATAAGAAATGCGACCCGAAGAATAAGGCATCATGGTTAAAAAGCTCGTTTGTCAAAGATTAGGTAGTTTCAGTACCTCTCAAAAAAATGAGAAGTTCAAGTGAAGAAATTTGTACTAATCATTTGCCAAATTCCAGGGATCGCAGTTCGAATGTTCTCAAATGCAACAGTACTCACCTTCCCGTTCCTTTCTTTTGACAAGGTGCTCTTGCACATCCCCATACCAAAACGATTCGATCAAAGGGTGAATCATCCAAAGGTGCAAATATTTGAACCAATAATTCCATCTCCTGTGAGCAATGTTGACATTGTGCAACATTTGCTGGTGGTAAAGACGCAGTTGGTAGCCAAGCCACTCGGCCACCTATCCGCGAAACGAGTGGATTTGTTTCATCATCTCCTTCCAATGCACCATCCGTTACCGCTAATTGGGTTTGTGTGACGGAGTAATCGGAGCCTGTGTCAGAATCATCATCTGAGTCTATCTCACAAAAAGCAGGTTGACCAGGAGCCATCTATTAGGAAGAGAGATTGAATGTCAGTATTCTTGCGTACTTTAATTGCTCTTCCACAGAATACGTTTCAGGATGGTAGCCTAGTGTTGTAAGCATTAGACGGATCCGAGTGTCATTCAACAACATAAAGCTATCGTCCGACATGCCTCTCGATACGATCCGCCCTCAGCCTCGTCATCTAGTTTGTTCATCATTTTAGATGTTTATCCAGATTGAAAATACTCACTCTGTAATGTGACAAATGAATGCTCTATTGGTGGTAAAGAAGTATGTTTCCATTTCTCTATTTTTTTTCCTTCAATCATTCTTTCGCATCAAAATTCCTAGTCTTCCAAAAATTGTTAAGCTTTAGAGCGGGCAAACACGTGATTTATACTCGGACTTTAAGTCATCCCTTTTACGCGCTAGAACGGAGTTATCCTTGTCAATCAAAACGCTCCACCTTCTCTCTCTCACATCGCCACCATCATATAGATCACAATGTCTTTCCTCAGAGCGACAAGTCAAACACTAGTGAGTAGACATATCAGGCAGAGGAATGTCGTGAAACAAGTCACTGACATCTATCATTCTTTCCCCCTTCTCTAGAGGTCAAGCGGTGCTACCGGTGCTTTGCGTCAATGTGCATTACAAAGACCTGTTCAATTTCACACATCAGCTACCAGATTAGCATTGAGCAATGATGCACGTCAAAAGATCCAAAAGGCAGTTGAATCAAATCCACTTGTAGTATTCATGAAAGGAACTCCCGAAATGCCAATGTGTGGATTCAGTAGAACGGTGATTCAAATCCTGGACGTTCAAGGTGTTGACAGAAAGAATGTAAAGACGTACAACTGTTTGGATGATCAAGAATTACGTGAAGGTATTAAAGAGTTCAGCTCTTGGCCAACCATTCCTCAAGTATACGTTCAAGGTGAATTCACCGGAGGATGCGATATCATGCTCAGTATGCATCAATCTGGTGAATTGGAAAAGCTTTTACAAGACGCAAAAGTTTTGGGTCCCGATCCAGCTACACATGCAGCATAAATGATCAGCTGTATACTCTTTAACATTCCTACTTGTACCATTGATTACCATGCAGCAATTATTGAATGCTCTCCACTCTAAGGTGCTCGATAGTAAGCTATAGTTTGATCACTCTGTGCTTTTCTCTGCCTTTCACTCATTCTTGCGATTGTTTGTGTGGCATCTGTTGCTGTAGATATCAAGTAATGATTCCGTTGAATGCAATCATCGGATCCGCATCAGTGACCATCCGGTGAGCCAATGAGCGAGAATATATTGCGAATGACTGATTGACCTGCCTTTTACACGTGAATGTATGCCCTTATCAATCCCCCGCTTCCTGACTTTAAACTTTTTTCTTCTAAAAAATAAAAGGCGATAAACGGATATACAGCGCAGGCAGGCGTCTTGTGCCCTGAAAATCGGGCGGTAGTTTTAGGGCGTATGGACGGAAGAAGCAAAACCGACAAGATAAATGCTATCTTTTGATCTTGCTCACTACCAAGAAAATTTGCAACGTATTGGTGGTAGTGACAAACAACAGACAACATGCCGGGAGTCAATTCAATCAAGCTCTTGACGGGCAACAGTCATCCAGAATTGGCACAAATGGTGGCCGATCGATTAGGCATCCAGCTAACAACATGCGTTTGCAAAAAGTTTGCCGATCAATCGATTGATGTTCGGATCGGGAGTTCAGTTCGTGATGAAGATGTTTTCGTTTTACAAACTGGAAATAGTCCATTTGTGGATCCAAATGATAGTTTGATGGAACTTTTAATCATCTTGAGCGCTTGCAAAACTGCTTCTGCTCGTCGTATAACTGCTGTCATTCCGGCTTTTCCTTATTCACGTCATGATAAAAAGGATAAATCTCGTGCTCCAATCACTGCAAAATTAGTCGCAAATATGATCACAGTCGCAGGAGCAGATCACGTTATCACAATGGATTTACATGCAAGTCAAATCCAAGGCTTTTTCGATATTCCAGTCGACAATTTGACTAGCGAACCAAGTGTCGCTCGTTGGATCAGAGCAAGAATACCGGATTATCGTAATAGCATCATCGTCAGCCCTGATGCTGGTGGTGCAAAACGTGCAACTTCTTTGGCAGATCTCTTGGGTGTGGATTTCGCATTGATCAATCGTAATCGAAAACGTGAACAAAATCGAAGGATTCGTGCTGAAAAACGATTACAGAAAGGCTTAAGTACACAATCGTCAAGTAGTGATTTAATGTCAGGAATGCAAACTCCAATGACGGGAAGCTTTATCGTTGATCATGCTGCCGATCCAACTTCAGCCGAAGTTGAAAGATTAGCAAAAGGAATGCAATCGCAATCGATCGGAAGTTCTTCTCGTTCGGCAAGTAATACGTTGCGTAACGTTGACGAAGAATTACATAACATCTCTCGCGAACAAGAGAGACAAGCTGGCGTTAATGAAGGTCACCTAAATCGCATTCATCCTCGATTAGCAGCAGGCGCCTTGGATGATCATCTTCGTTCGTCTAGAGAGGCTTCGCCTAATGCACCAAAGGTCAGCACGCCTTTGGCCAATGGTATCCATGTAGGTGATAGAGGTGAATGGATAAGCTTTGATGAAAACGGACACAAGATCGTCTCGGGCGGCATCAAGACAGGAGTCACAGGTGTGAATGATGGATCGAAAGAAAGTGAAGTGGACGAAAGTGATGATCCAGAAGAAACAAAGATGGAAATCTTGGTAGGAGATGTAAAGGGAAAGACGGCAATCTTGGTGGACGATATGATTGACACAGGAAGAACATTGGCTTTAGCTGCAAAGACGTTGAAAGATGCTGGTGCTGCTAAAGTGTATGCTCACGTCAGTCATGGCTTGTTGAGTGGAAAAGCAACTGATCTTTTAAGGATTTTGAGCTTGGAACGTTTAGTCGTCACAAACACAATTCCAAATTTGGAAAAAGCACAATTGAGCGGCGGAAAATTGGAAATCATGGACATCTCAGCAGTGATCGCGGAAAGTATTAGAAGGACGCATAACGGAGAGAGTATCTCGCTCTTATTCCAAGAGGATGCTGCTTTACTATTTTGAAGAGGAAGAACATTTGGTGTAGGATCAGTGTACATGACAATCTCTATAATTCAGCTCTTTTCTCATTTTTGGTATAGATTGCCTGCGTTGACTGTGAAATAAGGTGTGCTATTATGATAATGTACATGAATGAACGGAAAAGAAAGGGGAAAAAATTGTTGGCAATTCCAATACATGCTAGAACAAATGACTTCCGATACCAAAACCGACACCACCTGCCAAACCACCCGCCATCGTCTCGCCCATACGACCGGCGAACTTTTTCATCTAGCGAAGGCGAAGGAGAGAATGTCAGCACACGAAATCCTTCATCTTATCAATTCCTGTATTATTCACAGCTGGTTAATCAAATTGGCTCCAACGCCAAATCCTAGACCACCGGCAAATCCTCCTGCCATTCTTTCACCTACACGACCACCAATCTTTTTGAACTTTTAGAAGGAGCAATCAAAAAGGTTGCAATCCGTCTCAGCTTTCTAAATCACTTTATGGGTTTTATGTCACATCCTACTAAGATACTCACTTTATCACGTTTTTGAGCTTGTTCTGCCTCAGGTATTTGTTGCAGCTGTTGATTGGGTTGATTTCCATAAGCGCCTGGCGTTGCACCTCCGTATGGCATTGGTGGTTGATTGTAATAACCCGTTTGTGGGGGAGGGGACATTGGACCAGGAGAGAAGTTGCTTGGTGGCGGTGGAGGTGGCATGGGAGGGCCTGAGCTCCAGCGTGCCACTCCTGGTTGCCATTTCGGTGGACCGAGTGGAGCTGGAGCATCACTGTATGGTTGTTGCGGTGGTGGTGTGTGATAACCCATGGCACGCTTTTCATCATCTATATTCTGGTTTCCATAAGCTGGAGGTCCATTGTCTAATTGACGTTGAGGAAGCGGAGGCACCATTCTTTGTGGGGCCACGATTGTATTGTCCGGAAGTACCTCTACGTAATTGCTTGGGAACATACCTTCTTGACCTTTTCGTCCGTCCGGTTGAACTACGCAACCTTTCCACCATCCTTCACTGACCTCTTCAATCATTTCCAACAAATCACCTTCATTGAACGAGATTTCATCTGCATCTGCTCCATTGTATGACCAAATAGCACGGAATCTCTTCCTTGCCACTACTGCTGGCTTACGTGCAATGATCGGAGGAGGAGCAGGTCGTGCAACAGGCTCCAATTCAGATCGAATAGAAGCGATTTGATGTTGCTGTAATTTGCCTTGTCCGACCAAAGCGTCCAAATCTACCAAAACTCTCTTTGCGATCTGTTGAGCGCTTTCTGTCATGTTGTCAAAGGATTGTGAGGTAGTGATGGTGGGAGAGGAGGGAGCTACTATTCAATCAGAAAAACCATGCGGTATCATCTTAAGCGGCTTGCATGCATATCGGCCCGTGCCTGTAACGCAACAAACAAACAAATACCCGCTCTTAAGATTTTAAGGTTTCGCATTTTGGCTCTGCTTTTATGCATAGAATACTACAACATTCCCGCGGCCTAGGCTTTGTAGAAAGCCTTATTTTAGCATACTTCCTCCTGAAATGATTGTACAATAGATCCATCATCTCAATCGTTCTTTTAGCTATCATATATATTATTTATTGTACATATATCTGCTACCCTTATTAATACACCGTGCTCATTCGAACAAATCCAAAATCAGCCGTTCTGCGTAAAACGACATTTCCAGAACTATGCATGGCATAACCTTTAACGTAACCTTGATCGATCAAGCTAGCAACAACGCATTCGACATCATCTAATGCCAATCCATCATCCTTCCATGCTCTGCGTGCGATAACCAGAAATTGTGCTAATTTGAGGATGGGAGGAGGAGTCTTTGAAGCTGGTGCTCCTGCTATTGTTGGGGCAGTAGGCTTCAATTCAAAAGGTCCTAATCCATTAACAAGTCGAGCGATAAGGAAGCTGGAAAGGAGAGAAAATTGTTAACTTGCTTGCATATTTATGTGAATTTGCTTCCACCACTCACCTTCTTCGCATCAAATTACGCCATGTTCCAATCTCTAATTTCTCTCGAAGTAGAAGATAATGTCCCTTTGCTCGATGCCAATCTCTCCATCTATCCAATTCAGCATACATACCACGCCCATCGCCTTTTTGAATTCGATAGATTAGTTGTCCAAACGGTCCTTCTAATCCAGAAGCTTGCAATAATTGCATAGAAGGATAGATCCCTAGAATCAAAGCTGCAACAATGCAATGTGATAAAATCATATTCTTGTTATGCATATGCTCATTCGTGCAATTGTCAAAAGCCCATCGGAGTTCATTATAGGCGATTCGTATCCGATGCTGAGACAATCTGAGCCTGCCTAGATAGTACCTGTAGGTCACCATATCTGCACGACTATAGCATGCCATGCCCAATGCAGTCGAAGCCTCTGCTGGATTAGGCGCTTGCTTTGCTGCCTCTTTTTGTTGAACACTGGCATGTTGTCTGTTCAGAGTCAAGGCATTCTCCACAGATCCCAAAACTGTTTCGCATAAGCGGATATTCTTCAGCTTGAAGTAACATCGAAAACTTGCATTGGCTAGCCACAAAACTTCTGATCGTCTAGTTTGTTGTCCGGGTAAGGGGGAACGATCAATTGCAGCAACTCCAGTTGTTCTAGAAATCTTGGAGACAGCATCTGTGATGCAAGGTTGGTTAAGATCACCGCTTCGGTTATCGGTCGAGATAGCCAGAAGTACCAAAGAAGTGCCAACGTACCGTAATGTTGGACCGAAAAAGGAAGAATCTTGAGATTGGAAAACCGTAGATGCGCGCGAGTAGACCTGTGACCATTTCTCATACGCTTCTAGGTAGCTTGCAACAGGAATATTGGACACCAACCCTTTCCTGTATGTAAGAGATTGTATGCTCTGTTGTTGTGAAACGAATTGCAGCAAAGAAACGAGAAAAGGATGTATTCTTTCGGAAGCTGGTATATGTGCTGATGCGCTGACGGCCTTCTCGAAGTCTATGTTTCTCTGCTGAGAGGGATATCGTATTGGTATTGTCAGATTTTATATTTGCATCAACAGAGATATTCTTGATCCCGGTTGAAGCCAAAGTACTTACCTGTTGAATAGCAGATTGTAGTGTTGTATGTAGCGACGAATCTAGTCGAACGGCATTTGCCAGCAGGTAAGGATTCTGCTCCCTAGCCTTGTATGCTTGACCGACATTATTCAAAAATGCATGCAAGGCTTGCGGCAGAGACATGCTAACGACGGCCACCTGTAAGACGGAGGAGAAAGATGGAAAGGAAGAAATTGCAACTTTATTCTCCACACACACAGAAACTAATTTGGCGTGCAGACGCGTATCAAGGTAAACATGCATTTGATTTAAAGTGTTGGTTTCTTTCGCGTTTCATGTTTGGACAGCCATCATCATCATCATTGCAGGGTTGTTACTTCCTCAACAATGCAAGACGATTTCCCCAAAGTGGATCTCACTGAACGTGGGGATCTGGACCATGTCTTGGAGCAGATCAGGAAACACTCTCTAGCTCTTCTGCGAGATGAACTGGATAAAGCTGGCCAGTCCAACGATCGAAAAGTACTAAAAACATGCGAAGAAACGATCGAATTGGTGAGTGGTCAGAGAGATAGCAAGGGTCCTAATCCCTGACAAGTAGTGAGATGAAAGATATACTGACAGCATTCCAACCCATTCACCTTTTTGTAGTGGATCAAATCAGCAAAGAAGAAGCTAGAGTCCAACGTTACAGTGAATGGGATGCCGTTTCGAGAGGGAACAGATGGCACGCAACCATTCGATCAAGAATTATCGCAACGTGTACGAATGCTATCAGAAAGATGCGATACATCAACAGCTCAGGCAATAGCAGCTCGTAAAACGATCCCATCCAAACGAGCGGCATTATTGCAAACTCGAGCTCAATTACAAAGAGAAATTGAACAAAAGCGAGAGAACAAACGGAGAAGGCTAGAATCCGAAATAGAGAAGTTGGTCAAAGAACGTGATAGTCAAACAGGTGAAAGTACAATCAAACCGCTGGAGAGAAGTGAGGAAGTCGCAGATTCGTTGCGAACAGCTAAAGAGAATATCGATCAATTGGCAGTGGCACTGGTGGAACAAACGTCTGCTGCTAATGAGCAAGCCAAATTTGTGCAAAGGTTGCGGATAATGTCTGCCTCGTATACCTCTTGAGGTTGTACATGGTCTAATTGATCTTTTACCCTTTCTATTCTTACCCGATTGTTGTATTATAGAATATATCCAGCAAAGGTCCAAGCACTACGTCGAACCTTTATCTCTCTCGTGAAACGATCTCTTCAGTCATATAAATTGAATTGTACAGTAAAATGCAGAAGTTGGTGCTAGAAGTCGTAAAGGATGGCGTATGGTGTGACGAATCAGATCCGTTTCTTTAGGTCTTGTTCAGCTGCTTTTACTTCACTCTTTAGATCTTTTGCAACACCTTCAGCTTCTTTCTTGAATCCTTGTGCTGCTTCCGTTATAGGTGAAGCTCCTTTATTCTTATTAAAATCCCAGATTCTGTATAGTTGCATGATACCAGTCGTTCCAACAAAGAAGTTCACTGCTGCTAGACTATAATTTACCGGTGTAATAACGAGTGAATACCGTACCCAAATCATTCCTGTTGTGGCCAAAGCGACATTTTGACTGACGGAAAGTTTATCGGCTGGTCTACTTAGATCTTTCAAACCTGCTGCAACCAAACACCATTTCATGATCGGAGCCCAGAAGAAGACTATCGGGAAGAGAGAGTCAGTCACACTGTTTGATATTGCATCCTTTCTAATGATCCACTCACCTGTTTTGGGTCCAGCTGGATGATTCATAAACGATTGCCATCTTGAGGCACCTGCTGCTGCTGCCATCTTGTATAATTGAATATATGTGATATGTTGTTGGGGATCAAGTTATCTCCACTCCTTCTTTGCACCTTGTATAGTATTCCCACAAATCCAACGCCCATTAAACGCCTTACACGGCGGCGCGTAAAGATTAGCGTATTACAACAAACAACACAATCAACACATCTTCTTGACATTTCACTTTCATCATTCTCTCATCACGATGATTCGTAGACCACCCACTCAAATCTCACTGCAATCTTCTGATGTGGAAGATCTAAAGATGCAAAGGCAAAAGGTAGTAGGGGATGAGAATCAGCCTCAAAATGCATCACGATGGGCCGATGAAAGTGAACAACAACAACAGCAGCAGCAATCGAACGAAATCGGTCGAAATGATAACCTGAATGGAATCGGTAACGCTGCACAACGACAAAGGTAAAAGCAAGGAAAACAACAAATTGATCTTTGGCACAAGAAAGGATACAAGCACATTACGCAGGCGGATAGAATCCAGCATACAACACAATACTGATCGTCTGCCAGGCAATTGAAAGGGTCAAAAGAGTATTCAGCGAGAGCTTGCCATGGCGCAAGAGAGATCGTTTCTCGACCAGCTCAGCGGCTGACCACCATACCACAGGCAGAGCACCTTGTGTCGCGAATCGAAGAGCGATTTGAACGTGAGAGGAAACGATCAAGATCAAAAAGAGGGCCAAAGTATAATGCGCAAACGGCAAGAGCTGTGGGGCCGATCGTACGTTGACCGATAGTCTGCGGGTATCAGCCGCTGCAGATTGCTTGACGTTCGGTCTTGTTGACTCCTCTCCTTGATTCTGCTCGCTCACACTAAATGGCCAAAGTGTCCTATCAATGACCGATTGTATGTCAGCACTGTAGTAAGACGTCAGCCATCGAGCGATCAAATAAAGAACGGGTGACGCAAGAATCCAATTGGGTAGTTGCGACAATGTCCAATAGCGGAAAGGGCCAACGTTCCTGAGAACAGAGAAAGAAGACTCAGTTTAAATACCATGCGATCGCTATCGAAGATAAGTACTCACCAATAATGTGATTGGATGAAGTTGTAAGGTATTACCAGCTTTTCATTACACCATGGTCGAGCAGCTTCAAATGAATTGGTGCAAATGCGATTGAATGCCCATGTTTGCGTGAGAAATATGGGCATCAAGGTGACTGGAGCGAGAAGTAGAGTCCACAGTGCTCGCAAAATGACTGAAGAAAGTGCGACATCATCTTGCCATAATAAACGCCAAATTACGAAACCAGATAACAAAACTCCATTTGCTCGAAAAACGTTTGCTATCCCGAAGGAAATAGAGGCAGCAAATGTAAGAAAAGGAAGAGATAAAAATTTGTTCTTGACGTATTGCAAAGAGGACGTGGCCAGGCAGAGATGACCGATCAAGGCAAAAAATGCAAAGAAAGGTTCCGGAGTGGGAGTGATGAGCGTTGCTGGGGCAAAAGAGAATATGCTGAGAAAGGATGATATTTTTGCCAATCGACGATTTTTAGTCAGGAGAGATGTAAGGCTGGAATAAAGAGTCTCGTCAGTATTGACATTTCTAAGGGATATTCAATTAACTTACATATAAAATTGCACCGGAAGCGTTATCGAAATGATTGTAGCAAGGGTTGATGTGATCCACAAAGAACGAATCGGATCCCAACTTCTTGGTCCTTCTTCCGTCGTATATGACGGATACCCTGTAAGACGTAAAAGCCAAATGATTCCAGGTTGAAATGCGATTGAATTTTCATACTGCAGTCCTCCGCCAAAACCTTTGAGTGGCGACCAAAATTGTTGTTGAACGGGTGCAGAAAGATCCAATTGATCAGATAATGGAAGTGGTCTAGGACTAGCTACGCCTAAGAAGTGTAAAACATCCCATCGCAAAGAGCTAAAAGCGTAATGTCGCAACAGTCCGAATGAAGTTGAAGTTCTGCTTTCTTTGTCCAAAATCAGCTGTAATGAAGCGGAAGAGTCGAAATGCTGTACAAATTTTGCTGATAGCAATAAGGTAACTATTGCCAGAATTCGATGAGAGATTGTCCATTTCAAGATGGTCTGAATGTCATCTTTAAAGTATGATTTTGAGCCCACCTTTACCTCAGACACTTTCGCCCTTTCTACGTTTGACATGTCTTGATTTTTGAGACTCGACAAGGTGATCGCAGGTACAAAGGGACAAAAGTTGTCATGGCAATGGTATTCCGGAGGTGACGTGCATGAAGGCAGGCTAGTGGGCAGCTCTTCTGTGTTCTTCTGGTCTGTGCGTGTAAAGCTTAAAAGTGCTTCTTCGTACCAAGTCTTCGCAAACAAAAGCTGACATCGAATCATTATCAGCACCATCATCCATCAGCATACAGCTATCTATCTCTGCATAGACATAATCAAGTGTAGTGCTCATAAAATATCGTACAGTCTTATTAAATCGATGATGGGCGTGTATCGCGAATAAACCGCAAAAGGACGAGAATGGCATCAGAAGCGGGACTAAAGTCCAAGGCTCGACAAGAAATTAGCTCCCCCGTAGCACAATTGAAACCACTGTTCACTATACCGGCAATCTTTAATCGTCCTTCAAGATGTGAAAGCCGCTCAAACTCGAAAAAGCGAGCTCGAGCTTTGAGGAAAAGGCAAATAAGCATATGCTGCTTTTCACCCTTTGAATCTATCCTTGCCGTTTCAATGAAAGATGAATGTTCGGTAGCAATTTGGTCATACAAAGAGCAGAGCTCAGAACACCTCTTTTCGTATCCTTCAAGTACACAACAGTCGCTCTTTTCTGCTAGCGGTCCATCTAATCATACCGATACCGAATCTGCTCAGGCTCACCTTCTATGTGTCATTCGTCATTCTCGACCGGTGCAAGATCTCGTGTGGCTCGAAAAGCATGCTTCTGCAAATCAAGGGCAAACACGTATTTTGCTTACTCGTACGAGCGATGGTATCTCCAGAGTATGGACGACCACGATTGATGATATGCACTCCATGCATTTGACTGCAATCATATCTGAAGAGGACAGAGTGCAGATTGAAAAGGATCAGCACCAGCAACGAGTCTCTCAAGCAAATATCAATCACAGGGTATTCGGTAAAGGTGTAGAACACTGGGATGACATTCAAGAAAGGATGGACGCAGACGAAAAAGTGAGGGGTGAATCGACAACTTTACATGACCCATCACAGCACTCTTGGCATGTGCTAAGATCTGAAGGAGGGGAAGAAGGCATACCAATCTTGGCATTGTTTCATGACAAGCACCTGAACATATTCTCTCCACAGCGGTTGACCTTCTGGCAACGTTCTTTACTGGCTTGCAATATGACTCAAATGTCTCATCCTTTGCCTCAACCTCCAGCGCCTTTTCACAAGGTCAATCTAGATCGGATGGGCATTATCGCAGCCACAGAATTTGTGGACAAGTCAAAGAAAACTGACATCGATGGTAAACCAAAAATGCTTGAGAGCATCCATTGGATCTCTGATGACCATCTGCTTGCAAGCATACAGAAAGGGCAGAGAGCGCTTATTCTAGAAGGTCAGACAGGTACAAGGAAGCGTGGCAAGGAGATTTCACTTGGGTACTATGAGGATGAAGGAAGGGAAGAGCACGTTCAAGAAACTGAAGCAGATCGTAGTCGAGCTCAATCTATATCTCAGATAGCTCGGTCTCGAGCGATGGCATTGCCTTACAATCATCTCGAATATTTAATTCGTCTTGTCTACTGGGGTCAACTTTCTATTGCGTTGCAACTCGTGTACAAGACTTGTCGCACGTTGCAGGAAAGGGAGAATCAAGGTCCAAATACTGAAGACCATGCTGAGAAAAAGGAAATAAGCCTGGACGGCCGTACACTACGGATCAATATCTCACCTGCAGAGCGACAGATGGAGGTCCAGCGCCTCATCTCCGATGATGAAGAACAGGTAAAGTTGAAATTGAGGGCAACAGATGGGGAAGAAGGCTTACGGATATTGGCATCCAAAGTGGTCGTAGAGGGTTGGCAGGATGAGGAAACAAACGATCATAAAGCATCACTTGCTAGACAAGCTTCCGATATCGTTGCAAACACAATACTCGATCTTCATCAGTTCTCTGGCCAACTTGATGACTCTGCTGTACGGTACGCGCTGAATGCTCTCAGCTCTATTATTTACCAAGATCAAGATGGTAAAAGTTTCTCATCAAACTTTAACTTCATTCCGACATCCGCAAGCCAAGCAAAAACATCATCACTGGCAGAGCCACCCTACACGGACTCATATTTGGTAAAGATGAGCTTACATGCTTGGTTCAGCTCTACGCAGGAAGCTCTTCTGCAGTATATTGAAACTGCATACTTGGCCCGCTTGTCTGAACGTTCAGCAAAGGCGGAAGGTGGACGAGCTGATGCAACAGTGAAACTGGATTGGCCCGTCGCACGTCGGATTGGTATCTTTCTATGGCTTCGATCCAATGATCAATTACGTACGGTTGCAGAGAATATTGCACGGGTTCAATATACCGCAGGTGATCACAATGACCCAACTGCATGTGCCTTGTTCTACTACGCACTCGGAAAGACGAAACTGTTGGCGAACCTATGGAGACAAGCTGTTTGGCATCCGGAATACAGCAAGATGATGCAATTCCTCAAGAATGACTTTAGCGAACCAAGATGGCGAACGGCTGCCAAGAAAAATGCTTTTGCACTTCTCAGTCAACGTAGATTTCAAATGGCAGCTGCTTTCTTTTTGTTAGGTGACAGTCTTCAAGATGCGGTCAATGTTTGCGTTCGTAATTTGCATGATGTTTCTTTGGCCGTTGCTCTTTGTCGTATATGGCATGTAGACAAAGTAGGTCAAGAAGTGTTGAGAGAATTGATCTTGCAAGTCATCTTACCGGCTGTTTGTAGCTCTAACGATCGCTACACTTTGCTATGGGTCACTGAAGTAATGGGAAAGAGAGATTTGTCAATTACGGTCATTCGATCGAATGATTTGAGTTCCACTTCAAAAGAAGTAGCAAAGGCTTTCGGTATCGGGAACGCCAAGGGATCAGATGTTGCGATAAAGGAGAATCAAAGAGGTACAGATGATCTATTCTTTTTCAAATCGATCGTTCCTTCGGAGCCTGAGGAAGAAAGGCAGCTGGTAGATATGGCCACAGAGACCCTCAAGCAAGACGGAATGCCGAATTTTGCGAAATGTCTGCTTCAGGATTGGCAATTCAATGACGGCGAGAGCAACTTTCCAACATACAGCCTTTTCGATTCGGGTGCTACCTTTGTACCCCCACAACAAGCTCAAACGAGTGAAGTCAAAGAAGAAGTCCCGACACCCTCTTCGGCACAGCCTATGAAATCGATAATGGAGAAGAAAAAGCCCGCTGCATCTGCTGGAGATCTTGAGTTCAATCTAGACCAGTGGGGCATGTAGTATGATAGATGCAATGTAAATTATGTATATTTTTTCATGCTATAATTTTCACAATTCTGGAGAATCTTCCGTTTGTGGAATTTTTCCAACGGCAGAAGAAAGAGCTTTGAATGCTACACTGAAATCTCTGTTCATAAAATCGGGATTTTCACCTAAAGCCTTGTAAATGTTTGTTGCTAGCATGCCCAATGGCGTTGGAACACCTTTTTGTTGAGCAGCACTCAATGCTAAACCAAGATCTTTTGCTTGCAATTTAGCCGCAAAGCCTCCTTCATAATCCCTTTCAGCAGGTGGGGATTTGTCCGTTCCATGCAATGCTCCAGGACAAGGATTGTTCACTTCGCTTGACCAACACTTTCCGGTACTGGTATTAATGATGTGAGCCAAAATTTGAGGACTTAATCCATGTACCGTTCCCAAGAGCATGGCTTCACTTGTGGCCAACATTGAAATACCCAACAAAAGATTATTTGCAATCTTTGCGATCAAACCATTTCCATTCTTACCACAATGAATCGCTCTACTTCCCATCTTCAGAAGTGTATGTTCAGCTTGTGTGAATGATTGATGTAAATCAGATCCAACCATAAACGATAATGTACCCGCACGAGCGCCAACTGTACCACCGCTTACGGGAGCATCAACCATATCAAATGCACCAACATCCGATGTTACTTTGTCCGATTCTGAGGTAGAATCTTTTGGTTTTGCGCCTGTTGTTAAACCTGCTCGTTTGATTTGATCGGCAACTTGAACGGCTACCAAAGGATCTAAAGTTGTACAATCGATACAAAGTGTACTATTTGATGGATCTGATGGATTTCCCAGCGATTTTAATCCTTCCAAAATTCCACTTTCTGACATGTATACCTCTTTTACTTGAGGAGAAGAGGGTACCATAGTGATCACTGTTGATGCCAAACTTGCAACACCTGCTGGCGAAGAAGCAGGTAAGATATGACGTCCTGGGAAGAGACTTGTGGAAGCAGTCAAAAACCTAGTCGTGGACTGTAAAGTGGGACAGACTATGTTCAGTTTAAAGTGTAAAGCCAACACCCAGCTAATGTTCACCTACCTGATCGACAGTATCATGAACGACAAATGTCAATTCCGCATCATTGGAAGCTTGAAATGTTTTCGATAATAGATTCGTTGCCATCTCACGTCCCATCGCACCTAAACCAATAAAACCAATCGTTTTTGCCCTATTTCTACCCGCACTTTGCATCATCAATCTAGGTGTGACCAACATTTTGGATAGTGGGATAAGCAGCAAGAAAGTAGTGATGGAAGTTTTGATCGGTCATTAATCCGGTTCAACAACAACCACTTTAGCCTTTGGCCGCCGTCGGTCACTCTTTTTTTGTGGGGAAACCGGGTCTATTGCCGTGCACCACAAGACTGTTGTCATACGCGTACTTTTTCATTTAGAAGAACGACCAACGGTTCTTGCTAAGAATACTAAAGCAGTCTGTGATGATCGATTGCAAACAAGATTAATATGATACATATCTAGTAGATGAGGTCCAAGGCAGTATATTAAAAAGGTAACATTCAATTTTCATTATGATGATTGGCACCGGAAGTGTCGTTCGAGTTGGTGTGATTGGCTTCCTTCTTGTGAGAAGAATCCTTGTGCTTCTCTTTGAGCCTTCGAATTTCTTCTTTTGCTTTTTCCAATTCTTCATCACGCGAACTTGATTCTTCTAAAAGAGTGGTTGACTTATGAATGAGCTTATGCAAGATTGACTCGAAATCATGAAGCAATAAAGTTTGTTCTAAAGCTCGAACAACTTGAGGTTCTTGTGTAGATCTTGCCAAATTCAGGATGCTATCACGATCTTCTTGTGATACTTTGTGTTCATGATTAGAATGATTCAAAGCACGTAACGCTTGAGCGATTTCCGGTACTTCATGAATCGTTGGTTCCAAATTTTCACGTAGGATTGCCATATAACTAAGTGCGGATTTGTGGAATTCCATTGCGGTATTTGTTAAATCTAGATGCATTTGGACCGAATCTGTTTTAGTCACGCTCGTATCCTCTTCTTCGCCATTATTCCTTGACGGTACCATATTGCTATCTACGCTTCCATCATTCTGCGGTGTAAGAGAATTGAGCAAGATTCCACCTCCTGCACTTGAAGATTCGTTGTCAGGTATACCAAAAGTGCTATTTTGTGATCCTTCATTTCCTTTCCGATCTATTGTTATTTTTGCTTTTTGCCTTTTTCTCCTTCTCTTTTCTCTCATTCCGGCAGGAAGTATGCGTTCAAAAGCACCATTCATCTTCTTTCTTATTTTACCGTGCTTGTGTGCTTTTCGACCTAATCTGTACTTGCGTTGTTGGATCACATTACTCCATGCATCCGTAACGACTGAAAATAAGACTGTCAAAGTACCAACGCCGAACAAAGCCCAAACGATAAAAAATGCTCGGCCGGATGAAGTGGTGGGATGAAAGTCACCATATCCTATTGAAGTGAAAACCACAAAGACGAAGTAAAATCCATCGAAATACGACCACGGTTCAATAGCAGAAAAGATCGCAGCTCCTACCAGCCAAAAACATGCAAACAAGGAAGCACTTATGCTTAATTTAAGCCAAAATTCGTTCCTTTGTGCTTTTGCGAGTTTTTTACGATGAATTTCAAATCTATCTTCTATCTCCTTCCTTTGTGTGATGAGATCTTCTTCGTATTGATGTAGCGTCGTTGTCGCGCTGATCGAATTAGCCATAGAAGTAGTAGGATAAAGGCTCAAATCGCCATTTGATGCACTTGATTCGGTGGGATCTTGTTGAATAGATTCATCCGTAGCATCATCGTCTGTGCCATTTTGAAGAGTCCAAGTTCTTGAAAGTGGGCCGCCAGTGAAGAAGCTATCAGAAGTATTAAAGCGAGAAAGGTTGCGTGAATGCGTACCATCATTATCTTCCTTTCCTTCGCCTTCTTTCGCCTTTTTCATTTGTCGAGATAGATTCGATCGTACGTTAGCACGATCTTGACGATGTTGCTTTCGTTCTTTTTGTCTTTCACTCAATTTTTGTTTGTATTGATGACGCCTTCTCTTGTATGCATCTTCAAATTCTTCCAAAATTGTTTGACGAGCAATGGCAACCATAACACCCAACAAGATAATACCTCCAGGAGCGATAAAGAACAAAAGAATTCTAGAGGCTGTATTCTTGGGTACGATGTCACCTAAACCAATCGTTGCTATACTTTCGACTGAAAAGTACATCGCATCCAAAAACGGCAATTGCATCACCAGAGCAAAGACTAGAGCGCTCAAAGAGATGTAAGCCAAAAATGCCACAATAACGATGACCAATTGAGATTGTTTTTTCGTAAGACCACTCCCTGCATCTTTGAAATCTTCTGTTCGTAAATAATCAACCACCAAAGAGATTGTACAACATATAGATGCCACAGTAGAAGCAGTCGTCATCCAATATGCTTCTGAATAGGTAAATCCATCATCGACAGCATGAATTACACCAAAGATGATCAAAGCGACCAGATTGATGACATCATGAATAAAAAATCCTGCAACAGCAATGGCCGTTGCTTTTCTTGGTCGCATACGTTCCGAAAAGCGTGCTAAAATGGCAAGATTGGCAATGACGGCAGATGTCAGAGAGAATGCCAATCCTACGTCGAGCAAGACCGGATTAGCACGATATACGTCTGGTTGTCCGCTGGGTGTGATATGGACGTACCACTTGCTGGTGAATCCCGGGATCTCCAGCATGATGGCGAAAGGCGCAATGGTACCGCTAAAAACAGGCGTTCGTCTATACTTATTCCGCAAGGCTTGTGACGGGATGCGAAAGCTTGTTTGATTGCCATCTTGATTTCCTTTTTCTTCATCGCTGTTTGTCCTTGTTTTCTTATTCTTCTTCTTTCGTCTTTCGGTTGAACGATCATGCCATCTCCGAAATATTGCAGGTACATAGAATCCACTTCGAGCGGTAAGTTCATCCTCTTGTGTAGACGACAGATCTTCCTCTTCATCATCGGCGTTCGTATCGTTAGCAGAATCGTGTGATGTTGGATTGCCATTTTGTATCTGATCGGACTGAACGGATGGTGATCGCTCGAATGTATGTCGTTGTTTTTCTGTTGGTTTCTCTTTCTTTTTCTTTTGTTCGACCTCTTCTTCTAACTCTTCCACAAAATCTCTTGCAATGAGTTGCTCGTCAACCGTATCAAGAGTCAAAAATCTACCTTGCATCTTGAGTAGAATTTGCTACTGTATTGACATATAGTGTAGCATCATGAGAGGTCATCAACTTGCAACAAAGGCTGTGATTGAATGAGATATTATGATGAGAGTGAAAGGGAGAGGATGTTTAGTTATTTTCGGCAGATGTGTTTATGCATCTTGCATTAACCTGCATACAAGCACTAGAACCGGCGGAGAGATTATTCCTTGTTTTCATTCAGGCACATAGAGAGGCTCGTGTCAAAATTAATTATGATTTCATCTTATTGAAATGGCTTGCAGTATCGCGCAGCAGTGCACAAAACGGCTTGTTTCGGCGCGAAGATGCAACAGCGCTCAAGCCTTTCGTTCATCCCCTACAAGATTTTGTTCAAATGCCGTCAAAGGGATATCGAGGATAGCACGGGCAAACTTGATGGTGGTATCGATCATATCTTCTCGCTATTAAAAGAGGGAGTGTGATTTAGAATAATCCTGAACTACTAAGCAGCTTTTCTTCATTCACTCACGGATGCATTTCTGACGTGCTTCTCAATTTCTTGGTCTTGCTCCGCTTTCAAGCTTTGTTGCCAATTGCGCAGATCTTCCGATCTTTTCGTGACTGAGGAGAGGAAAATTGTATGTTTCAGCGCTCATTGTGTCGATTTTCAATCATCACAAACTCACAAAGGCGTTCTAGCTCGCTTGCGGCAACTTTTGTATCTTCATGGTTCATATCGCGCTCTCTCATGTGCATTTGTTGACCCAAACCAGTCAAAATCTGCGATATTGTGGTTCAGCATGTAGGCAACGGAAAGTGAATATCAATTCGATCACTTACAGCTTCAAATTCGGATCGGGTTTTGCTGAAATCCAAAGCTGTACCAGGCAAAGCGGTTTGAAAATGCATTTCGGCAACTTCAATGGCTTTGTCCCTGTTAAGCACCAAAGAATGAGGATGAAAGGTGAGCAATACGACAAATTAGTCTAGCAGAGTGACACTTACAAGCTTTGCAGATTAGCATGCGAGATATTCTTGCATGTTGTTTCAACTCTCTTTTGTCCATCTCTTGTTTCTTTTTCGAGGGTGGCCACCAAATCCTCGCGTTCCTTCATAAATTTCTCATATTCCACATTTCCTGAGCGTGATTTAGCACTCTTGCCAGCTTTTGAGCTTTGAGCATTCTTGGAGACTGAATGCGTTGCTTTGCTCATGTTTTATAGCAGTTGTCTGTATGAGTTTGTGGAACAAAAGAGGGAACCGTATGAACGCATACATTCGACTTTTGAGTTTTCAAAATTTCGTGAGCGCAAAACTCATATCAAAATTGACAGACACTGTCACATACAACTTCCTTCCATTGCATTACAATGACTTCAACATTTTATCGGTATGAAGAGAATGCAAGTTGTATGATTTCAGATCAGGTTGAACCAAGCTGTATTACATAATCGACCACTTTTTGTTTAGACACGGAGATAAGCTTGACATGGGACATGACGTGCGCTGAGCGCGTTAATCCTGATACAGGGCCATAGAATTGTATAGAAGGCACCAGCTAAAACGGAAATCGGTCTGATGGGCTGATGATACACAGCAATGATATAAATTGCCGAAGTTCCGAGATTGCAATCGTGGATGATATATGGAATCGTGTCATGATCATAATGTCTCCTCATGCGTTTTACTAGCATATATACATCTGCATCATCTTCTGTAGATAGGAGTCTAATGGATAGTCTTCCATAAGCCGGCAGAAGCTTTGATAACCGCGATCGGTGCATGCGTTGTTCTTGGATATGCTCAGCTCAGCTTAGGCACCCTTGCTGTTGCGCAGGGCAGTAAAGCTGTTTAAAGTCTTAAATAATATGCAAGCTGTACGAGAGTAAGAAAAGGCTGAGCAAGTCCCTCTTCGATACGCGAAAACGCTCCACAGCGGCTTGCTCTTCATTTCAATCACAAGGGCCCAGCCGCTAAATTACTTATTGCAATTCAAATAAACAGAGTATATACAGATGAACACCTTCAAAGTTAAACCTTTGTTGTAGACTACCATCACAATTCACACCAAATAGACCTCATTCGGTACTGTTCTTTCAACAATCTTTGATCTATTTGCCACTTCTCATAACTCAAACACCAAACACAAGCACAACTCTCACCACCAACTATCTGGAATCGCAATGGCGGCAATCGAAGTCTTACCTTCTTCTCCGGGTGCTCCTTGGACTTCATCATTTGATGATTACCTAGATCTTCCATCACCAATGGGCACCCCTCGCTTGACACCAGTCAGCGCCTCTTCTCTCAAATTGGAAGTGCCAACCACAAGTTCAATGCAAGTGCCGCCACCTCCTGGTTCTTCTCCGGAATCACTTTTCCGTTATTACCTCTCGGCTGAATTGCGCAAGATTGGCATCACTCCTGATGAATCAACGATCGATCGTTATGTCACTCAGCATTACGATAGCTTCACTCGCGCAATGGAAAGACATCAAGGTAATGCAACAATGGCACCGGTCGAAGATAGCAAGATGGAAGATCAAATCAACGGAATACAAGCCTTCCGCTCAACACCAGAGACTGGTCCATCAACTTCACCCTCCATCTTCCTCAACAAATTGAACGAAGAAGAGAAACCAATGTCTGAAGACGAAGTCGAAGAAAACGTCGAAGAAGCTACTGAAGAAGCCGACGAAGAGGCCGATGAAGTTACTGCCTTGAAAGGCAAAGGTACAAGCCGTACTGTGGAAGAAACACCGATCGAAGGAAGTATCATGGGACCTTCTAACGAACTTCGCCCAGACCCAGAGACATACCATACTCTGACAAGTAAGGAGAAGAGACAACTGCGGAACAAAATCTCAGCACGCAACTTCCGTACACGAAGAAAAGAACACATTGCACATTTGGAACAACAAGTTGCTGATCGTGATACCTTGATCGAAGGTTTGCGTCAACAGCTCGCAAAGGTGACAGTACAAAACAAAGACTTGCAAGAAGAGATGCGTACATTAAAGACAAAAGCAATCAGCTCAACCGATGTTAATCGTATCATTGAAGCATTGCAAAAGTCAACCGTTGAGCCTATGGGAAATCAACCAGCCGCTATGGGACCTCCTTCAACTCTCACCCGTACAGCTTCCAATTCGTCCATGTCTGATGCTATGCATGCTTCATCTCCCCGTTCCATGTCTCCACGTCCATCAGCTGCTCTTGCAAGACCCAATACACGCAAAGACGTTTCGGGAACTTCCGTTGGTGCATCAGGTGCTCGCTCATTTTGGGGCGGCGTCGGTGGCGCAGCCAATGGCAGTAATTACATGAGCGTTGGCGCTTGTTAGATGATGGATTTTTGGGGCAGTCATGGGGATGTTGCTGTAAAAAAGCATCATCATATAAAATCTAGCATTACGATTTAAAGATATTCAAAATTTGTCATTGTCATCACTTCTCACTTTATTTGTCTCCTCTTTCTTTCACTATCTCTTCCCTCTCTCATAATTATTGAACAGACATCTATGTAGCGTATTACCTCACCGTTAATCACCATAACAGTATAACGAGCTTTCTCTGTGGATTAATACTACATGTGAGAGAAAAGTCATTGAGTTCAGAGCGATTGTCTATAATTACACAGAGCCGGCCATCTCTTTAGCCTGCTGACGAACACGCCTCCTGGATAGATGAAAAGAAAAGGTGAGCAAGATTGCATGTAAAATGCTATGGAGATTTAACACTTACTCATACTGCACTTTGTCCTTGCGGAAAAGCTCGAATGCTTCCTGCTGAGCAGGATCTTCAGCATTAGGAGAATCCAACAAATCTTGAACGCCCAACAAGATCTGTTTGATGGTGATTGCTGGTTTCCAACCTTTATCTTCATCCAAGATCGAAAGACAAATCGTTCCAGAAGGAAAAACGTTTGGATGAAACAAAGGTGGAGCAAATTTGCACTTTGGCGGTTTGCTAGGGTAGTCTTCGGGAAATGACATTCGTATCTTGTACAAACCACCGGCCCACTTTGTATCTTTTTTGCCTGGAATACCTGCTTCCCAGGTCATCAAATCTAACGTTCCATCACTTCCTTTCTCGGGTCTAGCGTAAAAGCCCTGTGATCAAGTGAAGATGAAGCAAAAGGTTAGCAATCGCCCATTTCTTTCTCGAATCATGCCTTTTCCACATCATTCAATTAACACGCCACGCCTTTTTCGTCATGCCTTTCTCAAATAACGGATATTTCAAATCATGCCGTTCTCAAACAATGCCTTTGAAATACTTACGAATGGATGATCCTTTCGCCACTGTTTTCGCTCTTCTGCTAATCTGAGTGATGATAAGGCGAGGAAAAAAAAAGGGTCAGCGATCCCATTACATTACCATAGTGTAAATGCTACTCACCTTGTGCGACAAATTCCTGACATGATGAAAGTATGATTTCACTGTAAAGTACTTTCTCTTTGATTTGTATCTTCCACCTTTTCGACCTTCAATAAGCTACCAAAGAATATCCCTTGCACTTTCCCTCTCCTCCAAATTAGTTCAGAGATTTGAATGCGAATCTGGTGAAATGCAAAATGATGGAAGTGAAAGAAAAGAAAAGAGGAATAACAATTTAACTACATGAAGATTATTAGGCTTGTCATACGGGTCCGTGCTATTTTCCAATCCGTGTTTCCTGCTAATAATAAAACCAGGAAGAAGCGCCCGCTTTAACATTACACGTGTGAACACTTGAACGTCATTCTATTCTTCCTTCCATCACTTCTACAAACAAGTACAACAATCAATATGTCCAATTCAGTCAAAGTCAGTCAAACAGCATACAATACAATATTGTTGCATTGTGCAAAATATCCCGCTTCAGCAACAACGGGAATCTTGATCGGTACAAGTGGAAATGAAGGCACATTAGTCGTATCAGCAATTCCACTTCAACATCATTGGAATCAATTAAGTCCAATGGTCGAAGTAGGTTTGAGCTTGATTCAAGCACATCTATCTAGCGAAGCTTCTTCTTCGACGAGGATCGTAGGAGTGTATTATGCGCCAAACGATGTAATTTCTTCAACAAAACCAGAACTAAATCCATTACCACTCAAAATTGCTCAAACAATATCAACAAAGATTGGTACAGATTCCATCGCCTTGCAGATAAACAATGCAAAGTTGTCCAATAGCAGCAAAACTGACATGCATGCTTTATCGGCTTATAGTGTCTCCGCATTCACAGCACAACCCAAACCTATCTCCGCACAAAATGCTGTCAAGGTTGGTGATGGAAACAGCAGTGCTACAACTTTGGCAAAGGCCGAAATTGCAAAGGGAAAATGGCAGGATATTGTCGACTTTGATGGTGAGTACATGCGTGGAGTATACACAACACGAGAATTGAAACTGACCACGTTCCCTTAACAGATCATCTAGAGGACACAAGCAGAGATTGGCTCAAGACTGTCGCAGCATAGGACTATTAGAAGCTTTACATTGCATGACCGAAACCCTATTGTACTTTTATAAATTGACTAGAATACAGATGGTTGAGATGGGCAAAATCGGATCTCACTCTCTCGTCTTTCCGGATTGTCTTTGTGAAAGATCTTGCCAGACTTTCGAGCCCAATTCTTTGAAAATGTTGCTACTCTCATGACCTACGCTACCCGACGGGGGATCACGTAGGACTATTGGAGTTCCTGCATCTCCATCTGAGCTAATGATCGGTTCGAGGGGTAATCTTCCAAGGACGGAAACGTTGTTCGATTGAGCAAATGCATCGAATGCTTTTGGTGATCCAAACAAGGGGTACGTTTTACCCGTATCAGGTGCAGTAAAGTGAGCCATGTTGAGAACCATTCCTAAGATTGGTACATTGACTTTATCAAACATCGCAACACCTTTTCTTGCATCAGCCAAAGCAACTTCTTGTGGCGTACTCACGATCACTGCTCCATCCACTTTGACTAATTGAGACAATGTCAATGCAACATCTCCTGTTCCAGGTGGCATATCGATCACCAAAACATCCAATCCTTCGCCTGCATCGCCCCTCCAATCAACGTCAAAGAGTAATTGTTGAACAGCTTTCATCACCATCAAGCCTCGCCAAACGACAGGGGCTGAAGATGAAGTTCCATCAGGTGAAGGCGGTAAAAGGAATCCCATTGACATACAAGGTATTCCATGATTTTTCAGTGGAAGCAGTGCACCATTTTCCGTCAAATCTGGTTCTCCTTGTCCTTCCAATCCCATCAAAAGTGGTATACTCGGTCCGAAAATATCTAAATCCAATAATCCAACCTTTACCGATCTACCTTGATCCACTTTATTTCTTGCTAGTGATAATGCTAAATTTGCCGATACTGTACTCTTTCCTACACCTCCTTTTGCACTAGAGACTGCTACTATGTTTGCTACATTTGGTATCTTGCGCGGCTTTGGAGGTCCAGCTGATCGTCTTGGCATTGTGGGAGGTGCATTGTTTCGAGGCAGGCCCAATGGATTATCATGGGAAAGGCGGGGTGAGCTGGTGTGTAGGAATCGTATCCGTTCAGCTGTGGAATGCCGAAAACTTCTGGATAGAAGCGTTGTGTTTTGGCGACAAACAACCAACATTATCGCAAGTAATGTCAATTGCAATGATGGTAAGAAGATTGTGTTTAAGATCTTCTCCACCTTACTTGAGTAAAACAAGAAGAAGAACTAAAATTAGCTTAATTCCGACAGAAAGGGTCTGTGCCTGCTTGAGTATTACGCGGGAAATTCGAGTTTTATTTTATGGCTTGGCAAGTGTTAAAGTTGACGAAGCTTCCTTTCTCTTCCTGACCATCATTCTTACAAGGCTGTAGAAACAACGTCTGGACGTTAAATCTATCATGCCTGTATTTATTCTATCAACGTATCTGTCGGGTTTGTTGGCTCTCGATACACTTCCAACACTCATCGCTGCATTTGTTGCAGTCATCTTTTTGAAACAATGGTCAAGTGGTGTTGATCTGGTATCACGTTTAGATAGAGCTCAAAGGGACGCAGACAAAGGGCAGATAGAAGGGCAAAAGAAGAAGCCGAGAGACTTACATGGGACAGTAATATTAGTCGTTGGAGGTTTCACAGCGCAAGGTTTGCTCGTTTGTGCTCAACTGTCAAGCTTAGGAGCACAATTGATCTTATTGACACCGACTATACGATCCTCGTACATCATGCAAATGATCCATCTACTCCGAGATGGAACCTCAAATTCCCTAATTTATGCAGAAGAATGCGATGTGACCAATCTACAAAGTATAGAAGCATTTGCAGCTCAGTGGAATCTAGGAGAAGGAACAGGCAGTCAAATCGGAGGATTGGGCGCTGGACCTGCTGGTGGATTGAGTGGAAGTACAGGATTGGGAGCAGCAAGCTCAGGCCCTGGCGCTACTAAAGGTGACGGAAACAAAAGCGGTTTTGCGCCTCGAAGGGTTGATTCAATCGTGTTCCTTCCTCTCGATTCTGCTCGTTATTCTGTCGGTAGCCCAATTCGCCGTTCAAATGAGGGTCTCGAAACCAGTCAAGCGGAGCTTATGGGTCGCTTCCACTTGGTAAACGTGTTGCTGCCATCATTACTACTACTACCGCCCAATCGTGACATCCGTATCGTTACTTTGCTTTCGCCTTGGTATGCCGCCGGTGCTGCTTCGTTATCTGAAGAGCACAATATCAATCAAATCATTGACGGAATCAAGAACGGCAAAATGACCTCTCCCTGGACGTACGATGGCTCTCTTTCCGTGATCTGGCTTGCACTGTCACGAGAACTACAAAGAAGAATACAATTGATGACTGATGCTGATCAAAGGCCGCGAACGAAATTGCCCGGTATCGATGATGAAGGAAACGTTACCGGAAAAGCAACACCAACAAATGTGAACTTGATCAATGTATGTGCTGGCTTTGAAAGAGGAAGAGATGTTCTGGACTATCTCTTACCTGGAACTGGAAAGCATTCTATAGACGTAGAAGAGGAATGGGGGACTGCGGAACAAATTAATGGGTCAGGGCAGAAATCCGACCAAGAAGGAGCCAGCGATCAACTCAGAGACCTTGTCGATCCTCGTCTGCGGAACCGCAAAAACGTTAAGCCTGCAAAGGCTGATGACAAGAATTCAAACCAAGGCAGGACCGCAGCTGCAGAGAAGTTGCAGAAACAACTTCAAGCGGATGAATCAACATCAGCAATTCGAAAGCTCATGACGATTATTCAATATTCAGTATGCATCTTTCTTTGGCCTCTTGCATGGCTTTTGGGCAAGAGCCCTCGTAGAGCTGCTGAAACGGTTACTTGGGCAACCATTGCTCCTATTCATCTTGGCAAAACATTTGATGCAAACTTGAACGCATCAGCAGTCGTGCCGGGAGAATTGCACAGAGAAGGTCGTGTGGTTCGTCCAGCTTTACCAAACGAACTACTTCCCGGACCTTCAGTTGATCTTGTATGGAAGGCAGTGGAAGAGAAAGCCAAAAGTGTTTTATCCTCGCAAAGAGAAGACCTTTAATGAATCACGGACAATATAGTAAGACGATTGTATAATACTCTTTCATAATGATGAATGTGCTTTTACTAAATGTTGCATTAATATACATGTATGTTTATTACCTCCTCTTGACCCATTTCTAACCTCTGTAATCGCTCGAAAGATCCACACCTTCCAAGTGAGTGTTCTGGATACGAACTTTTCTGGCCATTCCTCTTCCCCGGCCTCTACCTCTGCCTCTTCCACGTAAGGCTGCTGCTGCCGCTGCTTGTGCGGCAGTGTCATTCGCAACAACCGTGGCTGTCATATGTCCCTCTTGCTCCAATTGACGAGTCAAATCAACCGAATCAGGGACAGGAAGCGAGTGCCATAGCTGTTTGAATTCGTCATCGACTGGCTCTATCAGCTTGTTCTCATTTCTAGCGATAAAGTCAGCACTACTTGCTTCGTTGTAATACACTTGTCGAATACTGCCCTCCTTTGGTCCGGGTAAGATCAACAACTTCTTTGTCTCTTCTATCGGTCCATCTTCGGCTCCATTTACGCCATTCTCTGCATCTCCCTCAGCTTCCTCTTCAGCGGCTTCTTTCGATTTACGCTGTCTTGCTCTGGAAAAGTTATCAACAGCCTCCCTCGTTGCCGGATAGCTCTCGCGTAAATCTGCCAATTTGAATCCATGCGGCTGAGGTGGATAAGCACTGTAATAACGAGTTCTGACCAAGTTCAACAGATCTTGCGGTGTTCTAAGATCATAATCTGGCTTCCATTGTAACGTATTATTTCTTTCGTTATAAATCACCCTTTCATGTTTCGTTAATGCTTCACGTAAATTTTGATCGTGTAAAAGTTGTTCGATTCCATGTGCGATTGCAAAATGTTCCAATGAGACTGGATTACGTTCACTTTTCAAAGCGCTAAGAGCAGTTACCAATTGTGTACGAAATTGCGATCCTGCACCCGTATTGGCCGGTTGACTGTATATGTTGGCCATTGCATGGAATGATGACGGTAGTAAAGCAATCAAGAGTGAATGTAATACTCAGCTTTGACATGACGCCCCCAATTTTATCAGTGCACAAGCCAATACTTAGTAAAAAGTGTTGCTCTTGCGAAAGAGGGCGCGTTTCCGCTTTAGAAGAATGACACATAACTCACTCTTGACATTCCATAACCATACCCGCTCATTTAGACCTTTTCACTTGAGCTACAAATGCTTTAATACCTTTGTCAATAATCAATGCTGCCAACACATGCTGGTCAAGTGGAAGGAGCATCAAATCAATCAAGCACAGCAGACTCTTCTACCATGCATGCATATCCACCTTCTGGAGGTAGAACTGGTTTCAGGGATGGACACAATTCATTGCAAACACGAATCTTTGGCTCAAGAGGTATAACAGCATGTACTGTTCAGACAAAGACACCACTCGAAAACGAAGCAGAGAGTCCAATTGAGCAGGTACACACTAATAACATCCCGCAAAAGCACGCCGTCAAACCACCAAGATGGAGAACGTTGGAATTCAAATTCTACGCTCTGGTCTTCTTGACAATCGTTCCGCTCATGTGTTGGGTGCCGATCCGATTGAGCTTGGATTCAGCAAAAAATTATCCCATCTATTCATCACATCTACAGCGGGGCTGGCTATTCGGCAGATTGAGAGACGATTCAGATTTCCAATACAAATCTTTCAGAGATTACGTACCAGTCCTATTCATCGTGATGATTGCATATTTGGCTCTTTCGAAGTTCAGTGAACGTGCTGGAACAGCTGAAACATACAGAAGCTTAGCAGATCGTATAATACGGCCAAATCGGGTACCATTCCTTGTGGTCTTTACATCAATCTTCGTCGTCGCCTTGCATGGCCTGAACGTCATCAAATTGCTATTCGCATGTGCAGTCAATTATATGCTTTCTCTTCTTTTGGGAGGAACACCTCTCGCCACACCTATGATATGGGCATGGAACGTTGGGACTTTGTATGCTGTGCACTATTATGAGGGTTTCTCATTCGAAAGCATCAACGATTCCTTATCGTGGATGGACAATTATACGGGCCTTCTGCCAAGATGGCAGATTAATTTCAACATCACCATGCTTCGACTTGTATCTTTTGGGTTGGACTATCATTGGGCTCGCAAAGCAGCAGCAGCGGGCACGCAAGCAGGATCGGCAAACACTTCCTCAAGGCCAATCTTAGACGCAAGAAAGCGTGGGGAAGCACCTTTGGCATTACAGGATTATTCGGTTTTGAACTACTTGTTATATGCATTATACCCTCCTTTGTTCATCGCAGGTCCGATCATGACATTCAATGACTTCATTCGGCAGACATACAATCCTCTCAACGTTTCACAACGGTATACGCTCACATATGCCGTTCGGTGGATATTCTCTCTGCTTTCTATGGAGTTTATCTTGCATTTCATGTATGTAAATGCGATCAAAGATTCCAAAGCATGGAGAGGATCAACACCATTGGAATTAAGCATGATCGGATTCTGGAATTTGATCGTTGTATGGCTCAAGCTTTTGATCCCCTGGAGGTTCTTCAGACTTTGGGCTTTGGCCGATGGCATTGACGCTCCGGAGAATATGATTCGATGTATGGCAAACAACTACAGTACTTTGGGATTTTGGAGAAGTTGGCATCGAAGCTATAATTTGTGGATCGTCCGATACATCTACGTTCCCGTTGGAGGAGCAAAGAATGCCATCCCAGCAACATTGCTTGTGTTTACGTTTGTTGCACTTTGGCATGATCTTTCACTCAAACTTTTGACCTGGGGCTGGCTCGTTACTCTCTTCATCTTGCCCGAAGTGATTTGCAGACAATTCTTCACTGAGAAACAATATGGTGATCTTTGGTGGTTCAGGCACTTATGCGCTGCCGGTGGAGTGATTAACGTTTTGATGATGATGACGGCAAATTTGGTCGGTTTCGCAATCGGAACAGATGGTATGGCGTATATGTGGCAGCAACTTCTGGCTGATTGGGATGGTATCTTGTTCATGTTTAGTGCATGTGCTGTACTCTTTGTTGGTGTTCAAGTCATGTTTGAATACAGAGAAGAGGAATTACGTCGAGGTATAGATCGAAAATGCTGATAATATTGTATTTTGATTATGATAATAAAAGTACAAATGTGATTTGTTTAATCCTTCTTTCTTATGCAGCCTGCTGTTTCTGTTGTTGTTCTAAACCGGAGAAAATATCTCGCATATGTCCTTGAGCTTCGCTTGTCTGCTTTTCCAGGAACTGATGGTGGGATTATAGACTGTCAGTATCATTCTGGCTTCAAATCATACCCTTTATACACACCTTTTGCTTCTTTGTCAAATTTGCAATCTCTGTTTCTAATTCTTTCAATTTTGTGTTTAGCTTCGCTTGAACTGTACTCTCATCTTCCAAAACAAACATCTTCCCGACACCTTGCCATAATCGTACATCTGCTCCACCTTGTTTGGTTTCTTGATCGAGCTGTTGTCTCGTAAGCTCTAATCTACGTTTACCTTGTTCATGTCCTTGCAATTGTGCTTTTACCATGCTCAATTGACGTGAAGAGTTTACCAATTGAGTTTGAATTTGTTGAATGATCTAAAGGGATGATAAAGTCAGCTTTTGAGTGTGTCACTAAATTGTATTTGATTACACTCACCTTGTGCAGTGCTTCATCTGGAACTGGCGGCATTTTGGAGATTGTACGTCGTTGATGGTGAGTGACGATTACAAGTAAGATGATCGAGAAGAAATAAAATGCTTTTCATGCACTGATCATGCATACGCGCTAATATTCAGTATACCAATCTTAGACCATACGTGAAGTGCGGGAGGTCAGAAACAAAGTCAAAGTCAAGTAGGAGAATCATGTTATAATACAATTTGATAAAGTTATAATAGTACAATGTTATGATGATTATTATTCCCCCTTGAGACCTTGAAGAAAGATTTCAGTTTCATCTATGGAATGTAATTTGGGTGCTCTTCGCTTATCCTCTGATGAAGCATTGATACCGTCTGAGAATAACTCCGCTCCTGCTTGTAATGAATCAATTAGCAATGGCATCCTTCTATCCGTATTGGAGGTACCAAGGGTAGGCTCTTTCTTTCGTAAAGCATCCAACTCGTTTCCATATTCCTCAATCATGACTTTCATCCATCCTCTTTCAAGCTCTTCACGTCGTGCGGCTAAAGATGCAGGATCAAGGATGGCATCAGCTGATGCTGTTGATGTTGCATTGTTGCCCAATATTGATCCGCCTTGTCTTGCATTTTGTGCTTCAATGTTCTTTTGCATTCTTTCAATAGCTTCTGATCTCTGTCGTTGTTCTTGCATTAGACTATTACTTTGAGTGAATGCAATGACTGCTTCATCTGATTGAGCGATCAACTTTTGGTACCTTTGCTCCAGACTGATTGGAAGATGATTTTGGGACTGTTCGCTTTCAGGCCAAGACATCAAAGGTTCAGGAGGTGGAGTGAAGAAACGCCTTTCGCTTGGCTTTTTTGGTTGTGCTGCTTGTATGTCATGTTCGTCATCACTGCTGTCTTCTTCAGATGAGCTCGATGAATCGGATGACGAGTCTGAAGAGCTATCTACATCCATTGCCTCCTCCTTTTGTCTCGATGCTGCTGGTTTCTGACCTTTCCCATGTGAAGTTTCTTCATCTTCGGAGCTGCTATCACTGCTACTTGAATCTGATTTAGCATCTTTTTCTTCTTCCGAGGATGATGACGATGACGATGAAGATGAAGAAGATGATGAAGAAGCGTTATCGACTATTCGTGTACGTATATTGCGAGCTCTTTTCCTCTTTGATCTCCCACCACCAGTTCTAGCTGCTGCTGCCGCCATCCTTTACTTGTTTCTGGTCACAATGAAGCCTTTCTAAAGATCTAAAATTTTTAAAGATTGTCCGATAAAAAAAACTTTAAAGACTTGCCACAACTTTTTAGCCTTGGGGAACGAACGCGTTTGGTTACTGCATTGGCAGATCTGTCTGTACAATTAGTGAAACGCGTAAAATGAACTTTTCTTCTTCTTTTTTTGCAGTGCACTTTATCACTCTTGTCAAGAATTCAAATCCAGAATACAATTCCGATAACCGGCTTAGAGCACGTACATTCAATAAAATTATTATTATGAATATGCCATCCACCAAAAAACTCGATTCACTTCTTGATCACCTCAACATATATCCCTATTCGTCTTTCAATAGTCCGACAGAGGTGTAGTGATAGCAACATCGACTCAGAAGCACCATCCTGGAATAGCACTACGATACCCTTTGGTTCTTCTCAGCGGATAAGAAAGGAAGCATAATTGCATACATCGGGTGCATCATAATCTTGCGTCAAACGTATTTCTCTCACATACGAATCAGAGAATACGTACGCATATACAGACATTGACTACCACCACTTCAACACTCAGCACGCTATCCCTAAAGCTTGACATGATCGAAAGGCTAAGGACGACTTATCAGCATATTACCGCTTGAAAGTACACAATTATTCATTGACGTGGGGTGGAGGATCGTTCCGGGATAGACGATCACCATCCACCTCTTTAAGCCATTATGGCAACAATGGCAAGCGTTTCAAATACCGATAGAGGTTCTGTGGGACTGAATGGAATATCGGCAAACGCTTCTACTTCGCCATCTCAGATTGCATCCACTTCGGGAGTCACCTTAGAACAGACGCCAGCTCATTCTGTTAAAGAGGAAGATGAAGATGCGAAATTGTTTGCATCTTTGGTGAATGGCATTCAGTCTGGTGCAGTCACTACATCGGAGATGCCTGGTCCATCTGCAGCCTCAAATCAAGAGACCACAGATCCTACCGCTGCTTGGGCTAATGCGATATCAAATCTACAAAACGTCACAGGAGGAACATTCCCATCGCTAGATCTAATGCAACCCATGTCCAACAACATACCGGGATTAGAAGATCCTTCAGCATTCGCGCAGCAACCATCAATACCCAATGACGCCGAGATGAACATACCGCCGGAGCCTATTGCTGCTTATGCAAAGTTGGAATTTCCCGGTTTCAGTTATTATATTCAAACGCTCGATTTTACCATCGGTAGGAGGCCGGCAGAATTTCGTCGCTCTCAGACATCGCTACAACAACACATAACCGGATCTAGTAAATCGTTAGGAGATGTGGACGTCGATCTAGGTCCACTGAAATCTATCTCTAGATTTCATGTGAGAATATTTTATCAAGATCAACCTGCTCCACCACAATGGGCTACAGGTCATGATCCTAACTTTTCTGGCAACATACCTGATAGCAATGGAAATGTGAGATCACGTTCTAGCTTCGATGAAGATGCGATGTCTCCGTTTGCTCCACAAGGTCGCTTTGTCTTGCAGGTATTGGGACGGAATGGGTGCTGCGTAGATGATGTCTATGTTGGAAAAGGAGCGATTGTGCCTTTGGGAAAGAGAACGAAGATCCAAATAGCAGAGAGAGTGTTCTACTTTGTTCTGCCCCCATCGCATTCACTACTGATGTCTATGGAAGATGACGAAGAGGACGAATCTATTGGAAGTTCGGCAGAGGAAGAGAGCGAAGAAGAAGATGTACAGGAAGAGTCATCTTCTGGAAGTCTGGGTGGCAGCAGTGACGAAGAGAGCGAATCAGAAACGCTACCTGCTTCAGTCAAGAAGAAAAAGCTGACCCTGAAAAAGGACGCGAAAGCGATACCTGCTGGTGCTGGAAAAGGAGGGAAAGGCAAAGGTAAAGGCGTTGAAATGGATGATGCGATGGAGGAAGATGAAGAAGAAGGTGGGAAACAGTCTAATGCAAATCGCAAGCGCAAAAGAGGAGAGCCTACAGAGGACGACGACAAGGTGCTCAAAGTGGGCACACCGATCGGAGTGGAAGCTCTTACATTTAATAAAAAGAAGAAGAAGAGTAATAATCCTTCGGGTGTAGAGGGAACGCCATCAACATCACCAGAATTCGTGGCTGGAAAGGGTAAGGGTGGAGGTAAATCTGCGATTGTGTCTGCAGCAATGGCGAAAGCAAGAGCGGATGTGGAAGCAATACAAGCAGCTGCTGAAGCTCAAGCGGCAGCAGTAGCAGGTTTGCAGACACCGTCCAATATCGCTGGCGGAGATGTAAGCATGACGCCCTTCCCTCAACAAGGATCGACATCTGTCCCCGCCACACCAGCCTCTCCTGTTTTAGATAAGAACAAGAAGCCATTGCCACCACCTGGACCAGGTATCAAGCCTGATAAGAGTAATATGGATCTGATCCGCGAAGCTATGAATGGACCGCTCTCAGTCAGCAGAGGTGGAAAGATGGCATTACAGGAAATTTACGAGTACCTTACCAGCACATACGAATGGTTCCGTAACAACAGTCGTGCCAATGGTCGTGACTGGCACAGTGCGATCCGACATGCTGTGGGTAATGCTAGAGATATGGACAGAATTCCACGTAAACCGCACGAATCCGGAAAAGGTGTCTTTTATGCTTTCTCGTCTAGTGATGCTGCTAAAGCAGCCAGGGCGGAAGCTGAAGCCTCTGCGACTCAATCCGATAATTCGAACGCAGCAACACCCACAGCACCATCCAGCGGTATTGCAGGGCTTCCGCCATCAGCTTTGAATGCTGGCAACATTTCGGGACCAATGGCAGGCATTGCGACACCTTCAAACACTACCAAAACAGCTGCAACCACTCCACTTCCTGCTTCAGCAATTGCAGCTGCTGCACAAGGAAATCTGGATGGTACGACAGGAATTCCACCGGGTGCTGATCAGGCTACTGATGCGGCTGCTCAAGCATCTACGACTGGTGCTGCCACATCTTCTGCATCTCCAGCACCACCTTCAGCTATTGCACCTGATGGTCGTGTACGCATTGTTGTAGGAAAAGCACCAGCGGATGCTTTAGCACAAATGGCAAGTGCACCCAAGCCAGCAATTACTCAAAGTATCGAAGCCCTGTTTGGTGGACCTCCGATCGTTCATCATGAGGGTACGTTGTTCTTGAGTCCTATTGTGTTTGGTGCGATGAGCGCTGAAGAGATTAACGATATTGGTGGAAAGGGTGCTCAACAAGCTTTGGCTACTTTGCAGGCTCAATTGGTTGCACATCTTCAGAGTAAAATGGCAGCCGGAGCAGCATCTCCTCCACCACCTTCGTCACCTTCGCCAAATCCTCGACCGCCTACTGGTTCAGCATCACCTGGTCCTGGACAAGTTCGACCACCTTTAGGTAATAGGCCACCGCAACCGGGTAATGCTGCTCAAATGAACAATGTCAGACCTGCTTTGGCAAGACCTGCTGGCGCATCGAATGGACGTCCACCGATTCAATCTAGACCACCAATCGCACGCCCGACAGGCGCTATTGGATCAGCTGCTCCTTCAAATGTACGGCCTGGAGCAACACAACCTTCTGCTATTGGCAAACCAGGCGCTCCCATGCCTGTCAGACCGACAGGAAGGCCACCTCTCACCAACATTGCAAGACCGACTGCTGCAGCGCTTGCTCGACCTGGTAGACCGCCTTTGCAACCTCGACCAGCTGTTCAAGGTCCATCTGCGTCAATTTCACGTCCAGCAGGAAATGCAAATGCTGGAGGGACGGCTATTGGACAAAATCGACCGCCGCAAGGCACAGCAGTTTCGAGTGCATCTACGGCCAGACCTTTGGGAACGGCAGCAACAGCAGCAAGACCAGCCCTGCCAAGACCAGGCTCAGGTGTTCCTGGAAGCAATGTCAATGCTCGTCCAGCTGTTTCTCGTCCTCCATTGCACAATGCTCAAAGACCGATTGGCTCTACTGGTCCGACAACGTCCGGACAAAATGCTGGCGCTCCTGTTAGACCCAGTCTGGCAAGACCTGTTTCGGGACGACCGCCACTTTCAGCAAGGCCTAGACCTGCTTTGCCAGGTCAACAAGTCGGACGACCTCCAAGTACGACAACGAGTGGTGCCACTCAAAGTGCACCAGTTCGACCAAGTGTGTCTACTAGTAGCGTGAGTGGAAATGGCAAACCAGCACCGAGTAGCACGATCAGACCTACAGGAAGTGCGCCGACAAATGCTCGACCGGCGACAGGACCTGCTTCTGGATCGGCAGCGAGTGGCATTGCAAGTGGTAGCAGTCCTTCTGTCACTGCTACACCGAGTGCGGCTATCGCTGGTTCATCTCAATCGGATATGGCTGCCCTTTTGGCCTTATTGACAGGTGGAAAGTTGGACAGTAGCAAATTGACGCCTGCCCAACATGAATTACTTCAAAGGGCGGGTCGATTAGCAGCTGAACAACAAAAAGCTCAACAGCAAAAAGTCGCAGCAGCAGTCATTGGAGGAGCTCGTTCTCCATCACCGATTAAACAAAGTGCACCTGTCAAATCGACACAATCACCACGTCCTGCTGGCTCTGCTACCCAAGGATCACCAGTAAGACCGCCATTGACACCCAAAGCACCCACCCCTACGCCGGACAATGCTCAACAATCACCATCAGCAGTAGCGCCAGAAACGGGAACAGAGAGCGAGCCTGCAAACGCTCAGCCTTCCGCCACTTCCAATGGAGAGAATAATGAAGAAACTGCTTCATGATGAATGCTTTTTTATGTACTTTTACCTTTTTTTTCCCTCTTCAGTCTATCTTTTGCATGTATTTCAATACCTCCTTCTTCTTTCTTTTGCGAGAGAGAAGAAGTGTTATCTTTGCAAGTTGTACTATCAATCTTTTTGATACGGAATACATTGATATTTCTATCCTGCTATGTTTGATACCAAGATTTGACATCGGAAGCATTCAACGGATTGTGTGTGTCAAGCGTGGATAACGTTTACTTCACGTGTCAGCGTACACGCAAAAAGTTGTTTAGCTTTTAGTCAATGTATGAAAAACAACATTGGAGGAAATCTTCCTTTTCATCTTTCTCTCTACCAATATCATTTCATCATCTCCAGAGACGCGCAAAGGACCGCCATCGTAGCCAGGCAAAAAGGTTCTCTCGTAAGATAGAATCTTGCCTTTTGCTGCGGGGAAAGTCCCCGGACATGGGCACGTAAAAGATTGAAAAGGAGGATACGAAATCAGAGAAAAGCAGGAACTTTTACGTCATCTTGTTTGTCAAAGTATGCAGGCGTGGAAAGCGCTCAATTACCGTAATGGTTTGAGGAATTCACTGCGTATGGTTTTCGATTGAAGTTTTTTTTTTTCGGATTCATCTCAAAACCCTTGCGAAGATAAGAGCGGGTTTTTTGGTTCGAGATTCGATCGAACGATTTCGTTATACCCAGCATTATGGCGTTCCGCATCTGTGTGTATTCACTTTTCTTTCTACATATTACGTCGCCCGCACGTTTGTCATCTTTCTTATTTGAAAAGTTATGCGGTCACTGGTTCACATTCTGCTTGTTGTTCCAGCAACACAATGGGGCTTACTCTTGCGTTTTCGTCTCTGACCTTTTTGATTTGATATTGGATTTTGTTCTCAATTGTGGTAACCCTCTCCGAGGATGCTGCTTTAACACTACTTTTTCGTTCTTTCCTTCTCTTGAATGGTATTATTTATGTATTATAAAATGACAAGGGTGATGTTGTACAATCCAATCGCTGTACAACGATCTATTTAAGAGGATGGAGTGAACAAGCTTAGGTTGCTCGACAATCCGTGGCATTAAGAGGTATGATGTAGAATTGATCGCCATTACTAAAAGACTGAAAGAGGCGACCCAATAAGCAGCCAGAAGCAATGGACGCAAAACAAAGGGGGAAGAGACGTGAAATCGTCCCGATATAATCAGCTATAAGAGAAGGCCTTTATTGCACCTTCGTCTTGAGAGGCTGTCCGGTAGATGTCTTGGTAGGTGCCTTGTTGGGCCACTCAAGACCTTGTGCTTTAACTTCAGCCTTTTGATCGGCTTGACGAGAACGATGACGTTTGTAACCCAAATCGGTTCCCATCACATGATCCCACCAACGGAAACTGGTTGAGTAACATCCGACGAAAGCTTGATGATGATAATCATGATGATCAGCACCTGCCCAGAATGGAATCCAATTGTGCATTGAGATTGGGAAATCGTAACCGCTGTGTGCATCAATTGCTTGGAAAAGACGCAAAGTGATCCAAATGTAAACGGTCAAGATGTGTAAATCACGGGTTAAATAACACAACAAGAACGGTCCACCAATCGTTCCGGAACCCAAGATGAAAACTTCCAAAGGATGAGCGTATTCTGCTGCTAAACCGAAAGGAGCAGAGAATTCATGATGTTTCTTGTGAATGTTTTTGTAAAGAGGTCCCCAATGCAATGCTCTGTGAGCCCAATAGTGGAACATATCTTCGAACAAGAAGAACAAACCGATTTGCCATGCCATCTTTGTCCAATGTGGGAATGGAACAGAGTGTGTTGACATTTCAAAGAATTCGCAGATTGGGTGGAAAGACCAAATTTGAGGTAATTCGACAGTGAAATGGGCAAACAAAACATCTCGTGTGCATTTCCATTGTAATTCAGGAGTGGCCACACGATCTTCTTGAAGTTTGTATTTGCGCATGGAAGGCATTGAGTCAATAATGACGAATGGAATGGCACGACCAAAGTAGACGATCTGCGAGTGAGAGAGAGCATGTGTTAGTATAACGTGTGGCAAGATTGAATATGGACCTTATATTGTATACTCACTTCATGCATTAAGAAACTCATCACACCAGTGGCAATGACTGGGTTACCCCACCACAGATACCAATTCATCCATGCTTTTTCGAGAAAGTTGAGAGAGCTCGGATCTGTGCCGGTATACAAATCAGCACCATAAAGGTGTGCTTGAGGACTAAAAGCGGCTGCCATTGTGGCATTGGCGAATTGACCAGCATGCGCCAGATACTCCATCTTGTGTAGAGATCAGACGGGGTTGGAGGGAGGGAAAGTGTGATGGTGGTGAAGTGAGGGAAGCTGTGTATGTCGGAGACCTGTTTGACGTTATTCCCCGTGTATGTATGTATAATCCCAAACCTTCTGATTGTCGGACAAAATTCACTACTACTTAAAGTTTTTGGGTTAGGAATGAGAGAGGATCTTCTTCTATAAAGCCATTCAAATGCACTTTTACTAAGCTTTAAATTTTAGGGTTTTCTTTTATAGAACGTTTTTGATTGTACACTGTTATACTGCCAATACATCTGATTATAAAGGCATTTCATGATCAAAAAATCAGCAGACAACGCGTAAACCCGTACGTGTCGGCGACTCGTTCGACAAAAAAGAAAGCCTTTACTAGGCGCTGAATTCCCGGGGATTGTTCCTATCAAAAGCATAGCCACAGCCTGCTCACGCCCTGGAGCAGATTTCTATTTCACCTCTAGCGCGTATGCGTTACATAAGCAAAAGAAAGCCCACGTGCTTTGATGAGTGGTGGTTAATTTGACTCGATATTCATTTGTGACTAGTCTTGCAATACAGTAGCAAGCAAACGGAGATAAGTTGATTCCCAACAATCCCATCACAAACGCATACATACACACACAAAGATGGCAGCAGCAGCAGGTGCCTCAAGATGGCAATCGTTTATGAACCATCCAGCTGGACCCAAGACAGGTGAGAAGAGAATTCAAAGAATGTGATATGAGATGCGAGACTGACTTCCCTTCTGATAGTCTTCTTCTGGGCTCCGATCATGAAATGGTGTTTGGTTGCAGCAGGTTTGAAAGATCTAAGTAGACCAGCCGATAAACTATCCGTCAGTCAGAATGTCGCATTAGCCACAACAGGAATGATTTGGGTACGATATTCGCTCGTAATTACACCGGTAAACTACAGTCTAGCAGCAGTGAACTTCTTTGTCGGAACAACTGGTATCATGCAACTATACAGAATTTGGGATTTCAATAAGAATAAAGGCGCTTCACCTATAACGGAAGCAGCACAAGGATTCAAGAAAGAAGCTGAAGGTGTTGCAAAAGATCTAAAAAGTGAAGCAAAAGCAGCTGAACAAGACCTAAAGAAACGGATCTGATTCGTTTTGAAACTCAAATCATGCGCCATCGTTTACGACTTCTAGCACCAACTTTCCGCATTTCACTGTACAATTCAATTTATATGACTGAAAAATCTATTGACGAGAGAGACAAGGGTTCGCTGGGGCTATTGTCGGATAATGATCTTATACAATTATGATACGATAACCAGGTAAGAATTCAATAGGGTATAACATCATTGCCGTAAAAAGCAAACTCAAGAGGTAACTTTATATCACGTTCATTGGCCGACTTTTCAATTTTAGACTTTAGCCGTCTTCATTTATTCTTCCTCATTCTCTCCTATTTCGTCTATTTCTCTTTGCAATTGAGCTCGAGTTTGCAACAAAGTTGCTAGTTTGGAAGGAGGTCGTCTTATGGGCTGCCATTGCTTGAGCTGTTGAACTGTCAGATCTTTCTGATAACCTTTGTACACGATGAGAATATTCTTGATCGGATGTTTGCGTGCTTTCTGACCGGGAAGGCATCCCATTCATTATAACGTCGGACTCTAGCTTCTTATTTGCTTATTTGATCCACTATTAAGTGGATTGAGGTATCGTCAGTCTATCCTGTGCTATTTAAAAGCCATGCTATCTTTCTCTCCCTCTCCGCCACCACAATTTAATCGTTCCTTCGCATATCTTTTGTGCTTTCGATCATTTAACCAGCCAGTTTTAACCAATACATCTCGTAAAGTGCAAGAGAATCAAGACATAGTCTAAATCTCCACGTCCAGTCAGATCCACCTTCGGAAAACCATCTTGCTTCGTTGAGGAGGAAACAATTCTTCGATGATGACTATAACACGGTAGGAAGCAAGACTTTAATCAAATGCATGCATTAGCTGTCCAAATGATTTTCGATGCAGAATGGGTTGACTTCCGATGCAACTAAAAAAATAAAGGGGTCACACGCAGAGACTGGCACAAGCCTACAAGATAAGACTGATTAAGTACCAAAATTCTTAGCGCTGTCAAAGCCTTAGTCAACGCTACTGCAAGTGTTGTTGTCAGACTGCGTGAAATTTACCCCTAGCTTTCTCCTCATGATCATCGGGTAAGATGTTAAACTGACTGGAGGCTGGCTTGCTCTTTTCAGTCGGGAATCCATCCTCTCATTCTTCTCATCCATCATATTTAACGACTTACGATACCCTTTAACGATTCTGCTCATACTTTGGATACCCTTTACGAACTCTGAACGAAATAACAATTAACGCCCATAACGATACAAATATTTAACGAAATTGCTCACACCCTACCAATCAATATTTGCAAAACGCTTCGAGTATGACATCTTCATTCGAAGCTCAACTGGCTCCGATGCCAACATTAACATCCGCATCAACAGATGAGGATAACGGCTCATTGGAAGAATTTCCACTTCAAGATGAACGCAGACTATCCACTGCACTGACCATGGTATCTCCTTCGACGGATCAATTAGGACTTAAGCCTGCCAAATCTGCACCTCGACCGAAAAGGTTGTCATTGCAAGTACTCAAAAGACCTTTATTGCGCGCAACTCGAGCTTCATCTTCTATCGCTGTCAAAAAGAACAGTAAAGATGAACAGGAAAAGAAAGTCGCGACAGAAGCACTGCAAAGTGCCATGACGAAAAGTGATCCCAACAACTCACAAGATTCATCGCACAAACGAGAATCACGCAGGGTGAGCTTTAGTCCTTCCACTGAGGATGCATCTAGAGAAATGGAAGCCGCGATTAAGGCAAGGGAGGAGAAGAAACCAGAAGAGAAAAGTGGCCCATCTTTTGGTCTCTTCAAAAAGTTGCGTTCGGTCACTGCTACTCCAAAGCCTATCTTGAAACGTAGCTCAAGTTTTGATGATACCATCAGTAGGAGCAAAGGTGCAGCAATTGCAAATCAACGCCGACCTTTACGTAGATCGATGTCTATCTCAGGCAAGGGCATTCATCTGAATTTTCAGCCACTATCTGATCCGACAGAAGGTCAAAAGACAGTAAACGACAAAGGCAAGCCATTAAAGCCAAAGGTTGCACGTCAACAAGCAATTGCAGCTAGACATGCCCGTGTTCTGGAAAGGATCATCAATGCGGGTTCATCGATCGAATTGGAAGAGATTAAAGCAAAGAGGATTAAGAAGTTGGGTGAGCAAAAAGTGAATTCGCGTACACAGGTGCAACAATACCCCGTTGTCTCTCCACGAAAGATCAAAGCACTCAAGCAAGCTTTACTCAATTATGATTTGGCAAATGGAATTATTGGCGAGCTGCGAGCCATGAAAATCGATTATCCCGACCTGGATGACCTGGCAAACAGTGCAGCTTACGATCAAAAGAAGCACAGTGAAGCGCAAGATGCATTGCAAGGTGTTATCGAAAATGACAATGAGTACAAGCAAGAGCGCAAAGCTGCTGAAGCAAAGCAAGAACATAAAAAGATCCGCCCTCAACCGATTCGTGCTGTCTGTCTGAACTGTACAGAAGAAGAAGCAGCTAATCTTAAAAGCGCCTCACCAGCAAATCCAGCTGAAGTGGGAGAAACGAAAACGTCTTTGGTCAAAGAGACTGCAGTTTCGTTGGCAGAGGCTGGCATGATGGCAGTTGCGGTGAACAAGATTGGAAATTGGTTCCGAGCAGGAGGTACTCCTGAAGAAGTTAATTCGGTGACTGTTGAATCGAAGACGGCTGTTGGAGAGACGATTGAATATGCGTACGAGTTGCAAGACGATATCAGGAAAGGTGATGTGAATGAAGCTTTGGCAGATACTGCTAGACTTGGTGCTGCAGGTCTTTCTGTCGTTCAGCCTACGGCAGGAGCAATTGTGGAAATAATCGAAGCAAAAACACTTCCTGCAAACAAGACACCAGATGTGGCTGGTAAAGCAGATGTCAAAGTTCTGGTAAATGAAAAAGGATCGGGCGAACCTTTGGCAAGCATTTCTAATGCATTCTCGGGAGTGTCACCGGTCTCTTTGATCACTCAGCCTGCTACCTCATTAGCCGGTCTTGCTGCTCGAAAAGGCGGAGCGTTCGATGCACTTGCTGATGCATCAGCTCTTGTCATTCAAAACTCTCACGGTGGCGTAGAGGCAATGCAAGAAATACGACCTCCAACCGATCGGATGGCAGTCTTTGTATATTGGTGGGGATTCGAGTTAACAATTCCGGAACCTAGTATGAAGTACCTCAGCACCGCTCATAGCGTCTCAGGTGCCTTTTTGGGATTCTTACAAACAATGGTGACAACTGGTGGTGTACCTGAATTGTTACCTTTTGTGAGGTATATTTCAAGTTTCGTTGATATGGAATTCAACGCAATTCGATCACAAGATCGTAATTCTAAAGGGGTGGTAATTGCAGCAACTTGGTTGATGCCTTTAGCGCTCGTTCCACGTCCTTGGGATTATGGTTTTGGGGATGCACCATCTAAGCCCTCTCAACCAGGATCTGGCAATCCGCCTTCAGGTTCCCCTCCTCCTTCGTTCCCTTCCGTACCACCACCTGCACTTCCACCTGGTGGTTTGCCCATCTTACCGGTGCGTATTTCTTCCAATTCTGTTCCTCCAACGGTTCCTTCCACTACCGTCTTACCCGTAAAAATCACTAAGCGAAGATCAGCAAGCCCTTCAAGTCATCTTTCCAGTCAAGAAAGACATTTCGCAAACGGTCAATCAGCCGCGATTGCATCTGCACATTCTGAATCTCCAATCTTACGACCAAAAGTAATGGAGCCTGTTAGTGCATCTGGCAGTATGATTAATGTGCTAGACAGTTTGCAAGAATTACCCGAAGGAAGCGTTCGGGTGAAATGAACACCCGTTCGTGATTGGATTTCGTATCTTTTCTTATTTTTATCTAATATCATCACACCTTTTGAATATGTCATTTTTATCTGATAATCTGCAAGCAGACTCAATCATCGCATTGGTAGATGAAAGCCTGAATGAGGAAAAGCCCTAGGAAGATTGCGCTTACAAGTGCATGTTGAAAGTGAAAAGAGAGGAAAGTGTAAACGGTGAACATCAGATTAGATTTGAACATTTTTGACTTCGACGTTTTTTTGTAGCTGAATCGGGCCATCTTGGAAAAGCTGCGATTGTGCTTTAGGCAAAGATCAAAAACGTCCTTTCCTCGCCAAATGTTCCACTATATGTTTTGCAGTACTGCACACTCCTTAGATCTTGACATCCTTCAATCCATCCTTCCAGAAGATCAAGAAAGGAGTCACACCATCTTCACGGAAGTTGAGTAGGGCGACCATACCGTCTGGGTTACCTGATTCACCAGTGTAAAAATCGTAATCTTTAAAGTTACCCAAAACTTTCTTTGCGAATTCTTGAGCTTTCTTTTCGAAAATTTCAACACGAGCCGGATCGGTAGATTGCAATTGAGTCTTGATTGCTTTCATGTATCCCTTGAGGTAGGTCAAATAACTCTTTTTGTCAAAAGTTGTTGATTGTAAACGGAAAGAATGAACGATGTTGATAACTTGTTGTCCACCGTTTTCCAAAGCTTCTTGTTGTTCTTCTGCAGATGGGTTTGCACCGATATCAACATCTCCTTCTTGAACGACAATGTTGGCAGCATCAACTTCGTAAACGACGTCATCGATCTCCTTGAAATCGTAACCATCGGAGAACATTTCATCACCGCTGATCTTGTCTGTGTAAAGCTGTTTGAGGGGAGGGTGTAAGAAGGTGAGCTTGATTGCTCCGTTGGAGTGCAAAGTGTTAGCAAATACATACCTTCATCTTGTCTGATTATTACGAGAAAGGTGAAAAGAGGTATACTGTGTTGGATGATGAAGAGAACTCCAGACTAATGAATGAATGCTCACTTCTTCTCCCCTTTTTTCTCTCGCATTGGAAATAAAAATCTACTTTTTAAACTTTTTCTTTTTCTAACTGGGCGCCTGGGCCCAAAAGAGATTCGCCTGCTTGCTGAACATGCAAAGTCAGTGTGGCTCAATGAATAAGGCAGGGTAACAAAAGGAAATGTCAACGTTTACTGCTTTTGTGCCCTGCTATGCGATGCCCTTAACGCGGGTGTGCCATGCGGGCGACGAACGCGTCCAAAGGGCGAGGGCCACGGGTAAATAGATCAGGCACCACACCCGTCTGTCCGATCATGTTCACAGCTTGCATGCCACGTGGTGCACTGCAATCAACTCAACATCGAGTGACAAACTTTAATTACTGCTTTACATAAGCAAACCTCCATCCTTCAATACGCAAGAGAAGTCTATACATTTCATGGTGATTGACATGAATGAACCGGTCAACGGATCATTTTCGAAGCTTGAGAGAATTGGCTTGAGCGTAAAGTGTATGTTTAGAGTAAATAATACATTGGAGGATCAAGAAAGAGGATTTGGTCACGATCAAATCGACCAAGCTGAAGAGGTCACTGAATAGCGAACTTTCAATTGCTGTTCGGTGGTACCTTGCATTTGGACGTATCACAATGTTGATCACCGATATGTTGCAATTGCAATTCACGCATAGTTGGAGTAGGACAACCCAAACCTAAACCTTTACAAAACATGAATTGATGATCATGTTTTGGCGGGAACCAAAGACCTTCATATGTTGGCACTAAATTAGCATAAACTTCCAATTTTCCACCTGGTTCGAAATAATTTGCCGAATAACAATTTTCAAGATTACTTGGACAAATCATTGGAATTGGAATGACTACTTTCCCGGGCGCTTTTGGCAATGAAGAAGTAGAAGCAGGAGGCGTGTAAGAACCTGAACCGCCGCCTTCGCTTCCGCCGGATGAGCCACCACCGGATGCGGGACTCTTTTTCTTCTTGGCCTGCTTTGGTTTCTTGACTTTCTTCGGTTTCTTTGTCTTCTTTGTCTTCTTGCGGTCAGAAGCTGTGCCAGTGGAAGAAGTAGCGCTTGATTCCGAGCTGCCATTTCCTGGATCACCAGTACCTGTTGATACCGAAGCTGTGATATCATCGTTGGTGCCTCCGACTGCAGCCGTGACACCTGTTCCTGATGTATTTGCTCCGCTCGTATCAGTTGTAGGGTCAGCTGCAGGGGCGGCTGTGTTATCCGTCGTGGCACCGGTGTCTGTCGGTCCTGTTCCAGTTGGAGCAGTCGCATCTGTTCCAGTATTCGTTGTGGGATCAGGTGTTGTGCCTGTGCCTGTATCTGTTGTAGGTCCAGCAGCAGGGGCAGCTGTATTGTCAGTAGTGGTACCAGTACTACTTGCGCCCGTTGCATTTGGATCAGGAGCGGAATTACCACTATCGGCTGTAGGATCGGTAGCAGGGGCGGCTGTCGTATCGGTCGTGGTACCGGTATCTGTTGGTCCTGTTCCAGTTGGTGCAGTCGCATCTGATCCAGTATTTGCTGTAGGATCAGTTGTTGTGCCAGTACCTGTTGTAGGATCAGCTGCAGGAGCGGCTGTGGCATCGGTGGTGGTACCAGTATCAGTTGCACCTGTTCCATTTGGATCTGCAGTGGCTGTTCCGGTACCAGTTGTACCAGTTGTATCAGTTGCAGGACCTGGTGCAGTGCCGGCAGCAGAATCAGTCGATGTACCATTGTTCATTGTACCAGCTGTAGTTGGATCCGTAGCATCTGTTCCAGAACCATTTGCTGGCGTTCCAGTGCTGTCTGATCCTGAACCACCTGGTGTTCCGGTACTATCTGTTCCGGTTGAATCCTTGTGCTTCTTATGGGTAGGGCGATGACCGTGATGTTTTTTCTTTTTCTTCATCTTTTTCGGCTTGTGCTTATGAATTTTCTTGCTCTTGCCTTTGCTTGTTCCACTTGAGTTCATAGTCGGATCAGCTGGAGGATCTGCACTTGTTGTTGCTGGAACATTGTTTGGATCAGTTGTTGCACCCGCATTCGGATCAGCCGTGCCCGTTGTACCCATCGTTGTTGGATCCGGTGTAGTCGTTGTCATATTTGGACTTGCATTGGGATCTGCAGCAGCACTTGCAGATGCATCACGTTCAGCCAAGCCACGACGTTGCAAGCCACCATTTGGAATAACGGTATGATCTTTACCATCCCAAAAGAAGCAAAAATTTGATAAATTAGCCTCTTCTTGCATATCACCCTCTGACGGATAGCATGCATAAGCTGTACAACCACCATAAGGACCACCTTCACTATGGTAGCTTTGATGACCAGGCGGGTAAGGAACAAAGAATGCGCTCTTTTGTTGCATCACTCTGGAGTTCGACCAGCATTCTCCCATCTGAATATCATCGTCTGAATGTGAATTGCAGTCTAGAGGTTGCTTTAGCGAGCAACCAGAATAGGAAATAGCGGCGGGATTAGGTGATTTATCCGCTTTGATTGGTATGCTTGTCACGGCGAGCATGACAAACAAGAGAAGAAGGGGAGAGGTCATTTTGGAATGGAAGCCTTACAGGCAAGAGGAAGGAGTGATCGTTGATGATGATTGAGGTGGAAGTGAAGATTGAAAGCCGTATTATATATCATTAATAATACTACCTGCCCTCAATAAAAGTCTCTATGCACCATTGCAGTGTTTGGTCATCACACAAATAAGATACCATCTTTCCTTCTAAAGACTTTTAGTCGCCGCATAGTTGAGAGGAAAGACAAATTACGGTCCGGGATTTGGCAAAAGTGGTAGTGCTCCCTGGCGCAGGTTGTACTCATTGGCGTTCTTCATACCGTGAGAGAGTTACGTACCAATATGAATGAGAACACCGGACCGATTTTCAGCATGAATGGGAATGAAACTCAGATATTTGTGCGTAAATCGATCAAGGCATTCAAGAGCAATGGTAGCCTTTTAAAATCCAAGCTGTACCATACCGTACCTACTTTTAAGTTTGAGTTGCCGATATTGCCAAAATGACTCAGTAACTCTTCTTCATATGACCAGATGATGCAACAGCGATCTTTTATAAGCTAAGTCAGGTACCCAATGTTCTCGTGACCCTCTTTTACACAAATAAGCAGAGTAAGGAATGGTAATAATTGTCAAGGCGCAATAAGCCGCTACCGTAATTTGGTGGCTTGTCGTGACTTGAAATGTGATATAATAGAAAGTTGAAGAGAGTGTAAGAGGATATCGTAGCATGGATCGATTCGAACAGGAAAGACATCCTCGTTCGCACATCATTAATCATATACTCACACCTGAGCATAGCCTCAATAAACAAGAAAAGATATTTAGCAATAAATTCTGCTAAATAGGGAAATCAGTCTTAAGGATCAGTGATCGGTGCCGCTTTCTAATCGACGGAGTACTAATCGCATTTCCAATGAGCATGAAAGATTATTCTCCTTCTGAAATCAGCCATTTGATCGTTTATGAAGATCGAGCGAGAAAGGTCGTCGGTATTTGACTTTTAATATTCTCTTCTTTCTCTCACTTTTCTGCTGAGCACAGAATGATTAGCACTTCCGGCGCCGTAAATGAGGTTTACGGTCTTTTGTCACATTCCATTCAGCCTTGATGATCACGAGATGGAAGAATAGGTGGAGTTGATTACATAAGACTCGGTAAGCTGAGAGACCGAGCGTAAAACAGCCTTTAATTGCATCAAAGCAGTCAAATGCTTCTATCGGAGAATTAATAAAGATAAACCCTTGAAATAAAGAATTGCGTAATATGACATCTAAGCCGCCCGAACCGTTCAAACGCGTGTTATACAACAATAAGCGCCACACACGCATGTAGTAGCCGTGCCTTAAGAAGCGCTATTACCGGACAATTTATAAAAATGATCTGCATACAATCAAAACTTCGATCAAACACTGTTAAAGTGCGCTTGTGATTCTTATCTGACCAATACAAAAAAACTTCCACTCTCTATCACACGTCAAATCCGATTCAGGCCGGTGAATCAATTGAAGGATGAAAGACCGTTTACATCATACAAGCACACACGCATACGGACCCGGATCGAGTCGGCTGTATGGTATTGATTTGAATGCATGCAGAGTACGTGTGAATGCTAAAAGAGGATGAGTAAGGGCTCTTTTAGTACCGATGAAGAGATACGGCTATTGAGACAAAAATATAAACCGGAAAATATGATGATTTGGAAAGGAAAAGAAAGTTTCAGTCAACACAAAAAGGGTCTGTGATTGATTGGTCAAACTGTGCTCATATCAATCCACCCGCTTCCTTACTGGCTGAGTTTATTGCGTCCTATATATGCGCCTTCCCCGCAGATAGGAGACAAATAATCAACCTTTTCTTTTCCTCGCCACAACCATCATTCACCCAACACTACCAAACATGTCTAAAGAAGGTGATTTCGACGCCGTCCGAAAGGATATCGAGGCAATCCTCAAACAAAAAGGTTACGATGACGGACACATTGGTCCCGTCCTAGTTCGTTTAGCATGGCATGCCAGCGGTACATACTGCAAGGATACCGATACAGGAGGTTCAAATGGAGCAGGAATGCGATATGAAAAAGAAGGTGGCGATCCGGCAAACGCAGGATTACAACATGCTCGTGTTTTCGTTGAACCAATCAAACGTAAGTATCCTTGGATCACTTATTCGGATCTTTGGACTCTTGCCGGTGTTGTTGCAATCAGATCTATGGGCGGTCCAGACATTCCATGGAAAGCAGGCAGAAGTGATTTCGATGATGATTCTTTGCTACCTCCACGTGGTCGTTTGCCCGATGGATCACAAGCACAAGATCATTTGCGTCATATCTTCTACCGTATGGGTTTCAACGATCAAGAGATCGTCGCCCTCTCTGGTGCACACAACCTTGGACGCTGTCACGCTGACCGATCTGGTTTCGAGGGAGCATGGGTCAACAATCCAACCCGATTCAGCAATCAATACTACAAGCTACTCTTGAAACTCAAATGGCAAAAGAAAGATTTGAACAGAGAAGGTGCACCATGGCAATGGGTTGCCACAACACCCGGAATGGATGAAGATGATGAACCGTTGATGATGCTACCAACAGATTATAGTTTAACACAAGATGCCGAATTCAAAAAATGGGTTGAGAAATATGCAGAAGATCAAGATCTTTTCTTTGATCATTTTTCAAAAGTTTTTGCTAAGTTGGTTGAATTGGGCGTTTATCGTGATGAAGATGGAGTTGCAAGATTCAATAACCTTACAAAAGGTAAATACGAATCTGCTCCACCAAAATCTCTCACACCCGGAGCACCAGAAAGAAGACCAGCCCAAGTTACCCATATTTCCACAAAAGCACGTCTTTAGAGAGTGCTTTGTCAGGCTTTTGTATAGAATCAAGTTTGTCGATAGATTGTCTTGTATAGACTCACACATTTTCATTTAATTTACTCAGTTTCCATCTACTTTACAGTTGCTTGAGAGTGAGAATGCTTGACAATTCTAAGAGTAAGGCTTCATCAACAGTATCGACCCTCTTACCAAAGTGATCAGATATGCATTCAGATTGATGGCCTTATCCGATCAAAGTATCGGCTGCATTAAATTCACACCATCAGAAGAAGCTATTTTGGCATGACGCTTTGAACTTAAGAAGATATGCAGAGCGTACAACTAAGCTGAAGCAAGGAAACGAAAATGTGGGGTTCAATTGATTGAAGCTAGGAACGCTTACTAAGCATGTCTTTTTGGAATTTGGAATTCTGGAATCGAAAGTATGAATCTTGAAGCCATTGGGTTATGATGTATGCGGCAAGTTTGATGCTAGCATTCTTATATTCACTCAGTCAATCATTTTCACCATTCCAAGAACGACTTTGCGATTCATCAAGTGATCTTTCTGTCACTCAGAACAGCTTAAGCTTGTAAAAGTGTTTGTCACCCGACACTTCTTCATTATTCTAGTAGGTGGAGAATACGCTAAAGACGTGGAACTTGCAGGGCCGGCTTTCTTCTTCCTTTCTTTCCTCATCATCACGATCACATAACCAAAGATGGGCTCACAATCAACGTCAAACGAGGTGGGAATCTCATCATTGCTCCATGCGGGTTATGGACACCCTCTTTCACGATCATGGCAATCACAATCACGCTCACTAACAAAAGATATGTTCATGTATCCAATCTTCATCACTGATCAAGAAGATGCTGCTTTGGATTTAGGAAGTATGCCAGGTCAAAAACGTTGGGGTGTGAATAGACTAGAAGGTTTCATTGGACCTTTGGTAAAGAAAGGTTTGAGAAGTGTTATCTTGTTCGGCGTCCCAGAAAAGAAGGCAAAAGATCCTACCGGTACCCTTGCAGATGATCCACAAGGTCCTGTCATTCAAGCAATCAAAACATTGCGTAAATTGTTTCCCGATCTTTATATCGCTTGTGATGTTTGCTTGTGCGAATACACTTCCCATGGACATTGCGGTATCTTGTTCGAAGATGGATCGATCAATAACCCTCCTTCCGTTGCACGATTGGCAGAAGTGGCAACGAATTATGCCAAAGCAGGAGCGCATTGCGTTGCACCGAGTGATATGATGGACGGACGTGTGAAAGCGATCAAACAAGGTTTGATTGATTCAGGTTATGGCGGAAAGGTTACTCTTATGGCTTATAGCGCCAAATTTGCAAGCGGTCTTTATGGTCCTTTCAGAGATGCAGTCGCAAGTGCACCTTCTTTTGGCGATCGAAAATGTTATCAACTTCCACCTTCTGCAAGAGGTTTGGCTAGAAGAGCGATCGTAAGAGATGTAAACGAAGGTGCCGATCTTATTATGGTCAAGCCAAGTTTGCCATATCTTGACATTCTATCAGAAGCAAGAAAAGAATTGTGTCCAGATTTACCTTTGGCTGCTTATCAAGTCTCTGGTGAATTTGCCATGATTCATGCAGGTGCAAATGCAGGCGTTTACGAACTCAAACGAATGGCTTTCGAGACATCTGAATGTTTGGTCAGAGCAGGTGCTACATTGCTATTAAGCTACTTTACACCTGATTTCCTCGATTGGCTGGACGAAGGACACCAGGTCCAATGAAAGGATAGGAAACATGTCATGATTTCATTACAGTGCATGTATCAATGAGGTATAATGTACAACGTCTCGTTAATGTCATCCTTCCATCATACAACAGAAGCAGCTTGTAAGGCATAATTAAACATTTGTAGCAAACTTTCTTTATCCTCCAATCCCACACTGACTCGTACCAATTTTGCCTCTACACCAAATTGAGCCGCCCAATCCAATTCGGTATAATGTGCTAAAATAACAAAAGGACTTGCAAGGGTGAAATTTGTACCAAGAGAAGGTCCTTTTGCGCATTGTAAAGCATCATAAAATGCCATTGCCTGACGCATGGTATGGAAAGTTAAAGAGAACAAACCTCCATATCCGCCTTGCGAACGTTTGCATTGATCGTAATTTTCTCTTGTTTGTAGGGTAGGATGATAAACGTTCTTCAACACATGAGCATGCGTGCCTTCTTTTGCATCATTTAGCATTTTCACCAATACTCCAGCATTCACATCGATCCGTCTAGATCTTTGCACGAAATCTCGACTATTTCGTTCGAGGAAGATCGCATTCGGATCGAAAAAGTTGTCTTCGTATTCTTCGTCCTGCAACTCTTGTAATTCTTCATAATGTCGTCCTTTCGGATTCAAGACCAAACTTCCGCCCATTCCATTCGCTTCTCCGGTAAACAGCTTTGTCAAGCTAGAAACGACAATATCTGCATATGGCATCACTTCCACATTGATAAAGTTGCCCACAGTTTCATCAATCACAATTAAGAAATCATATTCGTCGGCAAATTGTCGTAGTTTGATCAAATTCGGAGATCGAAGGAGTGGGTTGGATGGGAATTCACAGAACAAGGCAGCAATCTTCTCGCCTGCTTTCAACAAATTCTCCAATCTTTCAAGATCCGCAACGTCTCCATGACCGAGGAAGAAGCATCCTGGGCCCCACTTCTGTAAGATCTTAAGCGTGTCCAAATAGGGGAAACCGAAGCAAATGCTTTTCTCTTGTTTGAGGCCCAAAGCCAGCTGGTGAGCATGAAAGATTGCGCTCATTCCGGTCGGATAGAGGTAAACGTCATCTTCGCTTAGCTGTGTTCCTTTCGCACGTTCAATAACATCAGGATTGCTGTGCGATTGACTTTGGCCGTTTGTGGTTTCCGATTCGCACGCCTCTACGACATCATTCGACGCCACTCCAGCAATGCGTTTGCGTAATGCACGTTTCGCTCGAGGTGCTTCGATAGTGGCCATATTACGCCCATATCGTTCTTCCAAATAATTTGAATCGACTGGCTCTTCGGTCATCGGGGTAGGCGGAGTTGAAGAAGCAGAAAGGATAGCACTTGCATGCAAACCCGCCGCTGAGTTGTTGCGAGAGTAATGACGATTGCGAGCGTAACTTCTTTGTTTCATGTATGCTGCATCAGATTTGATTTCAGAGCCTTTCCCGTTCGCCGATCCTACGACATTTCCTGCAGAGCCACCAGCACTGGATGGCACACCATCTCCACCCGTCACTTTCTCTCTTCGCTCCAGTAGCTCAAGATACACTTCTGCCATACGACTGCTGATTCCATCTCCTGTGTGCTGCCAAAAGGTTTTAGCGATTGGGAAGCAGGACTGTGGGAATAAGACGATATGAATTGAGATTTTTGATTGGGCTGACGAACAATCATCCAGATTTGCTGAAGCGCTGAGTGATCCTGAAGAACTAGATAATTTTGCCATTGCAGAATCTTCCGATAAGATTGGCGGTGTAGATGTAGATGAAGTCGGCAAGCTTAAGCACACTTGAACTGATCGTAAGGGTAATATGGTATATTTTCCTGAACTTCCTGACTCTGATTGTTGTTTGGTATATGTATCTTGCATGAATGCTTTGCATGATCGAGCAACCTTCCTAGAAGGAACAAGGATACACGCTTCCGGTTCAACGTCATTTCCACCATTTGTTCCTGCTGATCGCTGACCGAATCTGACCAATAAGATAGAGGCTAGCTTTTGAATGGATCTGTGAATGAAGAATCTTGGGTATCCTGTTTGCATCACCTCTGACAATCTTCCTTCTTCATAATCAACGTTGTCTTGCCATTTTGGCAAACTGACGCTGACTGCATGAGGCGTTGCAGGTGGGATAGAAGTACCCACTTCAAAATCCACACCAGGACGAGCAGTTGCAACTGTTGCAGCTGGCATAGCTATGTGATTGTTACTTGTCAAGTGTGTCCACGCGAGCACGCTTGATGTTGAAGAGTAGAAGAAGAAATGATAAAAATTAGTCACACACATTCGCAAGCTTGTGTTCCCCTCCCTCGCTTTCTTCTCGGAGCCTCGGCCACTTTTTCGCGTTTAAAAGCTGTGGCGCTAAGAGTAGGTAGTTTATGTAATTGACCATGCAGGGTTGCAGCTTCTTCCTTCTAAAGGTGGAGACACTTCAATGGGGAATGGCATTCACCCTTATTTCTCTACCATCATTATAACATAGAAACACGCATCAGTTGGTCACCATCATTATAACAAAGAGATACGCATCAGTTGGTCCAAAGAATACGAATCATTGTCACGTCAAAGAAAAAAAATGACTTCTCAAAACACTCAGGTCACCGAATATGACCCAAAGAATATGCGTTTCAGACGATTTGGATCGAGCGGTTTAAGAATGTCGGTCTTCTCTTTAGGCGGTTGGTTAACCTATGGCGGTAGTGTATTGGACGATCAAACATGTGAAATAATGAAATGTGCGTTTGAGAATGGGATAAATACGTTCGATACGGCAGAATGTTATGCAAATGGCGCATGTGAAGTTGCAATGGGAAAAGCGATCAAAAAACTTGGTTGGAGAAGAAGTGATGTGGTTTTGGTAACTAAAATCTTTTTTGGTTTTGGTGGTAAAGATCCAAATGCTACTGGACTTAGCAGAAAACATGTTATCGAAGGAACCGATGCTGCTTTGAAACGTGCTCAATTGGATTATTGGGATGTGGTAATGGCACATTGTCCAGATGTTACAACTCCGATGACAGAGGTCGTAAAGGCATTCAATCATCTTATTAATACCGGAAGATGTTTGTATTGGGGTTGCTCTGCTTGGTCTGCTCAACAGATCCAAGAAGCATATGGAATCGCGGACAAGTTGGGCTTGGAGCCTCCATTGTGCGATCAACATCAATATTCTGCACTGCATAGAGAACCGGTAGAAGGAGAATATACTCCACTATACGAGAAGTATGGATTCAAGGCTATGGCTTGGTCTCCTTTGGCAGGTGGTGTATTGACGGGCAAGTATAATGATGGAATTCCAAAAGGTTCACGGTTTGATGTACACAAAGATTCATTATCAGCAATCGTTGCAAAACATCAATCGCAAGAAGGTCAAGAAAGGGTGGAAAAGGTGAAAAAGTTAAGCAAGATTGCAGATAAATTGGCTTGTTCGACAACCGTTCTCAGTTTGGCTTGGGCTGCTAAAAATGAAAATGTGACCACTGTCATCTTGGGAGCATCAAAGATTGAACAATTACAAGAAAATTTGAGAGCGCTGGATGTGATGGACAAATTGACGGAAGATATCATGGCAGAGATTGAAGAAATATTGGCCAACAAACCAGCCGCTCAACCTACTTTTGGCAGGTGAGAAATAATGTCTTCTCATGTGTAAAGAATGATGGTATACAATTTGATAGAATACAAAATGAAAATTAAGTTACATTTTACATCTCCCTTGCCTGTTTGGCAGGAGGACCATTTGATGCTCCCGATGAAGGAGCAGGACGCTTGCCGAATGCTAATTTAAATTTGCCTGAAGGCTGTTGGGTATTTGTTTGTCCGTTGGCACCAGATGCAGCATCACTCTCTCTATGTGGTTGACTAGATGACGACGAAGCCAAAGGAGACGGCCTTGCAATAGGTGCAAATCCAGCTTTGACTTTGGTGGTAGTAGATCGAGGAACCATTGATGTAATTCCGTTCATATCGGATGCGAATCCTGAGCCAGAATCACGACCTGACTCAGGCGAGACGTGATACGATCCTCCTTGACTGGAAGTAGATCCTTCTCTGGTGTAATCTTCGCTTTGTTTCGATTTGCCTTTGCCGTGTCCGGCATTTCTGTTAGAATGATGTGCAACTGTATTCGGGCCAAGTAATCCCGCATCTTGTGGCGCATTATTCTTTGCACCAACACCAAGGACCATATGAGCTTGACCACTCTTTTCCGCTCTTTCTGCGAATGCTTTAGTCATTCCGGTTGGCGTATCGCCTGCTAACATTTTCTCTCGCTTTTTCTCAAGTTCAATACGTTGAAGTCTTTGTTCTTGTTTCTTCTTTCCGGGTGCTTTGCCGTGGAAGATGTGACTCAATCGTTTCCATGCTTCATGGTTGTTCAACGTTCTTCCGAATTCGTCATGATATTTGATCTCAAAATCTGGCTTGTAATCCTTGAATCGATCTTGCACTTTTCTTGCATCTTCTAATTCACGCTTTCGATTCTCGTACTCACGCGTAGCCTGATCTTTGGCAGATCCTTGTGCTTTACTGGCAGCCAATTCGGCTTCTCTTGCACGATCCTCTGCTCTTCTGGTAGCCATCCATGCATCATACTCCTTTTGCTGCTTCTCACGCTCACGTTGTTCAGGTGTCATCTCCGTGATCAGTCCTTGATTGCGCAATAATGACAGTGTAGAGCCGAGTCCACCAGATACCAATGGCTCAACCTCCTCAACGGTTGTGGGCAATGCCGGAGCTTCTTCTTTGATGTCCATGTCAACATCCTCCTCTTCCTTGACAGAGGGCAAAGCACTGTTCGGATCCTCGACGAGCATATCAGAGGCATCAAAGCCATTAATACCACTTTCAATTTCTGCACTTTCCTCCCTTTTGACTTGTGGGGTAGAGCTTTGCCTTGGTCGAGATTGTATTTCCGGGCTGGCATCTCTTGCCGCTTGAAGATTGTGTACAAAATTGCTCGTCTCGTCAAAAGTCAAGCCAGCATTTGACTCATTCTCCGCTGGTTTGACATCCACATTCATCGATTCAGCACTGTTGGCCGCATTCTTCTCAGCTTCTTCAGCTGCTTTCTGTTCGGCCAAATTTCTAGCAATCATCTCTGGTGTCATCTTTTGGAATGCCTTCTTTGCTTGCTTTCTTCGTGCTTTAGCCAGACTTAATGCCAGATCATCATCATCGATCAAGTCTATCTCAGTATTACGTTGACGCGGCTGTCGTCTTGACTCTGATGGAGCGGCTGAAACCCCGTCTTCATTCATTTCAACATCTTCTTTACCTCCGTTATTATCTGCTGGACGATCCTCGTCATCATCGTCAAGTCGGATGCGTGCTGTCTCTCGCTTCTTCTTTCTAGCTTTTGGCTTCTTGAATCCAACGTCTCCTTCTTGAAGGTAATCGGACACTTCCTCATTTTTGGTGTAGTCTAGATTGAGTAGTGTTCGATTGGGTGCTCGTTCTGACTCTTTCCTCTTTGCTTCATCTCGATCTTTACGTGTCCGAACCTCGCCTCCTAGTCGGAATCCTGCATCTGCATCCTTTGGCAGGGGCCCATCCAGATGCTCGACATCTGCATCGTACTTGCTTAGTACTCCTCTCGGACGACCAACGTTCCCAGCGTCAAAGTCGTCATCATCCAAGCCGGTATATTGCTTAACACCCTTCTTTCGTTCTTCGTTGATTCTATCACGCTCCTTTTGGTCCAAAGTACTGTCCATCAGCTCGTCATCATCGTTGTCCAGTATTTTACTATCACGTAATGTGAGGACCTTCCCTTCACCGCCTTCTTCCAGATCAAACTCTTCCATGTCATGTCCCACTTTTAAGCCACGCAAATCTTCCGAATCATATTTTGCTTTGGCAGCAGCGGATGCAGCAGCTTCTGCTTCTTCCTCCTCTTGTCTTCTTCTTGCTTCGTTTGCCAAAGCTTTCTTTCTTTGTGCTTTGAGCCACTTTTTGTTAGAATCAGATGTGGAAGCTTCTGCATTGGATGTGCTTGCGATCTCATCTGCATCTCCCAATGTACGCCCTTGTAATCGCTTGTTTAAGTCTCTTCTGTTTTGTGCTTTTGCGATTCGTTCTTTGACCTTTTCATCTTCTTTCTGTTTCCGTTGTGATTCCTGCCAATCTGCGTAATTCTTTGCCGCCTTTTCTTCTTGATTCTTCAGAGGATCATCATCATCCTTGTCATTTTTCTGTGTTTGCTTTGAATCTTCATCATCCGAATCCGGCGCCAAAGGTTTCAAACCGAGTTGGATACGCAGCTTATTCGTCTCTTCCAATGATAACTCATCCTTTTGAAATTCGCTCATCTTGTAATCGATGATGAGCAAATGACACACAAAAGTGGCGATCGCAGTCAAGAAGAAAAAGAAGAACGCTGTTTGTTGCTGAGTTTAACACTTTTTTTGAGCTTTTGATCGCTCCACCAAATGGCATATTCTACGCGTGTCTAGGGAACGCCATTATGTAAGCAGGCTTGAATGTCTCTTAAACTTTATCCCCATTCTTGGGAACACCCGATAGAGCGGTTACCACCATTAGATACAAATTGACGAAAAGTGTGAAACATTGATTAAAATGATGTTTGTTGTACCGACTGAGTGTAATTCATAAATCGTTTCCCTAAATGCAGAAGAGCCATGCTATGATACAATGCTTAAATCCACCTCATTACGGACGACACCGAACCGAATCCCTAAAATCGGAAAGCCGGAATATGAAATTGTCGATCGATGATGCTAACCTTCGGAGATGTTATTTCTTTACGATAAACCCTTATGATCCCGTGTGTTGAATGAATATTTCCCACATCTTATGGTGTGTGTGGGTTATTGCCGATTTAATTCCTAGCTTCTCGGACCGCTCCATCTTTTTCACAAGTAAGCCGAGTTAGCGTAAAGTGTCAATGGTACCTGAGAACATTGCTCGCATTTTGCCTCATTAACGGGCCGCCAAGGAAACAGAATGCATTGTTACGCCCACGATTAGCTTGAAATGAATTGAGACTAAAAAAAGAGAAGAGGGATGTCCCCGATTATCTGTTGAATGGAATATCGGAATAATGATTTCATACCCATTTTAAAAATTAGCTAATATCCTTTAGCATCAATTCCGAGATGCAGAGAATGCTCTTCATCAATCGGCACTGCAGTATTTACGCCTTCCTGATTACTGGGCTGATGTATAGAATGAGGTCATGATCACATTTGCCAAGTGGTGCTTTGAACGCCATTTTCACCAATTGGCACAATATAATAGCTCGTCATATACCCTGTACAATTCTTATTTCACAGATCCGCCTTGTAAATAATCATTTTAATGCCTTTTCTACTCGGCCATTAGGAAGAGTGTGTCACATGTCCCTCTTTTTTGCCTTATTTTCAAACGCCATCCATCGGCCGTCGCAGTTTTGACGCCAAAATTCATGCGAAAAAAAACATAAACACAATCCAAAATTGAAGCTGAATGATTGTGCCTTTGATGTGAGGCTTTGAATGGCGCTGCGCGCTGCGCGTGTTTTTGAGGTTCAGGTCCCGTATCTTTTTATTTTTAATTGACAAGAACAACAACACACAAGCACAAGCGCAGCCCACAATTTGCACTGCATTGCATTGATTAAAATCCATGCACGGAAGCACACACACACACACAACATAACAAATTTAAAACTCCCCGCTTGGTATTTTTGGCACAAGAGGCAGACAAGGCGGTAAGGAAGTGTGGAAGTGCGCCAGAAGAGTGTGTGTGTTGCATTGGATTGCACATACAAAAAGACATAATCCAATCATTTGCTCTCTCTCTCCTTGACATCATTCAATTTTCTTTCATTTTAGCTTTGTTGCACTTCTGATTGCATTCATTCAAAGCACTTTTGGTCGGTTCGCTTTCTGTTTTCCATCATCGAACATACGCGCATCGAAAGAGTACAGGTACTCTTTTCTCAAACATCCATATCCATCACCAAAAAAAGGGGTCGAAGCGTTCTAGGTAGAATCCCTGTTCAGTAAGTGAACCTGGTTCATTAATTTGGATAAAATCACAATCACAGGAAACACGCATCTCGAGACTAATCTGGATATCTAATCTTGTTCTTGCACCACCACCTCCCAACAAGAACGTCATGATGGAAACTGCATTCCACAATCAAGAACAAATCATCGAAAGGGGATTATCTCCTACTACATCTGAAGAACTGAGTGCATCTTCCATGGATGAAGATAATCAAAGGCCAATCCAACATGGCGGCTACCAAACAGGCGTAAAAGGCGTTCGAGCAGATGCGCAATATCAAGCTCAATTAGATTCCGAAAAACGTGCAGCAGCGATCAAAGATCATAATGCACAAATGCAATCGCAGGCTTTGGGCTCACAAAGAACATGGAAAGAGGATGATGAGCAAACTAGACTGGAACGTGAGGCTGGCGTGAAACCAGGTCAAAATGCATCTCCACACGATAGCGACGAAGATGAATTGGCGGAAATACGAAAGAAGAGATTGCAAAATCTAAAGAGTCATCAAACAGCCAATGAATCACGTAGAAGAAGAATGGCAGGCGAAGATGTGGGATCAAATCAAAACGCAAGAGGAGGATTTTATGGTCATTTACGTGAAGTAGGACCTGATCAATACGTTCAATCGATCGATGGAGAAAATAAGGATACGTTTGTGGTCGTTCATATTTATGTCAAATACGTTCATGCATGTGCAATTCTCACTTCCGCACTTTCAACTTTAGCACGCAGTCATCCAAAAGTCAAATTTTTACAAGTACGAGCAGGAAGTATTGGTTTCGGAAGTGGTGGTGTTGATGCAGCAAAAGAAACAAACGATCGAGATTTGGACGAAGAAGATTTTGATGAACGTGCAGAAGAGATTGTGCCTACATTATTGGTTTATCGTGGAGGAAATATTCTTGCAAATCTTGTAAGGGTAGACTTGGACGAAGGTTGGGGCGATGGAAGTGAAAGAAGGGTTGCCGATATCCTTCGTTCGCACAATGTTATACCTTGATTTTCTTCCTCACATCCCAGCACTCTTTCTCATTTCTGGCTACCTCTTCTCTTCTTATCTCTTATACTACTATCATACACATTTTAATCTTGTATCTCGGGCTTGGGCATCCATTGTATCATTCATCATTTCATTATGGCCGTACACTTTGTTCATCTGTCGTGTGATCAGCATTTAGAAGCCAAATCAGCAGGTACACGCTCGTTCAAGTAAGCAATAACATCCTCAAGTGGAGCCTGAAAAACACAAAGTCAGCTGATCTACTCAAATCACAATTGCCAGGAGAACAACTCACCCAAGAAGCTTCTGCTGGTTGATCACTGCCGGTAAGCGCTTTTACCGTTGAGTTCAATGTTTTGCCATATGACTGCAAAGTGTATGTCAGTATTGGTTTCAGAATCTTTCCCTTCAAAGAGAGACTCACTAGAGTGCGAACGTAGTATTTTGGAGTCTTTTCCTTGGTTTTGTAGATCTCAAAGTTGAGTTCGCTGCCCATACCGGGCCACATGATGTAAGGCATGCCAACAGTTTTGAACAAACGTACCATAGTACCATCATGACCGACGAAAAGGCTCAACTTTTTCTCATTTGTGCCATCTTGTACGGTTTTCATCAGGACTGCAAGTTCTTTGACCAATAAAGCAATCGAGTATTTGGTATATTCATCTGCATTGGGACTTGCGTTCCAAATGTAATTGTACTCCCAATTACCTTCTGCGTATACTTGATCGGCAATATCTTGTGTGATGCTTTTACCTGTTTGAGGATTGGTGGGTAATGGATGTCCGTTACATTGACGTGAAGAAAGTGCATCGAATGGGTGGTCGATCCAACTGTTCCAAGCTGAAAGGTTCGCTGTGCCCAATACGTCGTTCAATGTACCAAACAAATCAGCTTTACTTGCGATATGATCGGTCCAAGCTTTTTCTGCCTGAGAACGAGGGAAAGGAGCAAATGATCAGTATGAGGTTCAACAGTCTACATTCCCTCACTCACATTAATCGTATTACGCAGATCGTTGGCATGAGAACAAACGTAATTTGGCACAATGTTATCCAAAGTAGAAGGCATCACGACAGATTTGAAATTCTCATGATCAGGGACGCCCATTCCGTGCAACAATCCACTTGCAACCTGGAACGTTCTCTCTTCTGGACTGTTTCTCAATAATGTGTTATGCTGTGTCGGCCATGGACTTCCAAAATTATGGATCGGGTTCTTGCCTTTGGGTCCATAAACGCTCCACAAGTCTTTACCTTGTTGGAAGGCATCATGCAAGCCACCTGCGGTCAAAGGACCCGATTCGCATGTCCCGTTCCAAAATCTCGATTTGAGAGGATGCCAATCAGGAATTCCGAAGTGTTTTTGAATGTTTGTTGAGCCATCGTTTCCATGAGCGTAATTGTAGTATTGGATGTTGTTACAGTTCCAACCTGCAGGTGGATTATAGAATTCTTCGTTCGGTAACAGGTTCACTGACGTACGCTTTGAATGTCTTTGAACGTGAATCAAATGAATCAATTCGGCTTCTTGAGAAGGGGGAGTGTAATCGTCCTGAAGGAGTTGAGGTGGAAGAGTGTAATTGCTGGCAGCAGTATGAGGTGCAGCGCAATACCACGATAGACTGGAAGGAATGGAAAGAGTCATCTTGTCAAGAGGGGTTAGATCTTTTGTGGAGGAGTTCCGACTGAACAATTGCAACAAATTGATGAAGAGATGAAAGAGGGGATCGAACATCTTTGCCAAGCTTTATATACCTTAATATTCCGCAAACATTTGGACGGAAAACTCAGGCTCGATTGTGTTCCTGAATTGTGTGAATTTGGGATGCTATTCAGAAGAACGTTCGACCAAGTAAATGCACTCCACTGCTTAATTGTACGCTAACTGTGTTTGTGTTGTTCTTTCCATTCAACGCTTCGCGCTAGGATCTTCTGTTCTTGGTAATGAAGGAACGTGTTCGCTCTATATGCTCACTGTACAATACGGGGCCGTGGGGTATACTCCAATACTCCAATAATCTTTAAATGAAAAGAACTTCTTTTGTGGTCACTTCTACTATTTTTGCTGATCGGATCCGATGTCTGTGATGAATGTACTACCTTCTCCCACGATGATCAGGTCTATGTTGCTTCTTGGGTCGGTCGCCTGCAGATGTTGAGGTATTTAGAGGTACAACGTTGGCGAGCGAAACCTCCCATGTATCATGAATGCCCAATCTGCGTCCATCGTCCAGGGCATATGCATCTCTGAGCCTTGTGCCGTCTTGAATTCGGGTATAATCCTTGTCCTTCCATGGCTCTGCTCTAGGCCTTCTTGCTTCTTGAGAGAAAGACGGCGTTAATTGATCAATAGCGGTTTGATCATTGTCAGAGGTGGCTGAGGCTTTTCTCCTTTTTGAATGAATGAGAGGTTGACCTAGTTTGTAGAATGGGACAGGATTTGGCAGCTTCTCCAACCGACTCGGTCCGCTCATCGCGGCATCCACAGGCATGAAGAGAGGACGCATCTTCTCCCTCATCGAGTGATACTTCTTTACGTGTGCCTTCAACGCTGAGAAGCTCTTTGGTGGTCCTCCTACTGTCCGGCACTTCTCGAATGGACATGCAAATATATGAATCGCTAAATGTTCTTCCATGGTGTGCTTTCGGAGATCAGATGCTTTCGCCTTACAGATTCCCCAATTGCATGTCTTACCGCTACCGTCTTCTGCTTGCTGTGCTCCTTTTGCATGTTCTCCTAGGACATGCTTCCGTCAGATAAGATTTGTTTCACATGCGTCAAAATTTTGATTGAACTTGTAGTTGACCCCCAAATCGACTCACCCCTGTCAAAGCTTCTGCTGTGTTAAAACAGCGTCCACAGCGCTTCATCTTCTGTGTTGACCATTGACATCGTAGTGGCTCTTTCTGTGAGTGAAGATGCGAAAGATACCTGTCAGCTAGCATTAGAAGGCTTCCAGCTCGATGTATATACTCACAGTCACTCTGAGGCTTGGCAGAAGCGTATCCTGATGTTCATTTGCTTTTTGCTTGCCTGTCTTTTCATCATTGTTTGACTCGATCTGATGTACTTCTGCCGTACATATGCTTATATAGCGATACTTGAAAGGTTTCTTTTTCGTGACTTTCTCTTGAGGAGTATCTTCTTCCTTCAGTACGCTACTACTCGCCGATGTATCAGCGGAGGAAGATTCTGCTGCTGGTGACGAGCATTCATGTTTGAATCGGCGCTTGTGGTCGACATCAAGAAGCCATTCAACAACTGTATCTCCGAATACATCTTTATTGTCCACTTGGATATCTTTTGAGATATTCAATAGCTCTATTTCTGGAAGCATGATCTATGTTCTATGTTGTACAGGTGACAAGATTCGTTATTGCTGTGATGAGCTGTAGGTGTCGTTGAACATGTTATGGTACAAAATGTACAAAGATTGTTGATGGATGTTGTGATTGTAATCAAATGGAATCTTGAATCTGTGCAGCGGCGTCAAAATTGATCAAGTTTCTACTCTTTCCCCTGCTTCTTCACACACACACACAAAATACTTCTCCGCCGCGTTGAATCGGCGTCCGTCTGTGATTCTATTTGTGATTCAAGTAGTCTATCATTATTCTGCGGGGCTTCCCTTTGAATCACATTTTGAATTCGGTCCGTGTCTCTAATGCAATCTAAGTGTATTTCTGTGATTGATCTTCATACTTCACAATGCATCTTGAGAGTTGCCCATATCACTCATTCAATACCTCTTCCTCAATGCATGATGGTCGTTCAAACTCTTGTTCACTTAGCGCAATCAGACTGCCATATATACAATGAGCATCTTGCACGCTTCGGCCGTATGACTGCCCAGCATAATCAATACACATGCAAAGTTTTTAGCTTTAGACGCGTACGCTGGAATCTTATCGCTCTGGCTTGAGCACACACTCTGGAAGCCGGCAATGAATTTTAGATTCAGAAATCAATGGCAAATCAAACATTTCAAAGTTTCAATCTTTCAATCATCATCAACAATACGAGATCAAGGTGTACGACTAGATTACATCTTGCAAGCTTCATTCACTGCCAGAACACAAACCCACAATCGCAACGAAAGCGCCCCGTTTTGATCGATTGTATTTTATGCCGCATTGACTGGAACGTTTTTCGGATCCACATTTCCCGCCTCTTGTTCGATCACAACAACGTAAAACTGCACTGTAGATCACACACCATCTGATCGTCAGTGCAGATACGACAATTCTCAAAAAATGACTTTGGACTTAGATCAAGCGATCGCAACTTTGAGAGAATGCAAATACCTTCCTGAACAAGATATCAAACAGCTATGCGATTTGGTAAAATCTTTACTTTTGGAAGAATCCAATATACAACCCGTCAGTTCGCCAGTAACGATTTGCGGTGATATACATGGACAATTCTGGGATCTGTTGAAACTGTTTGAGGTAGGAGGTAATCCACCCGATACAGGCTACATCTTTATGGGCGATTTTGTCGACAGAGGATACTTTTCACTAGAAACATTTTCACTTTTGATGGCACTCAAAGCAAGATGGCCAGACAGAATAACGCTGTTAAGAGGTAATCACGAAAGCAGACAGATCACACAGGTATACGGATTCTACGATGAATGTCAACACAAATACGGCAATGCAAACGTTTGGAAGAGTTGTTGTCAAGTATTTGATTATCTCAATTTGGCAGCGATCATTGATGGAAGGGTTTTGTGCGTACATGGAGGATTAAGTCCTGACGTACGTACTTTGGATCAAGTGCGCATCATCGCTCGTGCTCAAGAAGTGCCACATGAAGGTGCATTTTGTGATTTGATGTGGTCCGATCCGGATGATATACCAACTTGGAGTATCTCTCCGCGTGGTGCAGGTTGGCTATTTGGTGGAACAGTGACGAGCGAATTCAATCATGTCAATGGGCTAGAATTGATCGCAAGAGCACATCAGTTGGTGCAAGAGGGGTACAAGCTCATGCACGATAACGCAATCGTCACTGTATGGTCAGCCCCGAACTATTGTTACAGATGTGGAAATGTTGCCTCGATCTTTGAAGTGGACGATCTTTTGTCGATGGGATCGGGGAAGAGCTTGCCAAATGGCACGCTAGAAGACGAAAAAGATGGAAGAAATGTCGAACCAGGAGGAGAGGAAGATCCTGATAGCATTTATGCTTCTCGACATTTCAAGATCTTTGACGCTGTACCTGATCAAGAGAGAACCACGCCATCAAGGCTGAATACATCACAGTACTTCCTCTAATCAAGCGCACAATTCCCTCAACTCTCAGCATTCTTACTGCACCTTTTGTCATGACAACTTTGACAAAGTGACATTATACATAGAAAGCATTTTTCTGCATTCTCTCTCTCTCAATGTACTTTTAGACTGGATACATACAAACGTACTTGTCCTTCTCCAAAAAAGATGAAAGCGTTTCATCGATAATTTCAACTTTTGCATCTCATTTTTGTGGGTATACAGATTATGCCGTTTGCCAGACTATTGCTGCATCGATCTGGGATGCGTTGCGATCGAATAGACCAGAAACGGGTATATATGTGATAGCAGCATTTGGCTCGACAGGAAGTTGTCCAAGACTTTCTCTTAATTGGTCAACGACCGCATCGTTGGTGTAGAAAAGACGTACTGAAGCACCATGCGTCTGTAGAAGCGCTGCGATTGTCGTACTGTCCGTCTTGCTTTGTTCGTCGGAATTATTTAAGTAAGCAATGCCGAATTGGGAGGCTGAGTGGTTCTTGCTGATACATGTCCATTCCACAGAGCATGTTCCGAAACGATCTGCTCCTTGTGTCAACCTCAAGCCACTACTTTCTTCACTATCGTCATCATCATCGTCCGCTTCATCGGTGTCTTGGTCTCCACTTTGAGCGCTCAGTTGCCATTCGACCGAAGCATTTCGTGGCAGGCCATCTTCAGCCAAGGTGACGAACAGGGTGGGTATATCTTTTGCGTTCAACTCCGAACCAAGCCATGAATCTTCCCATGCGTCTCCTTCATCATCATCATCGGACGTCTCCTGTGATTGATTGTGCCAAAGCTGGCGTGCAAACGGTAATTGCTTCACATCATTCATCCAACAAATGGATCCCTCAATCCATCCTTGCTTTTTCAGCACACGATGATCTTCAAGAATTGCCTTGAAGATCCTTCGTGCATGCTGTAAAGCCAAAATGGTCTGATCAAAAGGATCTTGAACAAGTTGTAATGTAATCGGATCCAATCCAATTTGACCTGCAATCGAGATCCGTCCTCCAATTTCAACAGCTTGTGAATACGGTCCAATATTCGCAGCTGCCCAATAACTTCTTCCTTGGACATGCAATGCTTTTCGAGGAATTGATTGTGCACTTTTGGCAAGACGATTGCCATATGCATATGCGTCTATTAGGATATTGCTCTGTTCTCCATCTAAGTTGATTGCCACACAGGCCCTGCTTGGCGGATCGACTCCGAACAAAGTCTTGTAGACCATATTCAGAGCAGCAAAATGCCGTTGATTCGACAGATAGACGTTGAGATGGGCTAGATGTTCAAAACTGAAGCCTTGTGATCGAAGTGTACCCTCCAATGACTGAAAAGCGCTCCGTATCTCTGTCTGAATGTCGTTCCCTTCTACCGCACTGCCCTGTATACCGCTGATAGCGCACCAAGGTCCATTCTTGGTTACGAAGGTTTCCTGTCGAATATGTTTCAAGGGCTGCTTGTTGCTCAGCTCCGTACTGATCGATTCTAGCCTCTCTTGAGGTCTAGATCTGACGCTGTACTTATCGAATCGATCAGGAATGGTGATTGTCGAAGCCGAGACCTCAACTTGCTCGGTTTTGTCCTCCAAATGGGCTCCCTCGATCTTCATATAGAATACGCCATCAGAGCTTTCTTCTCCATGCGTGACAGCTATAGTCTTGTCAAGAATGATTTTCCGCTTGAACAAAGGACAATCGAGTGTAGATGTTTCATATTCTCCTCCTTCTCCACAGATGTGTGCGCCATATAAACGATTCAATTTGTGTAGTTTGTTTCTCATCTGTTTCAGCGTTTTACCAAGATCTTCTCGTTCTAGACCAGCTCCTGCGACTTTGATAAGAATCGACTGCATATCAGCAGCACACATTTCGTCCAAGAGTTCCGCTTGATCACGTTGCCATAAAAAGCTTAGTGGGAGCAATTCCATTCCGGTTCGCAAAGCAACATGTTCAACGCGAACTCTTTGGTAATTGGAGAGGATTGCTCCTACACTGACGGCATTAACTTCTGGATGTGCTTGTTTGACCTGTTTGAGAAGTGTAAAAAGATCTTCTGTTTCATCGTGATCTAAAGTAGAACTCGAAGCAGTTGAGCTTTTTCCGTTTGGTAATCGATCACCATAGGTGGAGGTCTGATTGAGTGCCTTTCCTTTGATTGTGGTTCGATAAAGTGGAAGATCCATAGCTTGTGCGATTAGGTGGATAGCATCATGACCGACAGTCTGATACATGTAAGAATCCAATTCATCTACAGGGAAAAAAGTCAATACCAATATACACACCACTTCTCTCTCATCCTCTCAACTCACCTTTTCCTTCCGGTGGTGCCAAAGTGGCCAAGGCAACTATATTATGACCCAAAGCAGCACAATGGCATAGATTATAACAGCTATCTTTGCCTCCCGAAAGAAGTCCAACCACATTGAGCCTCTCCGTCATGATTTTGTGTATTGGAAGTATGTTGTTGTAAGTGTCTTGTTTTCTTCTCAACCTTAAAATTTCCCTAGCGTGCGTTAGTAACCCTTCCCCGATTTCCTTGTGTGTGTACTCACTCACTCAGACCTAAACGCGAACGCGCTCTTACACCGCGTAAAGAGAACGCGTGCGAGCTGAGTTGAGAGTGCCTCTGAATGCAACACTTTGCCCTGTTCTGTTCCCATCTGCTTGTGCCTGTGCTTGCGCCTATGCATTCATTCAGTGCCTTTGGCGTTTGTGTTATTTTAGATATTTGATTCAAGGCAAACTTAACTTCTACCATCATCAAATCCACATCAGATCATCATATACCAACATGTCTGTCGTATCACTACTCGATGTCAAGATCTTGAACGATAATGCTGCATTCTCAGGTAAGTAGGACGAGGAAAGCTGGCCACATTGAATCGCTTGAACTGACCCATCCCCAATTCCGACAGAACCATACATCTTTCGGGTCACATTCGAATGCATTTCACCACTCAAAGATGATCTAGAATGGAAGTTGGTCTACGTTGGTTCTGCACAAAGTGAAGAATACGATCAAGAGCTGGACAGTTGTTTGGTAGGACCTGTACCTGCAGGCGTGAATTCGTTTGAATTTGAAGCAGCTGCTCCTTCTATTGATAAAATTCCATCTGACGATATCCTTGGCGTAACGGTCATCTTGCTTACGGGAAGTTATGCAGATCAAGAATTTATCAGAGTTGGTTATTATGTCAACAATGCATACGATTCGGAAGAATTACGTGAAAATCCTCCTGAAGTTGTAGACTTTTCGAAAATTCGAAGAGAACTTTTGGTCGATAAACCAAGAGTTACCAGATTCAATATCAAATGGTGAGTTCTTTGTCAGTCTCTTGCATTCTTCGACTTCATCACTGACACTAACCTTACCCCATTTCTCTCCCTCAGGGACGAACCTGCAACCGCAAGCGAAGCCAAACCATCCGAATTCGAAGCCACAGGTGAGAAACAAGCAGCAGAGGCAGATCTACGAACAGCTGGTCAACAATCAATCGCTGTTTCATAGCGCAGCGCTATCGCTTTTTCTCACTCTGTACATCTATCAACTTCCATCCTTTGTTCTTCCGGATCCTGTTTACAATAACAGAGGCAACCTTCGCGCATCAATCCTTGCTACATCTTCCTTTCATTACACTTCAAATCCGATTGTATGTATAAAATATTCACAAAATTGAAAGTCATTCACTCAGACAACAACAAGAAATGATCGCAAAACCGTATGATTGCGTGAGAGAGTATAGTTACAAAGAAGGCCATGTTCCTTCCAAATCCAAAAGAGACAGATTAAGCACAAAAGTTGTACATGATCATAAAGTAGAAAACGTTTGTGGGAATCCCCTTTTTTAGTCTGCACTGACGATACCAGCAATTGCGGCAGAGGACAAAGTGACGAACACACCAGTGATCAAAGCAGAAGGTGCCAAACGAACGATTTCCATCTTACGTTTTGGAGCAATTGCGCTCATCACACCAATATTGATACCCAAAGATCCCAAATTACCGAAACCACAAAGGGCATAAGTAACAATCTTGACTGCACGAGGATCTAGATCTTGTTGAATTTTGATGAATTGCGAATAAGCAACGAATTCGTTTTGAACGACTTTTGTGGCAATCAATTGTGAAACAGTCAAGACATCCTTTCTTGGAACACCTAACATGAATGTCAATGGCCATAAAATGTATCCGATAATCAAATCCAAACTCAATGGACCTCCATTATCGTCTGTAATGTACCATGCATTACCAATGTAAGCCAAGATACCATTGATGGCATAAACCAAACTGACAATCACCAAAACGTTGCAGAAGATCAAACCGGCAACACGGAGACCGAACCAAGCACCATTACTCAATGCATGGAGAGCGTCATTTGCACGTTCTTCTTCTTGTTCTTCACGTTCAATAGAAAGTTGTCCTGCAGTTTCGGCTTCTTGTGTTTCAGGGTAAACCAATTTTGATGCGGCAATAGAAGCAGGAATGGACATAACGGAAGAAGTGATCAAATCACGACCGTTAACACCAATACTGATATAAGCCGACAAGACTGAACCTGCAATCGTGGCAAAACCACTGACCAAAACTTGATGGAATTCGGCACGGGTGAACAAACGAGCATAAGGACGAACCAAGACAACGTTTTCACCTTGACCAATGAAAGGGGAAGCAACAGCGACAACAGCTTCAGCACCAGAGATATCGAAAGTCTTGTGGAAGAACCAAGCTGCTTTCTTGATAACCCAAGTCAATACACCGAGGTAGAATAATGCAACACACAAAGCAACAAAGAAGATGATACTAGAAAGTGTGTTGATGAAGAAGTAGTGCTCTGAGATCAAATCGTTCCAGAAGAATGCTGCACCTCCGATCACACCTTGGTTCAAAAGGTCAAAGGCAGCGGTGGAAATCCACGTGAAAAAGGATGATCCTGCACCAGTGCGGAAAACGAAAAGAGCAATGATGAATTGGAAACCGATACCCAAGATTGTGGTTCTTGCTTTAATGGCACGGTGATTGCTGGAAGCCAAAAACATTCCTCCGTAAATCAATAAGAGACCGACCAAAGAGATTGTTCTGTTTCCGTAATTTGAGGTGGGTGTTGTGGGCAATCCGTATGTAGAACCGAAAACCAAAGCAGTCAAAGCGATCCATCCTGCAGACAATTTACCTGCGTATGGTAGCATACTCCAAGGCTTACCAAGGACTGCATTCCAAGCTGTAGCAAAGACCCGTGCAAATGGCCTTTGAGGAATGTAACGTGATTTGTGGAATAAGATGAGAAGGATGAAGAACCAAGAGAAAATCGTTGATGGGATCCATCTATGACGAACTTTAGGTGTATCATTGATGATTGCGGGAATCCACCAACCCAAAATGAGCAAAATCAATCCGAAATCACGAATCCAAACTGCATATCTTGAATGAAAGAAAACCAAGAGCTTATCTTTCCAAGGTGTATTTGGCGAGTCATCATCATCTTCTCCATTTTCACGTCTGCGCCATTTAGCTGCTTCGATATCGATATCGTTGATTCGTTCGCGTGCAGGTTCTTGGGATGGAATGCTTTGGTTGTGATATGTTTGTTTTTCATCTACGCCGTCATGCGAAGAAGATGATCCATGATCCTGTTTCGCATTAAATGGAATTGGATTAGAATTTAGTTCATATTATCAAAACATTCAAGGTAATACTCACAGCTTTTTCGGTAGGCTTCTCTCCGCTTTGAGGGAGGACCGCAAGTTCATCGAAATTCATGATGAGTGAGTATGGAAGAAGGAAAAAGGGGGGGAATGACCTCGCTAAGAGGGGAAAGAGATGGACGAGTAACAGGGAATTAATGTGGGGAGGAAGAAGTATTGAAAAGAGAAGAAGGGCAGGATTATATCCAAATCCAGCGTCGTACGATAGGTCTTGCTTTCTATCTTCCAAGGCGAAAAATGATTTTGTGGCGAAAATAGAGCGTTTTTGATTTTTTTTTTCTCTTCTCTTCTTCTCTTCCGGGAAACGCATGGCTAACTTATTTTTGTCTAAACGGAGCAAAACCCGATAAAGGCATTCAATCCGTCTTTTTTGGATAAATTAAACCACGCCGCGATCTTTCATTTTAGTTCACGCGTCGTGCTCCGGTAAATCAAGCTTTAATGTGCCGCGTAAAAGCAGCTTTGGCCCTCTCTGTGTTCCTGTCAGTCTTTCTTATCTCGTCCTTCTTGGCTTCTTCACCAGAGATAGGGTAGTTTATATTCTTCACCGCACCCCACCTGTAAACCGGACTACGCGCCGTTTTGAAGGTTTATCCCTGCAGGTTAAAATCACTTTACCACGCGGTTCAACTTTTTGTTTAAGAAGATAAGCTAGTAAGGCCACTGCAGCTGTCTAGACCTTTTTTAGTTGTTCAGGAACAGAGCAAATGACCTGTCATACGAGTTGACTCTTCTCCCTGCATTTCATCTTATCGTTGCGGGGTGAGATTTCCGCTCGGGTTATCTGCCCTTTCTCCTGCCTGTAATTGCGGCATTCACTTAGCTCCAATCTCAACGGCCGAGTTTGCATTAGCGGTCTTATGGTCCCGAGGTGATTGTGATTGGAAAAGTCTTCAGCATCTCCTTATCAATCTTTGTGCGGGGTAAAGGCTGTCATCCTTGCTTACATGTGGTCAATGTACATTCAGACTGCATGACTTTTTGCCGTTTTGATTCGCATTGCATACCTCAACATTCAATTACATTCTTTATTGCTTTGCAATCTTTCTTACTGTGCCTCGCTTAATCATTTTCCACTTCCTTATAATTCCGACTCTTTCACCATAAAATTAGACACTTAGCTGAGTGTGAAATGTGGCTTGTGCCTGCATTGTGCTATACGTTTAAATACCCACGAGACCTCGCTTATTTGTTGCTGACAGGTATCTCCCACGGAATGGTAGAGATGCTATTGTCAAGTTAATAGTACAGACGTCAAAAAAGGAACACCTGCTAATGTCCCCCACGCCCGGGCTTACCACGATTGCCTCTATTGTTGCCACCGCCACCGCCTCTGCCTCTACCACCTCTATTCCCTCCTCTTCCTCCGCCACGTGAATGCTGCCCTCCTCCGCCTAAGATTCGCCCACCACGTCCACGATCAGGACCAAATTTAGAGCGATTTTCCGAAATACCATCTTCTGAATCTTGAGTAGATGGAATTGGTGCCCTGTTTGTATTTCCGATTCTCATCAAATCATCCACATTGGCCAAAAGTTTATCTTTTCTTGGATTTCTGTTAAACATTGTTGCCCAACTTTCAATTAATTGATCATCCCATCGTTTATTACTTGTTGGAATATCATTCAATCGTGCAACGAGTTGCTTTCTTCCTGAACTTCCTCTATGTTGTTTCTCGAATAAACCAGGTCCACTCTCTTTCCAGGCCGTGATCATAATACGTTCGGCAGCTCTTTCGGATTCTACATTGGCCTTGGCAGTATTGCTGTGGATTGCACCGTGTCCTGCTCCACCATGACGTCCGTCTGCTTCTGCTTCTTCGATATGATCTTGTTCCTCTTCACTTCCCTCTTCATCAGCCGCAGGTTTACGAATGGAGACATTACCCGTATATTGATCTCCCTCTTCGTCCAACTCTTCTTCAAATCCAACTTCCAACCTATTCATTCCACTACTCTCAGCAAACGGATCCCATTCTTCACGATCTTCTTCATCGGAATCAGGTGCTTCTGCACGTGCAATGATTGCTGCTTTCATTTCATCAGAAAGACCTGAGCCCAAAGCGATTTTGGTATTGCGACCTTTACCTTTTCCTCCTCCATAAATCAATTTGGAAGATTCTAAAGGCTCATCGTCAAACACATTTGCACGTTGTCGTAGAAGTTCCATAGGATCCATTGATTGAGCAGAGACTGTTGACGTGCTGGGTGCACCGATATCACCTATTTGCGGCTCTCCTTCATCCAGAAGCATTTGAATGATCAAATCATTCGATTGATCCAAATAAGGCGAGTTTGACAATTTATCCTTGAGCTTGTCTAAGTGTTGTTCCCATTGCGGCATGATGGCCGTAATAGTGGAGAGCAGTTCAGGATTGATACTTGAATGACTTCTTCCTTGTATGACCGTATCTCTTTGTGATAAATCAACTACCTGCTTCCAAGCTGAGCTTAAACTGCTGATACTCGATCCTTCCTTTGAGGATAATGTTTCTATTTTTTGTGCCAATAAATCAAGAGACTGAGAGCGGGCACCAATTTTGCGCAATAATGGGACCAATGGCTTGACCAATGCTAGATCCACGAAGAGCGGCAAATCAACCAAAGGTGCGACACCCGAATTATTTGTTGAATTGGCCAATAATCTGTCCAGATCCGCTGCATGTAAGGCATCAATCGATACCTGCCTTTCCAGTAAAGCCCAAGTTGCCTCCAATATGGAAATTTTGCTGTAAAGCTTAGATTCATCAGCCGCAGTGACAGTAGTAGACAGTTTTATGGACAAGTAGTGCTTCTGGAAAGAGTCAAAGAGCTTCTCTACATCTTTAGAGCTGGGAAAAGGTGCTTTCGAGGTCTGACCTTTTCTGGCTGCAGCGTTTGAGGCATGTTTCCACCTTGGCAAAGCGTACAGAAGCCTTGCAAGTACTTTAGCGGCAGGAGCAATACTTCCTGTGTCTTTTGATGATGAGGCAGAACTGTATGCTGTCACCACTGCTTTCAATATATCTTCTGCTCCTTTCTCATCTACCAAACGTGCGAGGATATCTTTGGAATTCATACAAACTGCCAAATCGATCAAAGAAGCGTGGGTAGGAACCAATCGTCTAGCTTGTGAAGGATCACCACGTGAGATGAGCCTTCTCAGTATGTTGGCAATCTGATCTGCATACTTTTGCTGTTCGTTTCGTAATCCTTTCAATCCATTTTGTACAGTATTGATTGCCAAGATGTGAAGTGAATTTGTGATGAGACGAGGCAAAGTTGCGTGTTGGGTTAGCAAGATCACCAGTTCCTTTGACGGCACTTGTGAAAGTGCTTCTATCACTGAAGCACTATTTTGCCCCAGATCATACCTCGTCACAGCCATACTTTTGATCAGTGCTGATTGACAAGAGAGAAGGTATGTAAATCTCCACTTCTTCTTACGTTGACTATCCTCAAGCGCTAGAAGAAGTGTATGCAGGCAACTGTTAATTAGCGTACAAAATTTTGAGAAGGAAAATAAAGTTAGCATGTCCAACAGAAAAAATCACCTCTCTTGATACCATCTTCGTTTCGCAGCAATGTCTGATATCTACATTCAAGCGGCATTGGTTCTCGATGGAACACATGCTCAGACAGGGTCGCTAAAAGGGCTGGTGATGGAAAGGGCAAAAGCAAGTAAGACAGACGCAAAGAGATTGTTAGCCTTGAGTGCAAATACTTTGTCTTACTCGAGAGCATTGGAGATCGTATTGAAACAGAGCGAATTTCTCAAATTGGAGAAACGAGCGATAACAACTGCTACAGCAGGAAAAGGATGTACACCACAATCACTCGCTCTTGTGGTTGCACATGATCTGCTCTTAACCAAACGTGGTAGGATTGCAACTTCCCCTGCTTGGCCGCCTCATGCTGCTTTCGTTCGTCATTCTGCTCGACTTAAGGCGGAATTGGTAAAGCTACAGGTACAAGAAGGAAAGACGAGCGTACAAGAGCTCAGGACAGGTGAAGCGATCAAAAAGCGAGCAGAAAGGATACCTAGATGGATAAGAGTAAACGAAAGGTTGACAACAGTAGAAAAGGTTATGGAACAATTGCAAGCAGAAGGGTGGAAAGAAGTACAAAAAGGCAAGGAGCTTCTGCTGAAAGTGAAGACTTTTTCTCGATCACGACATATCCCTGCCGTTCTGGCTACGCACGCTGCCCACACCTCGGCACTTATAGGGCATCCTCTCTACAAGAAAGGTCATCTGATGTTGCAAGATCTTGCAAGTTGCTTTCCAGCAGAGATTCTCCTGGGAAGTTCTATTGCGGACAATGCAACTGCAATACATGCTCTTGATGCAACTTCTGCGCCGGGAAATAAGACAAGCCATTTAAGTGCAATCTTGAGTAAAGCGGCAAAAGGATCTGATGTTGTCGCATTTGAACATTCCAAACAACGATTCGAAACTCTTCAACAACAATTACGCAGAGCAGGGGCATTGGATACAAACAAACCTGGCTTTGTGAAACCAGTCTTTGGAGACTTCACAAAGACACAACCCGAGAAATATTCAAAGGTGACGCATATGCTTTTGGATCCCTCTTGTAGTGGATCAGGTATCTTGGGTAGATTGGATTACCTGACTCGGGATCAGGACGAAGTCGATAATGCTGAAGGGGTGGAAGGAGATGCATCAACGCAACAACAAGAACGTTTGAAAGGTTTGGCTGCATTTCAGTCAAGTATGATCGATCATGCTATGCACTTTCCCAGTCTGCAGAGGTTGGTCTACTCGACTTGTTCGATCCATCACGAAGAAAATGAAGAAGTGGTAATAAAGGCGTTAAACTCAGATATTGCCAAAAAGAGAGGATGGCGTCTGGCTCAACGAAGAGAAGTCGTTAGTTCGTGGCCAACACGAGGTATTACAGAGCATTGCAAAGGCGATCAAGTGTTAGCAAATGGAATGATTCGTTGTGTTCCAGGCGGAGAAGAGAATGCAGATGCCGCACAATCGAACACCGGCAGCGAGTCCACTGAACCACATATGGAAGCAACAAACGGATTCTTTGTCACCTGCTTTGTACGGTCAGTAGAACAGAAGGGCGATAATGTCAAAGAAGAGGAAAAGAACACTGTCTCAGCTCCTCAGAGCAACACTCTTAAGAACCGTAAACGTAAGCAACGTGCGAAGGAAAAAGCCAAAGCACAAAAGCGAGCAAAGGTGGAGGGAGATGCGGGCGATGATGCTGAGGAAGACGAAGATGAAGACTAAATCAATCTGTATTATACACATCTACTTTCGCTCGTGAATATCATTGTATTACTGGCACATACATCATGCATTCCTTCGAAAGAACATGCATCTACCACCATAGACGATGTGTAGGGCAGTGATATCCGGAAGGATTGTTCTCCAAGTACTTTTGATGATAATCCTCTGCGACAAAGAAGGCGCTGACCGGTCTTTGTTCGATTTGAGTGACAATCTTTTGTTGCTTGGGTGTGAAGTGCTTTTGTTGAACTTCTTCAGTCACCCTTTTGGCAACTTCTTCTTGTTCGGCTGAGTGTGGGAAGATAGCGGATCTGTATTGTGTTCCACGATCAGGACCTTGACGATCCTTTTGGGTTGGATCATGAGATCTGTAAAAGAATTCTACCAATTCAGCATACGATACCTTCTTTGGGTCAAATTCGAGTTGCGTTGCTTCTGCATGTCCTGTACGACCTGTACATACTTCTTCGTAACTTGGGTTTTTGCTTGAATCCTTTCCGCCGATATAGCCTACTTTGGCATCCAATAATCCTTTGCCTTCACCATAATACTTTCTGAAAATGTCTTCAGTTCCCCAAAAGCAACCGTTTGCGAAAGTGGCGGTATCGTTTGACATTGTTGAAGATGATCCAGTTGTGGCGTCTGAGGTGGCGTTTCTGGCTTGAATAGCTGTTGGCACTGTTGGCTCTACTGGTTGACCTGGTACTTGATTTGTAATGGCTGAACTTAAAGGTTTTCCACCGTTATTGAAACCTCCTGTTAAAACTGAACGTCCAAAGTTTAAGATTCTAGGTAGCATAAATGTTGATGGTTGACTTATAATTGATGCAATAATCACAATCGAGAATGCAACGATGGTGGTTGTAAGAAAGGTGAGAAATGTACGCATATATGATCTTTTGATGAGGTTCGGATTTAAGAAGTGACCCGCTTGGGAAACAGAACGGGCCTGTGCCGAGAGCTCGTGCTTCTCAATTAACAAGGCTTCATCTATTGAAAAGATCTTTGGGTACACTCTTAAAGTGCCTTCGGCTTGTAGCTTAGCTTATATCTCCACTATCAACTTAAAATCATGCCAAAATTCAGACAAAAGCTGGCTTACTAATCAGAACCGGACTTGGACTTGACACTCGAATAAATGCTTCAAAAGTGATGATGGCAATGAATAGCTATTGACAAGAACATTGGAAATAAAGTTATGAATCGATAGAAAAGAGGATATTGAAGCTTTCGGTTCTAATGAAGTTAAGCTTAAGCCATAAGAAGGCGTTAGAGCAAATCACTTGCAGTCAATCTGCCCTCATGGAGAGTGCCACTCTTTGTGGAAAGAAGAGCTACTGTAAGATCCACGAGAGCCAGTGGTAGGATCGTAGAATCCCCCTTTCTTGACATGAGTACCGCCAGGAGTGGTATATGCCTCTTCAAACAGCAGAGGTTTTTCTTCGTCTTTGATCGTACGACTGACAAATACAGGCAATTCGCCATCTGCAATAGTTGCAGAAGTGTCTCGTTTGGTCAATTCATTCAGTGTCACAATTGGACTTGCATGAGTTGCGCTGAGTATTGCTGCTGCGAGTGTTGTCAAAGCAATGAAGGTAGATCTCATCTTGAGACTCTTTAGCAATTATTATGCTACAGATGAAATTAGAGACAAATGAGTAGAAAGCAAAGAATATCGTATTTATACCTCAAGACAGTTGGAAGAGCCAGCTGTACAAGACGCCTTATGCTGTGTTGGGGGCACAACATGATCCAGCATGGCCCCGCTCAAATAAATGATGGCTATTCAGGTCAGTCGGGGCAATGATGGTACAAATCTTAGCAACTGCAAGTCGAGTCTTAACAATCCCTAGCACTAGAGATGCTCTCAATTAGTATGAAAGGTCTACCTTTGCGAAATGTATTTGTGTTGAAATAGTTCATGGTGAAGTAATAAAGCAAGAATGGAGAGAGAACTTGCTTACATAACGATGTAAGATTTATGAACACTTCCAAAGCCTGTTCGCACGTGTTAACGATTTTAAACTCTGCGGCACGCGTGTGTAACTGTGTGCTTGAAGACATTCTGAACCTGTCTGGCGTAGCAGCAGCAATGCGGCCAATAATGCATGCTCGCGTGCTGAGAACTTCTTCTATTGAGCACTAAATCTGTCTCTATTAACTGTTACCTGTAGCTTCAGTGCGCGCCTGCCTACAAGCCCAAGTCTTCTTAGTTGACGCTGTAACTGCGAATCCATTTTTACATCAAATAGTAGGCATTAACACTTCCTCTTTCTCGTCTGCATCACTCGTAATAATGGGTAGGTATTCGCAACTATGACGATGAAACCAATACTCGAACATCGAATGACTGACTCATTCGTCTCTCTCTTTTTCAGCTGTCGGCAAGAACAAGAAGCTATCCAAGCGCGGCGGTGTCCGTAAAAAAGCCGTTGATCCCTTCACCAGAAAGGAATGGTACCAAATCAAGGCACCAACCTTCTTCTCTCAACGTGATTTGGGACGTACACCCGTTAACCGTTCTCAAGGTTTGAGTGAGTATCAGTTCGAATGAAGTGGATTGAAGGAGAAAGAGGGGTGTTGTATGGAAATGGTGGGAGGGATTTGTGAGAGGGACAGAAAGGAACATCATCTTCGACGACGAATGACAACAACGACATCATTCCGACTTAATCAATCCGCTCTTGACATACTTTCCGATGTGACGACGACATTGCATTGATTACGACGATTGAGTTCTGGGAGAAATTTGGACCTTGGAAATTCGACATCGACTTTCGAAACAGAATACTGACCAATCATCACACCACCTTCTATCCCAACAGAGAACGCCAACGATGCACTCAAGGGACGTATCATGGAAGCTTCTTTGGCCGATTTGAACAAGGATGACGAACAAGCTTTCCGTAAGTTCAAGCTCCGTATCGAAGAAGTCCAAGGTCGCACATGTTTGGCCAACTTCTACGGAATGGACTTCACCCAAGACAAGCTTCGTTCATTGGTCCGCAAATGGCAAACATTGGTTGAAGCCCACCAAGATGTCCGCACAACTGAAGGTTACCTTTTGCGTATTTTCGTCATCGGTTTCACCCGCAGACGTGTCAACCAAGTCAAGAAGACCACATACGCCAAGAGCTCTCAAGTTCGTGCAATCCGTCAAAAGATGTTCGACATTGTTCAACGTGAATGCTCAAGCTGTGATTTGAAAGAGTTGGTTGCTAAATTGGTTCCAGAGGTTATGGGCCGTGAAATTGAAAAGGCATCTCAAGGTATCTACCCTCTCAAGGATGTTTACGTGCGCAAGGTTAAGGTCTTGAAGACACCTAAGCTCGACCTTGGACGTTTGTTGGAATTGCACGGTGGTGCTGCCGCTGTTGGTGCTGAAGACACTGGTGCACGGGCAAAGGTTTCCGAATTCAAGGAACCTGAAGCTTTGACATCTGTTTAAATTTAAACAAAATGTCCACCATCTGATCTCCTTCTCTTTTATTGTACAATGACGATCATCATTCGTCGTCAGCATACTTGCACCTTACGGCTCATCATACTATCTATATAGGTAGGTGTACGTGTTCAATCAAACACATGTATACTCATCCATGACGGTCGCGTACCGGATACAAAACTTCATACATTCATCCAAAAATGACATGCATATATTCGCACTGAAAATCATTGGTGAGAAAGGTAGAGAAACTGGTCACATTCAAAGAAGATGGAAGAAATTAGCGTAATATACATGCTTTTTAGGAGTGGTAGAATTCCACAGTCAATATGATTAAAAGTATGTCGTTTGGTGGGATGTGAAAGGCCAGGATTTGTCATGTACGATGGACTTGATTGAAGATTGATTTGAGCTTGTTGTGCTTTGCGTGACCTGATTCTCTTTCTCACCGTGCTCTGCGGAGGCATTTCTTGGGCCAATTTCCGTAATTGTAGCTGGTTGAGCTTGCGGCATACCATGGCTGAATGTGACGTCCCGGAGAGGATAAAGGTTTGAAGGCTTCTTCATGATCGAACGTGGCATTTGTGGTGCTGGCTCGGGATTTGATGCAAGAGGGGATGAAGTTTGCGGAACGCTGGTCTTTACAGGAACTTTGAAAGCGTTAAACCATGTTGGTGGAGTGAAAGGCTTATATGTACCAAAGAGAGGGCGTGCAGGCTCACTTGATGAGCTTACGACCAGTGCACCTTCTCGTTCCTTTGAAACACTCTCTTGTTGAGGCCCGATTGGCGTACGTTCAAATCCTTGTACACTTTGAGATTGCGGTGTACTTTGTTGAACAGCTTCCGGCGAATTCTCCTGGGCACGATTGTTTGGAGGGATGACCGGATTGACTCGCATGGCCGGTGGAAGCAAGCTGTCCAGATCAAACTGATTCGGCACAATTTGCGACATTTGTTCCATCATCGCGTCTCGGTCTTGAACTCGGTCGAAGAAGCCTTGTTGTGGGGACCCTTGTGGTCGAGCTTGAGGAGGTGTAATAGCAGCCTGTACTGGACTGTTCTGCGGAAGAACGGCTTCATCAATTCGTTGCACAGGATTGACAGGTAGACCAACTGAAGATTCCGTTGTGTTCAACTGAAAGTTTTGAGATTGTGAAGTAATGGATGGAACAGATGCTTCCGCTAAATCATTTTGTGGCATAACAACCCCACGAGTTGTGTCTGACTGACAAATAGTCGACTCAGCGCCGCGGCCATTAGCTTCTACACTTGCTTGACTGAGTAAAAGCTGCTCATTGTGAGGCGAACGCTGTCCATCTTCACCAGTACGCTCATTGTGAGAGGTACGATGTACATTTTTGCCCATGCGTTCGTTGTTTGAGACAGGTGTGCTTTGCGGAGCCGATGCACTTGCCACTTGGGGTGAATTTGTAGCACTGGCTTCAGCGGTCTCATTCTCAAGCTTCTTTTTTGAGTAGTCTTGCCTCGGCTCAATTTCACGATCGTAATAGCGCATACGTTCACGAATGACGACGGCGTATTGATCTACTTTCTCAAAATGTGCATCAGCTTTGGCTTTGATCATTCTCTTTTGCGAAATGAGGGCATCCAACACCTGTTGAGTTGATTCAAATTCTCGCTTTTGACGCTTTTTTGACAATTTCAGCGCGACACTGCCCAATCCTTGCTTCGTACGAACAATGATCAGCAATGCATCCAAAAGAGGACAGAGTTGACTGAATGTCTTGCGAAAGAAAGCGACATCATCTCGACTGATGAGATGCATGAGGGGGGAGGGTACCTTGTAAAGCTCACCCAATGCTGTTCTTTCACAGAACTCAGCAATGTCTTGGCCTTCGTTGCTTCCAACCTTGATTTCCTCAGTGCGCAATCGTTTCTTAGGAGAAGCATCGTCTTCATCCTCCTCAATTTGCGTGAAATGTTTTTGCAAATCCTTATTGCTCCAAACCATCTCTTCTGGCATTTCGTGACCCATCTTCCAAAATTGATACAATCGCTTTTGATCGGATGAAAAGTTCGCTTTGGCTTCTTTTTCGGCAAAGTTGTCTGAATCACCAAGCACAGCAGCAATCGATTGTCGATTTTTGACAATGCCAGAGATCCTTTTTGCTTTTAGTAAGACCATATCAAGAGTGTCTTCAGGTTTCACCAGACTATATGCGCAAAAAATTCACGGTAATCAGTATTGCTTGAAAACAGAATTGGATCACAGAAGCACATCCGTCGTTGTTACTCACATATCATCGCGTTTCCACATCGTACTCTCGAAGTTGGTGCAGCCGAACTGAGCATGATCGTGAGAAGGAGAGGCAAGGTCAATCACTGATCGTGACAAAGGTCAAAACAGGAATACTCACGGGACTTTCCCTCGCCGCAAGATCCAAGAGCTTCATTGAGGCAGAGCTTAGGTTGTAGAAACGGATGTGAGGAGGAAGATGGAAGTTGTAAAGGAGAAAGGTATGCTCAATAGGTCGAATGAATGCACTTGGGAGGAGAAGAGATAGTTGAGTCCGAAAGTTTGCGCGGTCAGTAAGTCTGTGCTCACTCACACGCCAAAGGGAACAAAAAGCAAATGCGGCGTCTATTATAGTGAGTGCATATATTCTACAAACTTCAATGCGATCATTCTTTCTATTGTTCAATTTTGCATGCCCCTTCAATGTCACCATACATTGACATCCTTTGATTAACGAAAGCCTTGAATTGAGCGATTGGACATGAATTTCCAGGACCATCTTTGCAATGATCCAATGTCTGCGCAGCTCCATTCACGATTGCTCGAATGTAATTCTGTTTATCATCACATCGTATGCGTTCAATAGCAACATGGCCGAGGAAAGGCAAAACGTGAGATGTTCGCCAAACACGATCTTTTTGTCGTGTATCCAATGGAAGGGGACCAACTTCTGTTTGGTTCCATAATCCAAGGGCTACGAGTGCCATTGGCGGCTCTTCACGATGTGTGAAATAAGCGAAAAGCTTCTGTGTGTGCGTCGAATTGGGTAGTCCAGGTGGGGCGGGAAGGTGGGGATCTTTCTTGCTTGCGGCGCTGTACGGACGATGTGGATGGTCGCCTTCACCTTCATCAGCAGAGAGGAGATTGTGAGTGGAAGTGTTGAGCCAGTGCACACCCAAATAAGGCGCCACATCACTCGCATAGCCGACCATTTTGTGGTAGATCAGATCATGGAAGTACTCGTAATCATGATAATCTTTCGCATCAAAGATTCTCGCATTGCAGAACTTTGACTTGCCAATACCTTTGATGACTGATTCATATCCACACAACATTTGGATGGCGATAACGTCCTTCAATTCGAATTCAAACGATGGTGCAAGGGCTTGCAATTTGGCCAATGGGCCAGGACCCCAATTGCGCAGATACTCTCGAGCATCCTTCCTTCCTTCTTCCTTTGTGAATCGATCACAAACTTTGTGTGGTGTCAAACTAGCGGACCAGTTGGGATCTTTGTTTGGCACCTCGACCAGACTGATGTATTTACCATCGCCTTCACCACCATGTCCTTCTTGATACTTTGGGAAAGCACCGCGAATGAATGCTTTTGCTGTGCCGATATCGCGCTCCGAGCTCGCTGTCCAAACTTTGAATGGCACTTTGACTTTCAAGTTGTCAAGAATACCCTTCTTCTTGCCTAGCTTCTTGGGAGGTAGTAAATGGGGATACAGTTTGCGGAATCGCTTTCCGAACTTTTCTGCATCTTTGATTCCAGGCTTTGTCAACTTTTCCAAATTGTCTTCATTGATTGGAGATTCCCAGTCATTCAAGAAGCCCAATGGACCATCTTCAGGAAAGGCACCTTTTGCGTCCTTGACTCGCTCTACAAAGGGTTGCATGTACTCTTCCCATTCATCGTCATTTGCATAGATTGAGCTATGTCGGATCAAGAACGCGGCAGCTGTGACGCTACACCCCTGTGGAGGTTCGATATCTGCTCCTGGTGCATCGTGATATGGACTGATTCCACTCGAGTGTCGTAATGGTTCCCAATCAGGATGCTCTCCGAATCGAAAAGAAGAGAATACCTTTTGATTGGATTGAGGGGCACTTGAAACGGATAGAGTGAGTGTAGCAAAGATCAAGATTGTCACATTTGCGACAATCCAGCGAAAAGACAGACTCATACGGACCGTTTGAAAGTGTTGTTGGTGGTGAAAAAGCGAAAGTAACAATTTGGTTTTGCTTACATGTCCTGATTTCTTGTGGCTTTCAGCCTTTTTTACCTTTCCGGCTCCTTAAGATAATCAATGGGAGTATTTTTTTTATTTACTTGGTGTGGAGGATTTTACCCTTTCAAGCTTGGCACGCATTTACGCGTTTAAAGCGGAGATATACAGACAAGGCCTAAACAGCGTGTCAATCCATCAAGCATAAAGAACAACACTTGCAGCATACATTCCCCTGTTGATTATTCTTCTCATCAACCATCACTATACTATTCGTGTATTCAACATGGCATTCGTGACAGACGACAAACTGGATTTGCTCTTCGATCCCAAACTTATCCCTGATTCAGTACGCAAGCTTGTGGGATCTGATCTTCATGTGAGTGAAGCTTTCGTCTGTGTAAACAACACTTGAATGCTGACTGCTCTTCCCGCTCCCCAAGATTCGCCCATTAGCATTAAGCGATTATGAAAGAGGACATCTAAAAGTGATGCAAGTCCTCACTTCCACGCCCGATCCCGGTAAGGAAGCATATCAAGAGGCATTCAGACGCATGCAAACTTCCAAACCGGCATCGTATTTCATCTTATGCATTATCGATAAATCAAAAGATCAACTTTTGGCAATCGGTTCGGTATTCTTGGAATACAAGTTTATCAGAAATCTTGGAATCTGTGGTCATATTGAAGATATTGCCGTCGATGCAGCTGCTCAAGGAAAAGGGTTGGGTAAAAAACTCATCTTGGCCTTGACAGAATTATCCGAAAGCTTGGGCTCTTACAAGGTCATTCTGGATTGCAGTGAAGAGAACAAAGGTGAGCCAGGTAGGGTGGGAAGCATTCAGGACTTTGAAGTGCTGACAGCGTCTCTCCCTTCTCCTCTTACGGCAGGATTTTACGAAAAGTGCGGGTAAGTATAGGCTCGTGCCATCTTGGCTATATTATCAACTAACCTTCTCCTATTGCTCCTGCAGATACAAGTACAAGGGCGCTCAAATGGTGAGTAACCACAATTACCTCCTTCTCAGACTGAGCATGAGCATACTGACATTCTCCCCTCTCATCTCATCGGTAGGCCAAATATAAAGAATGATGAAACACGCTGTATGAATAGAGTGACAATGGATTAAATTTCATTTTGCAATACGTTTTTCGATTAAAATTTGGGGAGTTTCCAGTGTCCATCACCATGATCGAGATTCTTTCGAACGACCTTGAGAGCATCAATCAAACGTTCGATTTCTTTTTCGGTTTGCTTACCTCCGTCCAAAGTGATACTTTCAGTAACACCGGGGAAGGTAGTTGCGCCGTATCCTAGATAACGACCAGGAGCAACGCCCAAATGTTGATAGAAAGATCTTTCAGACAAACCTTTACCATCGGTGGACAAGAATCCAGTTTCGAACAATTTTGCACGTCTGTTAAGCGAACGAACTTTGGCGAACAATTTGCGCAATCGATGAGAAGGACGTTTGCCTTCCAAAACCATCCTTGCGCCATGGTGACCGGAAAAGATTTCATCAAGACGGTTTTGAACATCTTGCTTTTCTGCATCGAATGAGCGTGCAGATCTTTGAACCTTTTCGATTGCTTCTTCTAGCTTAGAGAGGTCGAAACGATCGGAGGACACCTTTCGTACTTTGTCTAAGTAAGTAGACAAGGTTTCAGCATAGGCAGTCACGTTGAAAGGCAAGAAGAGACCTTGACTTGCACGCAGTGCCAACAAGCCAACATATTGTGCTGCAGCATGATGACGAGCATATCCTTTATCGCCAAATTCGCTCATCCAGTAGAAAGAATCATAATTGGAATGATAATGGTAGACAGGGTCTGTGTCCGCACGATCAAAGCCAGAGTCCACACTTGCGATACCCAAATGTTGCAAGTAAGCTGTGTAATCCGAACCTGATCCTAAAGCGCCAACGTCTGTCAACTTGATCGTTGTTCCGTTTCCGCTTGGATCGGCGATCTCACTGGCAGCTTGAATGATATAATCACGCAACGAAGGTGATGCTTTAGCGGCCAATTGACTACCACGAACGGCAACATCACAGTTCAAAAAGATCGTTGCTTTCTCTTTGAAGAAGTCTGCATAATCTTCTGCAGCTTCGGTAGAGCCGACGAGACCATATTCTTCTGCGTCCCAGCTTGCGATCAAGATCGTACGAAGTGGTCTCCAACCTCTTTTGACCAAGACACCCAATCCTTTCACCAATTCGTGCAACATTGCTGTTCCTGAATTAGGATCACCTGCACCGAATGTCCAAGCATCACGGTGATTGCTCAAGATGACAACTTCATCTTCCAAAACTCCCGGGATCAATGCATAGGTGTTCCAGATATCTTTTGTTTTACTGATATCAGTCATTTGATTATCCATTTCGACGATATCTTTTGATGGACCTGTCCAGTATTCAGTAACGCCAGGTACAGCACCACCGAATGATGAAGGCAAGTCTTTACTTTCAATACCAAGACCTGTGAGTGAGTGAAGGAATGGCTTTGCATCTTTGTAGCTGATTGGCAAAGATGGAATCTTTGGGAGTGAATCAGCCACTTCAGGGTCCAATCGACTTGCGTTACGGTAAGAAGGTTTTCCGGGTGTTGAAGGATCACCACTGTAAATGGAAATAGCTTGAACCGAACCACGTTGAACGGATGAGGCTTGACGAGCAGGACCGTCAGGATAAGCAGTAAAGCCGTTGGCTTCAGTCACATGACCATCTTCTTTTGGATCTGTGTAAATAAGTGTTCCAACAGCTCCACGTTCAGCGCTCATGCGAACTTTCAAGCCACGGAAGCTACCACCATATTGACACAAGGTAATCGCACCGGCAATCTTGACCTTTCTCTTTTCCAATTCTTCAAAGTCTTCTTTTGAACATTTTCCAGCATAGACGATTGGACCCTTAGCTTTTCCTGATTTAGAGTAACCATGGAAGGTGGGTAAACCATCGATACTGGTAGGGTCTTTCGGCAAAACATCTTCTGTCAACGAAGCACGGTAGTAAGGACGATCTGTTTGGTTTTCCTTGGATAAGGTCAAAGAAGAGGAGACGGGGTAATTGAGCCAGACGTTGTATGTGTCCACCCAAGCTCTTGGTTGGCCAAGAGGATTCTTTGGAGCAGATTTTGCGCTGTTCTTGTGATCTTGACGGGTAGATGTCATGTAATGAATGCTTTGCTCACTTCCTGCGTCGAATACAAGGTCTTCCAGGTTTTCTGGCAAATCGGCCCCCAAAGATTCTCCCCATTGTTGCAAGACTTGAATGGCCGAGTCATAATCAGCATTTGAGCCTGCAACATGGGTAGCGTGAGTATAACCTCTTAAAGCTTCTTTAGCACCTTCTGCTGATGGGATTGCCAAATAGATTGTTTCGATAATCTTTTCTACATTCTTTGGATCCAAGAACTTTGTGTCCAAGCCAGCCTTGAAAGCTTGTGCGCTGTTCTCTGCAGCAACACGAAGGTTATTGAAGAAACCTGAAGAGAAGATGCCAGCCATGCGTCCAGGGCATGGCTTATCGTTGTGGTGGTGATGGTGGTTGAAGTGACCTTTATGAGGTCGTAAACCTGCAGAAGTTAATTCCGCAGGTAAATGATCAGGCAACATTGGACCGACGACATTGTAGAAGAATACGGCAGAGAAGATTGCCAAGAAGAATGTTCGAATCCGTTGAGCACGATTCAAGCGGCTTGCACGATCAAAGACATCGTCGAGATCATCTTCAGAAGTAGTTTGTGGAGGATTATGATCAACTTTTGATCCTAGATCGATCGCGAGGCCTTCCTCTTTGGCCATCAAAGCGACCTTTTCTTCATCCATTTTCGTTGAGTCTTATGGCAGAGATGGATGGATGAATGAAGTCAAGACATGTGGACAATGAATGGACAGCATACATTCAATTTCAAATCCGCCCACGACGATGTTGTACATGTGGCCGGAGAAAAATGCGCTAAAGCCGAAAATGCATTAATGAAGCATGCTCAGCAATAGCTTACAAGATTATGTAATCAAAGCGCCAAGGATTGGAGCTAGATGTAAGCTAAAAGGGAAGTGCATTCTCATCAAAGCTACAGTGTCAGTTCATTAGCTGTATTGTATCATTCCGTCTCTGGCTACGCGGAGCCGGGTTGGAACTGGGAGAGTGATTTTGTCACATCTGAAATCACCCAGACAGGCGCCCAACCGCGTTGACATAGAGCCGAGCTTAAAAAAGAACGTAGCAGAAGGTAAGAGGGCGCGTGTAATGCAACAAGCAACACAAGAGAAAAAACAACACAACAACAACAACAAGGTTGTCTCTGACACGCGTGTGTGCGCCGTCGATCATGGGTACAATCACACTCTGTTGGTCTGCCAAAAGAACCTGCCTGCGCGCACAAAAAAAAAGAAACGCCCCCATTAAAGAAAAACAAGCATTCATGCAAAAGCATACACCATCACTTCTTGCAAACGCGTCAAAACAATCTTTCTCTCCTTCGCCATCAAGAACGGGTGGAAACAAGCAGTTGCAAGATTATATCACTGTAAACAAAGCAAAGTTTACCTACTCAACAACACATAGAGACTAAACCTACCTCTATCTCAACATCATGGCGGGTTCGCGTAAATCCACTCCAAGTCGTGCGAGATCCTCTTCGGTGACTTCAAACGTGTCAACGACTTCAAACAAGCCAAAGGCAACACCAAAATCACCGAAATCTCCTAGATCACCCAAGGAGCCAAAGTTACCCAAAGCACCAAAAGCATCTGCGTCACCTTCAAAGCCAACAAAAACTGGCCCTGCCACACCACGCAAGAGCAAGAGCGCATCTAAAGCAGCTGTTGAAGAATTGACGCCCGCTCAAATCGCTGCCGTTCAAGCGAGACCTCCATTGGATCAATCAGAACGCAACAGTATCCTTCCCGATGAAGATATCCCGGTAAAGTTACAGGTTATCCAAAGGGAAGGCGCCAACATCATTATCGGTCGTGTCAAATTACCCGCGCCAGTCAAGAATGGACACGGTTTCATCCTCAAACGATTCGACACAAACGCAATCGCTGCTTCTTCCATGTTCCGCTTGGCTTATCCACATGCCTCTCTTGAGCATGAAGCAGAAGAGATGCAATACTTGGAACAGAGATACGAAACGGATCTGGCAAATGGTGGTCATGCAAAAGTACCTAAGAAGCCACGTGGACGTCCATCAAAGAAGGCCCTTGAAGCCGCTTCACAAGAGCTACAGTATGATGAAGTATTGCCTGCAGGCAGCACAGGTGTCAGATTGCAAGGCACTTGGATCCCTTCTCCTGACGCAATGATTGTTGCTGCCGAATACGGCTTAGAACGTTGGGCTCGTCCTTTGATCGAGGCAAAGGCAACGGAATCCGATTCAGGTACAGCAATCTTGACACCCGCCAAAGGCGATAAAGTCAGCACGCCAACAAGCGGACGCAGCAAAAAGATCCTTCAACAAGTGTTGGAGAACCCAACGGGAAGTCCAACCTCCATCTTACGTGCAGCCAAACGCAGCAAGGATGATGGCTCACAAGAAGTTTCAGTCGATCAAAAGATCTTACAAAGCGGTCTTTCTGCTGAACAAATTGCCAAACAGATCAAAGACAGCCAAGCTTTGGCCAAGAACGTTCAGGCAAAAGGAGCATCTTCAGGTTCAGCATCACTCAAGAGAAGAGCAGCTAATCAAAACCCATCTGCTAACAACGATGAATTTGATGAATCAGAAGATTACGAAAATGCAAATGTTGTTGTTCGATCTCTACGACGTGGACAACGTGTTGTCAGAAGACGACCGATTGCCACAACTGCCGGTGCATTGGGAGCCGTTGGCGCAGTTGGTGCAGGAACGCTTGCATGGGTAGCCGGAGGTAATTTGGACATTGCCGTTCAACTTGTTCAACAAGGCGTTCAAAATTTGAGTTCTTGGTTCTTCTGAGCGTAGGCAAGAAGGCCTTTGTTGCTCAACGTGCGTTTCCTGTTTCTCTCCTCTTTTTTGTTGTATAACGTCATCTTGTTTATTGATTTGTTCAGTTTACCCGATGTGATGATTCCCCCATTCCCTTTTTTCAAGTTAATGCTTTGTTAAATGTGCTTCAATGCTCTTACCTTCTTTTCTTTTCATCTTTTTGTTCATTTTCACTCTCTTTGTACGTTTCTTCTATACCGAAAGATTGTTCAACATCCTCTTTCTGTGTGTGTGTGTGTGTTTGCTATCATCATCAAATCAATATGAATCAATCGTTCTGCTTAAATAATCACTCCGAAATTAAGCGCCCGTTCTTATTTATGTTTTTGGGGACATCTTTTTTTGGTTCATCACAACTCCACACTTCATAATGAGTGTGTGCTTGTGTGACTTGTGTGCCGATAACTGAGAGAGAGGAGACCCCTACACATCGTCAGTTATCTTACGCGTTTTAAAAAAAAGACACGTAAGTTGGCTTAAGCAAAAGGCCATGATAAGATATACTACACTGATGGTGTGCTTTTGTTTCATTTCAAGGTTTTATCTTTATGCATGCACAATCACACTAAACTGATGGTTAATAGGGATCGGGACTTGAGGGATTAGTAACTCTGTTGTTCTCTTTCATCATTATCATCATCAAGAGCATTAAACGACAAACGATCAATACAACCTATTCCTTTCAACAACAACAACAACAAAGTACGATTCACTTCGATCACTTTGTATATCGCGTTTCACAGCTTCCGCGGATAAATTCAATTCACTAAACCCTGACTACATACGGATTGCTCAGCATCTCTCATTCAAATAACCATAATACAATTTTATATCACAAACACCCAAACACGCATCCATCCAGCAAAGTACATCTCTCAGCACTATCACTTGTCCCAGCACACCCTTATCGCTAGACAGACAAGTATACAACCATAAGCAATGTCCGTTTAAGATCGGAGAGAGAAGTAAGCACGGCTGTGCAATCTTACAAGAAGAAACACACGCACACATTTGACATCTTTCTGTCGTATAGCTTCCGCATTTGACAAAATGGGTTCACCTGCTGGATCTGGACCAGCCTCTGTGGTAGGCCAAACGGCAACGATCACATCCCGATATCCCAAATTGGATGGCGTATTGTATCATTTTTATGCAAAAACATCCGCTGTGATCACTTCATGCCGCCTAACACACTTTGAAGGATCAGAACCTTTGGGTGGAAGTAGTTCAACCTCTTCACGACAATTACGACAGCTCAGAAGGAATTCCTCCGAATCTGCAAGCGCAAGCACGGCGACCAATCCAGGCGTGAATCGAACTGGTTCTACGTCTGGAAGTACAGGCAGAAAGGTTAGCAAATGGTTTGCGCTTGATATTGATGATCAAGATGTCTTTCGAGATGAGATTAGGTTATGGCGTAACATATCTACTTTGATACCCAATTGGCTTTTGGATCAACCTCCTTCTACTTTGCCTCATCAAGGTGCAGCATATGTCCCACCTATGTTTCTCGACATCGTTTTGGATACGTCAAATCTCACTTCGAGTCATGTTCTCATGATTGATGAATTGCAAGACGATCGCAGAACTAGACGAAGAGTACGAGTTGATGGTCAAGATACCGGTTCGAGTCCACGCAGATCAGGCGAACGATTAGAGCCTCAAGGTGACAAAGAACAAAGAGGCAGAGATGAAGCGTTAGATGTACATCGAGAAAGCATCCTTTTAGAAAGCTGGAGGTTAGACTTTGCCATTCATAATCCGCCTAACCCTCCTGACCTGCCAACGTTATACAAGCATGCAACTGCACATTTTCGCGAAGCTTATGCATTTGTGACCGATTTACCGAGTTATGCGCTACACAAACGTTTAAAACAGATTTGGGAGAGCAATTTGGAAAGAAGAAGAGCCAGAACGCAAGAAGGCAATGTCAACGATCTTGAAGAAGAGCAAGACGAAGATGATGAACTGGCAAATTTGCTGAAGGTTGGCGTACGCATGGCTATAGGGAGACCAGGAGAAACGGAGGAAGGACATATTGGGCTTCGTGAGCCTGTAGGATCAATGATGCATTCTAGCGATGGATCAGGAAGGGTAACAAGGTCTTATTCTTTCGCACCAATCTTGACCCCTGTTGGCTCTTTGAGCTTTTCGGTGGAGTATAGGCGAAATGTGGACTTTTACGTGGAAGATTGGCATGTGATTCAGAGTATGCGTGAGATTGCACTTGATGAAGATTATTTCAAGCCAACGATGGCAAAACATCTTCAAAGACGTGCATCTGTACAACGTCAAAGGCAAAACTCTCAAGGCTCCCTTTCAAGTTCACCAGCATCTTTTGGCGATAAGAGATCTCTTTTGGCGCAAACTTCCAGTCAAAAGACGGGCGAAGAGCATCCTTCCAGTCATTCACCTTCGGATACTACAGCTCCAAAATCCACGCCAAGCGTATTCGGTACTTCTCTAGGATCGACATCGGGAAGACCTGTGGCAGGTCTATCGAATCTACGTGCAAGTCCATCTGTGGCCGGCTATAGTGCCAGTCCAGCAACAGCAACTTTGGGTAGTTTGGCGAGTGGCAATAGTGGTACATCGAGCCCTGCTTTGTCGTCTGCTTTGACTTCTGATGCAGCCTTTTTGACCCATACAAGACGTCCAAGTATCAGCAGCGGTAGTGAGAGACGGTTACGATCTTTCACATCTTTGGGTACAGGTCAAGACAAAGAATCGCCGCCTTCACCCAGCGTTAGTGGGAGACCGATCTTATCAAGAACATCGATCAGCAACGCATTCCCGCGGTCGGGGTCATACAGTCCTTCTTCTCCTTCACCACTTGCTCAGCAAATGTACGCTCAACAAGCTGCTGCAGCCCTTGCGAATGCTAATGCACAAGGCGGAAGACTTTCATCCAGTCCATCATTTCGTGCTGCGGGTCAAGTGGCGGGAAGCGGAGGTAGTTTAGGCTTCCCAGGTACATCCATCAGTCCAAGTTTGCGGTCAGTGTTTCAATCTTATACGCCTTCTCAATCTCAAACTTCGATTTCATCGCTTTCCCGAACACCGCCACGGTCTTTGCTGGAGAATCCGATCACTTCTGCTCCTACTTCTGCGCAGACCAATCCAACACGAAGTGGAGATGGTCAACCCTCACAGACAGCTTCGCCATCTATCTCGACTTCAAGTCAACAGCCTTCGGTAGCACCACAAATGATAAAGAGGTACGATTCAGGGTTTAGCTATAGGCAAAGCCGACAGACTTCCTCTATCGGAAGCGATCAAGGAGCTACAGCTGGCGGTGCGGGAACAAGTGGCGGACTGTACAGTAGGAGTTGGCAAACGAGGTACGAGCAAAGACCTGCTTTTGTTGCTCGAAGTCTTGGACGGGAAGAAGGATCGAATTACTCGCCAAATTCGCCTTTGTCCATGCGTAGACCACTTCTCTCTGAAAGTGCGGGACCTGATGAAGATCTGGATGACTTAGTTCGAATGATTGAGTCTAGGCCAACTCTAGGCAATCCAGGTATTGCCGCTTCAGCTACAAGTGAATCCGCAGAAGATCATTCAAAGTCTTCTAATGAAGGCAATTCAACTTCAGGAACTTCTCGCGCAATTACTCGTCGTGATGATCACCATCCTTCTTCTCCGATGCAAGTCTCATCTATCGCATCATCTGCATTCCCACGTACTCGTGGGCTCAATCGAACGCAAGTGGATGAAATGCTGCAAAAGATGCAAAATAGTGTGCGAGAATACAGTACTTCAGTGGGCACCAGTCGTAGTAGTCCAGCAAGCGGAGGTCATGCAACTTCTTCATCAGGAGGACAAAGTCAACCTGGACATTCTCCGCCCGTCCAGTATGGCGGCTTACAAAGTACCAGCTTCACACGTAGTCCATTGAGTAGAGGATCTTATAGTGCCACAACGTCTACAAAGCCGGCTGTTGATCAAGATGTAGGCTCTGCCCGTAAGAATGTTCCAATGGAAGCTATTGCCAGTGGTGATGGAGTTGAGAGTAGAGACGTATCCTTAAGCAATACCCACGATAGATTACTTGCTGCTGCTCCAAGTGTTGCACCATCAAGGCAAGAAGCGTCAAGTGTGGCTCCTATTGATACCGCTCAAAACACAGACCAAGAAGGCGCTGCTGATGCAAAGAGAGATAGCCGAGAGGAAGCACGTTTAAGTCATTCGCATCCCGGACGTGCTCGATCTCGTGGATCACTGGAATTGTACGCACCTCATTCTTACGATCCATTGGATGATGAAACAGCTGGTCGATTAGAGCTTGCAACAGATGAATCATTGACGGAGATGCGTAATGCACAAGCACAAGGCCGTCAAGGTTTCCATGGTGTGTCTGGCATTAGTGGCGGTTATGCAAATAATAATGGTACTGAAGAAGAATCGCGAAGAAGACTTGCAAATATGGAACTTGCACGTAATTTCACAAACACAGTCAGCAATCGCGGTGGAAATGGTCGTTCGGCATCAACTACGGGCAGAACGAGTATGAGTCCTTGGCGACAAAGAGGTTTTCATCCTGCTCCAAGTGGAACGGTAACCAATAGTCCGGGCGATGTTCATTCTACGCATTTCCATAGCGCTCATCCTTATCATCATGCACATCAAAGTCACTTGAATGCTTCAAGACACGCACAAACAACAAGTTCAAGTAACACCCCTCCCGCAAATCGAAGTGGTCGTTCTAGTACTGTTCAACCTTCATCACCTGCGGGTAGTCCTCCAATGGACTAAACGAACGGCCTCTCCCCAATCGTCACCTCTCATCGTTCCGTGTAAGTGTATTTGGTGTTTTACATGCTTATGTTTTGCTTCATATATCTCAATCAATCTGTTTTTTTTTTGTTGGCAAGTGGCAAAAATAATTATTAATATCTTGCAATAGGACTAGTATACATGCAACTAAAGCGTTGTGTAATGGTTAGGTAGAAGATTCTTCGAGAAGTAGATCAATGAGTTCAGATGGTCCGATCGCTGATAGAGAACGGAATCGAGCTTTGATTCGAAGATTACGATCCAGTGTAACGAGAACTGCTTTGGCAACAGATGGAACATTCTTTTTTGCAATTTCTGCTTCTCTTTTTGCTCGTTCTTCATCGTCTGAACATAAAAGCAACAATCTGTTCCTGAAATGCGCTCCTGCTTGCCAAGAAAGGCAACGAAGGATTACGTCATCCACAGAACGTGCCATTGCACATTTTCCATCTTCGTTACCTTCACTTGCATCAGGATGCGTTTGAGGATCGTGCAATTCATCATGATCTCCATCTGTTTGTTTGTTGTTTGCGCCAAAATCAATATCTTCCGTACGAAAACGTAAATCGGTCAAATAATTTCCACGAGAAGTTTGAACTTTAAAATTTGTTGAATGTGTTTTCACTTTTTCTTCCAAAAATTTTATAGCGTCTTGCGCTCGTTTTCCAACATCTCCCTCTCTACGTTTCAGACCGTCCAATTCTGTAATGACCGAAAGAGGAATAATTACCATCCACCTCTTCGACTTGATAAGCTGGCTCAGAATATCCGTTGGCGTTAACATCACATTTGTATCCAAGAGCAACGTTGTGTAGCCTGGAACGATACGGATTGAAGTCTTCGTAGATTCTTTGGGCTTTGCAGATGATTGATGACGGGAAGTGTTTTCCTGCAAAGGGGTTTGTTTTGCACTCTTTGAATCAGTAGATCGGTAATGATTAGCAGCTTTTCCAATCCGCAATTGTTTACGCAATTCATTACGTTTCTTCGTCAATTCCATGATTTCGGCAGAAATATCTCCAGTCTCCGTTGAAGGTACTTCCACTTCATCCTCATCCAAATCATCCTCCTCTTCCACTGTCAATGCGATTTGAGTTGAGCTGTGTGCAACATCGATCTGATCGGGCGAGGCTGTTCTGCCTTCTAAAGCCGCCAACTTCAGATGACCTATAGCTCCCTCAACCTCTTCTCTGGCTTCGTCTGCTCGCCACTGAACAACCTTTCTGCTCAAAGGGGGCGCAAGTACCATACGACCATGTCTAGCATGTACATAACCTGAGTCAATGTCAAAGTCCATACCCGGAACAGTTTTGATCAGGATCGTCAAAGCATGCGTAATTCGTTTCCAACGGAGAAGAGTGAGGGTCAACCTTGGTCGTGAGGATTGATCTCCTCCGTGAGCTCCATGAACTTCGCTATCTTCGTCGTCATCGTCATCGTCATCATCTTCTTCATTGTGATGGTCTTCAGGATGCGATGTTCCACTTTGACTTTCACGATCAGAGATATCACCGCCGTTTGTACATCTCGTACAACGATCGATCATCTCTAATTCATTTTCGAATAATGCCAATGAACTACGAAGTCCAAGTCTTTCGACCTTGTGTGGCTTCCAAAATCCACGTTCGTACACCCGTCTTCCAACCCAGGCCATTCCACGTAAACACCAGTCTTCCGGCAAAGGGATTGCATCACTTCGAATTTTGAGCGTTGCATCATTTCGTGGATCGATCGACTCAACGGACGCGGGGATAGAGTTTCCTAGCTTCACAAGACTTTCCCAAGGGACAAATTTCTCCAATTTGCGCAAGTAGCCTTCGCTTTTGCATTCTTGACTCAAAAAGGTTAACATCAAGGTTATATAAGGATTGGCTGCCGCCTTGTTCTCCTCAGCGAATGCATCCACCACCGCTTCCAGCATGTCAAACGCAAGTCGGCAAGCTTTTTGCGTGGCGCATGGCAAGTCACTTGATCCTTCTGCAAAATTGGACTCATCTGCTTCTTCTTCTTCGCCCGCGTTATCATCACCTTCTGCCTGTTCATCATCATCTTCATCTTCTTCTCCTTCGTCCTCTTCTCCGTGCTTGTCTGCTTTCTTACCCTGTTGTGCTTTCGTTTCATCGCCTGATTCTTGACCAGCTCCATACTGGAGGATAGCTGCGATATTGATTGTGGCCATCATCATCCATGACGAGGGTGAAAGCAGGACAGTATCTGATCCATTGCGAAAGTCATTCTCTCGCAAACGTAAAGTGAGAAGTTTCTTGAAGCGAACATAAACACCATCGAAATCATCCACTTGGATTCGAGTAAACAAGATTCCGTGCATATGCACGAAAAGATCAACAATCGAAGCTTCTTCAGAAATACGTCGTGCTTGTGCTGAACGTTCGAATAATGGTAATATAGACTCTCTTGCGCTAGGATACGGGTGAGAAGTTGTCAAACTTTTGCAAAAGTGATACAACGATCGCAATTCATCATCTCTACTCAAGACACCTAAATGATGATGCAATCTTCCAGTTCCAGGAACGTCTGCCAAACCTTTTGCATACCATCCACGAGCTGTGCTACGCCAGATTTCCTTTTCTTCCAAATCCCAATCTTGTGCGGCCGCTGCTCCGATACTGGCTTGGTCTTTTCCCATTTCTGCACTGGCAACTTCCAAAGCTTCTTCGTCGGCGCCGTCGCCTTGTTCCTGGCTAGCAGTGGGTAATTGTGATTCAATGCTCGTCTTTCGATCGGCTCGAGTACGAGATTGTGATCCTGAGTCACGTCTTTCTGCTCCATGTCTTACACCATCACGAACGCCCAAGAAAGACATGATTTTAGCTACGGCCATCCGATACCTTGCCAAATCTCCCAAATTTTCGATCCAAGAACTTCTGAAAACTTTGAAAAGTTCACTTTCGAGTATATTGGTATAATAAGAATAAGCATAATAGATATACTCTGTGAACAAATCAAGCATTTCGTTAATCTTTTCTCGATCGGATGGTGGAACACCGGAATCACGCATGGCAATACATGTTTGCCAATCAGGTAAAGATTGTCTAAAGCGTTCCAGTAAACTGTGAAAAGCCGTATGCCATAACCGTGTGGGTATTTTGTACGATTGTGGAAGTGAATGAAGTGAGGCGGGTAAGCCAGGACGGAGAGCAGCTTCCATGAAAGCGACATGCAATTCTGCTAACGTTCGATGTTTAGCAATTAGATCGAGCCAATAGGTGTGATGCAGCGAGCCGTCAGGATTGAATCCATGGCGATCAGTATTGGTCCGAGTTCTTGACATAGTGCTGCTATTTGTCATTTGCGCATTGGAGGACTGTTCAGCTTGATATTTTCGTTCTTGTTCGCTTGCAAGTTTGTGTTCGTCTTGCAATTTACGCTCAAGAACGACCACATCCCTATACCTTCGCTTGAGTTCGATGACATAGCTATTGTTGTCAGAAATAGCACCTTCTGCTGCGCCATGTCCTTTCCGTTTGGAGGAGCTACCTTCGCCAGAGTCAGTAGTAGCACGAGAACCAGGACCTCGTCTTCGTCTCCTTTCTTTGCCTTCACTTGAAGCAGTTGACATTGTAACCATACTTGGTGTTGCAGAAGATGCGAAAGATCGTGCGTCCGACATTCCAGCGACAGAATTTGCATCTGTTGAGGTGATTCCAAGTCCTTTTCTATTTGCTGCAAATCGAACCGGATCATCTTTTCGAGGGTCAAACAATTTTGCTCCAGACGTACTTCCTCCGGCTGAACGACCTCCTCCGCCTCCACCATGACTTATACTTGCAATATCCGAATCGTTTAATCGGCCACCGTGACGTGAGTGAACTTCACGGGCAGGCCCATGATTACCTCCACTTCGATGGTTGTGATGGTATCTCTTGCTGCTGTCTTCACCACTTCTGTGGGAGGTGCTATGATCTGCTGTGTTACGTCGGCCGGCAGATCTTATATCACTAGCTTCTGAATTTTCTCCATCATTCATGTTCACTCTAGCAAATCGTCCTGATCCTTTCGATCCATCATCAAGAGGTGAAGATCGTGTAAGAAGACTGATCGGCGGTCCACTTTCCATACCCTCTCTCACGTTATGAGAAGCAGCACTATTTTCACGTCTCATCACATTTGCACGATCCATATTCCGTGATCGGCTATTATCGTTTTCTTTCCGCCTTTGACGATTGTATGCTTTGCGTTCGTCATAGCTATGCTGACGTACCGGATCGCTGGCCAGACTTGCTCCGTGCATGCTGGGCTTTGCGGAATCGTTTCTTCCTTCAGGTTTTGCTGGAAGAGAGCCGTGATCGTTTGACAGTATTGGCGATCTTTCATGTTGGACCAAGCGAATGATTCCTTTGCGTGGCGAAGATGATCCGGGGATATGCGGCTGTTGTTCGTAGTATGCAGCCATTTTGCGTACCACTATTCAGCTTTGAGTTGTGCTTGTATCCTTCCAAAGTAGGAGCCTGAAGCTATTATAGCTTACTTGATAAGCCTGTTGTTAATCAAGACTGGAAGTCATGCAGAGATTGATTTGTTGCCTTTGATAAAATGCAGTTTATCTTCTTCTTTTAGGGATCACTTTGGCGATCAATCTTTAGGCAAGTTTTGAAGACCATTTGATAACACATCGCGGAGGTTGGAGAGAAAGGGTTTCTTGAAAGTGATCAAGAAGCGATTGCTGAGTGATATCTTTTGCTATTTTGATGGCCTCCGGCGATAATCGGAGCGAATCTTTTTTGGGTACGTCGTTTGCACTTTCGCGTTTGGTAAGGGAAGGTTGTTTTGGCAATTAAGATTGTTTTAAGTTACGATTTGAATCTCTTGCAACCTTGATGACGACTCTTTCTCCTGTTGAACCAAGGAAGTCAATAGAACCTCTTTCGAATGAGCGTTTAATCGGGTCGGACGTAAGCAAAAGTATTGTCAATCACCATTAAAATAAAAATAATAAAATGGCGCAAGAGTATTGACCTCCTCAAAAGGGAAAAACACTGCCCGTTTGCCTTGAATGTGTTGTTGTCTTAACATAATCTGTTGCTGCGCAAACCTTACTTTTAGTGCGTAGCGGCCGGCTCAGTGTTGTGTGTTATTGTACAGTGCATATACCCGCGCTTTGCTGCTTGAAGAAATGCTGAGCGGGCGGCACGCAAAGCTGCGCGGGATTTGATTAGTAAGTTGCGTCTTTTTCGGAGCATTTTCCTCCGCTTTTCTTTCGTAAATTGACGCTAAAAGGATTGATTGTTGTTGTTGTTTGTGTGTTGACTCGACAGGTTGTCATGTTGTTCTTGTTCGGACAAGTGATACCGATTGACAGATGTTCGGATCGCTCCGGGGTTAAGAACATGTGGACAACAACAAAGAAGAAAGGTATAAATACACCCTTTCAACAAGGACAAATTCACGGCTAAGATTCAAAACAACAATTCCCCCTCAATCATATGTACATTCACTACACTCAGTAGTAATGCTGAAATCTACCATGTTGGCAATCACGGCAGGAAAGGAAGATGGTATCGCAATAGTACGTAAAGATATACCAATCCCAACTCCCAACTCCGGTCAAGTACTCGTTCGAATCATTTATGCAGGTCAAAATCCACCTGACGCATATGCACTTGACAAGCAACGTTCTGCAGCTTATTTTGATCCAGATTTCATCCTTGGAAGTGATTTATCTGGCATCGTCGTCGAATCAAAAAGTGACAACGTTCCAATCGGAGCACGAATTTGTGCTTGGGTTCCCGGTAACACATCTGTGACTGGAGCATATGCGGAGTATGTAGTATGTGATGCCGAAATGGTCATTTGCGTTCCAGCAAATTTGTCTCTTCGTTTGGCAGCTGCTTTGCCATTCTCATTCTTTACCGCTTTGCATGGCTTGCAAGTCGGCTTGGGCTTACAAATGGACAAGATGGACACTGAACGTACTCCCGTCTTGATCTGGGGAGCAGGAACAGCTTGTGGTTATTATGCAAGTCAATTGTTGCACTTGGCAGGATATGAAGTGATTGCTGTAGCCGGTCAAAAGTCAAAATATCAACTTGAAGCAGTGGGGGTGAATAATTTCTACCCACGGGATAATCTTGATCAAGCAATCGATAGTATCACGCAGAAATGGCCAAAATTGCAATACGCTTTGGATTGTCATGCTTCCCAAGAATCACTTGATGCATGTGTACGGTGCATGAAGACAGAAGCTTCAGCTCATATACACACTTTGCTCCCAGCGCAACCTTCTGTCACCAAACTTGCAAATTTGAAAATCACCTTTGACTTAGTTCACACGATGACGGGGAAATCATTACCGATCCTATCAATGGTTCAACCGGCGCATACAGCGGACCATCTTGCTCTTCATCACGAGATAGCTGTCGAATGGTCAAAATACGATAAAGGCTTGCTGTATAAAATGTTACAGAAGAACCAAATAAAGATACTTCCGATCACTGTTTGGAGAGAGGATGCACTAGCAAACTCAAACGTCAAAGAAAGGATAGAAAGCATAAAAGAAGCACTCGAATTTGTCGCAAACGGTTCCGCTTTCCCGAACGGTAAGATTGTACATCATATTCAAGACATTCAACAACGTATAGAGCATCTATTAGGCGGACCTTAATATTGTATTTGTATCTTGATAATTTAACCACTTCTTTTCATGATGATCAGATCACGTGCGAGAGAGAGATGATTGCCATACGCGGTGCGAGCAGTGCATGCGCTAATAAGTTGCACGAGTCACTTTTTATCTTGACAGCCCTGAGCCCCAGTGGAAGAATTGCATCTTTTTGCTCCTTCGATTGAGAAGATCATCTTTTTTTCAATCCTTGCAATTCACCATTTGATGAACAGAGGCTTGATTCAAACATTCAGTCGAAGTCTTCTTAATCAACGTTCCTTAAAGCTCGACAACCTCAAACTGCGAATTGCTAAACCTCTGTCACCTGCACTTCACCCTAGCCTTCCATTCAATACAATACGCAACATGGCTGACGCAACAGAAGCCAATCTCCATTTGGACGATGTGACGGGAGAGATGGTTAGCAAGTCAGAATTAAAGAAACGCAAAAAGCAACGTGAGCGAGATGCCGAAAAAGCAGCAAAAGCAGCTGCAGCACCACCAAAGCCACAAGCAGCAGCAGGTGCATCTTCTTCCGGTTTAAACGAAGATGATATCTCACCAAATCAATACTTTGAATTACGTTCTCGTGCAATTCAAAAATTACGTGAAACCCGTGATCCTGATCCATACCCTCACAAATTTCACGTCACTCTCAGTCTGACTGACTTTATCGAAAAGTATCAAGATAAGACCACAAACGGAGAAAAGCTAGCAAACGAAAAGCCAATCTCTTTGGCAGGTCGTATTCACAACATGCGTTCAGCAAGTAGCAAACTTCGATTCTACGATTTGTGGGGAGAAGGTGTTCGTGTTCAAATCACTGCATCTTTGCAAGATCATACCGATGGTGATTTCTTGGCCGCACATAATTTATTGCAACGTGGTGATATTGTCGGTGTGACGGGTGTTCCTGGTAAGACCAAAACTGGAGAATTATCAATCTTCCCACAATCCATTCAACTACTTTCGCCAAACTTGCACATGTTACCAAAAGCATCAGCAGGTGGTTTCACCGATCAAGAACAACGTCACCGTAAGAGATACCTGGATTTGATCATGAACAACAACGTTCGTGAGACATTTGTTAAGCGTGCAAAGATTATCAGTTATATCAGAAGATTTTTGGACAATCTTGGTTTCTTGGAAGTTGAAACACCAATGATGAACATGATCGCTGGTGGTGCAACTGCTAAGCCTTTCGTCACCCATCACAATGATTTGAAAATGGACCTTTTCATGCGTATTGCCCCGGAACTTTATCTCAAGGAATTGGTCGTTGGTGGTCTAGACCGTGTCTATGAAATCGGACGTGTGTTCCGTAACGAAGGTATCGATATGACCCACAACCCTGAATTCTCTATTTGTGAATTCTATATGGCTTATGCTGATATGTACGACCTTATGGATATCACCGAAAGCATGATCAGCGGATTGGTCAAGGCTGTCACAGGTGGCTACAAGATCAAATATCACCCTGATGGTAAGGATGTCGAAGGTGGACGTGAATATGAGATCGACTTTAGCACTCCATGGAAGCGATTTGACATGATGAAGGAGTTGGAGGCCAAATTGGGAGCTAAGTTGCCCGCTGCCAACCAATTACACACTGAAGAAGCACGCAAGGTTCTTTCAGACCTGGCTGCTAAGCATAATGTCGATTGCCCAGAGCCAAGAACGAGTTCCCGTTTGATCGATAAAATGGTTGGTGAATTTATCGAAGTTCAATGCATCAACCCAAGCTTCATCGTTGGTCATCCTCAAGTTATGAGTCCTTTGGCTAAACGTCATCGTGAGATTGAAGGATTATGTGAACGTTTTGAAGTGTTTGTTGCTACAAAGGAAATTTGCAATTCGTACACCGAATTAAACGATCCATTCGATCAACGTGAAAGATTTGAAGAACAAGCAAATCAAAAAGCACAAGGAGATGATGAAGCACAAGCGATCGATCATGTCTTTTTGGATGCGATGGAACATGGTTTACCACCAACGGGTGGATGGGGATTGGGTATTGATCGTTTGGTGATGTTCTTGACAGATTCAAACACTATCAAAGAAGTTTTGGCTTTCCCTGCCAATAAGCCATTGCCAAGTGAAGTTAAGAAGTAAAAAAAGGCAGACGGTAGAGATAGATTGTCATTTGTAGCATTTTGTGTACATGTAAATAGCATCTCCACCATTGAAAATGAGAATTGGCCGAGTAAGCAGCGGGTTGTTTGATGGGAATAGCTAAATTGAGGCGTCTGATAGTGTACTAGCTGGTTGCAGATGTGATATCATGTCGCTTTTAAAGCAGATTCTTTTCGGTTATTGTTACACGTAGATAAGATTGCATGAAAGTACCCCATCATCACAGGAACAATCGAGCCAATTCAAAGAACACTAGATAGCGGAAAGACGGGAAGGAATAAGTCAGTTGAGACCTTCCTTTAAACAGCTCGCACACTTACCTCCTCCGATTACGACGAAACAGATTAAGATCAAAGCGGTATTGCTAACGACTGGCTTCTTTGCGATTCGGTCTGCATATGCTGCTCTTGGTTTTGTCTTTCCTTCACGAGCATTGCGAGCGTTCTGTAATAGAAGAATGATCAGTATAATGCCTTTATTATGTGGTTGTAATGTTACACTCACGCGCTCGTTCTTTGCACGAATATCTTTTCCTGTCGGCTGCAGTGTCGAATCGGGTGAGTTAATTAGAGAAGATCAGCATATGAGCCTGTGTACTCACCATGATCGATTATAGGACCAGATCTGTAGAAGATGATGGGCAAATGCGTACTTCGTTAGGAAGAAAGAAGATGCCTCTTTGTTTGTCTCCGGATTCCACGTCTGCAAACGTATACGCTAAAAAGTCTAATTTGGCGGCGCTGGGCTGGGCGGGCAAACGTTTAAAGGGGAGTATTGGGAGTTCTTCTTAATTGTCCGTGCATTTATTCAATCATTCATTCTTCCATTCACCATCATCATCATCTTATAATGTCTGGTTCTTTCAATCGTGGCACAAGGGATACATCTAGACAAACAGATAGAAATGCTCGTTCGTCCCCTTATCTGGTATGTTTCTATAAAATGCTAAAGTCGGCTCACTGTTCTTATAATTCACCTAACATCTTATCAGAGACATGATTCAAGGGCCGATCAAGATAAATGGAAGCATGATAAGTATAATCAACGAGATGAAAGGCTTGGAAATCGGATAGAAAGTCGGGGTAATTCTTCGTCAATTGCTAATACGCCTTCAGCTAAATTGATCGTTAAAGGCTTGCATTATGAGATTGGTAATGATGAGTTAATGGAAATATTTCAACGTATTGGTCCTATTGCTAAAGCTTCCGTTCGATATGATCGTACCGGTCGTTCAGTCGGCGTTGCAACCGTTATCTATGCAGATCAAAAAGATGCAATTCGTGCAAAACAAGAATATGATGGTGCAAATGCAAAGGGTCATCCGCTCTCCATCTCCTTTGAACCAATGCGGGAAGATAGAATTGCTCAATCTGGATCATCAGGTGGAAAAGGACTTCTGGAAAGACTACAAGGAGGTGGTAGTGAGCTTTCTGCCCGGATTGGTGGTACGACTGGATCGCAGAGAGGTGTTCCACCACCCAACGCACCAAAAGGTCCCGCCTCAGAAGCATCATCACACCCTCAACAATCACGTCAGCGTGGTGGAAGAGGTGGAAGGGGGTTCTCACGAGGTGGCGGTCGTGGGGGAAGAAGAACGAAAGGGCCTGCTCCTACTTCTGATAGTCTAGATGCGGAACTCGGTAAGTTTTGGGTTGGTTATATAAACAGCTTATAGTACAGTTTTACTCACCTTTCCACACCTTCCTGCCTTTACAGATGATTTCATGAAGAACACATCGGGATCAAATGGAAGTATGCATGCACCACCCTCACAAGACGTTGAAATGAAGTAGAACAGCATTGTACTATATTTATCCTATTATTCAGTGTATCTTAACATATCTATTTTACATAACGACTCAATTGTTCTGCATGACCTGAGTCAAAGCTTTAATAGTCTGCTCGAAATCATTATCGCCATCGACACCGGTATACCAATTACTGACAGCCAATCTAGCCGCACCTATTCCACAGAAAGATCCCGGAGAAATATAGATGATTCGGCCTTGTTTGACCGCATCAATGAAATGCAAATGTCCCTCCTTCGCATCCCGGAAAGCTTCTATCGGACAAGTCTTAGGATGAGGACGGAACAAGACAACCGTCGTTGCCCAAAAGTCATCTTCCCATCTTGGCGGGTTCCGTTCACCGGGAGCAGCACGTAAACGACCGTTGTGTGGAGCAAATTTACTGCTGAGGGAAGATGTTGCAGGAGTAAGAACTTGATAATACGGACTTTTGCGAAGCCATTGACGAATACGAGCGGCAAATTGGAGATTACGTTCAACTATTTCACGTACCCCACGATGACCTTGTGATAAAAGGGAAATGTATACCGGCAATGCACGGAACCTTCTAGAGTTCTCCAGATTACGATGCAAAGGTGAAGGAAGAGTTGCGGATAAGACTTGTGCATCAGTCATTTCTTCGTCGTTGGCTGCTTGCAATGGTGCCGAAGCTAAATAAGAAGGTCCTGAATCTTTTCTCGAAGGTCCACAAATATCATCAAGATAACAAACATGTTCCATAAATGTCCTTGATTCTTCTGGAGGAATGAATTGATTACCCTCACGGAAAGCGCTATGTTTCTTGATATACAATATCCCGCAATCGTACGGAACGTTGAGAGTCTTGTGTGCATCGGATGTTAGACTATCACAAACACCCATATGAGTGGATACCCAATGATATTCTTCATGCAAACAAACAAATGCCGAAAAAGCGGCATCCATATGTAACCAAGCACCGTATTTGTCACACATCAATCGGATCGCCAACGTTTGATCTGTCAATGCACCGGTAACGACTTCTCCCATTCCCATTACAACAATTGCACCTTCTGCATTTGCTTGACATTCTCTCAAAGCGGATTCCAACAAAGCAAAATCGAAATCCAACGTTTCAGCCCTGGCCAAAGCTTCAACTTGTTCCCTTTCTTCTTCGCTGATTTCTTCATCACCCGTATCTGGCATTTCCAGCTTTATTCCCAAATCAATCACATTCTTTCTGCCTATCCCCAGAATGGCCGCACTCTTTTGTATGCTAGCATGTGGTTGACAAACAAAGATCTTGATCGGCGGTAAATCTGGTCCATACAATCCATCCTCTGCGGGATCCCATTCATCTTCTTCTTTCGGTAAAGTTTCTCCTGCATCTCTTCTTCTCTGCCGCCGTATTCTGTATGCACGTTGTAAAGTAGCCTGTCTTCCACAAGCCAAAGCAAGTGTATTGCTAGCCGTTGCACCGGTTGTGAATGTACCTGTCCATTGTGATCTATCCATGTGCAAGACATCCAAAATCATATCCAATGCGTATTTTTCGATAATGGTTGAAAGCGTCTCTCTTGGTAAATGAACTTGAACGTTTGCATCCATTAAAGTTGTCATCATATCGGCCAATAATGCACTCGGTAATGTTCCCCCAGTAATGAAACCGAAATAACGTGGTCCTGCTTGACCTTGTGCAAGAGTGGGCAAGACGGATTCGAACAGGAAATCGATCGCACGTTTGAGACCATATTCGCTGCCTTCCGGTGGTATTGACCTAGGCAATTGCTCTAGTCCTTTTCTTAATTCATCTTCTGTGGAAATCGTTGGTATATCCGATAATGTCTCTTGCCTTTGGATTGCTAATTCTTGTATTCTTGCCAATGCTGTTTTGAATTCAGCCAATGGCTCATGCGGTAATTCGGCTGGTTTTACCATCTTCACTGCGGATGATGGTTGTGAATGATGGATATGATTGTTTCTCACTCGGTCCATTACCTTAGAAGAAACACAACTTCCAAACTTGGAGTCCCGTGTCTTATATAAAATACTGAAATTGTGCCTTTTCAACTCTAAATGGAACCAGGTACGCATGCATGAGGAAATCCGCGGGCCATTCTTAACTGGGTTTTCATGCCTTCCCGCACTTTGCGCCACGATAAAAGAATGCTTCCCGCTTCTAGACTTTGTATTCGCACAAAATAGTATGATGATCAATGACATTAGATTCATTTTTGCATTTTGCTAAAACGAAAAGAGGGTAAACTCTATCGTAAAGCGATGATGTATGATGAAAAGATAAAGAGTACAACAAGATTGAATGATAAAAATTATGCAAAAAAGGGAAAAACCATTAAGTTGAGAAGGAGAAGATGGTGATGAGATGATTAGAATGAAGCCTTCTCGTCAGCATCACCAGTCTTGGCCATGATTTCGTGCTTGTTCTCATCAGCAGTGGCTTCTTCGTCACCCTTGATGTATCTAGCGGCTTCACCTTCCAATGCATCACGACGAGCGCGGATTTCTTTGTTGGCAGCGGATGATTTGAGTGGCATAACAGTTGCGTATAACTAAAAAAAGGGAAGAATAAAAAGTTAGCATAGCTGATCAACGAAACACACAACAGAATGGTGATATTTACCTCATCGGCCTCTTCCAAAGACAATCCAGCGGTCTCCATGATGAAGAAGTAAGCGAAGAGCATGCAACCGAAACATGTACCGGCCCAGATGAAGAAAACTTTTGAGCCCAAACCTGCATTTCCCTTTCCTGGGTTGACGAGGTAAGGAGTGGCGTAACCGATACCGAAGTTCCACAACCAATTAGAAGCAGTGCACAAAGAGAATGCCTTTGCACGAATAGCAAGTGGGAAAATTTCACCACAAACGACCCAAGCGGCAGGACCCCAAGTAGAAGCGAAACCGGCAACGTACAAGCAAACGAGAGCAACCAAAGCACGTTGAGCGTTTTGATTACTGGTGGAAACAGCTGTACCGATGATTGCAACCAACAATTCACAGATGAACATCCAAGCAGCACCCCAGATCAACAAACGACGACGACCGGCACGTTCCATTGCCCACATACCAGGGATGGTGCAGACGACGTTAACGACGTTGGAAGCAATAACGAAACCGTATGGGTTAGATTGACCTGTTGACTTGAAGAATTCAGTTCCGTAGTAGAAGATGAAGTTGATACCGGTGAGTTGTTGGCATCCTTGCAAGGAAGTACCGACCAAAGTACGTGTGAGGAATTTACGTGAGTTTGGCTTGAAGCAGTCAGCGTAAGAACCGTTACCGTGAGTCAATTCCAAGTCCAAGTTGGTTTGAATGTCAGCAACTTCAGCACGAACGACTGGGTCGTCAACATCGGTTGAGTTCAAGAAGGCCAAAGATTTGGCGGCACGGTCATGCTTTCCACCACGGATGAACCAACGAGGAGATTCAGGCAAGAAGATGATACCGATTGACATGATGATTGCGAAACCGATTTGAATGGCGATTGGGATACGGTAAGCACCTGAATCAGTACGAGTGTTTGTTGAGTTGTTAACGATAGCAGCGATCAAAAGACCAATTGTGATGGCCCATTGGTAACCAGAGACAACGGCACCACGAATCCATCTTGGAGCAGTTTCGGATTGGTACATTGGAACGATTGTAGAGATAACACCGACACCCAAACCAGCAATAACACGACCGGCAACGAAAAGACCATCTTGATGCATTGAAGCAGCGACTTGCAAAGCAACACCAATAACAAAGATTGCCATTGCAACTTGCAAACCCCAACGACGACCAAGGAAGTCAGCAATTGGAGCACCGATAAGGGCACCAAAGAAGGTACCTGCACTCAAAATTGAGACGAACAAAGAAGTACGACTGGTACCAAGTTCAACTTTACCGCCATCTTGTGGATTTGGATAACCGAAATCGTTGATAAAAGTGTTTGAAGCAATAACACCGGAAATTGTACCGGTATCATAACCGAACAATAAACCACCAAAAGCGGCAAATGCTGCAACTGCAATAGCAGGTAGAGTTTGACGAACGCTCTTGGGGCGAACGGCAGCAGGTTGATTACCTGTGTTCAAGGTAGGGACGACACCTGGCATTTTGACTAAGGTAGATAGGGAGGAGGAGATGTCTTGATGATGAAGTGGGGAAAAGAATGTGGGAAAGGAATGAAGAGGATGCAGTTTATATAACTTTTTGTAAACGGGATCAAAAGGGAAGTTTCAAGCCGGAGAAAAGAGATGTTGGGGAAAAAAGCAGGAGAAAAACTTCTACCGTGATCAACACCGAAACAACCACGACAATGAAAGAAAAAGGTCTAGGCGGGGTCAAGTAGGGGAAAAAATCTCACCGAAGAAATGGGTATTGACAGACGTGAAGCCACAATTGTTTTACAATACTAAAAGCTGAAGTTGAAATTGTTCCTGATAATCTACATTTGTGCATATTTTCAGTATGTCATACAGTTTATTTATTCATTCTCCCCCGCAAGGCACTTTAGCGGGGCACCATAATGGTTTGATTTAAGCATTTGGAGGGGTAAGGGGTAAGTAAGGCCAAATAATAACATTCTGGACTCTAATAAATTTCTAAAACAAAGGGAGGAATGACAGTCATACACCGTTATAGCAGTAATTGTCTAGGTTCAAGCATGCAAATGCAATTAAATGCCAGTCCAGAACAGGCGATTGAACTGTATCGCACGTATGAAAACTGTTGAGTGACTGTCAGACTGTCTGTCTGTCAGGAATTTAAACAACCCCGGCAAGGTATTGGACAAGCACATGAACCTAGACCTGCCCAAAAGGACCTTGTTCGGTAGATCTCAATTTACGCAGAACACGACAGAGATGCATCCCGAAGCAAGACAACAACAGTGTTTTTATGCTACTGCATGAATTATATTACGTACGCGTGTCTGTCGGTGTAGCCGAGCAGTGTCAGTTTGTTCCTTCTAGAATCTTTTCTTGCCTCGCTTCGGATGTTTACCATTACCACTTCTGCTTCTATTCTGCCGCACATTAAAAAAAGCATTTCCCGTTTAGGTCGAAATCTATCAACCGCTTATGCAATTCGCATGGGCCTACACACAAGGATCCGGCGTGTATGCCGCTAGATACAGTGTAAAAGAAAATCAAGCCACAATCTTATTCGGCTGGTTGGGTTCGGGTTAAATGCCATGCCAGTTTGCACACCTGCAAGAAACCACTCACCATGCACTCTTTTACGGATAACGCTAACTTTTTAGCCACGGTGGAACTTCGGGGAAATTCGGTGCATAAACAGCACTAGAGCCGCGAGAATGTTATTTTTGTATGAGTCGAGTGTGTCCCCTTCCTTTTTTTCATCCCGTGCTTATTTCATTACTAAGAATAACACTCATTCTATCCTCATTCATTAATATTGCCACTCATCCGCTCTTTTCGGCAACAGTTTCATCGTCGTGGGAAATACGGTCCAACAAACAAAAATTCTAAGAATAAAACAGCTCATAATGATGATGTTCACCATGTTAAATTGAAACTTTCTCGGCAAAAACGGCGATTGCAATGCATGTTTGAGTCTTGGGTTTGCATTGATTTATGTGCAATGTACAAGCGATCATTTCGCTTAGTTTTATCACCTGCGATGCTGTACATGCAATAACTGCAAGAGAAAGACGGAAACGAAAAGAATTGATTCAGGTACGACCCTGAACGAGAAATACATCCTGTCATGCGTTCCTGAAATGGTAATGAGATGAACAATATGAATATGCACATAGCCCGCGGCTCAACTTGCCAACATGCTTTATTGACTAAAACGATAGCCAATCTAAATAGTAAGCAAATTTCTTATTTTGTGGAGATTTTTATTTCGCGGGAGAATTGTTTGATGCAACCCATTCTACCCCATGGAGTGAATGATCGAGACCGGCAATTGATTTAAAATTTGGGGAGGTGCTTTATTCTATGTCGTATGACAGTACCTAGATCAGAACGGCACCGACAGCTATCTATGCACTGCATCCACGACGGCAACTTGGAAAGGCTCCGGAAAGCCACCTTCTCGCCTAATTTTGGTGCCTTTTGATCGTACCTGCATTCTGCGTCTTTTATTAAAAGTCAACGCATCCTCTTTTCCACACGTGAGTGAATGAGAATTCGAATAGCTATTAAACAATACTGTACAGAATTGAAAGGAATGATTGCTACATGGTGAAAGATTGTGTGCTAAAATGAAGAGAGCGTTTTCTGTTTAAGCTTTGGACGAATCCGTTTGCTTAACCGGTAAGCGAAGGATAAATCGAAGGATGTCGATCTTACGTGTGACCTTTTGAGTTTTGATGTTCTTTATACGAACCAAAATCAAGTTAGCAATCCAAATCAAAGCGAAGACTGGTACGCCACCGATAAAGATGTAGGTCATTGTCTTGGTCAATGCTTGTAAGATTGCATCCCTCTCAGGCCCATGTGGAAGTTGATAAACTTGTTCGGGTGTTATACGGGCATATCTGCTAAGATCAGTTCCTGCTGGTAGCATTGTTCGAACCAAGTGTGGGAATTGTGCTGATAGGATTGCGCCGGAAACTGAGCTACCAATTCCACCTCCCAAACGTTGAGAGAAGACGATAAAGGCAGTTGCTTTTGCCAGTAGTCTACGGTCTGTAATATTGGCTTGAACGGTCAAGATGGGTTGCTGGATAACAGTTCCGATTCCTAGCCCCAGTAAGATCTGCGTACCAATCTGGAAACCTAGCGGGCTATCGACTTTCTGGAAGTAAAGCAAAGCAGCTCCAGCCACTCCAAACAATGGACCAAAAACAGTTTGTGGATAATAGTGTCCTGTATTCTTTGCCAAAATGCCAGTAAACAACGAAACGATCGCAAGAGTGATCATGAAAGCCAACATATCCACACCTGCCAGCGTTGCTGATCGACCACGAACGGTTTGAAAGAAAAGAGGGATGAGGTAAGTAAACGTGATTGAATTCCAAAAAGTGAAAAATGATAAAATTGCACATCCAACAAAATTTGCATCTTTGAATAAACGAAGGGGTACCAATGCACGCTGTTCACCTAGATATTTGAACCATAGTCCCGATAAGATTGCTACCACACTTGCGAATGCGATTGGTGCCCAGGTCGTGATCGATTTCCAGCCGTTTTGATGTGCTTGTTGGATTGGAATAACAAGCATGCATACCAAACCGGTGAATAAGACGGTACCGATGATATCCATCTTTTGCAATCTTTCCATGACTTTGATAGGCTGTGCCTTGTTCGATCCCAATGGAGGTCTCGATTTGAAGAGGAATGCAACTGCTAACCAGGCTGCTCCTCCGATTGGTAAGTTAATGTAGAAGACCCATCTCCAAGTGACATGATCGGAAAGTGCACCACCGATCAAAGGACCAGCGACCATTGAGATTGCAAAAAGTGCACCAAGGATACCCATATATTGCGCTCTTGCAGTGACCGTTGTAGTTTCTGCCAAGATTTGCATTGATGTCATAAAGATTCCTGCTGCTCCTACCCCACTCACAGTCCTGCCAGCAAGAACGGCTCCCATATTCGGTGCCACTCCACTGACCAAACTACCAAGTTCAAACAAAAACAAAGCTACCATGAATACATACTTCGAGCTAAAGAACGCCAAAATTTGACCGAACAAAATACTAAAGCTTGCTTGACCTATCAAAAAAGTTGTTGGTAACCATGCAATATTTGCTTGTCCTCCGATATCATTCACGATTGGAACTTGTGCAGTTGCGACTACTGTATTGTCCAAAGAGATCATAAATACTACCAAGCATAATCCGAAGAAGATTGGTATGAACTTAACTGGTGATAGGTATTCAGGTCCTTGTGTTTCGTCTACGGTGGTGATTGATCCTTCACGATCGACACTGGGTGTTTCTGGATCCTTTTCGTTGTAGTTGTCTTTGTGATGCACATCGTTGATCAATGTGCCACCACTTCTACTGTGATGCAACACACGTCCATCCTCTCCTAAATGCTTGATCACGTCCAAATTGGGTGGCATTGGTGGATGTTGTCTGTCATCATCTTTGATACTTGCAGCTCTTGAATGTACTGCTGTACGGTCTTGTGGTGTACTTGAAGGTTCTCCAGCAATCACTCCGTTCTGTGATGCTGGCACGATTGCTGCCATTGAACCATCGATTGCTATTACCGTATTGTCCACCACAACTTCATTTTTGCTCTCTGACATCTTGAAGGAGGAATCTTTGAGGGGGACGATGGTGAGAAGAGAAGATATGGTTTTTATTATTCTTATCGATCTCGGCATCTTTTTCATTCCATCAAATTATCATTATGCACTTTCAGAATCTTAAGTAAAACACCGTGATGTTTCTATGGAAAGAAGATTGAAACTGAACCCCACTTGACAGTCTAAGAGAAGCAAAAGGTTGCATATGCAGATGCATGTTATCCATCGGTATCCTTCTCTGTGACAGATGAGGATAGGAAATTATTTTCATTAGCGTAACGCTAATTGTGAATCTTGATTTCTTTCTACACTTCTCATAAGCCGTTGTTATGACCATTGTTCCAAACAAACAAAAAGAAGAAGCCGATGCAGAGATATACACGCGCAGTGCAGAACATACAGTGCTAAAGTGCGGGAACTTCAGATCGTTAACGCATTCAACACACGCTAATGCTTTATAGTAAGACAAGATCCTAAACCCGTTATCCGACAAAACAACTCATTCTATAATCCGTATCCCGGTCATCGATTCCTGACTGATTGTACCATCACGATTACATAAGAATAGAACGACTTCATCATTCATCTTGTCGTGATCATCAGCTAAGTGTATGTGATCAATCATTGCTCCCAAGCCAATTTAGGGCAAAACACGCATTCTACAACCATACCTTCTAAACATATCGGGTACAAAAGATTGAAAAGCACAATCCCAAAAGAGAGACACCCCACCAAAAATGATCATAAAGCCTTCCTGGCCAAAAATAGAATCAAGATCACTAACCAACCCTGTCCTCGCTATGCCGGCGTACTAGACTGAGTTTAATCACCGAATCCTGTCAAAACTGCATGAAAAACGGAGTACCGGCCACCGAAGATCTTTGATAGACGACACGGCCAAAGGATACAGCGCGGGGAATTATTGCTCTTTTTGGCCGTGAGTAAAGCAGCCAAATCTTTGACGGTAGAAAAGTAAAAGAATGATCTAAAGCTGACAGATTGACAGCTCAAGGCGGCTGCCCGCTTTCGACGGAGCTGTCCGTCCGCCCAATAGGCACAACAATCCAAGCAAAAAGAGGGACCAAGTCAAATACAAGACTCGAATCTAGACACTCCCGAGTGTCAATGCAAAGATGGTAATGTTAATGCGATGTACAGCATTTCGGATCGAATGCATTACATAGGCCTTGTTTTGTGACTTTAAAAGATGTTTTGGGGATCCGGAACAAGTCGTGAGAATCTGCTGAGTTTTTATGTAAAACAGAACATGCTCAGATCTGTAAGGAAGGCGATGAACAGTATAGTTGTATAAGTTTTCTTTCCTTGCTATGAAATCGATTTTCGCGATACCTTTTCTCTATACCATCATCTCAGTTTGATAGGCATACAATTTCTCTTCATTCATCTTTGAGTGCTGAGACTATCTCTAGATGGAAAAGATGGCTTCTCCTAATCAAGACGTTCAACAAACATCAGTAGATTCTGTTCACTCATTGAATCACTCTCAACAAGTACAAGCGCAACAGAGTGAGATACATCAACAAGCCTCGAATAGAGAGGGCCAAGGAAACAATTCGACGACAGATAATCCAAACAACGAGCAAGAAGCTTCAGGTGAAGAACCACCTTCATCACAGCAAGCTTCAGGCGGTGAGCAAGCTAATCCGACTTCAAATCAAGACAATATAGATCCCGCATCCCTACCAAGTAGAGCACGAGAGACCGAAGAAGGGGAAGCACCACAAAATAGTGTAGAACACGGGAATGAGACCACTCAAAATACGTTAAACGTAACCCCTGGTAATACGAACTCTCAGCAAACAGACTCAACAGAAACGTCCAGCGATAAAGAAAAAGCAATGAACGAAAAGCTGCCTAAGTACGAAGATTTCTTCACCGATCTCCTCTTAACGGCTTGTTTATCCGTGTATAGCGAAAACGCTGATTTAACTTCTATCTCTAAGATCAGTATTTTCATCGGATATTTTAGCCTACTTTGGTGGTCATGGTGGTCACAAACTTTATTCGATGTCCGTTATAGAGGTAAGTATGAAAATGACCTTCTTATGGAATATTATCAAAATTTTTTGCGTGGTGCTTCTATACTCGGTAGGATTGGCTTCGCATCTGTTTCATCCGAATTCGTCCACGGTGGTTATCGGGACTTCGCTGTCTTCTACGTTCTTTCAAGGGTTATTTTAATCTTTGATTATCTTATGTTAATCTTTTATATTGAGGATGGATCACCGGGAAGTTCTGATAATCCCCAAAATACTACGGAAAGTCAAGAAGCGACCGAGTATCATAATACTAACGGAGATTATAGTATAACCGTAATGTAAGACACTGCTAACCAGCTATCGGTCACAAGCATCAGTAAAATACAATGTCATTGGATCATTATTGTAGGAACAATCATCTCTATCGTTTTTTGGTCCGGAAGTGTGTTTATCGATGTTGATAAGAATACGGTGCCGCGTAAGGCTGTTGTGTTTTGGTGTATTGGAATTTCGGTTGAAATTATTGCACAATGGTTTATTGAAAGTAAAAGTTCCCTTGAGCATCTTTCGAAAACTCCAATGGTGAAACGTTTGAGAACTTTTTCGTTCATGGTGTTTGGAAATGGTTTCGATAATGTTGGTCAAGCACTCAAGTTAGTCGGTCTTTCTTTCAATAGTAGGGGTGGTTCACAGGACGGAGGAAATGCATTTATCGCATTTTTGAATGGAATTGCAAGTGTCATAATTGTGATTTTATTGTTCTTTGACTACTATCCGGACGTTGATAAGAATAAATTCGATGCCGATCCTGCACAAATAGCGCTGTGGTGCTATACTCATTTTATTTTGCATGTTACTTCCGCGGTACTGATGATCGCACTAGGACAGACAATTTCGTATATCAACACTCTGACAACACTCATACAACTGCACAATCATCCTTCATCATATTTGCCTAAAGATTCGGATTGGCAAACATATATTAATTCTCCAAATCTAACGCAAGTTTTCAACAACAATTCAATGCCAGCTGCTGGAGATATACCAAGTAACTATACACGAACGGTCGTAGAACTCATCGCTACAACCATTTCTTTACGGGGAGCCATCGTTCCGGAACTGGACTTAGCTCAACGTTTATTCGATTCCACAAAACCATTCAAGGATTTCAGTTTGCCTCCTGCTGCCAGTACTGCATATGGAAAATACGTCGACGCAATCAATGCAATGCAAAAGGCGGACAGTCTCGACCGTTATCTCTCTGAAAATTTTTTCAACTTTAATCTCGTTTACATCTGTCCTGCAATCTACTTGTTTGGTAACACAGTGCTCAAAGAACTTGAACATCGTAGAACTGATGAAGACGCAGTCAGCAGGAGAGCAAAGAATTTTAGCCAATGCATCAGAATTTGTTGTGGTGTAATCCTTGTTTTGGTGCAAGTTATTCTTTTACTTACATTCGGTCGAACGGACCCGAGAACAATGGCAGTAGAAAGCGGTCTGATAATTCTTGCTTGCATTTTGATGCTGGAATCATTCTTGCAAATCGCTCTTAAAATTTACTTCAGATTGTTAATCGCTCTACGACGAATTCTCCTTGAAGAAATTTAAACTTGATGCAGCCACCTTTCTCCAAAACCAGGTATTCGGTGTTCAAAGGCATGTGGCAGCACCACATTACGCCCGTATGCTGTACGACGGACAATGACTCCAACCTATGTAGATACAGCTAGCTCATGGACTAAGATCATTTACCCATCAATCATCCATTCTTCTTGTGTTGTCCTATCGTCAGCCATCTGTTGTGGCAGACTATTCAAGTGAAGTGCGACCTTTACCTGCACGACCTATTTCTCCCCCTCTCTTGATCCGAACAAGATCGTATGATTCAAATTACTGTATCGTATTGAATGGTATTGTACATTGATGACGTTCACTCTTCCTTGCATTCGTACACCTGCCTTGCTACTTCATCCCATTTGCTTCCTGGCACTTTATGCATAGCAGCGTAATCCCTTTCGAGATGATGCAATCTCTTCCCGACCAAGACCAAACTATGTAGAGGCGGTCCAAAAGCCTTAATTGCACGTATTTGCGCTCTTTCAGCTCTTCTTTTCTCTAATTCTTGTTCTGATGCCATTTCATCTGCATCATCTTGTTCTTCTTCTGCTTGTAATTCTTCTATACTTGGCGATGCCAATGCCAACAACTCTCCCAATGTTCCTGCAAGAATCAATTCGGTATCTGTTCCCATTCTGCATAATGCGACTGCCAACGTTGAATCTGCTGATAAGACTGCATTCTGTGGTTGTTCAGTTGCTGTTGCATGCGAAGAAGCTGCCAGCAATTGTGTGATCAATTGTGGAATCATCATATACCTTGGAGGTTGAAAACGTTCGATTCCACGTGCCATATCATGTTCACTTTGTTCACGTACTTTGATATCACTCAAGACTAAAGTGTGATTTCCGATTTGCATGTTCTCTGCTATTCTTGCCATCCAACTATCCGGTTTCCATGTTTCAGTCCAAAAAGGTACGCTTATCGTTTGACCAAAGTTGTATGGTTGCAAGCCACTAGATGCGATTGCTGTCATGATACTTGCATTATGGATGATCTTGACTGGGATTGGTGGAACGGATTGACGTGCCCGTAAGATCAAATCTGTATGTGTAGTAGCGCTCAATGGATCGCCAACAACACAAAATGAAACGTCATCGTTTTGTGCATTTGCCAAGATTGCATCTGATTCTAATTCAACTGTTTCTCGGTGAGCCAGTATGATTGATTTTCCGTATAATTCTTCCAAATTTCTTTGATAATCTTTTGACATTAAGATTGAAGTATATGCTTCCAAATATACCCGTACACTTCCACGTACTGCTTCCAAACCTCTTAGTGTGATATCCTTCTCATCCCATAACCCCAATCCGACGACGTAAAGGACCATTATAACTCTTTCTCCGTTTGTCGAAGGAAGTGAGAAGCACTGATTGTGTTTGTGCATTCAAAATTTCTATAGGAAGGAAAGAAAAATAAAATGCAGGAAGCTAAAACAAACAGCGCGATACGCCAATTCACCGATTAAATAATCAATTCACAATCCCGGCGCCTTTTTACCTCTTAACCACCGATTATCATGCTACGCCAGAGCCGCGCTAGCTGATCTTGATTACGCCCTTTTTGACGCCCAAATATGACTTCCATTTGAAGTAAGTAGAGGTAATCTCAGTTTATTCTCAGACAAGATCATTGAGCCCACGGGAAGATGAGGGTATCACACTTTGTTGTAAATTGTTTTGGCTTGGGTGTGAAATAAGTTCCGCCTGTTTCCTGAGAATTGATTGAAAATGTCAAAAGTAAATGTGCGAAACGCGGTTAGCCGCTTGGATTTGAGAGTGTTAAAGTGCCAGTAACACGTTCCACATGGCTCTTTCTCTTTCTTTTTTGACAGGAATCAAAAGCGGAAATGGGACCGAGTAAAGTTTTGTAATGCAGATCCTTCTCAGATGAAAAGTACAATGGACAAACATCATGACTTGTCTATATGCAGATGTTGTTCATTAAAATACATACTCTTTTTCATCATTCTATAACCATCTATCTCTTAACTCGGTGACACGACCAATCTCTCTCTCCACTCATCATTGAGTGCTGAGTCAATCTCTGGAAGATGAACAGAATGCCTTCTCCGAAAGATGACAACAAAAAGCCATCAATAGAATCCATTCGACTTGCTGAGAATAGACCGTCATCACAATCACAACATGCGCAGGCGCAACAGAGTGAGATGCATACACTCGCTTCCCAAGAAGGAAACCAGAGAAACACTCATATGATTCAAATCGAACAACAAGAACTAGAAGAGTCAGGTAAGAAATCCCCTTCATCACAACGAACAATCGACGAAAAACATTTCGATCACAAGTCAAGTCAATACGATGTAGAAGCAGCCAGCTTACCCAAAATGGAACGCAAAGTAAATACGACCGAAGAAGAGGAAACAAGTCAAGATGATGCAGATGAAGATAAAGAATTGAATGATAATCCTAAACAAAGAATGCACGTAAGCATGTTTAGTAATCGAGATGACAAGAACCAGCCACCCTCAAAACAACCCGGCTTCGATGATTTATTCTTCGATCTTTTACTAACGGCTTGTTTGTCCGTTTACGGTAATAATGCAGACCTGGCCTCAGCTTCCAAAATCGGTGTGTTCATTGGATACTTCTCTTTACTCTGGTGGTCATGGTGGTCGCAAACTTTGTTCGATGTTCGTTTCAGAGGAAGGGATCGATTTGGTTTTTATATGCAATGCGGTCAACGTATAGTCCGAAGTACCTGTTTAGGTGTTTGGGTAGCCTTTGCCACTGTTTCATCCGAATTTGCCCGTGGAGGTTATACGAACTTTACCACAATTTACGTTTGTTCAAGAGGAACTTTGATTGCCGATTATTTGCTTGTGATCGCTCGCACTTACATTCATAAGACTAAATTTTGGGATGATGATATACCTTTTGCCGTCGAAAGACGTGAACGATCGCACATTTCTGAAAGACAATGTCATTTGATCATCATCGGTGGAACGCTCATCTCTATGGCTCTTTGGATCGCAAGCCCATACGTTGTCGATAATAATCATACACTGCCACCTGCAGTGATTGGAATGTGGATCGCTGGTATTGCAGTTGAAATGGTTGCAGAGATGATTGTCGAAATATTTGGATCTCTTCGCTCTATATCTGCAACTCCGATTGTTGAACGTTTGGCATTGTTCTCACTTATGGTCTTCGGTAATGGTTTCGAGAATATTGGTCAAGCACTCAATCAAATCAGTCCAGGCAGTCGTGATTTCAACAGAGGAGGCTTGCCTGTTGGAGGATGGTCTACTCTCACGGTATTAAATGCTGCTGCAAGTGTGATAATTGTGACTCTGCTTTTCTTTGGCTATTTTTCAAGAGCTATAAAGGAATTTGTTGCACATCCTGCGCGGATAATGACGTGGTGCTATGCTCACATCGTTTTGCACATCGCTTCTGCAGTTTTGATGATCGGATTGGGAAAAGTAATTCTCTATGTCAACACTCTTAGTGGACTTGTACGATTTGGACAAAATGCTTCAATTTACTTGCCCGATGATGAAGGATGGCTAAACTATCTCAATTCCACAGGACCGGATGAAACTCTCAATAATGGCACTATTCCAGCTTTGGATGATATACAAAACTATTATGCACGTTCGATTATAGCAATCTTTGCTACGATCACATCTTTGCAGGGAGCAATCATTCCGGATGTAGATTTGGCAAATGCTTTGGCAAATTCTACAGAACCTTTCAAGAATGTTCAATTACCACCTGCTGCCAGTACTGCTATTGGAAATTATGCAAACGTGATCACTGGAATGCAACAGACCGACAGTTTAGATCAATATCTTTCACAAAACGCATATAACTTTTATTATGTTTATCTTTGTCCGGCGGTTTATATGTTTGGCGATATTGCACTTAAATTACTTCAACATTCTGCAAACGGATGGCGATCGATTGAAAGGCCGATAATAATAAGTCAATCGATTAGATTGTTTTTTGGCGTTGCTCTTGTCTTAGTGCAAATTGGATATTTGATTGAGTTAGGTCATGCTGATCCAGAGACGTTGGCGGTTGAATGTTGTTTGATCATTCTTGCTTGTATTATGATGCTAGAATCTTTCTTACAGATCATTTTGCTATTTATGCCCACTTTTCATAAAATATATAGAAGACATATACTGAGAAAACGAAGAGGATCGCTTTCTCTCTCTGTCTAATTCATATCTTTGTACAAAATGAATTGCTATATGAATACGGGTGTTGTATTCTGTGTTCCTGAATTTGTTCCTCTTGCTCGGATAAAATGCTTTTGATTGTTCAAAGAAATGACGCATTTACGCAGCGCAAATTTACACGCAAAATACCGCGGGATGCTGTCTGTCTGTATGCTAGAATGGGAATTTATGCACGACCTGTGATTGCATACACGCAATCGGCGTATCTCAGCCGTTCGGCGCTAGTGGAGTGTGTGTGTGTGTGTGTGTGTGTGTGTGTGTGTGTGTGTGTGTGTGTGTGTGTGTGTGTGTGTGTGTGTGTGTGTGTGTGTGTGTGTGTGTGTGTGTGTGTGTGTGTGTGTGGGGAAGGATGAGAAGTTCTTGAGAGATATAACTTTATGAGAAGGAAGTCCTCTTCTCGTTTAATCACCATCACCTTCTGGCAACCTTGTGCTGACGTTGTACTGTCCAACATGATGCGAATTGGCCTTTCACGAGGCATACCGCATAGCCTTCCATTGGCACGATTGCCCGTTCAACAGCAAAGAAGTGTTGCACGTTTGGCTTTATCTCGTTCAAAGCTGACAGGACAAAGAGCTTCGATTCGTTACACATCTACTGCTGCTCCTCCTCCTACTCCTCCGCCAACAGCACCTCCATTGCCTCCTCCACGTCGTCCAGGATTCTTTGCACGTCATCCGGCAATCAAATGGACATTGTTCGGAGCAGGATCAATCGTGTTTGGTTTAAGTTCAACGGTGTTGATCATTTTGAGTTATGATGCATTTACGTACAAAGAAGCACATGTGGATAAAGTACCTTTGACTCCATTGGCAATGCATCCAACACCGGGAGGACCAAATAATCTACCGATCTTGAGTCACTTTGTCGATGAAACAGTAGACGTTCTACCTGAATCCAAAAAGAAGGAACGTTTGGTCATCGTCGGTGGAGGTTGGGCATCCGTTGCTCTTTTGATGAACCTGAATCCGGATGAATATGATGTTGTTCTCGTTTCTCCAAATAACTTCTTCTTGTTCACGCCTCTCTTACCAAGTGCAACCGTTGGTACAGTTGAACCACGTACGCTAGTAGAACCTTTGCGAAAGATCTTGGCAAGAGTAAAGGGACACTACATTCAAGGCCGTGCTGTTGATGCAGTGATGGGATCCGCATTGCCATCTACTCAAGGTGGTGAGGATCGCTTATTGGAAGTGGAAGTTATTGACGGACATACACCCGATGAAGCTTCTAGTATCGATGGCGCTTCAAATCACCTCGGCAAGCATGTATATATCCCGTACGATCGCTTGGTCGTTGCGGTTGGAGCAGTAACCAACGATCACGGCGTCCCCGGATTGGAGAATTGTTTCCACTTAAAGACCGTACAGGATGCACGCAAGATTCGCAGTCATATTCTGGATAATTTGGAAATCGCTTCTTTGCCCACAACGACTCCCGAAGAACGTGATCGTCTGTTGAGCTTTGTCGTTTGTGGTGGTGGTCCAACGGGTGTTGAAACGGCAGCAGAAATTCACGATATGTTGGACGAAGATATTCTGAAATTGTTCCCTAAACAATTACGTGCGTCATCGGAAGTACATTTGATTCAATCAAGATCTCACATTCTCAACACGTACAGTGAAGCAATTTCAGAGTATGCAGAAAAGAAATTCTCTCGTGATGATGTGAACGTGATCACGAACGCAAGAGTGAAGAGAGTGGAACCAGATAAGGTTATCTACACAATCAAAGATGAAGATGGAAATTTGACAGAGAAAGAAGTACCTTCTGGCTTTACACTTTGGTCAACGGGAATTGCCATGTCTCCGTTCACACGTAAATTGACGCATCTTTTGCCCAATCAATCTCACTTGAAGGCATTGCAAGTTGATAGCCATCTTCGTGTTCGTGGTGCACCTTTAGGAAGCATGTATGCTATGGGAGATTCAAGTACGGTGGACACTCATCTGATCGATTATATTTATGACTTTGTGGATCAATGCGATACTGATCATGACAGCAAGCTCAACTTTAACGAATTCCAAGTCTTTGCACAATCGATCAAACGTAAATTCCCGTTGGCATCTAAACATTTCAACAAATTACAAGAAACGTTTGAAAAATACGATAAAGATCGTGATGGCCATCTAGATTTGAACGAGATTGCGGAAATGTTGTTGGAAACACAAAACAAGATGACTGCTCTTCCTGCAACTGCACAAGTTGCATCGCAACAAGGAAATTACCTCGGTAAGAAGCTAAACAAGCTGGCCAAGGTGCGTAATGAGGGAAGGGACATGAACCCGCACGACGAGTCGGACGTGTTTGACCTAGATGATCAAGTTTATGATCCGTTCCAATACCGCAATTTGGGTTCTTTGGCTTATATTGGGAATGCGGCTGCATTTGATATTCCACTTCCCGGACCCTTACAACCTATCGGATCTTTTGCTGGTGGATTAGTTGCAATGTATGCTTGGAGATCTTTCTATCTATCTGAAGCAGTTTCAACACGGATGAAAATTTTGCTTTTATCAGATTATATCCGTCGTGGCCTTTTTGGTCGTGATGTTAGTAGAATCTAGAATATTCTAAATGCTGTATGTATATTATTCTTTGCTTTATTAAATATTAGACAATTGCTTTAACCATCATTAAAGAAACACGCTTAAGATGAACGCGATTAGATAAAGTTTGACACAGTCAGCCTTATATTTTTTTTTCTTCCGAAAAATTAGGCTTTCGGATGGTTTGAGAGGCACTGTGACAGTGGCGGAAAATCGGAATTACACTCCGCATACGCAACTTCATTTTCAGAATTCTAAAATAGAAATTTCATTTTACGCCTCTTTCCATCATCTTCTTCTTCCCGCTGCGGTCAGAAAGCTCAACTTAGAACGGCATGCACTTTCTATAAAACACACTCACAATCTGAGACGCTCATTACACAATTAATCAAGATGGATGGGTTAAATGCATTAGAAGAAGATTGCGTCCCGCCTCGGCTTTTGATCATCGATCATCACGACAGCTATACACACAACCTGTTGATTTGCTTATTGGATGGACTAGCGGCAAAGATTGAAAGAAGAGGACCCTTTCCAGAACGAGCACGAGAGATTGCCTCAAAGCTACTACTCTCTAGAACGACAATCTTACCATTCACTCATCCGATTTGGCAAGATGAAAAACAAGCAAAACAAAAGTTATTGCCGAACTACGATGCTTTGATCTTAAGTCCTGGACCGGGTAGACCGGATAGCAAAGATGATTTTGGCGCTTCTATGGTCATCTTGCAATCTTTCATGCGCAATTCCGATGAATTGTTGCCGACTTTGGGTATCTGTTTGGGACATCAAGGAATTGCAATTGCGTGTGGTGGCAGTTTAAAGAGGGCAAATAATTTGAGACATGGGATGAGCAGTGAATTGATTGTGATTGATGATGCTGCAAACAACTCCTGGCCATCAATCCTCGGCAACGTCCAGCAAAGTGCAGGTATGACCACATACAACAGTCTTGTAGTCGATGAAGCATCCTTTCCAGAAGATTTGAAGGTAACAGCACATGCTATGGACGCTCCAGTTGAGGAAGATGAAGGCAAGACAGAGGAACGTATAGTGATGGCATTGCAACACACCAAGCATCCTATTTGGGGTGTTCAATTCCACCCTGAATCGATTGCCAGTCAAGGTGGACACGCCATCCTCACCGACTTCTTGGACAATACTCACGCTTACTGGAAGCAACAATCGGAAAGCAGTCAGACTTCACTGGCTAATCGTGCTTTGTCCAAGTTGAGATCATGGCGGCAAGCAGAGCCAGTGCAAGCGATCGCCGGAGATACGTCCACTTCGGCGTCAAGAAGCACTATGGATACAACTTTCTCTTTGTCAGATTCGGCTGAGGATCCAATAAGGTATACCGCCGCCATGCAACCCCTTGGAAGGTATGATCCCACGATAGCTCCCAGTATCTTCAAAGAAGTCTTTGGCGGTCAATCTTCTTCAGTTTGGCTTGACAGCGCTCGCCCAGGCGGTCATCATAGCCGGTACTCCTTTATGTCTGTGCCTTCTTGGTCTATTCGATATGATGTTGAAAGCAAGACAATTATCGCTCAAGGTAACGGAAAGAAAACTGAGCTATTCCTGGGAGAGCAAGGTGGAAACAGTCGTGCAAATGTTGTACAAAAGCACGGATTACCTACGCCAGAATTGAGTCGGACCAATTCACCAGAAGCATCACACTTGAACGAACAGGAAGAGCAATCGGCTAGCTTTTGGACTTGGCTCGATCAGGCTCAGCAAACTCTACAGAAAAGATGTGATACTTCCAAAATTGGAGACTTACCGTTCAAGACAGGGTTTGTGGGGTACTTTGGCTATGAGATGAAGTATGAGTCACTGCCTCAAATTGCCTTTCCACCGAATTTGAATTCAGAGAACACAAAATGCGGATCCTCCTTCCCTTCATCCTGGTTCGGCTTTTGTGACAAGGCTCTAGTGATCGATCATGAAACCAGCCAATGGTACACAATCGGACTTGTGCAGCGCCCCGGACGAAACCCTACACATCTCAATGCGGGCTATCTTTCCGAGCTAATGGAACGATTGGACACGCAGGTCGGCATATCTCCCTCACATCTGGAAGAGTGGACAGAATCTGTACGTGAAAAGCTGAACGGGATGAATGCAACAAAACCTTCTGGTGTGGTCACGAATCGCCTCTTGCCATCTATGAGACCAATCGACACATCAAGCGAATACATGAATAAGGTAGAACGAGCACGCGAACTCATCGCTGAAGGTCAAAGCTATGAGATTTGTCTCACTACCGAATTCGAAGGTCAACTGTCCGAAGAAGATGCAGAAAATCATTTTGACTTCTACACAAGCTTGCGAGCGCGTAACCCTGCTCCATTCTCGGCGTTTTTGCAACTCGATACGGTTGATAGCGATGGCAAGCCGCAAAGCATCCTATCTACGAGTCCTGAAAAATTCTTTGGAATTGATGCTGATGGGCTGGTAGAGATGAAGCCGATCAAAGGCACTGCAGCACGGGCAGGGTATGGCAAGGGCGAGAAAGACATCCTTCAAAGAGTCCGTAATGGTGATCGCGAGAGCATCCAATGGTGCAAGGAAGAAGACGAAGAGCGAATTAAGCGTTTACATGCAGATGCAAAAGAACGAGCGGAGAATCTCATGATTGTCGATCTGATCAGGAGGGACTTGTTGCATTCTTGTCGTCCTGAATCAGTCAAAGTGACAAAATTGATGGCTATTGAATCGTATGAAACTGTTCATCAACTCGTCACAACTGTTCAAGGACGAAAAGTTCCAATTTCCAGCAAAAGCAGCACTAATGATACTGCTCACGATGGTATCGGCACTGTTGAAGCGATCCGACAGTGCTTCCCGCCCGGCAGTATGACCGGTGCGCCCAAAGTGAGAAGCGTTCAATTGCTCGAAGAACTCGAGCATGCACAACCTCAAAGAAAAGCTCGCGGGGTTTATAGCGGCGCTTTAGGATGGCTTGGAGTTGATGGAGCAGTAAACCTCAACGTCGTCATTCGTACAGTTTGTTTGAATGGCAACAAAATATCTGTTGGAGCAGGAGGTGCGATTACTTTCCACTCCAAACCTGCAAAAGAATGGCAAGAAGTTTTAGATAAAGTTGGAGCGATTGCACCTGTTGACTTTGGCGGTGCAAAAGAATAATAAATTTGCCATTCCTGTATTTGTAATCTTTAATTCATATTGTATACATAATCCATCCATTTCATCCACTCTTTCTGTGTGTTTACAACTCTGCGAACATGCAACAAAGGAATTGTTTTTATAGTCTACAAATGGCTAAGAAGATCCTAAAATGCGAAAGGTAATCATGCTGATCTGGGTGCAGTAGCACGAACACGCTTCGATCCTGCTTGTGGTGCCGGTGCAACAACCCAACCAATCAAAGCGGTAAGTCCACGAAGAACTTCAGGTCGATGTTTAGCAGCAGCAATAACGATACCAACGCTCATTCCAAATAACAATCTCTCAGCTTGTAAAGCACTCTTTTGTCCTTTCGATAACCATCCTGGCTTTGACATTTCTGCTAAAGCGAACAATGCTCTTGGTGCAACATACAATGCCATTTCGGCTCTCTTGCGTTTCTCTTCGATAAACACACTCCAGCCACAGGTCCATGAACCAAGGATGGGTCCTAGACCGCTATCCCAGTACCGGAAAGAGATATTGGGGAACAAGCGTGGCAAGACCATCGAACGTGCCATGCAAACCATGAACCAAATACTTGCAATATAAGTTGACAAGAATGTTGCACTACGCATACTTCCTTTCAATACTTTCGTTAAAGCTTGAATAGGTTCACGTTTGAATTGTCCAGGTCCAAAGATTAACCTTGGCACCAAATGAACCGGGAAATAAATTCCCATACAAACTTTCCATGCACGTAAGAAACGATAAAGTGCATTTTTGAAACAATTCGGTCCACCAATACCGCAATGAACCAATTCACACGGTAATCCACCCAAATCTCCTCTGCCTCGTGGTCCTGCGGCTCCATGTAGAATGTACTGTGATTGATCGCCATTCTTGATCGCTTCTTTCTTCATCTGTTTTGCTTCCTCGCGAGTATGTGGTAATCTTGTGATGTCTCCCCATCCGTAAGGATGTCCCATTGATTCTGATAGCGATCCTAGCAGATCAATTGCTGCTGGCTCAGTTTGTCGATCACCGTATCGCAAGTAGTGCGGCTTGCCATTTCTGATACACCTTAGTGCTTCCAATAGACGATGATCCATGCTTGCCAAATTCGAAATCCATTTCACATATGTAGGTGGTAAGCGTTCAGGATGATAGAACCAATTGTACATGATGATCGCACATGCAACAACGAAAGTCAATCCTTCTGCTTGTTCTTTTCCAAATCTGCCTAACGATTGCAACAAGTGAACAGGTAACGATGTTCTTGCTTGTCTTTGAGCGTTATTCAAGTGATTACGGGATGTGTCCAACTTCATTCCCGCAGAAGGTCCTACTGCAGTACCTCTCAAACTGATACGAGAAGCGAAAAGAAGTGGTACAACACGAACGAAAGTATCCATTGCACGTACCAAGGCAAAGAGGGATAGATCGATCGTTGGACTTGCTGTGCCGAGCTCGTCACTAGAAGGATCAGTCTGAGCGGAAGATGAAGAGCGAGAGCGAGAAGGATCCTTCTCATCCTGAGGAGATGAGGGGGGTAGTTTAGCGAAGGATTTCTCTACCGGACTTCTGCTTCCCTTTTCTAGTGGTGTTGCAGGCACACTCAAACTCGTAAGACGGGCCAAGAAATGTCCTCCTGGAGCCAAAGGTGTCGGTAATAATCTATTGTTGCTCGATGATTTGCGGAAAGGAATTCGAAATGGATATTGTGCTTTGAGTGCGTTATGGTCTCCTATGGCATCCTTTTGGATCATATAGAGGGCAAAGGAACTCGAGATAGCAGCGCTGACGAATGTGCTGAATGCTTGACGACGGCCTGTTCTGACGGCAGCATTGGTGAATGCGTTCTTGGTAGGGCGCATGAGTATGCTCGAGATGAGAGAATCCATCAACATAGTACTAGTCATTGCAAGAGCACAAGTGAATGCTACACCCTTTGGTCCCAAGGAAGTCAAAAGGGCCTTGACGATAGATTGCAACAAGAGCGGTAGTTGCTGTAGGGCTGGTTTGATTCCATCTCCGTATAATGTTGTTTTCGAGCTTGAAGGAGCTTCTATTTGTGTGCCAGTGGATGTTATGCCAAGTGATGATTGTGAAGCTGCTCTTTCTTGTGAAATACGCTTTCGTGTACGTGCGATTGTGCGCAGGGTGACGACTACATATCGTAATACTTGTTTGAATAATGTTGGTAAAACGTCTAATAGGTATCCTAGCATGAAAGCTCTTGATGTGGGCTGAATCAAGGATGAACCAGGTCCATTGCGCAATGATTCGATCAGCTTTGTTGATGCCATGCTGTCTATTTCTATGATGAGGGAGGAAGAGTTGTCGTGTGATTTGATGGCTTTTGTACGCCTGTCGATCTTTCAAAATGGAATGATCCTCTTCTTTGAAGCTCTTGTCAAGCCGCTAGAATGAATGATCTAGGGCTGACAATGAGTACAAAGTGATGGCATCAAGTCAAAAGCCAGCTTACCTTGTCATCCTTCCAAATCCCCCCAGGCACGGTAAAAGCGAACTTAATTTCCGGTCATTATATGCACTCTTGCTTTTCAACACACAGTGCGCTTTTTGACTTCCGATTCAATGATACGCGGGGCTAATGCCTACAATTTATACTCTCTCCGCGCACCAGGGTTGAACGCGCCTTCTGCTGCTTGATGCACACCACCAACCAAACTGCCGCTAAAAGTCCAACACTACTCACGCTAAAGAGCGGTTGTTATTCTCATGGCCATGAAACTACAATATTCGCTTGAAAACTTTGAGACTGTCTTGGAATGGTGATTCAAACGTAGAAAAAATGTTACAAATACTATGAGAAGGATAAAGTAATGAGGAAAGATAAATATGAAGAAAACGATATAGAAAATGTAACTTTCCTGATGAAACTTGAATTAAGGTAAAAGATATAAAATATTTGTATTTTCAATCAAGTTGCTTGATAAAAGAATAATGTAGAGGCTATCTGTATAGTCTGACCTTAACAGCCTTCGTTCCAACTTTCTTATGCCTTTCTTATGATCTACCATATACGGTTAGACCTCTTAAGCCTACACCGCTTATGGCGGACTTAAAACAACCCACGTGTCATGATAAACGCGTAAAACAGTGGCTTTAACGGTGTAAAATGTGTGAGCTTTGGTAAGGCACTGACTGACTGCACTGGGCTCTTTCCCGTTCCTGCAAAAGAAGCTTTATTTTTTTTTTCACTTCTCTTTTCAAGAAGCGAGCAACGGAATCAAATCCGAAAGATGCGAAAGGCTAATTCAAAACCACCATCCCCTCTTTCATCCAATGAATTGGTGAATGACGAAAAGGATACAAAGCAATTGAATTGCTTCTTCCATCGTCTATAGCCTTTCAACACCTTTCCTTTACAAAAGCATTGGTTGGTCACCATGCTAAACACAATCATGGCCGCTCGTGCGGTGCGGTCACCTGCCCGTCAGATGTATGCCCGTTCCCACATCACAAAACAGCTCTCCATGTGCTCAAGGTCTTGCATTGCTTCCTCATCCAGAGGCCTGGCAACCGCAGCAACCGAGCGTAATTCCCCCTCTTTAGGTTCAAAACCACTTGCAGAATCTTTATTCGCTCCTTTGGACAAATTTGCTCCTCGTCATTTAGGACCTCGTGGATCAGATCAAGAACAAATGCTTTCTGCTCTTGGTTATTCTTCCATCGAAGATTTCGTCAATGATACTCTACCCAATTCTATCCGTCTCAAACCGGCTGAGGGTGTAGAACAGAGGCTACCAGCGCTATCTGAAAGCGAACTACTCAGAAGGGGAGACGAGATTGCCAAAATGAACGAAGTAAAGAAAAGTTTAATCGGTATGGGATACTGGAATAGCAATGTGCCTCCAGTCATCCTACGTAACATCTTGGAAAATCCAACCTGGTATACTAGTTACACACCATACCAAGCAGAAATTGCACAGGGAAGACTCGAGTCATTGATCAACTACCAAACCATGGTCAAATCTTTGACTGGTCTTGATATTGCCAATGCTTCCTTGCTCGATGAAGCTACCGCCGCTGCTGAAGGTGTCATCTTAGCGTACAACCAAGGCAAAGGCAAAAAGAACACAATCCTCATCGATCGAGCAGTTTTACCACAAACCGTTGCCGTCATTCAACAACGCGCCAAAGGTTTTGGTATCAAGGTTGTCCAATGTGACTTGCGTACACCACAAGGTACTCGTTTACCCTACGGAGAAGGCGAAGGATCAATCAAACGTGAAGATGTGATGGGTATATTGGTTCAATATCCCGACGTTGATGGTCGTATCGTTGATTGGTCCTCTTTGGCAGAAGAGATTCACAAAGATGGCGGTTTGGTGATCGCAGCTACTGATCTGTTGGCTTTGACGATGATCAAGCCTCCAGGAGAATGGGGAGCAGACATTGCTGTGGGTAATGCAGCCCGTTTTGGTGTCCCACCAGGATATGGGGGTCCTCATGCTGCCTTTTTCGCTGTGCGTGATGGACTCAAGCGTCGTATTCCCGGTCGTCTCGTTGGTTTGAGTAAGGATGCAAATGGCAAGCCCGCCTACCGTCTTGCTTTACAGACCCGTGAACAACACATCCGTCGTGACAAGGCTACTTCAAACGTTTGCACTGCTCAAGCTTTGTTGGCGAACATGAGTGCCATGTACGCCGTTTACCATGGTCCTGAAGGTCTCAGAAAGATTGCTGCAAAGACTCATGCTCTGACTCGCTTGTTGAAACATATTCTCGTCACTTTGGGTTTCCGTGTCATCAACCGTGATGGTGCATTCTTTGACACACTTACCGTTGATCTTTCCACTTCTGGAGTTGGAGCTGTTCGCGTTCATTCGATCGCATCTGATGCTGGCTTGAACTTGCGCAGAATCAGTGGATCTCGTGTCGGTATCACACTTGATGAAACTGTCAGCATTGAAGAGATGACTGATTTGGCAAACGTGTTCAGAACAGCAAAGGAAAGCGGTAAAGAGGTTGTGGATGAAAAGAATGCCTTCTCCCCTCAAGATCTCATCAAGCTTGCTGGCGACCTTGGATTGGATGCTTCATCCGTTGAGACTCTGTCTATCGCAACACCTACACCAGCTTTGCCTAGTGATATACCCGCATCAGCTGAAGCAGACAAGTTCTTGGCACATGCCGATGGCCTACCCGATGTTGCCGATTTCGCCCGTCAATCAAAATACCTGACCCAACCAGTATTTAGCTCACATCAGAGTGAGACACAACTGCTGCGATACATTCATCATTTGCAATCAAAGGATCTCTCTCTGGCCCAAGCAATGATTCCTTTGGGAAGCTGCACAATGAAGCTAAACAGTACATCAAGCATGATGTTACTGTCGAAGCCTCAATTTGGCGCTCTTCATCCTCTCATTCCGGAAGATCAAGCTCGCGGATATGATGTCTTGATTCGAGAACTTGAGCGGGATTTGTGCCTTTTGACTGGCTTCCCCGCTGTTAGTCTGCAACCAAACAGTGGAGCACAAGGTGAATTTGCTGGTTTGAGTGTGATTCGCGCTTATTTGGACAGTATCAATCAATCTCATCGCGACGTTTGCTTGATCCCTAATTCAGCACACGGTACCAACCCAGCAAGTGCCATCATGGCCGGAATGAAGGTTGTCGCTGTGAAGAACAGACATGATGGTACAATTGACATGGACGATTTGCGCGCAAAGGCAGAGCAACATAAGGAAAAGCTTGCCGCTTTCATGGTCACTTATCCAAGCACATTCGGTGTATTTGAAGATGGTGTTCAAGAAGCATGCAAGATTATTCACGACTTTGGCGGTCAGGTATACATGGACGGTGCAAATATGCAAGCTCAAGTCGGATTGACGAATCCTGCTCTCATTGGTGCTGATGTTACCCATTTGAACTTGCACAAAACATTCTCCATTCCACACGGTGGAGGTGGTCCAGGTGTAGGACCAATCTGCTGTGCAGAACACTTGGCACCTTATTTGCCCGGTCATCCTCTTGCATCCGTTGGTGGTGAACGTGCGATCGATCCTATTTCTGCTGCACCAGTCGGTAGTGCAAGCATTTTGACAATCGCATGGGCTTATATCAAAATGTTGGGCTGGAAGGGATTACGTCAATCATCTGTCACGTCTTTGCTATCGGCTAACTATATGGCACACAGACTGGCACCTCACTACAAGCTGCGTTACAGTAACGAGAAGGGTCGTGTCGCCCACGAATTCTTGTTGGATTTGGCTGACCTATCCAAGGTTGTCAGCGTTAGCGATGTTGCCAAGCGCTTGGCAGATTACGGCTTCCATGCGCCTACTTGCTCTTGGCCAATCAGCACTGGTATGCTTGTTGAGCCAACAGAAAGTGAATCGTTCGATGAAATCACACGCTTCTGCGATGCAATGATTGCAATCCGTAAAGAGATTCAAGATGTTGTCGACGGCAAGCAAGATGCTCACAACAATGTTCTCAAGAATGCACCTCACACCATCGAGACTTTGATTGGTGAGAAGTGGGACAGACCTTATTCTCGTGACACAGCAGCATACCCTGTCGAAGGCTTGAGAAGTATCAAATTCTGGCCTGCAAGTGGACGTGTTGATGATGCACACGGCGACAAGAACCTTGTTTGCGAATGTGGAACGGTTGAGGAATATGCTTCTGAATGAAAGCACAGAAAAGGTGAGTGATGGTTTCGATTTCTGTTGCCACGGATGAGAATTATCCCAATTTTTAACGCTCAGTAATGCCATTCAATGGTATTGCGATGATCAGAGCATACTTTTTAGTCATAGTTACACTGAGGCTCGATATTGTTTTTTTTTTTTTTTGTTTTGTTGTTTGTTTGAACAAGCATGCTGACAGATTGTCTTTTCTACCACAGATTCTACACTACCATATCCCCACCCTACGTCTTTTGCAACTCGGGCTCAACCCTGAACGCAAAAGATGTAAACGTTTCAACACTTAATGCTACTATCTCATGCATCAACAGCACTTTCAACTTTACGTAACATATTTCCCATTTCCCTTTCTCTCAGATCTGTAACATAATGCTGCTTCAGGGCTTTTATTTCCCATGTTTAGGGATCATGTAATGTAACTTTCAACAGTCAATTTCTTTTTGGGCTTTGCAAATCCATTAGCATAAAGTAAAGTACAGGAAAGATAGTACATCCAAAAAGGTATAAAAATGATATTTGAGAAAATCATGATGTCCGATCAGAGATCATTCATCGTTGTAGCAGCAGTCAAAATAGCATGACAGAGGTTACTGGAGGCGTTTTCAGTGTGGTCATCATTTACAGCGCTTCCCAGAAGAGCATCACAAATACGAGCGTTCAATGCAGATGCAGCACCGGAGCGACCATACACACATTGACAATCGATATCTTCCGGCATGAACAAAGGTCGACGAAGGTTGAACAAATCAGAAGTAGAGCAACGAGCTTTGACCAAAATCTTTGTTCGCAATGTATTGAACAAGATCATTGATTGAATGACCATAGTGGGACTTTTGACCTTGCCTTCACCTTGACCGGAAGTGCTGACGATGGAACTTGGATAGTGGGCTTGAAGTTGGGCAAAGACGGTAGAGAAAGAACGAACACGTGTCCATGCAGTTGAGATGAGACGGACGACCTCCGTTGGTTTTACAGTTTGAGATTCTAGACGCATATCAAGCTGTTGATGTATAGCATCAATAGCCATCCTTTCCACAACTCCATCGTTGTGCAATCTCAATTCAACCTCTTTTACTGTTCCAGCAGAAGGCGCTTTGGAGAGGTTCATCTTTACTGAAATCTCATTTCCGTTGAATGTCATTTCGATCGCATTCATCGTTGCCGAATGCACGTTCCACAAATGAAGCGATTCAATTTGATCAAGATGTTTGGCCAATCGATTCGCTTCAGTTCGTGTGGAAGAGTGAATAGCAGCAGAAGAAGCATGTGCAAGTGAAATTGCCTCTTCGGCATTCTCTTTACGTTGATTTAGTTCATCGAGACGTGCTTGTAATCTGTTCAGTTGCTCCTTTGTTTCGGAATGCATCGCTCTTTGTTCTTCCAAGATTGCATTTTGTTCTTGCATTGCAGAGTGCATTGCACGCATTTCTTCTACATCCCAATCATCAATCTCTCGTTGTCTCTTACGGGTCTTTGTCAGATTTTGTTCCAATGATTTAGCTTGAGATCGTAGTTTCGGCAAAGCGAATTGGCTCACTGCCTCGCTTGCATCTTTCATAGTGACGAGGTCCTGCTCTAGACCTGATTTCATCTTTTCCATCTCCAACAACGCAGGATCATCAAATTGCTTGTCAGTTCGCCATCCATAATAAGCCTTCAATGCGATCGCTCTAGCGGCAGATTTTTGAATCTTGAAAGATGAAATGGCTTTTTGACGATCAGAAGTTGATTTGATTGCCAACACTTCAGCAACATAAGAAGGTGGATTTTCATAAAATTCTCGTTCAGTTTCGTCCAACATCGATCTTCCTTCTTCCACGCTGCTCTTTAATTCTTTGCATGCACTGATCAAACTGTCAAGATTTGGGACAGTCGAACATGCTGCTCGGATCTTGGCAACCATCGAAGGTGCTTCATGTGTTGCTTCAACATTATTTTCAATCCTGCGCTTTGACGGCATCGTCAAGTCCAAAAAGCCGATTTCTAGCATATCAAAGAATCGTTTCATCGTCCATCTGTCTGCCGCTTCAGAGTCTATCTGTTCTTCTCCCTTTGTGATAGGCGATGAGTCTGCTCTTGTAAGTGATCTAGCAGCTCTTGCAGGTGTGTTATTGGAAACAGTCAACGGTCTACCAGCTTCTCGTTGTACGGCAGGTGAAGGTAGAGCAATCCTTTGCGGTGAACCAAATGTAAAAGCAACCGAATCATCCTTAGCCATACTTATACGTTTTGCCGGTGATTTTGGCGTGCTTGGCTCTTGTTGACCTTCTCGGAAATTTTGCCAAGTTCGACTGGGTGAGCCAGGAGACCTTAATGGTGAGGCAGGACCTGTACTTCGCCTCGGCGAAGATGGCATACCAACACTTTTCCGTGGAGAAGTGGATGAGGGTGAAGTATGCCTTGCTTGATATTTAGGCGAAGGGCTTGCGGGTATATCCTGCATCGAAGGTCTAGCCATGCTTGTTTTGGCTTCAGTGACATCTTGTGAGCGTTCAGTCTTGAAAGATTTCCGCGGTGAAGAGGATGAAGAGGAGCGGAACGGCATCTTGTCCGGTGAAGAAGGTCGTTTTCCAATCGAGGTTCGCATTGAGATTTCCGGATTTTTCGTTGGGCTTTGAGATGCTTCTCGTCTTGCTCGAACTCGCAGAGTAGCAGCACTCACACGAGGCTTGGGCGAATCAGCAGCAGGGATATGGCAATGTTCATGTCCACGACGGGGAGAATCACTTGTCCTTCTTTCAAGCATGCTCTGACGACGTTGAGGTGATGTGGGTGATTTTTCGATCGGTTTGACTACATCTCCGTTTTCGTTCGCAATCGATTGTCTTACTTGAAGTTTGGGCGACTCAGACAAATTGCTCACTCGAGCATTAGGGATTTTTCGTGAACGCAATGGTGACCGCTCGAGAACAGGCGAAGCTGCTTTTGGATGAACGGGAGGAGCAGTCTTGATGGATTGCTCAGGCGACATGTTCATGTCCATCTCTGACCCTGATTCTTCCTTGACACTTTCAATTTCTGACTTGTTGTCATCTTCAATTTCTGTTAATTCCATATCCACTTCTTCTTCCACATCGGCAGGAGCAGGGTTGTTCTGTTGACTTAATTGAGTCTCGATATCATCTTCATCCAAGAATTCTTCATCTTCCATTTCTTGCATGGTATGCGTTTGAGATGTCGGGTCATTATGTGAGTCATGCATCTCCGTTAATTGCATAGTGACTGTCATATCATCCAGAACAGACGAGACTTCTCCAACAGATGACGAATCTTGCATAGACATAGAATCATCATCATCAGTGAAACCATGTGCTATTCCCGTCACAGTAGCATCTTGCATTCCACCATAAGCTGCAGTCATATCCATAGCACTTTCATCGTATCGTGAAGCATTTTCCACATCTGCCATATTTTCATTATATCGTTCATTCTCCTCCAATTCACCTTCAACTTCTGCTTCGCTCTCGAAATCCTCTTCATCGTCCATTTCCTCCCCGGTAAGCTGAGGTTCACCGTCTTCGTTTTCGCTTTCACTGTCTATAGACATATCACTCGAAGATGTCGATGCACTGGAACTTTGAGAAGGCGATGCTGAGCCATCCGAGTTTGAGGTCTCCAATACTTGATCTAATTCAGTTGCCGGTCTGATACGCATCGTTGGCTCATCTTTTTCAAAATTAGTCTTTTCTTGGTATGGATTGAAAGTTACCCTTCTCTTTTTGCGAGTCAAGTCTGCCTGCTCTTCTTGTTGCTTTTTTACTTCATCAGAATCGTCTTGTATATCTGCTCCTACACCTGCTGGCTCACTTTTACGTGTTTGTTTACCTTTACTCTTCTCACTGTCCTCTTCATTGGTTTCGCGTTGTTGTGATTTGATGATTCCAATACTCTCCATCAATCCCATCAAATCTGATCCGCCAAAAGCTTCTAATCCTAAACTCTTTCGAGAGAATAAAGGACGTATAGAAGGTCTAGGAGAGACTTCAGATGGACTTGCAAAAACTTGTGGAGGTAACGCACGAATGGCGGATTTACGTGGACCAGGTACATTCCTTCTACTTGGGACTGAGAGGTTGTTTGGATCACGTAGCTTTTGTGTAGCCACACCTCCTACACTATATGCTCTTCTGGCTACTTTGATCCTTTTGCTTGGCGATTCGGTAGGCCTTGTGCTCATATTCAGAGTCACATTACTAGTTGATGCTCGTGATTTGTTTGGTATTGGGTCAGGATGGCGACTTGGTACGCTCAGGTGTGTTTGTGTAGGTTGCCTATTTTGACGAGCCGGAGATCGAGCTGCTAAAGGTGATGACGTAGGTGTGTTTTCGGATCTTTGCTGTGCTTCGAGTGATGTCCGTGCAGAGATCCTCGGTGAACGACGAGGGCTGTCCATGGTGAGCGAAAGTGGGTTGACTGCCTATCACCCTTCACTTTACTCTATAAATATGATGATGTTAGCAAATGACAAAGACCATCACCTCTAAACCAACACTTGCATTTGAATCTGTAAGGGCGCGTTGGAGGATAAATTGCAATCAACGCGTTTGCGTGTTAAACTCACGTGGTTGCTAAACAAACATCAACACCGCTAGACGCTATCGAAGATAAGATTAACCCAAAAACGCACGGACAATTGGAAACAGCATTCATCTTTGGGAATCATTCCTTCTTGCCACACACACATATCCTTACAAGCATCATCTTCCAAACATGGCTCTTCCACCTCCATTGCGTGCTCTCGGTATTGGAGAATTCAATGCTCCACATTCATTGGAATTATACGTTGACTATTTGTGCCCTTTCAGCAATAAACAATTACAAGGTGTTTATGAGCATTTATTACCTTTGATTTTCGAAAAATCATCACCATACTACGGTAAAGTGAGATTATTGCTAAGACCATATCCTCAACCATGGCATTCAAGCTCACCTCTCTTAGCCGAAAGTGCATTGGCAATCGCACGTTTGGCCGAACCGGCAGGAAAGAATATTGAAGCAGAAACGAATGCACTCGTTGATCCAAAATTAAACGCTTTTTGGGTTTTCAGTTTGGAAATTATGAAACAACAAAAGGAGTATTTTGATGGTCCGGCAAGATTGAAAAATCCAGATCAAATTCGTGGTGACTTTGTTAATTTGGCAATCAGTACCCTTGGCGAAAATCCAAGACGTGAAAAAGGAAAACCACTCTTACGTCCACATGAACGTGGAATGCCTTTAGGACAAGCTGTAAAGAACATGGTTCGTGTGGATCCAGAAAGTAATGCAGGCAGTCAAGTGTCTGCAGATTTGAAGTATTGTGTCAAGATTGGACGTCAAAACGGAATTCACGTCACGCCAACAGCTGTTTGGGATGGTTTGGTAGAATCTTCAATCAGCTCTAGCTTCGGCAAACAGGAATGGGAAGACTTCTTGAAAAAGTCTGTCAGAAATGTGTAAGATAATAATAAAATCGCATCAATATAGTACAATAAAAATGGAGCATATCTCGTCACTGGTAGACAGGGAAATATATAGTACAAACGTTCAGGATCTCCTCCTCAGCTTTCTCTTCGCTGTAGTTCATCGACCAAAGATGAATCGCCGAGATGCTGATACATCGTTTCTTCATCAACGAGAGTCCTTCGTCCAAGCAATTTCTTCTTGGGGCTTTTCTTTGCAGATTTGGCGTCTTTTGTCAATACTAGACTTGCATCGCTGTTGTGTTCCTGTGAGATGTTGCCTGCTGAAGATTCACCAAGAGGAACAACGCTCTTCCGTCCCGGTGTTTTGGCAGCTGAAGCTGTTGTTGTTGTTCGCCTTCGATTTGTAGGAGCTGGTCCTGTAGCTCTCTTGTTGGTTCTTGCTGCAGTTGCCGTTGTAGCCCGACCTGCTGCTTGTTTTGCTCGAGGAGCGCTTGATTGACGAGCTCTGCTATTGCGCGCTTTTGGTGCAGCCTCAAATGAAGATTCGACAGACTCTTCACCAAGATTGAAAGAATCATCCGATGACTCCACTTCTTCTTCCTCTTCCTCCTCAGAATCGTCTTCAGCTGTTTCTGCACTTTGAATCGAGATGGATTGGTCTTGAGTGGAGTCTTGCGTTACATCCTCATCATCTTCGTCATCCTGAACAACCTGACGTGCCGATGTGCGGAGCATTCTGGGTGGAACATCCATGCTAATACTGCTGTAATCACTCACAGTCTGAGGATGAGGATTTTGGCTGTTTTCACCAATACTTTGTTCAGAGACTTCGACTACTGATTCTTCAGCATCATCGACTTCGCTCTCTACTTCCTCTTCTTCATCTTCGGATACGATCTGGTGTTTTGATCGGCTCTTTGGAGGTAAGACAATAATACTGCCTTCCTCATCTTCAACAGCGGTGGAAGTATTGCTTGTTGAACGATCGACGAGTAAGCCATTCGAATTTGACAATGCACATTCAACTTCGAGATCTTCTTCTTCCTCTTCCAGGTCTTCATCTTCGTCCTCCATCGAAGCAAAGCTTTCGCTCATTTGACTGCTAACGTCACCATTTGCATGATGAGAATAACTGCTTGCTCTTGCCAAAAGATCCAATTTACGATTAACAAATTCTTCATTATGAGCCGCATCAGCCAAAATACGTTCGTTGAAAATCGCTTGCATTTCTGCCAATTGACTAGCCATCTCTTCTGCCATTTCTTCACGAACATCTCGTTCAATCGCCGCACAACGCATTTCACTTTCAAACAGCGCTTGTCGCATCTCTTCATACTTTTGCATTAAGTGATCAACGAATGGATCAGTTTGATCTCCTTCATCATCGCTTTCTTCAATAATTGTCACTTCTCTTGTTTCTTCTCCCACCACTTGCACACTTCGATCTGCATGTGATGGGATCTTTGGTGGAGCTGGCATTGCCCGGGGTGCAGGTTGGATCTTAGCATTTGCTCGAGGGGTGGCCTGATTCATCGTAGGCGAAAGAGGACCACTTGCTTTCGAGTCAATCGTTCGATCTGCCGCTGAGGACTGTTTAGACGGAGTATTTTGACCGTTGAACAAGTTTCGCAAGCTTGGATGAACGAATCGGGTAAGATTACTTGCTTGACCTTGTGTGCGAACGGTGTGAACCTCTTTTGCAGCCGCACTGAATCGCATCACATGTGAATTTTCATCAAAGCCAGTATCGAACGGATTGACGTTCACAATCATCACTGCACGTCCTTCTCCGGTAAAGAAAGATTGGAATAATTCAGTCAATTTGCTGTGACGGAAAGGTACGATACTCGGTCTTCTCTTCAGCACTCTTGGGATGACTGATGCGGCATGATTTGTTAAACTGTTTGATGAAGTGTTTGCGCTGCTGATAGGTGTGATTGGCGCAGGAATAAAGCTCGCAGCTCTTGCTTGATTTTTTCGCAGAGTTTCGATACATTGTCCCAAGCACATCAAACTCTTATTGATACTTCCGGCCTCTTTCAGTCGATCTCCTGAAGCAGAGGTATTGCTCAATCGCTCACTGCCTGCCAAATCGACAATGCTCAAACGACTTGTAGAACATGCTAATGTCAAATCATCTTCGCCTGCATGTTCTCGGATGACCTTGATGGTAAATACACCGTGACTGCGAGAGCTTGCTCGGTTGGCCATAGTTGCGAATACTCGTCTGTTTTCTTGCCCTCTACGCATCAGTTCACGAGCTTCGGCGGGAGAATGAATGCGAATCTCTTGTAGTCCTGAAACGAATTTACCACCTGCTTCAATATCGTTTTTGAGAGAGAGAGGTTTGCGTTGCAAGTATATCGGTCCATTCGCATCACTTCCTCCAGCATTAGCAGCAAGTGTCCAATTTGATCCACGCATACTATCAGATCTTGTCAAGCCGCCAAAGAAGGAGCTTGATCTAGGCATGCTTGAAGAGGAAGCAGGAGGAGCAGCATCGAGCAAATCAAAGATCTTTTCATTGTACACTTCCACATAGCTAACCCAGACGCTATAACGATAATTGCGATCAATCTTGACTTTTGTCTCTGTATCACGGTCAAATTGGGCCGATGTTGAAGATTGATCGCTTGTCAAATGCTTCGACATCCCTGGCAGAGAGAAGGGATTCACACCGTTCTTGCCAGAAGCAAAATCATTCTTATCAATCCGTTCCACACCTGATAATCCAACCGGTCGAATATCAGAAGTGCTCTCTACGCCTTTGATACTATTGAATACAACATCTACACTTCGTGGTAAGATGCCTGCTTCGCCTTCCTTATCACCTCCTTGGACTGTGTAGCTTTTCCCACTATTTGTAACACCATATGTGAAGATCAAACCACTTTGTCCTTGCAGCAATTCATTGACTAAAGGTAAAGTTGTGCTTTGGAAGAAAGATGCTTGTGATCTATCAGGTGCATTACCTGCAAACACTTTTGAGAAGGTATACTTTGTTGGTACTGCACCAACATGAATTCTGGCTCTAGGCGCTGAAGAGTCCTTTGGAGGGTTCATGAACACTTCTGTATCATTTACCACCTCAATATATGGCTCCACGTTGGAATCCTTTGAATCAGCATCATCTCCAGCTGGTGGTCGAATACGCAGATAGGCTTTCAGAGGCTCATTATCGGAGACTGTGAGTGGTGCCTGTTTTGTAGCTTTCTTGCTTCCTACCGTTGCCGAACCAGAGAAGACGTTTGCCTTTGTTGGCGTTCTTTCACCTCCAATCGGCATTGTAGCGTAATGCTTTATAGGTGATGATGGAAGCGGTATACTTGAAAAAGGAGGAGTACGACTTTGTGTGGAAGTGGGAACACGAAATGATGATTGTTTCTTGACTGTTGATGATGTACTGGAAGCGGCTTTTTGTGTACTGCTGACTGACTTTTTTCTTCCTGTTGTGGTGGTTGCTGTTTTTTGACCTGAAGCGATCCTTGGAGTAGCTTGTCCACTTCTTGATGATACTGTGCTTGATCTTGCAGAGTTTAAGTTGCTAATAGCACCCTTTGAACGGGGTGTTGCTTCGTTTGACATGTTGTACAATTGACAAAGTGATGGTGAGTAAAAGTGTGTTGTTTGTGTTGCTCTAACACACACACACACCAACACTTTCTCTTTAGATAAGTCATTCAACACACACTCACACATGCACGCGTCTTTTTGACATTCAGACCAGGCTCTGAAAATCCAAATCCAAGTTCCAAAAATGGAAAGTGTTGATTATGTCATCTTAATTAACACGCGCCAAACGTGTTCATACACGTGTTAGCAGGTCCTTCAGCCTCCACTACCAAGTCTTCTATGAGATACCTTTACCATACTATAAGGAGTGGATTTATATCATGGTTATCACAATGATTAAAGGATAGAAAGCAAGTTCCATAGCTGACGTTAGTCATATGGCTTCTTCCAGCCATGTTTATGTTGAGTAGTCGTATAGTAACACCATGTTAAATTGCTCGCCCATGCATGTTCGGACTTAATGATGTCCACGCGTACCCTAAGTGGTGTAAGCGCTGGCTTACAATATGTGTGTGAGCTTAAGAAGAATCAAACAAAGTGGCGCATGCATTTCATCACTTCCATCATCATATAATCATCTGTAGCCAGCACATCAATTCACAAAATGGCTACCGATATGAAGGTCGATTCAGATCACATCGATGAAGGCCTTTACAGTCGTCAATTATACGTCTTAGGTCATGATGCTATGAAACGTATGGCTGTCAGTAATGTTCTCGTGGTGGGAATGAGAGGTTTGGGTGTGGAAATTGCAAAGAATATTTGTTTAGCAGGTGTTAAATCTGTCACAATTTACGATCCTGCTTCTGTCACAGTGGCAGATCTTAGCACTCAATTCTTCCTTCGACCTGAAGATGTTGGCAGTTCAAAAACCCGTGCTCAAGTAACAGCTCCTCGATTGGCCGAATTGAACAGCTACGTTCCAGTTCGTGTATTGGAAGAAGAATTGACCAAAGATGTTCTTGGACGATTCCAAGTCGTCGTTTTGACAGATGTCCCATTGTCAAAACAATTGCAAATCAACGATATCACACATGGATCTTCTACACATTTTATCTCGGCAGACGTACGCGGTTTGTTCGGTAACGTCTTCACAGATTTTGGTCCAAAATTCTTGTGCAATGATCCAACGGGAGAACAGCCACTTTCTGGTATGGTAGTGTCTATCGAAAACGATAAAGAAGGTATGGTGACCACCTTGGATGAAACAAGACATGGATTGGAAGATGGGGATTACGTCACATTCTCAGAAGTCCAAGGTATGGAACAATTGAATGGATGCGAACCTCGTAAAGTGACTGTAAAGGGACCTTATACATTCACCATCGGTGACACCTCCAGTCTCAGTGCATACAAAAAAGGTGGTATCTTTACACAAGTCAAGATGCCAAAGAATATTGCCTTCAAATCACTTCGCGAAAGTCTTAAGGAACCTGAGTTCCTCATCTCGGACTTCGCCAAATTTGATCGTCCAGCCACTTTGCACGCCGCATGGCAAGCCTTGTCAGAGTTTTGGCAAGCAAAGGGACATCTGCCTCGACCGAGAAATGGACAAGATGCAGAAGAGATAGTAAATGCAACCAAGAAGATCCTTCAATCAACTGGAAGCGACTCAGAAATTGATGAGAAGCTCGTGAAAGAGTTGGCATTCCAAGCAACGGGTGATTTGTCCCCAATGGTCGCATTTATTGGTGGTTTTACAGCCCAAGAAGCATTGAAAGCATGCAGTGGTAAATTCCACCCTCTTGTACAACACTTGTATGTTGATTCACTGGAATCACTTCCCACTAAAATCGCCGAATTACCCGAATCAGATTTCGCACCAGTTGGAAGCCGTTATGATGGACAAATTGCCGTTTTCGGTAAGCAATTCCAAGAAAAGGTTGCCAATGCACGTCAATTCCTTGTTGGTTCAGGTGCGATTGGATGTGAAATGCTAAAGAATTGGAGTATGATGGGTTTGGCAAGTGGACCAGAGGGTGCGATTCATGTTACAGATATGGATCAAATTGAAAAGTCAAATTTGAATAGACAATTCTTGTTCAGACCTAAAGATGTTGGTGCTTTCAAAGCAGACACTGCTTCCGCTGCAGTTGCTGAAATGAATCCTGATCTCAAGAACAAGATTAAGAGTTACCAGAATCGAGTCGGACCTGAGACAGAGGATATCTATGGAGACGAATTCTTTGCTGCATTGACAGGTGTGACAAATGCTTTGGATAACGTTGTTGCACGTCAATACATGGATCGTCGTTGTGTCTACTACCAAAAGCCATTGCTTGAATCTGGTACTTTGGGAACCAAGGCGAACACACAGGTCGTTGTACCGTTTTTGACAGAATCCTATTCGTCGTCGCAAGATCCACCAGAGAAATCGATCCCGGTGTGCACTTTGAAGAATTTCCCAAACCAAATCGAGCACACAATCCAATGGGCACGCGAACAATTCGACGACTTCTTCGTCAAGCCTGCCGAAAATGTGAACCAATACCTCACACAACCCGATTACATCGAGTCAACACTTCAAAGCGGCAGTGGAGTACGGGAGCAAATTGCGCAGATCAAAGAATTCTTAGTGGATCAACGACCGATTAGCTTTGATGCTTGTATTGCTTGGGCAAGACTAAAATTCGAAGAGAATTATAACAACACCATTCGTCAATTGCTCTACTCGTTGCCAGAAGATGCAGTCACTTCTAGCGGACAGCCTTTCTGGTCTGGCCCTAAACGTGCACCAAAGGCGATCACCTTCAATCCAGATGATCCGATTCACATGGAATACGTGATCTCTGCTGCCAATTTGCGTGCATTCACATATGGTTTGAAGGGACACGCCGATCAAGAAGCATTCCGCAAAGTTTTGAGCAACGTCATTGTTCCTGACTTTGCACCAAAGAGCAATGTCAAGATTCAAGTCAATGAGAATGAGGCAGCTCAACCTTCGAACAATGAAGCCGAAAGCGATCCAACCGAATTGGTCTCTAGCCTACCTTCTGCTTCAAGTTTGGCTGGATTCCGTTTGGTACCAGCCGATTTCGAAAAAGATGATGATTCAAACTTCCACATCGATTACATCACAGCTGCATCCAATTTGCGTGCAATCAATTACAGCATTCAACCTGCCGATCGTCACAAGACAAAGGGTATTGCGGGTAAGATTATTCCTGCTATTGCAACGACGACTGCAATGGCAACTGGTTTGGTCTGTTTGGAATTGTACAAACTTTTGGACAACAAAGATGATATTGAGCAATACAAGAATTCATTTGTGAATATTGCGCTACCATTTATGGCGTTCTCGGAACCAATTGCAGCACAAAAGTTCAAATATCCAAGTCCAAAGGGTGAAGTTACATGGACTTTATGGGATAGATTTGATATCGAAGGTAATCCAACACTTCAAGAATTATTAACGATTTTCGAAAAAGAACATGGATTAGAAATTACGATGTTATCATCTGGTGTTTCGATGCTTTTTTCTGGGTTTGGATTAGCTGCCAAAAAACGAGAAGAAAGATTAAAGATGTCAATTAGCCAATTGGTAGAAACGGTAAGTAAGAAACCCGTTCCGGCTTATGCAAAACATGTCGTTTTAGAAGCTCTTTTCGATTCGGTAGAAACGGAAGAAGATGTTGAAGCTCCGTATATTCGTGTTGCCGTCAAGTGATCCGTCAATATTCTTGTAACTAAAGATGTACATAATTAGTAAATTGAATTAATTTATTCTTTTGGACAGTATCTTGTGTGTTAATGTTGTAATGTTCTTCGGTGACTTGAATGGTGATAAAATCGGTGCATACCCCAGAAGCCTGTTTCTCTTGTGTGTGAGTGAGAGCGCCCGTGTACACGTGTTTACATGACCGGGTGAAAGTACCCAGTGGGCACAGACGTTTCTTTTCTAATTTCTTCGGATTCTAGCCGAACAGGGCGCTGGGCGTAAAAGCAGCCATACACTATTGACATGTGGACCGTTCTTGCCCGTTTATGAGAACAAAGTCTATCACCATCATCCTTCTACACACATTCTCGAAATATGGTTGCTTCAATGGCAATGCGTCCTTTTGGAGGTGCATTACGTGCCCGTGTAAATGCGGCAAGTACGATCATGCGAAATGGACCAAAAATTGTTCAACAAAAAAGATTTTTATCCATTCATGAATATTTATCGATGGATCTTTTGAATTCATATGGAATTGCAACACCAAAATCAATCCCAGCTAAATCTGCCGAAGAAGCATTTGAAGTTGCAAAAAAGTTTGGCGGAAAAGGAATGGTTATCAAAGCACAAGTTTTGGCAGGTGGACGTGGTAAAGGTCATTTTGATTCGGGATTACAAGGTGGTGTTCATTTGATCAAAACGCCAGAAGAAGCTCGTGATTATGCAAAAAAGATGATTGGTAATAAACTCATCACCAAGCAAACTGGTGCAGGAGGCAGAATTTGCAATGCTGTCATGTTGGCAGAAGCAAGACCACCAGCTCATGAATACTATGTCGCTCTTTTGAATGATCGTCAATCTCAATTACCCGTCCTCATTGCTTCTAACCAAGGTGGTATGTCAATCGAAGACGTTGCAAAGGAGAACCCAGATGCAATCATTACAACACCGATTGATTTGCAAAAGGGTTTGGACCAACAATCCGCTCTAGACATTGCCAAGAAATTGGGATTCAGTTCAGAGAAGCAAGAGAAACAAGCCGCTGACACTTTCATCAAATTATACAAACTCTTCAAGGAGAAAGACGCAACACAAGTAGAGATTAATCCTATGGCAGAGAGCAAAGATGGTGAAGTATTGTGCATGGACGCAAAATTAGGCTTCGATGATAACGCTGTTGAGATTCGTCAACCTGATATTGCTAAATTGCGTGATCCCACCCAAGAGGACCCTGATGAGGTTGAGGCTGGAACAAGAGGATTGAACTTTATCAAATTGGACGGTGATATCGGATGTTTGGTAAACGGAGCAGGTTTGGCAATGGCCACGATGGATGTGGTCAAACTAAATGGTGGTAACCCTGCCAATTTCCTCGATATCGGTGGAGGTGCAGATGCAGAAGCCATGAAATTAGCATTCAAGCTCCTATTGTCTGCTGACCCTAAAGCTTTGTTCGTAAACGTTTTCGGTGGTATCGTTTCCAGTGGAAAGGTTGCAGAAGCTTTGGTTGAGGCTGCTAAATCAATCTCAAAGGATGTTAACATTGATATCGTCGCACGTCTACGTGGAAATCAAGAATCTGACGCTAAGAAGGTGATTGAAAACTTTGATCAAACTTCAGGTGTTAAGATTCATCCCGTTTTCGATTTGGATGAAGCTGCTAAGTTGGTGGTCAGTTTGGCTGACAAAGCTCGTGCCAAGGCATAGACGAAAGAAAGAGGCAATTAAATACTAATCGTTAGAAGAGGTGTTTCGTTTACTCTCTTTATATACTTTTGCAATGTGACATATATAATAATATTTGCTCGAATGAAGAACAGGTGTGAATATGAACAAGAGTATTAGCTACCAAGGACATTCAATTCGTCTACGTAGGATCTCACGAGCGACTCGTAAGTTCATTCGATCATCAATATTGAGCATTTCAACCACCTGCTCCCAAGATGGACCGGCCATGGTAGGCTCAAAAGCAGCTCTGCAAGCTTGTTGCAAGGTAGGAACTTCTTTTTCCTTTTCTGCATCTTCAATATCATCATCGGTAAGCGATAGGAGCTTCACTGCATCAAGCAAGTATGACCAACTTGCTTGTGGTCTTGTACCCATCGGTGAACTTGTCGTGCTATTTGCACCTACCAATTTGACAGAAACATCATTCACAACTCCCATCCAACCATGATGAACATCTTGTTGAAATCGTTGAGCACCTCGAAGGTTGAATCGATGTGCACCTCCTGAGAATACAACTCGTTCTACCACAGCAGTTGAAAGACTATCAGAAATGGCACGATATACCGTGTTTGCTTGTAGTCGTGGTAGTGAAGGAAGCATATGACTCAAATGCATAGAAAGTGTTGAGAGGGACGACAGTAAAGATGGCGTAGGAATGTCAAAAATTGATTGCTCTCCTTCTTCCTCTTCTTGTGCGCTATTGGCTTCATCTTCATTCCAGTCTCGCTGCGAATAAGTACGCATTCCTTCTAGAACTTCACTGGTGATCATCTTCTCAATACCTCGTAATGCTCGTTTTGCTAACGTATCAAATCGATCGCGCGATTTCTCCCATACATCCACCATTCCGTCATTCGTACCTCTTGCAATTGGTTGTGTTGTCTTTTCGAGAGGATTGCTTGACTCTGCAGCCGGACCTCCAGCAGGTGCATTTGTTGCCAAAGGACGCATTCCACTAGCCAATCTACCTCCAGACCTCCATCCTCTTCGGACCAAGTCGCCCAAACTGGCTTGATCCAATTCACGTTCCTCTACATCTCCTTCCCATTTACGGAAATCGCCCATCAATTTTTCACCTTCTCGTGTATTAGCCAAAGAAGTTCCCATGATCAAAAAGAAACTTTGCGAAGAAAGTGAGGATAGATGAGCTGAAATGAATAGAGCAGAAAGGCATGCTTTCAGCAATCTTCCCAAGCCACGTAAACCTCGTACCATATCTGCTTCACCACCGCTGATGCCTTGACTTTCGTTAGGTCCGCCACTTCCACCAGAGATGGCACCTGGAATTGCGCGAGAGAAAGCTGAGCTTAGACTTTCAAATGCATCCAAACTTCGCTCTAAACGCTGTGCGTATCCTTGCAAGACGGATAATTGAATCAAAAGGAAAGGAAGCTGATGACTGATTGACGGTAGCGCTTTATAACGTACCGTCAGCCCTTCGATCAACGAGATGACTGCTCTTGCTGATCGAGTCGTCTTGATTCGTATTGACCCGCTACTTTCATCGTTATCATCCACATCGTTCACAGCTGTTGACGGTCCGTCTTGTGCCATTGCTGACCAACTTCCATCTGTTGCTTCTGCTTCCAATCCATCTTCGTCTCCCACAAGCCAAGCGCCCTTGCTTTCCATTTCTTCGTCCAGTCTATCACTTGCAAATGCTCTCTCGCTTTGCACCCATGCTTCAAACACAGTTTCGTTTGATAGCAATGCATCAGCCAAATAGATAGGTGAGCAATTTGGCAAGATTGGCATAAGCGTTGCACGAACGTCTTGATCAAACTGCACAGTCTGCATGATCGTATGACTTAGCAATTGAGAATTTTGCAAAAGTAGTTCGATACTTGACTCAACTTTGAGTGTCAAGGGCCGTAGTAGTCCATGTAATAGCTCTGCCGAGAGGTCATAGCGAAGTGACTTGCGTGATTTACTGACATTATTGCACAAGACAGCAATTGCACCACCAAATGGATCAAATAAGCGCATATTTGATTTCAAAATCGATAGCATGTGATTCAAATACCACTCAGGTTTGTCCAAACGGTTTGTCGTTCTAGATGAATCAAAGTGATAGTAAAATCGTAGCAAGAGCGGTTTCAGGAGACATTCGACGGTAAGAAGAGGCTGGTAAGCCTTTGAGCCTGGCGAGGGTTGTGAAGAAGAATCGACTGTAGCCGAATCCTCGGTTGAGCTCATACGAGCTGACGATGGCCTTAAAACGCCAATTTGCTCACTCTTTCTCTGCAGAATCATCAACTCTCGCCATGCAGCTCGCACCTCTGTCGATTGCAGCAAAATCTTCTCGGGAGATTGTTGGACTGGCTCATTCTCCAGCTTGAGTTCAGGCGGCGGAGGAGGCCAACCAGCATTCTTTAGTGCGCTGTCCAATCGATCTTGCCTTGCTTTTGCCAAAGCTGTAAATGCTTGCGATTTTTGTGCATTGACAAATTCGATAGCTTTGATCGACTTTGAGTCCCCATTGGCCAAACTCTCAACCCGTTTCGAAAGAGCGGCTAGTTCTGTGAAATGTACGAGTGACTTTTCGCCTTCTGCATTCTTTGTTTCTGCTTTGATGGCCTTGTCTTTCAGATCTTCTGCTTTTGCCAAGATCGCTAGCGAATCTTGCGTTGCTTCAAGCTGTTCAAGAATTGTTTGCTTCTCCCTCAAAGTTTGCAATAGCGAGGCAGAAGATGATGGTCCTTCTCCCCTTAATTCCGCACAAAGTTCTGCTAATTCATCCTCTAGCGTTTCAATTTGATCTGGGAGCTGATTTAATTCTTCTGCTTTACCATCTGTATGTGCCAAAAGAATAGAGAGGCTGTTGGAAAGCGCTCTCTTACTTTCCTCTGCCTTTGCTTGTGCTTCTTTCTCAGCTTGATGAGAATTGGTCAAGAATATGTCCAGCTCCTTTGATGTTAGTACTCTACTACTTGTGAGGAGAGGATCGCGTAGGATGTCTGTATAATTTGGTCCTGTATCTTGCAATGCCTTTTTATGATTCACAAGAATGTTTTCGAAGCTTGAACTTGCTAGACTTGTCATTCTTGTTAATGATGGGTGTGGAGAGAAATGTTGTTCGTGCATTGTCAATCTTCTTACCACGCTTTTAATTCGGATTACGGACTGGCCCACTTTAAGCAGGTGGCTTTCCTTTTAGCGCCTGTAACCCTGGAGGGTGTGCGTGGGCGTGCGTACGTGCGCACGATGCTCTACCGAAAGCGGGCCATTTTGTTTTTATTTAATTATCGGATAAAAATTGAGGCATAATCACAGTCAAGTGTCAAAATGTCAAGTGGTTTCTTTTTTATTGATTTGGTCATGAGGATTTCCGAAGAGTAAACGTTTATTACTCATGAATCTGTTCCTGACTTTTTACACCTTCCCCACCAGCCACAACCACTAATACGCCAAGCTGTGAAATCGGATACCACGCCACATAAGGCGATCCACATAGGATGACAGGACAACAACCGGAAGTGCCAATCGGCATGCAAAGGCTAAGTTGTTTGCCATGCAGAAAGAGAAAATCAAAATGCGATCGAACTGAACCATGCTCTTCGTGTGTATTGCGGAATACGGAACGATTTTGTTATACAGGAGAAGTGATGGAAGACGATGCAGTTAGTAAATCTAGTCAAACTAGAAAGGAAGAAAAAGGAAATCAGGCCAGAAGTGCAAATCAGGCACTACCGCCAAGTCAAAGGCCAAACAAGATACGGAAAAAGACAGATTCAACAGAAGCTGAAGCAAAAAGCTCGACTACCAATGGTGGCAACAAACGCTCAACTACATCCACTGCAGACAAAAAGGAAAGCGATTTTGACCGCTCAACAGTCTTATCTGCTATTCAATCTGTCAAAGCAACGTTGAGTGGACTGGAGGCGCAATTGGGGAGAACGGACATGGTGGATGTAGTTGCTGATCGAGTGAATGCGTTTGTTCGTTGGGATGAAATCAGTGCTTGGCTACCTCCTCGTGAAGAAGCGGAAAGCATTTTGGATTGCTACTTTGTCGAAGTAACTTGGTTCTTATCAGCAATCAATTCGAAAATGTATATGGAAATGTGGAAGAATTTCGCAGATGGAAAGCCAGTCCCGAGAACGTTTGCTGCTCTGACACTGTTTGTGATTGGCAATACTCTTTGTTTAGCACCAGCATCACATCCTGTCTCACGTTTGCCGTACAGCAAAGATCATAAGCTTTTCATGGAGCATGGATATAGGGTATTATTACCTAGTGACAGTCCTTTCACAATCATACCCCAAGGACCGGATCTAGTACAAGCCCAACTTTATCTCGCCTTCTACTTATCTCACAACGGATGGCCAGACTCGTGTGATATTGAGATGGGCAAGCTATTACGATATGCACGTGCAATCCATCTTTTTGATGAGGACAAATGGAATCTACCGGCTATGAATGATTGGGAGATCGAATTGCGAAGGAGAATGGCATTGGATATTGAAATGCTGGACAGGTTCCTATCAGTTCATTTCTTAAGAACTCCCACATTACCTGAACGATCCAATTTCCAGCATGGCGCTTACTATACGGATGAATGCTACGATACCAAAACTGGCAAATTGGTCGGCGGTACTATGGATGTCTTATCATCATTCCCTTTTCACTTAAGAAAGAGTTCAATTTCCCTTTGTGCTCACAAAACGTCATTGTTTCTACTAAACTTCCTACGCCTTTCGCCTGCAGAACGATACCAAGCTGCAAGGGATTTGGATAGGGAAATTCAACTTACGGCAGAGCAAGCGTTAAGTGGGGATTTAAAGTACGAAGACGCTTGTAATCTCAGTACGATGAACTCGCCAGGCTCGATTCGAAGAGCGTGTCAATCGCTGATCCTTTATACATCATTCAAAAGGCAAAGGTGTACGATCACTCGACAATTCTTGTTGGATTCTGACGCTCCTGTCGAATTGAGAGTGTCTGCTTTGGAACATGCAAAATGTATTATCGAAGCAGTTCCGAGCATCATAAGCCTCGCTACTAGCCCTTATCTGGCATATAGCCCTTCTTGGACTTCAGGTCATTTATTCTGTGCTGCTTCGACGTTTGCGATTGTCTATTTGGGAGAAGAAGAACAAAAGGAAACCAGTGCGGAGCTGGATTGGTTTGCAGGCAAGATCTTCGAGGTTCTAGATGCGCTCTCGGTGTTGAGTTTGAAGGATCGTGTCGCACAAAGATGTGAAGAGTTATTAATCGCTTTATGCACAAGCAGAGATACTCTGAGGGCTAAATTCACAGCTTCAAAGACGGGAAAGAGACAACAAGTTCGACTGCGAGAAAGGGAAAGTATGGCAAAGCAGAGAGAACAATTCGAATCGAGCGTAAATACTGAGCATTCACGGAAAGCACATAAGGAGACTTGGCCGGGATTTAGAAGTTTGATGCCAGAAGAGGGTACGGGTCATATTCCTCCTGGCGTTGCTCATGTAGCGGATGCACCAAATCGATCACCAGCGTATCTGAAAAAGTTGTCCAAAGCCGGAACGCCTTCTTCGACAAAGAGCAATACCAGCTATAGTGCGAATCGAAATAATGCACTCTCTAACGATCCTATGAACGCTTCGAGTGCCTCCTTTTTCTCTTCACCAGAACAAATTCCAGGACAAACAAATACATCTGGTAATCATTCGAGCGATAGCAGGAACAATAGCATAGCTGAAGAAACGCCAGAATCGGGAGAATGGTGGCCAGCATTGAATGATGGTCAATGGAATGCATTGATAAATTCATTGGGAGGTGATTGGGATTCCTTGGCTGCTAATAATAATAATGCAAACAATTTAAACGTAAACAACAATCAAAATTATGTATCATCTGAAGCCGTTCAACAAAATGGAATTCAACCTGGAAATTCGGATTATTTCACTTCTCTTCATGCAAGTATGTTGCCCACAATGCCAATCTGACAAAAAGGTGTTTTGTATATAATTTCTTGTATTTAAATGTACTATTACTATAGTTGCTTCCTTTTCATGGTTATGATATAATATGCTCTTGGCCTGGACAGAGAATGAGTCAGGGGATAGACTACAGACAGGCAATTCTGCGGGCGAGTCGCGTGGCCTTCGGCTGTAAGCAGTTTGACTGAAGTAGTGCCTAGTAGAACACAAGAGAAACTGTCCTTGCCTTCTTTACGCCTGAGACTAATTACAGCTGACGCAATGAACGCAGGGCGGCCGGACGGGCGTGGAGTGAGTGGAGCAAATGTATGCTGTTTGACGGGTTTAAACTACTTTCTTCTCAAAACCACAACAATCATCACAAATCTACCTACACAGACAAACGTCTTCTGATCAACAACTTGAGTAGGCGATCAACTTAAAGACAGATATTCTCTCCTCAAACGCAATTGTCAGATATCTTAAAACACAGACAGCAATAACAAAATGTCAGACTTCGATACCGTAATCATTGGAAAGAAGGCAAGACCACAAGGAGGTGGCGGTGGTGGAGAACGTGGTCCAACAGCTCTCGAACGTGCTCGTGCAGTTGGAGCAGTGACCGAAAACGATCGTAAAACGGCCGCAGGAGGAAATAAAGGTCACGCCGGACCTGATCATGCACATTTGGCAAAATTAGATCGTGATAATGAAGTTGCACCACCGGCAAAAGTTGCTCCAACGGTTGGAAAGGCAATCGGACAAGCACGTCAAGAAAAAGGATGGACACAAAAAGATTTAGGTCAAAGAATCAATGAAAAACCTCAAGTCATTCAGGAATACGAATCGGGAAAAGCTCAACCTAATCCGCAAATTATGGCAAAGATGGAACGTGCTTTGGGTGTGAAATTGCGTGGTGCTAATGTCGGAGCCCCTCTTGGTGGACCAAAGAAGAAGTAAATGGAGCATTTGGAGGAATTGCAGTCACATAGGTGTTTCAGAATTGTATCAAACTTAGTATTCTAATCGATCTTTAGACGCTTTTTAGAGGCCTACATTATTGAGTGAAAGTGCGAATGGAATTTTTGTAGATGTAGGGTACAAAGATGGGGAACAAGCCCTTCAAGCAAGCTCCTCGTTGAATGTTCTTCCGATCAACATTCGGCGGATTTCCTGTGTTCCGGCTCCTACAGCGTATAAACGGCTATCCATTAGAATTCTACCCATTGGGTATTCCTTGATGTAACCATTACCACCTAACGTTTGCATTCCTTCTAGAGCCACTTCAATGGCACGATCGGTTGAGTAAAGGATTGCGCCTGCACAATCACGCCTAGAGATATGACCGGCATCACATGCTCTTGCAACTGCATAAACGTATGATCGAGCAGCGCTCAATTTGGTATACATATCTGCAATCTTTCCTTGCATGAGTTGAAATTCTGCGATTCGTTTTCCGAATTGGGTACGTTGATGTGCGTAATCTGTTGCAAAATCGAAAGCTGATTGCATCAAACCTAACGGGCCTCCAGATAAAACCAATCTTTCCAAATCTAAACCTGACATCAAGACTGCTGCACCTCCATCTACTTTGCCCAAAACGTTCTCTTCTGGAATTTCAACGTTTTCAAAGACTAGTTCACAGGTATCCGAACCACGCATTCCGACCTTGTCGAGTTTGGGTGAAGTAGAGAATCCCTTCCAATCCCTCTCAACGATGAAAGCTGTGATGCCTTTTGAGCCCTTTTCCGGAGATGTTTTCGCATAGATGACAAAAGTGGAAGAGACAGGTCCGTTTGTGATCCAGAATTTGCTTCCGTTTAAGATGTACCTGTCACCCTTTTTGATTGCAGTCGACCGCATACTGACCACATCACTTCCACTTCCGGGTTCACTCATAGCCAACGAACCTACTTTTGTTCCTGCAATCAGATCTGGAAGATATTTTGCCTTTTGAGCAGGTGTTCCATGTCTTCTGATTTGATTGACGCATAAGTTGGAATGTGCACCATAAGAAAGGGCAACCGAACCAGAAGCTCTTGAAAGTTCTTCCATTACAAGAGTATGTTCAAAATATCCTTTACCTAATCCACCATCTTCTTCTGGAACGGTGATACCCAGTAATCCCATTTCACCTAATTTTGGCCATAAATCCATTGGACTTTTGTTTGTCGCATCAATTTCGCTTGCTCTTGGTGCTAATTCTTTTTCTGCCCAACTTGATACTGCTTCACGTAATTCATTTTGTTCATCATTCAATCCGGCAACGTGTGAATTATAAAAAGATACAGACCGTCTTGCGATAGGTTGACGAATACTGTTGACAGCTTGTCGCAAGCATAATCGGGATCCTGCCAATCGTAGACTTGCCATGATGTGATTCGAGAGGGATGATGAAGCTTGGAAGAAAGAAAAGGTAGAACTTCTTGGCAGGTTTTAATGTTGAATTGAATATGCGGGGAAAGTTGACACTGAATGCACCGAGTACCGGGCACGCGTACACTTTAACGGAGCACAATCCGCGGAGCCGTGACTGAGGGCTACAAGCAGGCACACAGGCAAGCAGGCACACGTGTGTTCTAGAAGAAGCCTTCTCTCTCTAAGCGAAAGTGACACTCATGCCAACCGTGTGAACAAGCGGAACACCGCACACGTACCGAAAGAATGAACGATAAGATTATCTATCCTGTAGGTTGGATTCGCATATAAGCTTTCATTTTAACACCATCACATCATACACATTCACCATCAAACGATATGGCTGATACACCTAAACATTATCCTGCCAAGAGCGTATCCGTTATCGGCTGTCCATTCTCTGGCGGTCAACGTCGTATGGGAGTGGACACAGGTCCAAATTCATTAGTAGAAGCAGGATTAATTGACCAATTAAAAGGATTAGGATGGCAAGTTGGCTTCTCGGGTCATCAAGCATTCGAAGATGTTAACAAAGAAATCGCAAAAGATGAAGATATTGGAGTAATGAAAAATCCAAGAGTCGTTTCAGAAGTTAGCAGACGTGTTGCAAGCGTTGTTGAACAACATGCTCGTAATGGTTCAATGCCTTTAACACTCGGAGGTGATCATAGTTTGGGTTTGGGAACCGTTACCGGCTCTTTACGCGTTCATCCTGATGCTGCTTTGATTTGGGTAGATGCTCATGCCGATATTAATACTCCCGAAACTACGCCTTCGGGTAATTTGCACGGCTGTCCAGTAAGCTTCTTGCTTGGTTTACCTGGAACGGATGTTGAACCGTTCAACAAATGGACACCTCCCTCAAAAGCACTTTTGAAACCAAATAGTGTTGTCTACATTGGTTTGCGTGACGTTGATTCGGGCGAGCGCAAAATCTTGAAGGAGAACAACATCAAAGCATTCTCTATGCACGAAGTAGACAAATACGGCATCGGAAAAGTTGTCGATATGGCATTGGATTACGTTAATGGAGGCGAAGGTAAACGTGAAAGACCAATCCATCTCAGCTTCGATGTTGATGCTTTGGACCCTTCCGTTGCTCCAAGTACAGGTACACCCGTTCGTGGTGGTTTGACATTCCGTGAAGGTCATTACATTTGCGAAGCATTGTACGAAACAGGTACTTTGATCGCAATGGATTTGATGGAAGTCAATCCTTCTTTAATGCAAGAACGTGATGCTGAACAAACGATCGCAATCGGATGCTCTTTAATTCGTTCAGCATTCGGCGAAACATTGCTTTAAGCATTTCTCAGAAAAACAACACACAAACTCAAAACAAATCAAAAGCAGACAGATACTATGTGAACATAAATCAAAAAGTACACAAAAATACTGCTGCTCTGATCAATGCTTCTCCTTTAATCATTTATAAAGTTCAAGTAGACTGCCGGGGCTAATTCTCTATTTTCACTGTATCATTGTACTGCTAGCACATCAATCAATCAATCAAATTTAATTCAATTCTTTTCGATTATTATTCGTGTGTTTAGTGTACAATGTGTGACAGTCTTTGTTTTTACAGGTACAATTACAGTCATTCTTTCCCACCCCCTCTTCTCTACTCAACCATCTCGAAATCATCATCACCGTCTTCTTCCTCTACATCATCGCCTGCAAGACGGGTTGTAGCTTTACGTGCTGCTGCGCGGGTACCAGACGTACGACGGCCTGAACTGGTCGATGCCAAGGCTGCTGCTCGGGAAGATGCTGGTTTCGAAGCTTTAGCTGTACTCTTTTTAGGTGGGCCAGCCAAAGCTGCTGCTCGAGAACTTGCTTTGGGGGCAGGAGTTGGCGGTTCATCGTCCTCATCAATCTCTCCTTCATCATCATCGCTCTGTTGACCACGGAACATCAATTTTGTTTGAGTTCCTCCTCTACGTTGAGTCTGCGGTGATCGGGCAGCAGTCGCTTTACGGCCACCTCCACGACCGCCGCGAGTAGTAGTTGTGGATCGACCAGTAGACTTTTTAGCAACTGCAGGATCAGGGATGTCAAAGTCACCCAATGAGCTATTGTCAGATTCGTCTAAGCTGTCATTCAAGTTTCCAAATCGATCATCATCCTTTTCTGCTGCTCGACCTTTTGTTGTTCGTGATGTTGGTTTAGAGCGACTTGTGCCGCCCCTTCTCGGTCCGCCATCATCATCGCTTTGATCATTCGCCGCACGTTCGTCATCAGCAGCGCGATTCTTTTCGCCTCGAATACGATCCAATTCTGCATCCAAAGCTTGTTCATCCGGATTGCCTGTGACTAAATTGGAATTCGTGGAACGTAATTCCTTCTCGACAAACCGACCAATGGCATCTTTATCGTCCTTTTCAACAAATTTCATCACCGCACGTTCAAGGCCGGTCGGATTGAGGATGTGTAAAGATTGTGTTGCCAAATACGTGCGAACGAGATCGCTCATACTGACCTTCTCCAACTTCTCTGAAGGAAGCATATCGTCAGTGGGCTCGAGATAATCCTCTGTATTGCCAGCATTCTTTCTAGAAGCATTTTCCGTCTTCTTTTTGCTGAATTGCAGTAAATCTCTCGGATTAGCAACAATCTCTGTAGATTCTTGACCAAACCGAACCAGATTGCCCATCTCATGACGAGTGTAAAGAACACGTAAACGGACGAGTGGTAACATGCGTTCTGGTTGCTCATCGATCGGAATGTTTGCGTGCTTGCTGTCCCATTCTTGATTTGCCTGTTCGATGAGATCTTTCACTTTGCGTTTCAAGAGCTTCGTCACACCTTGCTTATCATCAATCCGTAAATTCGCTTGATCTACAATTTCGTCCAAATCCACCTCGTCCATCACGAACGGTCGTACTGTCTTGAGTGTAAGCGGCTCCATGGTAAAGTCGCGGCCCTTCACGTGGATGATCGCAACCTGTTTCTCAGCTGCTTCACCTGGACAAAGACTGGTAGCAACGCTGCTGCCAGGTTGACTGATCAAATAGCGCTTTCCACCAACAGACTGTGGCTTGATGAGCTGTTCGTGTTCGTGGCCCCAAACGACCAAGTGAACGCTATCATCAAACATGCCCTCTGGTACAGTAGCTTTTGGGTTGTGAGCTGCTCGATTTTGATGAATAGCAAGAATGTTGAACCAATCATCAGGATCCTCTCTTGGTCGATACATTCTCACTCTATTTGAGCGCAATTCAAAATTCATCCTTTCATCTTTGATGTTTCCCATTCCATAAAGTGCAATCTTTGTATCTCCTTTTTGCAGCAAAACCGGACGAATTCGAATGCCAACATCAGACAGACCACCTTTAGCAGGCGCTTGTGTTGAACCTTTCTTCGCAACATCATCGGCAGATGGAAGCTCTACTTTTCCGAAGTAATTCATCAGACCAGAAATGGACAACAAATCAACAGCTGAAAGAGCGCCTTCTGGCCCTACACCTTGTGGGTCATCATGATTGCCGTGTATAGAGAACACTGGGATAGCAACGTTGAGGTTTGGGTCTTCGTAATTGACCGCCGGGAATCTGAGGGAGGTTTCAAGCACCGAAGGTAAGCTTCACAGCCTTTTTCTATACATGAATGCACACTCACTGGTATCCTTCAGGTTTACCGTCGTTGGGATCACTCAGCAGTTCAATCGATACCGGCTTGTCGCCAAGCGTGAACTCTCGCAAAGCGCCCATCACTTGATGCATAGTAGTACGTGAAGGTCGATTCTCGTGAAACAAATCACCTCCAAGCAAAATAAAGTCCACCTGAGTGACAAAAGGTTCGGCTTAGTATGTGTAATACACAATGTATGCGTGCATCTACTCACGTCATGATCTTTCGCCATTTGAAGAATTTCGCGAAAAGTATTGATAGAGTCAGATCCACGAACAGGATCACGTTCCATGTAACCTACATGATTGTCCGTTGCCAGCATGATCTTTACGTGGTTTGGGTCATCATCTTGTTCTTGGTTGTGTGTTGCGCCATTGGAAGAATTGCCATTTTGTCCATTCTCTTGCTGGATTATTTGGTCAGTCTCTTCTTCCCGCTCTTGTACTTGTGATCCGGGGACACTCTCTGTATCTCCTCTAGAAGCACGAGAGCCTCTTCTTGCTCTTTTTGGTGCCATCTCTGCAATGGAATGTCCTCTCTGCTCCTCGATGATGGTGGACTGAAAGTGTTTATGCAGAAGAAAGTGTTGGTCTGCTAAGCACGGCTTTAACGTTTCGCACACTCTCTAGACTCAGCTCCGCTTCTAATTCTATCACACACGCGTTTGTTCAACTTTCTTCCTCTTTACGCGTACAATATCCGACTTTCTTGTCGTTACGCTAAGATAAATGCTATTTCCGAATCTTGATTTTTATGAAAGACGTTTTCATCCTCAGTCTTCATCATCACCTCGACTAAAAGTAGGGAAGAGTGATGAGCGCTCGGGAGCTGGCTGAACGATTCAGATCTCCCTCTTCATATGCAAATCACGAAGATATTTCTATATTCACTCAGTGGAAGCAAAATGAGACATGGCTTGAAACGCAAAGTAAGCAATTAGCCGGCTCAAAAGAAGCTCGGCTGGCATTCATTGGCGATGAAGACTTACCGAATGAATCTATTATCACGATAGGAAATGTTTGGACAAGAACTGCATCACATGCAAGCTCTGCACTGGCTTCAATAGATGATGGCGGAAACCGAATAGAAGAAATAGTGCCGGGAAACGATAACCAACCCCAAACGAGCGGACTACGAACGGCAACTCTTTTGGCACGTTTGATTCGCAATGTTGTCGCTGATAATCCGAAAGGTCAAACCATGTTCTTTTCTCTGGTTGATTCAGCCTTGAAGGCGCTGTGGTCCACGACTTCTTTTGCTTTGGAGGATATTGACGAAGCAAAATTGTTGACCCGTGCTTTGGTACAAATGCTATCCAACATCATCACAGATAATCAAGACCTACAGGAAAAGATGTGGCAGAACCATCTTTCTTTGGGCGCTGAAAGCGAAAAGACGGACACAAAAGCTCGTGCTCCATCTGATTTAGTCTGTCGATTGCTAGACTCAAAAGATCAGGGAACCAAGATGGCCGCACAAATCCTATTAATCAATATGATCCTCGATAGCAAAAAGAGATGCCTAGACATTGCTAGAAATCATGCTGGAGCAAACATTATGCGAAGCCTTTTGCACGATATAGACACAAGTCTTGAAATGGACGAAAAGGAGGAAGAGGAAGAAGAAGGTGAGCAAGTGAAATCAGATGGAGATTCTGGATATGGAGTGAGTTTACAGCCATCCGTACAAGCAAGTCAAGAGCGACAGAGGAGGTATGAAGGTCTCGGGATATCGTACACTCTTTTTACTGGGCTTTTCCGAGCAGGTCTCTTCGATCAAGCATATGCCAATCTTCAACCTGAACAATTTGAAGGGTCGAGAATTGATGGATCGATCGTTTCATCTGCACAAATTACACTGCTGAAATTGCAAGATGCATATTTGCATTCTGGCGTACAAGACTATGATTCCGAAATGGCAAGCGACCTGCAAAGTATCGCCAGCAGTTTCATTTCGCTGGCCAATTGGGCTGATCAGACAATGCAGACCACACTAAAGAAAGGCAAAGATGCTGCTGTGGATGGCAGATTAGTAGAAGTGCACGTCGCTTTGATCCTACAACTTCAATGTTTGATCAATCTAGCAATGGCCACAGAAACGACCAAGAAGCCCACTTTCTTGCGAGTGTGTGAAGGATGTGTTGAACAAATTCGTCAAGATGATTTCGTGATCAAATTGTTGCACCTGATGAGGACGACAGCGGTCTTTTCACCTCCGGTATCGCCATTCGTACCGACGAAGGCGTCTCAATCTGCACCGGCTCCTGATGGACATGTCTTATCATCAACAGGCAAAGCGCATAGTCAAAGCGACCAAGACGCAAACACAAGCAAACGTCCCAGACTGGACAAGCTCAAACGTGATCTCGTTGCGTTGTTGGGTGTGATCGCATTCAAACGTGGACCAAAAGATGAAGATAGTGTAAAACGAGTGCAAGATCTCGTTCGAGAAGAAGGTGGTTTGTTGGACGTTCTCAACCTAACACAATTAGACGAACACAATCCATACATACGTGAAAGGGCAATCTTTGCTCTTCGTAATTTATTACAGGCAAATCAAGCATCTCAAGATCTCATTGCTCAACTTAAACCGATCGATCCTGCTCAACAGCAAGAATCACAACCTCAATAGATATCGTCTAGATGATGTAGCATTACTAGCATAGCACATTGTACATATAAATAGCAAATCTTCATTTGGTACTTCTACCAATCATTTCATCCGCACTGCCATTAGCAGCGCCCGTTGCTGCTGCCTCTTCTAAATCTGCAGGTATATGTCGTACATCCGCCCAACGTTCAACAACGAATGCTTTCTTTCCTTGCCGATCTGCCAAAGATGACATATCCAATTTGCCATTCGGTAGGAGTGGTAAGCTATCAATATCGTTCACGATCACTTCTGTCACGCTACAATTCCATATCCGCGTCCTTTGAACTCCGGCCGACATTGCCGCTATTCCTGTATCCAAAAGAACATTTCCCACCATTGCACTAATTGCAGCTCCGTGTGCAACAACCGCAATCGTTCTTGAACAGCCTGCCCGATTTAGATGTGGCGGAGGACCAGATGTTTGTACTTTCCCTAATTCTTCGGCCGGATATGTGGTAGCATCGGTATCTGGTTCATCGACCCATTCTGAATTTGTTTTAGCTTGCTCAAATGGAGCCGATTGAACGACTGCATCAGAGAGGAAAGACGCTAGCCTAGCACAAAAGACAGTTGTTTGTTCGATGCCATCGATTGAATCCCTCTTTGGTTTTGATCGATCGTATTTGTTGCCTTCGAGTGAACCGAAACCGCGCTCCTTCAGCCGTTTATCGTACCAGAATTGCATTCGATCGTATTTTCGGTTTGGATTCTGTTCCACGATGGCTTTTGCTGTGTCGCTAGCTCTTTTTAGAGGACTAGAGTATACCTCATCGATATGTTCGTTTGCCAAATATTGCGCGACATAATGCGCCTGTTTTCTACCTATATCGTTCAAATCTGTATCCAATTGACCTTGAATGATTCCTTGTACGTTATGATCCGTTTCTCCATGTCTGATGATCAAAATACGTAAACGTGATCGATAACCAGCACTTGTTGAACTTATATTGCTATACCGTCTTCCCTCCGATGAAGAAGTGAAACTATCATCTTTGTTCAACGGTACTCCACCTACGAAAGATTTCTTGCCGTTTGCACCTGCACCACCACCATTTCGTGATTGTGTTGAATCTAACAAAGAAGGCGATAATGTTACCGGTGCTGACATTAGCTTTTTTGAATGATTGTCCCAGCAACAAAAAGTTGTTGGAAGTGATTGGATGAATGTAGTAAAGATTAGAAGAAGAAAGGGTAATGAATGCTAACCCGTAAGGCACTTTAGCAGAATCTCTTCGGCTTTGCTGACTAGAGGTGTAAAATCTCTTTCACCATTTTTTTGTTAGTAGCTTAAATAAAAATTCACACTGCCCTTTCGCCTTATTCTTTGGCGCTGTCTGTGGCGCAGGCGTATACGCTTACATTCATTCAGCCTAAATGAGGCATCTTGTGTGATTGAGTTAAAAAATCCCAAAGCTGCACAATGACGAAAATTAAGTTATGTTTTATCACATTTTAAGCCCGTCTTTATAAATCTTTTCTTGCTTATCTAATATTCGAGAGACATAAACTTTCCGGGTTTCCATCTGTTTCTAAAAATTGAATTCACAAATAAAACACAGTCTTGAACATTTCGATCACTACAAAGATCATAGGAGAAGCTATATCCACTGATAGAAATCGTCTTCCATCTTCTGGTGATAACATAGTCTGCAACTTAAGTCGGTGTGTCTCTCTATTGGTGATCATATTAACCAGTGGAAAAGTAAGCGCTTGGTTTTAGATTCTTAATCCCCTCCGATGATCATCATGGTAGAGAGGAAAGAACTTGTGACAATCTTTGAGGAGGAGTGAAATATTAGTCACGTTTTCCGGCCCAGATTAAAGCGGAAGGTGTAATCTCATAAAGTCCGAAGCTAAAATCCGATTAATAAAAGATCAACACTTACAGAACGCGTCAATTAGGGCGGCGACGGGGGCAGCGCGTAGATTATACGGAGTTCCTCACTCAAGCTTAAATCAAGCCATGTAATGCATGTACGTCGCCCCTGAGTTGAAGGTGCATAAAACACTCCACAACCAACACAACTGGAATTCTGCCTGAACAAAAAAGTATTCTTCTTAGCTTCGGATACTTTTGTACTTTTTATGTTGTTGTTCAGAACCATCATACGTTTTAAAAAACAGCCCCTATTATCAATGTTGTGTGACATAATCGAATAGAATCTTACCCAACAGATCAACATGAAAATAAAGGCAAGTTTGTTGATATTCACTTGCCGATTTTAACATGATGTCATTCTCGATGGTCATATCAAAAACATAACATGATCGAGATCATTGTTGATATATAACACAGCCTTTTGCTTTCTTGTTCGTCAATACTTATGACTTGAAGAATAAAGGATCTCCTGTCTGTTTTATAGGGTTATTGCATACAATAGATTAAAGTTGTTTGTGTGACTTGAACACATCCAATTGCCAATCAAATTGAGTTTCAGTGTAAGTAGCCTAATCGAGCAAACACATTCGTGCGAATACAATAGGCTAATTAAGTGCGGTTCTCTCTTTAGGACAGACAAACAAAGCCACTCACTCCACTCCCATCGGATAGGTCAATAAGATTTATCCCATTTGGTGCCCCTGCTGAATTTGCATGTTTCTTCGTGTGTGTGTGTGTGCTAGAAAACACAGCGTACGCGCACATCGGACTTGCACAGCACGCATAGAGTGTGTTTGTGTTTGTGTTTTTTTAACAGCTTTTTTGTTCCCCTACTTCAAGCTTGACTCCCATCATCATCACCCATCTACTTTTTACCCCTCTCTTACCCTTACCCCGACCTCACTCCAATAACGACCTAGGAGATCATCTACCAAATCCCTTTTTTATGAAATCCGCACTTTAATGACATTACGACAAACGACTTCATAACGACATTCCCACAGTAACGAAAAAGAAAAACTGTACAATTATTCAAAAGCTGTCTCGGTGAACAACCTGCTCAGCACACAATTACACAGCCTCCAACACAGCTCATACAAACATTTCCCGTCGCTATTAGCTCAATACCGGCACATTTGGAAGCGTACCGGTGGCTTGCTCTTCATTTATTCATAGCCAGGGGTTTTACCGCGCTTTAACGATCGAAAAAGGTAAATCGTATCTCGGCGCGAATAAACAAATTCCAGCTAGGTGAGTATTTAGTGATTCATTCAGGAGACATCTGGCATTCAGTTCCTATGTGGAAACCAGGGACCAGAACAAGATATCTTTGTTGAAAATCGTATATCATGAATGTGTCTCTTCCTTCTTCTTTACGACGATCACATACTTACTGATCTCTACAATTTTCAACAATGCAGACTATCTTTAGAAACCCCTTCCTTGAAGAAGGTGAAGAACAAACACCACTCGAGGCCCCACCAAACCTTCCCCAAAGGAAAAAGGTTCCAGCGCTCGAAGACGAGAGCAAAGAGAAAGCAAAGCCAGCTACTCCTCCTGCTCAGCCTCCCAGCAAAGCTGTTGACCCCGAAGCTCTCAAGAGACAAACTGCCAGAGAGAATATATTCAAAAAACTAGCAAAGATGGATCGCTTTGACGTGATCAAATTTGAAGATCTTTCCGGTCCAAAAGGCGGAGACTGGGTCCGGGTCGGAGGTGGAAGTTTCGGAGTGGTCTTTCGAGGTGAATATCTCGGTACAGAAGTTGCCATCAAAGAGGTTCTCCCGAACAACACATACGATGTCGAGAAATACTTTGAACGTGAATGCGTTCTGATGAAAGAAGCAAGACACCCGAACATCGTTCAATATATCGGTCTCACAAAGAGCCCAGGTCTAGACGGAAGAATCTACATTGTTTCCGAATTTGTTGGACCAAATGTACGTCAACATATCGCTGACAAAAAGAAGCCTTTCGATTGGCCGCTTCGTATCAGCTATGCTACGGATATCGCAAGAGCTGTTGCTTATCTCCATGCACGTAACTGCATGCACCGTGACTTAAAGGGTGAGAACCTTCTCGTCACTGACAATCAAAGAATCAAAGTTTGCGATTTCGGTTTCGCAAGAATTGCAGCGCGCAATCAAGAAGAGATGCGCCGTATAAGTTATTGCGGTACAGACGGATACATGTCCCCAGAGATTTTGATGGGTGTCGATTTCAGTTTGCCATCTGATATTTTCTCTTTGGGTGTCATCTTTTGTGAGATCATCTCTCGTCATCTCGTCGACCCAAGCACATTCAAGCGACAGCTGCCAAGCTTTGGAGTGGATGTAGACGAAATCAAAGAGATGGCAAGTGACGGATGTCCGGCTGATTTCATTCAATTGTGCATTGATATGACAAAGATCGAGCCAGATGAACGACCGGACATGCGACAAGTCATTCGACGTCTTCGTGTGATCGAACAAGAGATCGTCAACCGTGAGTTTAAGAAGGGAACATTGAACAATGTTGGAAGCTTGCGTGGCCACAGCTTGGCTGCAGTTCTTGGCAATAAATCAGCCAAGAACAAGAAATCAACTGCACGCCGATTGCCAAGCTTTGAAGGTCAGATAAGCACATCGCAAATAAACAAGATTCGACAAACACCAATTCAAGAAGAATCACATGAACGAAACGGATCGGACAGCAGCGATGAAGATGTTGAAGAAGCATTGCGTGCTCTTGAGAAGATGACGATCGGTCAAAAGAATGGAAGTCAAATGGTTGCAGAGACGATCCAAGCTGCAGGTACTTACAAGGTTGCCGGTCACGGTAATCCTTGGTGGGATGAAACGGATAACGAGACCGTACCCGCTGCTTCATGGATGCAACACATGCCATCTACTAGTAATTCATCGGCATGGAGGAATCTTGATGTAGAAGCAAATGACAACGCCAAATCTTCATCGACAAAGGAGGAAGAATACAGTACCTCGGTCGTACGTCCCTCAAGACAAGTGGTTCACCCTTCTTTGGCATCATCATTGTCTAAAATGACGGGTAACGCTACAATGAAAGGCGATGAAGGCGTTGCGGGATCTACGGCTACTGTCCGTCATCGTGCGCCTCTCAGTCCTTTGCTTGACAATAATGGATCTACTCACTCTCATGCCAAACGTGAGGCGTCTGAAGCCGAGACATTGAAAGCCGCCGATGCAGACGATACTACTCAATCCTACATGACTGCACATTCGTCTGAGCATGATCACCACGATCACCATCATGGAGCTGATCCATCCTTGGCAATGGCAACGATCGCATCGACAATCTGTGAAGCCAATGCCTTGTACCATAGATTCACATTGGTGAAGAATGGAACACGCAAGCCAAGTGAGATTATGCCACCTTCTGCCAATTTACCAAATTCAAGCAAATTACCTTATCAACTAATCTTGGCAAACGCATTAACGAAATGCAACGTTTGTTTGAAAAGACTTGGATTTGGTGCTTATATGGATTGTGATGATTGTCCTTATAAGACCCATGTTGGTTGTGCGGCAATGGCAGAACCTAATTGTCAAGAAATGACGATTCCAGGTGCAGGTGGATCAGCAAATGGAAGTCCACTTCCACGTTCGCCAAAAAGACAAGATTCTTTGGATGTGATAGAAGAAGATTCGATCGCTGCTCAACAAACTACACAAACAGGTGGTGGTGAATCGATTGCAAGAACGTCAAGTCCATCAACCAAACCATCAACGGCAAAAAGTCCACCAAGCAGTCTTTCTAAAGGTGTTGCGTTTTTGCGAAAAAGGCATTCCAAAAGTCCACCACCTAAATCACCAAATTCACCTCCGGCGGTTGTGCGAGCATAAAAACCAAATGAGCAAATAGACTTTTTGTTTTTATTTTTTCTTTTCCCATTTTTCGTTTTCTTAACCCTTTGTTTATTTTTTTCGTTCTTCTTGCTAATTTCATCTTTAACGCATCAAAGAGCGTCTTTATTGCTACGCAATCTTATCATCCAATCAAGATCATTCATCTCTTTTTCATCTTTCAAACTCTTTGCTCTAGCTCTCAGCTCATGTACATATTACGCTTATCAGAGAGAAATTGATAGATTCATATTCTTACAAGCTTTTTGCGAACTTCAGTGCAGCAGGAGAGCTCTGAAGGGATGAGAGTAAGAGTTAGATAATGTGTGCTTACATTTGCAGCAAGTTTCGGACATACTCACCTCTGCTGGCTTTACACTAAGGCTGCTGAGGGCCAATTTGCCTTCACCATCAATGACGAAATGGCTAAGCAAGTGAAGAAGAGATCGTCAGAGGTATGTCTATCGGATGTTGGACGGACTCGATTGTCTACTCACCTTCTACGTGTTTGAGTTTTAGAACCCGTCAAAGCACCGATCAAATCTCTTTTTGGATCTGATAAGAGATGATATTGAAAACCTTTTTTGTCTTTCCAATTTTTCAATGAAGTCAAACCGTCATTCGATAATCCAAACACTTGGAATCCTAATTTCGTCCATTCAGCATATTCGTCACGGAATAGACATGCTTGGGCCGTACAGCCTCCGGTATTTGCCTGGTGTGTGTGGATTTGAGTGGTTCAGTATGGTGTAATCCAATATACTCTGTTTCCCCCCAAATTACTCACTTTTGGATAGGTAAAGATGACAGTTTTCTTCAATGTGCTCACATCTACCTCCGTTCCAGTTTCATTTTTGAGTGAAATGCTCGGTAATGCATCACCAACACTCAAAACACCTCCATTTGAAGTTGTGTCAGCAGCAGCATCAGCATCATCAGATGATGATTCAGCTTTGACCTTTTTCGTCTTTGTTGTTGTTGGTTCTTTGTCGGTATTTGTTTTTGCAACGGGCGCTGTTCGTTTTTTGCTACTTGATCCTGCTGCTTTGGAAGTAGAAGGAGCAGGTGGAGCAGCACGATTTGCAATACGTGAAGATGTTCTTCTTGTGGCTTCAGTAGTTGACATGGTGTAGTACAAATATGACAGAAGTTTCTTCAAGTCAATGATACAAATCTTAAAAATCAAAGAATATGTGATGGTAGTAAAAGGAACGGAGAAGCAGCGAAAGCAATCGATTGCAAATTGAATAAAGATATGAATGGAAGTTGAATGTGTATGTGTGTGTGTGCATTGAATATACTGCTTTAATGCCGTAAATTAATGCAATTTCATTTCTTCTTATAGTCCGTGCGTGCGCGCTTAAGAATGGTGCCATTCTCATGAGAAGAAAAGAAATACATCATCATTCAAAGAGAACATTGTTTGAGCGGTGGTTGAATATGAAAGAAGCATTGAAAAGGTACAAGAGAATAAAGAGACTTGCTTAAAGTATGCACTGATCATATTGATGAGCTGTAAATGCTCACTGACTTGATCGTCTGTGCTAATCAGAGAAAAAAAGGTTCTATTACGAGACAAAAGATGGTACATTTTTGGTATTTTGAGAGAACTCCTCAAAGCAACTTGGATACAACACCGGTACCAACAGTCTTTCCTCCTTCACGCAATGTGAATCGACTTCCTTGTTCCAATGCAACTTCATGAACCAAATCTCCGATCAAAGTAACATTGTCTCCTGGCATGACCAACTTTTCATCTGCATCAGATCCAGTGTGTGTCAATGAAACGGTAACATCGGCTGTACGTGCGAACAATTGTGGTCTGTAGTTGTTTTGGAAAGGTGTACTTCTTCCTCCTTCTTCCTTGGTTAGCACATAGATTGTTGCTTCGAATTTCTTGACTGGTTTGATTGTACCTGGTGCACTCAAGACCATTCCACGTTTAATTTGTTCACGTTTAACACCACGCAACAACATACCAGCATTGTCACCACTTTGAGCTTCTCCCAATTCTTTGTGGAACATTTCAACACCTGTTAAGGTTGTCTTGATACTTGGTCCAAAACCGACCAATTCGACATCTGTACCTTTTGTGATCTTACCACGTTCCACTCTTCCTGTAACCACAGTACCACGACCTGCGATACTGAAAACGTCTTCAACTGGCATCAAGAATGGCTTTTCCAAATCACGAGGTGGCAAGTCAAGCCATTCATCGGTAGCCTTCATCAATTTAACAATTGCTTCTGCACCAACTTCAGGTGTTTTTCCATCAAGAGCGGCCAATGCTGAACCCATTACGATTGGTGTATCATCACCTTCGAATCCATAAGTGGAAAGTAAATCACGCATTTCCATCTCTACTAATTCCAACATTTCCTTATCGTCAACTTGATCGACTTTGTTGATGAAAACGACCAATTTCTTAATACCAACTTGACGTGCCAATAATAAATGTTCACGAGTTTGTGGCATTTGACCATCAGTAGCAGAAACGACAATGATTGCACCGTCCATTTGAGCGGCACCAGTGATCATATTACGAATGTAATCTGCGTGACCGGGACAGTCAACGTGAGCATAATGGCGATTTGTAGTTTCGTATTCGACATGAGCGGTAGAGATTGTGATACCACGAGCTTTTTCTTCGGGTGCTTTATCAATTGCGGAATAATCGACGAATTTACCACCTCCAGTTTCAGCCAAAACTTTTGTAATAGCAGCAGTTAATGTTGTTTTACCATGATCGACGTGACCGATTGTACCGATGTTCATGTGAGGCTTGTTACGAACGAACTTTGATCCTGCTTCTGCGGCGTATGAACGAGTGTTACCGATTTGTGCGAATAAGCAAGCGGGAACGTTAACTTGTTGACGTGCTGATCGACAGACGTTCATCATGGAAGAGGAAGATTTTGGTGTACCGTTCATCAAAGCGGTTGAAGCCAAACCACGGAAAGCCATTGGAGACTTTACCGATTGACGGCTCAATGCTCTGACTGATTGTTGACGAAGGGCGAGCATGATGACTTGTGTTGAATAGGATGGCAAGGTGATTGTATCGAATAAGAGTGTGTCTCGCTTGCAATCTTTGCTTTGACCTTGAATCCGTGTTCCGTATTGTCCGTTCTTCTTAATCAAGTCAAAAAAAAAGAAAAGTTGCTTTGCGCATAATCAGGGCTTTTGCTTACCCAAATCAAATTCCTTCCGATTAGCGCCTCTTGAGAAAAATCAGTACTGGCTTCACGTGCGTAGGCTAACTGTTCAATCAATCATACGCGTGTACGGGGCGTGCCTTAGAATTGATTGCATTAACTCAATCGGCGTACAACAGTACAAATGTATAACACGGGCGGGAGAATATTGAATGCTTTCTTGTCTTTACACCATCCATTTATCAAGGCTTTGGAGAAGGTATATCGATCACTCAATATGTCTTCGCCAGCACCTTCTCCGAGTGGACTCAACGGGGGAAATGGGTACGAAGAAGATCAAAAGCCTGTTGTAGCACCAAAGAAGGAAGAAGATGATGTAGAAACAAACATTATCGCTTCTTCATCTAATGGTAATAACAACAATAGGGCAAAGTCAGAGGAAAAGCTTGATGACGAGGAAGAAGAATACGAAAGAGAAGGTGCCGATTCAGATGATGATGAGGAAGAAGAGGACGAGGATGATGACGACGATGAAGATGATGAGGAAGAAGAAGGTAGAGGTGGGGGTAGAAGAAGAAAGAGAAGGAGACAAGGTGTAAGCCGATTCGTCGATGTAGAAGCTGTCGTGGACGATGATGAAGAAGAATACGACGAAGAAGATCAAGAGCTTTTACGTGAAGATGGTTTCATCGAACAAGACGCTGAAGGAGATGATGATGAAGACTTCCAAAGAAGAACAGCTGCAGGTAATCAAGCTCTAGATATACAGAGAAGAAGAGAGGAGGAATTGGATGCTGAGCAAATTGCTGCTCAATTACGTGAGCGTTACCGTAGTCAACGTGGACTCACAGCTCAATCCGATTATGAAGAAGTACCACAAACTCTATTGATGCCCAGTGTCAATGACCCTGGACTGTATGCCGTTCGTTGTAGACCAGGTCGCGAAAAAGTAGTAATTCAAACAATTCTACGTAAAGCTTTCAGTCCAGGTCCTTCCGGTCCTCTGAAAATCATCTCTGCTTTCTCACGAGACACACTTCCCGGTCGAATCTACGTCGAAGCAACAGAATCAAAACATGTGGTCGACGCATGTGCAGACGTTGCAAGTGCTTTTGCTCGTGGAAATTCAATCTTCTTGGTCCCGATCAATGAAATGGCAGATTTGCTCAAAATCACAAAAACAAGACAAGAACTCAAACCCGGCGGTTGGGTTCGATTCAAATCGGGCAAATATGCTGGAGATTTGGCACAAGTGATCGATACGTCAGAGAATGGTGAATCTGTTGGAGTTCGTTTCGTTCCTCGTCTTGATCTTGATCCTAAAGAAGATGAGATTATCATCGACCGAAATGGCAAGAAGCGTAAAAAAGGCAGTCGCTCAGTCGCAGATCGACCACCGCAACGATTCTTCAATGCAGAAGAAGTACGTAAAAAGTTCAGAACTGATGGAATCACTCGACGTGACGCAAATACGTTTATTTTCCGTAATCAAACATACAGTAAAGGATACTGCGAAGATGATGTTTCTGCCCGAAGACTGATAACAGAAAATGTCAATCCAACTTTGGATGAAATTTCACGCTTCACAGGAGAGACCATCAACGGATCTTCCGGTGGCGCTGGGTCGTTGGGACAATCAGGATTAGTGAACTTAGACCTTTTGGCTGATGCCACGAAACGAAAAGCAGATATCGTTCTGCGCAAGGATGATCACGTCGAAGTGTTTGAAGGCGAACAATCTGGTGTGGAAGGTGTTATTGAGACAGTAGAAGCTGATGTGGTTACTATCCGTCTCACCCTAAGCGACTTGGACGATCAAACCATTGAAGTACCAATCCGAAGTGTACGAAAGAAGTTCAGACCGGGAGATCATATCAAGGTGATCACTGGTAAGCATCGTGACGAGACAGGTTTGGTGGTGAAAGTGGAAGATAATGTGACAACATTCTTGTCAGATTTGAGTTTGCAAGAAGTCTCAGTCTTTTCAAATGATATCCACGAGGCGGCAGAAGTTGGATCTGGAGTCAATACAATTGGTGGATATGAACTGCACGATTTGGTGCAACTGGATGCCCAGACTGCCGGTGTCATCTTCAAGATCGAACGTGAAGTGTTCATGATCCTTGATCAAGCCAATGCTATTCGCTCGATCAAACCCAACCAAATCACAATGAAACGTGATAGCGGAAGAGCAGTTGCTGTTGATTCTGAAGGCGGTGAATTCCGAACTGGTGATACGATGAAAGAGATTGACGGAGAAGAGAGGGTAGGCACGGTCTTGCATGTTTATCAATCCACCTTGATTTGGCTCTTCAATCGAGATGCAAAGGAGAACGGTGGTGTGTTCTTGACTAGGGCAAACAAATTGCGACCTCGTGCACCTCGGGGAGTGAACAAGCCGAATCTATCCAAAATGAATCCCGCTTTGACGATGGGAACTGGAATTGGACAAAGTGGACAAAACAATAAGACCACTATTGGTGGTGCGATCAGTAATCTGCGCAGACCAGGCGGACGTGATCCGCTCCAAGGAAAGACTGTTTCGATCATCAAAGGTCCTTATAAGACATACAGAGGAATCATCAAAGACACAAATGGTCCAACAGCTCGTGTAGAGTTACATTCGATATCCAAGATCTTAACAATCGGAATAGATTGCTTGATCGAGAAAGATCCTTATACCGGTAAGAGCAAGTCTCTATTTCCAAAGCCTACCGCACCTGGATCTTCTGGTGGATTCGGCGATCGGGGCAACAGCTACAGTGGAGGTGGCTATGGTGGTGTGACTACAAATCCATATGTTACAGGAGCAGCCACACCAGCACACAATCCTTACGTGACCGGATCGAAAACACCTGCTTACCAAAGCGGTTCAAAGACACCAGCGTACAACATGCAAAGCGGATCAAAGACGCCTGCATACAACATGTATGATGGATCAAAGACTCCTGCGTACGGTAATTCATTAAAGACGCCTGCTTATAATCCATATGTCAGCTCTTACAATGACGGCTCGAAAACGCCAGCATATTCTTACGGGGGAGATTCAACTCGTAACATGGCACCGCCTTCTGTTCGACGTCCAGAAGCTGCACCAACACCAATGGTCGCCCCAACTCCTGGAGGCGAGTTCTCTGCACCTACACCTGGAATGTACAGCGCACCTACGCCGGGAGCATCGATGGGCGGATCATACGGTGTTGCTCCAACGCCAGGTGGTATGGGATCAGGTGGTTATGGTGCTCCAACTCCGAACCCACTAGGTGCACCAACACCGGCTGGCGGTATGCTTGGAGCTGCAACTCCTTATACACCTGCCACACAGCCGAAAGGATACGGCGGTACATCATCTGGTTGGGATGCAGCAGGACAAGATCATCCTTTGTTGGAAGGTATCCTTGTTCGAATCAAAAAAGGAAAGCATGAAGGCAAGACAGGATACGTTAAAGCTGTTTATGCAAATGGTGAAAGTGGAGATGTGGTCTTGGAAGATTCTTCTCGTGAACGGTTGGACAATATCGGAAAAGATTACGTTGAACCTTTACAACCAACCGGTATTCGTATGTTCTGTTTGGCTCTCACTGGCGAATACAGAGGTAAAAAAGTCTTGGTGTTAAGCTTAGACGGAAGAGAAGTGATGGGATCCGTTGAAGGAAAGAATGCCTTTTTCGATGTGAGAGATTTGGCAAGAATGGGCTAAAATCTGTAAATGATCAATGGATATGTATATTTCTTATACTTTTTAGTGACCTTTGTGAGCAAGAAGTAGATCTTTAGAAAACATTGCTGTAATACGAGGTACGTCCATCAGACTGGAAGAACAGCAAAGTTCTTTCTGACAGATGTGAAATGTACACGTTCTACCTTGCATTGTTCTCGCATTGTCTGGAAAGCCTTCCGTCAACGGCCGCGTTTAAGAGTCTCTTTATTCGTTCATGAATTCGCGAATTAAAAGCCCACTTTAGCGCGCTGATGCACACGACATCTCATTTAAACATTTCACCACCATCATTTCACAAAAATGTCTACTCTATACAATAACCAACCCGCAACCCTTGTCAACACTTGCATGGCCGTCAAGTGTGATTCGTGTGGCAAGACGACTTGGAAAGGATGCGGTAGACATATTGATCAAGTGGGTATATGCAATGTCTAGTGATCATTTGTGCTTCTTAGAATCTTACTCTTTCTTTACTTAAAACCACAGGTTATGGCTTCTGTCCCAAAGGAAGATCAATGTGTTTGCCCACGCTCATAATCGGGTAAAGACCGATATCAGACAACGTTTCAGGGCATTCAGAACTTTGTATGTAACAGAGATTGAGATTAGCAAGAGCAATAAGAAACAAACAATGAAAAAAGGGGGCTGTTTATATATGTACATAGCATGGCACAATTTTTGAGTGTGTGTGTGATAAAATAGTCTTTCTTGTCATCAAGAAGGGGGGTTTCTGGTAAAATGAAAAATAAACCAAATGGTATACAAATTGTTTTTTGAAATAATGGGGATCATTTTTTTTGCCCCAACTCACTTTTTCCTCCTCCACCATCCACGTTTCTTTTTCTGATTTTCCGCTTCTTCTTCTTTTCCGCCATTTCCGCCTGTTGGATAGATGATCTCATTCGCATTGGAGAATGCTTGTTTTGGTCGCGTTCGGGTATCATAATCTGCACTTCTACGTCTGTATTGCTGTAAATCATTTGACAACCTACGCAAGTTTTCATATGCAGATGTACCATATCCACCAGTAGGCGAAGTAGGTGTTGCGGCCGTATAACGAGCATCACTGGTATGCGGATGTCTCTTTGTCATTTGATCATCTTCATGTGATTCAATTTCTGCTTCCTCATCCATAGAGTGTAACATTTGTTGATGCGATTGCTGTTTTGAATCATTTCCGCCTTGTGCCACACCGATCGTATGCAAAAACGAATCTTTTCCAACATAACTCCATTGTGGCATCTCATTCTTTACTGGGTTAGATCTACCCTCCGAAACAGTTGCTCGGCGGAATCGACCGGAATTGACAGATTCTGAGCGCTGCATGGATGGTTGTTGGGGCATAGAAGGCGATGCAACATTGCTACGCGAACCACTTCTTCCAATTGCAGGCGAAGTTTGTGCGGCTGATGGTGGACCTTTGGGGACCGTAAAAATACTCGTCGTCCTATGCACGCCAGTCAAGCCATCGTGTGTAGCAACAGACAATGACTCAGGATTAGGTCCTGCTCTGTCAAGATGATAGCCCACTTGATCTTCCAAATCGCAACATTGATCAATGAACTCATTCATTTTGTCCATCTTTGCTTCGGATTGATCTGAAGAATGTTGATTGTGATGCAAAGCGCTTACCATGCCAGAAGACATAACAGGCGACATCAAACCTGTCGAATTGAAACTTAGGTTGGAATTGTCTTGCGAAAAATCTTCATATTCATCCGCTGATGCCTCTCTGACGACGTAGGATACCAACATTGCCATAGCTTGAGTGTGATCCAACTTCAAACCGGGTCGTGGAATTGATTCACGATGAAGAGTGTCAAGGCCTTCGGTTCGCAATTTTAAGAATTTTTGAAAGCCATGATCTTTTTCGTCTCCCAGTGGTTCTGCTTTTGCAGATGTTTCCGCTTCCGTCGAAACGATTGTGATAAAGTCATCATATGCTGAAGCATGTTTTGCTAAGAAATCATTCAATCTCGTCAGCCATGGTTCTTTATCCTTGTCAAAGCTTGCTCTCTTGTTTGCTAAAGCGAGAAACACTTTTGCCAATAACATCAATGTTTTCGCACTTTGTGCATCGGGTGCAGATCCCATCAGCCCATACAAGTTGGGCGAAGTAATGGCAGGACAGATGAGACGTAAGAACACAAAAGCACCAACTCCTTGACCTCCTGAACCAGACTGTCTAAAATGCGAATTGACAGTTTGTCGAATGGAAGCTAACGATCTCCGTAAGTCTGGCGGACAATTGTGTCGATTCCTATAAATTGATTGCCAAAGATCCTCGCTGAGCGCTTTTAGTGTGCTGACATTTGAATCGGTGTGATATGCCATTGAGCCAGCCGGATTGGATAGCGATGGTGACGCATGAACATTCGATTCGTTTGTGTCAACTCGAATCCGATCAGCGCATACCCGACGAACTGTATCACCCACACATGCTTCCAGCCAATCGATGCAGTATCGACGTTGATATTTGTCGATCGCACGACTTAGGAGAGTATTTCCTCGGAATAGCAAACTTTGTTCAGCGGCAAAAGTGGAGCTTTCAGCATTGATCAGATCAGTCAACCTATCCACAATCGTGCCACCACACGTAAACACATCGACCAAATACGAAATCACCTTGTCTTCTTCAAGCTCCTTGCAAAGTCTTCTCATCAAGGCAACGCAGCCGGGACCATTCAAGGTCTTGTCGATATTTGTATAATTGTGCGAAGCCAAGATAGTCTCATCAAAGAGGTTCATCGAAATCTTCAGTTCACCCATCACTTCACGCCCATATGACAATGCATTCTCATCACGTTTGGACCAGGCTTCTTCCGTCTTGGGCGGAGACCAAATCGGGAACCAACCTTCGATCTTTTCGCCTCTGCGCATCGTCTCAACAGGCAGATCGACAGTTCCCAATTGAACGTATCTGCCCGTTCGCCAGCTTTGCAAAATTTCAATATACATCGCCTCAAGTTTCGGTAAATCTTGCAATGCAAATTTATCAAACCAGGCAATATTTGAAGTTCCACTTTCCATCTTTGTTCGCGCAATCACTTCTCCATTCATCCAAACTTGACAAAAGCATGAGCAGGGCAGTAGTTGAGGTGGACTGTAAGCGGCATGAATGTTTTGTGAAGAGCCATCAGATCCTCGCCTTTCCATATCCGGTGTCAAATGTTGTAGAAAGGCGGCGTTCTCCAAAACTCGTGCAGGAGCTGGGTTGTTGATCGGTCCAGACATTCCTTCTCCAACTTCTTCTGTGCTAATACTGCTTCTGCTTTTCGCATCTTCAATACTTCCTTCTTGCCTATGCCCTTCTTCTACTGCTGTGGTTCTGCCCAGGGCACTATTGACAGATCGGATGGGAGAATCTACCGAAGATCGTTTGATGTGACCTAAAGAGTGATCAGCACTTGAAGCTATCTCGTGCCCATGACTGGACGAATTGGCGATCACAGTAGCCGTAACTGCAGAAGGTTCTTCAATCTCTGGAGGTGGAGGACTAGTCATTCCGCTCACCCTTCGACCACGTTCTTGTACTGTTGTCCGATCAGCAATGATTTTGACTTCATGAATTGACATTTCGATATGTCTGTATCCTCGATGTGTTTGTTTGCGACGAACATCGTTTTGTGGTCCAAAGATTTCTGGTCGGGCAAAGACACGCAACAGTCCACGCCACATGTACAGCTTCCTGCTATTGGGAAAGCATATGTAGATTGGATCGACTTTGGTCTTTCCAGTTATAGACGGGGTCGTTTTGCCAAATTTACTGCTTGCCTTTCCCGTCTCACGTACTCCACCAGCAAACAGTGTGGAAGGATAGGCAAAGATGCCCAAAACGTGTGGTCGCATAAACAGAGAATCATCCACTAATCGAATATCATTTGCCGAAAGTCCCGTTGCAGAAAGTGAATGAAGCATAGCACTATCTTCACCATAGATCAGAAGAACACCCGTCTCTCTAAACGTCAAAGTTCCTCTTTTCCATTGTCCTTGAGGTTTTTGCACAGCGATTGTTGTGCCGCCTCCTAATTTTGTCTTGCTAGGTTTCTCTCGCAGCCAGCTTGGCGTAGCATTTTTCAAGCTTCCGATCAATTTTGGATCAGCAGGTCCTGTGATACTATTTGCAGTATTGATCACATCAATCAATCCCGGTCCAAGCGATTCACGATCTTTGTGTTTACCGCCCAACTTTTTTCTCACTTGCGGAACTTCACGAAATAGAGCAGTATTGGAAAGTGCTGAAGAATTGGAAGGAGAAGCGTTTGGATGCCAGACGAGTACTCTTATACTCGTTTCCGTCGTCGTTTCTCGCATGATACTGCTTGGTGCATATGCATTGCTAGATGTATAAACTGGCGTTCTTGAAGCACTCCTTGTACGACCTGATGAGCTAGATGATGAAGAGTGTGTTCCTATAGGCATCTCCCCTCGATCGAGTGACATTGTTTGCGAACTCATCTTCGGCGCCGCAGTTCAGATCTTGTAGATCATAGAATGAGTATCATTGACGCATTTGAGATGAAAGGTGAAAGAGAAAGTTGCAATTGTCATCGATATCGGGAAAGGTTGATTGATCGGCAATAAGATGCTAAAGTATGTATGCGCGACACTTGATCGGATGAAATGTCCTTTGAGAGTATGCTTTGCAGAGATTCTTTGAACTGCAATGAAGATTGCGAGAAGAGCAACTCGATATGAAACCCGAATGAAAAGATCAAGCAAGAAAAGGCAGAAAAATGCTCGAACACGGAAACGCCTTGACGAGGATGGAAGAATGAAGCAGAGAAGAGCGTCCAGCGCTAGCAAAGAAGGATTCCAAATCGAACAATGAGAAGATGATTGTTCGATTATGATACCCCTTCAGCTTGAGATAAGAATGAGAATGATTGAAGAAAAAGGGAAAGAAATGAATGCCTTTCAATTGTCCGATCTTTGAATTTGAAAGTGTGGAGAGCACTCACACCCACTCACTCACACACTCACACTGTAAAACTTACGCCAAATTCGAATCCACGAATTCACAAACAAACCCTACGGTCTAAGGCACACTCCCACATAAAAAAGCACCTTCCTGAGACAGCACGTGCATATACTTGTGTCCGACAGAGCAAACACTCCAAGAGGGAAAGGTGCAAGTATTTCTTCGCTATAGCGCAGTGTCGTTATACAATAAATGTACGCTGTGCACCATCCCCAGGGCGTAAAGAGTATTTTTTGCACGAAACGTTCGCTTTGGCGGAGTTTTCATTATCTGTCGGTATGCTTTAGTTTGACAATAGTCTATAAAACATCGACCCTTGATGCCATTTCCCGTCTGATTGTATCAAATTGATCAATGATGAAATGCTGGCATAGTTTGGCTGAACATAGAGGATATAAGTCATATAAGGAAATACTGCCTTATTAGATAAAAGCTGTAGTCATATGTTTTACCCAGCATGCACGGGTAACTCCTTTTTCTTTATAGGCGCTATACTAGTATAAGTGAGCATCTAATAATAATAGTTCACGCTTTGACGCTTTAATGCGTAAAATGAACCCCGCTTGAGGCATATGATCCCTATTACTCTTGTTGGTTGGTATTGACTTTCTATGCGGCTCATCACCTTCCTTGTTTGTATAAATGTATATACATTATTGAACACAAGCATCCACTAGGTATATACACTGCTTATGTACGCGTCTTATCATTTCAACCACACACGCATTTATTAAATGGCGTGTTACAACAATAAACCACTCTCTATCTTTACGCGTTTTCCTATTAACCCCAGCTTCCCTTTTTCTCCCTTATATAAAGTTCATATATCCATTCTTACCTTTTCCCTCTTACTACCAACAACGAATCACTTTTCTTTGTTTACTTTTTCACATCTTACATTCACAAAATGGCACCTAAGAAAGCAGCTGCTGGTGGTAAGAAGAAAGGGTGAGTACATTAAACAACACTTGATCATCACTTCTCAAGTGTTGGTTGACGCTACTTCACTACAAACGCGCCAAATTACAGAGAGAGGAGATCTCCCCTTGGGGGGAAAACAGACGCGATTGTTCGCGTTCTCAACGCGCTCTAAACAGTGTTCTTCTTCCCTTTTGGCACGCGTTGTAGTGATAACAAACACCAACACTTGATGATGGTCATCATCCTTTCTGATGGATGTCATCGAGATCGTCGTTGGATGATGACTGGATGCGGATGTACGCGTTTGATTTCCACAAAAGAGCGCGACTTTACTGACTCTTTCTCCTCTCTCTTTTGCAGTTCCGCCTACAATGACTTCATGAAGGAAGAATTGGCCAAGCTCAAATCTGACTCTCGCCCTCATAAGGAAAAGTTCAAGCACGTCGCTTCCTTGTGGGCAAAGAGCCCAAAGAACCCCAAGAACCAAAAGTAAACGGTCAAATGAACGAAGAAGGACTACTATCGTTGAGGGTCTACAGTGATGGATGGCTTTGATTTTGATGAACTTGTCCCTCGCTTTCTGAGTGGAAATCGGGACAACCTTTGTTTATTCTTTGTCATCTCTTGCTGTTGTTGTACCAAATTTCTATTATTTCCATCTCCCTCATTCCACCTTCTTCACGTTTTTCGTTTTGGGTTCCTTTCTCTGTTGTTCTCTGGCTTTTACTCTTTTTCTCCTTATTCTACGATCAATATTGACTCTTGATTCTGAACAATTCAGTCCAAGTTTCATTTTGCTCTACTTTGTGTAGTTTTACTAATCTTCAAGATGAAGCTGTACACGTCGAGCAATAATCATTGGTTTCCTGTATTGATCGAATGAATGAGATGAGATGTGCGTGTGTGCGCGATATTGCTGATGATGATCAAATAATACATTGATAGAGTTGCGTATAGTACATTGCATTGTCACATTTTCAAATTCTCCAAGATGATTTGGCATCACCTCCAGCTTCCAGCAAAAGCGGCGTCAGGGTTATCATCTTTGCCAAGAACGAGTTCGAAAGCCCAAATGAAAAGTGTGATGCCAACGGTTAAGAAACGCCAATAGACCATATGTGATTGATCCAATAAGAGTAAATGCGAATAGACTGCGATCAAGATCAGCCGAGCATACGAAACGATCAAAGAAACAAATGCTCCAAACGGTTCTTCTTCACTCAATCGTCTCTCTTCCTCTTCTGACAGACTGCGATTTCTTCTGCGCTTGCGTGCATCTGCCGTCTTTCTTTGACCTGAAGAAAGGTGGTCTGTAGCCCTGCCCTTTCCCTTGTCATTTGCATTATTGACATCATCGCGTGGTGGAAGCTCCTTCCCGTAATCCTCATCATCATCTTCGCTATCGCTACTTCTACTTGATGAATCATCACTTCCACTCACGCTTCCCCAACTTGATTCTTCTCCGTCCCAAGCTTTGGCCGTTTGTCCTTTTAGTAAAGGTAAAATTCTACTTGCCGAATATAAAACCATCAATCGAAAAACCAAAGAAACAAGAACACTTTTCGGTAATGCAGCTGCTGCTGCCGCACCAAATCGAGCAAATTGACGTAACGCATGTGAAGCCAAATCCAACAAGTTTGCCAAAGCAGGTGGAAGATTATGAAGGAAGCTGGGGATGTAATCTGATGTGGCAGTAGTGTCCAGTACTTTGAACGATCGAATGAGCGCCAATGGATCAGCTGTGAACGATAACGAGTCGCTCAATTGATACACATTCCAAACCACATATGCAAACACTAATGAAGTCTCGACAACATTGCCTTTTCGTACTGCAAATGCGATCGCTGTTAGCCATAAGGCAGAACTGATTGCTGCTCCTGTTGCCGCTGCTGCGCCGGGTCGATTTCGTGTCGCTCCTTCAAAGCTGACGTAGAGTGCCAATGCTGAAACGACATAGATGAAAGCCGATGCCAGTAAGAAGAACAATTGCAAGAACTCCGCTGAAGTGAGACTGTTGAGGAGTGACGTTACCCAAGAGAACGGCGATCGAGTCGGTGTGGGCGGTCTACGCAAAAGGCTTCTTGCGATCATCCATCTCGAAAAGCTTCCGACAACTTGAATTACGAGCAAGGTTGCAATACCCTCCAAAAGACTAAAAACAGGCGATGAAAAGCGCAAAAGCATGTGCCACCATGGCGGGGCTTGACGTGCAAGATAGACAATCACTTCAACAGATCGATAAAGTAGATAGCCAAGCGTTCGGCCGATGTACTCCTCTCCAATCATTTGTTTGTTAGAAGTGAATAAATGCTCTTGACCTGCTTGAAATGGAGTGTTTGAGCTTGACCGAGAGGAGAAAAGCCTTTCACGCATGCTTTCTCCTGTTGAGGATTGAGTGCCTTGATTGATTGATGCATATTTGCGATCGAAATAGCTCTCGCTTGGAGGACTATAAGCATGGAAAACGATCAAGAGACAAGCAGGTACGACGATGAATTGGAAAACGGCCAAAAAGTCCCCAATCCAAGCGATAGATGTACGTCTTGTAAGTGTTCTTATAGTTGATAAGAATGCATAATAAACAGCCAGAGATGCACTCAAAGCCAAGAAAGCATCTTGTCCAGCCACATCAAGTGTTAATGGAAGGTATAAAATCACTTGCAATAATGTCGTTATTCGTCCAAATGTTACAGCAAAAGCTGAAAGCACTGACATCAGAGCTTTGAATGGGGATCAGGAGGGTGGAGAGTGAGGTGCTTCGTTGTGCAAAGAATGTGATGATGGTGGTGGAAATGTCATCCCCGCAGAGGTTGTCTTTCAGATACACTCACGCTAAACTATGGACCCGGTCGCCCGCACAACACGCTTGCAAAGCTTACACACGTGAGAATTAATTTTTTGGATTTTAAGAATTTGAGAAAGTTGTTAATCTTGTGGAGCCACCAGCTGGGTTCATGCTGAACAACCATCACTGTTGCTGTCGTAGATTCTCACAATGGATGTCTTTCAGACTCTCGCAGGTGGCGGTGTTCACTTCGATCGAAAGAGATTCCAGTCTGAAATGGCATTGTTCAATGGAAAGGCGGGAAACAACGAAGCCTCTTCATCTTCCAAGCAGGTGGGAGCAGGAAAAGCATTGCCAAAAGAACTTGATTTCTTCGGTGACTCAAACAGCCAGAAAGCTAAAGAGCCGGCGAGCACAGACGATTCATCGACACGTAATGGCAAGCAAAGAGCGAGCGACTCAGACATTGCCACTGCTGAGCCTCTGAACAAGACAACCCTACAATCGTTTTTGAAACAAAATAAGATCAAACAGACAGGTACAGATGCGCCTATGCCACTCACTTCATGGGAAGAGCTAGGTTCAAGATGGAATATGGACAAGCGCTTACTGAATAATTTGGCCAACGTAGGATGGGGAAAGCCAACGGCAGTGCAAATGGGAGCAATGCCATGTTTGCTGGACAACCGTGATACCCTTGTTGGTGCTCCGACTGGATCGGGTAAAACTCTGACGTACCTATTGCCCATTTTACATCATCTCAAATCTCCCAAGAAAGGAGGCTTCAGAGCAGTGATTGTGAGCCCTACGAGAGAATTGGCACAACAGATATACCAACAACTTGATCGATTAGGAGCAGGAAAGAAATGGAAATTTTGCGTTTTAACAAAATCAACAGAAGGTGCCATGCGACAAGATCCTCAATTTAGGAAAAAGTACGATATTTTGATCACTACTCCGATGAGACTGGTTCATGCAATCGAACAAGAAGAGGTGGACTTGACAAATGTTCGACATCTCGTTTTGGATGAAGCGGATCGATTGCTAGAAGAAGGCTTCTTAACGCAAACTGACTCGATTCTTGCAGCCTGCACACATTCATCGTTACGCAAAGCTCTCTTCAGTGCTACGATGCCTGCAGCGATAGAAGAACTGGCAAAAACGTTCATGTATGATGAAGTTCGAATTTTGGTCGGTGTAAAGGATGGTGCTGTGGAAAGTATTGACCAAGAATTGATGTTTGTCAGCAATGAAGATGGAAAACTACTCGGTTTACGTAACTTGCTCAAGCAGGGAGCCTTAAAGCCGCCTGTTTTGCTATTCGTCCAAAGTATTCAACGTGCACAAGAACTGTTCAAGGAACTGATTTATGAAGATTTACACGTTGATGTGATTCATAGCGATCGACCAAAAGCACAACGAGAAGGAGTGATTGAAGCTTTTAAACGTGGTGATGTTTGGGTTTTGATCTGTACAGAAGTGCTGGCTCGTGGTATTGATTTCAAGGGTGTTGAAGTGGTTGTCAATTACGATTTTCCTCAATCTCGTGAAAGTTATATTCATCGAATCGGTAGAACTGGTCGTGCGGGAAGAAAAGGAAAAGCAATCACCTTTTTCACAAGGGAAGATAGTACTTACCTAAAAAGTGTGGTAAACGTTATGCGTCAATCAGGATGCGATGTGCCAAAATGGATGTTGGAGTTGAAATCACCAAACCAGAAACAAAAGAAATCACTCAAACGCAAAGCACCCGAACGTAAAGATATTCTTACTGTTGCTGGTTCATCTCAAGGTCGTAAAGAAGCAAACCGTCGTCGAGATATGATCCAAGCCAGCAAAAGGAGAAAAGAAGAAGGCAAGGAGAAATCAGAGAAGTGATGTGGAAGCATGTTGTACATTATTGAGATCTTTAGTATAATACATTGTTTTATTCTAGCATGTCGAGATCATCATTGGCAGCCAAGCGAGCGCCAACTCGTACCGTTTCTAGGGCAGTCATGCGCGACTTAAGAAGACTTGCTACTTGCTCACTAGACAGACCAAGTTTAGTGATTGCCAAAGCTTGACATTTCTTGCTCGTTAGGTGTTGCTCCATGAAGATCAAGAGACCCTGAGCAAGCCTTTGATTGGCTCGAGTTCCCTGGACAAATAACGTCTCTACAGCTTTCTGGTTCTTGCTCGTCTCAGACTGCGAAGAAGGCCCTTTGGAGGCCATCAGAGTGTGAACGGGTGAAGTAGAGGAGATCGACAGTAGAATGTGAATGATGAGCAATTGCACAAATGGAACACCCTTTCTGATTGTGGTAAAATCGACAGCGCGTAAAGCTTCCAATGTAAGAGAGCCTTTTGCCATCCACCAACCATATGTGCGTGCGACGTTGGCCATGCCTTGCTCGGTTGCCATACCTTTCTCACCTCCGAATGCCAAAGCACTTTCATCCTCATCTTCTTCCAAATCACTCTCGTCTTCCTCTTCTTGACGTGATAAGATTGATTGTCCGCCTACATTCTTTTCGCCCAGTTTACGCATGAAATCCCATAAACAATATTGCATTGTAATACGTGTCCCTCTTTCATCTTCATTAGCCAACCTGCTTCCAACCACAACATAATAAGGATTGAAGTTTGGCTCTCTGGCCAAACAATGCAAAAGTACACGTACGATTTCACGACGTTGAGTGGCTTTCTTGTGTGTCATCGTCAAGAGTCGATGGACAGCATCGAGATAATCTTGACTGCTTAGCAAGGTAACAAAGATTTGCTGTCGAATTGCGGTATTCATTCCGTGTTGTCTTGCAAGTTGGACAATGTTGTCTTCCTTTGCTTCGAGAGAGTCTAAATCACTTCTACCTTTCTTTGGCTTATTTGCATCCTTCAAGGTTGATTTATCCAATCCTTCCTTAGACGTAAAGTCATATCCTGCCCATGCTGCTCCGACAAGCCACCATTTTCCACGCTTGTCCACATTTCTCAAATCTTCCAATCCAACACGTAATGGCTCATGTGTACGTATTGTGTGCTTTTTGCCCAAGTTTCCCAAGAACTTTCGCATTTTGGTCAGGGCTTCAGCTCCAACGCTTGCTGTGGTAGCCCTTGATCGATTGTTTCGCAGGTCAGACATGGATTCCAGCATGAATTTGGCACGCATTGAGACTGATTGACCATTTTGCGCTTGTTTTTGCTGTTGTTCTTGCGCAATACTGATGATTGATTTGAGCGAGGTCGGATCATCATGACGAAGTTGTGCTCCACACAATTTGACCACTTTGAGTAGCAAGTCAACGTCCAATTCGGTCATCCTACTTTGCGTTTGCTTTTTGTCCTTTTCAACTCCCAGTAGAAGTCTAATGACATCATACATCAAAGGACAAGCGATCACGTTGAGATTGTAGAGAGACGACATTAATGCGATCAGATTTCGTGCTTGTCTTCCTGCACTTGTCTCGGTAGTGTCACTAGACTCGCTCGCATTGGCAGTCCCGTATTGCTTTAATAGCAGGTCCACCATTTCTTGAACAAAGTGAGCTCCAAACTCTACACCGACGATTCGATGTAATGAAGTGATAAGAGCAGCATACAGTACGACCAACGTATCACCAATATTGTCGTTCAACGCAATCGTTTCCAACACGAGCTTTGTCAAGTAGTTCGTCACTTGAGCTCTACTAGATTGACGGTATAATTCTTCAATCTCTCCAATGATGATCTCCAGATTATTCTCACCGAATCGATTCAAAAGACCCTTGATTGCTCTTTGAAGCTTTTGCTCCTCTGCAGAAATTGTCTGAGATTGAGATTGTTCCATCTTACGGCGAAGGGCTGGAGGAATGTATTTTCCAGGTGTTGGTACGGCTGCAGCTTCCTGAGTCGTGCTCTGTGCTGATGGTGCATTCTCTGTCGATGGAACAGCAGGTTCTTCCTTTGTGTTTTCCTCAACATCTTCGTCCTCAGAATCGTCTAAATCATCCAGCTTGCTATCTTCTTCCTCACTTTCCTCGCCAGATCCAACCAATGACTCCTCGTCCTCATCATCTTCCATAGCATCACTCATTTCCCCTTCAGAACCCCAATCTGATTCATCTTCCTCATCTGATCCCTCGCTTCCATTGTCGTCATACATGCCGGGATAGAACCTATCCAAATCATCAATGAAATCATCCAGATCATCTCCAAACATCTCATCCTCTTCAACTCCTTTCGTGGACGACTTTTTCTTCTTCTTTCCATCAGATTTCCTCAATCCAAGGTTCGCTTCCAACCAAGCAATTTCATCGTCCTCTTGCTGTTCAAGTTGTGTTAGACTGGTTCCTCTGTTCTTCTTTTTGACATTCTTTGTAGATCCTTTCGCAGGAAGTTCATCTTCCGAGGTGTTCCCACTTTGTTTCTTCAGCAGTCTTTGTAGCGGCGTCGCTGTATCTTCCTTGACATGCTTCTTTTGTGATTTTGGCGCTCGATCAGAAGTTGATGCTACTCTATCGAAATCGTCATCAGCTTTTCGCTTGCCTTTGCTTATGCTGCTTGGAGTGATCTTATTCTCAGATGTACTCTTACTTCCGTTTATGACAGGTTTCGTTGTAGTCGCTGTGATCTTCTTCGTGTCATTGATCGGTTGTTTAGGTTTCACTTGATGTTGCGAACGTGCTGATTTCTTCTCTTGTCTGAGCGCTTTACGTGCATCTTTTCTTCCAATTACGCCATTGCCTCGCTTATTGTTAGTTTTTTGATTATTTGAAGTACTTCTTTGTTGGGCAAAAAAATTCGCACGATCTCTCCTCGCTTTTCGTCTTTCTTCATCATCTTGAATGCCACTTGCATTCCTTGGTCCAGGTGCATCATCAGACGTACCTGATGCTTCTAAGCCTAATTCTGTCTTTAGAGAAGATGGCAAGGATACAGTCGATCTTTGCTTTTGCTGTGAAAGAGGAGCCTTTCTTGCTCGATTATTGAACGACATGGCCAAAGATGGTCGAGGATTGCAAGAAAGAATGAGAAACGAACTTAATACCATCAAAAAATTTAGTCTGATCAAAAAAATGTGTCCGAATTCCGGCGCCTATTCTCACGCGTGTATAACCCACACTCTCCTCAATCATCACTCAAAGAAAAGCACACTGACAATCAATCAACATTTCAAATGTATATCATTTCACTAAAAGGCAGCAGTATAGCTTGCCATACTTGCATTACTACTGCTACCACCGCTATCCCTCGCAGTGACGCTTGGCCTTCGATTTTCTTCACGTTGACCGGCGGCCATCTTTGCGGTGCCTTTATATGCCATAGGAGTATATTGGTTCGATCGACGATGTTTTAGTGAAGATGTTCTCGGTCGAGGAGGACTAAAGTAGATTTCATTCCCTTTGGCTGGCTCATTCAAAAATGCATACGAAGGACGTGAATCAAGATTTGAATCCTTCTTGATCGTATCGCATGATAATGCTGACTCTGTCGTCGAAGATGCGGAATGAGTGAGTGACTCTCCCATCAATCCTTCATTGAATTGACTAGCGGAAGACATGTTCGTATCTTCTGTTGCATCAATAGGAGAACCCATTCCAGTCAAATCTAGAACATCCCTTTCGTCCAATCGGTCACACGTATCCGTCCGTTGCGAATCAAACGTTAAAGCACATAGCTGCATATGTGCATCATTCACCTTTTCTTCTTTCTTTTCTTTTCTCTCCCGTGACAATGCTTCACCATATGCCAGAAGCATACCCCGCAAACTACAAGGTTGTCCATCTTCTCCCTGCCATTGAAATCCTTCCTCTGCCCCGCGAAAGATGGCTTCGGCACACTCTTCTGCCGTCAAATGTCTTTTGTGCGGAAGTTTGATTTGAGCACTGACAAGGGGAACCTCTTTGACCTTGTCAGCCGACCATGAACGTGCCATTTCATTCTTTGGACGATAGCCAAACTTATGCTTGCTATACATATCGTACGATTCAGTCGTTCGATCAAGCATCTCTTGTGAATCTTCATGATGTGTCATCCCAATCTCATACATCGGAGAAGGAAATTGATATATTCCTTTTCCGAACACATCATTTGCTCCAACAATATCTGGCAAAGGCTTATTCAATACGTCAAAATCAATCGTCAGTGGAGAATTTGACGATCGATTTTGCGCATCACACATTGCCTCCCAACGTGCTCGATCATCAAATGTTGGAAATTGTCCATCTTTTGCCGAATGTGTCATTTGCAAAGAATCTGTTGATGAATAAAATGACGAAATATATGATGCACTTTTGGGCAACTCATTATCATATCGATATTCTGCCCTACCTGTCCGCTCCCGTACTTTGCCCGGCCGAATACCCAGCCCGCTCAAATGAGTGCTCGTGTTCCTCATCATCTTTCGAATCGTGCCGTCTACTCTCGTACCGGAAGAGTTAAACGTCAACGCTGAAGTTGACTGGGATAGGGTTCCAAGTCCCTCACTCGAAGCAGAGCTTTTCTCAAATGTGCTAGAGATCGAAGGTCGATGCTGTCTGGATCGTTGTTGTTGATTGTCATTGCTGAAAACGATACTTGCTTTACTTTTCAAATCACGCGCAAAAGAAGATGCAAATGTTGCGATACCAGGTGAAGCGGGCATTGGATCTTGTGAAAGGTTTGGTGGTGAATTGAATGATTGCAAAGTTGGCTGTGATGCAACACGACCTAAAACATGTTTCTTTCCATTTTGAATCGTTGCCATCACACCAGCAGCTGCATTTGATAATTGTTCAATCGATTTTTGTTTCTTCATTTGGGTTGTAGAGATCTTGTTCTTTGATTGTTTTGGACCTGCCGCGGAGGACGTAGATGAAGCCAAATTATCCTTGGACACTTTTGGTGAATCGGTGAATGGATCGTTGGCATTTGTTGCAGCCCAGATGTTGAGCAATTCAGCAATGCCAGTATGCCCATTCCACTGTGCCAGGCTGGCCGAAGTGAAGCCGTTGCGATCAGGGAGCGAAGTGTATGCGCCATGATCTAGCAAAAGACGAACGATGGATGTATGCCCGTAGAGGGACGCTAAATGCAAAGGAGTGAATCCAATTGGAGAAGGGGAAGGTTTGCTGGTAAGATCACTGATAGAGCCTGATCTTGCTGTTTGCACTCCTCCGATATTCACCTCTGCCCCGTGAGCCAGTAGCACTTTTGCGCATGCTTCATGACCACTCCAGGCAGCGGAATGTAAGGGGGATATTCCATCTTTGATGCAATTGGGTGATTGACCATTTTGAAGAGCAAATTCGATCATTTCTACGTCACCTTTGGTAGCTGCTTGATGCAATCCCCAATCGTTCTGAGGTATTTCGTCATCTTCGAATTGAGGGTGTGAAAACCTGGTCATTTCACCTGATGTATTCGCCAATGTTGAAGAAGTTGATTGTGCGAGTGCAGAAGTTTCCAAACGATCGCCGCTACGTGATGAGCTGCTTGACAGGCCAAATATGTTTGTACTGCCTGGCATTTTGACAGATTTGTGATACGCAAATTGATTACCTTTTGCGGTCACCGTTTTCAAAAAGATCCGTGGCAGCAGTATCGTGATGCGGTATGATGAAAAGGTTTGTTTGTAACCTTGCGGAGACCGATAATTGTAATGTCTGGATTGCCTGCTTTTTATCTCTTTTCTGTCGTGTGTCTTGTGATTCAATATCCTCTCTGTATAGGACTAGATGTTGCTCCGATCGAAAACGTTTGGGCGCCAAGGTGGCTTTGAGGGCGTAATCGGGCGTATGCGCAGCGCCACTGAGTTGGAAGAATGGAGAAGAGAGGGTATTGAGTCCGATGGTCAAGAGTCTTGTCTTGATTTCAAATTTGTGGGTAAAACGGAAAGAGGGCGAGTGTTGTGCCTCACTTGAAGTTCCGAAAGTCAGAGGAAGGGTGCTGATGAGAACAACAATTAGCCAACAACAGTTGAATCAACGTTTAACTTTATGTAATCTCTGCCAGCAGAGTGAATTCCCCAGACTATGATGATGGCAGTTGTATGGAGAGGAGTAGCTATTTTTCAATTCTCCAAAATACATTATGTTAGAAGCTCTTTCTTGTAAAAAACAAAGAGGGGACGTGCCCGACGGAACGGAAGTATGCAAAAGTATGAAACTTCCCTTCTCTCACTACACTCACGCTTGAGTAAATTTACTCACTCACTCCCTTTCTCCTGTTGCCTGAATTGCATCATAATACATCGGGAGTATTTCTCAAATGAATGCAATATACAATGAATACAAATCAATTTCACTTTGAATTGTTTTGTACTGCTTTGAATTGTCTCATATTAATGTTCTCTAAGATTAAGTACATCCGAAAAAAGCAGAATCATTCGATATTGCATATTTTGGGGTTGATTGCCAACTTGATGGACTTCAAGGTAAGAAGTTCCCGTTTTGCTGGAATTTGTGTACATCAAACACCTCATCAACCTCAAAATAAAAATTACACTAACGTTCTTCAAGCGCCGATTCGGAATAAAAAACGATAAAGCACAATCACACGGAATCAAATTCATGTTCAAGCGCTTTGGCCACCTTTCAAGCTTAAACGCAATGACCGCCTTTTTGGTTGGTTGAGGGCGTTGATGTGTGGATAGAATGAGTTGTCATCATATCTGACGAGATATTTGCTTTCTTCACTTCGATCATCAGCAGGATAGAAAGGGTGCAATGATGATCATAAGCATAATCTTGTCAATTGAAGATTCAAATGTCTACACCCTGCATGACTTTAATGCTAGCCATGACAATCGAAGCATACATGAATGCAGGCACATGCTGTTGACAGATCAGAAAGCAGTCATGATCGGGCTATTTTGATAAATTAGACGAAAGAGTGCGGACCATCTATTGTGTATCATTATGGGAAAAACACAATAGAAATACAAAAATGCTTGCTTAATTTCGGCCAAGAAGGTATGACAACTTGAATTAAGCAGAAAGGCCCTGTTTTGTAAAGAATTTACCATGTGAAGCTGTTGGCAAATCGTTTAATTAAAACTTGTTCTGGTAGTATATTAATTAACCAAATAATTGATGATGAATAGTGTCATACACTGTTATTGCTGCTTTCAAGTCACCTCGCAGAACACAAATTTATCTATTCTCCGAAATCAACGAAGAAATTGGAAAATGTCTGCTGTTCTCAAAATTGACTTTGCATTCAGTTTCAACAAAAAATAAGATATATCAATAATAAACATTGTTATAATATCAATAGTATAGTACAGAATATCCCTTACTGGACTAATCGATAGAAAAGAGCTATTAGTTCTAGGAGATAAATATGACGGTCCTACATCGGCCATCACTTTGTAGGAAATGAAATCTTAATCGGCACCGTCTTTTTCATTTTCATAAACGGTGCGATGGGTGGGTGGAGATTATTTGGATGGCAATCAACTTCCGTCTGTTATTAGCGCCGCTTACATACACACTCTCTCCTTCAAGCTCGGGTAACGGGCTGAAAATATAAGTTCGCGTGCGTGCGTTTGTGTGCGCAGGGCAGGGCAGTGCACAGCTATGTACAAATGCAGGCGAATTAGCTGTCAGAACAGAAAACAAGACAGGAGTAAAACGTCTCCCGCACTTACCCACCAACACACAAAAGTTGAATGGGGATGTGTAAAAATATAAAAAGAAGCCAATTTTGAGTGGTGGAAATAAGATGCCTCCCATATAACAACTAAAATCAACACGCGCACACTCGAGACGCGTTCCTTTGTCATTTTAAAGACAAAAAGTTATAAATACTTCAACGCTTTTTACGGGGGAGAGGCTGTGGAGAGAATCATACATCGGTACAAGCACAAGCCATTCACAACAGCACAAAAACCATTCCGATAACAAAAACATCCGATCTCCCTCCTTGACCCAAATGTCAGACGATGAAGAAACATATGCCGCCGCTGGTAGTGCAACGCCAGGCGATGATGAACTTTCATTACCACGTGCAACCGTTCAAAAGTTAATGACGGAAATCCTACCGAAAGATATCACTTCTACAAAAGAGATGAGGGATATACTGATAGATTGTTGTGTTGGTGAGTGTGTGTGGCAATACGTCAATAAATGCAGTCAGGATGCTAACGACCCTTTCCCCCCAAACAGAATTCATTCGACTCGTCTCTTCAGAAGCCAATGAGATCTGTGAAAATTCACAAAAGAAAACAATCGCACCCGAACATGTGGTTTCAGCTTTGAAAGAATTAGGATTCGAATCATTCATTGGGGATATCGAAGAAGTACTCAAAGAACATAAAACACAACAAAAAGATCGAGAAAGAAAGATGACCAGGATGGAAGATAGCGGATTGAGTGCGGAAGAATTACAGAGACAGCAAGAACTCTTGTTTGCTGCAAGTAGGGCACGTTATGAGGCAGGTCAATAGAATTCCTTTCCATCCCCCCATTCAGTGTAGCAGCTCTGCTCCCTAGAATTGTAGTACAACAACCTTACCATTTTTGTAATATTAATCATTTCAGCTCTCTCTCTCTTCTATGTTGACACAATCTCTGGCTGCTGATTCGTATGTTGTCTGGAAAGCAATAGTTGGAATTAAAAGTTCGTCGCGATAACAAGAAAAAGAGATCGAGCGTTGAATATATGCACAAGCGGAAAAATTGAAAGAGACACATCTAGTCAAGATGGATGCCGGTAATAATGTGAATCGAATCGGATTGATGTCATAAAGATTGATACGCCGGAACGAGATAATCGTGTTTTTAGAAGAGACAATCGAGACACATCTGAACAAATCAAAAGAAGATGGAAAAAGGGGTCAGTTTACTTCCCACTCCGCATTTCTTGATCGCTCGCACACTCACCTCTTCTGCGCAACAACATAGACAAGCACCAGCCAAACAAGCACAGCAACCCGTTCCTGCACCCGCACCACCGCCACCTTTTTGTGGTTGTTGAACATACACAGGTTGCGGTTGTGGTTGTCCGTAATATCCTGGTTGACCTCCGTAAGCTTGTTGTGGCTGTTGGGGAGGATAGTAACCTCCTTGTTGTGGATAACCACCCTGCTGTTGAAAGCCACCTTGTTGTGGATAACCTCCGCCATACCCTTGTTGTGGGTATCCGCGATCACCTGGTGGTGGAGCGCCACCTGGAGCACCGCCGTAGTACTATTAGTGGGAAGGTTCGGTGTGTTAGTTAAGGGGCGATCGAGTAAATCATCGGCGACATTATCCACTGTTAGCAATACTCACGTCTTTGGCCGACATTATGAGTGGTTTTTTGTGTGAAGGAGAGATGTGGCAACGAGGATTGATAGAAGCGTCCAAGCAATCGGTTGAGATGTAGTTTCCAGCAAAACGTGCAATCAAGAAAGAACCCTGTTCTGATCGTAAATCGAAATTGATGATGACGGTTGAAGGGGTAGAGTTAGAATAGGATGACTTATTATATCAAATCATCCGCCCTTGAAATAAAATGCTTCCATGATTTCCACCCTTTTGACTTAAGATTTGGCCTGCATTATGTATGGCACATGCACTGCCTGATTGCCCTTTTATGCTACATACACAGCGCGCACTCACAAACGCATGGGCTGTGTCATTGACCACACAGCCTCTGTAAGAACTGTGCACCTGGTCTCTATCGGAATCAAAGGCCGATACGACGCTTTGTATGCGCCGATACGCACGCGTAGAATTCGGCTGTTCTCTGCTCCAAAGTGGCGCGGTAAGGTGCGGTGTAGTTTGGGTTTGTCTCCCCCTGTGTGCTCTGCTTTGCTTTGACCCCCCATACTCAAGCCGAATTACTCCTTGATTGGTTTGGGTTCAGGAACAGCTTGCCCAGACTCTTTCGAGCGGGTCGGGGGTTAAGGGCGGCCGCCATGGATAGGGCCGCGGCAAGGTGGATAAAGAGTGGCTTCCCAAAAGAACCTCTGCAAAGCGCAGATCATAGATACTAACTTTAACTCAATGAAACTCTAATTGAACATCATCACTGAACAAACAACAATTAAAGAACAATTGACATTAAAAACAGAGAACAGCAAGGAAGATACTACAAAATACAGATTGGATCCAAATGAGAAATAGACAGCGACTATAGACGGTAGATTGTATCACCTGCCAACATTATCTCGTTGTCTTCATGCATGCGTGATAGAGCAGCTCTTGCTTCATTAAGATCATACAAATCACTAACACGAACACCTTCATTGAGCAAGGGCAACAAAACGTCCATACTCATCACTTCTTCTTCTGCTAATGCACCGTTCGGTCCCATAGCATTGGCCATTCGCATACGGAAATCGGCCAAACGATCCGATGTGAATTCGTATGTTTGTGCAGTAATGTGAGCGGCTGCATTTGCTTCTGAAATGGCTGCTTGATCAGGTGAATTGGTAAGTGAACTTGGTTGATCACGGGCTGGAACAATTGCAGCCTGTTGAGCATCACGTCTTGCATTTCTACGTGCAGAAGGAGAAGGTGTTGCAGATGGCATTTGTGTTCGTTCCCCGTCAACGTCTCGCATAGCCTCTAGTGCATCTTCGTCTTCATCTTCATCCATCATACCTTGATCACCGTTTGGATCAAATCTTGCTTTGCCTTTACTGGCACTACGAGTACCGTATGCGCCTGTTCCCTTATATGGCGGTGGAGTTGCTTGTTTTTCAAATGCACGCATTGCTGCTCTATCTTCTGCATCTTCTTCTTGCTCATCTTCATCTTCGCTTGATTCGCCATCCGGACTTCTACTTCCGGTTGCCGTTCTACGTTTCTTATGACTTTTACGTACATTAATCACTTCTTTGAATAACGCAAATCGTAAGATCTCCTCAGCCATTTCTGCATCCTTTTCTTCTACGACCGCACTTAAACGTGCTTTTGCATGTGCGGTTGCTAAACGAATCAAAGTTTCCAAAGTACGTGCAGTAAGCGGACTTGTCCTTCTTTGATTTCCACGCATTTCATCGTTACGTAAATTAGAGTAAACGTTTACGATCCATTCAGTTGCTGCTTTGGTAAGAACGGGTTGAATACGTTGTTTGGCATATTGAATGTATTTCTTTACGAATGCGATACTCAAAACTTGTTCCATTTGTTTCTTTCTTCCACTTGCTGCTTGTGTTGCTGCGATACCGGCGTGTAAAAGAGGATTGAACTTTTCAAACGGACTCACTTCACCGAGGAGAGCATCAGATTGTTCTGCATTTCCATCTCCGACATCCAACACTTGATCCAATGTATCACGGGCAGGTTGACCTTCCTCCAATCCAGGTTGCAGATATCTGTGCATACGCAAAACGTGCTCTGAAACTGTTCGATCACGTTGTTCATCAACATCATCCGTCACGACGAACAATAAATCGAAACGAGACAACAATGAATCCGGTAAAGCGATATTCCGATGAGGATCTTTGTGAACGTCATATTGTCCATAAATCGGATTAGCAGCAGCGACGACACTGCAACGAGCGTTTAAACTGGTATGAATACCTGCTTTTGCAATTGTGACTGTTTGTTGTTCCATTACTTCATGAATTGCAACTCTGTCAACATCTGACATTTTATCAAATTCATCAATGCAAACCACACCACGATCTGCCAAAACCATTGCTCCAGCTTCTAATCTACGTTCACCGGTTTCTTTATCACTCGTCACAGCTGCCGTCAAACCAACACCACTCGATCCACGACCGGTGGTTGCGATTGCCAAAGGTGCAGTGTTCAACACGAAACGTAACATTTGCGATTTGGCCGTACTTGGATCACCGACCATGAGTACGTTAATGTCTCCACGAATATGGGTTCCATTTGGTAAGTTCTTTTCTTGTCCACCGAGCAGTAAGAGAAGGATTGCCTTTTTGATGTAATCATGACCATAGATAGATGGAGCTAAGGATTGCCATAAAAGATCAAAAACATTCTTGCGTTTTGCTACCTTGTTGATATGTCTGATGTCTGTATCTGTAATTTGAGAAGCAGCAATACCACCACCAGCCTTGGAAGAGAGTAAATTCAAATTGTTTCCTACCATCAAGGTACGGAAAGTGGATGAAGTACTTTGTCCGACACGATTGCCCATGCTTTTATACATTCCTACCAATTGAATACGATCTCCTGGCTTGCATCTGTCTACCAAATCGTCATCCATCACAACTTCAACCGATCTGGGCAATTGACCTGGGGGAGCACGTTCTGGCATTTCTTGAATGCAGATCATTTGATGATCTCTGAACGTGCTCAAGCCGTACTCGGTCATGAGTGGGTGATTGTCTCCATCATCTGTTGGGTATGCGTTTGAAGTGGGTGGGTGTGTGCCATACATTGTTGCATCGCGATATTCTCTTGCGTGAAAGTTTTGTGTGTCCTCACAATAATGAACGGAACGTAAAACCTTTGGACGAACGAGAGAGCATCTGGTAACGATACCTTCTAAACTCATCATTTTGCCCAAATGAACACTTCTCATCGTTCTTGGATTGACGTGATGATCACCGAAACTACCACGTAATCCAATATAAAATGGTTTATCATGAATTTGTGCATGTTTGATAGGATCGGCAAGTGTTAAGATTCGTTCACGTAAAGCTTCTTCGAAAGCGGGTATGTATTCATTTGGTTCATCCAAGATACCAGTTGCAAAATCACGATTGAATGAACGAACTTCATCAATGTTTACGATCAACCTACGTTCATTCGATCGTAACATCTTTTCGATCGCGTGTTTGTTCACATCCGATCCTAAGAATTCACCTGCCACACGAACGTGATCACGATGAACATCTTCGTCCAATCGAAGTGTTGCGTCCAAGTCCTCCATCTTGTGTTTATGTTGTTAGGGATGTATGAGATGAAGGTGGGGAGATTAGGGAGAGAAGGTGACGGGGAAAGATAAAAGCAATCGTTCCGCTTTCTGGAAGTGCATTCATTCATTCAATGAACACGAAAAGAAGACTGACTGTTCAAGCAACACAATCTTATTAGAGAGGAACAAGAACACTCTCTACTTTTCGCTTTTTCATCAAGACGCGTTGGATCAATTTACGCGCTCATTAGGAATCAACGCGTAGACGCGACTTACTGTGTCGCTCGCGTTTGGGTTCTCCTCAAGGCAACCTACTCACGTGAAATGTGTACCAGCCTAAACCACAAGAACGCGCTTGCCCGTAAACAGCACCCCTTACTTGCCTTTAGAGCACAGCAAAAGTCATTCTCTTATTTGAATCTTAATTCTGAGCCTTTTTGATTGATAACAAAAAGCAAGTACGGATGACTCGGGATAAGCACGAGTGAATAAAACCTTTGACCCAGATTGTTATGTGGCTTCCATTTTTTAGACTTTTCACACGCGTACTAATAATAATGTATTCTCAAGCTATAGACATGTTGGTATGTTCTGTTGTTCAGCTGCTGCATTTCTCAAGACCAACACAAAAAGGGAGGGAGGTGTTGATGTTTACCTGCGCGCCTTGAGAACAGTCTTTGCAATCAAAAACGTTCACACAATTATACGCTAGCATACAATCAAAAGGTTATTATCCTATTGGTTGTCATCTTGTGCCTGAGGATCTCTTCGTATTGATCAATCTGTTGAGGTACATCATCCCTTTCCCCTGCATTCTTTTTCAAGTCAATTGGCTTCTATAACCCTAAATCATAAAGATTTCAATTCCATTTAATCAGGGTCAAGTCATCAACTGTCACCGCAATACAAAGGAGAGAAAAGTAAAAGCCACCACGCATGCAGGCAAGAAGGCCGTGTAAAGGAAATTGAATTACACAAACCCCTCTCCGTATACTTGACAAAAGGACAAATTGAAAGCCAGACAATCATCTTGCATTTCACATCGCAAGAAGAGAAAAAGAAAAAGTGACCGAGAAACTCCGCTGGTTCTGTGCTCAATCAATTCTCGGCATCTTGCCTTTCAAGATACATATCAATCATCGTTATCATCAATTGAAATTGGTCTCTTGGGCTCAAGACACAATTCAAAACATAACACATCCTACCGTTCGATCAGTGATATCGTACAATAGATTTGCAAACCCTACGCTCACACCTCTACCTAGCAAGCAAGCACGATTCCTTTACGTAGCGCTTTGACCTTACCACGTAAAACATCAAGAGTACGGGCCCATCGATTGAGCTCATTCGTGGAGTAAACCAATCATCCCACAACAATTATCAAGTCGACCTACCACATACACACGCAATATTCAGCCTTTTTTTGAGAGAAGCGGTCCGATGCCTATTACCACCTTGACAACATCCAACATCCATCTTTGATCAACCATATCATCATTATCGACTTCCACATCTTATCAAATCCCTTCACACGCTTCTCCGATGCAACAATAAGCTTACTTTTCACCAAAACCCGAACCAACCCAACAATCCCGCACCGGAAATGCTGAGCGGAACGACTCCTAATTTGATTGTTAGGCCAAAGCCGCCAGGATCAAGAAGATCTAGCACCAAACAAGATAGTCCATCAGCCCTTCAAGCGAGAAAATTCTCCGCCGATCAACAGGATGCTGCCAGTGCGACACTATTGCCTTCTCCATCATTGACGAATTCAGATACATTCAGTATAAGCTCTGATGCGAAACATGCGATGGGATTTGAACGTGATTTGGATTTGGATTTGCCTTCCGATTTAACGGAAGCGTTGGAGAAGAGCATGCAAAGACGACCGAAGAGGAGCAATACTTCATCGAACAAAGAGAACGTTAACCCGTTTGACCATCTCCAAGAAGGTGCTGCTGCTCAAATGAAAGAATCTTCCAATCAGTATGCCGAAAACCAAGCAGATATCGAATCGAGTGCGGATAGACTAGCGCATTCATTCGAAGGAAAAGCAGAATTGCAACATAGAAGTACCATCTCAATCGATTCACAGAACATCGGATCAGATGCAAGTATTGATGAAAACTGGATTGGTGATTTATCACGAGAAGAACTGGAAACGCTTTTATTTGAATCTCGTCAAATAATCAAAGAGCGGGAAAGAGATCTTGGCATCGCAGCTGCAATCGGCAAGGCACTTTTAGACAAAAACATCAGCCTGCGAAGCCGCCATGAAGGAATTGTTTCGAGATTTTCAAGTATGAACAGCATGGAACGTATCATTGCCGATCAAAGCAATGATGTCAATACACCTCTTCCGCGCTATTCTCCTCCTCATAGCGATTCAGCAAACAATCGAAATGAGATCGATCAGAGAACGCCCAGACCAGGAGAGATGCCACAATCGGGTAGCGGATACTTTCAGGGCATGACCGCAAGTCCATCTGCGAAGCGAATGGCAAACGTTCAAAGAAGCGAAAGCATAATAGAGGAATTGGATGAAAGACAACTGTGGAACTCTTCGGGGAATTATTTTGTACCATCCAGACCAGCTTCTCCGCATGCGGCTACATTCGGCGACACTTCTCTTTCCAGTATTTCTGCCAGTGAAACACATCGAAGGCTTGAGCTTATCAGTCAACAAAATGATGATTTATTGGAACAAATCAGTCAACTTCATGTAGAATCGGAAGATGCAAAACGAGAAGGTGGAAAACGTCAAAAGCGATTGATTCGTGAGATTGATGGTCTTAGGGCCGAATTGGAAGCTGCTGAAGCCCGTACGATGGAGCTGGAACGAAATGCGGAAATGCAGAAAAAAGCACTCGAGGCTGGTCAAGAACAAGTGAAGAAACAACCTTGGCGAAGACGTGGCAAGATGCCATGGCAAAGTCCGGGTAGCAAAAGGAAAAATTCTCAGAATGACGGACGTGATCAGACGGAAACGAATGAGAAGGATGTTCGTGCGGAAAGTTCAAGTATGCTCGGTGAAGATGGAAAGGATGCAGATGCACTTTCTCTTACGGGACAATCAGAATCATCCATGTCAATTTCTGGTAAGTCACGCTTGCAAACAGATGGAGAACGTGCAATCGTGTCTCAATTAATGGCAAAGGTACGTGAATTGGAAGAGATCAATATCTCTCTAATCAAAGATGCACATGAACGTGATGGACGAATTGGAAGATTTTTGGAGGATAGCGAAAGAATTCGTGATTTGTATGATGCAGTGGAGAGTGAAGCAGTTTCTAATTTATCCGCCGAGCCATCTATACAAGACTTGACCGTTATGGGTCAAGACTCTACTCCAATGTCATCTGCTGCTGCAAGTCCGATTGCCAGGAGAAGACGTGCGCCTGGCAACAGACATTTGATCGAAAATCGTCGTACTGTACGTGCGGCAATGCAAAATGATCATGAGAATCGTAGCCCGGTCGTACAACTTGATGACTTTTTCGATGATAGTCTGAATAATAGCAGCGTTGATTCTTCGCCTGTCAAAGCAAGACCTTCACGCAAGATGTTACGACCACGAATTTTGATCACACCTAGCTGTGAAGACTTGCATGCTCGGTCAGAAAACGATCGTGCTTTTGGATGGGAGGATGTCGATCAGGAAGGAAGCAGTCATTATGGACAAATGACGAAATCGAGCTCAGATCCGACATTGTACGAAGATCAAGTAGAAGAGAAGACACGCAAAGGATTGATACATCGTGCTAGTGATAGTAATCTAGGCAGCATATCCTCTCGTTCCAATCACAATCTTCACCGCAGTCTGGGTAGTGAACTCGGAAGTGTCTACGGTGACCGTGATGTAGAATACGACGATGACGATGCACCTCAGCAAGACGGAGAGGAAAGTAGTCCTTCACGTCGTAGTCTATACTCTTCTGATCGTCGTAAAGGCAAAGCACCACGTAAAGCTGCAAGTCAAGCAAGTTTGAGAAGCATGAGTGAGGCAGGATCGGATATTGCAGATCTGAAGTGGTCTAATGGAAGTACATGGACCCTTCGAACCGAATACGATTTGCCAGAGATTGACGATAAGCCATACAAGGCAATCGCTGCGGCCCCAAGTCAAGAATTAGCTATCATTCCAACCCATCAATCCCTTTCCAGAATTGCCGCTAGACCGGATGGTGAATGGTATTCGAACGTTGCACAAAGCTTGCTGCCTCGAGGCGCTCTGAGGAACGATGTAGAAACAAGTCATGACAACTATTCTCTGTTAGAGAAACTTACAAAGAGCGTTCCCGTTCATTGGGCTGATGACGAAGATTTTGGCAAACCAATCACAGAACGAGAAGCGATCAATTTGGGTCTTTTGGAAGATAAGAGAGACCGGAATCGTATTGGCTCTGGATCTCGAACGGCACGCGGGATGCTTTCGTGGATCAAACCACTTCGCACAAAAACAAGAAAAGCAGAAGATGAGACTGAAACGACTAGTAAAATCTCATCAAAAAGACAGATCGAAACCGCTGAAGATGTAGAACGTAGGCGAGCTTTGGAAAGACTTCTACGTGCTAAAAGAATTGCTGCATTGCATGATCGTATTTTAGCTGGTCAGATGAGCGAAGAAGAAGCCCGAGCCAAAGGAGCTTTTGATTCATTGGATGATGAAAATCAAAGTGTATTGGCAAATTTATCTTTTGAGGCAGAAGTTACTCAACGTGCACTTGCTTATCGTACAGTCAGACGTAGACAGATGTCAAATGGCATCTATTCTGGTGAGCAAGACCAGTTGTCTAGAATTCCTCGAAGCGGTTCTTCACGTTCTTCAATCCACGATATCCGCCAGCTAAGTCGAGAGCGAAGGGGAGTGCAAGGCGAAGGTGAGAAGAATTCATCAGGTGAGATCCGCACGGAAGGAGAAGAATCGTTCGAATTTGTCGATTTGGATCCGTCAAAGAGAAGACCAGGAAGACGTGGAACGGATTATTATCCAATCACATTACGTGAACGTTATAAACCTGAAATGGTAAAACAACGTATGCAAAATTTTAGTAACGAAACGATGACATGGGCAATGGCTTGGGCAACTTTTAGCATAGTGATGGTATTTGCTTTTGTTGCTGCTTTTGCTCGTGGACCAAAAAGAATTCTTCACGGTCAACAAATCCAACATAATCAACCTTGAAAAACACACAAAATTAAAATTGATTTCATGAATACTCGGTGATCAACATTGTATATATCCACATTTTAGCATTTATTACCCTTAGAGTTCTGCACATATCTTATCACATATGCAATTATATACTTGCCACAGATGGCCGTAATGGCGCTTGAGAGTGACTCGATAGATTCTCTTAGGTTTCCGAGCCAATGACAACAGGAGCAAAAAGCGATTTCTTCACGCAGATACTCCTAGCATGGATGAATTGCGATGTGTAAAATCAACAATAATGTACAAGGGATAATGTAACCCGTATCGCTCTCAGATTGGTAGTAATGACGCTCCTCCACGCAAGATCATGCTTCCACCATAGCGTAGTGTTGTTATACCACCCGGGAAATAAGCTGCGACATAAGCCAAAATTGCACAAATTTGAACGATTGCTGCAATTAGAGCTGGTAAGGTCCACTTTGGTCCTAAGGCGAAATACAGCGTCAGGCCGAGAGATCCAAAATATGCCGCTGAAAACGGTAGTCGTTCTTTCGATAAGATATGTTTGAGATGTGCGATAGGACCGGATAGAATACTGAATCCGACCATAAATAGCAGGCTTCCTAATGAGAAAGCCAGGGCGAACTTTCTAGGTCGAACGATTGGCGGAGCAAGGAAGAGGAACGAAAAGAAGAAGCATATTGCCGATCCACCCAAACAAGCCAAGAATCCCAAAAATCTTTCCCATCTGCTTAAACTTAGATATGCTTCTTCTTCATTTGTACGTTCGTTACTTCGTAAAGGTACATATCCGCTTATACTGCTTCCCAAAGTGGATAGATAACTTGCCGGTCCTGTGGAGGATGTACCGTTTGCTCCTCGCGAATCATCCGTTCTCCCTTGTGCCCATCTAAAGCCGGAAAGCTGAGATCTGAAACTTGCTTCAGCTGGATCGGCAGACATTGTTTGTGTGGAGTGAAAGTGTTAATTGATGATAGAGGATGGATGGAGAAGTCCACTTCAGTGCATGTATTCATTCATATGCTTCAAACACACGTGAACTTGCACCCGCACACACACACACAGACGCACACACGTTTACGCGCTAGCCATAAAAGGATGCCACTTTGAAGCCCATGCGTGAAATTGTGCGATTTAAATCTACTACTACTTACTGTATGTAGGGCGTGCACACTTTGAAATCATTTTAGGGCGTGTGTGGACTGTAGGAGGAGGGGTTGGTGTTGCTTGTTGAATTTTGTATGCATAACTGCATGGCCATTATTAAACACGGATGATCTTTTGCCTGACCATCATCACAGAGGAAAAAGAGGGAGAGAGACTTTCAAACAATCATCTCAAACCCGGACACATCTCATCACGATCATCGCAATTTTTGACTTCTCCAACTCATTGCTAGACACAGGCTGTGAATATACCCCCCTATCAACAGATCAACGCAAAAGCATCCTTGCAAGAGAAGCATTTGATAGGCAAAGTTCAGGTGAAGGAACTTTCATTGTATTTCTTGCAAGTACGTAACAACCAGGCAATCACGTCAGTCATAGCATTTTGGTATAGCAAGTGAACCTCGACATCATGAGTGGGAAAATGAACATATATAAGCTGGTGGTACGTGTATGATTGGAAGCATATCTCCAGATGAAACATCACTGACACATACCCAATCCTTTCTTTTCTTCCAAACAGGTTCTGGGAGATGGTGGTGTAGGAAAAACAGCACTAACAATCCAACTCTGTCTCAATCACTTTGTTGAAACATACGATCCAACAATCGAAGATAGCTACAGAAAACAAACTGTTATTGATGATCAACCATGCATGCTAGAAGTATTGGATACAGCAGGACAAGAAGAATACACTGCTTTACGGGATCAATGGATACGAGAAGGAGAAGGATTTTTGCTCGTTTACAGTATAGCAGATAGGGCGACATTTGAACGTGTTGAACGATTCAGAGAACAAATCTCAAGAGTAAAGGATACCGAACCACAATCCGTTCCGATTATGTTGGTCGGAAATAAATGTGATAAAGTCAACGCACGAGAAGTATCCAGAGATGAAGGTCAAGCCCTTGCTCAAAGACTAGGATGTCGATTCGTCGAAAGTAGTGCAAAGACGTGCGTCAATGTGGAAAAGGCATATTACACAGTCGTGAGTAGAATTGCTAATGATAAGCAAAAAGTATGCATCTATCTGACCTTTTCTTCTTCTTCAGGTACGAATGATCCGAGAACAAAGAGAAGGCGTTGCCGGACCAGTAAAAAAGAAAAAGGGTCGTTGCGATATCCTTTAGAAAACGTGTCAAAAAAGAAGCAAGATTATCGCCTTTTCTGTGACCCGCTACAAAGTGCCTGCTGTCAAAAACAAAAACATTATCTCATAACCACGATAACCCATTTTTCTTCTCTTTTTCTTTCGATACTTTTTTTTCTCAAGTCTTGTTTGTGTTTGTGTTCTAGAGCATCAGTCTCACAATCCATATTTATGCCAATGTGAAACGATGAGTAAGATAGAGCGAGAAAGACGATCTATATTCTCTATGGATGTTGATGACATGGTACAATTGCAAAATAGTTACAAATTATGCTTGTTTAATTCTATGAGTATGGTATCCAGATGATCTCCTTCGATTATGTGATAGTGTCAACGGGTTTATCAGTGCTTAGCCCATTCTTCCTAGCATCTCTCCTCTCTGCCAATCCACGCAAGGCCCAAGAGCAATTCTCGTATACGACAAACGTCACACATGTGCCCGGAATGATTCGAACTGCATTGGCAGACATGCCCTTATAAAATCCACGTAAACCTTCATGTTTAAAAGTGAGTCGAATGCAAGTAGGAATGTTTGGATAGATATGAGCAGTTGCATGATTTTGAATGCGCGAACGAATGACTTGATAAGGATAAGTGATACCGATTGCCGCCACTTTTGAAGCGCCTGACATGCAAATATATTCGAAATTGTCCAATTTGATCGCTTCTCCTTCACTACGTCCATCATTCAATTTCCTTCTGGCGACATCCATTCGCCATCTCTTCAATTCTTCATACGTCATAAATTGAATTGCTCCATTACTCACTCCAAATAATGCTAGCCCTCCACCTTTGTATAATCCTCGTATTCCTTCATGCTTCCATATCTGTCGAATTCCATGGAAAAGGCCTCGTATAGGTTCAGGCGGTGGTCGTATGGCTTTTGCATTGGTAGTATTGTTCAAATTATTCACTCCTTCCGTTAGGGCGGAGTTATTGTGGAAATTTGATGCTGCTGCAGTTGAGACTGATCTTGCTTGAGATACGGCTGAGCCGGTCGCCGTCGTGGAAGATCCATTTGCAGCCTGACTGATCTGCGGAGGCATGTAGATCGGTTGTCCAGATTTAGACGTAGTAAACATTCTAGTCTTAACCACCCAAATCGGATTAGTGATCAATGCTGTGATTGCACCACTTTCACTTGCCGCTAGTAAATGCTGTCCTGGGCTTAATTTTGCCGATTTGCCGTTCTTGTCGAACTTTTGATGAGAGGACATATAATCCTTGATCATCGTATAGAATAAAAAGTATAAACCCCAACTTGCCGAATTTCCTACAACGTTTGGCATTAATCCTCTGTATAATCCTGACCATCCATCCCTCGTAACGATAGTGCGAAGAGCATTATACATATCAATTGCTACATCTCCACCCAGATACCTCCTCGTTATCCTTCTAAACGAAGAACTTTGAATTGTATTCGAAGAAGCGGCTTCTCTTGCTTTCCGCCTTGCTTTTCCGGAAGAAGTATCAACTTGAAATTGTACTTTTATTAGATCTAATGGGTTCATACAGATTGTGGCAACCGCACCTGCCATTATACCGGAGAATGCATGATCCAGAGCGGGCGTTGGAAAGTAATGCGGAATGACTGGATCGGACTGGGAAGAAGATGGGCCGGGAACCACTTCTTCCTTTTCGCCATCTTCCCGCGGAGAAGAGTTTATGGAATTTGACGACGACATGATCGATCACGATTGGTGGTCTGCCGATGATGTGCCCACTTCCAAGCCGTCAATCTTCCAATTTAGACAGAGTAATGTTCTGTTGTATGTTGATCTTGAATGGTTGACATGAACAAAAGAACGGCTCTGTCCCTTTCTGTGGCTAAATTCTTAACGCCGCTTCCCAAAAAAATAAAGGGTAAAGTTTGTATTACATAATCAAGCCGGCCATATGCACTTTTCACACTCATTCTTGCAGTATGCTCTCCACAGTGGGAATTTTAAGGTTGACAACGGAGTTAAAATTAAAGCGAATACAAAATGCGAAGGAGAGGTCCGTGTAAGAAATTGCCCCCTTTTGTTACAATACTGTCATCATCTAATCAAACAAAATGCCAGAAAATACATCACAAGATCGAATAACCTTTATCACAAAATTATGGTTCATTTGGGAAATTATCTATGTTATCCTCCTTTCACCAGTTCTAATCAATCAAAGGGCACATGGTAAAAAGACTTACTTTTCCACTACCCATCGACAATCAGTACGAGCAATTTTGGCGGACATTTTCCCTTCAAAACAATCGAAATGGTTACCTGAACGTGATATGCCAGACCAGAGCGGAAAAGTCGCCATTGTGACTGGAGGAAATTCTGGAATCGGATTTGAAACTGTACGTGGATTGATGCGAAAAGGTGCAAGGGTGTATATGGCATGTAGATCACATGAACGAGCCGCAAAAGCAATTGAGCTGTTGAGAAGAGAAGGTGAAGATTGGCCAGGAGAAGTTAAATTTTTATCTTGTGATTTAGCAGATATGGAAAGTATTCATTCTTCCACCGAAGAATTCGCTCGTCAAGAAAGTCAATTACACATTTTGATTTGTAATGCAGGTGCTGCAAATCCACAATTAGGCAGTAAAACAAGTCAAGGATACGATTTAACACTTGGAACCAACGTTTTGGGTCATCAACAGTTCATTCGTGATCTTCTGCCAATTCTGCAAAAGACGGCTAATACACTCCAATCATCCAATTCAGACCATGGTGTTCGTGTTCATTTGACAAGCAGTTGGGCACACAACTTTCATCAACCGAGCGGCTTTGATGTAAATGATCCCGAATGGACAGATCGAGTTGAGATGGGCCTGTTTGGCAAGCAACTCACAGTCAATCCAAAAGGTCCGATTAGAGAAGTTTTGAAATATGGACAATCGAAATTCTTGAATGTTTGTCAAGCAAAAAAGTTTCACAGAATGTATGGTGATAAAGGTATCGTCTTTACATCTTCCGATCCGGGAAACAACGTTTCGGAACTATTACGAAACCGTGATCCGATCACTAATTTGTTTTTCAATTATGTCGTCACACCTCTGATTTTGTTCCACCCCAAGTTCGGCGCCATCAGTCAATTGTACGCTTGTACCGCTCCTGAAGCACATATGCTGGGCGGACAATACCTTGCACCTTGGGCTCGAATCGCCCCAGCATCACCTATAGCCGAAGATCGTCGAGTTCAAGATATCAGCTATGAATGGCTAAACAAACAAATCACTAAAAATGGTTATTAAAACACAACTTATATTTTTGTATATAGAGTATTACAATGTTGGGGTATACAACAGATTCAATCAGATTTTCAATTCGTAAATGCTCGCATATCTTCCGATGCAAATCGAAAAGCTTCTGATAAACTTTGTGATTCTGCTCTCTCTAGCCATTCTTCATCAATGATTGCTTCACCTTTACGTTGTTGTTGTGGTGGTTGCGTAAAACGTGATTGGCCAGGTCTACTATTTGTTCTTACACTTGATCCTCCTCCTCCTCCTCCTTCTAATTCAATATTATACACATGAATGATTTGTTCCATATCCAGCGATGAGATCAAACTTAATACGGTTTGAATATCGGGTAGCCTTTTTGGCGCACTTTTGCTCGCTTGACCGGCTGATGAGGATGGTCGTGATCCTCGCTCGTTGCTGGTTTCGTCTGCTGTCTTTTCATTTGGAGTACTAGAGCCAGAGCCAGCGAAACGAGTAGGTAGATAAGAAGAGACGGAAAATGAGAGGCCAAAGCCACCACTGCCACCTTTCTTTTCAGCCCACTCGATCAACTTTTCATCAAATCTTGCCAGTGTAGACTCGATCAAAGGCCACATAGGTATAGCAGACGACAATGTTCGTTGATCAACATGAGAACTTCCGTTCGTATTGCCACTTCGTGCGCTGATATTTGCCAATTTCCTCAAACTTTCGGCCGATCGTACCATCTCATATACCAGAATGTTGACATCATGACGTGATTGCAGAAATCTATCCGATTCAAGCAATGCTAAGCCAAGGGTAGACAAGAGTGCTTGTCCTAGCTTACTCACTTCTACGCCCTGTAACTCTGCATGTCGACCAACCAGAAAAGCGATCGTGCTATTGATCGTTGCCCAAACGTCAGGCCATTCGCCGTACTCCAGCTGCACCTTCCGATCAGCGCATGTTTGTATACTCGTTTGAACGAGATGCAAACAGATCAAATAGCCAGGCATGTCCAACCTCTTACGTAAATTATGACGAATGTACTGGACACACGTATCCAGCACAAAAGGTAACAATTGCTTTCGATTACCTGCTCCTCTTTGCCCATCCTTTTGTTGGGCTGTAAATTGCGAAAAGAAAGAACCAAGTGAGCTTCCTTGATCGGTCGAAGCCATAGCACGAACGGGAAGAGGACCTGATCGTTGCGTGCATAGTTTGATAGCTGCAATATCGTCAGGCCTCTCAGCTGTGATGAGTGCTGCGACTCCTGCCGGGCTGGCCAACAGAGTAAGCGGGATCAAGAGAGCCAGTCTTGAGTAAGATTTTGATCGTTCACTGAGTGCCCCATGCGTTGAAAGATAGCTCATCAAAGAGATCAATGCAGAAGCAAAGGATGGCTTCTGTAAATCATCTTTGCCTTGCAGACTATCTTGTCCTTTCACATGCTCTCTCATAACAATCTCGACGAACACTGTATTAGCCCGGCACAGTAGATAGATCGGCAACAAACAGCTCGTGCAAGCAGGCGGCAGATTCGGATCAACTGTTGATGATTCACCCGAAAAGCCAATCTTTCTGAAACTTTCTGTGACCATACCGATAGATGCACTTATTCCGCTTGCTGCACCAGCTCCATTTTTCGTAGGACTAGATGAATCTTGACTGCTTTCTACTTCTACCAAGAACGCACGCCAAGCTTGCTCCAGATCGTATGCACTCGCTTCTCGTATCAAATTCATCGATCCAGCATCAACCCAATCGCACATTCTCCTAAAGTATGGACTTGAAGATGCTTCCATTGCCCTGAATCCTCCTGCCAATCCCGTTCCAGAAGAGCTGGACTGCCCTAGGCCAGCCAGCAAACCAATGAGAAAGTTTGTATCCCGCACAGTGCTTCGCAGCAATTCAGCGTCTTCGTCTGCTAATCCAGCACCATCCGTGCGAGATTGCTGAGTGGTTCGAACGATGGTTTGTATAGTGTTCAAAAGGCTTGAAGCGCTGACAAACAAGTCTCTCCGAATAAAGTATGCCGAAAGGTTTGTCATGAACGTATAGCTGATCCAAATGATCGCTAGATGTACAGCTTTCCTTCGATGGAAAAGTAATTCGGCAAGCGTGGGCAACTCCTTTGGCTTGTTGAAAGCTGCAGCATTTCTCTGAGGTGTGGCGTCGTTGTCCAGATCATTCGATGATGGGATTCTACCTGGGCGTCTCGGCTGATGATTCAAATTATCCAATTCTCCTCGTAATCCTTCGTCAATCGCACTGACTAAATCTTCAAAGACATCGTCGGCCTCATCAATGCCTCCTGCAAAAATCCAAATCAGATCCAGCGAAGAAGATGAATGCACGAAATTCTTTGAGAGGATACATCTAGATAATTCGATCAGTGTATCGACAGCATTCGATCTTCTTACTTCCTCACTAGAGTTTGCAGAGCTTGTAGAGAAATCGCTATGATGAGGAACGTCTTGCCATATCCTCAAACATTCTCTCCACAAGCTTCCAACGTTATCGCGTATCCTTGCACCTTTTCCTGTTTCGTCATCGTCAGTTAGTTGTCTGGATGTGATTGTGCTAAAAAGACTTTCAAGCGTGGAAGGCTCGACTTTTAGACACAACAAATCAGCAAAGAATCGTGTTCGCGGCGCTGAAGGTTTCTTGCCAGAAGGTGAAAAGTAGCTTCCACCTTGATTGGAATAGCTTGATCCTGGTGTAGCATTCAACGAGGATGACTGTGAACCAGATGTGCCAAGCCAAGGATGTTCACCTGACAATAATGCCTCATAGGACACTGAGAATTTTGAACGAAATTGCGTTTTTGCCGGAGATGAAGTTGCGAATGAAGAATTACGCCTCATACCCTTCTTCACAGGTGTGTTATAGGCACTCATTGTTGATTGTGTCTATATGGATGTTACCATGCTGGATGAAAGGATGGTGTTGGTCTTAAACCTTAATTATGAGAGAGGTGTCTGCTTTGTTTCCCGTTTGCTTACACGTGAAATGACGCATGGACCTCATTCGCGTATTTTATTATGGCTAAGCGTGTTAAGAAAGAATACGCCGAGAGTATTTGGTTAGCTCTCGGGAGTATATTTTATTGTTTCTTCTTTCTACCAAGGTCGAGAATATTAGGAGCGATAATGAACATCATTGTATCAAGTAGTGATAGATGATCTTAGCAAGCCAAGATATTCTAATATTCCCTATAGCTTCCTATTCCATGATAAGGCAGGAGTTAGCTGACTATAATAATAAACCCTAAACGCCAAGAACGTGTGTATGTATGTCAATAAGCCATACAGGCGGCAAATGACGCGTTTGAGAAATTTATTCACTCTCACATATGCACATCCCTGATTTTTAATCTGTTGGAAAGAAACACTGGTATAGTACTCTCACTTTTTGATCTTGAGATCCTACTTCATATCTCTCTCTCATTACCGCCGATGAAGAAACTCTTTCACTCTTACCAACCCTCCAACCAATTCGTCATCTCAACAGATTGATCAACTGTATACTTGCTTAAGCCTTGGTCTTAGCAATCGCTCGCTTGCTCTGCTTTTATTTGCTGCACTTTCAAACAGTCGTCATTCTGCTGATTCACTTTGGAACGGTTATATCACTCACACAACCTCTCCACCATCCCGGCGGCATTACAAATTCGTCTCCGCATACGCTCAGATAGAATCCGATCATTGCATATCATTGCATGTCGTTAACTTCATCAGCATAAGAACGGCCATTTAATTCTCCGATCAAAGGCGCATCTTGAACGCCCTTCAGATTCCGGCAATTTCGATCGTAAGGGACCAAAAAATCGGCATCTTAGCGACGAATGATCCATCAATAATCGCACTGCCGTCTTTTTTTATGACAACAAAGATACAGGTAAAAAGAATCCTATCAGGCACCCTTCTTTTTCGCCCAATTGGCGCATCGAACGCCATTTTGCAAGTGGCGTATACATAATTCAAATCTCTGGAAAACGTTTTATGCATCTGTCTCTAGATAGAGACAACGCATTTATGCATTGAAGATCGTGCCAAATCCCCACAAAGAACGCCGCCCTAAAGCTCAAATTATTACGATTCGTACGAATGCATCCCATTATCTTGGTTCAAAAAAAGCAAATTAACAATACCACTTCTTCAATACAACAAAACATATTGGAGAACGTCATTGTTGGCAACTCATATTTTCACACGTTGTCTTTCGCTCATTGGAGGCCTTTTCGTCGGCGTTGAAACAATTAAATTGGCTGACGATAATTGAGAACAAGTCCGACAACTAGTTGAAGTCATATAAGAAGACTGAAGCTTGTGAAAATCCCTTCGACTAGCTATCATCGATCTCTATCTCTTTTGTTATCGATTGTCAAAATGACCGAAACATCAGTGGATCCTTCGAGCTTCAGTCCTTTCGAGGTGACTGCCGTACACTTGGTGTACGTAGGATTGGGATTCTTTATCGTCTTATTTGGAATGTTTTCCTTATTCATCAAAGAAAGATTATATCTTGGTGAAGCTCCATTAGCCGCAGTATTTGGAATTATCGTAGGACCGGCAGCTTTGAATCTTTTTAATCCTTCAAAATGGGCAAATAATCAAAGTGGTGCTCCTGGTGGTCAAATTACCGATGAAATCTCTTTGGAAGTTTTACGAGTTACGATTGCTTTATCCGTTTTCGCTGTTGGAGTGGAATTGCCGAAGAAGTATCTTTTACGACATTGGCGTTCGATTGCTTTTCTTTTGGGACCAGTCATGATTTGGGGTTGGTTGATCACTGCCCTGTTCATGTATGCTCTCGTTCCGGGTTTGGATTTCCTCAACAGTTTGGTCGTTGCCTCATGCGTTACACCTACCGATCCGATTTTAGCACAAGCTGTCGTTGGTGGTCCATGGGCAGAGAAGCACGTACCTGCACATCTTCGACATATCCTGATGTGTGAAAGTGGATGTAACGATGGTGCTGCTTTCCCATTCTTGTACCTCGCACTTTTCCTAACGCTTCATCGTGATAATCGTGGAAAAGCAATCGCAGAATGGTTTTACGATGCATTGGCATATCAAATCATCTTTGGAACGCTTTTAGGTGCTTTGATCGGATGGGCAGCAAGGAAGTTGATGAGATTTTCCGAACGTCATAAATTGGTTGATCGTGAATCTTTTGTTGCTCAATACGTTTCTTTAGCAATCGCAAGTATGGGAGTGAATGTTTTATTGGGCAGTGATGATTTACTTGCTGCTTTTGCATGCGGAACAGCTTTCGCTTGGGATGGTTGGTTTACCAAACAAACTGAAGATTCAAACTTTAGTTCGATTGTCGATTTGTTGTTCAACGTTGCCGTCTTTATTTATATCGGAGCTATGATGCCTTTCCGTGATTGGGCGGGAGGAACGGAAGCTGAACCAAATACGTTGAATTTATGGCGTCTGTTTGTTTTGGCAATTTGTGTCCTTTTGACAAAGCGTATCCCTATTGTGATTGCTTTGTGGAAATGGATTCCAGATATCAAGACGTTCCGTGAAGCTGTTTTCGCAGGTCACTTTGGTCCTATTGGTGTTGGTGCAATCTTTATTGCAACATTGGCAAGGACAGAATTACCGGAAGAGATCCCAAGTCCTCCTCAAACATCCAATGATGTGCTGGCCTTGGTTGTTCAACCAATCATTTACTTCTTCGTTATTTGCTCGATCACCATCCACGGTTTGACGATTCCCTTCTTTGCCTTCAGCAAGAACGCAACTCGTATGACACGAACATGGAGTCGTAATCCAAGCTTTGGTCGTTTTGATACTGAACCAGGATGGGTTAGTCGAATGCGTAAACGTACAGGCGAGAATCTAAAAGAGGAAGAAGGAGGAATGAGCGAAATTGAACGTGTATTGAACGCTCAATTACGCCAAATTGGCAAAGGCGCAATTGGCGGTGAAGATGAAAAAGAATTTGCGCGAATGGAAACGAATGGAGGATCGGGTTCTGGTTCAGGATCTGGAATGTTGCCTACCAGTAGCTCAAGCAGCGGTGCAGATGCTGTCACTCCTCGGACTAGAGTGCAATTCGATGCGGATTATATTGATGAAGAAGGCCATGATGATGTCATGGGCGATGAATGGGGAGGAGATGATACGATCGAGATGAAACGGTATCAAGAAAAACAGAAAGCAAAGAAAGAAATAGAATATGCAAAATTACGTCAACGTCAACAAGAACATGATGAAGATACACGAAAATCTCAAGATGAGAAACAACACGATAGCGAAAAAGGCGATCTAGGCGGAGCAGATATGATGGACGAAGAACGTGGAGCGATGGACAGAGATATTCCCAAATCAAGCTCGGAAAAGGGACATGAAGCAGAGGAGGAAGATGAGGAAGAACTAAAAGATTCAGTGCAAAAGTATAAAGAGAAAGGGTACCTTGAACACCTACAGCCAAGTCATCTTCAATCTTCTGCGTCATCTTCTTCGTCCACAAAGCAAGAACGCGAACACGCAAAGATTCGCGAAGAATGTGAAGAGCACTACCCCAAAAGTCGATCGTGGACTGAAGGAAATGTGTTGATCATTGAATATCAAAAGAGCAGATTGAGCGAAGTAGAGTGTCACAAGATTCCGATTATGGAGCATGAAAAGGATGACATTGTTGGCAAAGATGATCCTGCACATGCTTGGGCCATTCAACATGCCGATGGACTTCAATATTATGCCGGCTTGGAAGATGCAAATAATTGGAGTCCGAGTGAAGCTGTTAATCATTTGGTTCTCAACAAGATTCCCAAGAAATACTCTGATATTATTTCTAGACGCAAAAAGAGGAGAAATTCTGATGCTGAGACCAAAGAACAACAAGATGAACGATTCAATGCTCTTTATGGAGGTATGGCCTATGCATCTGAACGTAGACATGATGAAGATGAAAATGATTATAAACGTTCATATGATGATCACGACGGTCGTGTCGGCGTCCAGGAAAAGCCGAAAAGCAGCTCTGGCAAGAAGCCTGTGAAGCAGCATCGTGAAAGAACGCCAAGTCCTCCTGTTACCGGCTGGTTAGCGCCAAGAAGCGAAGATATTGCAAGACAAAAGCAATTGAAAGCATCTCGAAAACGTGGTGGAAGAACAACATCTCCAAAAGGCTCAATGTCTCCACCTGGAAGTGCTTCTCCGACCGGATTTGGTGATGCATTTGGACAACGCCTAGGTCCGAAAGAGCACAAATGTTCATCAGAAGCGCGACGAAGGAATATGAAGAAGAAATTGATGGCGGGTAAAATTTCTCTTTGTCCTCATGAAGCAGAAGAGGATGAAGGAAATGAGGAAATTATTGAATCTCCTGCCTCTTTTTCAGGCTTAGGTTTTCCGAGAACGGCTAGCGCAGGTGGTCTTGGACAAAGTTCGTCAAGTCAAAGTTCCGGAAGAAGAACGATGTTCGGTTCGAATAGTAGCAGTAATGCACTTTTGTCAATCCCACGCACTTTTACCGGTTCTTCTCAAGACAGCAGTTCCAATAATCGATCATCGGCGCAAATTGGTCCTGGTATTCGAAGTCATGATCATAGCCGATCGAGCAGTAGCGTTCAATGGCTTGATATCAATGATGACAGACATGATCACCGATCGTCCCGTCGTAGTGTTTTGAGTGGGTTGGATCATCCGTCTATCCCACGAGGACCTTCTCCGAATAGAATGGGTAAGATTGATCTTGCCCGAATCGGTGGAGGAATCAGCAGACCATCTTCCGGTCAAGGGCATAGATTAGGTACAGATACGCCAGACGATACTAATAACAGAGACGCCGGAGATGATGATCAATCCAATTCCAAACAAACACAAAAGAAGAGGAGCAGATTTGGTAATATACTGTCATCAATTGCCAGTGGAGGTTCATCTTCTGCTGCTGCTTTAGATCGTGGACGTCAACAATCACCTCAACATAGTGAGCCTTCTAGCAGCAGACCATCTACAGCGCCAATGATGGCTACAAGCTCAACCGGTTCAAAAGAAGGAAATGCACTTGCACCTACCAGTCCTGCAATCATTGTGGGCGTGGGAGAATATCCTGGAGGAGATGGAGGTGGTGGTATTTTGGCAGATGGCAATGCAAGCACCTATTCTGGACACAATAGCAACAGTGGTGGCACTGAAACACCAAAGAGACAACAACAGCAACCGCAGAATACAGACAGTCCTGCTGGAACTGAGCGAGGTGTGACTTTTGAATTGTAAAAAAAAGCGTCTTTTTTATTTATATTATATATCTATATATTGATTTTGTGCAACCTTTTTTTGTATGTTTGTATGTATTTCGTACGATGTTCATCCTTTTGAAGAAATAATAATGAATAGAATTGCATAAAAAATGCTTGTTCTAGAACTGGTTCATCGATCATATGGCGTTTTATTTTTTAAGCCCTAGATTCGGAAGTCGGCCAGAAATGTGTCAATAAGGTAATTTTTGAGATTCGTAAGCTATTCTTCCAACTACCTCGTCAAGAATCAATCTCGTATCTCAAGCAAAGATGGCACACATCGGCAACGTGATAAGGCAAGGTGCTAGATCATCCAAAGCAGAGTCATCATGGATGGCAGTAGCACATCGAGCAAGTGTACAGTGTAATCGAACAGCAAGGATACATACGAGTGCCATCCTCCACAATGAACCAAAGCATGTTCATAAACATGAATACGTTCCACTTTCTCGACCACATAAGTTTGCCTTGACGTTAGGCTCTCTGTTTGCATCGCTCATTAACCCTGCAAGAGGTGACATGATCGCCCTACTGAGTGAATTGAGCGGAGAACCACTTTTACCAAAATTACGCGAGATGATGCTCAGTTCGCCAGAGGGAAGATCGTTGATGATGCAAAGGCCAGCCATAAATACGCAATCAGTCGAAATGAAATACCTGGAGCAACTGCCAGAGAACACATTCGGAAAACAATATTGGAATTGGCTTAAATGGTGTAATGTAGGACCGGATACACGTGCAAAAGTACGATTCATTCAAGATTCCGAATTGGCATACGTTATGCAAAGATATCGTGAATGTCACGATTTTTATCATTTAATGTGTTCAATGCCGGTCAATCACTTAGGTGAAACAGTTGTAAAGATATTTGAAGCTGCTCATATGGGATTACCTGTTGCTTTCCTCTCCTCAATCGCTGGACCATTGAGATTATCAAACGAAGAAAGATCCTCGTTGATGGGAACCGATGGTTTAGCGGCATGGGCATGGAAGATGGGAAAAAAGAGTAAACCATTGATTGGAGTTCGATGGGAAGAACATTGGGAAACGGATATGGATCAATTACGGGCTTCTTTGGGATTCGATGAACCGCCTCCGATCCAAGTGAATTTCAATACAGGCAAGATGACCGCTAGAAGAAGTTTAGCAAGAGGCAGATGGCCTAGCAAAATGCTAGATCATCAATCCCAAAAAGCTGCCATGTGAGACGGACATGATGTATGTATAGAACCACACTTGTTTCCATCACTAGTTGCAGAAAAAATGATAAAAATCGCTTATCGGCTACGACAACATGCATCATTTGGGACATGTTCGGCTGATAAGACTTTAAAACAAGATAGTGGTACATAAAGTGTATATGTTGTATGTATGATCTTGCCGAAGATAGTTGCACATGTATTTTGTAGCGTATAAAAAAGAATGAAATGCATTCCTTGGCGTAAATTAAAAAGTTTAGTACAACAAGATCATTGAATGAATTTTACCACGATCGGCTCTTATCCGCAAACCAAAGCTGTTATCTTATAATCGAATATAACAAAGGATCAGCAGGTACGGGCTGAGCACTTTTCTCACTTAAGTTATTGTTTGTGACAAATTTTTCATTACGAATACGTCAATTTTTAAGAATGTAGTGCAGTGCATGTGCATGTACATCACACCAAAGATGCCTTTTAAGCGATTCCTTAGACTGACTTGAAAATGAAAATGTCCGCTAGTTTTGAATGGCTTACATTAGCGTCAAAGTGAAAGTCTTGTGTACCATGTGTCTGTCCTTTTTGGTAGGGGGATAAGGGTTCTTTGCATAAGTGGCACCACAATTTCAATCTCCTCTAACAAAGAACTAAACTAAAAGTCATGGGAGTTTTCTTTAGCGGACGGAGAATGACGGTAGTGTGAATGAAATGGCGCTGGTCTATTGTTTTTCACATTTATCTATGATCAGAAGGGTATAATAAATTGACGTATACGGTAAGGAACGTATGTTTTTCTCCACACTTTTTCCTTGAGAGATTAAGTTGGCATATTCTCAAGTCGATGATTACATTGTTCATCTAAGCGAATGATATAGGTATTTATCAGCCACTCCGTTCGTTCGGTTGAGGCGAAAACGGCGAATTAATATCCGAGAATCCATTAGCGTGAGATGATTTTATATTTGTGCATTTTGGTTTTAATATATTGCATTTTAAAGGTAAGTTTCCCGACTTTTATCAAATAAAAATGATTTCCATATCCGCAAACCCGTTGATGTGGTACGTTGAGTGCTATAAAGCAGGTACACTTTTTCTACATTCAAACCAAACGCGTGGTAAAGTATGTGTGTGTATGTATTCCAAATGCACGCCTTCCTTCGGCATTTCAATTATTTCTGTTCTTTTTCGCACCGAAGCACCGATTCATGTGTCGGACATTTAAATTGGTCATTCCTCGGTGAGGTGCCGTTTTTTTTCCATAAATGATAAATATTTTATAAAAATAAAACAAAAGGGATTTTCATTAATGGGAGAAATCCGATAAATTAATTCTTGGACCTCTTTTTTTTCGTTTCCGTTAGTATACGCTAATACGTACAGTGAATCCCGACCGTTTCATCTCTTAAACGGAACCGCGCTGCGCTTGCGCACTGAACAAAAAGAGGTACAAGATGAAGTCATCTTGCGGAACCTTAAGACAAAGGATTACGTACGTACCATATGCCGCCGTGCTTGAATATGCACACAGCACAGCACACATAGACAGTAACAGGAACCGTGTCGCAGCAGCTTTTTTATTTTATTTTTCGTGGCTTGCAATTCAAAAAAGAGAGAGAACACACACTCAAAAGCGGAGAGCACAACAACATTGACCGAATAAGATATAGGGCGCAAAGCTGCACCTACAAATGCAAAGCAATAAAAAAGCTGCATTAGCGTATTTCTGAGTTGGAAATGGGAAAAAGACAACTCAACTCTTTCGGCGCCGATTTTTTACCTTGCATTCTCGGCGTTACTCTGTCCCCCAATTTTGGAAACGGTCGAGTGAGTGCATGAATTGATACAAAGTGCATATTATTCGCCTATACAACACATACACACACACATATTCAAGACATATCTATGAAACATATTTACATCACCTTTCTCCTCCTGCTTCTCCATGGAAATGCAATTACGCCGTGCACATTGTAAGAAGAAGACTAAAGGTTAGGGTTTCATTTTATACTACTGTATTTCCAATAGTCTCTCAAATGCATACGCGCACAGTACGCTTTTTGTATGAACCCAGCATTGGCACTTTGGCAGCTATACGCGGGCCCGATTGATAAAAATTAGTAGAATTCTGATCCGGAAAGCGGGCGTAAAGAAGTCTTTGTCCGCTAAAAAGAGAGTGTGCGATTAGATACATGATGGATCTCTCAAAAACGATCATGCGGTAGAGTATATGCATGTTTTCCATCTTGATCAAATAAGGAGGCACAAATGACCAAGCGATTGATGGACAGCCTTTAGGTGTAAGGAACAACCTCTACTTCAAAGCCATCATCAATGAATACATCTCATTCAGCATTCAAACAATGACTCCAAGTCCAGGATGGGAAAGGAATGAATATAATACTCGAATCGAAAAAGGGACTCGATCAAACAAAGGTGTAGCAACACAAGATCAACATCGGTTTTACCAGAATACACCTATGCCTTATCATACCCTTCCGTCTCTTCAATCAGACTCAAACGATAGAGGATTAGCAGCTTCCGGTCTTCCGACGATCTCTCGACCTAGATCTTCTTCACCACCACTCCAACAACATTTGGCAAATATGGAGCAAGATTCTCATCAACGCATGGGCCATCAAGGAAAGTATAACAATTATCCAACCCCTTCTTCGTCATCAGGTTACAGGCATTCTTATCATCAACAGATACAGCATGACACATACACATCAACCAGACCTTCATCTTCCGGAGGACATCTGATGGGTGATGTGCGGGATTATCCTCCTTCTCATCGAAGCAGGGGCCGATCATACACCAATCAATCTCAAGGCAGCTTTCAACAACAACGTTCTCCGCCAAGCAGATATTCACAAAGTTCAAAACAGATGTCCCACGATGAAATGATGATGAACGAAAGTGAAGGATCAGGAAGTAGAGGTTCGCCCATGCAAGAGACAACCATGTCAAACGAAACGCCATCATCTTCGGGTAATAGAAACAGACGGAATACATTAGACAATACAACTGGTGCGAATACGAGCAGAAGTACAGCAAAATCGTCCACTGCTACCAATGAAGGTAGTACAGAAGCGAGTACATCAACTTCCACCACAAACAATGCTTCAAATGCCGGCGGAGAAAATCGAGAAGCCGCTGCGGCTGCTAGAAAACAAAATTCGGCTTGTGATGCATGCAGAAATCGTAAAGTACGCTGTCATCGAACACCAGGAGAGGAAAAGTGTAATCATTGCAAGGCAAAAGGGATCGAATGTACTACGATTTATGTTCAATTGGCAACGCAAGGAGTCAAGAGACCGGTCAAGCGACAGAGAGGAGAGATTGTACCCGAAGGTGATGCAACGCCAACGATGGGAGAAGATGTTCCTTTGGTTGTACGATATCTGTTATTGCGGGATAATGAATATGCAGATGTTGTATATGGATTATCTTATGCTGAAATACCCGGAAAGCGGATCCCGCCAACAACTGCAGCAGAAACGAGATTGATCAATGCAACCGCACGTCAAGAATTCGTTTCTAGTTTATTGGAAACGTATTTCAGTACAGTGCATATCCGATACCCCGTCTTGGATCCACAAGAATTCCTACAGAGATTTCATTATCAAACGCCAGAATTGGGAGGAGCGCCTCCTGATGTCTTGACGGCAGTATTGTTGGCTTGGGGAGCCAAATTTAGCACTCATCCTATCATCGTTGCCGATCGACGTGAAACAGCGCACGACGAACTAACACCCACGCAACGATTACGTAGATCTGTGAATAATCCTTTGGCCAATCGAGCATTAGCATCTTCACATGGCGATTCTTCTTCTTCTCGATCTGGAACGGGATCAAGCGGAAAGGGAGAATTGACGGCACCCGAATTGCGTGATGCAAGCAAAGTGATGGGAAGAAGTCGGATTGCGGAAGATTTGATCGTAAAAGCACAAGAAGTTCTTGATAGAAATAAAGCACATCGGATTGCAAATATGGATAATGCCAAGGCTGCTATTATCGTTCAAGCATTGTTCTGGCAACAAGCATCCCAAACGGATTCTACCGATGCTATCTCACCATCACAATTACGACCTGCAAAGCGGAGGGGAGTGTATATCTGTAATGGATCATGGATCAATTCTTCCATTTCACACATGTTTGAAATGCGCGTTCATCTTCAAGGTACGATTGACAATATCGCCGAAGAAGGTCAAAGAGGACAAGTGGCGATGGCTTGGTGGTTGGCATGCATGTTTGATGCGCATATGTCGGCATTCTATAGACGTAAACCTATCCTTGCGGCTGAGGACTATTCGACAAAACCACCTGCTCCACCACGTACGGGACCTGTCACCGGTCCTTCACCCGTAGCGGCGGAAGAAGGATATCGAATTTGGTTAAATTCAGCTTTGGATCAATGTGAGATGATGAGATCGGTCTACTTCACACTTTGGACACCTTGTGCATACGAAGAAGGAATTTCAGCCCGTAAGTTGGAGAAATTGGTCTCTGCTGCGTATAGGTGGAGAAGTAGCCACTTAGCTCTCGTTGGAGCGCCTGATCAAGATTGGCCAAGTCAATGGAAGTTTGCTGATGCTGTAACTGCATGCAGTTCAGATTTGAATTATCATGTTGTTTGGCTTTTGATGTGGCAAGCGATTGATGAATATGGAATTGCGGAATTGAAAGCGAACAATCTTGCTCAATATAATGCCGCTTGTACTCGACATGGAACTTCTTCTGGGTTACCGGTCACGATGGCCGAGATGGAGCTGGATCAATCCAAAGTGAATGGAATGCGAAATGCGATTTATGAAGAAGCATTAAAGGCTGCTCTTCGAAGTGCAAATTTAGCAAAGATGTTACACGATTTTGATTATTTACAAAACGAGGCGGGAATTATGAAATTCACACTCTGTGAAGCAGGCTATTGTCTTACCCGGTTCAAACGACCGGAAGTGTATATGGTCATCGATGGTTTACGTCAATACGGTCAAGCGTTTGAAGAATGTTATGAACAAGCGGATGAGTTGGAACGTTTGGCGTTGGAGTATAGTGCTCCACAAGGTAGCAGTCAACAATCGGCTGCTTTGAATATGGGAAAGGGTGCAAAGCATTCATCAACCAATGCAAACTCACGTCCTCCTTGGAGTGCGGATAGTGCTACAAGCAACAATAGCGGACCTATCTTTGGCTTTTCTGCTGGCAACCCTAATCAGCACAATGATATTCCCATGATGGCTTCCAACGTACAAGCATCTTCTGGTGGCGGACCTGATACTGGTATGGATATGGGCTATCCATCATCCGGTCAATCTCATATGATGCGAAATAATGGAATGCAACCTGGTGCACCACCACCACAATCACAACAACAGCAACAGCAACAACAACAATATCACATGCCACCTCAACATTTAGGACCTCCTCACAACAATTCTGGAAATTTCAATCCTTCCAATACGGCCAATTACGGTCATCATCCTGGCCATGGTACACAATTACCTGGTCAGAGTTCTCATCCGAATTATTATTAAAAAAAAGGAAAAGGATGAGATAAATTATTTTTTATCGTGTACAAAAGTTTTTCCCTGAGAATCTGGACAATCTCTCATCATCATTACTGTTTCTTTTGTTCCTTTATATGCATATATATATCCACGAATTCTGGAACAAGAACAAGAGACGTACCACAACAATTGCTCAGTCGTGCGCTCTATTTATGGTCATCTTTGTAATATCAACTCCTTTTTACCCTTGTAATAATTTGCTAAATTTTGATTTTGTCGTGTGAACAATAGAGCATTTGCAGAAAACACCCAAGTCTCCTTTCCTGCCATGGAAGCATAGAATTTATTGGGATTTTGATGAAATTTTGACCACAAGAGCGAAAGCCTCCACAACCTTGTAATGCATACATGCACGCTAAATCAAAATGATGCATTTTTGATTATCACCATCATTTCGAACGTTGAACATGGGCGGTAAAAAAGATGGCGAAGGTGAGTAAAAAGAGCAATTCCCAAAGCATGATTCACTGCTAAAACCTCTGTTGTAAAACCTCGCTACAATAGTACGTCCACGTAAAGTAGCCGTTGCCATTCCATTTTGTAAGATTGGGAATGAAGTACATATTTGTTTAGTCTCTTCACGTAAACATGATGGACAGTATGTCCTACCGAAAGGAGGTGTTGAGAAAGGAGAAGATGGATGGCAATCTGCAGTACGTGAAATGTGGGAAGAAGGTGAGTTCTTGGAAAGAGGACGAAGGCTATCGATATGGGTTTTGACGACTGATTTATGTTGAATGACCTGCTTTAGCCGGCTTGAAACCTAGCAAGGAGTGGGTACAAGTCGAAGCAAAAGATTCTTTCATGACGGGAAGCATTGATGATCATAAACCTCATAAACGTTCGCCTAGTACAGAACATGGCTCTGCTTCGTTCGTACCAAGAGCGCGATATACTGCTTTTTTGGTCAATGTTCAAAAGGGAGATCCACAATGCGAATTAGATCAGTGGCCTGAACAACATGAGAGGAAACGACTTTGGACTTTGTGTGAGGACGCATGCAAGGAGATCCAATGGAGAAAGGATATTTATCATCTACTCCTTCAAGCTGATGGAAAGCTGAAAGCGTATCAGTCATAATGGTATAAGATTGTGTAGGTATTACCTCTTACTGTAATCTATCTAGTCCATCCGATACCCGAGGAAGGGATGAAATGAAGGCGTTGCTGTACTTCTTCCTTCGCTCATTTTCCCCTTTCATCGAAGGAACCGAACGCCCGAATGGATAATGAAGGTAGTCAAGCTATGTATTCTATATTTCAACGTCAACATTTAGCACAGCCTGACGTGATGAATATGAATGCTATGTAAAGACCAGAATGTTCTCTATTTTGCACAAAAGGAAGAAATGAAATCCTTCTCTCCCAATCTCAGTGAGGAAGGAATGATTCTAATCATGTCAATAGTCTAATCTTAGGCACGAATGTTTGTATGTGCGCACGACATTTCACGCTAAAGCTGTACTTTGTGATTTGTGGTAAAAGAGCTCTTGTGTTTGTCTCTGCTCAGGTGCACTTTCACCCCACTACCCATAAAAGAAGGAAATGTATTATTGTTGATTGGCGTGTGCGTTGTTGGTGTGAAGTTGTACCTGATCATTCAGCCTTTGCTTGCTTGCTTTTATACTTTATCCAATACCCTCTTCCCACTTCACCTAATCACGAGTTCCTACCAAGAAGGTTTCTTCATCATAGCCTTCTTCCACATCGTCACCCTGTCAAGAAGAATGCCTTTTTTGACACAACTTCAGCCCAAAGACTAAAAGCCCCTTTTAGCATATTACTTCACAGCATTACGACCCATCACGACTGCAAACACAAAGCAAAAGATTTTTTACGAAGGGTAACGAAAACGATTCAAAATACGAAACTTTTACGATAACAAATTGATTTCAGATCGAAATAGAAAAAACGTCACATCTCAAATAATCATCGTCTTCAATCATCGATCCTCTATGAAAATTAATCTATAAATAGAATTTCACCTATTTTCCACTGATTCTGCGTTTTTGCACAATGCGGAAATTCTTCAATCGATTGGCTACCGGCAACACAGCTCATGCTGAAGGTGTTGGTACACGTGGTGAGCTCAATTATGATGCCCAATTCAATGGAGGAAAGTCAAAAATTAACGAAAAGAGAGAAGGATACGGAGAAAAGGTCGGTTTGATTGACGGCCTTGGAGGAGAGTCGCCAACACGAGAGCGAAATGGCTCGGGAGAACGAGTGAAGGCATTGGCTGCCCGGTATGAAACATTGTCCACCCAGAGAGAAAGTGTGCAGCATAGTCCCATTGACAAGAATAGGAATACCTCGAGCAATTGGCTATCAGCTACAAGATCTGCAACAAATACATCAGAAGACACTAGAAACAGTCAAAAGGATTCCACTTCTCCAGACTTGTCGGGCTCGCCGCAACCTCGTCGAGAGCGATCTCATATTCTCGGATTTCACAAGCCGCTTCCTCCTATAGCACATCAACCACAATCGACACCATCACAAGGCGTATTATTGCCCGAATCCCAACTTTCATCTGAGGGAGATGGAATGCTACCCGCTGTCTTGCATGCTGGATCCATGGGCGAGAATGGTGAGAATATGGACCTCATGCAGAACGATCTCAAACAGACCCAATCACACACTAGCACATCAGCCCAAAATCGACATTTATCCACCACTCCTGTCCCAAATCAGCCCAAAACTGTCGCATTTGCACCTTCACCAAAGAAGCCTTATCGAACATCATCGCCGCTGCCGACAGAATATAGCAATGTACCAGCTTTGCCAGATAGAGCATTGGAGGAAGTGAGTCGATATCAACATGGATCTTTGAGTAGTGCACAATCCGTCGGTAATTTTGCAAAGCCAACAATGGCAAGCACAGCTCGTGCTAGAGCGGGAGCAGCAGCGGCTACTAGCAAGCAGTCACAAAGAGATACTGGACCAAATCTAACCACCACATCTCCAGCCTTGATCAGCCCAGTAGCTCGACATGGCACGGAGAAGTTTCCAACGTCTGGCGGAGGACCTTCTCGTCCGTCTAGTGGTGGTCAAGCAACTGGCACAACAAAAATGGTTCGCAGCAATTCAGCTTCTGCTTCACAAAGAAGAAATGGTACCTTATCAAGTGGTAGTGCAGGCGCACACATTCCTGCTTCTAGCACAGTCAGTCTTATGCAAAATACTCGTGAAGGCGCAGGTCATCTGCCCAACAGCATCCCTTTCGCCAATCAGACATCAGCTTTGGGCTTGCTACGATCTGCCAGTCCGCAGAGCGTGGGCACAGGATCTTCCGCTTCTGCCCATGGCAGACCTGTCCCCGATTTCTTTGGCAATCATAGAAGATCGAGTCTGCAAGGACAATTACCTGGAGGCTCTCAAGGGTTTACATCCTCTATTCGCAGTATTGGAGCACCCAGTTGGAGTGAAATGACACAAGAAGATTTGGTGAACAACCTTGGCGCCAGAGAAAGGACCCGACAAGAAGTTTTGTGGGAGATCGTAGCAAGCGAAGAGAGATATGTACAGGAATTGGAGAAAACAAAAGAATTTTTCTTGGATCTCCTCTTACATCCTCATCGTTTTAGTCCGCCAGGCTCACCAGGGGGCGTTCATGCTGCCACGCTTGCCACATTGGAAGGACGTGGCACGAAAAAGGGACGGAAAGAGACACCCCCATCCTCTGCTCGACCGCTTACATCACCCTCTCAAACGGCCGTCTCGAATGAATTACCGATTGCCTCCAGATTCTTGAGTGCAGCCTCGGGGTTGCGCGAATCAGGTGATGGACCATATGGCAGTATAGATGCTGCTGCGATCTCACATGCTGCTGCACAGAAGAATGTTGGTTCTCGAAGTCCTTACTCAACAGGTTTGGCTACCAGTCCAACGCCTGCGACTCGACCTAGAAGCAGCGGAGGAAGTAACAATACGCCAAACACTCCTGTTGCGGGAAGCAGCAACACCAATCTCACATCTCAACCAGCAAAGAAAGGTCATGTTAAGGAAAAGTCTGGTTCAAAGGAGGAATCGACAGCCAAGAGATGGTCACAAAGGCGAAGTAAGGGTTTGTCTGGCAATTCCTTCTCGTCCAGTCAGATAGGCTACGACCTCACGAATGGTCAAGGTTTAGGCATCACACTGCCACCGCCTTTGCGTGCCGTACTTGAGGTTATCGATAATGGCATCTTGGAAGGTCATGCCCTGCTATCAGAAGCTCTCAGAATACGCTATGAGGAGCAATGGCCTCTCGTGCGAAGCTTGGCAGATGTTTTCACACGATTTTCCTATGTGTTGAAGCATTATCGTGACTATGTTGTACACCTTGAAAGGGCTTTGGATTGTTTGGAGGAAGCTGCGCTGATGGAAAGGGCAATGCGCGGTAAAAGATTACGAAAGGATCGATTGTCCGTCATGGTGGGACTAGGAAGAGCAGTGGCCTCACTTGAAGCATCAGCAGCTGAACGCGGAGAATGTGGATTGGCAATCTTTCTTGCTATGCCATTTCAACGATTATTAAAGTATCCGCTTTTGTTTCAAAATCTACTTTTCCATACGGATGCATCCACGTACGAATTCGAGAGTACGGTGCAAATGGTGGTAGATGTAGAAAAGATCGTACGTACGATTGAAGATGAAAAAGTGAACAAAGAAGAAAGAGACAAGACGATCGATGCATTCGCCAGAATTGAAGGAATAAAAGATCGAGCTCTTTTAAGACCAAAATCTGATCGTATCCTGATTGAAGAAAAGCCAATGTATCAAGAAAATCCAAGACGAGCAATTTCTGATTCGAACGACAAAGGAGCGGGCAGTAAAACAGGTCATTCCAGTAATGACTTGAGTGCGGATAGTATGGTATCAAATACAGCCATGTCCACTCCCACGGGAACAGGAAGTGGGAATTTACGAGCTTCGATTCGTAACAAGCGGTCTTATCGACGTTTATCTGATCTGCTTACCCTAAGCAATGCAAATCACTCCACAACTGGAGAGGACGGCAATGTCACATATACAAAAGCGCCCAATATGGGATCCAAAAAGGATATTTGGCTCATTCGATTTTCCGATGTCGAGCTGCGTTGTCAGCGAGTTGGTGTGACGGCTTTGCCTATGGTCAGCTCAGTAGCATTGCAGCCATCTGCTCTTGATGCATCTGCAGAAGTTTCCAACGCAAATGCCGAAAATCAAGAAGCGATTGATTCTACTCTAACCGATGATGAGGCCAGAATGCGAGATGAGTTCAAAAGAACAAAGGAGAGCAAAGAACGTATGCGTGCACTGCGCAATACGACCTTACGGTCAAAGACACGAAATCTGTACAAATTTATTGGAGTTACCAGCTGGAAAGCGACTCGGGAAAGGTCAAACATTGAAGAATCGGAAGGCTTGGAAGGATTGTCAACTGCTTTGGAGGAAGACGAAGAGATGCAAGACGAAGAAGAGGAAGAAGACGGAGGCGATGATAATGAAAGTAATACAAGTCAAGAAACTGATGGAGGATTACTCGATCCGGATCATTATGTCCGACAATCCAAGCTCAGCTTCTCTTATGGCGGTCAGGATCGTGTGGAGCCCAAATTGAGCTATTCCAGTACAAGACCGAATTATCGAAATGCCAGAACAAGTTCTATACCTTCTTCCTTTAAACGTCACTCGATGGGAGCATCTTTGGTCAATACATCGCAAAGTGTTACTTCAATGTCACCTATCTCGTCTATTGATTCAGACAATAGTGTCTCATTGACAAAAGCAGTCGTGGCAACATCCAGAATACGTAGCGACAAATTTGGTAATCGTTTACGTTCTTCTGACGAAAACCATCAAAGGAGAGGATCGATGCCAAATGTGACGAGCAATGTTTCTGTTCCGATCGGAGCATTATCATCGCAAGTAAGCGTTATTCATGACGATCAAAATGAAGAGAGCAGTAGAGATGAAACGATGAGTCGACCTGGACTTATCATCAGCAAGGCATCTGATACGCCAGAAGATGTTCTTCAAAACAATCGAGCTCCTAGCTTTATGCATGATCGATCGTTAGATTCCAATATGATCTTAATGGGTAGTCTCGTTCAACCCTCTGCCAAATTTTGATTATCATACATATATTTCATCAACTCATGCTCTTTTCTTACTTTTGTGCAAGACTCGTTGTACCTTATGCATACCAAACAATCACAATATCTTTTATTTTGAGACAGAAGAGTAAGCTCGATTTCATTAGATATTAGGATTGACTACAACAATTGTGAAAGTCTAGCAATGAGAATAAATAGATTTCAGATAGACGAGGTATGTTTAAATCTATCAATAAATTAAGCATTTGGGTTTTTTTAAGGGTTCTCAGCAACCCATGAAACACCTTTTTCGATGTTCTTCTTGAGTTCAGGCAAAGCGGCTTCGAGCAACTTTTGTTCTTCACCGGTGATGTTACCGATTGGGTGAATGTCTTCGACACCGTTCTTGCCCAAGCTTACTGGGCTTGCAAAAAAGGTTGCTCCTTGATCTTTGTACAAAGGTGATTCAACGTAAGCGCATTCCTTAACACCGCTCTCTCCGTTAACGGCACGCAAGAGAGAGTTTGTGAAAACGGCGGCAGCATAAGCCATACTCAAAGTTGCTGAACCTGCACCATCCTTTGCCTTAACAACTTCATCACCACCGAATTGGATACGGTGAACGAGCTTTTCGTATTGTTCACCTGCAGAGACGGAAGAAGAAGCAGATCCTGCTTGAGACAAAAGAGGAACGATTGTAACACCAGAGTGACCACCAACGACTGGAACGATGACTTCACTTGGCTTGAGACCTGCGATACCGGACAAGAAAGTGCTTGCACGGGTAACGTCAAGAGTGGTAACACCGTACAATCTCTTTGCATCGTAAACACCTGCCTTCTTGTAAACTTCAGCGACGATTGGGACGGTAGAGTTGACTGGGTTGGAAATGATGAGCATGTGAGCTTTTGGTGCAACTTCGGCAGCAGTCTTGGCAAGATCACGAACGATGGAAGCATTTGTGTTGAAAAGGTCATCACGGGTCATTCCAGGTTTACGTGGGACACCGGCAGGGATGACGATAATGTCTGCACCAGTCAAAGCTTTCTTCAAACCATCATTTTCAGGAGAGAAACCGGTTGTGATTGCGGGAGTGTTGACGTGAGAGACATCAGCAGCGACACCTGGAGCCAAACGAACATCGAACAAACGCAATTCGGTGACCAAAGGATCGTTCTTCAAAAGCAAAGAGAGAGGTTGACCAATACCACCTGAAGCACCCAAAACGGCCACATTCTTGTTGACGATTGAGGAAGAAGAGAACAAACGACTTGAAGCGAAACCTTGACGTAAAGGTGCGGCTGAGCGTAAAGCAGATCGTGCGGCAAACATGATTAAATTAAATCACACAAAAGAGTAGGATATGGTTATGAAGAATATTGTTGAATGTGGATCACACAACCTTTCACCTTTCTGCACGGTAATCTAACCCTGCTTCCTTTAGCCGATAGAATTTAACAAAACTTTGGGGGGCAATACAGCAGCCAACTTTTGTTTCTTCCCAATTTTTGCGTGGTCAGACCTTCTTAGTGCACGGCGCTATGCTAGCAAACGGTTTTAACCGCGATACAAATGCTCGGGTAAGTGTAAACCACGTGATACAGTCCAAAGATTCTTCTTGACTAGACTCTCTACGCGTTAGGATTAAAGTTCTGACAATCCCGTTAGCCAGAACGCGTTCACTGACGAAATGCAGATGAGAATTCTCCCTTCTGGCTTTACTCTTCTTCTTGCAATTAATACGTCAGTGCGATGCATCTCATCGACAAGGCAGAAAGTCAGTGTAAAATAAATTTAAACAGTTTGAGCGAAGCCGAGAAGAAATAAATTTTTATAGAGCGAGCCAGAGATGGAAGCCACCTGTTGCAGGTAAATTTTTTTTGGCAGTCGGTACCGTAGGTCCAACCAATCCTGCAAATCATTCTTCCTTCTTCTCCTCTTCTTCTTCTTTTTCTTTTTCGACAACTTTTTCCAATAGAAGCCTGTCCAAGCTCCTTCAAAGGATTAAGCTTACCTTTTTCTTCAAAAACCTCTCGTCCTCCTTGGGCTGACAGGCACAACAAATTCCCTTTTGTAGCGCCAAGTCTTTCATCCTCCCAAAGGTTCACGAAGAGCTGTAAATTAGTAACCAAAAACAAAAACCGCAAATCAAGTAGAGAAAGGTAGATCAATCTAGAAAAAAAAAACAGACAAAGAAGATAGACAAAATGGCAGCTTCTACAACACCTGCCGCACAATTACTCAATGGAGCAGCACGTCCTAATATGGAACGTACAGCTTCTACCATCGCTCTCCCGGCTCCGGCTGCAACCTCTCCTCCTTTGGGCGCTGGAAAGGCGGAGGAGATGATTTTGGAATTGGCCGATGGTTCTTCCTACAGAGGTTTAAGCTTCGGTGCTTCAAACAAGAGCATCAGTGGTGAATGCGTCTTTCAAACAGGTATGGTCGGTTACGTTGAATCATTGACTGATCCATCCTACGAAGGTCAAATTCTCGTCTTGACTTTCCCTCTTGTGGGTAATTATGGTGTTCCTTCTCGAGAAATGGAATCTCTTAAGCAATTGTTGGAATCTCCATTCGAATCAAGCCGTATCCATATTGCCGGTTTGGTGATTGCATACTACAGTCATGACTTTAGCCATTATCTTGCTGCCTCCAGTCTTGGTCAATGGCTCAAGGAGAACGGTGTTCCAGCAATCTATGGAGTGGACACCCGTGCTCTCACCAAGAAAATTCGTAGCAAAGGTAGTATGTTGGGCAAGCTCTTGGCTCAACAAACACAAGCTACCCTTGCTGCTTCTGGCATTCAAAGTGAAGCTGACTGGAGATTGCAATTTCAAAATATTCCCTTTGCTGATCCAAACGCTCTCAACTTGGTCGCCAAAGTGTCATGCAAAGAGCCCAGATCATACACACCTTCCAACACATCCGCCGGTGGTGCTCTCGGAAAAGCCACAACACCAATCTTGCATCCCTCTGGCCGCCCTATTCGTATCTTGGCCTTGGATGTGGGTATGAAGTACAATCAAATCCGTTGCTTCACCAGTCGTGGTGTTGAGTTCCGTGTGGTACCATGGGATCATGATTTCTTGAACCCCAAAGTGGAGCCTGAACCTTTTGATGGTGTCTTCGTTTCCAACGGTCCAGGTGATCCAACAAGTTGCGGACCAACTATTGCCAACTTGCGTAAATTGCTTCAACTCCGAGGCCCTAATGCAATTCCCGTCTTCGGTATCTGTTTGGGTCATCAATTGTTGGCTTTGGCAGCAGGTGCTCAAACTGAAAAGTTGAAGTTTGGTAATCGTGGTCACAACATTCCTTGTACAGATCAAGTTTCCGGAAGATGTTTCATTACCAGTCAAAATCACGGTTACGCTGTCAAAACAAGCTCTTTGCCTACAGGATGGGCACCTTTGTTCATCAACGCAAACGACAACACAAATGAAGGTATCTACTCCACCGAAGGACCTTTCTTCTCCGTTCAATTCCACCCTGAAAGTACTCCAGGCCCACGTGATACCGAATATTTGTTTGACGTTTTCATTAAGTCGGTTGTGGATATTGCTAACCTCAAAGCTGGACCACAAAAGCCTGCTGCTTTACCTGCCATCGAATTCCCTGGTGGTTTGTTAGCTGAGAATGCAGCTCAACATCCTCGTGTGCACTGCCGTAAAGTTCTTGTCTTGGGTTCTGGTGGTTTGAGTATCGGTCAAGCAGGTGAATTCGATTACAGTGGTTCACAAGCCATTAAAGCCTTAAAGGAAGAAGGTATCTATACAATTTTGATCAATCCAAATATCGCTACCATTCAAACGTCTAGCGGTTTGGCCGATAAAGTGTACTTCTTGCCAGTCACACCCGAATTTGTTCTCAAAGTGATCAAACACGAAAGACCAGATGGAATTTACTGCACATTCGGTGGTCAAACAGCTCTTAATGTCGGTATCAAAATCAAGGAAGATCTCAAATCGATGGGTGTTAGAATTCTTGGTACACCTATTGAAACGATCATCACTACTGAAGATCGTGACTTGTTCGCTCGTGCAATGGAGGAAATTGGTGAAAAATGCGCTCCAAGTGCAAGTGCAACGACATGGCAAGAAGCACTTGACGCCAGTCGCTCAATCGGATTCCCCGTCATTGTTCGTGCAGCTTTTGCTTTGGGTGGTTTAGGAAGTGGATTTGCAAATGATGAAGAAGAATTGTACAAGTTGTGCAATGCTGCATTTGCAAACAGTCCTCAAGTTTTGGTAGAAAAGAGTATGAAAGGATGGAAAGAAGTTGAATATGAAGTCGTTCGGGATTGCCGCAACAACTGTATTACCGTCTGTAACATGGAGAACTTTGACCCTCTTGGTATCCACACTGGTGACTCTATCGTCATTGCTCCAAGTCAAACTTTGGACGATTCAGACTACAACATGCTTCGTACGACTGCAGTAAACGTCATTAGACATTTGGGTGTTGTGGGTGAATGCAACATTCAATACGCTTTGAACCCTTACTCCAAAGAATATTGCATTATTGAAGTCAACGCTCGTTTGTCTCGTTCATCTGCTTTGGCATCCAAGGCTACCGGATATCCTCTTGCTTTCATCGCTGCCAAATTGGGATTGAACATTCCTCTGAATGAGATTCGCAACTCCGTCACCCGCGAAACATGTGCATGCTTCGAACCAAGTTTGGATTACGTTGTTTGCAAGATTCCTCGTTGGGATCTGCGTAAATTCGTTCGCGTCAGCTCCAAATTGGGAAGTTCGATGAAGAGTGTCGGTGAAGTAATGAGTATTGGTCGTACATTCGAAGAAGCTATTCAAAAAGCCATTCGTGCCATCGATTTCCAATTCGAAGGTTTCAGCAAGAATGACTATGCAGAAGATTCGGAAATTGATGAAGAACTCGTCAACCCAACCGATAAACGTATGTTTGCAATTGCTAATGCATTCGCCAAAGGCTACACCGTTGAGCAAGTTCACAAGATGTCCAACATTGATCGTTGGTTCTTGAACAAATTGATGAGCATCAACCGTGCTTCTATCGAATTCACCAAATACAACGCATCTACTTTGACACCAGCTCTTTTGCGTCAAGGTAAACAAATGGGTTTCAGTGATCGACAATTGGCCCGTTGCATTGGCAGTACAGAATTGGCCGTTCGTCGTTTACGTCAAGAATATGCAATCATGCCTTTCGTTAAACAAATCGATACCGTTGCTGCTGAGTTCCCAGCATACACAAACTATCTTTACACCACATACAATGCTTCTGAGCATGATGTCACTTTTGGAGACAAGGGTGTAATGGTCTTGGGTTCGGGTGTGTACCGTATTGGTTCTTCCGTCGAATTCGATTGGTGTGCCGTTCGCGCAATTCGTACTTTACGTCAACAAGGCTACAAGACTGTCATGGTGAACTACAATCCCGAAACAGTTTCAACGGATTACGATGAAGCAGATCGTTTGTACTTCGAAAACATTTCTCTTGAAACCGTCTTGGACATCTATGACTTGGAACGCTCATCCGGCGTGATCATCTCTATGGGTGGTCAAACACCAAACAACATTGCCTTGCCATTGTACCGTCAAAACGTCAACATTCTCGGTACATCACCAGAAATGATTGATATGGCTGAGAATCGTTACAAGTTCTCAAGAATGTTGGACAAGATCGGTGTTGATCAACCACTTTGGAAAGAATTGACAAGTTTCGAAGAAGCTCAAGAAGCATGCGCACGATTCGGATACCCAGTCTTGGTCCGTCCTTCGTACGTGCTCAGTGGTGCTGCTATGAATGTAGTCTATTCACCAGAAGATTTGCAAAGTTATCTTTCTCAAGCTACAGCCGTCAATCGGGAGCATCCAGTCGTCATTACAAAATACTTGGAAGGCGCAAAAGAAATCGAAATGGATGCAGTTGCAAGAGATGGTAAATTGATGATGCATTACATTTCAGAGCATGTCGAAAATGCTGGTGTTCACTCTGGTGATGCAACTTTAATCTTGCCACCTCAAGATTTGGATCCTGAAACGATCAGAAGAATCGAAGCTGCAACTGCCAAGATTGCTGCCTCTTTGCACGTCACTGGTCCTTTCAACATTCAATTCATTGCCAAAAACAATGAAATCAAGGTGATTGAATGCAACGTTCGTGCTGCTCGATCGTTCCCCTTCGTCAGCAAAGTCACCGGAATTGATGCGATCGAAATGGCAACCAGAGTCATGCTGGGATTGGAAATCGAACCATATCCAAAACTCAGCTTGCCACGCGAATATGTTGGTGTAAAGGTACCTCAATTCAGTTTCAGTCGTTTGGCAGGTGCAGATCCTATCTTGGGTGTAGAAATGGCTTCTACCGGTGAAGTGGCTTGTTTCGGTCGTGACAAATATGAAGCTTACCTCAAGGCAATGATCGCTTCAGGTGTCAAATTGCCAAAGCAAAACGTTTTGCTTTCTATCGGTAGCTTTAGCGAAAAACAAGAACTTTTGCCTTCGGTACGCACCCTTCATCATCTCGGATTCACTTTGTACGGTAGTTCTGGAAGTGCTGACTTCTACAGCGAACAAGGCATCCCAGTCATCCATTTGGAAGCTTTGCCAGAAGATGATGACGTTTGGAAGGGCGGAGAAGAGAATGCAAAGGCAACTTATTCGCTTTTGAGCCATTTGACACAAGGTTTGAGTTCTTTATTCATTTCTTTACCAAGTAAGAACAAATACCGCCGACCTGCTTCTTTCACATCTATGGGTTACCGTGCTCGTCGTTTGGCCATTGACCGTTCCATCCCATTGATCACTAACGTCAAGAATGCCAAATTGTTCGTCGAAGCTTTGGCTCGTCATCGCAAATTGGGATCAGACTTTGGTATTTCTTCAGTCGATTTCAAGACCAGTCATCGTACACACACCTTCCCAGGATTGTACAACGTATTAGCCTATGCACCTACATTGGCCGATAAGGGAGCAAGTGCCCGCGAAGTGGCTGAGATTACACAAGCATCTTTGAACGGAGGATTCACCAGTGTGCAAATTTTGCCATTCGGTTTGAACAGCACAATCTCCGATGATGCTACCTTGGCAAGTGTAGAAGAAAAGGTCAACGGCTCAGCCCACTGCGATGTAAGCTTGTCTTTGGCTGGTACAGCAACCAATTCGATCGAGGTGGCTGCTCTTGCTTCACGTACACGTTCTTTGCTGTTAAGCTTCGAGAAGGTGGGTGCTGGTGCAAGTATGGCACTTTCCGCTCACTTTGCCTCTTGGCCTGAATCAAAGCCAATCATCACAGATGCAAAAGGAATCGATTTGGCCTCAGCATTATTGTTCGCAAGCTTACACAACCGTCGCATTCACGTTACAAATGTTGCAAAACGTCAAGATATCGAATTGATCGTGTTAAGCAGAGCAAAGGACCTACAAGTTACATGTGATGTAAACGTGTATTCCTTATTCTTCTCGACGGATATGTATCCACAAGCAGAATCATTGCCATCGAAAGAAGACCAAAAGGCTCTCTGGGACAACATGGAAAGCATTGACATCTTCAGTGTTGGTACAACCCCTTACAAGATGGCCGTCGAATTAGGCTATACCGGATCAGCAATGAGCGGTATCGAAGAGACATTGCCACTTCTGTTGACCGCAGTCAGCGATGGTCGATTGACTTTGGACGATATCGAAGAACGTCTATACACCAAACCAAAGCAGATCTTTGGCTTCCCTGAACAAGCAGAGACAAGTGTCGATGTGGAAGTTGACAGACCAAGTGCATTCGCAGCAAAAGCACAATGGAGCCCATTGCAAAGTACAAGCATCGTCGGCAGTATCCATCGTGTTTTGATCAAGGGCAAGACTGTCGTTGTTGATGGAGAACGTTTCTCTAGCAGCGCAGTGGGACAAAACGTTTCGGGCATTTCAGCAAGCAGTATTGCCTCTATGAAGAGACAATCTGTTGTTGGAGTGACTGGTCAATCATCTGCTCCTTCTGCCGCCGCCGCAGCAGCAGCTGCTCATCGTCGTGTCAGCTTCTCTACTGATGTCTCAAACCGTTTCGCTTTGGCTTCTGCTAACGCAGCATCTTCGCCTGCTGTGAACGAAGTTCCCGGATCCCCTCAACAAGCTTCCGCCGTTCGTTCACCTATTTTGGCAGGTGCTGATTCTTCTACTTTCAGCTCAGCACGTCCAAACAGTATCATGGCTGCTTTACGTGGAAGTTCCAACGAGGTCGCAAGCACACCCGAACCAAGTTCATTAAGTTTGGCTGCTCCAGCAACAATCACATCTTCTGGTCCTTCTACTGCCGTTTCTCAAACGCCTTCAGCTGCACTTTTGATGCGTCATCCTACCTTTAGCCGCAAACACATCCTTTCCGTTCGTCAATTCAACCGTGATGATTTACATGCCTTATTCACTTTGGCATCTGAAATGCGTCATGCTGTTGAACGATTCGGAACGATTGACATCTTGCGCGGAAAAGTGTTGTGCAACATTTTCTACGAAGAAAGCACACGAACAAGTGCTTCCTTTGAAGCTGCAATGAAACGTTGTGGTGGTGAAGTTGTTAGCATCAATGCAAAGAGCAGTAGCGTTGCCAAGGGAGAAAGTTTAGCAGATACGATCCGCACTTTGGGATGCTATGGAGATGCAATCGTTTTACGTCATCCTGCCGTTGGAAGCTCTCAAGAAGCCAGCAAGTTCAGTCCTGTGCCCATCTTGAATGCCGGTGACGGTGTTGGTGAACATCCAAGTCAAGCTTTATTGGACATCTTTACCATTCGTGAAGAATTGGGTACCGTTAGTGGCTTAACAGTCGGTTTGATTGGTGATTTGAAACATGGTCGTACAACGCATTCTTTGGCTCGTCTTTTGGCTTTGTACGGTGTCACGTTGGTCTACATCTCGCCCAAATCATTAGCAATGCCTAGAAGTGTTGTTGAAGAATTACGTAAACGTGGAATCAAACAACATGAAACGGATAATTTGGATGAAGTTTTACCGTTGCTCAATGTTGCTTATTGCACACGTATTCAACAAGAAAGATTCGAGACAAAAGAAGCATATGAAGCCGTTCGTGGTGCTTATCGTATCGATATGAATTTGCTGAACAAACGTGCAAGAGATGATTTATGCTTGATGCATCCTTTGCCACGTAACGAAGAATTGGCAGATGACGTTGACTTTGATAGCAGAAGAGCTGCTTATTTCCGTCAAATGCGGTATGGATTATTCGTTCGTATGGCTTTGCTCACAATGGTGATGGCATCCGATGGTGGAAGATAAAAAAGGAGGAAAGGAGGAGAAAAAAAAGGTTTTCTTATTATTTCGCATACCACTTTTTTAAAATTTGTTCGTTATTTGCATATTTTTTAATTTAAATTGCTTTCTACAGAAAAAAAATAATTGAGTCGCACACTTGTGATGAACGAACAAGGAACATTGGAGACCTTCCAGCCAAATGTTTTCTGGCCTAAGATTGTCACATTGTGCTGAGCTCGCAAAGCATGTCTTGTTGCGCGAGCGCTTAGGCCTCTGACGTGGCAATCGACGTGGTAACGGGCTAATCTGTACGCCACAAGATAAATCTCTTTGACAGAAGCTCAGCAGCTCAGCAAGTCATTTCACCGCCTATAAATACGTTATTGTATCATCTACAATGGTGCCAAGTGATTGAGAACAACAATCAAGAATGTTACATTATTTGAACAAGTACGGATTTGATGACAGGAAAACAGGAGTGCCACAATTACCTGTAGAACTACTTCATATAATCTTCGAGCATTATATGTCGACCGTTCCGGAAAGACGTGAACAAGAACTATGTACGGAGACAAGAGAGATATGCAAATTAGCACGAGTGAATCGTACCTTTCAAGCATTTTTCAAACCACTATTATGGAAAAGAGTTTGTATCTTCGGCGCGAAAGTACACGGAGAAAAGATCACAAGTCGATCATGCTTTGGATCTTTTCAAGCATTGCCCATGCCGCAATTATGGAACTTCTTCTCTACTTTTGGGTCGGCAGAACATAAAGAAGGCTTTTCATGGTTGGGACCAGGATGTGGAGCTTTTTATGAGAGTGACATGAATTTGTCAAAATTTTCTATTCCTTTGATCGATTCAACCGTGGAGAGTATCTCGCTCCAGAACTCAAAGCTACCTCGTGATGTTTGTGATGGTGATACACTTATCGACTGGCTTGAAGATGATCCGCAATCTCAATTTGGCTTTCGACTAAAACACAAGGAACAGCCTACTGTATGCCACTGGTTCGTACAACAGTGTATGATTGGCGCAGAACATTCTCTAAAGGAAGTCAACTTCGATTGTGGTTTGTCTCCACTTGATATACCCGCATTATACCCTTTATGGATATACTTTGAACGAGTAAGAGTTTTGTCCTGTCTCGATGCCGGCAAGAATCGTGCGAACAATGTCGTCGATGGTATTGCCTGGCTGCGTAGATTATTGTTACAATACGAAGGACAGAGGGATGGCAATTGGATCCAAGAACTTATCACTAAAGAGTATGAAGCATTCGATGGAAGAGAGCCAAGCGAACCAGTTCCTAGCTTCACCGGGCTAGATGGTAGGCGATCCAGTTTATGGCGACTAAAGTACTTTCTTCGAACTTTGGGCTTCAGGTTTTTGGAAGATGGATTTGGTCTGGTGGGAGATATGGATTCAAATCTACAAGCAAATTTAGCTAAAGTTGTGGAAAGATTGAAGAAGCAAACTAGGGGAAAAAGATTGAAGAAGCAAACTATGGAAAAAAAGATTGAATTTCTTGACTTTTGAACATGGTCAGGATTCAACATCACAGATTTCAATCAATACTTCTGTTTCTTTCTACTATCGAAAACACAAAAACACTTATAAAATAAATTGTCACACTGCGCTGAGTTTGAAAAGTATGTGTGTAGTAGCGCGAGTGCTTAGGCCTCTTACGTGGCAACGGGCCAAACTGCATGCAACAAAAGAATCAATTTGAACTGAAGCTCAGCAGTTCGGCATATCCCATCCTACTACCACTTCTACAAATAAATACAATATGAACACTATCAAGTACCATGAACTTTATTACAACTCTACAAAGAATGCGACCGTATACATTGGTGCCAACGGATGAAGAACAACAACATTTAGAAATGATACGTTATTCGAGCGAAGATGAATCCGATGACAAAGAAACAAGAGTGCCAGAATTACCTGTAGAGATTCTTCATAGAATTTTCAAACATTACTTGCTATCCTTGCCAGAAATTCCAGGTAAATTTAGACCTTGGAATAGTGAGTCAAAAGAAATCTGTAGGCTATCACAAGTGAATCATACTTTTCAAGCATTTTTTAAGCCTCTGTTATGGAAAAGAGTCTGTATCTTTGGCGCGGATGAAGAAAAAGAAAAGATCAAAGATCGATCATGTTGTAGCTGTTTTCAAGTACTTATACAACAATTTCGAAAGGTTGAACCAACCGAAGATTACTCTAACGATACTTGGGAGTTAGAACATAAGGCCAGGTCGAAACATCCTTGGGGAGTACTTGGAAAAAGCAGGACCTTAAATCGATCATGCGGTAGAAACGTGAAAGGTATTTCATGGACTGGACCAGGACGTGGAACGTTTTATGAAAGTGACATAAATTTGTCAAAACTTTCTATCCCTCTAATTGATTCGACGGTTGAGAGTATTTCGGTCGAAAATGGTTGCTTTGATCATGATATATGTAATTATAAAGGAACGATCGATTGGCTAGAAGACGATCCGGGATCTCAATTTGGCTTTCGGGTAAAACACAAGGAAGATAATGAACAACCTACTTTTTGCTACTGGCTCGTACAACAATGCATGATTGGCGCAGAACATTCTCTAAAAGAAGTCAACTTCGATTATGCTACGCCACCGCTAACTATACCCGCATTATACCCTTTATGGGTGTATTTCGAAAGGGTCGGATCATGGTTCTGTCCTGATGTGTGGGGCACCGTTCCTGCAACTGATTACACCCAGGGAATTGCTTGGTTGCGTAGGCTATTGCTCCGATACGAAGGACCGCGGGAAGGCGCTTGGATTCAAGATCTTCTGGTAAGAGAGTGTGAAGCAATCAAGAGAGAAGAACAAGCGGATAGACATTATCTGATCGAGGGTCCAGAAGGTCCTCCATATCAATCACTTAAGCCATATCAAGTTAGGACCTTCCTCCAAACTTTAGGCTTCAGGTATTTGAACGTGCAGCACGATAGTCTTGGATTTGGTCTGGTGGGAGATATGGATTCGAGCATTTGTGCGAATCTGGCCAAAGTTGTTGAGAGGTTGAAAAAGGAAGAAGTTACGAAAAAGAATGAATGTTTAGGCTCTTCTGTAGAATCAACATTCAAATATAGAGATCTTATATAGAATCCATTCTGTTGTTGAAGATGATCGTAGTAGAGTGCGGGCGGCTGTTCTGTTAGCGTCTTACTCTGCTTCCATGCAGGTCGGCCGCACACACGCGGGCGACTATAGGCCGAACAAAATAGAAAAGCGGCTTTTGTTTGCTTTGGTGAGTGGGCAATTAATAATCTTTAGTCTTCTCTTAAGCTCGCGTTCAATTTACCGGAAACGCTTGCCTAGTACGGCAGGCGGCACTTCAGGCGAACTGCCTTTTCTTTTTTTCACCCATTCGCCGTTCTTTGATTTTTTTCGTATTCCTTCCAATAACTTGCGGATCTGATTAGTCAACCGTACTCGTTAACTCTATCTTTCACTCTTTCTTCTGCAAATCTACAAAGTTCACTGGTCATTAAAGGTAAGTGCTCCTACTTTGAAATACTTCGACCTAATCTCTCAAGGGGTCCTACGAGATAGACTCTAGGCTTATCACGCGACCAAGAAAAAGGTGGTGTTATCAAGATACTGTCTTTTCTTCTTAATTCCAGCGCGCCTCGGAAAAAGGATGGATGAAAGATCAGATCACAGTATTAACACGCATACATTCTCATCTTCTCACCACCAGGTCATATAAAACAAGATTCTCGAAATCTCACATTGAATACTACGGAGGCAGGAGGAAGCATTTTGGCTTGATTAAGCTTGATCCACATTATACCCGCATTCAACAACGTAGCTGAAGTGGCGCTGCGATAAAAAAAAGACAAAAGGCGGTTCGATCGCCTTTCATCTTTCTCAAAACCCACGCAGAATGGCTTCCGAAACTGCTGTTTCAGCAATAGAAGAAGAAATCGATTATGAAGGACTTGGAGATAATGTACCTCTACATATCAATATGATCGCAGGTGCGATGGCAGGAATAAGTGAACATGCTCTCATGTTTCCTGTTGATGTGATTCGGACGAGAATGCAAATATTGTCTGCTTCTCCGGCAGCAACGTATACAGGCGTTACACAGGCACTATCAAGGATCAGTAGTGTGGAAGGAGCAAGAGCGCTATGGAAAGGTGTCAATTCAGTCATCCTTGGAGCAGGTCCAGCACATGCAGTCTATTTCGGAACGTATGAAGTGGTGAAAGAAGCAACAGGAGGAAATGCATCTGGGCATCATTTTGGTAGTACAGCATTTGCAGGAGCATCTGCAACGATTGCCTCTGATGCATTCATGAACCCATTCGATGTGATCAAACAAAGAATGCAAATGCATGGATCAGCTTATAAAAGTGTCATGTCATGCGCATCTCAAGTGTACAAGCAAGAAGGATTACGTGCTTTTTACGTTTCTTATCCCACTACATTGGCAATGACAGTTCCATTCACAGCCGTTCAATTCTCGGTATACGAATATGCCAAAAAGGTTCTAAATCCAAAAGAGGGTTATTCACCTTTGACACATATGACAGCAGGTGGTTTGGCAGGAGCAGTGGCAGCAGCGGTAACTACGCCATTGGATGTTGCAAAAACATTATTGCAAACACGCGGTAGCAGTACAGATCCAGCAATTCGAAATGCATCAGGAATGGCAGAAGCTTTCCGAATCATTACACAAAAAGAAGGTGCAAAAGGTTTCACTCGTGGAATGAGCGCCAGAATTGCAACCCATATTCCAGCAAACGCTCTTTGTTGGCTATCGTATGAAGGATTCCGATTCTTCCTTAACAAACGTGATAAGGGACTTTGATCGGACAAGTGGGCAAATCAAAGCAAAGAGGGGGCTTGCCTGTTGGCAAAGACTATAGAATGCTCATTCTACCCTAAATCTCAAATCTTACACATTAATCATCAATGGTTGTATGATGGTCGCCCTTTTATCTATACTAGCTTGCATCGTTAATTTATGGGAACACTTCATCCAACCACAATTCTTCACTGTCTTTCAGTAGAGTTACCTTTGTATATAGTCTTGTTTGCCCAACAAAAAAAACACACTTCATCTTTGCAATCAGATGAGCTTTTCTTCGAAATAAAAGTTGTTGATGAGAGATTACATAACAAAAGTGGTTCGTGCAGGCGCGAAGATCTTAAACGCGTGTACGGAGTTAATGCATGGATATGTGTGTTCCCTCATCATCATCTTTTCGATCAAGACTTCGATCTGATGGAAGAGATAGAAGACAGAAAGGCAAAAGTAGCCAAAATGTCAACAAGCAAGACTGATGATCAAATTGGTCAACCCTCAACGTCATCAAGACCTTCTGCGCATACACAACGTTATGATCGTCAACTACGTCTTTGGGCATCTTCAGGACAAGCATCGTTAGAATCAGCAAATGTGGCCATTCTCGGGGCAGGTTATTTGAGCGCATGTGTGATCAAAAATCTAGTTCTACCAGGGATGGGAAAATTCGTGCTGGTTGATTCTCGTTCGATAGATGAAGCAGATTTAGGCAATAACTTTTTCATCTCTTCTTCTGCCAAAGGAAAAGGTAGAGCAGAAGAAGTTTTGCAAAATTTACTCGAACTCAATCCGGAAGTGAAAGGGGAGGCGATCAAGCAAGAACCTGCAAAATGGGCGCAAGATGTTGATCTTGATGCATTCACAATGGTTATCGCTGTCAATCAACCATCTTCAGTGCTCTTGCCTCTAGCAGCAAAAGCTTGGCAGGCCAAAGGTGGAGTAGGTATCCCACTCATGACTGTGGCTGGCGCAGGATTGATAGGAGAAATCAGCGTTCAAATCAAGGAAGCTGGAATTATCGAAACACATCCTGATAACACCATCGATCTACGGCTTACACGACCGTGGGCTGAATTGGAAGCATATGCTGACTCGTACGACATGGACGCTTCTGATACGATGGCAAGAAGCCATATTCCTTTTGTGATTGTCTTGCTACGCAAGCTTGAAGAATGGAGCCAAACACATGACGGAAAGCTTCCACAGCCATCAAAAGACAGAAAGGCATTCACAGATTCGATCAATGAATTACGCAAAGGCAGTGATGCTGATGAGGAAAATATCGATGAAGCTTTAGCTGCTTTGGGTCAACATATTTGGAGACCCATAGCGAATGGATTGGAAACGAAGATACCGAGCGAAATTGATTCACTACTGAAAGACGAGGCATGCACCAACATCTCTAGTAAATCAACCAATTTCTGGCTTTTAGTCAGAGCTCTGCGTGAATTCGTCGAAAAGGGAGATGGCACACTCCCATTACCAGGTTCGCTACCGGATATGAAGGCACAATCTTCAACGTACGTGGAACTACAAAAGCTGTACAAGACCAAAGCATCTGAGGACGTACAGCAACTACAGCAACATTTAGAAGAGATTCTTAACCAAGTTGGTCTACCGTCCAATGCAATCTCTCAGGATGAAATCGAGAGTTTTGCCAAGCATACATCTTACCTGAAATTGATTCGTGGAAGACCTTTGAACGACAGGCTTGAGAAACCAGACGCCAATGCGATCAGTATGGCATTCATGGATCCGGTCAACCCCGTAACGATACCGTATCATGTTGCATTGGTCGCATCAGAGGATTTTGCCGGCAAGAACGGTGGTCGATACCCTGGTAGCAACTTAGCACTATCTCTCAATATAACCGGGTCTGACGGGGAAGGTTCTAGATCTGAGTCGGAGTTGGAATCCGAGCCTGAACTGGAGCAAGACGTTTCTGCGTTGGTCAGTCTAGCGAATGCAAGATTGTCCTTATGGGGCGTAGAGCTAGATGAAGATCAAATGGAATTGGTTCAAGACGCATGTGCAGAAGTTGCTAGATCCGGTCATGCTGATTTGCCCAACACGGCAGCTTTGTTGGGAGGTGTTGCAGCACAAGAAGCAATCAAGCTCGTCACACGACAATACGTTCCTTTGGACAATGTAGCAATCTATGACGGAGTCAAACAAGCTATCGGGGTGTTCAAATTGTAAGTATTCTATTCATAAATCTCTTACCCATCTTTTGTAACACAATGTGTAAATCCATGTTCATGTGCATATTTTGAAAAACACAAAGTGGATAAGATTAAAGTTTGCTATATCTACAAGCCAGACAGAGAGGAAAAGATTCAAATCCTTCTGAAGTTGTTGGTCGATGTTCTCAAACAGCAAGGATTGACAGTCAGATATCTTTGTGTTCTAATTCAATTCATTTTTAATTTAGTACATCTTCTTCTTTTTCAATTCGGATACAAATACAGTATACATATGTGTAAATTTGCGCAGATCATAAGAATGGCATCCAAGAAACATCTTGTAGAGCCAATTTTGATGGTGAAGAGCTTGAATTGATCAAATCGATCACCGTTTGACTGACTGGCATTGTAGATGGTTGAGCTTTGTCCATCTCATGTTTGCATGACATCAACCTTGCACGTTTAACAACTTCAAGTATATTTTGCATAACAATTTCCCGCGGTGCTTCTAATGGCACATTGGGCTGTTGTTGTTGAGCGGCAGTAGCGGCAGCCGTTCCTGCGGCAGCAGCAGCCAAGTTGGCAGCAGATGATCCGCTTTGAGCTTGTGCCTTTGCCTGAGCTTGTGCTTGAGCTTGGGCTTGTTGCTTTTGTTGTTCTTGTTGACGATGAACGGATTGTAACCACCATTGGATTTCATCTCGAACAAAGATGCTCAAGTATTCTTCCAATTGACGTTCCGGCTCAGATAAACATCTTCCAATAGCAACTAATGCTGAAGTCAAAATACCTTCAATACCAATCGGTCCAATAAAGTGTTGAATGTTTGGCGTGAGGCGGAATGGAGTTGGGTCAGGAGATTTGAATTGCGGTGAGGTAGGATGGAAAGTAGGAACGACGTCTGACATTGTAACACCACCAGTCGAACGAGAAATGTGAATTCTGTTTGGTAATCTTGCGCTTACGAACAAAACATATGTCAAAAACATGTTGCCTGCCATTTGAAGAGTGAAGTGCTTACGCAATACCCAAAGATCTGCGGGTGTCTTCATCGATCTGGTCAAGAAGCTGGTCAAGACCGTTTCGGGAATCATCTTTGTGCTGATCTCGTCCAACAAGTCCATTCGCAAATTGGATAACTCTACCATACCACCACGACCGCCAGTAGATGCCCATGTAGAACGCATCTTCTCGACCCAAGAAATAATAGCATCTTCCTTTCCACGTCCAACTTCTTGACAATAACGCTCATAGATATCTTGCAAGCTGACAATGCTTGCATTCGTCTCAATCAAACGCAATTGCGGCGAAAGTGGAACAGTTGCAGGCGATGAGAATGCTAAACCACGCTTGCGTGTCTCCACCCGACGCTCCAAGATACGGTTCAAAAGACGCAAGAGAATGAAGATTCTCTCTTCACGTCTGCAATAGCGTCCTGAAGGCAATTGGACGGAGAACGAATGTGACGATCCCTTGTTCGATAGCATAGTCAAACGACGGGTACACATACCCGCCGATCGAACCACATCAAAGGTGGGATGGAAGCGAGCAATCTTGACAAAGTCTGCATTGTTATCCTCCAGCTTGAGATATTGACCTGGAACTTCAACTTCATCGAATCTTTGGTGTTGGAATTCGACCAAGTAGTGAGAGCAGTGCTCAAGATGTTGACGAGCAGGACGTCTGTCCAACAAGCCTTCATATCGATCGCGCCAGCGTTGCAATTTGTGCAAGTATTCGCGCAATGTGGGCTTGCTCTTGACAAAGTCTTCTTCAAAGGATGATTTGAGTGATCCCGTGGGCAAATTGTCTGCGAATCTTGCAACATTTGCTACACTCAATTGAGGCAATTGACCATTATCGTTCAACATAGTAGCACGTTGAATGTACTGTTGCAAGGCATCATTGAGCAAAGCATTTGTCAATCGATAAATGTCTTCATCATTGGTAGGCTTGAATCTTTGTTGAATTTGTTCTGCCATGTTCTCCATCGTCAAAGCCAACAAGGGGAAAGCCGTCTTGAGAATATTCAAAATATCATCGACATATTCCCATGGTTGACGAGCACCTTGTCCTGTTGCAGAAGGTGTTCCACCATTCTGCTGCTGACCAGCTTGAGCTTGTTGAGGAGCTGGAGTAGGCGTAGTCGTTGACGGCGCTGGAGCAGATGTGACAGCTGGCTGTGATTGAGAAGATGCATTCGCTGGGGCAGAAGCGGCTGGTTGACTTGGGACACTTTGAGCAGACGCCGCAGTTGTGTTGCTGGGCGCAGATGCGGTGGTAGAAGCTGCATTTTCAGTTTGCTCTGCTGATGCACCTTCTTTGGAATCATCGGCACCTTCCTTTGCTTCCTCTGCATCTCCATTGACGTCTTTCTCAGCAGAAGATCCATCTTTGTCCTTTTCATCTTCAGCCTTCTTCTCCTCTTTGATTGTAGCATCAGTTCCAGCTTCTTTCATCTCAGTGTCACCTTGAGCATCATCGGCCTTCTTCTCCGCTATATCGCTTTCCTTCTTTTCACCGTCTGCTTCTCCATTCTGCTCCGCTCCATCCTCACCATTCGCCTCTGGCTTATCGGCAGATTTCTCCTTCTCACCACCTTCTTCCTCTGCCTTCTTTTCTGCTTGCTCTTTCGCCAATTGCTGTTGTTTTTGCATTGCTTGTTGTCGAGCAGCAGCAGCACGTTGAGCAGCAAGGATCGTTGAACGCTTTTGTCCCAACAATTCCTCACGTGTGGTGCGTAGATGGAAATAAAGAGATTGAGGGAAAATCTTTGCGATATCGATCAATAATTTACGTGCAAATCTTGCTTCTTTTTGCGATAGACATTGCAATAATTGTGGAATGTATGTGATCCAATACCAAGTTGGACTTTCACCACGGAAATTGTCAAATGCTTGAGAAATCGCTCCAGTGGAATCATCACATCCCAAGAGCCAAAGAACACGTATAAGAACTTTTCTTGTTTTGCTATTCTTGTACAAGCCAGCAGCTTGTAGATAACAACTAACAGCACTACTTGCAGAAACAATTTCGGTCGGCTTATCACGGAAGATGCGATCGTTGAAACGACCCCATTCGGTCCAAGCCTTTGCCAAGTTGAGATCCATTTGAATTGCTGTAGCGAAGGCACGGTTTGCCTCATCACTCAAACCCAATCTTGCCATGAACATACCCTTCAAGGTGAAGAATTCCGCCTTTTGTGGTGCAGCAAAGAACATCAGGTTTGTATTGTTGATCACTTCCAAACCCGCGCCCAGTTCATTCGGATTTTGATAATGGCATTTGGCCTGTTCACGCAGTTTGAGGAACGCCTCTTGGATTTCAATGTTGGGCAATTGATAGATCTTTGTGAGTGAGTCAATGCAGACATTGTTCAAATAATGCTTACGGGCCACATGAGCAAATCGATTGATGATCCATGCAGTTTCGTGATAGCCGCGGTAAGCATATGAATTTGTGCTATTGTTTGCACCAGCTTGTTGTTGCATTCCTACCAAAGGCAGATAGGCTTTGTTTACTGCACCAAACACATGTTGACGCCAGGCAACCAAATCACTCCAAGCATTAATGTCATCCCATAAGTTGGGCAATCTTTCACGCCAAGTTTGCATGAGTGTCTTGAGCTCTGTTGACCTTTGATCCAAATTGGTTGCATTTGTGACTGCCAATGAGCCAAAGACTGTACTTGCTTCTTGCAATTCAACAAATTGTTGGAAGATGTGTAACAATGGAACGTGTGCTTGAGTGACGATCGAAGGAAGTGAGTGCCATTTACGCAAAGTTAGTTGGATTGCTTCATCACAGATGCGACCAAATTCAGTCGGTCTGTCTTGACCCATTTGCGATTTCAACAGTGCCATATAAGCAGCAAACACTCGTCGACGAGGTGTAGAGGTAGCAGAAAGACTATCTAAAGCCTGTTCCAAAATTTCACGCTCTGAAGCCCAATCGGACAAGCGCCAAGCACATTCGAGCAACAAATCGTTATTGCCTTCCAATTTAGCCAAATCGGTCAGGATGTCCCATTGTTGCAACTTTTGCGCGCATAATACCCAATGATCTTCCCAAAGGCTGTATTCAGCATCAGTAAATGTGATTGCTCCCGTACGTGCTTTGATTTGTGCAGTCTCATACATCACTTGCGCTTGCATCCACATTCCATTCTGTTCGTACGAAATGGCAGCATTGCTCTCTGCAAAGACGACTCGACGTCTCCATAAGCCGTAGAACATATCTTCCTCTGATAATTCTGCATAAGTTTCAGCTAAAGCATCTTGTGTTGCTTCACGGATTGAGTCATCCTCTCTTGGCAGAGTAGCAAGCATATTTTGCAGCAATTCCATCGAGGTATACCATGCATTGAAAGTTTTACCGAGATACTTGACAACGTGAGGTGGCAACTCAACTTGTGGCTGACATACCAAAGCACCTTGCAAAAGCGTTTGAACGACATTGGGACGTTGAGCAGCTTGAAGCAAATTGCTTTGTCTCGTAAGAATACCGATCAATGCTCTTCCGATATCTTCTTGGAACTTTCTCGGCATTGCACGCCAAGCTGAGCGGAAGAATGAGATCCAGATCAAGTGCGTCTTTTCGGGATCGACGTAGAGCATTGCACGTAAAGCCTTGATGAAAGCACCGACTGTTAATCCTCGAGCAGTGTGAGCGAATTCCAAATCTCCCAACTTTGTCGAGATAACCATGCCAGGATGTGGTCCCAGCAAAGGGCGATCTCCATCGATTGAGCCCAATAGCAAGTCCAATGCTTGTTGGATCCAATAATGCTCCGCCAAGAATTCCCAATTTTGCGTGCCCAAAAGATATTGCATCCTTCCGGGTAACCCTCTTACCAGAGTTCGATCGAAGATGTCAACGAACTTTTGTCGCACTGTGGGATCTGAATTGCGCAATCCAAGTAAGAATGCATTCTCCAATCGAACTGTCAACTCAGTGCGCGAGTAAGCAGGTTCGATGTAGATGGAATGAATAAGGTCCAAATAATCGCGCAACAATTGGTCATCGCGAGTTTCATAGCTCATCATCTTGATAAGAATACCAGCTTTCTCCTTGATTGTTGGGAAGGCTTCTTTTTGTTCCAAGATCCATTTGGACATCATTGATAATAGATATCTGCAAAGTTCTACCGTATTCGTACGCTCCACAAGTTGAACGACTGCAGACAAGAACCATCTTCTTTGCTCACCAAGATGAGAAATACGTGATTTGAGCAAATCCAAATCCATAATCAACATCTTCAGACTTGGATCAGAGATTGAAACAGGTGTAGTTGCAGTAATGTGATCTTTTGTCAATTTGGTCAATACCTTTGTAATGGCTGCTAAATGCTGATCGATCACTTCTGGTGTTGCCTTTGACCAAGATGTTAGCGTAACAAGGGCTGCATATGCGTTGCTTGAATTCTTCAAACCTTCAGTGATGATGTTCTCTGCGAATGCACGGAAAGCGCTGGCTTCATCAGCAGGTTGAGCAGGCGTAGGCTTGGTTACCGTAGCTTGATCTGCCATGGTTTGATCATCATCTTCTCCTTCAGCATCTTCTTCATTATCAGCAGATTCGACAGGTGCCGGTGGAGGAGGCAATACCTCAAACACTTTGTCAAGAATACCTTTGCAGGATTCCAGAACCGCCGGTTCGTCAGATTGCATAGATTTTTCCATCAGTTTGTGGATTTGTGGTAGATGTGCCAAGATCCAAGCTTCGCTCTTGTCTTTGATAACAAGCTTGAGTGTTTGTAGCGAATTGGTAACGATGCCCAATGTCTGTTCTTTGATCTCCATTGCCGTCAAGGGTCTTTGGAAGATAGCCAATTTGATCGGAATCTCTTGCCATCCAGACGTAGAGAGAACGTCTTTGAGCAAAATGAATGCTTTATTCACCGTTCCGCCTCGAGAAGCTGATTCTGTAGACAAAGAAACGAATCGTAGCAAGAAGCCCAAGACAGCTTCACGAACATTAAGTGGTGTACTGTATTCATGATCACTTGGATTGAAGGCGACTGAAGTGACAGCAGGTGAGGCAGTTGCTGATGCAGTACCGCTTTTGTCGATACGTGCTCTCTTGCGTGTCGTGGTGCCTTCTTCGCCACCTTCACCACGTTTACGTCCTGTAGTCGTTTGACTTGGATTTTGATCTTCTACTTCGTCTTTCTCCTTCAAGAATGCACTTCGTTTCTTTTCCCATTGGAACACCACATCGACAGCCTCTACTGCCAAATGGCGTGTTTCAGGGTTAGATGTTTGCGAAAGACCCAATTTAGCCAAGCTGCTAGCAATGTGAGGCAGAAAGAGCTCGCGAGATGGGTAAAATAGATCGGCATGACGAATGATCAATTGAAGGATATTGTATAGTTGTGCCAAATTATGCCCTTCTTGCACCAATTGACGCTTTGTAGCTTTTGCCCAATCGGGTATCTTGCCTGGTTCAGTGGGCATACGTTTTGGCAAGGCAGGAACGAGAATATCCAAAGCCTTGCGTACCATCGCACGACCTTCTGGTTGCTGTGAACGTAAAAGGCCAAGGAAAATTTGCGTCACAATCTTGATTGGGCTTTCAAACAATTCCAAGAAGCGAGCGATAAAGATGTATGCAGAATTCTTTACTGTGACATCTTCAGCTGTCAAATTGGTCCATCCGAACTTGATTGCATCTTTTCTTGGACTGTCATCAGGTCCCTTGGCCGAAGCGTGATTGCCAGACAATAGATCAGCACAGTGTTCCAAAACCATCGTTGACATGTGCAATAGCTCAACCCGGACCAAATCGTCCGAACAAAGGTGCAATGGCGGCTTGGGAGCAGAGAAGATCTTCCAAATACGACGAACGACGTGATTCAATAAGTCAAAGTCGAACAAAGGTTCGACCTTTTCAGCTTCAGCCTTTGCTTCAGAAGCAGGCTTGCCATTTTGGTCTGCATCTTTCATGTCCACATCGCCATCTTTGGTTGACTTTTCGCTCTTCTTGTCATCTTTATTTGCAGTCTTTAGCCCATCTTCACCAGTTTTATCTTCCTTTCCTGGTTTTGCTGTGGCGACCAGAATCGGGTTTACGAGGATCCTTAAACATTCAGCTTTGTAGATTTGACTTGCATTCTCATCTTCAAACACATCTACGAATGAGCGAATAACGTCACGCTTGAGTGAAATGGATCCTTTGATTGCCAATTCTTGATAAATTGTGCGCAAGATACCGGTCTGATCGATAGAGCTAGGGTAGGTGAAAGCCTTTGTCAATGCAAAGAAGTATTCTGCACGAATATCTCCGCCTTGACGGATATACTCGCAAAGGATTTCAGACGTGACCACAGATCTGCGGCTCTCACGAGGTCCTGTTTCTTTTGCTCGGTCTTCATCCATTCCTTCGCTTTGCCACAATGTCAAGATTGCTTCAATGACGTCTTTGTTCTCTTTGTACCAGCCTTTTTCTTTCTTCTCCATCTCAGCTGCAATTCGTAAACCAGCCAATGATTTCGTTGAATCTGCATCGGACTTGAGAACGGGCAAGAGAAGTTCTGCCTTTTCTGACGTGATATGTTGACGCAAATTAGGCGCAAAATCTGATCCGATCAAATGACGGAAACATCTCACATACGAGGCATCTTCAAGATGATTAAAGAACAATTCTGCTCCTTGCTTTGCATTCTTATCGACAAATTGTGCGAGAGGTTTGGTGAATGGTGTCGGACCACTGCGCTTGAGCATCTGTTCAATCTGTACAACTTGAGCAACCAATGGGTCCATGAACGCATTTGCAGCCGGAGGCAACAAATGGAACACACGAACGATTGCAGCCAATGTTTCAATCGGCTCGCTTTCACGAGACTGTCGAGGCTGTAAGAGTTGATGTGTTTCGGCATACAATGGACCATCTAGGGCACCTTGACCCGCACGCTCGACAATAGCTGGAGTAGCAATTGCTTGCATATGTGAAAGAAGTTTTGTACCAATCTCAACTTTGAAATACGAAGTAAGTAATTCCAGCACACGTGCTAATCCATCCAAACCAGCCATCGTCAAACGTGAAGGATCGGCAAGGGTCATCAGAATAGGTCGCAATCCGCTCTGCAGAACGTCTTTGGGCAATTTGGGGTTTGCATGTAGTGTCTCTTTCAGGCATTCGTATGCTTGATCGATTACGACCTCTGAGCGTGAATATAAGCTCTTGAAGTAGACAGAGATGATCCGCAATCGCATTTGACCATGTTTGGAACCTAGTGCATCGAATTCAGGACATGCCATTGCAGAGGCTAAGAGCTTGATAGCAACAACCCGAAGTTGCGTAACGGCGACCATGTTCTTGTATTGCGAAGTAGATGTTCTTCCAATCAATGCTTGATCATCTGTTTCAGCAAGTGCGAGCGCCTCTGTCAAAACACGGAAAAGCTCTTCATTGAAGTCTGGCAAAGGCGGTCTTAGTTGCAGACAGAAGGTGATTGCATCAATGTGACCGATTTGCATACCGAAAGGCAGGGCTCGTAATGGCTTTTGGAAGATAGGTGAAAGCAGACGATCTTTGGCTGGCATTAGAATGTCAGTCACATTGATCCCTTTCAATTCAGCCAAAAGTTCAAAACTCTTTCTTGCTGCTCCGCGTACTTGTGAGTTACTGCTGGACAACTCTGACAAGAGAACTCCAACCAAGAACGAGAACTGTCGATCTTGCATGGTTTTATCCTCTGCACTTTCTGATTCTTCTGCATTGCCATCTGGTATTGTATTGACCGTTCTGAGAACAAACATGAGCGTTTCTGCAACTTGATCAATATTTCTTGGAGGTTCGTTTGGCATATCCTTGAGCATGTATAACAATGCACGCACGATCTCCAATTGATGATCACGCATCCATATCCGACCAAGATCGCATCTTCTGACCAACATGTCAATTCCCATCCAGCCACCAGTCTTGCGTTGCCATAATTGGTCGTAGCATAAATTACAATGTTTACTTGCAAGCGAATGGATCAAAGCGCTAAACAATTCCGGTTTCGAAGCCGAATTGCAAATATCTCTGAACGAACCTACGAATCCATGTTCAATCTCAATGATTGCCTGTAAATCGCTCAATTCGTTCTCCAATCCACCTAAAGCGCTCACTATACCATCAAAGAATGATAATGTCAATTGACTGAATTGACGTGAGGTATTGTCTCGCTTTGCTTCCAATGTGATCACTTGACGAGCAACCATTTTAAGGAAAGACGTTGCCTCTTCGTTCAAATCTTCCACTCTTGTCGCATCAAATAAACCCTTTACCACACGTTCGAAATGACCATCACGTTCACGTGCATTATCATTGTTCAATGTAGAATCCAAAAAGATCGTAGAAGCATGGCGCAAGAGTTCAAAAGAATTCTTTCGATTGAATGCGTCACTTCTACGAACATTTTCCAATGCCAAATCTGTGACAGGCAAAAGTGCTAGTGTTTGTGGGCGTCCCTCCAGGTGTATGGTGATCGAAGGCTCCTTTGGCGAAGGATTGTACTCTAGATGTGGTGCAGCTTGTAGCAATTTTCTGTTACGGCCTCCCATCTTTCCCAAGATACGCATTGTGGTGTGAGAATGTTGATGATTATGCGGCAAAGGTTGAAGATGCTTCCACAAAGCAGACATGATATCGTATGCATATGGTGCCATGATAGGATCGAGGAACTCTTGCGTAAGATTATCGATGCACAATTCTAATGTTCGCAATCCTTGACTGACAAGATCGGTTGATGACTGTAATGCCAAAACGAGCGGGCGCATCAAGTAACCCAGATAAGGCAGAAGGACACTCAGTCGAACGGGCACAGTGAGACACAAGTCGACAAAGAGTTCTCTTCTCGATGGTTCGGCTGCATTGAGGAAATGGTTGAGGTTCTCCAGCATAACGGGCAAGAGCGGTAAGACGTCCTTGTATAGTAACTCGAATCGTCCTCCACCAATACTGCGGAAAAGGGCACGTAATAGGAGGAAGTAATTTGCCGGCTCGGTTGCTCTGCTTGCAAACTTCATCGAAGTCATAATGATATGACTCAAATGCGGTTGCAACACCACTTCATTGGCGTCAGGGAAGATCGTGACTGCCATGAAAGCCATCTTAAACAAACGCAGGCTCACAGATGCATGTTTCTTGTCAGCACTGCCCAGATCAGCCAAACGATCCACCAAGAAGCGTAGCAAGATTGCAACAAATCGTTTAGACGTTGCTTCATTCGATAACAGGCTTTGAGGAATTCCTAATAGCATTCCGCTTGTCAGCATTCGATCGAACAGGAAGGGCATATTTGTTGAGAAAACTTCATGGAATGTTTGATGTTCAATATCGATAAAAATATTTGTGAACGATTCCATACCTTCCTTGTCGGGTAGCTGATCCGTTTGCTCGTACAGCGACCAACTTCGAACACCATCAACGAACAGTCTTGACATGATTTCGCTTTCCGGTTCAGGTGCACCAATGGACTTCATCTTTACCAAAAGAGACTTGATGCTCATCAAAATATTGCGGAACAAGAACCGAGCATCCTTGAACGGTTCATTGCCGAAATCAGGAACCATTACATTGACTTGAACAGTTTTGCCTTTTTCAATCGTGACTGCGTCAAGTTTTTCACCGTCAGAAGAACGCTTGTGAGCTCGTGCTGCTTCGTAGTCTTCGCGTAATCGAGGTAAGCCGCCCAGCTTCTCGACAAGGGAATCGAAAATGATTCGAAGAAGATTCTGTGCGCCATCCTGATGTCTGCTAGCGATGGTTTCAACCAGGTTGGTAAGAAGCTTGGTGCACATCGTCATGATTCCTGGCGCAAGAGTTGGATCGTGCAGCATTTGACAATGTCGATGGACTGTAAGGTAGATCTGTTCATTTGTCAGTTCATTGCGAACATGATGCACAAGGTCCGCTAGCATGCTAATTGCTAAAGGTCGCAAAGTTTCTCTTGTAGTTATGCCGGTACCGAGTAAGACACGCTGATCCAGTAGAGTATTGATCTGCCCAACAAAGTTTGCCCTTAGATCGGTAGTGAAGATGTGTCGAATAGCAACAAGTAGCTCTTTTCGTGTTGCTGATGCTTCAGGCGGGCAATCCATCAACAATCTCACAGCCAAATCAGGAACTCGAGTTGCATACGGTTTCATATGTCCTGTGGAACCTTTGATCACGTATGCCAAAAAAGACATCGTCTTTACTTGTGCGACAACCATTTCTGTATACAATGCTCGATTTTTGATGCCTGGTGCTACTCCAACGAAAAAGGTTCCTTTCTCTGCGGCTGCTTCGTGTGCCTCTTTTTGCGGTCTGGCTTGCTGTGTTAGACAGTCTTCGATCGTCAAGGGCAGAAATTTGGGTATCCATTCTGGAACGTTGTTCTTGTAGGTTTGCAGAATGAATACCGTTGCTATTGGACACTCTGTAAGAACTTTGAAGCTAGAGAAACTCTTGGGTAGCGTTTTTGGCTGAGATGTTCCCAATCCTGTATTCATCTCACTTCCCGTCACGCTTGCAGCCTGTGAATCAGCAGCAGGCGAAGGTGCTTCAGTCTCTGTCTTTGAGCCGGCTCCTGCTTCTTGCTTTGCCCCTGCTGCCATTTGTGAAGCTTCGCTTTCGAAAGATTTAGCGACCGTCACTTTGAAATTCTTGTATAGATCTCCGACCAATTGCAAGAATGGCTGTACTTCACCTTCTAGCTCTGTTTTGAGATGCCTATGTAGATCGATGATAACCTTGATTGCTACAACTGCGTTCTCTTCGTTATCTTGTCTGACGACCTCGACCATCATTTTCATCAGATGAGCTGCGATTGGCTTGGCTGGATCGAGTGTTGGCAGCCTGTGCAATGTTTCCAAGATTGTCAAACGTGTCCTCTGTTCGGGAGCATCAGTCTGAAAAGAACAAGGTATAGATGCCAATGCTTTCATTGATGCTTGTAACATATGTCTTGCATATTGTGCAAAATTGGCTCCATGAAACATATCTAAGATATCTTTGAATTCTTGTGCAGCTGCTGCTTTTGTTTGAGCATCACTCTTTTCGCTCGTTAATCTGTTTGCAATTCCCTCAAGGTCGGGAACTTGGGCTTTGTTTGCACTTGTCGAACTTGAAGCGACTTGTGAGCTGGATGGACCAGCATCATCGTTTGATGACGCCATTTTCGACTAATGTGACTGCGATTGATAGATGTCGTAAAGACCAAAGGCGTCTAAAGCTTGACCTGAAAGCTTTATTGGTTGATTGATGTGATTGACATATGTCGATAGGTGATCGTGGGGGTATAATGATGAGGTAGAGCACGCGTCAATAAATGATCCAGTTGAGGTAGGATCACGCTTCGATCGGTTGGATGTCGATACTTATGTTGCGACAGTAATCGTATCGATCACCAATTCTTACACCTTTCTTTGCTGAGTAGTGGATGGCAATCAATCACCTTTAGAAGATGGATGGGAATATCTTGAACAAGCGTCCAAACGCGCTCGTACGCACTCTTCCAATATTCTGGATGAATTTGCACGTGCAATTCAAAGCGCGCTATTCACATCACAACCAAGGCAGATCATGGACTTGTTCTTCGTATGAATCCTACATTTTAGTCGACATCTCATTGATCGTCTTGACAATCTTGATTCTCTCAGGGCTATACGTAGTGAACATTATCCGAAACATACCACTCTTTGATTTCTGATACTATAAATATATTAAAAATCTATCACAAGTCTCTTTATAATATTTTGATATATCTAGTTTCGATTGAATTCCACCATTCTTTTAAAATTATGATGGCTCGTAAATTCGTCGGTATTTTTTCTTTCTCACTTATCTAACTAATCTTCCTTCTGTGAAATTTCTCGCTCTGCGAAATGTCTAATATTTCCATACTTTGTAATTCAAATTTTTATAATACTTATTCTTTTGTTTTATATTGTTTTATAATGTTGTTTGAAAGAACAAGCAGCTGTATAACGATATTCTCCCTTTATCTGTTTATCTCGTCCGTATATTTGAATCTCATTTACCTTTTAGAGAAGATTATTGTCCTTATAGATATCTTTCTTCAACCAGACCATGAAGCATCTGTGGCCATTTAAAGCAAAGGCGGATACAAGCAACCGGCTTAAACGATATTTTTCAACCCTTGGCTGCATATAAAACGCGTCCACTGTACTTGACCCTGGCCGCTTTGAGCGCCCCCCAGATTTCGAAATTTTATCATTTAAACTAACAAACAGCCCAGATGCATACATTCAGAAGGGAAGTTTCCTGATCAGGTTTGGAAAATTTTGAGAAAGTGGTGTTGCTTGCATTCCAATCCGAATATCCTTACAATCATCATCATTGCCTTTTATAAGGCAAGATACTGATAATCCCTTGATCGCTCAGAACGACTTTAATCTTGCACAAGATGTCTGTTCTGTACGGGCGTGCAAACGCCATTCCATCATCATCACGTATGCTGATAACATGCAGAAATAGTGATGGAAGAATAGGTCACAAAGATCAAAAGAGGACATACTATCGATCTTCCAATACAAGAACTAGCTCCAACATGCAATCTTCATCGACTGTCAATAACATCTCCCCATACTACCAGCCACAGTTCACTCGAGGTTATCGTGACTTTTTACGTGTTCATGCTGCTGGTGGAGGTAGTGCAAGGATCCCACTTCGGAATGGCAAGAATGGCGTATTTGGCGTCGCAACTTCTCGTGGTTCGCGGGCAAAACAAGAAGATACATATAGCGTTGCTTGTTTACAGATCGATCCACTTGAACTTCGACAAAGTTTGCAAACGAGCAGAAGTAGAGTGATTCAAGAAGCTGGGAAACGATGGGACCCGGCTTTTGCTGGCACTGGCGGAGGTGGAGAAGCAGAAGAGGATGAAATTGCAGGTCAGGTGGTTTGGTTCGGCTGCTTTGATGGGCATGGAGGACCACAGATATCCACTTTTCTTAAGGAGGAATTGCATCAAGCATTCGAAGAGGTTGAGCCGAATATGGTAACTGATACGGCCCGCTCTACACGCAAATTGGGCGGATACTTCCGAAGATTTACAGGTGGCTTGATGGAGAGATGGGTCAGACAAGATTACTTGCCACAAATCAGACCCAGCAGACCCGGCCAAGCCCATCATCGTCCAAAGTCAGAAGCAGAAGGTGGAGGAAAAGAAGCCGATGGAGCACCACTTTCGACTGAAGAAATGGAACGAAGAGCAAGAGAGATCAAAACACAACAAAAACAAGCACAAGAAGAAATGCAAAGTGATTCACCTACCGGGGTGATTGAAGTTGAACGTATCGATCCACCAGAAGAAGTTTCGAAAGAATGTTTAACGATCGCAGAAAGAGCAACACTTGCTTGGTTACATATGGATCGTAGAATTCAATCTTCAAAAGTGTTGAATATTGGAGGATCAACTGCTTCGGTTGCTCTTTTGCACAGTTTAGATCAACCTGCAACCCCTTGGTATTCAAGTCAATTACTCAGCGTAACTTCTGTTCATATCGGAGATACAAGGATGCTCTTATGTCCGGTTGCTGATGGACATGCGATCCCGCTGACGAATTATCATCATCCTGACGATCGTAGTGAAGCAGAAAGGTTACGAAAATTAGGCGCAGGTTTGGTGACAGATTCGTTCGGTGAAGCAAGATGGATGGGTGCATTGGCAAATACAAGAGCTTTTGGTGATAGCAAATTCAAAAAAGCAGGTGTAACTTCTGAACCTGAAGTTATCACGCAAGTTTTGAAAGGTGATGATTTTTCTTTTATTATCGCTTTTAGTGATGGTGTTGGAGGTGTGGTAAGCGATCAAGAAGTTGTTGATCTTTGCAGAGACGCTCGTCATCCTCATGATGCAGCCCAAGCAGTCCTTCGATATGCAGAGGCCCTTGGAAGTGACGATAATGCAACTGTGCTGTGCATTCCATTGAGAGGTTGGGGCAAAACACAAGGCGAGGACAGTACAGCGGAGCAACGAAGATTCAAATTGAGCAAGGTGGACATCTTCCGAGATCACAGGCAATAACTTTGGAGCTATGTGATGCTTCGAGACTGAAAGGATATGTTTTTACTTTCAGGAGATGCGATATAGAATTCGTATTCATGACTCTATATTTTTTTTGTATTATACACATATTGGATATCCATTAGACATACATCATTGCAAATGTGATCATACACGATTTTTGCTCTTTTTATTCTTTCCTGAATGATTGACAGGTTGTTCCGCTGCACGCTTCTTGAAAGACTGAACGAGGTGAGAGATATCGTCCTTCTTTTCTCCATTTGATGCACTTTTACTGTCTCCATTCTCTTTGCCGGCATTCTCTGAAGACTTTTCGGACTTACGTTGACGCTTCTTATCCTGTTTACGACGCTCATCAACTAATTTCTGCATATTCTTCGTCTTGACGAAGCTTGGGTGATTGGGATCAAGAGCGAATCGATGATCGCCATACAAGCCCGCAAAACGAGAATCCTGAACATCAATATCAAATCCAGGTTGAACTTCATTGTTACCTTTTGTTAAAACTTCTCCACCTTGCTTTGCTAATTTCTTTTCTTTCTTCTTTGCCCATCGATTCTTCTTGGCTTTGCCGTCCGCTGCCTGTTCGGCTTTCAAGATGTCTTTTAAAGAGAAATGTCCGGCTCCACTTTCACCTTCATCTTCTGAATCGATCATAAGCTGCAATTGATCAGCATCATCTTCGCTAGCGCTTTCTGGGTCTTTGAGCCCAACAGTCTTTTTGTTTTGCTGTTGTTGCTTCTTGCCTTGTTTGCCGCTTCGTTCTTCTGCAAGAGCAGCATCAAAGTCCACCTCGCCATCATCGGCGAAAAATGGATCATCAAAGCCGTATTCGCCCTTCTCTTGTTCAGCATCTTCTCCGACTTCTTCCCCGTCCTTGTTTCTGCGACGTTCACGCTTCTCGCGTTGTTTACGTTTGTAAGCATCCAGTGTTGTCTCTTCTTCATCAGCTTTGATGCCCTTTTTCTTTCTTTCTGCAGCTTCGGACAAGCCCGGCATGAATGTGATTTGCATATCACCCTGTCCCTCTTGCAATTTTTGCTTTCTAGCATCAGCAAATGCTGTCGATTTTGCTTTTCCAAAGCCAGCGTTGCCACCGGATGAATTACCGTTCAAGCCCAACAGGGCACGCATTCGTTCTCTCTCTTCTTCTCCACCTTTGTCTGCTCCTTCTTCCTCTTCTTTCTCAGGCTCGCTATCTTCACTTGCAGAGGCCAAGTACGCTTTGAAATCTTCATCGCGGATTTGATTAGCATTGAGAGATTTCTCAGCTGCTTGTCGTGTCACCTTGCTGCGCTGCGGATCATCCGCATCCCATGTCAAAGTGACCTTTGAATGTCTAAGAGCATCAGTCATGAACTTCACTCCAGAATATCCTGCTTCATCCGATGTCTCTGTCGCAAAATCTCGATAACCTTCATTTCCAGGATCATCCTTTGGCGCTTCCCAATCGGGGAATGTCATTTCTTTAGGAACGAAACTTAGGTCAAACATGTTGGCCGAATGTTCCATTTCCGTACCATCAATTTCGTCCATTATGAAACGCGCCGTCTCGGGTCGATCGAAAGTGGCGATTGCGTAATGATATCGTAATCGATCAAGTTGATATTTCCGCAAAGCTTCTTCATCAAAATCTCCTCCTTCGTCTACCTGGAATATTTCTTCATCGCTGCTATCGTCACCTTTTGATCTGCTCTTTTTCTTCTTGTTCTTGCGTTTGCTAGAGCTGCTTCCTTCTCCTTCTTCAGATGCAAAGATCTCACGAGGAGGTCCCTCCATAGTTTCTTTAGCCATACGTTTCCGTCCAAACTCGGAGGGGTATACGTATACGCTCAAACAACGTCCTTGGATGGGAACGATCTGACGTTCGCCATGTCGTTTAGATGATGGTCCAGCACCAGAAGCACCAGCTGGAGAAACGACGGATGAGAAAACCTTGAATAAGTCAATTGCCCGGATATGATCCCAATCCATATTGACAACCGCGAGACGTGCGGTATCTCCGGCAAATACAGGTTTTGCTTTTGCAGCTTTGGCTTCTCGCTTGATAGTCTTTTCTGCTTCTGCGTCTAGCTTTGCTAATTGTGCTTCATTTTCTTCCCCTTCTTCGACATCTTCAACGTCACTTTCATCGGATCCATGTCTGTAAAGATCTCTCCTTCGTGCAGCTGCAGAGCCAATCACTACTTCATCTTCATCATCGTCGTCATCACTTTCCTCTTCCTCGTCACTCTCATCTTCATCTCCACTACTGTCAAGCTGACCTTCTCCACGTGCGTAATCGACCGCTCTTTCTGGCTTAGCATCTTCTTCTTCGCTGCTGCTATCCTCTTCGTCTGAGCCTTCTTGTTCATTCTCTTCAGCGCGGTAAATTCTCTTCAAATCTGCTTGTTGATCTTGATCTTGACGAACCGGTCTACCGAATTTGTCCAACTTCGGTCTTCTTTGACCCTTGAAAGCGCTCTTGTCATCCTTTAAAATACCTTTAAATCGATCATCCAGCACAACCTTACCTTCTTCCCGATTCGGACGTAAGAATCTTGGATCAGAGTGTAATTTTGCAAATCTTGGATCTGCTATTGGAGCGGCATACTCTCTTGCTTTGGACTTGCCTTTTCCTTCATCACCTCTTACCATTTTGCTTAGATGTGGCGGCGGTAGTGATGAGTGAGAAGAATACATGCAGCTTTTAAGTAAAATTTAGCTTTAAATTCCAAAAAAATGTCTAAGCTGTGTCAGGTGACAAATACACTTTCAAGGCTAAGAAGACACGACTCCACTTTCATACGCGTTGTAATGAGGAGATGACATTCGAAGGAAGATCCAATCCTCTGACACTCCTATCATCTATTCATTATAGACCAAGATGATCGTATTCACTTCATCAGCAACAAACAGTCTTCGTCTGTGTGTCAGAAGGAGTACTGCTGTCGGTCAACTTTCCACCCGACTATACGTCACAAAGCCAGCATGGGCAGCCAGCAAAACGGCGTCAGCACCAGCACAAAAACAAAAAGAATCAAACGAATTCGCAACAACGTCTGCAAAAGAACTTCATCCACTTCCTTCAAGTGTAAAAGATGCAGGTAAACCTTCTTCTTCTTCAGATTCTGAACGTTATGATGAATTGGGAAATAGTGTTTCGCCGGCGGATATTTCTAGTCGTCCTTCTGGTCCTGGACCTTCAGGACCTGTAACCGATGCAGAACGAGCTGCTCCACGTTATACACAACCATCATCGAATGGAAACGGAAGCAATGGTGATGTATCAGAAAAGTCAAATTCTTCTTTCGACTGGGCAACAAGCTTTAATGGGATGAGCACAATCCCATTCCCAGAAAAAGTGGCTCAAGTACTAGAAGAACCAGTCAATGAAGACGATATCGAAATCAAACCTGACGGACTCTTATATCTTCCTGAGATCAAATATAGAAGAATCTTGAATCGTGCTTTTGGTCCTGGAGGATGGGGTTTAGCACCAAGAAGTGAAACAAACGTGAGCGATAAAGTGGTTAGCAGAGAATGGGCATTGATCTGTTTAGGCAGATTCGTAAGCACGGCAAGAGGTGAACAAGAATATTTTGATCCTTCAGGCGTTGCAACGGCGACCGAAGCTGCAAAGAGTAATGCTTTAATGCGTTGTTGTAAAGACTTAGGAATCGCACATGAACTTTGGAGTCCAAGATTTATTCGTTCTTTCAAGGAAAAGAAATGCGTTGAAGTTTTCGTTGAAAATGTTTCTACACATAAAAAACGTAAACTTTGGAGACGTAAAGATGGAGCTCCATTCGAATATCCATGGAAAGAGTCAAAATGAGATTTGAAGACGCAGAATTCTGTAGCAGTAACACACGCAATAAGATTGTCTAAAGAATTATTGTACCATGCATAGACAAGTGCTTGAAAGATGAATACCATTACATTAAATTGACAAGAGAAGGAAAGAGACTGTGATGAGAAGATTGAGAGATAGACATTTATTTTCCTCCATTATTTGCATTGCTATGCCGTTTAAGTGTGATCTTCATGCTAGAACGACCTGATTCAGGTTTGACGGCAGCAGGAGCAGGTGTGGCTGGTTGTTCAACCGGCGAGCTATTACTAGCTGTTGCCTTTCCGTTTGATTCAGGTGCAATCTGTTGTTCTTCCGGACTTGGACTATAATCCAAATTGCGTCTTGCTCGTCCTCCACTGGAATTCTCACCTTCTTGACGGGCTTGAGTGCTGTCGGCAGCAGCACCAACAGGTGGCGAAGGTGTATCAAAGTCACGGGTTGAAGTTTGAGCGTGTGTGGTTACGGTAGGTTGATGAGTTTCTTCGACCGCATTCATCGGTTCATCGACCGGCATTTGTGCAACCCCATTCTCCTGTAATTCAGCTTCCAAACGTTCGTACAAGATTGCACGTTCCAAACGCATCCTTTGAATGTTTCTCTTTACTCGTAGTGTCTTTACGTGTAATCGATCATTTTCCGTTTCGATTTGACGTACTTTTTTCTTGAGCTCTTTATACTTTCCACGATATTTTGCCGCATCTGATTGAATGGCCAAATGTGTAGAATATGCATTCTTTGCTCCTCCCGTTCCTGCTACTGCTGATGATGATGAGGATGTATTGGGTGCAACACTCGTCGTTGCATATGACTCACGCGAGCCACCTGCTGCTGCCCCACTCAATTTGCGCAATGACATCTTCTAGTGATGTATGAATGACAGAGAGTGTCAATGGTAGTGTTCAGTGGAATGGTCTTGAGGATGGCGTATTCGAAGAGCGCTATTTTGTCAAAAGCCAAAAACACAGGTGATCCCGTTATGATGGAAGAGGGTAAAAGTCATTGGATCCCTTCCTTCAGGGCCGCGTTTTCCTTCACGAATTCAATCCAGATGGAATGATGCATATTGCTCTCATTTGTATGTGTCTGTATTCCAACTCGGGATCTATGAATAATCCTTTTGGCGCGTCACAGGTTGAGTGCGCCGCATTTACATCATACGCGCCCAAAGTGCCTTGAGAAGATCCGAGAAAAAAGGATGCATGGGACAATTTAATCTTTTGGCAACAATCTTTTCTTCCTGGTTACGGTCACAACGGAGAGGGGCTCATCAAACAAGGATGACACATCAATTGCCTCCAAACATATTGAGATTATTTCAACCAAGACCGCCAGTATCATTCACACCACCTTCACAGCTAAATCACGATCCATTCCAGAAACCAAAACAGACAATTCGTCCACTGGAAGGAATTTCGCGAATACTCGAACAATTGAAACAAGAAGCAGCCGATCAAGGTCAATCAACCGAAGGTGTAGAAGAAGATGAAGGGAAAGATGAACATGGAAAATCGTTCACAGTGACCGAACAAACAAAGAAAGAGCTCAAACGAGAACAAAGGAGGAAATTAATCGAAGAGAGAAAATCGAAAGGGATAGCCAACTATAATCCAAAAGAAGACCCTGAAGCACAAGGTGATCCATTCACAACGCTGTTCATCTCTAGACTAGACTACACAGTCACAGAGGAAGATCTCAAGAAAGACTTCGAAATGTATGGTCCCATTCAACGGATACGAATCGTACGTGATAAAGAAGGAAAGTCAAAGGGGTATGCATTCATCGTATACGAACAAGAACGTGATATGCGTGCAGCATACAAAGATGCAGAAGGAATAAAAATCAAAGGAAAAAGAGCAATGGTGGATGTTGAACGTGGAAGGACAGTAAAGGATTGGAAGCCAAAACGATTAGGAGGAGGATTGGGAGGATTAACGCGAAAGAAGAAAGAACCCGCTCCTGTTGCCGAACCTGCTTTTGCGCCAAGTATTGTTAGCAGAGGTGGCTTTGGAGGAGGTGGCGGCGGTGGTGGATTCCGTGGAGGATTTAGAGGGGGAGGAGGAAGAGGCGGCGGTTTCCGAGGTGGTGGCAGAATGGGTGGTCCTCCTCCTAGCGGAGGATATGGTCCACCACCAGGTGCCGGCTACGGAGGCGGAGGTGGCTATGGAGCACCTGCAGGAAATGATGGATATGGTCGTTTTGACGGGCCACCGCCTTTAAAAAGGGGAAGGTATTAAGTCTTATGACGATCTTCTCGCAAAATTCGTATACCCCCAGCCTTTTGTGTATTAACAGTAATTTCGTTTAAATTTTTGATCATTTCTGATTTGACATCTTTTTGTAGAGGTAGCATACATTTACAAGGATGAGAGGATTGTAATTCTATTGCATATACATGATCAGTCGATCAGATATTATTTATATGAAGCTCTGCGGCATCACAGGCCAGTGACCACTGTTTCTCGTTGATAGATTCGGTCAAAGAGGACGTTAATCTACATCAACTATTGAAACATGTTCTTTGAACCATTCAATCTCCTTGTCAAATCTTCCTCTCACCGTCCGAATTGTTGCTTTCTGAATCTTGGTGAATGATCCACTACAAAGTCGATCATTTACCATTTTCTTCACTGAAAGCATTGAATCGCGTTCTAATTGCATCAAAATCACTTCTTCTAATGGAGCCCTTTGTAATCGAACACACATTTCTTCGATATCAGCATCGCCTAGGTTTTTGTAGATGATCCATTTCTTCACTTTGATGCATCTCTCCAGCTTGTCCAACATACCGTTACGGTCTTTCTCTTCATCAGGTAAGGCGCCGATACACAATTCCTCAAGACTGTTACAAAGTAGTTGCTCAACCATTTTTGTGTTGACTCCCCAAATAAGAGTGGAGAACCTTCAATCTTGGACATTCTAAATATTGCATGGTACTTGCTCCTTGCATCTCAACTATATAGATAGGTATAATCGTTCCATTTGTGGAAATTCGTAGGTGGCAGGTGTAAACGTACCTAGATTCGAATTCCGATCGTAATGCAAAAAACTAACAGAACATCTCTTCAAGCTAGCTTTTGCAGTGCTAATGAAACGCCAAACATCCTCCGGTTCGTAAACGTAGCCACAACCAGTAGCAAAGCTAAGTTTGATATCCTCAATTTTTGAAATACATTGATAGAGTTCTTCGTTTGGGAAAAGGCAATCGTAATTTATGTTGTGAAGTGCAAGCTTTCTTAGTCGATTAGCAGCGAAAGGCCACTTTGAAGGCTCGCCAAAGTCTTGCATAGTGACTTGCACACCACGATTTGCGACCAGACGCAAGTTTTTCAGTTGATCACACCGCACCACAGTCCGTATGACAGTTTTGACTGCCTCATTAAGTTGGCTCCTGGTTATCGTTGTCTCATCAATCTCATTATGTTGGTGATGTTCAGGGCAAGTGCTGCCCATTCTGATCACGATCCACAAGTCTTCCACATCGGATTTGATCAGATGCTTGAGTAAATCTTCTATTTCTCCTTGAGTCTTGAAGGATAAATATACTGGCAAAAAGATCCTGTGTAATTTACCATGACTTCTTTCCAGCATAGCTTTATATTTACCTTCGTGTTGAAGGGCACAAACATCAAACACATCTCGCGCTTTGAATCCGTCATCTTTCCATAAAGTTGGATTCTTTCGTATCACGTTTTGCCAAGATTTGCTTACTTGTTCAAGTTTTGCCAATTCAAACACGTTGAAGAAAGAGAAAATCTGAGCAGATAGCTCAGCAGGCAGCTTGGATATAACATCAAACATACTGTTCAACGTATGCAGGGCAATGTGAAGAGAATTGCAAGATTGTGATGATAATGCAAGACTGTGAAGAGCAGATCGTAAATGACGAACTAGTGATGATAGTGCTGAGCAAGAACAGTGGTACGGGCTCAACGCACAGTACGCAATATTCCATACTGGATCAATTGAAGTCCATTTTGCAATTAGGCGTATTCAACGGCCCCGTTGCGAATCACGAAGAAAAATACAAATGAAGCGGGGATCTAAATGTGTTCCTTTATCGTGTGAAGGGCCAAACAATCCGGCAATTCAAGTTCATCAAAGCTTTTGGAAAGGTTCTCAAGCAGTAGACAGTGGATACGTACATCAGAAATCGGCTTTTTAAAGAAAAGAAAAGGTGTTTGTTGTACCGTGTCTAAGCTTTCTTTTGATGTTCCAGCTTCTCATCTTGTTCAGTCGCATCTCTCTCACTTCTCATGCAAATTCTCGTCATCATTGTACTCTTTCTCAAACATTGTTTTGTTTTATGTAGTTGTATGAAATGTACATGATGTTTGTTAATTGTTATTATAATCTTTTGCTTCAATTTGTGAACAAACTCAATTTGCCACTTCGTAGGAGAATTTTAATTTACAAGGAATGGCATTTTAGCCAGTTATGAAATTCAGTTGGAAATTTCAGCCAGTGGATCAAGTCTGTTCAGGATAGAGCCCTACTTCATTTCAAGAGGCTGACTGTTTTAATAGAGGAGTCGAAATCAATTCTTTTCGTGAACGCATCACCGAAGTCTTTGTTCAAATCGTATTCCAATGTATCATACGTGTTTCCGACGACACTTCAAAATAATGCAGCCCTGTTTGTTGGAACATTATTTCTCTTTGACCAACGGGATCATTGCAATTGTAGGATTTGAAGTCTGAAATATGTTTTGCAAACCATTCTCTCTCTTTTGACGGCTGATCTGTACGACTTATAATTGTTGCTTTTCGGATTTTATTGACAAATCCATCGCTAAGTCGATCTTCTACCATTTTTTTCACCTCGATCATAGCTTCATCTTCTAGTAGTTCCATCCATACTTCCTCCAAAGGAGCCTTGCGTAATCGGATACACATTTCTTTGATATCAGCAATGCTATCCCATCTACTAAACATTAATTTCTTCACTTTTGTGCATTTCTCAACTTTTTCTAAAATTCTCCTACGATCCTCAGCTTCCGTCGGTAAATCTTCAATACACAATTCTTCGATACTGTTGCAGAGTAGCTGCTCTATCATTCGTGTTGAATTGCTAGGTTCAGCGTATAGAACCTTCAACTTAGGACATTCGAAGCATTGCTTGGTAATCCCCGGGTGGTTCGGTGGTAAGGGTAATGTCTCTTCTGCGAACAAGAATAGCTGTTCCAATTGTGGAAATTTGTATGTAATAGGCAAAGATGGAGTGGTGTACGGACTGTCCAAAAAGTAATGAGCGCGGCATTTCTTCAAAGTTGCGTTTGCAGTGCTGATAAAAGGCCAACAATCCTTCTTTTGGTGATTCCAGAAAGTCAAATCAGCAAAACATAATTCGATCTCCTCAGCTTCTGAGATAGTTTGATAGAGCTCTTCGCACGGGAATAGAGAATGATATCTGATGTTATGCATTGCGAGCTTTTGAAGTCGAACAGCAGCGAAAGGCCATTTTGTTGGCTCGCCAAAGTCTGTTATATTCACGATTGCGCTTGGAACTGAGACTAAACGTAACTTCTTCAAGTGACCGCATTGCACCACAGTTTTCAAAACAGCTTCAAATGCATCTTCAAATTGCTTCTTCAGTTTTAAACGTGACACCTTCGGCTCATAGTGTTTGTGATGATTTGGGCACGTTGCATCGTTTCTGATTACGATCCAAAGGTCTTTAACTTCCGACTTTACCAGAGGCTTGAGCAATGATTTGAGTTTGGCTTGAGTATTGAATGGAAGGAAAAGTGGTAAAAAGACTTTGTCGATCTTACCATCGCATCTTTTGAGCATGGCTTTATACTTCTCTTCGTGTTGAAGAGCACAAGGATCGAAAGCTTGTGCATCAAATTGGTCATCTTTCCATAGAGTCGAATTTGTTCGAATCATACTTTGCCACGATTTGCTTACTCGTTCCAATCTTGCCAACTCAAACACGTTGAAAAACGAGAAGATTTGAGCAGATAGCTCATTAGGCAGCTTAGATACCTCATCAGGCAGCTTGGATACCTCATCAAGCATACTGCTCATCATATAAAGTGCAATTAGAAGAAAAGTGCAAACTTGATAGGAGCAGATCGTAAATGACGAAGTAGTGACGATAGTGCTGAGCAAGAACAGTGGTACGGGCTCAACGCACAGAACACAATATTCAAACACTTGATCAAATGAAGTCCATTCTGAAATTGGGCGTATTTAATGGCCCCATTGCGAATTACGAAAAAAACTCTGAAATGAAGCGGGGATCCAAATAGGTTCCTATAGTGTGAAGGGCTAAATAATCCGGCCCAGTTCATCAAAGCTCTTGAAACGGTTCTCAAGCAGTTGAAAATGGATAAGTACATCATAATTCGGCCTGAAGGAAGAAAAGGCGTTCGTTGTACCGTGTCTAAACATTCATTTGATGTTCCAGCTTCTCGTCTTCTCCAGTCGTATCGATCTATCTCTTCTCACGCAGGTTCTCATCATCGTTATACTCTTTCTCAAACATTCTATTACTTAATGGAGTTGTATGAAATGTACATGATTTTTGTTGATTGTATGATCTTTTATTTTGATCTGTGAGCAAACGAATGAGCTCTGCTTCATCGAAAGAAGCTGACTGAGGCAGTGTCATTCGAAGTCGTCTTACAGTATGCGTTATGATCTTCACAATTCAAAATAATGCAGCCCTTTTCGTTTGAACATTGTTTCTCTTTGACCGACAAGTTTATTGTAATTGTAGGATTTGAGGTCTGGAATATGTTTTGCAAACCATTCCATCTCTTTTGACGGCTGATTTGTAAGACTCACAATTGTTGCTTTTCGGATTTTAGTGGCAAATCCATCGCTAAGTCGATCTTCTACCATTTTCTTCACCTCGATCATAGCTTCATCTTCTAGTAGTTCCATCCATACTTCCTCCAAAGGAGCCTTGCGTAATCGGATACATATTTCTTTGATATCAGCAATCCTACCCCATCGACTAAACATCAATTTCTTCACTTTTGTGCATTTCTCAAGTTTTTCAAATATTCTCCTACGATCCTCAGCTTCCGTCGGTAAATCTTCAATACACAATTCTTCGATATCGTTGCAGAGGAGCTGCTCTATCATTCGTGTTGAATTGCTAGACTCAGCGTATAGAACCTTCAACTTAGGACATTCGAAACGTTGCCTGATAATCTCCGGTTGATTCGATTGTATGGATGTTGTACTCTCTGTGGTTAAGAACAGTTGATCCAATTGTGGAAATTTGTATGTAATAGGCAAAGATGGAGTCTTGCCCGGACGGTCCAAAAAGTAATGAGCGCGGCATTTCTTCAAAGTTGCATTTGCAGTGCTGATAAAACGCCAAACATCCTTCTCCCGGTAAATCAAATCACTACAGCATAATTCGATCTCCTCAGCTTCTGAGATAGTTTGATAGAGCTCTTCGCACGGGAATAGATAGCCATATCTAATGTTATGCATTTCGAGCTTTTGAAGTCGAACAGCAGCGAAAGGCCATTTTGTTGGCTCGCCAAAGTTTGTCGTATTCACGATTGCGTCTGGAACTGAAACTAAAGTAACTTCTTCAAGTGACCGCATTGCACCACAGTTTTCAAAACAGCTTCAATTGCATTTTCAAAATGCTTACGTGACACCTTCGGCTCATAGTGTTTGTGATGACTTGGGCATGTATCGTCTTTTCTGATCACGATCCAAAGGTCCTTCACTTCCGATTTTACCAGCGGCTTGAGTAATGATCCTATCATTTTTTGAGTATTGAAGGGTACGTAAACCGGTAAAAAGATCTTGTCTACTTTACCTCCATTTCTTTCAAACATTGCTTTATATTTTCCTTCATGTTGAACAGCGCATAGATCGTGTACCTTGGCTCCATCAAATTGATCATCTTTCCATAACTTCGGAGTTGTTCGAATCACATTCTGCCACGATTTGCTCACTCGTTCCAATCTTGCCAGCTCAAACACGTTGAAGAATGAAAAAATTTGAGCAGAAAGCTCATTAGGCAGCATAGATACTCCATCAAGCATACTGTTCGTCATATGGGGAGCAATGTGAAGACAATCACGAGCTTGTAAGGAGCAGATCGTAAAGGATGAAGTGAAGATGGTAATGCTGAGCAAGAATGACGGTTTGTTGGCCGCTCAAAGGAAGAAGACGAAATGCGGGCGCATTTTTCCCATGCATTAAAGCAATTGCAATTCATCAAAATGAAACCCGCTTTCGCAAATGGCGTACTCAGCAGATTTAATGCGAGAAAATTCCAAATGAAGCGGAGGTCAAATCAATCCTCCTTTGTCCGGTGAAGGGAGGGCTAATTAATCCGGCCGTCCGAAGCCTCATGAAATTTTTGGAGGTTCCCAGGCCACTAATCTTGGCAGATGCATACATTTTGTTTCAGCCATAAGGGTGGAAAGAGCATTCCATTATCGGACCGTGCCATCGATGCTCCGGCCTTTCGTCTCGTTCAATCTCTCTCATCTCTCCCTCTCTCCTCTCATGCACATTCTGAACACCATTGTACTTTTGTCAAAATTGTATTATTTGATATGATTGAAAATTCTCTACATCAGCACAACTTCCTCTTTATTTTATTCGTCTCGACAATTCAACGAGCAGAAGGAGCAGGTGGACCGCCACCCGTTCCACCTTCTCCAGATCCGTTATTACGGTCTGTATTTCCATGAATGCCGGTAATATCTTGTTTATTATCTGGTTCATCATCATCGTCCATTGCAAGAGCACGTTGAATGGCAGCTTGATCTTCAGGACTGATATCACTTCCACTTGGTGCACGTGGATCGGCAGCAGGTACGATACTGGTTGACGGAGGTTGTTGATTTGCATCACCTGCATCACCAGTTTCAGTCTTGATAGGCTCAAATGGCTCTGTATGACGTCGATCGATCAAAAGCAAAATACCTCCGTGAACACCAATGCTTGAGTTCGACAAGCTTCGCGCTTCCCTATGCAGTTGGTCCCGTAGATTGGGCTTGTGCATTTGCATTGCTTTGTGGTGCGACAGCAGGCGCTGATGGTGGATTGGATCCCTTTGTACCATGTACAGGTGTTGCACGTCCGCTTGCTCCAGGAGCAGGAGATGCGCTACCAAAGATGGAAAGCTTGCCCTTGTTGGGTGCTACTGTGCTGGTGTTGAATACATCGTGCAACTTTGTGCCTGCATGGAGAGGTCGAATGGGTGTATAACGACAATCAGGCGGGAAGCTGACGTAGTTGAGCTGGAATGGAGTGATACGCGAATAGTTGGGAATCAAAGAGAAAGAAGGTTCAGCCTTGCGTTCTCTCTTTGTCTTCTTTGGTGCTCCTGTCGCTGTATCATCGTCCTTGTTTGTCGATGTCGTGGTAATATCTTCAGCCGAATCATCTTTCTTTTGAGGTACTTGATCGTCTACGTCCATTCCGTCACCTCTTTCTTCCTTTGCCTTTTCACGCTCTTTGTTACGTTGACGTGCTTGCGATTTAGCCGTTGTAATTAGCACAGCCGTTTCCACTTTTTCAACCTTTTTCTCACTTTCCTTCTTTGCTGTAACAGGATAGTTGAATAGGCTTGGTCTTGCATTGGAGCGGAAGTCAAACTTGGGAATGCGCAATTCCCGGTCTAGACCAATAATCGAAGTAGGCGTGAAAGCAAGACTGATGAAATGTTCCAAGGGGAACTAATACCAGAATTGAGTGACGGATTTAGAGGGGGAGGAAGAGGGGGAGGTTTCCGAGGTGGTGGCAGAATGGGTGGTCCTCCTCCTAGCGGTGGATATGGTCCACCACCAGGTGCCGGCTACGGAGGCGGAGGTGGCTATGGAGCACCTGCAGGCAATGATGGATATGGTCGTTTTGATGGGCCACCGCCTTCCAAAAGGGGAAGGTATTAATTCTTTTGACGATCTTCCCGCAAAATTCGTATACCCCCAGCCTTTTGTGTATTAACAGTAATTTCGTTTCAAACTTTGATCATCTCTATTTGACATATTTCAGTAGAGGTAGCATACATTTACGAGGATGGGAGGATTGTATTGTACATACATGATCAGTCGATCAGATGTTATTCATATGAAGCTCTGCGTCATTACAGGCAAGCGACCAATGCCTCATGAACTTAAGTCTTGATGCAATTGTTCGAGTAAAGAGTAATATGCTTGATGTCTTGCTGTCAATGGGGTATTGAGATCATCGCCTGATTGAGTACTTAAGATCGGAGTAGCTCAGCAAGTTCGAAATAGTGCAATCCCTGTTCTCTGAATAATGCGTCTCGTTGATGAATTCGGTCAGGGAGGATATATGCATCAACTTTTGGAACATGTTTTTTGAGCCATTCATTCTCTTTCGGTCCACCCTTCCTTATCGAAATTGTTGCTTTCTGAATCTTGGTGAATGATCCACCACTAAGTCGATCATTTATCATTTTCTTCACTTTAAGAATTGAATCGGGTGATAGGTCATTCAAAATTACCTCTTCTAGTGGAGACCTTTGTAATCGAACGCACATTTCTTCGATATCAGCATTACCTAGGCTATTTTTGATGATCCATTTCTTCACTTTGGTGCATCTCTCCATTTTGTCCAACACACTCTTACGGTCTTGCTCTTCATCAGGTAAGAGGCCGATATGCAATTCCTCTAGACTGTTACAGAGTAGTTGCTCTACCATTTTGTGTTGAGACACTGTATAAGCGTGGAGAACCTTCAATCTTGGACATTTTAAATATTGCATCGTACTTGTTCGTTGCATCTCACATATAGATAGGTATAATTGTTCCATTTGTGGAAATGCGTAGGTGGCAGGTGTAAACGTAGCTAAGTTCGAATTCCGATTGTCCATTGTATAACGAACACGACATCTCTTCAAGCTAGCTTTTGCAGTGCTAATGAAACGCCAAATATCCTTCCTTTCGTCATCGATTACGTTGTCAGGCCTACCAGTTGATCTAAACTCGATATCCTCAACTTCTGAAATACATTGATAGAGTTCTTCGCACGGGAAAAGAGAGTCGTAATTGATGTTGTGAAGTGCAAGCTTTCTTAGTCGATTAATAGCGAAAGGCCACTTTGAAGGCTCGCCAAAGTCTTGTATATTGACGTATACCCTATCACCTGCCACCAAACGCAAGTGTTTCAATTTATCACATTGCACCACAGTCCGTATGACAGTTTTGACTGCCTCCCGAAGTTGGTATCTGCCTTTTGGTGTCCAATCAGTCTCAGTATGCCTGTGATGGTCAGGGCAAGTGCTGTTTACCCTGATCACAATCCACAAATCTTGCACTTCTGATTTGATCAGATGGTTGAGTAAATGTTCTATTTCTTCTTGAGTCTTGAAGGATAAGTATACTGGCAAAAAGATCCTGTGTAATTTACCATGACTTTTTTCCAGCATTGCTTTATATTTACCTTCATGTTGAAGGGCACATACATCAAACACTTTTTGCCCATCGAATCCGTCATCTTTCCATAAAGTTGGATTCTTTCGAATCATGGTATGCCATGATTTGCTTACTTGTTCAAGTTTTGCCAATTCAAACACGTTGAAGAAAGAGAAGATCTGAGCAAATAGCTCATTAGGCAGCTTGGATATAACATCAAACATACTGTTCGACGTATGCAGGGCAATGTGAAGAGAATTGCAAGATTGTGAAGAGCAGATCGTGAATGACAAAGTAGTGATGATAGTGCTGAGCAAGAACAGTGGTACGGGCTCAACGCACAGTACGCAATATTCCAGACTTGATCAAATGAAGTCCATCTTGCAATTAGGCGTATTCAACGGCCCCGTTGCGAATCACGAAAAAATTCAAATGAAGCGGGGATCCAAATGTGTTCCTTTGTCGTGTGAAGGGACAAACAATCCGGCATTTCAAGTTCATCATAGCTTTTCAAAAGGGTTCTCAAGCAGCTGGGCAGTTGACAGTGGATACGTACATCAGAAATCGGCTTTTTCAAAAAAAGAAATGGTGTTTGTTGTACCGTGTCTAAACTTTCTTTTGATGTTCCAGCTTCTCAACTTGTTCAGTCGTATCTCTCTCACTTCTCATGCAAATTCTCGCCATCATTGTACTCTTTCTCAAACATTGTTTTATTTTATGTAGTTGTATGAAATGTACATGATTCTTGTCGATTGTTATTATAATCTTTCGCTTCAATTTGTGAACAAACTCAATTTGCCACTTCGTAGGAGAGTTTTAATTTACAAGGAATGACATTTTAGCCAGATGTGAATTTTAGTTGGAAAATTTCAGCCAGTGGATCAAGATTTGTTCAGGATGGAGCCTTACTTCATTTCAAGAGGCTGACTGTTTTAATAGAGGAGTCGAAATCAATTCTTTTCGTGAACGCATCACCGAAGTCTTTGTTCAAATCGTATGCCAATCAATCATACGTATTTCCGACGACACTTCAAAATAATGCAGCCCTGTTTGTTGGAATATTGTTTCTCCTCGAACGATGCGATCATAGTGATTGCAGGATCTGAAGTCTGAAGTATGTTTTTCAAACCATTCTATTTCTTCTGCCTTTACCGAATGACGTTTAGAAGTCGAAATTGTTGCTTTTTGAATTTTAGTGTAATGTCCAACACTAATTCGTTCTTTTACCAATTTCTTCACTTCGATCATAGCTTCTTCCTCTAGCATATCCATCCGTACCTCCTCTAAAGGAGCCTTGCGTAATCGGATACACATTTCTTTGATATCAGCAACTTGTAGAATACGATTGAGGATCAACTTCTTCACTTTTGTGTATTTCTCTAGCTTTTCAAAAATTCTCCTACGATCCTCAGCGTCCTTCGGAAAATTGTCAATACACAATTCCTCGATACCGTTGTAGAGTAGCTGCTCTGTCATTCGTGCTGAATTGCGAAAATTAGCGTATAGGACGTTCAACTTAGGACATTCGAAGCATTGCTTGGTAATCCCCGGGTGGTTCGATGGTACGGGTAATGTGTCTTCTGCTAACAAGAATAGCTGTTCCAATTGTGGAAACTTGTATGTAATAGGCAAAGATGGAGTCTTGCCCGGACTGTCCGTAAAGTAATGAGCGCGGCATTTCTTCAAAGTTGCGTTTGCAGTGCTGATAAAAGGCCAAACATCTTTCTTTTTATGATTCCAGCAATGCGAATGGGTAAAGCATAATTCGATCTCCTCAGCTTCTGAGATAGTTTGATAGAGCTCTTCGCACGGGAATAGAGAACCATATCTAATGTTATGCATTGCGAGCTTTTGAAGTCGAACAGCAGCGAAAGGCCATTTTGTTGGCTCGCCAAAGTCTGTTATATTCACGATTGCGTTTGGAACTGAGACTAAACGTAACTTCTTCAAGTGACCGCATTGCGCCACAGTTTTCAAAACAGCTTCAAATGCATTTTCAAAATGCTTACGTGACACCTTCGGCTCATAGTGTTTGTGATGATTTGGGCATGTAACGTCTTGTCTGATCACGATCCAAAGGTCCTTCACTTCCGATTTTACCAGCGGCTTGAGTAATGATTCTATCATTTTTTGAGTATTGAAGGGTACGTAAAGCGGTAAAAAGATCTTGTTTACTTTGCCTCTATTTCTTTCAAACATTGCTTTATATTTTTTTTCATGTTGAAGACCGCATAAGTGAAGTACCTTGGCTCCATCAAATTGATCATCTTTCCATAAAGTCGGATTTGTTCGGATCATGTTTTGCCATGATTTGCTTACCCGCTCAAGTTTTGCCAATTCAAACACATTGAAGAACGAGAAGACTTGAGCAGATAGCTCAACAGGCAGCTTAGACACTCCATCAAGCATACTGGCTGCTATGTGAAGTCTAATGGGAAGAGAGAAGATAACGATTTTGCAAATGACGATGTAATGATGATGGTAATAATGCTGAGCAGGAAGAGTAGAAATAATTCAACGTAAAATTCGCAATATTCCAGTCTTATTCAAATGAAGTAGATATTACAATTGGCGTACTCAACGGCCCTATTGCAAATCGCGAAGGAAAAGAACTTTGAAATGAAGCTGGGATCCAAAATTGTTCCTTTGTCGTATGAGGGGCCAAATGATCCGGCTAAGCAACTTCATTAAGGCTTTTGGAACGGTTCTCAAGCAATCGACAGTGGATATAAAGATTAAGCAGTAGCCCTGAAAAGAAGAAGTTGTTCATTGTACGTGTCCATCCTCTCTCTCTTCTCACGCAAACGTTCATTTTCTTTTGGTACTTTTGTCAAACTTTGTATTTTTTTCGTATGATTGTACAATCTTCTGTTTCAAGATGTGAACGAACTCAATTCGTCACCTTGTAGGATAATAGAAATGTACATGTACGGTAGTTTGACCGATGGGGGGAGATTCTGTTTGAGGATATTTGGTAACGGAACATGTTCTATATATGATGAAATTTTGCTTCTTTGGAAGCCATTGACCGAGGCAGAGTCAATACAAGTCCTCTGGCAAAGGGAGGTCATTGTTTCCAAAATTTTCAAAAGGATCGTCACCTTTCTCTACTTGAAAACAGCCTAAACCGGGCAAACGTCCCCCCAATTCAAAATAGTATTGCCCGTGTACCTGGAATTCGTAATCCCTCTCACCGATGCGATCATAGAATGTGTAAGATTTGAAGTCTGGGACATGATTTGCAAACCATTCTATCTGTTTTGCCGGCTCACCGTCAGTTGTAGAAATTGTTGCTTTTTGAATCTTTGTAAATCGTCCAACGCTGAGTCGATCTGTTATCATTTTTTTCACTTCGATCATAGTTTCGTCTGAGACATGATTCATGATTAATTCCTCTAAGGGAGCTTCGCGTAGTCGGCCAAAAAGTTCTTTGATATCATCATCTGAACATGTTCGATTGAGGATCAACTTCTTCACTTTTGTGCATTTCTCTAGCTTTTCAAATACTCTCCTCCGATCCTCCGCTTCATAGATTAAACTGTCAATACTCAAGACCTCGATACCGCTGGAAAGTAGCTGCTCTGTCATTTGCGATGGAAGCTGAGGAAGAGCATGGAAAACTTTCAAATTAGGACACTCGAAACTATACTTGATGATTTGTGGTTCACGTAATGCTCCGTTTGTGGCGATAGATAAGTTTAATTCTTCCAATTGTGGAAAACTGTATATAGGCGGCAAGACTGGGTATGTTTCGGGATCGTCCACTCCGTAATTAGCACGGCATTTCTTCAATGTAGCTTTTGCAGTGTTGATAAAAGGCCAAACATCCTTCTTCGTGAAATTCCAAGAATAAATATCATTAAAGCATATCTCGATCTCTTCAGCTTCTGAGATAATTTGATAGACTTCTTCGCAGGGGAAAAGACTATCGTACCTGATATTATGTAATGCAAGCTTTTTGAGGCGACTGGCAGCAAAAGGCCACTTTGCTGGATCACGAAAGTTTCTCATATTCACGATTACGCTTTCAGTCGTAACTAAACGCAAATTTCGTAAGTGTCCACATTGCACCACCGTCTCCAAAACAGCTTTGACTGCATCTTGAAGTTGCCCATCTGATAAATTTTCGTTGTATTGACGAGCACAAGCGATGTGAAGAAGCGGGCACGTCGCATCTATCCTGATTACGATCCAAAGGTCTTTCACTTCCGACTTTACCAGAGGCTTGAGCAATGATTCCAGCTTGGCTTGGGTATTGAAAGGAAGAACAAGTGGTAAAAAGACTTTGTCGATCTTACCATCGCATCTTTTGAGCATGGCTCTATACTTTGCTTCGTGTTGAAGAGCGCAAGGATCGAGAACTTGTGCATCAAATCGGTCATCTTTCCATAAAGTCGAATTTGTTCGAATCAAAGTTTGCCACGATTTGCTCACTCGTTCCATTCTTGCCAACTCAAATACGTCGAAGAAAGAGAGGATTTGAGTAGATAGCTCATTAGGCAGCTTGGATACAACATCAAACTTATTGTTCGACATATTCACTCGTTTCATTCTTGCCAACCCAAATTTGTTGGAGAAAGAGTTTGGGTTGGAGAAAGAGAAGATTCGAGCAGATAGCCCATTAAGCAGCTTGGATACAAAATCAAACATACTGTTCGACGTATGCAGTGCAATGTGAAGAGAATTTCAAGATTGTGAAGAGCAGATTGTAAATGACAAAGTAGTGATGATAGTGCTGAGCAAAACGGTGGTACGGGCTCAACGCACAGTACGCAGTATTTCAGACCTGATCAAATGAAGGCCGGTTTGCAATTGGCGTAATCAACGGCCCCATTGCGAATTACAAAAAAGAAAAATTTGAAATGAAGCGGGGTTCCAAATGGGTTCCTTTGTCGTGTGAAGAGTTCATCAAAGCTTTTGGAAAGGTTCTCAAGCAGTTGAAAATGGATAAATAAATCAGAATTCGGCCAGAAGGAAGAAAAAGCGTTTGTTGTACCGTTTGTAATCATTCCTTTGATGTTCCAGCTTCTCTCCTTATTTCAGTCATACCTCTCGTACTCTCTTCTAAAGCAAACTTTCATCATTATGGTACTTTCGTCAAACATTAAATTTCTTTTTCGTATTATTGTATAATCTTTTGTCAAAATATATGAACGAACTCAATTAGACACTTTGTAGGATGATGGAAATAAAGAAGGACGGTAGCTTATTCTGTTTGAGGGCATTTGCCAGTAGAATAAGCTCTGCTTCTTTGTTTACCGCTGAACTAAGCAGTATTATTCGAAGCCTTCCACGGAAGAAAAGTCGAGATTATCAAATCTTTCTGCAAACGCATCCCTAAAATATTGGCTTGATAAATCGCGCATATCGGGCAAACATAAAGTTTCGACTAATTTAAAGTAGTATTATCCTCTTTGTTGAAATCTTATGTCACGTAAACCGGTACGATCAGAGTAAGTATAAAGGTTGAAATTCGGTATACGGTGTTGGATATCCTATGTTCAATGTAAGCTAGATGTACTTAGGAATGATGATAGTATTAGATAGAATGTAAATACATGCACTTTCACCTAACACCGAACGTCGCATAACTTACTTTACCAGCAAATATAATTACACACTTATACAGCATAATTATTCTATACACATAGGAACATCCTGTAATTCAGGATCTACTAAGAAGCGGTAGTTCTACTACCGTGAACCCTACTATATACTAATACTTTCTCTAATACTCTTCTTTAATAGGCTAGAATTATTTTAAAGTATTATTAAATAAATATTATATTATCTTATAATATATATTACCTATTAGATATTTTATTAATATATCTATCTTCTAGTTTTCTATAATAATATATTTAAACTAAAATTTATCTTTTTTAATTTTATCTTTTATTATAAGAAATCTAATATTAATATATTTTAATCTTTTATATAATATCTAATTTTTATTAAAAATAATTATTATTATATTATTATAATAAAAAATTATAAATTTTATTATTATTAAATTTAAATCTTTATATAAAGATATAAATTATTAAATCTTTTTTAATATTTTATTTATAATAATATATTCTATTTTTATTATTAATCTTATTATTAATAATTATTTCTATAATATCTATATAATTAATTTATTAATAAATATTATTAAATATTTATTAATCGATTTAATATTTTCTTTATTTCTTATAAAATCTATATTTAAATAATATTTTATTTTTCTATTATAATTATTATAAGAAAGTTTAATTTCTTTAATATATTTTAAATAATAGAATATATAGTTTATTACTTTTATATATATTATCTTTAGATTTATTATATTTCTATCTAATTAATTAATAAAATAATATATATTTAATTTTATATTATTAATAATCTATAATAATAAATTAACTTTTTTTTAATATTTATTTATATTATTATTTAATAATAAAATATTAATTTATACTTTTAAATAATTATAATTATTTAATTAAAAAGTTTTTTTAAAATAAATTTAATTAATTTTAAATTTTATTAATAGTTTTTTAATATAAATTATTTAATTAATTATTATAATTAATTAATTATTATTAAATTTTTTTTATATATAAAATTTTAAAACTTATAAAATATAATTTAAATCTTTTATTATAAAGTTTATTATTAATTTTTTTTTTATCTTTTTAATCTTATCTTTAATATCTATAATAATAAAAAGATTATTTATATAAAGATATAAAATTATATTATTTCTTATAAATATATTTTAATTTTTATTTAAAATTTTAAAATTTATTTTAAATAAATATTTCTCTATTATATTATATTAATATTTATTAATTTATTTTAAATTATAAATATTCTTATTAAATTTATAAATTAAATTTTTATATTTATATTTAAATAATTAGATTATAAATAATTTTTCTTAAAATTTATTATTAAAAAATATAAAGATTATATCTATTTAATATATTTTTTATTTTCTTTATATTATTATAATTAATATTAATTTAATTATTTATATCTTTATAATAAATAAAAATATTTTATTAAAATCGATTTTTATTATTTATATAAAATCTTATATTATAAATCTTATTTTATATTTATTAATCTTTAAATCTTCTTTTTATTTAATATAAAATATTTATTTTATATTTATAAGTTTTTTATTTTTTAATAATTTATTTAAGGTTTAAATATTATTTTATTTTAAATTATATAATTCTTTTTTTATTATTTTTTTCTATTATAGTTAATTTAATCTTTATTAAATTTTATTAAATAATTTAAGATTATTTATAAATTTTATTATATCTTTTATATTCTTTATATATAAAAATAATATATAATTATTTAATCTTTTAAATATTTTAATTTTATATTTTATTATATAAACTTTATTATTTATTTTATTTTTTAATATTATTTTTAATAATAAGAAAATAAGATTATTAAATATAATAGATAGATTTAATAATATAGATTTTTTTTTATTATTTAGATTTAATATTTTATAAATTTTATATTTCTTTTATTTAATTAAATCTTTATTATTTATAATTATAATATATTTAATTAATTTTTTTTTATTTATAATCTTATTAAAATTATTAAAAACTAATTAATTAAAATATATTTAATCTTTATTAAACTATATATCTTTTAATTTATAGATTTTAAAATTATTATTTAAATTAATTAATCTTTAACTTTTTAATCTTTTTTTAAATTTTATAAATATTAATTTAATTAATTTTATTATAAATTTTATAATATAATTATTTACTTTTATATAAGTTATATATTTAAATATTTTTAATATATTAAAATTTTATATTATTTTATTATATTATTTTTTATAAAATAACTTATTATCTTTTTTAATTATTTAATTATAAATCTATATAATATATTTTATAACTTTATTTTATAAATTTAATCTTACTTTTATTTATATAAATATAACTCTTATTATTTTTATAATTATTTTATTAAATCTTTTTATAATATTATTTTATTAAAATATATAAATTTATATTATCTACTATTAAATATTAAAGTTTATTAATATATCTTTTAAGATAATATATTTTCTTTTTTTATTATTATATAATATTTTTAATTTTTTATCTATCTACTATTTAGATTAAAATAAATATTAATTTAAAAATATATTTTAAACTTTATTCTTTATTTTTATTAAATATAAATTTATCTAACTTATATAATTATTTATAAATATTATAATATATATATATCTATCTAATAATTCTTTTATTAATTTTATAATATCTATATATATTAAATTTAAAAGATATTTAATCTTTTTAACTTTTTTATTAAAAAAAAGTTTAATTTATTTTTCTTTTATATATATATTATATTAATCTTTATTAGTCTTTTAAAATATTTTTTTATCTTTAATTTTAATTAATTTAATAATTATAATAATTATATTTTATAAAATATATTTTAAATATTTATATTAAAATTTATTTTTTTATTTTATAAATAATATAATAAAAAATATTTTAAATTTTTTAATTAATAAATATCTTAATTTATTTTTATAAACTTTATAATAGATTAATTTATTTAAACTATTTTATTTAATTATAATATTTTAATAATCTTATATTATATAAATATTTTTATAATTTATAATTAAATTTTTTAAAAATAATTTATAAGAAAATTCTAAAATTTAAAATATATTATTTAATTTAATTAAATATTTATTTTTAAATTTTAAATATATCTTTTTTATTTTTAAATATTTTATAAATATATTATTAATAATTTTTATTTTTATAATTTTTTCTTTAAATTTTATAAAATCTATCTTCTATTAAATTATATATTAATTAATATTTAAATTAAATAATTAAATATCTTTATCGATTATTAATAATTCTATAATAATTATAATTATTATTATTTTTTAATTCTTATTATTCTTTTCTTCTAAATTATAATTATAATATTTATTATTTTTATATCTTAATTTATTATATATATAATATCTAATATTTTTCTTTTTATAATTATTTTTCTTATCTATCTATAAATATTAAATAGTTATTATAAAAACTTTAATTTAAATATTATAATTATTAATATTTTTTATAAATATCTTTTTTAGATTTATTTTTTCTATATTAAAATCTAAATCTTATATTTTATTTATTATTTTATTTAATAAAAATCTTATTAAATTTTTAATAAAATTTAAACTTTATTATTTTAAATTAATTTTAATCTTTTATATTAAAATATAATATATTATTATTTTTTTATTAAATATATATTTCTTATTATTTAATCTATAAATAAATATAAATATTATATCTTTATTATCGAATATATTAATTTATATCTTAATTTTATTAATTTATTAAATAATAAATATATTTTAATCTTTTAATATTTAAATTTTATTTTATCTTAATTAATTAAAATTATATTTTATTAATATTATATTATATATTATTTTCTTATTAAATATATCTTATAAACTTTTTTAAATTTCTAATATCTTTATATTTTTATTAATTTAAATAATAATTATATTTAATAATATAATAATTAATAAGTCTTTTATATAATTTTTAATATCTTTAAAATCTTATTTTACTTTCTTTTTATTAATAATAAATTTTATTATTATCGGTTTATCTTTTTTACTATATATATAAAATTATATAATATTTTTTAACTTCGATATCTTTAATATTTAAACTATCTTACTTTTCTAAATAATATAATTTCGATTATCTTTATTTAATTTAAAGATCACCTCTTTATCTAACTTATTTAATTTAATAAGGTCTATTATAGTATAGTAATACTATTATAACTATAAATCTATTAGATATCTTATATTTAATATAAGTTAGATATACTTAAGAATAATAATAGTATTAGATAGAATATAAATATATATACTTTTACCTAACACCGAACATCGTATAACTTACTTTACTAGCAAATATAATTACATACTTGTATAGTATAATTATTCTATACACGTAGGAACATCCCGTAATTCGGGATCTACTAAGAAGCGGTAGTTCTGCTACCGCGAACCCCGCTATACACTAACACTTTCTCTAACATACGGCTTGTAAACTATGAAATTTCTCTTTGCGGCTCACCTTCATATGTTGAAAATGTTACTGTTTTAATCTTTATGAACGGTCTAACGCTAAGTCGATCGTTCACTATTTTTATTACTTCTATCATTGGTCCGCTTCTAAGTATATCTATCCTCACTTCCTCTAATGGAGCCCTATGTAAGCGTATACAGATTTCTTTGATTTCAGCAGCGGTATAGTATTCGTTAAAGATCAGTTTCTTCACATTTATACACTTTTCCAACTTTTGAAAAATTCTTTTACGAGCCTAGACATCCCTAGAAACAATGTTGAAAAACAATACCTCGATACTTTCACCGAGTAGGTGCTCAATCAATTCTGGTTGAACCACGGGAAGAGCTTGAAAAACCTTTAACTTTGGACACTCTAACCTAGGCCAAACATTTTACGGTTCGCCAGATTGAACGACTGCTTTATCGATTGTCAATAAAAACAATTCTTCCAATTACGGAAATTCGAATGTGGAAGACGAAAATGTACCTGAATCCGGTGTGTCCTGCACATAATGGGCTCGGCATTTCTTCAAAAAAGCCTTTGCGGTATTGATGAACGGCCAAACATCCACCTTTTTGAGATCCCAGCAAAGCACATCGGCAAAGCTCAGCTCGATTTCCTCAGCTTTTGAGATAGATCGATAAAGTTCTTTGCAAGGGAAAAGAGAGTTATATCTGATATTCTGCAAAGCCAAGTGTGCTATTTCTTCTGTTGAAACTACTCTGCTGACTCGAGATGAATTCTGTGTGGCATCTGGAGCAGTCTCTTGATGAATTCCGTGTGGTATTTTGCGTTGAGACTTGCACCACTTCCGTCTGT